AGGGGTCACCGCTATCCCCGATACTGTTTATATTATACATTTCAACGCTGTACGAGGAGCTAGCGGAGCAGCATCCACTACTTTTAGTAGTCGGGTTCGCGGACGACACGAACCTGCTAAGCGTCGGCACCGATCCAGACACGACCTGCCGCCGGTTGGAGAGCGCATGGGCTACGTGTCAGCGGTGGGCAGTGAGGCACGGGATGGAGTTCGCTCCTGACAAGAGTGAGCTAATGCACTTTACTAGGGCCCGAGAGCCCTTGCCACAAAGTATTCGCCTTGGGGACGCCACAGTGTCGCCGGTAGTCTCAGCCAGGTTCCTAGGAGTCTGGTTCGACCGCAAACTGACGTGGCACGCCCATGTTGAGCGTGTTAAAACAAAAATGGCAACTCAAAAGCTAGCCCTGACAAAGCTAGTCAATATGTCGTGGGGCTGCGATCTTATACGGGCGAGGCTGTTATATACGGTGGTTATCCGTAGCGCGATTGCCTTCGGGGCGACTGCGTGGCATACTATAAGTGAGGAACCGGCAGGGCCAGCTAAGAGCCTGATGGGGATACAGAACGAGTGCCTCCGGGTAGTCTGTGGTGCCCACAAAGCGACGCCGGTTCGCCACCTGGAAGCAGAAGCAGCAATCCCGCCACTAGACCTCTATCTTAGTGCCCGGGCTGCTAAGTTTGAAGAACGGCTACGGCTTAGCGGGAAGAGAAATCTGCTTCGCAGCGCGAGCGCTAAAGCGTCACATATACTCCGGCAGGATAGGCCGGCGAAGAGGAAGCAGGCGTCGCAGCTACTCCGACCGGCAGGGTACACTATGGAGAAGGAGGCCCGGGGCTCCGAGTGGATGAGTGAGGAAAAGGAGGTCCCGGCTGCCCTCCTCGACCACTGGAGGAAGAGATGGCTCACCGGAGCAGAGCATCACGATCGCCAGCGACGCGCTATCGCTGAGGAACCGGAGGGCCCTTCGATGCAGATACCGAAAGGGGGCAAGTATTTCGGCCTGAACCGACTGGAGGCGTCTACGCTGTGCCAGATCAGGACGGAAAAAATAGGACTAGCAGCCTTCTTATTCAAGACAGGGGCTTTTGGCGTGTACTCGCCGCTATGCCGCTGTGGCGATGCCCCTGAGACGGCAGAGCACGTAATCCTCTTTTGCGGGCTGTTGGAAGGACCGAGGGAACGATTACGGGCCGCCATCGCACCACGGCCACTATACTCTCGCAGAGACCTCGCAACGGCAACAGGAGAACCAGTAGTTAGTGGGACTATTGTAAGATGGCTGCTAGGGACGGGTCGGACAGCTTCAAGGCCCAGATAGCATCGATCTTCTCAGGGGGGACTTTGTTGGTAGGTTGAGAACCAACGTAGTATGGTAGTGAACGCAACGCAGTCGCCAATAGGGCGAACCGACGACGCAGCGTATGTATTTAGTCCAGCCATTAGGGCACGGTTTGACATACGGGAGTACTAGTAGAGGTACCGGGGGCTTCGAGCCTACGGCGTATTTAATAATAATAATAATATTATTATTATTGTCGGCTGGTGTAGTTGGTCACTTCGCTGGTAGATAAGTCCCGATTTGAGCCTCGCCCACTTGGGTCGGTGACGAGTCGCGGGTTCGAATCCCGCAGCTGACACACAAGGGGGTTTAGTCAACCCTTACGGCGCGCTGCCCACCTTGTTGACTTCGCCTACCTAGCGATAATAGGGAGATTGGTGCAGTTTAGGATTACGAGCATCCTAGCCAGTCGACCGTCAAGCACTACGTCGGCGGAATATAACTCGACAGCCGGTCCAGAATTCGAATCGTTAATCCGACCCCTTATCGGACCTCGCCTTTCCGATAACGCTCGTCGGCGAAACCGTCCCCTCACGATAGAAGGCGCGCAGCACGCCCTCTCGCCGCGATTCTTGCGAGCGTCTGACCACGTTACGGTCTATCCACTTGAGCGTATGGTTGAGATGTATACGCTCGACGAGAACCCCAATTAGCAGATACTACGACTTGTCGCGACAAAAAAATAGTCGAGCATCTTCTGCACATCAGCAGCATCCCACCCCTGAGGACGAATTTAAGTGCCACATTACCACACTTATCGGTAGTTCAGGCAGGGGTTGTAGCACAGACTTAGGGAGGGACAGGAGGTTTAGTAGTCATTTGGCTACAAGTTTACCTGTATAACCGCCCGACGCGGCTTAAGGGCCCGCTATATCATCTATAGCCCCTTAAGGGAGTACTTGTAGAGGTACCGAGGGTTAACACCTACGGCGTATTTAATATTATTTTTATTATTATTATTAAATACGCCGTAGGCTCGAAGCCCCCGGTATCTCTACAAGTGCTCCCGTATGTCAAACCGTGCCCTAATGGCTGGACTAAATACATACGCTGCTACGTAGGTTCGCTCTATTAGCGACTGCGTTACGTCTGTCACGCCGTGCTAGGGGTTGCAATCCTTGCCACTACGCCACCGTACCAGATGTCTTCACCAAAAGAGACCAATACCAAAGTCCCTGACTTTGATATCTGCAACCACTTATCAATCTGTTCAGACCAGTGTAGGTCAATCACGTGACAACCGTCACAACGTCCACCACAATACTATGTTAGTTCTCACCCTACTAACAAAGTCCCCTTGAGAAGATCGATATTATCCGGGCCTAAGCGCTATCCGGCCAGTCCTGAGCAGCCACCTTGGAATAGTCCCGCTGACTACTGGTTTCCCCGTCGCCGTTGCCAGGTCTCTACGTGTATGCAGCGGCCATGGTGCGATAGTGGCCCGTAGGCGCTCTCTCGATTCTTCCAGCAGGCCGCAAAAGAGGATTACGTGCTCTGCCGTCTCGGGGGCCTCTCCACAGCGGCATAACGGCGAGTACACACCGAAGGCTCCTATCTTAAATAAGAAAGCTGATAGTCCTATTTTTCCGGTCCTGATCTGGCATAGGGTAGACGCCTCCGGTCGGTTTAGGTCTGAGTACTTGCCCTGTTTCGGCATTCGCATCGAGGGGCCCTCCTGCTCCTCGGCGATAGCGCGTCGCTGGCGGTCGTGTTGTGCTGCCCCGGAGAGCCATCTCTTCTCCCAGTGGTCTAGGAGGGCGGCCGGGACTTCCTTCGCCTTGCCTATCCACTCGGAGCCCCTAGCCTCCTTCTCTATCGTGTACCCCGCTGGTCTGAGCGATTGTGACGCCCGAAACCAAATATTTATAGGGCGCTCCTGATGAAACCCGACCACACTCATCCTTTTTTAATCCGCAGAGATTTTTCGCAGAATGGAATCGAAATCGGAATTCAAATTCGATTCTGTGCTCAGCTGGACCTAATTTTCACATATTTCTAACTAATGAGAATGGAGGGATTATGTACCCCACTATGGTCACCTGGACCCAATTCTTTAACATCGCGTGAGGTTATGGTCGGCTCAACTGGGGGGTCTATGGTCACCTTAACTACAAACACCACGGGAGGTCATGGTCGGCTCAACTGGGGGAGGGTCTATGCGCACCTTAACTACAACCACTAACATGGCCGATGGTCTTTGACCAACGTAGTCTCCCGGCTTGCCGACCCAAAATTGACCTTTAGCAGCCGCAGCTCGTCGGGACTTGATCTCCGCATCGTTTCGCTCCTTTTTGTACAGTGCCTCGATTGTGGCCTTCCCCGGCTGACTTTCATATGTCTCAGGTTATTTAGACAAGTATGTAATGGGCTGCACCGCCCAATAACCTCTTATCCAACGATATGATCTGCCTCCCAGTTTCCACGCGGGATATCATCGTCCTCGGCAGACAACGAGGAATTTCGAAGGCAGTCACCCCACCGAACTTGGTTTGATAAAGCTACCCCGCTAAAGCCGCCTGCTGAACCAGCGCAAACCCGAGGTACAGGTGCGTCCGTAGCAAGGCTACCCCCCAAGCCAAATACCGACACCTCGAGGATCATCAGAAATTATGAGTCATGTTTAGAGGGTCCTTTGAACTCTCAGTCGCATTATTCCGAATATTTCTGCAATATAGAAACTGATACATCACGGAACTTGGAGAATTACATTCAAATGCTCACAGCTTTCGTAGTATAAGTTTCCCAATACAGAAACTGTACCACGCTGACTGCGGTCGTTTAGAATCACCATCGAATTGATCCGACAGCTGTTTGAGGAAGGAAACATCTGGACTGAAAAGTGCGGTACGTATACATCGTTCAAATCGGCGTTTAATCGGTGGTTTATGAGTAAACAACCTAGGTCATACTGGGGAAACCTGTTCAACAGAAGCGCAAATATCAAGGTTTTTGAAACTGCGGTAAAAGAAAGGTGTCAATGCACAATCATATCTTGTTCAAATATTTCATTTTGGTGACGACTTGATGCACCAGCCACTGCCAGCCACGCTACAGCACTCCAACTGTCGATCAGAAGTGCTTAAACAACTTATGTCATATGTATCCCCCGGTTCACAACTAGCTCGTCCAATTATTATCAAGACAGTCCCTCGACTGCATGTCGAACAACGGGATTTGGCTTTCCCGGCAGTCTCGGGGTCAGACGGAAGGACATGTACGAAAAACCCGCCAGATCAACCACGAAGATGAATCGGTAAGACGAACTGTAGCATCTCCTCGATTCAGTTTAGATGCTTAACACGACCAACTCACTTCAAGAGGATGTTCTCGGCCATTAACCGTCTACCGTCAAAGCTGGATTTCGGAATCCCGGCGCTGTCCGAGTCGAACGGTCCCTCCCAGGCCTGAAGAACCACCACAAAATGGGGGTGCATTTAAAATCATGGCCAATGTGGTTAAGCCTGGGTAATACTGTCAATCCAGCCGTGTCGTCAAATTAACCTGCGGTCGCAGGCCACCTGGAACGACCTAATTTTGGCAGCAAATCAGCGACCGGCCAAATTTCTGGGGTCCAGCCTGTTCCACTCCTTGGCGGGAGCTAGCTTCATTGCGTTTCTCTCGCATAGATTCATTAACTGTAACGTCAACGATCCCAACACCATGCTCTCCCTCTCCGGTCGGCACTGCATCATAACCGGCGGCAGTCGGGGCATCGGCCTAGCCATTGCGCACCGCTTTGCCTCAGAAGGCGCGTCCATCACGCTGGTCGGCAGGGACCAAACGACATTAGACAATGCTGTCAAGGAACTCCCAATCCCCTTACATCAGGGGACGCCGCCCAACCACGGCGCCTGCGCATTTAATGTCAAAGACAGCAGTCGCTGGAGCGACATGGTAACGTTCATGAGAGACGTGAGTCAGATGATTTTTTTGGGGGCTCTTGCAGTCGTAGTCGTTGAACCCAGAGCTCTCTCGTGACGGCAGAGCCGCTTCTTTACCTACCCAACTCTCCCCGAAAGCGGTCCATTACTTGATAGAAAGGTCACGGTGACGGGTCTGTTCGCCACCACCGGTCGACTATCTCCGAGATATCAGAGGAATTTGAGGCTGACTTTCTCTGTCTCTCTCTTTTCCTCAGGCAGAGCGAAAAGTAGATGTGCTTGTCAACGCAGCGGGCATCTCCCAGAACTCATTCATGTTCAAAACCAGCTTGCATCAAGCCAAGGAGATTGTGGACGTAAACCTCATGGGGACTATGTATGGCTGCCAACTGCTTCTTCCCACCATGATGCGGCAGAAGAGTGGTAAGGTGAACCGAATGTTTGACTCTTTCATAACTAATAACAAAGCGACGCCAGGTTGCATAATCAACATTTCAAGTCTACTGGCCACACACGCAGGACGAGGTGCAGCCGCATATGCCGCATCCAAGGCCGGTGTAGTCAGTATGCATTTTTCCCGTCTCGGCCCTGATGAATTTTCCTGCCAGATTGAGCTATCTACTCACTCCGAGCATGTAGGTCTAACGCGAGCTCTAGCCTGGGAGGCTGGCAGATTCGGTATTCGGGCCAACGTCATCTTACCCGGTTATATCGAGACTGACATGACAAAGTGTGAGTTTGCTCGTCCCTGATATCCATCCCAATCAACCTGGCCATTCCTAGACGGGTTTCCTATCTATCGATCCTAGTTCCTGGTAAAGCATAGCGATATTAATATACAAACCTCGCGGGTAGCTATGAGCGATGACGACCTCAAAGCCCTTATTCCCATGGGTCGCTTAGGCAAGGTTGCTGAGGTGGCCGATGCCGCTGCCTTCCTCGCCAAGAATCCATACGCACACAACACCGTCCTAAACCTAGACGGAGGATTGAGCGCAACGTAACAGCCCATCTTCTCGGGCCGCACGGCAAGTTCTGATGAGGAATCAATCATCAATGACGATAGCACCCGTGCCGGACTCGTCGTCAACTATCACAACATCGTCGCCACGGGACTGAGTAGTTGTCTTTAGTCTCTTGGGCAACCGAACTATTTCCGAGTCATCCTGTCGAGCTCGTTTAAGGTCCTTGTTGTTGCCATCGTTGGGATCTTCATCGAGTGCATGGGTCTTGCCATTCGTCTGGCTAGCTACCACGCTTTCGACTGCAGGTACCTTCTTGGGCTTGCGCGGGATTTCTGGGGCCTTGTCTGGCTCCAAATCCTTGATGTGCTTATCCCCTAGAGGCTCGGTCCTGCGGTGTGACATTAGTTAAGGGAAGACAATGCCTTGTTGAGATTCCACTTACGCTTGATGGATGCTGAGAATCACATTGACAAAAGTGTCATCGTCGTCTTCATCCACAACAGTAATGAAACTGTCTTGCCCGATACCTGTACACAGTCAGAACTAAAACGCAACGATATGTTGCCAAAATACACACCCAGCTCTCTCAGTTTCTTTGGGAGATTATCTTCCTCTTCAGAGTCATAGACGACACCTGCCTCGGTGCTGACTGCCAAATCTTTCGACCCATAGCCCAGTTGCTTCCTCACGAACCCATTTATCAGGTCATCGAGGGTTGCATATGCCAGATCAACGTAAACGATTAAGCGGTACACGCTGCATACTGGGCAATTCGGGTCCGGTCTTCGGGGACGATCTGGTGCCAACAGTCTTTGCAGACCGGCGGGTGTCAAGAAGACCTGAAACGTCAGCCTGAAGTTCCGAGCGCAGTCAAGGATAAGATTCGCCTCACCTCCTTCGCCTTTTCATATTCACCCTTGAGAACCTTAAATGACTCGAGGACGCATAGGCCAGCCACTATCGCGTTTGTGGTAGCAATGGCGGGAATGATGTTGCCGGCCATCTGCTTGATATCGAACCTTGACTTCTTCTCAATGCCGAAAATATAGGATCGAATATTAGCGGCTGCTGCGACGAAGTCAAGAGTATCCGGATCATCTTTGTCGAATGTTATTGCTGGTGGCTCCGAATTGCCCTTCGTCTCTTTTATTAGCTCTGCCTTCCTCTTGCTCAGTCGATCCAAGCTGTCATTCAGCACCGCGAGGTTCTCCGCCAAAGACCAGACTTTTTGGTCGTTCTGGAGGAATGCTTCATCCACCACAGGAGCCTCCTCTTTCAACGTTTTGTACTCCAATGGCTCGGGTGCCGTTCTTGATTTCCACATGTCCTCCATAGAGCGCAATCGTGTGATGTCTGCGTTGAATACCTTGTCGAATAGCAGCTGCGGGAACTCTTCGGTGCCCACCGAATCTCGGATCTTTCGTAAGGCATCGGCTTCCTTTTTGAGCTCGGCAATTTCGTTCGCGTTATCGGCATCTTCTGAATGATCGAAAGCGGACTCGTCCTCGCTCACGCCAAAGATCTCGTTCAAAAGGTAGCTCTTGCCCCACACTATGCAGTGGATGGGCTGGCTCGGTGTGCTTCGGATGGTGCAAACAGGGAACGACTTGGGGGTTTCTTTGGTCGTGCAATCGTAGCATGCCGTCACGCCCTTCTTGATGACTTGGACCTGTCCGTTAAATCCCGTTGTGCCACTCTCAATCAGAGGTACGTCGGCCGCCAGACACATCTTGTTGACGTGCCGTCTTGCATCTAGGTTGTCGAGCGCATTGAAGACGATAGTGAATCCGCGAAACCACTCGATATTGAACTGTGCATCCTTAATGTTCGCATGGTGGGCGACGATCGTGGTGTTCGGATTAAAGACTTGCGCTGCCTCCTTGGCCACCTGGTTTGCCGTTAGTACCCTGACACACTACCTTATGACCTCGATTGCGTCATACCAATGCCTTTGACTTCTTAATATGCTCGTATCGGAAGAGAAACTGGCGGTTCAGATTGCTCAAATCGATGGTGTCGAGATCGACAATGTGGACTTCGCCGTAGCCCGAGAGGACGAGGTTCTTTAGAAGTTCGCAACCAATGCCTCCGGCGCCTACCATGAGAACCTTGGCCTGTGGAGCATGTGTCAATACAAAGTCCGGCTCAACAGAAGTGAATGAATCCATGTTGCGGCGCGAGTGTGTTCGGTCGTTTGTTTGAACTGAAGACAGACCTAGAGGCAAGTGTTGAACTGGGCAAGCAGGTAGCTGCGATGATGGGGGCAATGCCGATTTGACGGGCATGCTGCCAGCAAGATATGCATCCAGATGCACTGCGCAAACACTGGTGCAGATGCGCAGCTGCGCGATGCAGATTGGCGACTTACATTGTGGACTGCGCCGTTCAGCGACGGGCCATGCGACTGGCGGTTCCAGGTGTCTCGTGAAATCGTAAGGGCCATGATGGTGAGCTAGCTACGCGTTTGCAGTGCCGTCACGGATTCGGCGGTGGTGTGAATGCATAGATGTATGTACAAGGCGGGTGGAAGATGTCTGGTCGAGTTCCGATCTAGTTCGGGTCGTCGAAGTTTGCGGCGAGGTAAGGAAGGTGGTGAGGTGGAAAGAAACGAAGCGCGAAGATGCGGAATGCGGATTGCAGGTATCTACTGGAAAGCGTCAGCTTCAGGGAAGCTTGAACCAGGCTCTCAACTCACGGCCGTGGCCCATCAAAAGCGCGGTTCGATTTGGCCTCACTCACTCTCAATCAAGCCGAGCAGGCATGAGCAGGCATGAGCAGGCAAGCGGCGCAAGGGAATGTCAGTTCCGCCGCAACTGGTTTGGCAGTTTACGCGAGGGCGGCATCGATCCGCGGGACCAGGATTAGCTCTCTTTTTACGTCGACGGGTGCATAGCAAGCGCAGGGCAGGGGCTGACGGTGGCTGACGCAACTGGTTGTAACAGGCGGTTAGCGTGCGTCCAAGGTGCTGGGCTTTCGTGGTGGCCTGTGCCCGATGTGGTAGTGTTACTGTGATGTGGTGCGGTGATGCAGATAGACGGCCTCAAATGGAAATGGATAGACTCATGAGTTCTACGATGGAATGGTGCTGGGCAAAGCTTTTGAGGCTGAAACAAACAAAACAGTTTTGCCTTTCACAGTCGAATGAGAGCAGTAGCTCGAATGCTCTCTATTAGACCCGTCAAACGGAGCTTTCCTAGCTGTACCCAGTCTTTCGACGTCGGGCTCGGATTTCATGATCGGCTCCCACTATGTTCCAGCCCCTTCAAGTCGTGATCCGAAAACTTCAACGACACAACACCTCAACTCCGGAAAAGACCACACCATGTCCGATGATGAAGCAGACCCAGAACTGCTCGCCCTACTAAGGCAGCACTTCCAAGGCAAACTCAATCTCGATGAGGAGCCCGAAACGGGCGTTCTAGAAGGCGCCGAGTTTGTCTACGACAACAGTATCGATGTAGCTCTTGACATGCGCGCAACTAAGATCGCCGCGGAAATGATTTATGCCCAAATGAAAGAAAAGGAGTACTCGACGACGAATTGGGCAGAGCATGAATTGCACCCCAAGACTAAAGACGAGTCAACCGTGGCGTTCATCTTCACTATGGACCTGTTGAATTTCTCCTTCTGGTCGCTACTGCCTGACGACGAACGTTTTGCCGTCAGCTACCGAGACAAGAGGTGGACTGGCTACTGGAGCTTGGTCGCTTCGCTGCAGCGGGCACTGGACGAAGGTGGGTGAAGCCATTCATTTTTATGCGAGACGCAACGACAAACCGATGGCTTTTCTCATTTTCGGCACAACTGTTGGCGCTGTGGTTAATTCCGGCGCAAGATATCCCCATTACGGACCCGCACTACTGGCAGAACGAGGACGAGTGCACCCTCGTTTCGCTCCGCCACGTCTTCAGATCATGCACCGAGGAGGAAATACCACTTCTTGAAGCACGACTAGAATGTCTAAGGGAAGCAGGTCGAGTCCTTTACGAAGTAGGTTAACCCCTGCACCATCCACCCTCCCCGCTCTCCCAACAAACGACCAACGCAAAGCCCCGGCGACCTACAGAAATACAACTGCAGCTTCACAAACTGCATATCTGCTGCCAAGGGCTCCGCGGCCGGCCTGGTGAACCTGCTAGCTTGCGACTTTCGCTGCTTCCGGGACGAACACCCCTTTGACGGACGGCGGAAGCCGGTTCGTCTGCTTAAACGGGCGCAGATTCTCGTAGCTGATTTATGGGCTTGTTTCAATGGCGAGCGCTATGGCGAGTTCAGGGATATTGACAAGATCACTATGTTTGCGGACTACCGCGTGCCGCAGATTCTGTCCAGCTTGGGGTGTATAGGGTACAGCCCACCGCTACATGCGTTAGTGAGTAAAGGGGAGGTTATCGACAGTGGTAGTCGGCTCGAGATGCAGCTAAGAGGTAAGCTCATCGTTCCCAGACTGGATTACCTTGCTGACCGTCGAACAGCCTGCAGTATTTGGTGTGTTGAGCTTCTGAGAAGACAGATCAAGCAGGACCATCCCGAGGCTACAGTAAATGCCATCTTGATAGACTTCTTCCTGTATGATATGATGAAGCGGTGGGAAGCAGAAGGCAGAGAAACGATGCCTCACCACCGGACTCGAAGCATCTGGTACTAGACTAGGGCCACAAGCACGCCAAAATCTATCACGTTCGAACTGTCAGTGATGAAGCAAATCTTCCATTGTGCCAGACTCCCCAAAGTCCAGCCGTTTGCGATATCTCAACGCTTTTAGCGAAATCCATCCTGACGCCTGAAAGCTCAACTGATATACAAGCCAACTCCACGGTAGCCAGACAATTCGTTCCCTGCCAACCCATCCCATCGTACTCTTCGTAATCTTCATTTCGCACCACCTAGGCCGTCCTTACCGTTTCTTCCCTGCTGCATGGATCCAACTACGTAGAACCAATAGCCGTCGAATTCAGAATCTGATCCAAATGCGCCATTTGATAACCCTTGATAACCTCCTTCTTTCCCTTCTTCTCCTCCTTCAACAGCACCGCGAGGACCTCAATAGGCGGACTAAGACCCAGACGCTCAGCTCGCTGCCAGCGTTTCGAGCGGTCGATTCCCACGCATGGCTGTTGTCACGTCCACTTAGCACACCCTGCCACCAAAAGCGTAGAGAGAGGGATAATGGGAGAAAATGCACACATACCCCATATTGTGAACTAACATCAAAGTACCGTAGCACCTTCTCCCCCGTACTCAAATCTCCCTGATGCACCCGCTTTGCAACCCGCTCCTTCTCCAAATTGCGCCAGTACTTATCGATATCGCGATCGATAATCTTCTCGGCACGGAGTTCGGCTGCGGACTTGACTACCACCGGCTCCTCTTCCTCTTCCACCTCGATCTCCTCGACGGGTTTGGTGACGACGTTATCATCGACGGCCACTGCTGCCTCCTCCTCCTCTTCTTTGGAAAGATCGGTCGCCGACTGCACATGCTTCGAGAGCGGCGATGGTTTCGTGGGCGTAGCTAGGTCATTGATCTTGGCTGGCTTGGGAACGGGCTTCGTGACCCGGTGGTTGAAGGAGAGAGTGGATTGCTTGCCTCGGGCTGGGGAGGAGCGGGGACCGCTCGCTGAGCGGCGGGTGGAGGGGGCCATTGCGGAGGAATTGATGCGCAGAGAACTCGGGACTGATATGATTCAATTTGGAGAGATTGCTCTGGTAATAGAAGGTGGGATGGTCAAATTCAGTAGGAATGTGTAATGGATGCTGTCGTCAAATCCGAGCTCATCCAGTGAGTTTTGGCTTCGAGGTAACTTAAGGCTGAAATGACGTTGGGGTCATACTAACATGGCCTATGTTGGAGCGGCAACGCGAGTAAGGCACGAGAAAACGTGACACCCTGGGCCTATTTGGTGGCTTAGGCGTTTCTAGCGCGCCACCTCTGTTTTTCCTTTTAGGCTACGGCGAAGGGCCTGGAGTTGGCGGTGGATAGATAACTTACTGGCGCCATCCTTTGCCCTGGCGGCGAGGGCGCGTACGGAATAGCTAAGTTGTGTAGAAGAGTTACGTAGTGCGTCTCGCTGCTTGCGAATTAAGTGCATTCTAGCGCCATTAGGCCCCTTAGAGACCGTTAACTACCTATCTGTAACATTCTAGGTTATCAGTTTAGTAGTAGGAAACAAGGAAAAGTAAATCCCTACAAAAATCGAAGGGTTCGTTATGAAATGCATTTGGAGGAATACAGTTCTGGTAGTCAAAAAGTTCATTAAAGGATTTCATGCCAATTACTTCTTATGTACATATGACGCAAAAAAGACAAAGTGGCATACAAGAAGCCTTAGCAATACAGGCATGCGATGGTATCAGCCGAACTCCAAATCGCAATAATCAATTGTGTTTTCGTCGAGGGGTTCGTGGTCCGGGCGGAGACACCTGCTCCATCCAATTCCGGTCAACATTTCCGGGAGTAATTTTACTCGCTGAGAAGTTCACCGGACAGACTCCCCATTTTTGGGCATCAAATACATATCGTAACCTTCCACCGGTGCCCTCATACATTAGACCGGACAACTATAGTTCTTCAAGCTATCACCAACACGCCGCAACCACCACAGAGATATGCTATTCCTCTTCTAAATCATGCGGAATCCGGCCATGAAGGACAGAGCAACAACAATGGGCACAATGGCAGCAGAAGCTGGCACACCACCACCGACGGTGCGGACGGCAGGGCTGCTCGCCGATGCGGTAGAGCTGCTGCCTGTGCTGGTGCCAGTGCTGTTGCCAGTGGTCGCATCGTTGCTTCCGGGAGTGTTGGTAGCGTCGTCGGCAAGAGGCTTGACAGACACTTCCAGGGTGGAGCCGCTGGCATCCGTAATGGTGTACTGAACACTGTAGTCGGAGATCGAGATGATCTTGCCAGTGGGCTTGGGGCTGACACCGTTATCAATGATGTCCTGAACACCAGAAGGCAGGGCAGGTAAGGTGAAGTTGTTGTTGAAGCCATCGCCTGAGATCAGGCTCTTAGAGCAAGTAGGAATGGTGACGTTGCTTGTGCTGATCGCGGCACTCTGGATCGAGGTCCAGTCCAGCTTGGCGTACTGCTCCTGGAGGGTAGCAAAATCAGACCGAAGTGTGACACTCTGGTTGCCCTCGTTGGCAATATCAGCAAGACCGTAGTTGTTCGCCTCCTGGGCGTATTCGTAAACAACGCCACCACTGAAGACTGGGGTCATTTGGTCACCATAGATGACGGGAATCTCGGTGAAGACGCGAGGAGATGGAGTGTTGCAGCCAAACTCGGAGTAAAAGATCGGCACCGAGGTACCCTCGAACATGGCGACCAACTGATCATAGCCGGACTCGGTGAAGCTGCTGTCGCCACACCACGAGTAACTGTTGAGGGCGAACATATCGGCGCGAGACATATCATCCTCCTCGCCCTCGATGGAGCACGCGAAGTAGTTCCAGCTGTCCTCGAGAACGGAACGGACGTCAGCGGCAGAGTAGCCGACGGGGATGCTGCGGTCAGAGTTCTTCTTGATGTAGTTCTTCAGGTCGCGCGTGACAGCACGAACATAGGGAGGAACAGTAGCGCCAGTCTTGACCGAGTCGATGACCTCGTTACCGGCGAAGAAGCCCAGAGTGTTGGGGTACGACTTGAAGGCCTCAACAATGGCAAAGGTTCGGTTGAGGTAGGTGTCGTAGTACGACTCCCAGGGAGCAGCGCTGTTGAGCGACTCGCCGGACAGAGGGGAGTTGACGTCAATGATCATGTACATGCCGGCGGCATTGAAAACGCTGGCACATTCGTCGTGGTTCAAGTTGGGGTCCAGGTTGTAGACGCGGATAGCGTTGACACCAAGGACCTGCATGAGGGCGGCATCTCGCTTGCAAACCTCGCCATCGGACAGAGGGTCCTTGTTGTTGCTAGGGTCGTAACCTGCGCTTCCACCGATCTGGTACGCCATGCCGACAATCTGGAAGGCAGTCTGCGTCGTGGGGTTGATAAACTGGCTGCCCTGGACCTCGAGAGAGGTCACGGCGCCCGCGAGGGTGGCGCCGAAGGCGACGAGCGCAGATTCGATCTAGAATGGTCAATGTTAGTGTATGATCACCATCGCATTTATTCACAGAGGTAATGAATTCCATAGTGAAACCCAACTACTGGCTGGGAGAGCGAGCAGTGCCAAGGTTCCGGGACGCTTAACACGCCCCAGATTTATTCGGCACAAGTCGATCATGTTGCACCCGTGGCCATCGCGTCGCACGGCTTCTCCAATTGATCGACCCGCGCCAGTCCTTTGGCTGCAGAGCGTGCGTCTCTTCCCCAACGGTGTTGATATGAGCAATTGAAGATGAGCGAGACATACGAGCATACTGATGTCCTGCACAAGTGATTATATTCAAGATCGCGTTTTCTTCCAATTGCTTTTTGCAAGACGCTCCAAGATGGTATTTGCGCAGTAGTTCGTCGGGGTTGATGATCAGGCTCCAAAATGGGACGCTGGCGATTAAAAGTATGCGAGAGAACGACGGGAAGCGGAAAATTTGTAGTGGCAAATGCCAATGAGTGTGACTTCCAAAATGGGGAAAGAAGGATACCGAGAGAACCGTACCAAGAACAAAGAGTGAAGGAGTGATGTACAACGAACTACAAACGGAGAAGGAGGGAGCAGGCCTTAAAGCGTCAGATGAGGGCCTGGCTGATGGGTAAGTAAGAGAGATAGGCCCTACCAGGGTGGGTGCAACTGTGGAGGAAGAGAAATGTCGCACTTTGACTAGCGCCGCCGAGTGAATGGCAATCACTACTGTTCCTACGCAAATGCTACAGAATAACTCAGTGGGATGTACACGATGTCGTCTGGGCAGATCCTGGGCAACGGGGTCATATTCCTGGTATAAAACCCTTGGCAACGAAGATGGTGAGGTTTGACAAGCACGTGGAATGATGTTTGGCTTCCTTCTTTTTGGTTTAGTACTTATTATTCTCACTACTGGAGGAATTCCGTTGCTCTTCCTCAAACAATCCGTACCTAGGTTGAAGGTAGACAAGTTGATTGGCTGACAGGGGTGACAATCCGATACAACTTCATGCAAGGGCAAGAGCGCTCGTGAGACTTTATGATCTTCAACGGGTGCTTGCTGTAAATTCTCACCCCCTCCGTTAACCTATCATTGGTTTTGTATGTACTTCTGTTTCTACGCATTATCTTGGACCTTATCACTCAATGCTGGGCATTTCACGATGCTACGGCTAATACGAGATGGATTTATACGAGACTTTCTAGCTTACTCAGACCCATCAGTCGAATCTCATCCTTAGAGGGGCCGCTTCGGTGTAACCAAAATAGCACCCCAGCTTTCTTGTCAATACGGTAGTACAATAGTTTCTATGTTTGCAGTTTCAACACCACTTCTTGCCGTGCTCTCGTCCTACCGAAGATCCCAGCCTACAGCCGTTGATCTGCAACATTTCACATGAATTCCCTAATGAAGCACGACGTCACAACTGTCCCCATGTCCAACTCAATTTTCTGTGCCTTTCGCGGGAATATGAAACGCTCTCCATGCTCACGGGGGACACGAGTCGGATAATCGCAATTCAAACAGCCCCTGAATTGCTATTCTGACAAACGAACCCTGCCGGAATGAAAGGCGGCACCCCAGACAGAGTACCTGAATGGCCCGCCGGAGTCAAATTAGCCCCGCTAATATTTAATATTAAGTTCCTTGCTCCTTGTCACCTCCCCCATTGGAGCATGACATGGGCGAGAAATTTTGCCACCAGATGTGTCCACCTCTCCGACACTTGGCCCTAACATTCGCCGGTCTCGAGTCAACGCCAGCTCCGCGCCCGTAAAGTTCACGGCCACCGAATGCTATCCGCGCTCCGACGACATCTCGGAGGCTCTACTACTAAACCATTTGGCACTGCTTTTCCCTCTTTTAGGACTCGGCCCATCCAACGACAACGGCCGTTCACCAGCACTATGGCGCCGACCCAACCCCCGCAAGACCGCCGACCCCTCGTCATCTCGGGCCCCAGCGGCGTAGGCAAAGGCACGCTGTACAACCTGCTCTTCACTCGCAACCCAAACCAATTCACCCTCTCCGTATCTCACACAACCCGTAAGCCGCGTGATGGCGAACAGCACGGGCAGCACTATTTCTTCGTGACCATGTCCGAGTTCGAAGATCTAATCAGCCGAGACGGATTCGTCGAGCACGCTCAGTTCGGGAGCAACCGCTACGGCACCAGCAAAGCCACGATCGCGGAGCAGGAAGCCAAGGGCTTGGTGACTGTGCTTGATATCGAGATGGAGGGCGTGAAGCAGATTAAGGCCTCGGGGGTTCCCGCGCGATTTGTCTTCATCAAGCCGCCCTCGTGGGAGGCGCTGGAGCAGCGACTCAGGGGTCGAGGCACCGAGGACGAGGAGGCGGTGCAGAAGCGTTTGAAGCAGGCCAGGATCGAGCTTGAGTATGCGGACTCGCCGGAGTCGCCGCATGATAAGATGATTGTGAATGATGATCTGGAGAAGGCGTACCAGGAGCTTTATGACTATGTTTACGGTCAGGGCGCTGGGGCGCAGTAGGGCGACGCGTCGGCTGATATGATGGCTTGGAGCCGGGAGTTGGCACGTCCAGGGGAGATGATCAAGCGTCGAAAAGGTGTTGCATGTCGCATCCGCTCAGGTCCTGGGACGGGAGAGAGAGATTGTACCTTTGGCACGAGAGGACGGCTGCCATGATGAGGAATTCATGTTTGGCACAGAAAGACAGAACCGAGGCATTGCTAGAGTTTGATGTGGGCACAACAGAAAGAGCTCCTCTTTACATCTTAGATACTTGGCGGCTGGGATAGAATAAATTTGGATTTCGTCATCTATATACAAGGTGAATGCGAAGCGCATGACCTCGTGACAGAACTCCACGATTCAGTGTCGCCAAAGGATACACCATGAGACACCGGGAAACCGGAGGCTTGATAGGGAATAGACACTTCACTTCACTTCAATGAGGCAAGATCTAACTTAGGCTTTCGACTTGGTCTCAATTAAACTTCAACAGGGTATGGAAATGAAGAAAAGCTTCCGCAAATACTAAAAGGAAATAATAATAACTGCCGAGTGTCACTCTTCCTCAATGAAGTCAGAGTAAAATATTGCTTGTTTTGCCTGTTTTCCCAACACATAACACAACAAGACTCGAACGACCCTAATTAGGCCAAACGCATTCGTTCGGCTGGCCGTTGAGATCTCGAACTTCGTCTCCAGCCCTCCTCAACAGCGCCACTTTCCCCAGCTCTTGGTATATGAATGAGGAGTTTATTGATTCCGTTTTCTAGAACTGGGAATGTTTCTCTCTCCTGGTCTTTGCACGTGGGCCATCTAGAGGCACTAAATATAGTCATAAAGGTGGATTGGGGGTAATGTGAATTTAGCGTTGTGCAAGACAGCCGTGGTAGTCGTCTTGTTACGCCACTCGGAACGAAAAGCCATACCACCGATCCTCGGATTTAGTAGCCGTTCATGGTCATTCGTTGAGAGTTTCGGCTAAGCTCCCGGTCGGCCGCTGGGCTTATCGGGCGGCTGCCGTGGCCCTGGGCACTGCTCTCCTTCAGCGCGAGCAGTTGCTTCGCGCGGAAGGTCTCGTAGTGGATCTGGGATGTTGTCTCGATCAGATCCTGAAGGTGCGTTCGGAGCAGGAAGTTCCGCAGGTAGACGAATTCGCAGTGGTTCTCGTCCTCAACGTTGATGACGCCCCATCGGTTCTGGCGTCCGCGAACTTGCTGTCCGTTGACAATGATAGACTTCTCCGAGCCCACCACGGCGAAGGGTACGAGGCTCTGTCCTGGAGTTAGCCGTTGAAATCTGTGGTAAAAGGGGCGGGTCAATGCTAACCTTGATCTGGGTGTTAATAGCGCGCTCCTCATCATCGAGCTCCTCGTTGTCGTATGGGTACATCTTTAAGTTGTGGAAAGCAAACTCCTCCTTGATGCGCTCCTTGAAGGCTTGTCGCTCTTCCAGGGTCAGAGAATCGGCCTTGGCAATAACAGGCACAACATTGACAACATCCGAGAGCTTCTTCAGGACAACAATGTCAATTGGCTTGAGCGAGTGGCCCGAGGGCTGGATAAAGAACAGGCAGCAGTGGATGCGGGTGTCTTGGATGTATCGCTCTCGCTGTGCCGTGAGCTCTTTGCGCAGGTAAGCGGAGTGTTGATCCTTGATGTACTTGACGATAGGATCCCAGCAGCGGTCGTTGTTGACCAGGTCACCGTAGCCGGGAGTATCGACGATGTTCAATCGCAGACGGACACCGTTCTCCTCGATGATGTGCGACACAGGGTGGATCTCGGTGGTGGCTCGAACGGGCTCGTCGGGCACAAGACGACCCTTGGAGTCGATCAGGTGCGAGGCAAAGATGGTGTTGATCAAAGTCGACTTGCCGAGACCGGTTTGGCCTGTAGATTAAAACAAGGCGGGTTAGTATCCCGTTAAGCATTGGTGTAGAGAACAAGTTTGCTCGCGACGCGACGGGCCAGGAGTCGGTCGTACTCACCAACGCAGATGACATTGAACTGGAAACCACGCTTCAAGAGCTTGCGCTCAATCTGGGAGGTGATGCTGTCGAAACCGACGTGGCTGTTAGGGTAGACGGTAGGGGCGGCCATTATGCTGACTGGGGTGGTGATGTGGTTGTTTTATGGATGAAGTCCAACACGTTGTAGTGTGATGTTCCTAATCCAAGAAACGGCCCAAGGGCAACAACTGTAGGCACGGTATGAGCGAGAAAGAGTACGGGAGTTGATGAAGAGAGTGTCGACGTTGCTGATGCTGGTGAAGGAGAAGGGGAGAAAGAGAGATTGGGCTTAGTCGTCTCTTGTGGATGGAGGGATCTGGTCTTCGTCGAACTGCTCTTGCCTGCCAAACAATAATTTCCGTGAGGCAGGAGCAGCAGCAACAAATGCAAAGTCGGCAAGTCGGGTTGGGGGTCTCAGTGCTAGGAAAGGGGAAAGGGGTTGGCAAGCCACTCTGATTGGCTGGAACCTGTCTGTGCACCTCGTCGGTCTGGGGTTGTGCCGTTGACAACGATGGGCCCATTGAGATTGATTTGATTGCTGAGCTTTGGGCAATTGGATTTGATGGACTTGAAACTTTTTGGTGCCAAGCTCTTGATACACGATCCCGAGGTCAAGACTGCGCATCAAAGCGTGCCTTTGCAGTTACGAATGCTAGTCGATCAGGTACGATTACCGCGTTGAATCACTCTCGATAGGCTTCTAGCCTGAGGCCCGAACCCATTTCTAAATTCGGGGACTGTTCTTGTTTTCAATTGTAGCATCCAAGACGTTTGCGACAGCGTCAGCCTCGAAAGTTGACAACACCTTAAGTCACGATGGCTGCCATCCAGCAGCTCCGAATGGCCTCAGCAGTCTCGTCCCTCTTCCCTCGCCTAGCATCGACGACCTATGCTTCGCCCTTCCGCACGAGCGTATGGTTCGGCCAACAGTCCTTGCCGTCAATACCGCAGCTGGCGGTTGCTATCCCCGCGGCGCTCCAGACCATACCTGGTTTTCTAGGCGAAATTTGGGATGGCATACTGAAGGCAGTGCCTAAGAAGAAGACATCACACATGAAGAAAAGACATAGGCAAATGGCAGGCAAGGCATTGAAGGATGTAACTGCCTTGAACAAGTGCCCGGCTTGTGGACAAACCAAAAAGATGCACACATTGTGCCCCCATTGCATGGGTAGTACGTCTCACCACCCTGTCTTGCTGATTGCGAGCTAACAAGGTTGAAGAAATCCAGGGCATGTTCCCGAATACATCGAAGCAATACGGGGATTAGTCGTGTTGGCAAGCGAGCCTACGGGTATATGTAAAGATATCAGCCTTAGAAGAAGTCGGGATTTGCATTGAGTAGGCGTTTAAGGTCGGTGGTGAGCGGCTTCCTGCTCAAATGGGGGATTGTATAAACTGTGTCAATCTGCGTATATCATGACTTATATCATCAATTGCTGGTGTTCCCGAGTCGGGTGTTGTTCGTCTTTGTGCGGTTGTAGCCTTTTTCTTCGGCGACGCAATCATTTCTCACCGTGCCTGGATCAACCCCACCAGAGCCTTAATCTTCAACATCGACGCATCTCCAAATCGCGACTACCAAAACAGAGCGCATGTACATGGCTCGGTGACGATGGTGAGTAACCGGGATACAATAATTTGAAGCTTTTGAAATACTAAGATGCGCATAGTCTAAACAATATTTAACCACGCATAGCGTGGAGAATGGTCAGATCCGCTCCATTCCACCCTCCTGGTCTGGAAGCTCACGAAGCTCCATCTCTGGACCTCAATTGCCTCCTTAGCCTCGATGCTAACCTGCCGCAGCCCACATAACCGACATCTTCTCTCTTGCCGCTACCCCGACCGCCCTTCTCTCCGCCTCGGGCTCCTCCACCCTCCACGTCCACTCCACAACCCAACCCGAATACCCCCTCGTGCAATCCCTCTCCCTCGCGCACCAACTTGGCTGCCACCACTTGGTCGCCTCTCGTTCCGGAAAAGTATTCGCATCCGCCGGCTTTGGCGGCGACCTCAAGGTCTGGAAGCTATCCGAGACGGGATCGGGTGACTGGGAGCTGTTCGGCGAGATCGACACATCCAGGTCCGCGAGTAACGGCAATGCACAGAATAGCAGTAAAGGCAAAGCTGCTGGTGAGGTCTGGGCAATTGCGCTGAGTGAGGATGGCCAGTACTTGGCGGCTACAACGTACGATGGACGCATCAATGTTTGGGACACGAGCAGTCCGAAGGGCACCAAGATCCAGGAGTATGAGACGGGGAGCGCAGGTACGGGCACCTTTGGCATGTGTGTGGACCTGAGTAGAGACGGGAAGTATACGGCGAGTGGACATCAGAGTGGCAATATCTACGTGTTCAACAATGACACGGGCAAGATTCAGTACTCTCTTGCTGGTAAGCCTTTGCCATCCTTCTACAACCTGACCGACACTTGTAGCCGACTATTCTCTACCTAATCTCTCGCTAACACTAACGACAGGCCTCGTCAAACCCGTCCGCGCCGTCTCCTTCTCTCCGGCTGGCACCCTGCTCGCAGCTGCAGGCGACGCAGGGCTAATTGCACTCTACGACATGAAACACGGCGAGCACGTGGGCAACTTGACGGGTCATGCCGCTTGGATAACCTGTATTGACTGGAGCGACACCGGCGAGTACCTTCTGAGCGGCGCCTTCGATGGTAAAGTCAAAGTATGGTCCATTGAGCGGTCAGCATGTGTGGCTACGCACAGCGAGACGGAGAAGGCGCTATGGAGTGTCAAGTGGCTTCCTAAGACGGGACGCAATGAGATATTCTGCACGGCAGGGGCCCACAGAAGTATTACATTCTACCGTGAGGCGACTGGCTCGTAAGTGACGAATTTTGGGGTTGGAAGAGGGATGGTTGTCTATAGATGTTAAGGGGATACTCGTCCTCGATAGGCCAATGCTTAGTGGCTTCGTTGAACGTGTGCCTCCAACACTAGGTGTCCTTTGTTGTTGCATTTGCTGGATAGGCGTTGACAGTCGGGCAAGGGAATTGTGGACATTTGCTGGTATTTGCAAACAAAGTAAACATGAACAAAAATTTTTATTGACCTGTCCATCTTGGGTGAATCGAAATACCCCCACTTGCTTGCCATATGAGGTTCATCATGATAGAACGAGATTCCCAGCTTGGGTGGTGCCCAAAGTGTGGTGGATAAACTACTCAAGTCGCAACTTCCCTTAGCTCGGCACAGAACACCAATTTATCGTTGAAAGCCCATTACACGCGTAACAATCCGTCTACAGAACAGCAGAGCTTGTACCATATGCCAGTGAGCAAGTGTAGCAAGAGTAACAAGGCTTGCTATGCCAGGAAAGCTTCCATGGCGTAACCCAGCAGGAAGTTTGAACATCGGCTGGTAGATATGCCCCAAGCAGGTTAGATATTGAGCTAATATCTATTTCACTAAACCTCGGGGTAGTACCAGTTAATAGAGGCTTCAGACTTATTGGCAATCGCCATAATATGTTAACGTCTTCAACATGCAATATAATAGACACGTCATCGTTGTATATCTCCAAAAACAGCTAATGAGGACAAATTGTACGCGGGCCAGCAATACAGTGCTACAGTGACCAGCTTACTCTTGGCTTCGAATCCCAATTGTCTCATACACGACTTACTAGCCTATAAACGGATCTAGTTATTCAGCTTGTACTCTCATTTTAACGTAATTATTAAACTTTCACCATGGGCCAAGAGGCTGCAGTTCAGGCCAACTCTCGAAGTTCCTTCAAATGTGTGTGACGAATGTAGGCAAATCATATTCTTGCACCTTACACCCCTCCTGAAATGAATGCAGACGAGTATTCAGATAAGTCATCCAAGTGGGTAGTGAGTTCAGTAGCCTTTAGCTATTGTATGTAGCAAAGGACTTACTTACTTTAATCCAGCGATGACAACACAACTTGTTACTGCATCCATTCCAGGGCGAGGCTTAAGATGCTGTTCTGTTTCAACAGAGAATATTATGTGATGTCAAAGCAATTGATTGAAAAGATTCACCAACCATCAGGTTCAATCAAACCGCCACTCACGAGTTTAATCGCCTTCTCGAACGGGTCTCCGTCCATCTTCTCGGCGGGCTTCAGCTTCGCGGTCGCGAAAGCCTGCTCAAATTCGCGTTTAATGTCTTCGAAGTCTTCGATGCCCATACTTATGCATAAAAGACCGGTTGTGTGTATCACGGTAAGTCAGTAACTAGTATTATCAGAGCCTTCAATCGATGTACTGGGACATCTTACTTGTGACACCTCCATTGATCTTCTCATCCAAGAATTGCTGGTTTGTCGTGATTCAGGGATGGATAACGAGAGTCTTGCAGTCGCCGACGTTGGCAAGATGACTGCATATCTTGAGGTTATCGACGACGGCGCTGACTCAATCGACGTTCCCAGCCTGCGCGATTATAATTAGCCATCGATCGCCTTCCTCATAAGGACAAGAAAATAGGTGAAATTAGTTACTTACCACACCAAAAGTTAACACTCCACCCGCTCCCTTCGGAAAGGTCCTTCTCACAAGTTGTAGTACTGATGCCACTTCAACCTCCGATATAGTACCCAATCCAAACATGGCGCACCTCAGTATACTGCGCTGGTTAGTTCCGCTAACTATATTAATGCTTGGGAAAGTGGGCTTTAAGGGTTATGCCAATATGTGCTGATTAAGATGTGGATAGTCTCGCAATCTTGTGTCAACACTATGGGCTGGAAACAGTTTGAGCATTAATGCACTTGATTAGTTCTATAAAGATAATGTAGAGTATGTTGCATAAGGCTGTCTTTGTATATCATGGGTGGACAGCAGTTTGACCATAATGGCGTAATTCATATCCTAAGACCCTATTACAAGAAATGATGCCGGTCAGACCAAGCAGCCGCAAGAGTTCAAACACCGGGTATAGGGGCTCGGCTTCGTTATCACTTCAGCTTCATGCAGCAGTCATTGTAAACAAATAACCATCACGGTCATATTGGGAGGTATCCTGTATTATCTGAATTTATAGCATATACTCCGCTGGGGTAGTTATGCGGAATACCTTTACATTTTCAGTCCCATCTATGATATCACTGTAAGCTCTTAATAGAGTTACCCCCCTGTTGTTTTAGTTAGCCAATATTGGAGCATTCCTGAGTAACAACGCGCTCGGCCTGATTGGCTTCTGGATGTTCTTTCTACTATTGGAACCTGTGGTAAAACGCTGGGAGTCTTTATCTGTGAAGACAGGACTTTAATAGGCGGATGACTTATCATTTATATAAAACACCATGAGTTGCCTTCATAGTAATCTTTCCCTACCCGATATCGTACTTAGGACTTTCACCGCACCAAGGGCCGGAACAACCTCACCATGCTAACCTGGTGAGCTAGGGTTGGCGTGTAAATACACCAATACCCTCACCATTCTCCAGACTTTGGTTGCTAATGCTAACCTCACCGGAGGCCCTAGTTGGCCAACCTGGTTAACTTATAGTTGCTAAGGCTTTTGTAGCTATTTTGACCGTTCTAGGGGTCACTGCTAACCCTATAGAACCCGCCTGTAAAACTTGTCTGCTTGAAAATATTTACCAAATCTCTAGGACTTTCAATAAACCTTCGCTGCCCATATGGAGAGTCAAATTACCCCTCTAACGCCGACTCTAGTATCTCGCCAGGCTACAGTTGGTCATGGTTTGAAGAGACTTGGGCTGACCGGCCTACTTGGATTGCTAAGGCCAAGGCTATGGTACAGGAAGTCTAGCAACAAGACTACGCCAATTTGGATATCTAGGCCACTTCACTACCTACCAAAAAGCCTCGATTTCACGACCCCTTCGGTACCGGAAGCCGCCGTAACCTCCCCCCTACAGCTAATAACCACTGCCGAGTCGACGGCGATGAATACGCTACTTGGTGTGCTAGTGACCATGAGATAGGTACGGATATACGTGACCCTATTGGCTACTAGTATGAACGCCGTTTAAAGTACCTAAGGCTTTCGTTAATAGCACTGGATTTCCTTACAATACAGGCTATGTCAGCTGAATGTGAGCGGTTATTTTCATCTGCCGGTAGAATGGTCACTTCACAGCGGCCAAGCCTTGACGCCGGTATCATAAGTATGTGCCAGACACTACGAAATTGGTACAGAGCCGGTTTAATAGGCCAGCTGGATACTCTGCTTGGGGCTCTGACGGTTGATACGGCTATAGAAAATAACTGGCTGGTGACGACGGGCAGTGAACCACCCGCAGGTTTAAGGTGTAAGATGATGGCAACGGACAACAAGATTCTCAGCAAGACCTTACTATCCAGAAGGTGGAAAGAAATAACAATATCAAGAGCTCTTGCCCTGATCAGAACAACAAGTACCTCAACAGGTACGAACAACTGGAGCCTCAGCAGGCTGGAGAAGGAAAGGAGCCTCAACAGGTCCTTGATCAATCACCTCAACAGGTGAAAGGCGGGAACAATGGCCTCAACAGGCACAATCAGATCTATAGGGGCAACAAAAGTACCTCAACAGGTACGTCAGACATTGAATGCCTGTCCAAGTAAAGAGAAATTGGTTCAGATTACTGTGGAAAAGGCCGCTTGATTTCTATCTTTTTCTCAAGAAAGTGACTACGTACATAAGGTCTTAAATACCCTTCAAGATCGCGCTTACATAATTCGTCTGAATATCCCAAAAACGAAAACGAGCACCCAAAAACCCTAACCCCACGTCACTGGACGAACCTGACGAGGCTATAGAAGAGGCTATAGCGGCCTCTGTCAGTATGTTCCTAGGGGACCGCGCCGGCGAGGTTAGCGATAGCTTCATTTATTGGCAGTAAATCCAACCAAAAAGTTACCAACCTAACCTCACCTCACCAGGATCACTGTTTGGTCAACTTCACTAGCGTTTTGCTTACTAATTTGGTCACCAACCAACTAAGGGGATATGGTGAGGTTGGTCCGACCCTTGCACCGCATAGATTGGTTGGCCTTGACATTTTCTATTGGGGCTTACCTGAAGCGAACAGAGAGATGCATTAAGGCGCATTCTGTTCTAGTGTCCTGGGGCCTGTTTCCCGTATTTTTCGCAGGCTCCCTTAGCACTGGCACGAGCGGCGTCGCAGTCGCTCCGCACACGAGATTCACTTACACGATGCTATGTAAAAACAGTTGCTGACACTTCATTATCTCTGTCGAAGCCATGGAGCTACCTATATCAGTTATGAGGATGGTCAGAATTTGTCTCTATGCCTTCATATAAACTCTCAGGCGGACCAACGACATCATCTAGACTTGCCGCCCTACCTGCCATCCACTCATGCAGGGCCTCCCAGTCTACACAAGCATGAGGCTGGGGAACTTTGACAGACGGCTTGTACCTGCTGTGCGGTGTCCATTTAAGCGTGTACACACTCACATCTGCCGAGCACATCACCTCCTGGCGGAGCGATTCCAAGCAATGGTCGGCATGTAAGAATAATTCATCCCAGGCCTGCTCTCCCTCGTAGTAGTACTCGGGGTGCATATACTGCTTGATCCGTTTCTGTCTCATGGAGTCAGTGAAGAAGACCAAGTGGAGGAGTGGCCAACTAAAAAACGAGGGACTGGAAAAGACAAGAAACTGGAGATACAGCCGAAAGAACAACACTCACGACACAATGCAACGAATGCGATATTCCAAGTCCACCAACATATCCGCCATCCTTGTGTCTTATAGAAGTCGCATTATTCGCCAGTACGAGCTCTTCCTCTGATAGTCGAATGGCAGTTGCAGAGAGCAAATCATGCCAAGCCTGGTCCATTTCTGGCCGCGGCTGACCTATGAATTTGGGAGTGTCAGGGTCGCCCTTGAGCCATTTGTTGACATAAGTCACCGGTGCCGGTGCTATTCTGTTGTCAGTGCTAATTTTTGGTATCGTTTGGACTGCCATTATTTACAATATGGAATTTTCGCACCCGGTTTGGGCGATGGATATGAGAATGCATTGAGTCTGTATTCAAATCCTGCAATCAGAAGAGAGATTACGGACAACGAGGACACGAGCAGGATATAGAATCTCCGCCGCCAGGCCAATTCGCAGTCAGGATGCGAGGTCGTTAACTCCACATCTACGCCCTCATCGCTAGAGTCAACGGGGCGATATTGATGCTTAGCGACCATAAGTGACATGGTTCTTGTGCTTGAGGAGGCAGTCTAAATTCAACAAATACAGAGAAAAGTGCTGTGACAAAAGTAGGGAGCTTTCACACGAGCAAGGGAACAAGTGAGAATAGGTGGACTTCTACCACTTGGGGATAGAGTAGAATGAATTAAGACCAAATTCTCTGTGCTGGATTTGACCCATGAACACGGAAAATTATCGCTGAAATTCACAGTTCAAGAATTGCAAATAGTTCAATTGATGGGCTGAAGGCGACCCAAGGATTAATGGTTAGGATATTCAACCACGGAGCTTTGTCCGGAACCGGTCATAATATTCGACCAATCTTCTTTCCTCTTATGTGTGGGATTCATATATACGGCTGCCAGGATTGATATTACGTGCACCATCCTCGCAGATTTCTTACCACCACTGGAATATTGGATCCTTCAGCTGCTTATTGGTTAAGTTTCTGATCGAATATGGCAAGAGGAGACTTCCCAAGCTGATGTTGTATTCGGATGCAGAGCGGCATAGGTGGTAAGACGCGATACTACATGGGCAAGAGCTGAGACCACATCCGTGCCAATCGCAACGATGCCCCGACCATGGTGATGGGAGATAGTATGTAGGAATCTATGAAGTGTGCAGTGTCACTTTTCAAAGTTTCATGTGGCAGTCTGCTTATTGTCGGATCCATATCATGCCGCTGGTCGCCGCTCACCAACGTTCGCTTGGGCACAACATAATTTATCTCTACATCAAACGCCTCCCCAAGACTCTGACTCCCCATCTATCCAAATGAAGATCACCGCGCTTTTGGTTCTCGCCGTCTCGGTTCTAGGCGTGCCCGTGCCGCCGGAAGGTCCAAGTAAGTTGTCTTTGTTATCCGCGTTCATTCTTAAGCATGCGAGCCCGCTGACAACTAGCAGGTCGAGAAAATGCAATCAAACGAGATGGCTTAACAGAATTCGACACAGACCTGTGTCTCATCAAGAGGGAGGAGGCTAAACGGGGAATTATTGGGGTTGGGATCAACAACTGTGACTTTTAGCTGGATACTTCTTTGCTGGCGGATATAGTACGGAGCAGGAGATGAGATCGGGGGATCGGAGTTGAGTGATGAATCGGAATGCTGCGCCTTACGCACATTCGATGAGACCCAGCTTGTGACAGGTCAGCTCACCTATGATGCTGGTTCAGGCATATCACCCTTGCAGTAGTAGTCAATCATTTGCTTTGAAAGTTACTTGCAGCCTGCCTGCTGTTACACATGCCCTGCATATAACTGGCCGGTCGTAGAGGTGGGGGCTGCATTGGAAGTGACGTGCCTGCTGCCAGCTCCTTTGCTGGGCCGGAAACTTCATTTCGTTCCTGTTTACACTTTGATTTTCTTCCTTTTTTCAGTCATCTCGCATCAAGCAAGTCGAAATGAGGAATCAAACGTGGTTACGCTCAGCGTTTCTCGGCTTGGCCGTAAGCACCATAGTCACCGCAAATCCCCTCGTCAAAATCGAGGAAAAGAAAGTCACGTATCGAGGTGTGACCAAGGGCGCAGTGGAGGATTTCCACAATATCAAGTTCGCCCATGACACCTCTGGCTCGCGACGATTTGCTCCTCCGGAACCATACACGCCTCTGGAAGGCAGTGACATTGACGCCACAACACCGGGTCCAGCTTGTCCTCAGTCCAAAGCTGGCATCCCGCCCTTCTTCGCCGAGACCCCCGACCAGAGCGAGGATTGCCTCCATCTCCGGGTCACAAGACCTGCTGGCGTGACTACCAGCGACAAGCTGCCTGTGGTTGTGCATCTTGTTGGCGGCGGCGTTATCAAGGCTTCCACATATGATGAGCATTTTGATCCTGCCAACCTTATCACGCAATCCGTCTCCCTCAACAAGCCTATCATCCACGTCGTCCTCAACTACCGCGTCACCATCTATGGCTTTGCACGCCTTCCCATCCTGAAAGACCAGAAGTCGCTGAATGTGGGGATGCGAGATCAGAGAGCTGGAATCCAATGGGTCAAAGACAACATCGCGGCGTTTGGTGGTGATCCAGAGAGGATCACATCTTTTGGATTGAGTTCTGGGGGGACCTTCTCTTCGCTTCACCTCATGACGTATGGAGGCGAGCAAGGTGTTCCGTTCACACAGGTTTGGGCCATGTCTGGGCCACCTGGCACCGCTCTCAACATGACTTCCGACGCGACCGAGACACATACTCGCGCCGTTGCAGAGAAGCTGGGATGCGGGAACGACAAGGATGATGAAGGCCTCCTAGAATGTTTGCGAGGGATACCCATGAACATGTTGACAGAAACAGCAATGGCATATTCAGTCAACAATCATCCACCAGCCGGGCTCTTTACCTTCATTCCGTCGGTCGACGAGGATTTTCTGCCTGAACGTCAGTCGGTCCTATACAAAGCCGGGAAATTTGTCAAAGGTATTCCCATGGTGTTTGGCTGGACGCAAGACGACGGTGCGACCAACGCGGGACCTGCTCCCATGTTCCAAGCCGAGGAAGACATGAAAGTTCCCATCAAGAATTTCGCTCACGCCCTCACCGACGACGACTACGGACGACTCTTCTCTCTCTACCCGGCTTCCGATTTTGAGCAAGAGGTCCAGAATTACGAGGCCAGAAAAGGCGACCTGGACCCTGTCGCACCTGTCCACTACTTCCGCGTTGCGCGCATAATGCGCGACCTCTTGTTCACATGCTCGTCTATCGACTTTGGTTTCGAGGTGTGGAGGCAATCTAAAGCACGGGATCCCACTTTCTCTGGAGTCCGACACTACGATTTGAATCAAAGCAGGGTGACACCGCTGTTCCACGCTGGTGGGATGCCCTACCTCGGTGTTATTCACGGTAGCGACATGGACTATATCTACAACAACATGTTCCCCAAGGACCAAACGTCGGAAGAAGATCAACAGGTATCCGATACCATAGTTGCGTCATTTATTAATTTTGCCTACACCGGTAATCCGAGTGGCGACGGTTTCCAGGCATGGCCGGAGTCATTTTCTGAGCCTGAAGGCCTGTATGAGCACCCCGTCGACTCGGCCGGTCCCTCGGGAATCCATCTGCAGATAATTGGTGGACCATTTGGTACGGGAACTTGTCACTTGGAGAGCGGGCTGGATGATAATACGGGTTTTGCCTCTCAGGAGGGTAGTATGCAGAATCCCCTTGTCGATAGCGTACAGTTAGGGAAGATGGAGTCTGCAACTCATCAGAAAAGGCAGCGAGAACTAGAACGCGAAAAGCTTCTAGAGCGATGTGCATTCATCAATAGCCTTGCGGAAAAGTTGGGTCATTGAGAAACGTTTGCGCGTCATGGTGGTGGGGGGGTGTCACTGCTGACTGGGCCCTCACCTTAACACATTCCTTGAGCTCACGATATTACACCAATCATAGCATGTCAAATAGCAGCATCTAGAAATTTCTTTGGTAGCTTTGGGATAATGAGGTAGTATTTGCGCAAAGAAAAAACATCTAATGGGGCTGACTGCGTCTCGTCTCCTTAGCCATCGCTGTAATACATCGGATAATACTTGCGTTGGCATCTCGGAAAGCAACAGTAGGGCCGAAAGTCCTATACATGTCTGACCGGTTCCAACGTATGCTGCCCAGTAGAGTAAGATAGGACAGGTGGGAAGGTACGGCCAAGTACAGGGCTACAAAACCCCGCCCCAAAACCAGAAGTAACCATCATAGAGAAAGAAAAAAAACATCTCTTTTTTGGCCTTCATATAAATCTAGGGCAATCGTCAAATCACAGATTAAAACACTGAAAATCTTGACGACTGGGCGTTGCAGCTCAGTTTTACTTTTAGCCGATGTATGCACCCCTCCCAGAAGTATCCCGCCAGCCAGGGATTCCATAATATGGCAATGAACGGATATGCAACGTAATCATCGTCCGCGCCACCTTGTTGCAAGCAAAGTCGACCTTTTACGCAGTCAGCATCAGACTCGCCCAGATCAGGGATAGATCGACGCTTCTGCGCAAAAAATGCCAAATATTGATTCCCTTTGGATTGTATTTCTCACTAAGACCACTGCATGCAGTATGCGTTGTGCAACGTTGGGGACAAACTGCGAATCGGCACAACAATCATACCTGGAGGAATCACCAAGAGGGCTCGACTTCCGAGATAAACCCCACGTATAAGCCGCAGGGCAATGCGTTGCATTCACCATATTGGCATCTGTGCCGTATTTGTTGCAGAATAACAGTCTGCCATAGCCAATAACTGTTAGCTGGATAGCTGAGTGGAAAGGAGGGTAAATCCCGGACGAACATAAATCCTTCACACGGGAGTGAAAGTCCTTTTTGGGACTGTCGTCTTAGGCCTTCCACAAGGATCAGCTGGCTGTTGGACTCATATCAATATCGCATCCATCTGCGTTTACCTAGGTAATCTCAAAACTTCTTCACTTCTTCACTTCATACTTGAAATTTGCCCCTTAAATCTCTGTCCAGTTTCGGGCTCAATCCTTCAATCTTGCAAGAAGACCGTCCCTTACCTTTTCAATATGTATGAAAATCCCACAGGTTTGATCGCAGGCTCTGTGGTCATGTGGTGTATCACTGTGTTTTGCGTTGGTCTGAGATTTGGCAACAAGATACGGGAACGGCAGAGCTTTCTTGCAAGTGACTGGCTAATTCTAGCTGGATGGGTTTTTGGGACAGGATTGACAGTTCTCGAGATTTATGGTAAGTTTGAGTCTTCCTTACACTAGGTATACGCGTGTCAAAATCCAGTGCAATGCCTTGTGTGAATCGTATTGACTTGCTTTACAACAAGGCAATGCTAATGGCAAGCAGGTGTTGCAATTAAATCTCTTGGATATCGAATCGGGGCCACACTTGCAGATCCAGCATCTGTCACAGGGCAGTTGAACAAAGCCAGACACGTAAGTGCTCATCCACCTCATTCTGAATCTCGTTGCTCTTGCTATCGTGGTCCCGTTTCTTCTTCCTTGTACTTCTTCTTACACGCCCCCAAAGATTCAACTCGCTTTCTTCCTCATGGGTGTCACTGCCCTCGGCCTAATAAAATTGTCGATTTCCTGTTTCTACTGGCAACTTTTCGCCAAAGTCACGCTCCGCCGCTTCCTTATCATTTGGATGGTAATCGTCGGAGTTTGGGCTACTGCCTTCGTCATGGCCGGCCTCCTTGAATGCGGCTCTCATCTCACGGCGGTATTCGGCACGCCAACAGAGTATCTAAAGCATTGCGGGAGCGCTGTCCCCAGTGGATATGCGATGGTAGGAAGTGATATTGCGACGGACTTCATCACACTTATCATCCCTATTCCGGTGATTCTGAGATTAAAAATGAACATGCGTCGAAAGTTACTCACATTGATGGTGTTTCTAATTGGTTCACTGTAAGCCTGCTCATCCACTCTATCATGATGTGGCCTTGCGAAGGACATGTGGAACTGATTGCCAACAGGTCCGTCGGCGCATCGATTGCTAAAGGGTACATCTACATTCGATCGAGCATGGGTGTGTATTCCGAAGACGGTCTTCGTAAGTCCATCCCAAATCGTAAGAACTCGACCTCTATCTATATTAATATCATCTGTGCAGTCATTCTTACAGGCATCTCGATCTGGAATCTAGCAGAAGTCGAAATCGCTATTGTCGCTGCTTGTGGACCAATGCTCTGGTCTATACTCGCTCCTACCTTCTCTCATCTTGCGTCACTTATTGGCTCAAAGTGGCACTCTAGGTCTAAGATTAATAACTCCAAGGAAACCCACGAACTACCACGCTTCGTGAAAATGTCCGAGAGTCAGGTGAAACTGCCGGTTGGAGCCAGAGGTGTCTCTGAGGGCTCTGGCGAGCGGGACATGATGGACCAGTATGAGCTAGACTCAAGATATGAGAGGTCTAGCATTGGAGTGTAGGAATATAGCCCATCGGAGGTGACGGTGCTGTACTATGCCATAAGGCCTCGAAGAATAATCTGGTCTTCTGAAGTATTTATCTGAACCGGAGAGCCGACATGATTCAAAGGTCTGTGAAATGGGATATGAATTCTGACGGCGATTAGCCAAGGTCTCCGGCGGACTAGCCAAGTAGGTATGCACTTGAGTATTTATCTGCAGACAACAGTTCAAGTCGAGTGGAATTTCCTTTGTGGCGATTCACAGATTAGTGCCACATATTAGACATGAGAGTTGAACGTTCCCCGCGTGACACTGACCACAGATAAGCAATCCCTTCAAATCCAGCCCATTTTCAAAACAGCACGTACGATGGCAAGCCACTACAAGATTGGCGTAGGGCAACAGCTTTTCGCCGCCATCCCGGCACTAGAACGCCACAACTTGCCAGCTGGACAACTCAGTCAATTTCACCTAGCAATACCCCTATGCGGTCTATCTTCGGGGCATCTCAATTCTAATCATTTGACCTAAACGAGGGGATGTTACCATTCTGATATGAATACCTATGGGGATAAAGTTGTGTGTATTGAGAAGGCTGGCCAAGTCTGGTTGCCAGCCTCAGAGAGCATTTTGCAGGCCTCTTGTCTAAATTAACCAACTCTATAGGGTCAATATCAGAGCACCACCCCAGTTGGGCGATTGGGAAGTGTGCACTAGGCACTACGAATGCTGAGCGTTAAACGACCTCGACTCACGCGCATTTCCTCCCAGCCTCGCTCGTGTAGAAGATACGGCGAACAGACTGCTGCGTGACTGTAACGCATCACCCGTTGGTAAGAACTGGGCATCTTGCAGATACGACTGAGAAAGGGCCCAATGTGAAGATCCGGACGCAATAAAGGAAGAGAACAGAGTTCCTAAGGCAAACCGAAGGTTTTGTTATGTACGTCCAATGCAGCCTGACCGAGGTATCTGCCAACAGAACTGGATATTGGGCACAGCCCGCAACAGAAAGATGTGGAAGGATGCCCTCCTGGGTTCCGAACTGGGCAACTTCGTCATCAAGGTCCTGGCCTTCTGCTGATATGCATACTTCTTAGAGCTGGAATCTACCAATCCCGTCCACATCATCCACAAGCCTCAGTCACTCGAAATTTCGTCCACAAATGCCGTACAAAATAACGTACCCACGAACCAATGTCTACCTTAAAAGTTCCAGTTCAGGTGACCCGTTTATGGAGTTGGTGAGTGGGTAATTGCGGGCCACTCGAAAGATAAAACAAGCGCCGAGTGATAGAAGTAGTAGTGACCTGTCTAAATTCAAAAGACCATCGGCGAACATGTGCCAATTGATACACCTGGCGAGACCGAATTTACCTCCAACTGAAGCCTTTGACTCGATACCATGGGCCGTGTGCGCCATACTGACAGCGTTAGATGGCGGGGAAATCGTCGTATTTACAGAATTTTACCAAACCATTCAAGTCAAAATGTAACTCCAAGTCGAAGATGGGCGCCTGGATTACATGGGCGTTTCCCAGACAATCCTGGTGGAGTAGACCGACCAGTTTTCCCTTGTTGCCTGTCTGCCAAAAAGCCTCAACAACTTGGCTGGTAGGCGTAACCTATTTGCAACATCGACCAGACATATTGGGCCTGGGTCGCCTGATATGACAGAGGGGGATTTCGTCACTCTTATTATTGGGATTCCTCTTCCCCTGATCATCCCTGAAACTGATAAGTCGAAGACGTTCACTCTGATCGTTCCAACGTATTGTCCTGGTTCTTTTTTAATATCATTTATTTTACTGCCTCATAGAAGCCTACGGCCTATGAAGGCAGTGAAGTAGCCTAGCTGCAGTGCGTGAAAGAGTAATAGGGGCTTATGATCCTATAAAGTCCTCTAAGCTATTAAGGCCTAGGAAGAAGGTTAGCTTCCGTCCCGCTTTTACATCCGTAAATACTAAAAACCATCTTTCCCTCGCATTCTGGCTATCATTGGTACAAGAACCAATTACTCGTAGCTATTTTCGTACTAGATCGGTAGTTAAGTAGCCCTTTTCTACCCCGCGTTGTGTTAAAGAGAGTATATAGAGAGAGTGGTAGGGCTTTAAGATCTGCCCTATTGCCCTGGTCGATGGACTGAGAAAGGTTCAAGTGAGAGTCATTAGTGATCTTCACATTAGTGTAGCTGCTGTCGTAGCGGGTAGAATGGAAGCTACCTAGCTGTCGATACCTAGTCGGGATAGTTTGAATGCAAAAGTAGAGCGTCCCGGCGCATCCCTATAGTGTACAATAATTAATATGGCCAACTAAATTGATGATCAACCCGGATAGATGGAGCAAATCGCTTGTCCGTGACACAACATTGATATAGGTCCTCTTTATACATCGGCGAACCAATTAAGGTGACGCGGCATCCATGACCATCAAAGAAAAGGAATGATGACTCTTGCATAGAAGTAAGCACGCAGGTCCTCACTAATCCAATTGTGTAATTCACTTTAATAATCGTTTAGAAGCTCGACTGCTTCAATACTCGGATTATGTCGCTATTCCCCAATTATACTAACCTTGTTCCTAAAAGCATAGTACCCGGGTCCGTATAAGTTCTTCCCAATTTTCGTTTCATTTGGAAGACTTGTGCCCGTAAAATCAACGACACTTGACAATGATATCCATGGCCAATTATTTGTTGGAGCCAATATCGGCAAGGCGCTTGTTATAGGCAGTATCACTGAGTTTCGAGTATCGGCTAACTAATCCTGGCTGCTAAGGCGGATCTAAATATCTGCCTAGTAGATCGGAAGTGCTCCGCTTCTAAGCGGGATCTTGGTATTTCGACGGCTCACGTCAAGTTTCTCATAACCAAAACCAATTACTTGCAAAAAGCAGATTTATATTATTACCAAATCCTGAGATTTCAGTATTGAAGCATAATTTTGACCGCTATTCATTCATCTTTTGTCGATTATGGCGCACCCGCTACCCTCCGCCAAGCCCGAGAGGTTGACCCCGACCCTGACGATCCATGCCCCGCTCTCCCGGCATGGGAATGGGCCTGGCATCGTGATTGTCACTTTACGCAATAGTGCGCGAGAGACATGCCACAATGAGACACTAGACCCTGAACCGCTGCAGAAATGGGCAGAAGAGGGATTTACCGTTGCTCGCCTGGAATTAGCTGAGGGGACCAGCAATCTTCGGATCCGAGATGAGTTGGGCGAGGCGACGGAGGCATTGACGATGCATGAGAAGTGTACCAACCAGTCTGCTTACGGCTTAATTGGTATGGAATCTCGTTCTCAGAGGATCTATGGTTTTTTCTCATATAGAGTGACACAGTGCACTTTACCACGGCATTCCCGGAACTCACTGAGGCAATCGACGGCAACGGTGAGATCAAGGCAGTCGTCTCCTTCGGCGCTCTCCCCGCGCCATGCGCCAAACCACATTTATACCACCTTGCCGAGAAAGGTTCCAAGTCCACGGCAGAAAATGAAATCATCTACCGGTACCCCGAAGCCAAGTCACCCGCCTTCGTGCTACCAGATCATCCAGACTTCGCCCCGGCGTCCGCGGCCGTGGCGCATTCACGTTGTCTCGAGTTCGTGAAAAAGCACCTCGGAGGCCCGTGGTTCGACCTCGAGGCCATCTGGGAGGAGCACACGTTCTTCGAGTTTGGCGAGCGCTCCGTGGAGAAAACGATGGCGACCATGGTGCAGGAGCCGTACGTGAATCACATCACCACGATCACGGGGGGTATTGGACGGGAGAAACTGTCGGCGTTTTACCGGGATCATTTCGTGTTTAATAATCCCGAGGACACGGAATTGCAGCTGGTTAGCCGCACAGTCGGGATTGATCGGGTCGTGGATGAGTTTGTTTTCTGCTTGACGCATACCAAGATGGTGGATTGGCTGTGAGTGCATTTATGGGGCAGGATTTACATTTGGATGTGTATAGTTCATGAACTAACTCCCTTTAGTGCACCGGGAGTGCCACCGACGGGGAAGCCGCTTCGTATCCCGATGACTGCAATTGTCAATATCCGGGGTGACAGGCTGTACCACGAACACATATCGTGGGATCAAGTCACAGTGCTCTTACAGCTGGGACTGATGCCGGAATATCTTCACTTCCCGTATGCCTTGGAGGACGGCAGAAAGCCTGCGGCGGGAAAAAAGTTTGAGTATCGTGTTCCTGGTGCTGGTCTGGAGACTGCAGAGAAGCTGGTGGATGAGAGTGCTGTTCTGTCAAACCAAATGTTCGAGTTTTCTACGAGGGAGGTTGACGAGTGATTACTCGGCCCACGGATGCCTTGGATTGGACATAATGGCCGGTTTCCGGTACGTGTGAAGGGTTTATATCATATTTCCAAGTGCTTTATTGCTCCAGGTTTGCAGTCCAACGAGACAGCACTCTGTCTTGTAACAAGATACGTGCACTCTCAAATACGATACTATATCAGGTGATATTCGTTCAAATCATCGTATACAATTGCTGGTCCCTGCGGTTTCATATCTGCTACTACTACTCAAGGTTCTGGAGTTGATATTGGGATTGAGTGGAGTAACCCATTGCGACGCATCGGACTACTCCCGCCAGGATTACCCAATAACAAGACGAGGGTAAATGATTTCAAATATCAGCAAGTATGTCTCAAAATGTAGCATAAACCGGTAATGCCAGAGATCGTCCAAGGTTGTACCGTAGGATTAAGAGTACGGATGTTACTTTCGGCCCCGGCCGTAGCCTGATAAGGGTTGGACGGATAGTCGCCGGAATGGCTTAACTTTTACTATTCTAGTTTTTCTCAACCCGATTATCTCTGTTTTGACAGTCCGATGAGAAATCAAGGAGGGTTTCCACGGCTTCCGAGTCTCAACTTCAATCCACGGTGGGCCCCCTACCCGCACTTCCGCTTCCGAGCTTCCGAACCACTGAGAAGAGGGAACGGCCAACGCAATACCATCAGGGCAGAACCTGATGGATACTATATTCGAAATATAATAAGATAGTTTCATGTGCATCCAGCTCGTAAAAGCCTTCTGTTGCTCGTATGTCAAGTTTTGGTTGTAATCAATTCGATACGCCCCTTTCACACCTTGCCTACGTCCCTCACTTACCTCGACCCCAACCTCAACTATCATGCCTTCATCAACCAGCTGGAGACCCCTAAACATTGCCATAGTAGGCGGTGGCATAGGCGGTCTAGCTGCGTCCATCTCCCTCCGCAGGGCTGGCCATAAAGTCACAATCTACGAACGGGCCGATTTCGTCGGCGAAGTGGGCGCCTCTATCTCCTGCGCAGCAAACGGCACGAAGTGGCTTCATAGATGGGGCGTCGACATTTCCAAAGGTGACGGTGTGGTGTTGCGCAAGCTGATCAACCGCGACTGGAATACGGGAGAGCCGGTGGATGTCTATGATCTGGCTGATTATGAGGAAAAGTGGGGTTATGTGTATTACATGTTCCACCGGCAGTATATGCATGCTATGTTCATGGATTGCGCGACGAGCGAGGATGGGGAAGGTTTTCCCGTCAAGGTTGTGGTTAATCACAAGTGCACGGCGATTGACCTCGAGGCGGGTATGGTGACGTTTGAGAATGGAGTTACGGCTACCTACGACGTGGTGGTTGGGGCTGATGGCATCGGATCTTCCGTTCGAGGAATTATTGGCATCACGCCAGACAAGAAGCCTGCCAGCTCGAGTTGTCTGCACGTCAACGTGGATACGGCCACTGCCGTGAAGAACGGGTTGGTTGACTACTCGCTGGATAGTGCACTGGAGTACTGGGGCGGACACAATACACGCAACAAGATCGTGCTGTCGCCTTGCAATGGAGGAAGCTTACTTTCGTACTACTGCTTCTTCCCGAGGGAAAAGGGGGATTACGCCACGCAGAGCTGGACGAGCAAGGATCTGCCGACGGAAGATCTCCTGGCACCATACCCAGACTTGGATCCCAAGTTGCTCGAGCATTTCAAGATTGGTGTTGAGATTCGCCCTTGGAGACTGTGGGTTCACGAGCCGTATGGTTGGTGGCAAAAGGGAGTCGCTTGCGTGATGGGAGATGCTGCTCACCCTGTAAGTTCTACTCCATTCCGCCCAGGTTGCGCCTCCACGTCGCTAACCCTGCTTCCAGATGATGCCAGACCAAAGCCAAGGCGCGTGCATGGCCATCGAAGACGCCGCCTGCCTAGGCCTTGTCTTCAGCAAAGAACACTTCAACGGCGACGTCCGTGAAGCTCTGACAGTCTATGAGGCCGTCAGGAAACCCAGGGCGACAAAAGTGCAGGCTGCTTCCGCAAGAGCCAGAGAGAACATTCATGAACGGATCGGGTTCTCATCCAACACGCAGAGCCCCCTATACAATGTCAAGGATGAGAGCAAGAAGTTGACCATCGAGGAGATGAACACGTAAGTCTTCATGATTGAATTTTGTAAAGTTATTACTGACCCTTATACTAGATATGATATGGAAAAGGACGTGGCGGACACTTTTGCTCAGCGGCGGAGTAGTTAAAGGGGGTGACTCGTTTTGTTTTGAAAGAATTTCTTGGAGGGTAGCGACACGTCATAATACCTTTAGAATTCATTTCTGCTTGAATTGCGTCTCTGGTCTATGTAATCAAATATCGCCGCCTATGGATTAAATATGTAGGTTAAATGATTCTGGCACTTCCATAGAGTAAAGTTTTATATCACCCCCAGGAATGTCCAGCCTCTCAAACCCACTCCGGCACATTATGTCGCTACATTTCAAACTCACTCCTACCATGAAGCCCGCCAAGCCGCGCCCCTACAAGCCCTCCGCCCTCAGCAGCCATATAGAAGTTTGACATTGAGCCTTTTCTTATTGCCATCGGTGCTTTTACAATAGCAAAATTTCATGATGTTTGATGAGAAGTTTTCTTACGCCAGTTTCGAGTGACCGGCAGGTTCAGTTACCTTCTACCACAGTGTCTGGTGACTACCGAGTTGATGTCAGGTATTGCCTCAATATGCCCTCATCCTCGTTTCGGGGCGCACCCGGCATCTATTTTCACGGGATTTCGATTTTATAAGCATGGATATTCTTAATGAATTCCACATTATGATTCCTGCTTTAATTTCATATAGGGTTCGCCGTCAGGCTATAGCTATGCTTAAAATAGTTCTCTAAAACATTCCAATCATTCGCCGCTTCACTCAAATAACTTCCTTACCCCTTTGCATATCAGAGTTCGGCTCTCTCAACGCATCCACAAGTGCACGATTCCCTGCTGCTTCCGCAAGATCGAGCAATGTTCTCCCAGCCTCGTATGTCTTTTTCCCGAGGCCTGCCGTGAGAAGAGCGCGACAGAAAGCCTGGTGGAAATCCGGATCTTCAGATGATGGGAAAATCTTCGCCACGTGAGGAAATTCTGTCGAAGACGAGTGGTAATCATCTATAGTATCATCGACACTTTCAGGGTTCATCTCTGCTGAAATCTTTAGGAATAAATTGCGGAGACCCGTGTATACCACCTTATTCTCGTACACAATTGACCGTACGAATGCCTCGATAATAATTTTCTTGTCCGTCAAGTTTGTTTCGTCACTGTCGAGTTCCAACAGAGTTATGACAATTTTGGCTGAAGGGACGTGTTGGGCTGCGAAGATAATCGCCGACACGTATATTAATATAAAAAAAATAATATTAAATACGCCGTAGGTGTTAACCCTCGGTACCTCTACAAGTACTCCCTTAAGGGGCTATAGATGATATAGCGGGCCCTTAAGCCGCGTCGGGCGGTTATACAGGTAAACTTGTAGCCAAACGACTACTAAACCTCCTGTCCCTCCCTAAGTCTGTGCTACAACTCCTGCCTGAACTACCGATAAGTGTGGTAATGTGGCACTTAAATTCGTCCTCAGGGGTGGGATGCTGCTGATGTGCAGAAGATGCTCGACTATTTTTTGTCGCGACAAGTCGTAGTATCTGCTAATTGGGGTTCTCGTCGAGCGTATACATCTCAACCATACGCTCAAGTGGATAGACCGTAACGTGGTCTAGACGCTCGCAAGAATCGCGGCGAGAGGGGGTCCGATAAGGGGTCGGATTAACGATTCGAATTCTGGACCGGCTGTCGAGTTATATTCCGCCGACGTAGTGCTTGACGGTCGACTGGCTAGGATGCTCGTAATCCTAAACTGCACCAATCTCCCTATTATCGCTAGGTAGGCGAAGTCAACAAGGTGGGCGCGCGCCGTAAGGGTTGACTAAACCACACGTATATTACTTCAGTCTGTGATGCAGTTGTTGCTTCTGTCAGTTCCTGGCTTATGAATGACTGCTCACAATACCAGTCCATGTGTTTCATAAGCCTGGCCCAGCATGCCTACTGTACGGCAATAGCATTAACGAATATCTCGTCAAGCACGACGTTGGTGTGAAATCCCGCTTCGCTCAGCGCTTTCAGAACTTGACAATAAATATCTTCCTGGTCTCCATAAATAGGAAATTTTACCGGACGAAGAGGGATAGGCCGGGATTCGCGCATCAAGGTTTCAATATCTGGCTCGTCGTTTATATACTCCGAGTAAAACGTCTGCGAAAGATGTATCAAGTACGCGAACATTATATGCCGGTTGATCGGGCTGAGATCCGCATGTTTCCCCCACACTTGTATTCTTTCCGGCGTGTGTTGAAAGACTGCTCGGTGGAAGCAACTAAGGAGTTCACTTCCAGTGGGTAAAGCAGCGTTGTAGGATAATAGGACTTCCAGCACTGGCCAAGCTTGCTTATCGACTGCACATCCGAATGCCTTCCCGTCCTGACAAGTTTGATTGATAAAGTCCTGGGAGGAAGGGTAGAAGCGTGCAAAACATTGAATCCAATCCTCCAGGACTCCCCCTGTGTTGGCTTCGCCGCGGACGCAGGAATATATATGCCTCTGAAGGAACATATGGAAAGCCGTTTGACCGTCGTTATCAAGGATTCCCTGCTGCGCGCCGCTATCGATAATAGATTTCACCAGGTTAAAATTGAGAGTATACACAGCAGCATGTAGCACTGTCTTTCCATCGAGGTCCTGGGCTTGGACATTGGCGCCGGTCGAAACCAGAAGCTTCAAAACTTCGATTTCCCGTGACGACATGGCAATATGCAGTGGACTTTCGCCTTTGCAGTTGCGGACATTGACATCGGCTCCCTTGGAGATCCGGACCTTACAAATTTCAAGATCCGGCTTCTGTTTTATGGCGTGCATCAGCGGAGTGCACCCTTGGCGGTCCGGTCGATTCACGTCTGCCCCGTGCTCGACGAGTTTGGTCACGACTGCGATACTCGCTCTTATGCCACCCCACCTGCCGTAGAATCGCACCGCTTCAATCAGCGGCGTCTGCTCTTCGTGGCTGAAGGACACTTGAGCACCATTTTCCAGCAGTAGCTCGAGGAATTGAACGTCGGCTTTCCTGACTGCTGCGTATATAGGACACAAACCTTGCTTTTGAGCATTAACATCAGCCCCAAGTTTAACGAGCATTCGTGCCACCGCTATATCCCCTGTTATGATAGCACTCTGCAGGAGGTTCGACTTCCAAGTGGCTGGTTCCTTAATGCCAATCTTCTCGGCCTTTTGGTGGGTTCTCCAGGTGGATCTGGAAACTGGGGGTCGAAATTGGCCGTACATATCGACAATCGTGAAGGTGTGTAATTCGGATGCCAAAGGGGGCTCCTCGGTCGGATCTAAGGTGAGGTGAGAGATGTCAACTCGGATGGCTGACTCAGTGTTTCCAAATCTGGACGTTTTTAACTTCCCCTGGAATGACTCCATACCGAGTGTTTTTCCGATAGCGGCAAGGCCCGGTAGCGTCAGGCCTGTTTGTGTTGTATCTTGTGACTTGCCAGACGCCGGTTTCCAATCCAGTAGAAGCCAGACGATGTCAAGCTCGTCACGACCAATGGCCCAATCCAGGGCGGTCAAACCGCGTTTGCTTTTTACCTGGTAACCTGCGCCAGCATGAAGCAGGGTTTCGGCAGTTGATATATGCCCACGGAACGACGCCCTAGTTCATATGTCAGCATATGAGCGTATCGACAGAAAACTAGTTACCCGTATAAAATAAAACAGACTCAAAGTGTTCTTACCAAAATAATGGTGTCCATCCTTCAGAGTCCGTCGCATTTAGTTCTGCCCCAGCCTCTACTAGTACTGCCACGACGTTCACGTGGCCGTTCGCTGCTGCCCAATGCAGTGGTGTCCATTCTTCTGAGTCACGGGGTGACGAAAGATGACCCATTTTGAGTAGGCTCTTGGTCACAAATGGTAGTCCCCAGTATGCCGATACGTGGATTGCAGCCTGACCGTGCGGAATCGATGCGAATATATCAGCACCTACAGTGGCGTTGCTGATGTTTGCATCAAACTGGAGTGCCTGGAAAGAGCTCCAGCGAATATCTTCGTTATCCAGTAAAAGCAGGATCAAAGATGACAATGTGTCCTCGGTGGTTTGGTCAGTTATATGGCCTCCCCAGTTGTGCGATGCATATTCCAGAAACGGCATGTCATCAAGGCGCTTTCGTAAATCAACAACGTCTTTGGCCGGTCCCGTAGACATTGGCTTTGCGCAGAGGTACCGAATACACGCCTGGGCAATATCGACTTGCACTTCGGTCAGGCCGTATTTAAGGGGCTGAAAGAACTCGTAAACGGAAGTGTGGACGAGTCTGATTGTGCTAGTCTCATCAATGGTGACCAACCCAGCACAAACATTGAGCAGAAGTTGAACATTTGTCATTGCCTCTGGATCGATTTCATCCATGCCTTCCTCAATAGCAAAACCATCAATTATTTCTGCGGCGGTTAGTAGTCGTCTGGCATTTATGATCCACCCAATGACTCGATGCGCCAGAGCCGCGCGAGCTGAAGGCTGATCATCAATCCTTCGAATGCTTGACTCGAAAACTTGATCGAGATCTTTTGGGGCAGAGTCAAGGATTTTCTTCACTTCCTTCACTGATGTCTGTTGTAGTATATGCTACATGAGAATGTGAGCCATGAGAAATCTGGTCATGCAATGTGTCAGTCTCTGTACGTGTGAATGAAGACGGACATGATTGTGATCTGGTGTTCTTGACTTACACCCCGTTGGACTTTTCGACGATTCGTTCAAGCAACTCAGAACTGGCGCTGTCCCTGAAAACACTGTCCCTGAAGCGGCTTTCAGCAAGCTTGAGGATGTCTTCAGTTGGACTTTCCATCTTGACCGAGACAATGGAATCGGAGGCTAAGGCTATGCCCGTAGGCAAAACTGTCTCTGGTCTCCGGCTGGTGAGGAGGATTCGACAGCCGTGTGCTGCGAATTTCGAGAAATACATCATCAGGCGCTCTGTCGATTGCATTTCATCCTCGGCATCCAAGATGAGCACCACTGGCTGTCCAGATTTGCAAATCCGCCTAATTGTCTTTTCCAGTATATCTGGATCTCGAAATGCGTCAAACTGGGAAAGCGTGTCTTTGGCAATTTGGACAATCTCGGCGTCGCCTTGCACAACCAGCTGGTAGACAATACATTGCAACACTACTTCAATTTTCTGCTTATCCTCGTTGGCAAAGTCGCAGAAGAAATAGGTCAACAAGAGATTGCCCGGTTGTTGTTGTTGCCGCAAGAGGTCCTTGACAACCAGCGATGCTACCCCAGACTTTCCAACTCCCGGAGGACCATGGCATCATAGAAAGCGGATTGGAGAATTTGGATCCAACCATTGGCGATATGGTTCTGACTCCAAGAACCATTTACCAGTGCCAGGACATGTGAGAGTCCGTGGCTTAGAGATGGTGTCTGGCTGAGGAAGAACGGCGAGGAGTTGGCTGCGCTCATGTGACAGCAATAATGGGTCGATCCTGGATAAGGTAGCAGTCGTCGTGGCGAGGATATTGGCGGACATGAAGCTATCAAACATACTCCGATAACGTTGGAATGTGTTGATCTGCTCTCGGAGATCCTTCTCCTTGAGTGGCCAAAATAACTTCAAGACGCCCAATGCCACTCTCCCCAGTGTCGTTTCGATCTCGGTCAACTCGTCTTGACAGTCAGATATTATATTTCGCAGCTGAGTCGTTCTAGCCTTGGCGTTATTATCCTGAAGGCTTGGGGTGTATGAGTTGAGGGCTTCTTTGAGGTGTAGCAAAACTACCACAAGGGCGTTCACTTCTTTCAAGTATTCCCTCCGAGTGGAATGCGCATTTTTAACGCTGGATAGGTAGCGGTAGCTGAGCTTGGTGACCTCGCAGGCTATCTGTAAAAGACTGGAAATGCTGGCGACTGTGCCTACGGCGTCTTCCCAAGCCATGTCTGAACTTCGGTGTGAGTGACGATAATAATCTTGGCTTGATGGTAGAACACAACTAGCTACCGAAATTTCCATATAAGGTGGGGTTTCAAGGGCTCACCCGACAAGTGAGGCAGCCCAGAAACACAGCCCAGAGACGCAGCCGCACATGTATGCAGTGAAACGGGACCGTTGAATAATATCCCCATAATTGTGGGCATGTATGACCCTTTTTACGTTTTAACCCTGATGGGCATTTGTGTGCTATGCAGTGGGACTATATCTTCTCAAAATCGTCTAGACTTAGTGGATAGACACATGATATTCCATGCTTCGTTGATTGATGTCGCTTGCTACGGCTTAGTCTGAAGTACCACGCCTAGTGGTGATGGATGTTTGAGGGGCTATACGGAATAAGTCGTCGTGTTACCCCGCAACCTGCAGTCCCGTTGGTCCAAAGCACTGCCTCCCCTGGCGCCTCCAATCTGTTCTGGTTTCTGTCGTTGCCATCGACGTTTTTATTCAATAAACATATCTACATACCGGACCAAACTTCTGAACTACGAGTGTTTGAGTAAATATCGCTGTACCGAACGTCTAACTCAGTTGGAACATCAGCTGGCACGTGTATGCCAAGCGGGGTACAAAGCGGACCACCAGAAATTATACCTATTGGCAGAGAGTCACGCGCAGAAAGGCTCACGAGAAAACGAGGCACATGTGGTAAGCCTTGCTTCTCCTTAGCACCCCCGGACAATAAATTTGGGCGGGTATATCCATTACTGCACCTAGTTGATCAAAACCCCGGCCATGCTATCCAAGTCTATATCACCGGACATGTTGCTGCCTCTTCAGCTCAGCCGCTTCCTTACCGAGAGTCTCAAGCGCCTCTTCGTAACGACCTCTTTTAACCTCAAAGGCTGCCTCCTTCTCCTCAGTAACCCGGAGTCTTTCGACCTGTCCGACTCTCCCGATGCGTTCACTAGCTGGACCCTTCTTCCAGAACCACCAGGCCTCAGAATCCGTGAACAGTGTCCAGGCCTGACCACTCTTGCCAGCACGTGCTGTACGGCCAACACGATGTACGTAAGACTCGATACTGACTGGCATATCGTAGTTGATGACGTGGTCCAGGGAGGGGAGATCAATACCGCGAGCAATGAGGTCGGACGCGACTAGAACGCGGAGTTTGCCAGCTGAAAAGGAGCGAAGTGTCTTTTTCCGTTCAGCATACGCGCCGGTCGATGTGAGGGTGCCTAAGATGGATCCGATGGAGGGCGACATTATAGAAAGGAGACGCGAGAGTCTTAGAGCCGTCTCATTTGACTTCGTAAAGATCAGAATGCTGGACTTCGCAGTCGGTTGCGGCTTCGAAATTTCTTCCAGTTCGGAATCTGATCCAGAAGACGACGTGTCGTCGGACAAATCCATCGCTAATGTATTCGTAGCAAGACCTAAGACGTGCGAGCTCTGCAGCAAGTCAAGGAGATACATGGGCTTGAGGTTCGCATCAGCTTTGATCGCGGTCTCTTGGAGCAGTTGTGGCAGCGTGTGCTCAGCAGGCCTTTCTCCCGTCTCGCCATCGTCTTCCGTTCCCTCGAGGACGACAAGTTTCGGTCGCCGGAGCTTCAGGTCAGCAAGAAGGTCTAGATCGCGCGTCATGGTGGCACTCAGAATGACCTTCCGGACTCCCGACAAGTTTGTCTGCATATGGCTGCGAGCATTCGGCTTGCTACTACGCAGTTTTGGCATCACCACGCCCAGCCATTGCTGGAAGTCCTGACCAAGCAACTTGTCGGCTTCATCAACAACCAACCAACGCACATAATCCAAGCAGAACCCAGGCGTCTTCTTGATGTGTTCGACGAGTCTTCCAGGAGTACAAATAAGTATATCCACCTTTGACTTGTAGTCAATAGTGTGATCCGGCAATGTGGATATCTCGTCTTCACGTCTGGAAATCTCGGCTCGTTCCTCGTCCTCGGTGTTGTAGCCATCCAGCTCATCCAAACTCAGCCTCTTCAAACGTGACTCATAGCCTTCTGGGTCTAAGCGTTCCTCTCTCTCGACCAAGGCGGTCTGCTCTTTTTGCAAAGTCTGACTTCCCATAGCAATGCCGACCTTTGCCCGCCTTCTTTCCCCATTGTGAGCGAAGATTCCTGCCATTTGCTCAAAAACGTCCCGGGCCTGTCTCACCAACTCCCTGGTAGGCAGTACTACTAAGGCTCGCAGTTTCGTAACATGGCGGTTCCCAAGGCTGATATCCCGTGCCACCGGGAGGGCGTAGGCAAGAGTCTTTCCTGATCCTGTTGCAGCCGCGACAAGAACATCACCTTGCATAGACTTGCAATGTTGAGGCAGGAGCAGCGGGATCACAACTGTCTGAACTGCGAATGCTTGCTTGTAGCCTTTTGTAGCTAATGCGGCTGCAATCTCTGGTGTGAGACCTAGTTCTGGGGCGAGGCCACGGAAATCTGTAAAAGGGGCAATCGATTTTGGCGATACCCTAACCGGCTCTGCTAGCCATGATGGGAGCGTCTCGTAGGTAGGCTTCGGGTCTAAAACGACCGGTGCTGGTTGTGGTAACGGTTCAAGGCCGTGCGCTTGTTCCGGTGCAACATCTACCATCATCAAGTCTCCGTCCTCACCGACTTGTACATCGAGTGTTTCCCCAGATTCAGGGGTTGTCAGCGCCTTCGCCTTTTTCTCGAATACAGACTTATGACGCCTCCGAATCTCATCGTCATCGTCCGCTTGTGTTTCTTCCTCCGGGGTTTTGATTGGTTTCTTCTTCTTCTTCTTGTCTCTTTTGACCTCGCCAGTTCCGACAGCTGCTGCCATATCTTCATCTACAGGGACGCCGCTAATGGTCGATTTTGCCTTCTTGTCCTTCTTCGACTTCTTCTCGGTCTTCTCTATCCTGGCTTCCGGTTCCACAGGTTTGACCTCGGGTTGTTGGCCATCTTGCAACAGATCACTCGGCGTATCGACTTCATCGAGGTGCTCGGAAAGTCTCGCCTTCTTCGTGGGTGGCCGATCGGCTACGATCGGATCAACTTCGCCCTCCGCATCGTCGAAGTGCAGGTGCTGCTTCGTGGGCGCACTTGGTTTTTGGGGAGGAATGTATCTGCTGTAAGAGATCGGGATTGGCAGAGCAGCCTTGGGCTGGATAGGTTCAGGAGGTGCTGGAGACGCCGCTGGCGCCTTCCCCTGAGACGGGGTGCTCTTTGGCGGGATATATCTCGAGTACATGGCGAGCTACCGGGATGGATGCCGAAATTTCTATGGCGCGATCGCAACAACCTGGTGCATTATGACCATGTGACGAATTTACAGGATTTGTAATTCAATGGCGTAAAGGGATGAGGGAAACTTATTTACTCTGGAACTTCATTGAGCCCGCAGCAAGACGCAAAGACAAGTTCGAAGTCTCTACAGTTGTGAAGAGCAAATCTTCAGTTCCTTGTCCCCCACGTTCGTTCCCCAAAACTTTTTGGAAGCTCTGACCGGTATCCACTTCTTTATCGTTATCGGGCTGCATCGTCATCCCTGCCAATACCCCTTCCGCGCTGCAGATCAATCGATTAACGCGCTACTTCCCGCATCCACCAGCGCCGAGCTCGCGATGTTCAAACTTGAAACAAAGTTCTCTGTGACCATGGTCCAACCTCGACTTTATCAAGGGTGATCGTCACTATGGACGCGTTACATACTCTTACTTATTTCACACAGCCATCTCCAACTCATTACAGTCTTGGCTGTGCCAGCTGGGGTGAATCCACCTTAGCTCCCGCGAAGAGGCTACCTGATTTTCGACTGCCGTCAAGCTTCTTGACCCTCGCGCAGTCTTCTCAATGATACTATTGTGACCTTCATACCTTTCGCTGGTTTTATTGGTTTGATATATCGGTCGAGAACAGAGAGATATTCGCAGCAATGTCTCACCGAACTTACAACATCGCTATGGTTAGCGACTTCTTCTTTCCTCAGCCAGGAGGAGTCGAGAGCCATATCTACCAGCTTGCAACAAAGCTGGTTGACCGAGGCCACAAGATCATTATTGTCACGCATGCCTATGAAGACAGGAAGGGCATTCGATACCTGACGAATGGCATCAAGGTTTATCATGTTCCCTTCGCGGTTATTTATAGATCCGCCACCTTTCCGACGGTCTTCTCTTTCTTCCCGTTGTTCCGCAATATTATGATCCGTGAGCAAATTGAGATCGTTCATGGGCATGCCAGCTTGAGCAGTCTCTGCCATGAAGCCCTCCTCCATGCGAGAACCATGGGCTTGCGCACCGTTTTTACAGACCACTCTCTCTACGGGTTCGCAGATGCCGCGAGCATCTTAACTAACAAGCTTCTCAAATTCACATTGAGCGACGTAGATCATATTATCTGCGTGAGCCATACATGGTACGTTACCTTCCCGTGCTCTCTACCCCTTGTCCACACAGCCCATGTTTGCTGACTAAAATTCATACAGCAAGGAAAATACGGTGCTCCGAGCTGCCCTGGATCCTTTAATGGTGTCCGTCATTCCGAACGCCGTGGTGTCTGAGAACTTCAGGCCCCTGAACTACCCAGCCGAGCCACCTGCCCCAGGTGCTGCGTTCAAACAGACCCCACCCGCACATCAATTGGGTTCTAACGATCCCATCACCATCGTGGTTATCAGCCGCCTGTTTTACAACAAAGGAATCGACCTGCTTACCGCCTCGATACCTCGCATTCTCGAGAACCACCCCAACACTCGTTTCGTAATCGCCGGCTCGGGCCCGAAAGCTATTGACCTGGAACAAATGATTGAACAAAACGTCCTGCAAGACAAGGTTGAAATGCTGGGCCCCGTACGGCACGACCAAGTGCGCGACATCATGGTGTGCGGACATATCTACCTACATCCCAGTCTCACGGAAGCCTTTGGCACTGTCATTGTTGAAGCAGCAAGTTGCGGTCTCTACGTCGTCTGCACTGCAGTCGGCGGTATCCCTGAAGTCCTACCTGGGCATATGACAGTCTTCGCTAATCCCGAAGAAGAAAGTATCGTCACAGCCATGGGCAAGGCCATTGCTGCGCTCCGGGCGAATAAGGTCCGTACGGAGAGATTCCATGATCAGGTCAAGGCAATGTATTCGTGGGACAACATTGCCAAGCGCACTGAGCGTGTGTACAGGGGCATCACTGGTGATATCAGCGAGTCGGAGTTCTACGGGTACGACGAACGCAATGCGGCGGAGTGGAGCGCCACTAGGGGCCGCTCAGGCGTCCGAAGCTTTGCTCTGATCGACCGGTTGAAGCGGTACTATGGATGTGGTGTTTGGGCAGGCAAGCTGTTCTGCCTGTGTGTGGTCATCGACTACTTGATATTCTTGTTTTGCGAGTGGTGGTGGCCGAGGGACCGGATCGACATTGCTGCGGATTGGCCAAGGAAGCAGCTTCAGAGTGACGATGAAGATGAGAAGGCATAATCATAGGACTCTGGAGTCATGATTTGGAAACGGGAAGATACCATGTGCGAATAGCAAAAAGCTTTGGAGGGAACTCGATAGGGCTGGAAGGTATCCGGAATACATGGATGTGGATACAGGACATCGTGACTAAATACCCAGTGGACTAAACGGTCTAAAGACGATGGAGTGCAACCATAGGTTCCTTTCAACTCGAGGATGCGATCAATGCAGATTCCATACTATCGACTTTAATGTGCAGTTTAATGGTCTTCTTGGTCGGCTGTTTAATGTGTTGCTTTGGTATGTAAGTTCGTTGGCTGGTGTGTATGATGTGATGCCAGGGATATGCTGTACAACAGATAGTGAGGTAACGTAAGGTATTCACCACAACGACAGGATTGGCGACTTATTCCTTTCCATCTTCTCCTTCTGATTTAATGTGAGATACAAGAACTTTGCATTCCCAAGAAAGCGTTTTAATCGTAGTGTTTGAAGCTCTGTTGCCACTAGACATCGAATGATACTCATCTACTCTCTTTGCCGTATCATCAGGCATGTAACGGGAAGCTTTTTTTATTTTTAAGATAGCTGCCTGGTGTATACTTACGATTCGAGAACGAAGAAGTTTTCCTATAATTGGGAAAAACTTACGCATGGCGCGGGGGAACTGGCATTCGTTTAGTGAAGCTTTCCGCAGCTACTCCGACCAGCGGGGTACACCGTAGAGAAGGAGACTCGGAGCTCGGCATTGATGGGTGAAAAAAAAGAGGCTCTGGCGGCTCTCCTCGACTACTGGCGAAAGAGTGGTTCTCCGGAGCAGCGGAGTATGACCGCCAGCGCCGCACTATCGCTGAGGAACCGGAGGGCCCTTCGATACGGATGCCAAAAGGGGGCAAGAATTTGGGCCTGCATCGACTGAAAGGGAATTCAGCGTGTACTCGCCGCTATGCGGCTGTGGCGACGCCCCTGAAACGGCAGAGCATGTGATCCTCTTTTGCGAACTGTTGCACGAACCAAGAGAACGCCTGCGGGCCGCTATCACACCGCGACCGCTACACACTCTCTCAGAGATCTCCCGATAGAAACAAGTAAGCCGGTGACCAGTGGGACTATCGTAAGGTGGCTGCTAGGGACGGGACGGAACAGACAGCTTCAGGGCCCAGATAACTCGATTTTCTCAGGGAGACTCTGTTAGTAGGTTGAGCACCAACCTAGTATGGTAGTGAACGCACCGCAGTCGCTAATAAAGCGAACCGATCACGTAGCATATCTTTAGTCCAGCCACTAGGGCACGGTTTGACATACGCGAGTACTAGAAGAGGTACCGGGGGCTTCGAGCCTACGGCGTAACTAATAATAATAATAATAGTAAAGCTGATACAACAGCTGCACTTTGATTTGGCTGTCGCATGTAATCATGCCCCGTGAAGTGGTAGTCTTGTCATCTCTAAATACCAAACTGGAGCCCCTGGGTGGTTATTTGCATATGAACTTGCTGTCTTTGCACAGAGAAGCCTTGGATATCGCCTTCCTGAGGTATAGGCGTTGCTGAGTTGATAAACATGGTTCATTGCCTTGTTCTCTGTTTCCGCAGCTGGTCTCAACAAATTTGACTCGAGATTTTGCTACCGTGAGCTGCGTGTTTCATCGCATTCTTTGGGTCGCCGTCGCAAAGACTGAAAGAATGGAGTTTGTTTGGTTGAAACTACTTTTTCATCAGCTTATGATTTCTACATTCATGACTGTTTGAGACAAAGAAGCATGTTTCGGTAATTTTTGCCTCGAGATGAGCAGTATATATACCCGTCCCGCCATCTCGGCCCTGGCTACTATGGCCTTCAGTCACCCTTGAACAAACTCGAAAGTGCAAACATTAACTCCTCACCCTTACGATCGACTTTTGACATTAAGCATAAAATGGAGAGTGACAGGACAAATTTCGACTCCAATGTCCCCTATGCAAGGATACAGATACCCCCTGGATCCGGCATTCAAGCGGTCAAGGAGACGTCCTGGAAGCTCAGCTTGAAGGATCATCCTACAAGAATCCCGATGATACTATACCAAGGCTCATGTTCCCTAACATCCGAGAGGTTTACGAGCAGCTCAAGGTGTAGCTCGAGTTCCAGGACGACATGCCCAAAAGGCTTATGCCACTGTGGGTTATCTGCACTTGACAGTATGCTTAATGCTCTCAACGTGGTTGACTAGATGGATACTATGTTGGACAAGGCTAGGAGAGCAATAGTCATAACCCGAACTAGCAGGCTAAACGCAGGTTTCAGGTGCAGATAAGCCACAGTGACTTATAGGTCTTATATAGTCAGTGGGATCCAATGGCTTGCCGGGCCCTGGCCTATGCGAAGGTCGACACTGTATAAATAGTCTGCTGTGAATCCCCCTCTCTTGAGAAGAGGCAGTGATTAACTTGTCATTATTGAGTCCCCTACACTACACTGCTGGCACCTATAAAGGCACTTCCTTGTAACGTCTTCTCATTTCCAAGTTGGCCAGTGCGACAAGTTTTTCACCAAGCTGAACGGGCTTGTCTAGGTCTGCAACATGATTGTAGAGGATCTTGAGAATCGCTCGGGACCGATATCTGCTCTGCACAGGGAGTTCCGTACATTCCATCTTGGTTCTGGTGGAAAGTCCCAATTAGTAGGTAGATATTTATGTACAGCGCTTCATCATCTATGTAAGTAGGAAACTTGAGTTTAAGCTGCACTATTAGCAAACCACGAATTGACATTGACACACCGGAATTACTATTGTAGTCTTGTAATAACTGTTGGACCAAATTGACCGTCAAAAGACGAGGGACCCACTCGTTGTAGAATGAGGTATTTTTGGTAGTTATAAGGTCTGACAATAACATATCAAAGATCTCGTCCATATATCCACCATATGAGGCTCGCCACCAGTGACGGAACCAATGGATCAGCTCGAAACCATCTTGAAGTAATTAATAACAATCCAGATCTACCACAATACTTACATTAACTGTTAGACTCCGCACACCAAGCCCTTGGCAAAAGCTAACCCCCTGTGAAGGGTTGACTTCGTGCTTTCTATATTTAAGACCCTTATAACCGAATTCGCGGCATCGATAAATGTGGAAGGCCGGAGAGACCACTTTAGTTTAATGCAACATTATTTGCCCCAACAAGCCCGATAGTAACTCACAACCAGTCAAAACTGTGTACGGCGAATCATTTGAAAAATGGAGTGACAACTGGTACGGACATCGCCGACTGTTCTGATCGGGGTATTATTGCCGTTCTCAAGATTGAGCAAGTTGTTGTTGGTGCACATCTCTAATCCCTGTATCTCTCCACCCTCGAGGTCGAAGCAGACATATATAAAATGGTCAGCTGCCTTTTAACACATCACTTCAAGCAAACCAACAAACACGCTTGTACCTAGGCCAATTCACAAATCGACGTTTATTATCAAGCAAATCGAGTAATTCTATAACCAGAAATCATCTCAAAATGAAAGGCGACTGCGGATGCTCAGGCACGTCGAGCTGTAAGTCCACTCTTCCATGATCTGACATTACCCCTCAAAACCACCGTATCTAATGCTGACACACCCGTCCATACATAGGTAACTGCGGCTCTAACTGCTCGTGTTCCTCTTGTGGCAAATAAACCAACCTCTTTTCGAAGACCTCTTGCTAGTTTCTTCCCGTACACGAGTCCTCGGTTACGAACAATACGGTCACTACGATGGTTTTTCATTGATGCGGTGGATCAAGGCTGATGGTTTTCATGACGTACACAAGGATAAAGGTAGAATAACAAGGACGCAGATCGAGATAGTTGACTGTAACGGTTAAGTTTATTAAAATCTATCTATTCGACACTACACCGGGTGTTGTAATTCATAAGCACATTCTGAACATCATGTGTTCAAGCCATGCAGTATAAACTCCCTCGAACCTCATGTACATGTATGCTACTTTGTTCTTCGTTTGCATGCATTTTCATCGTCTTAACCGATTGCAATCGGTGTTAGTCGTCTGCCATCCACTAACCCTGGCACGTACCAGAGACCCCAGTCTCAAGGCACGGCTTCCGCTGGTGAATTTGTCATGGGCGTCTAAATACCTACTTCAACGGTCCGGAACTTCCATTGCCACACCAACAAAGGAAGTAGGCGCAGAAGTCCCTGCAAAGTCGGAGTTCACGTTGACTTGGTAACAAACGCTCTGCAACTTCTCTAGTCTGACCACAATCAGGGTCAGTATAATGGTGTAAAACATTGAAGCTTCCAGAAGCGAATTGGATCGATAGATATTTGCCAAGGGAAAGAAATTCGTGGGAGCAATGCTGCTGCGAACGCTGATATACCTGACTTGATCGTGGTCTTTCGTTGCTTCCATCGGAGTGTTTCTTAGGATCGGACCAACCTCACCATCCTCATCATCCTCCCTTGGTTGGCCGGTGATCAAATTAGTAAGCAAAACGGTGGTGATGTTGACCAACCAGAGATCCTGGTGAGTTTAGGTGAGGTTGGGGACTTTTTGGTTGGATTTACTGCCAAGAGATGAAGCTATCGCTAGCCTCGCCGGTGCGGTCCCCCGGGAACACGCTGGCGGAGTTGGATATGGCCTCCTCTTTAGCCTCGTCCCGTTCATCCAGCGAGTTATTCTTATAGGTCACTTAGCCGTTAGAGCCCTAAGCAGAATATTATCTAGCCGCTGTGAAGTGACCATTCTACTGGTAGATGAAAATAATCGCCCACATTCATATACTTCTGAATATCATGGCTATAGGCCCGCGCCTACGATGAGACGGCCTTAATGAAGCCACGTAAACACTGGAAAAGGTGTTCTTGAGCCTCTGGGAGTGTCGGAGTGGCCTTACCCAAGGCCTGGCGAGATGGTGATGCTACCAAAGTCGGCCTTATAGGGGAAATCAGACTCTCTATAGCATGAGGGTAGCGGCTTAAGCGTTAGAAGAATACCAAGATAACAGCCGAGTTTCAAAGTGCCAGATATTTTGCAGAGATTTTCAAGCTAACAAGTCTTATAGGGGTCCTACAGGGCTGGTAAAGGACCTCCAAAACCTTCAAATTACCCAAAAACAGGCTTTCAGGGACCCCAAGCACGGTAAAAATAGCTATTTGAGCCTTAGCAACCATAAGCTAACCAGTTTGCCTAACTATAGTCTGCGGTGAGGTGAGTATTGGCAACTTAAGTCCGGAGAATGGTGAGGGTATTGGTGGTAATCCACACTAACACGTTGTTCCAACCCTTGAGTATTTCTCTGTGAAAATTGAGTGTTCCACTCCTTTTTGGCCATCGTCGTCACTGCTGTATCGAAATGTTTTCAGATGCTGGCTGACATAGCGAAGTGTGTGAGTTGGAAGATCGACCAAGCTTGGATCGCTATCATTCTCCTCTTCTGCCACTGTGCCGTCCTCAGTCGCATATTCCTGTGCTGATTTATGGATATGAATATCCCATAACTTCTTAATCTTTCGTAGTTCCCCATCCTGGTGATCATCCCGCATGTACTGTCGACTTAACGTCAACACTCTTCAGGCAAAAGCGAAATCAAGCTAATAAGCTTGCCGATACCAGTCCAGTCCCATCCCATCCTAGAATGACTATTTTATTAGAGCCAGTGAAACCTTTTTATCCTAGTTGTTCATCTAGCACTTATCTCCCATGAGAGCACATCCATGCGTGGATCTCGACGTGTTGCTTACTCCCGTGCTAGATGAACGTGCAGTAAACGGTTCTGACTTCACCGGGGACGGGATTTCTCCGGTTACCATCATCCGGTCGAATACGATATTGGTGATCTGGATCTGTTTGGATTCTTTTTGCTAATTTGTTTGGTATGGGTCATATTCTTGGGGTGTGCCATTTGCGTCATACACTGTGCCATAAGGCATCTATCGACCTGGATTTACATGAGGCACATATGGTTGGCCCGTCAGGAGTGCAGTCGGTGCAAATAAGAGACAACGTGCTACATAAAACTCGAGATAGACGACGAGGCGGAAATTGGGCATGACTAGCCTGCACGTATTCACAAGATGTTTCATGGATAAGGGGAATTCGGCACCCATTGCAATAAAAGGAGTTTAGCACTATCATAGACGATCATAAGTCACGTACACATTTAGGTGTCGCATAAGCCTGAAATCAAACCGAACTCAAAGCAAAACCACGATCTTCTTCGCAGAAACCCCTTGCTTGAGGACATTCATCGCCTCCTGCAACGCCTCAAGCCCCTTCCCAACAACCTCCGGCTCCGGCGCAGGCCGAAACTTCCCCGCTGTAAGCGCCTGCGGTAGATACTCGCCGAATACGGCGTCTTTAAGCTCCTGGTCCTCCTCCGAGTCTCCAAATGGGCGGATAAACTTAGCTGCCACCATTGGATGTGGAACTTCGGGCGGAGGCTGCGCTGTAGCTACGAACTTGGTTCCTTCAGCTTTCGAGATGATCTCGTAACACGCATCCGCTGCGGCAGCAGCTGCTGTAAGGTCCGCACTGGTGATTGCCATCGCGCCGGCGCACGTTTTACCCTTGAGGGCGGCGAGGATGTCGTCTCGGACCGTGGGGCTGTTGTAGTCAAATACCTGGCTTGCGCCTAGTTTCTTGACGTACTCGAAGTTCTTGGGCGAGGCGGTGGTTATCACCTCGTACCCGGCGGAAACGGCGACTTGGATGGCATTGCTGCCAACACTGGTTGAGCCGCCCCAGATAAGGAGCGGCTTACTCGTGGGCTTTGGGTTGATACTTGGGTAATGCAGAGCAAGGTATTCTTTCCCGAAGAGGCCCATTGATGCAGTGCTAAGGCCGAGGGGGATGACGGCAGCTTGCTCGTTGGTAACGGAGTCTGGGATTGTGGAAGCCATCTGAGCTGGGACGGCGGAGTACGACTGGAATGCCCCCGAGGCGAGGCCAACGACACGATCACCCGCTTTGAAGTTGGCGACATTAGAGCCAATCTTGACTACCTCCCCAGAGACATCCAAACCGAGGATGTGAGGGTACTGCAGCCATGGAAATAACGTATCGCCCATCATTTGCAATGCATAGTCGACAGGGTTAATGGCGATGGCCCGAGTTTGCACAATTACTTCATTCTCTTTGGGGGTAGGATAGGGGGCTGGTTTGATCTCGAGAGCCTTGCCTTTTTCGGTCAAGTAGGCGGCGTTGTTGGTAGACATGGCGATCTGAGTTGGCCTAGGTTAGTTCGACAATCAAGATCTTTAGTCGAATATCGGAATTGGACCTTCCCCTGAAATAATATTGATTAATTGCACTAGAGATACGTTGATGAGGCACAAGATAAATCGTTTAGTTCTTTTCGCAAGAGACTACAATGGCACAGTTATAGAGCCGCCAAGAAATTCTGATGTAGAAGTCTACTCGGGTAATACGGGGCTAACTACGGGGTAATACGGGGTTAACTACGGATATGGCGCCCGTCGTAGTATTCCAATTGGACAAGCTTCACGGAGTTAGCTGCATAGCACGGGGCTATAATGCTAATCACCGAAGCGATCACGAGCAAGCCTCATTTTGTGCTGAACAGAGGCCTTGATGATGGATATTTCCGAACTACTGTAACATTGAGACATCACTTTGCAAAGACATCAAGGGGTACCAGCAGGGATGGATGTAATCATATCCAATAACAGAGGACTAGTGGCACACAGTCCACTGGCGGAGCCCTAGTTACTCCGTAACAATGTACACTAGTTAGATAGGTAACATTCTACCGTTACACCTGACGGAGGTTAACTTAGCTCAATCAACATCACAATCCTCCATGATCCAATTGGAACTGCATATGATAATTACATATTACAGCCAACCGGGAGTTTCAAACAAAGAGCAACAAGAGTCGCCTGACCGCCAGTTGTGAACATCATTTCCCCGACGATAATTCCCAACTTCATACAGGTGCAGCATCTGGTTCGAACACAATATTAGCAAATTGCATCAACCAGAATTATCGATGTTATTGCATGGACTTACAATGTAAAAGGCTGGAATTGTTGTCCCAGAATACCATCTCAATACCAGTTAATTGGGACAGGAAGGCATTTTGGGTGTCAAGGCGGAGATGATCAAGGCTGCGGCGCGCTCACGGGCTCCTACCTCGGCAACTGGTGTGCGAAATGGCAGAGGAGGACGCACATCAATATCGTCGGGATGGGTGTGAGGGTTCAAATATCGCTGCATGTTGTAGTTGCGATCTTGTGGGACTTGGATTGTGGGTCGTTCCCGAGCGGGCGCTGCCGCAACGTCATTGGGGCTAGTTATCGCAAGGAATTGTTAAATGGGGTTTATAATTAGATCCGCAAGTCTCCGGCGCAATAAGTGAGTATGGAGCCAATTGCAACGCTATGGGTCGGGCAATCCATTCTCTACACTACTTAGTTATGGAAGTAATTCGTACTTGAGGTTGCAAACGGCTTTAGCCGACTCATAGTCAAGAACATTGGTACTAGACATGATATGTGCACCAGCCCGGGTTGTTTAGGGCGCTTTTGAAGTTTCCGGCAGGGTGGTTTATCGTTGCATTCGCTTATGCAGCTTGGGGTAACGAGCATTGGAAGGTGAGCGCAACTGAATGGGGTAACGTGTGGAGGGTAGTCAGTAGCAACAAGAATAACAGCAGGATGGGTTGTGTGTAATGGACTGGTTTCGAAGAGAAGCGATTTCTGCAAATTGGAAAAATAGGAGCGCGTGGAGTCGTTTAAGTAAACGTACTTGGGATGGCGGCTGGTTTGTTTGTCTTAAGAGAGTGTATGATGGATGTTGAGTTAGCGTGATTGCCTATAAGCCTTACGACGCTGGGGAACGCAAGTCTTCAATTCGGTTGACGCCGCAGAGCCTCTTCAAGTTCAACGAGGATGCTTTACAATTATGCCGGAGGCAGCACATGACATTGAAATCAGCCATTCCTCCGAAATAGGCTTGTTGAATTTCGGCATGTTCTGATATGACCGAAAACGTAGACCCTCCTAGGACCCTGGAAGCGTGGCGAGCGCAGGGTAAATTATCCGTTGGAATTGCGCCTCCCCCACGTTACGCCAGTCAAGCCAAATATCTACGATCTTTTCGTATTCTCACGGATAGGAATCTGAAGATGTCGACCACGTCCAAATGTGATTCTGTGACTGGTATTATGAGCCTTCCAGCTTCCGCCCGGCGAACCAGCGGTGTCATGACCTCCCAAATGGTCTCATATCTGCGAAATCAGACCATATAGACCATCTGGGTCTTACTAAAAAGGACATAGATCTGCATCCCATGGTGGTCTTCTGAGATGAAAGTTGGAGAAGTGTCCCAAGACGTGGCGAAAACTCACAAACATCCTGCGGTTCTCTGCGATCCACTTCAAGGCAACCAGCCTTCACCGAAGACACGATACTTCTTGTCCTATAGAGGCTATACTGGCATCGTATTTAAGCCAGCTGAGCGACGTATGTTCAGAACTGGGTTGACGTAATTACAGCATTCGTCGAAGAAAAGTGTCTGGCGACCGGAGTCTAGAACCTCGAGCTAATTGTACGATTGGGTAACAATCGCAAAGAGTCGGATGTCGGGGTTACAACCAGTAATAGGTTCGTTCTAGAACTTCGCAAAAGGAACTGCATCATCTTATTGGAAAAACTCATCTAGCTCAAGCTACGTCATCTTGCGAATGGAGGTTCGCATTCTGTTGTCAATTGACAGACACAGCCCCGATTTCGCTGGACCCTGGGAGGCTGATGGAGTGGCACATTTCACAGAACCCTTCATCCTGGGAACAGACTCTAGAACTATCCATCCAATTACCACCACACCAAATCCAACTGACCATCCACTTCAGTCTCCCGACCATCCGGTTTCGGCGACCTCAGCGAATTCCGACCTAGGCCCCGAGACAAGAATGCGTTGAACCAACCAATTTCCGTACTCATTCAAATAAATTCTATGACTTTCATTCCTCTGGTTGTTTCTCTGTAGTTCGAGGCCCACGGTACAAAGTACGAAACACATCATCTGGTGCGGTGCAAATCCTAGCCCCCCGGTCCGAAGAAGCCAAGGAACACTTTGCAGATCAAATGGTCTAGACCCGGATCCTGGATAGCTTCGACAGCGGTAACGAGTCTCAGTCACCGTGGTAGTTGGTATCTAGGCGCCTGACGTATTTCGCGTTGACGTCAGATTGAGACATGCGAACACAAAATTGGTGGTCTCAATGAACTATGGAAGGCTCAGTAGCGGTCTGGAATTCTTCACTTTACGTCAATGATGGCCAACACTACAACTGGGTGTATTCTATAGCCTCGCTTGCAACAAGACTATATGAAGTTGAGCATAATTACAATATATTAACTCATTCCTCGAATGACCGTTTCCGGGTATCTCCACCGCTGTATTAAGCCTCAAAAGGTCCTTGTCGTGGACTAAGGTTTGATTGCAGATGTTATTTCAGAAATCTTGGTGATAATTGAAACTTTTCGACTCGTCTATCAAAGATTCGGTTCCGTGAATGTCGAGTCGATAAGAATTTGACGCAATCCGGCATCCATCACGCCCAAAGACTGGATTCAACAAGTGGAAACCCAAATTACAATCAAGTAATTATGTCTGAAATAGCTCCGTTCTCGATCAGCATTAGTCATTAGCTTTTTTTGAGTGTATCAAGGACCTCCTGGTTGTCTGTATCCAGCTTGACTCTAAACCATGACCCTCAGAAGACAACCAAGTCTAAGTTTCTAGGTTACTCAAGTTTGGATTATCCGCGGAATCAGCGCCCTACGAACCGAAGCGCATGTCCCTCTTTTCATTAATATCTGGTCGTCCCGTATAGTACGGCGTGGGCGCCACATTCGTATGCGTCGCATTCACCGGCCCCTCGCTCTCATACGTAGCTGTGACCTTTTCAGTCCCATCGGAAACCACTAAATCAGCCAGAATCCGTCTGAACAGCTCAAGCGATGCCTTAGGCTGGTAGTAGGGTACCTCGTGGCCGGAATCGTAAATCCGCGTGAAGCTAAAGTTCCCATATTGCCTTGACTCCCCGTACTCCGTCCCGTCTACCACGAACGGCTCATACCCAGCTGCTCGGAACTCTTTGGCATGAGTGTAGTTGACTTGTAGTGAGACGGCTTCGCCACCGAACCAGTTGCAGATGTAGTCCTGCATGCTCGTCAGCTGCACGCTTCTAAGATTCTCTGGACAGGAAATATAAAACTTACCGCATCACCGTATATCAAATGTATACTGACACCCTCATCCAAAATGACCTCGAGATCCTCTAGCATGTCGGGATAAACAAAGTCGCCAGTGGTCGTGAATCCGTCGAAGATCGAGTTGCCGCCGCTGCTCGAGTAGTTCAGGTTGACCCCGATTGCGTTTTGGGTCGCAGGAAGGTTCAGGTAGTCCTGCCAATAACCAGGGGGTATCTCGGCCCCATACTCCGCTCGGATGTCATACGGACTCCGACCACTGACGTGGTAGTAGGGCCCTTCGACTAGACCGCGGCAAATGGCGGTTGCTGATGAGCAGGCCGTCGTGCCTTCTTTGGTAGAGCGGTCTGACTCTGCGCACTCGTCGATCATATCGCTGCAACCTTCTAATTTTGGAATTAGCTGAGTCTTGTAAAATGTCTTAGAGTATTGAGAGACTTACCTGGGAAGTAGTAGTTCATCTTCATGTAGTTGTAGATAGTCTCGTTAACTGCTTCTATCCCGTACGTGTTTCGGTAGGCAAATTCTGGGTAGTAAGGGGCTTGTATCTTCTCCGAGATAATACCATTGATGATGCCGAGCGTGTGCATGTTCAGCTCACAACCCTTGGCGCTGCCGTTCTGGATAGCTTCGTTCTGCTCAAAGAAATACCTATAGAAGGCTGGGCCATAATGTCCACCGTAACTTTCGGTCCATAGGTTGAACGTTCTTGCTGTCACGGTCTCGTCGAGGGTATCAAGGCTTTCAATGAAGCCCTGGAGCACCTCCCAAGCTCCAATCGCCGACAGCTCAGTTGTGTCGAACCTATCCGGGTCCACCACGCTATAGCGGCCATCTGGGTTCGATGAGTTGACGGGCAATCCGGTAGTTTCGTCTAGGATGCCGACTACTTCATCGGCGTAGGAGAATCCAACACCAATCGGCTGAGACAGGAAGAGCAGGTTGGTTACTTCGTTCCATGCATAAGGGTTGACCTTGGAGGTGAGATTTTTCAAAATTTGACAAGGGCCCAGTTCTGTTGGCGAGATCAGCAAAGGCTCGTCTCAGCGGGTTGGTTCGAACCTCACCCTCAAACAAGCCAATCAACGAGTCTGAGCCTGGACCGCCATTAAGCCACAAGGTCTATCCCAGAAGCCGTATTAGTGATTGCTTGCAGTTGAGACTAGTCTCACTTTACATACCAAGGGTGCCTCGTTCGGATTGTTTCTCGCTTCAAAGAACCAGAAGAACATATGCGTTTCATCGTCGAGATCCACGTACCCCGAGTATGAGTCCACGCTCGAAGTGGTCTCACAGACGCCTTCTTTGCCCGGCTGGCTGTAGCGAATTGTGGCGCCGCTTGGAGTTGTGATAGTTTTCACACCCTGAGGTTCAGACGGGACTTGCCTCTTGACTTCTGGTACTTTTTCATGGTTTCTCGGCAGAGATCCAGCTGAAGAGAGCGTGATTTTTGCGAAGAGTAGCAAGAGGACACCCCAAGTGGCATTGAGAAGTGGACGGACCATGGTAGTAGTTGTACTACGAAGTGTAACCCTTAGTGTAGGGTAACGAACAGAGGTGACAACTGGACGGAATGGCGTACAAATTTTTGCTTCTCATACCGGCACGCATTAAATAAGTATGAGCATTGTCTTGTATCGCAGCATCATTCCTGTGTTCCCCAAATCCTTTTAGGAAGGTCCTAATGATACGAAGCGGACAGCCCCGCGTCCTCCCGATGGTGACATCGAGCAATCCGGCTTTTAGTTTGCTGTCAATCATATAGTTCCACAGTATTGGTCCACGACATGGGAATGTTCAATCTTGCATATGCAGTCAGCCCTAGCTCCAGTCGAACCCCGCCCCTGACAAGCTGTGGACAAAAGAAACGAGTCAGTACCTTTTGTAAAATATCTCGCTAATGAACAGATATAGAATAATAGAAAAACGGCAGTTGTTCTTCTAGTAGTAATTAACTATTAACTCAAGTCTCATACGTTTTATTACATCTCTCACAAAGTTCTCTTATAAAAGGCCTTCTAGACTTCAATTTCAGGTAGGGTCCGGATGCAGGTGGTAAAGGCCCGTGAGCCGTTTTTTGTCCATAGCTTGCCTGGGCACTAGACTGGTGTATCGTCAAAGTTCAACGGCCTGGATTCATGACTTGAAAGCTAGCCTCCGTGTAATGGAATGTTCTTCAGCTAAATGAGAATTCGCCCCTGCAACAAGTTAGGTAACGGGATGCGAGCGTTAGCTATTAGTCGCACCAAATAGCTGCCTAAGTTAACTCGCTGTCAGAGAAGCTGTATACCCGTGCAGCTGAAAAGAACGAAAGACGAGCTCAACATCGTGAGTTGCAAATGTTGAGCTCCTACAGCGGAACTTTGCCATAAAACCTGCGCTATACGACTTACATAGGGATTTTTGATATTGTTCAGACCCAGGTTTAGTGTCATAAACTTGGACACACATATATGGCTGAACACTGTATATCCGATCATCTCGGTTCTCTTGGATATTCTTCAATCAAGCTCTCACATGACTATTCTCCGCAGACACGGCCGTCTCGAAAAATATCATGTCATGTATCTTCGCCCCTACGACGATGGGGCAGTGGTTGAGTGGTCAGTTGACGAATAACGGCGCCAGCAACAGCTGGGCATATTAGTAGGACAGAGACCTGAAGGCCTGTTTGTCAGTTATACTCATAGTATTCGGGTTTGGCCGAAAATGATATTTCCGAACATCGCATGAATATGCTCTCTGTTCGCTATCACATAAAAGCCCTATAGCACTTACAAACTTGCGGCATTTCCAACCTGACTCGTACGTTATTGGCGAATTGTGGTATGTGCACTTATTGTTTTATACTATGTACAGATTTATTGTGGAGTTACTAACAGTGTGGTGCAGATTACTAGTATTCGGAAGTACCGTCGAAATGACGTATAGCTGAAAAAGGAAAGATACATGTCCTTGACCCCAAACCGCCTTTTTTAGGCTTGACGAGTTCGTGAACGGACAAACTTGGTGCTGATCATGATATATGTAGGACTGTTTTGCCTTAATAATCATTATAAACTTATCTTTGATTACAGAATGTAGGTCGACCAGGACTGGCCGAGGCCCAAATAGGGGTCTGATATCGAATATACATACTCCCAGTAGAATATTCCACCAAATATGTATCCATTTCAACCTACAAAGATCTCCTAGCTGGTGACGGTCCATAGCAAAATTATGATAGTGGATTGGTAGATATGGATATCCTGTGGAGTTAAACCGGTGCTTGCTTTGGGTACGGCTTTAAATCTTGTGACTAATGATATCAGTAAGCACGATGAATAGGACGAGCATAATACCGACAAAGAGGGTGACGACGAAGATGAAAATAAATACAGCAGGAGGTACGAGATGTCCATCCGTGCCAGATTGTAGGATGTAGGAGGTATTGCGTCGGGTACCAAGCTAGGCGTTTCGATGGTAGACGCACCATTGCTGTTCATAGGGATGAGATTGATACTAATGGAGATGAACAGAGTGGAGATAGAGATGTTAATCTTGACGAGTATGCTGACAGATGGTTGCCGGACGAAGGATGGCAGAGTTAAAATCGATAGAGTATGGCCAGATGAAAGGTCGGTTGACAGATCAAACATGTAATAGCGATGCATTTTTGTCAAAGGTGTGAATTTAATGCTCGTTGCTGAATCTGGATGTGATTCAATCTCGATCCAAAAGGTGAGAAGGGAAGAAGCTGGAAAATTCCGAGGATGGGACGGTAGCTTCAGTAGAAACAGTGCCAGCGAGGCTGATTGCAATTCACATTGTTCTCAATCAGGACAAAATGGCACCCACGAAGGATTACATTGAAGCGGAACGTTGAGTTATATGATGTCGTAATTTGTTCCAACTCTGATTGACTAGCTGACGTATTGATAGTGAATGTGAATGTAGATATACAGTGTCTGATCGTACCGTGGTACAAAGTCTCGATATTTCCAAATTGGAAGCACCAACTCGATCAAACAATTCAAGGTTGCTCGAGTCTGAAATTTCGAATGGGCAAAATTGGCTTCGAGTGGTTTACCGATGTATAGTTAGTCGATTTCATAGCTGATTTAACGAGTCCTGCTGTAGTCGCCCGGCCACATAGTACGTCGAATAGTGATCCGATTATGTCAATTTAGTACGCATTGCAAAGTGATGGGGAGCTGGGGCCGCTTCTTATCAACTAGCAGATAATATTTAACTTGTGCTATTAAGGCTCCGCTATGAAAAAAGGGTCTAATTTTAACTCTCGTACTTCGTAGACTCCAATAGCCATTGCCAATCAAGAAGCGTACCGGGCGGGAGAGGACATAACGGTCCTTCCTCCCTTCGGCCAATCGTGTCATCAAATATGTCCAGTGGCAACGGTTACAGGGATGAGAGCGTTTTAAGGCGTGTGATACTCGGCTCTCAACAAGTCCAAATGTTGCCACTCGGGGTTATCACCATCGAGCACTGTGATCGTCACCGCAGCCCGAAAAGCGTCGCCGACTCATTGAGGCCAAGCAGCTTCGTTGGAACTTTTGGGATGATGCAGCATAAATTCAACTAGCAGCATCAGCATCAGATAACAGACCGGTCAGCTGATTTGGAATCAGGAAACTCAGGTGCTTGCCCATGATTGCTGAGCGAGGATTGCGAACTTGCTTGGGGCATCATGGGCGAACACGGACGGTCAAGAAAGCACAATAACAACCATACACCACTAGTCGCGAGGATTTGACTGGTAATAACCAGCAGGATAATTGTTGGTTGCTCTCAGGGATTGCGTCGGTCTTGGCCCCACGGTATAGAGTTTCGTCCTATCCCTACGGCCCGGGAAGGGTCAGTCATTTCATCCAGACGAGATTTTGATTCGGTTGAAGCAGCCAGATTTAAATGGTTCGTCTGAAGTGACTTAGTAAGTGGACTTGCGGGGGTTGAAACTGTATCTACATACACAGAGCGCACATCTCATGTCAGTTAGACGGGGGGTTTCATGTAGTGCTACTAACGGCGAATGAGTTTCAGGTCACTAGGTGCACGAGAAGTGATCACTGCGCCGGGTCTTGAAAGATGATATGATCTCTTTGGACGATGCAGAAGTTGATGAAGCTGCCTTCGGCCATCATTAATGACCGAGTAGCCACCACGACCGGCGCCGCTGAGATCTTTGGATGGATTGTGATGAATAAGTGCCCGAAATGATACACCTAATGACGTTACGGTCGGTAGATTTACATGCTCGTTCAAGTATATATACGGTGCTCTAGATCGTGAATATCCAAGTTCATCATCGACACCATTCACTTAACACTCATACACACACACAAGTCCCTTTCTCTTACAACTGACTCACACAAAATCCCCAACAAGATGCATTCCTGGACCATCCTCATGACAGCCCTAGCCGCTGCCTCAACCAGAATGGCCTATGCAGCGCCTCAGGTTGCTCCTGGCGGCGGGTGAGTCCCAATCCCGCATATCCTTAAAACAAAAGTCTAACAACACAACAGTGGCGTTCCCTTCCCAGGAACGGGAACGGGCGGTGGGCAGGGTGTCGTTCCGGGACAAACAATCCCAGGGACGGGTACTGGAGGCAACCAGTGCTTCGGTAAGTCGAATATATGAGTTTCTTGGATCATTGTTGACGCGTGAATTGACAGGTCCGGGTATCATTGGTGGCGGACAGGGTGTGGGCCCGGGTCAGGGTGTTGGGGGTGGGCAGGGAGTAGGCACAGGTGTTGGTACTGGCACTGGTGGTCAGGGAGGTGTCAACCAAGGTGGAGGTAAATACCCCACCTTCATTTGATCATAGCTGCTTCTGGAGCTACGATGAGCTTGTCGAAGCTTTGGGGATTGCTGATCCTGGAACGATGAAATAATCCCTTTGGAACGTTGCTGACTTCGATCATAGCGGGACGAGGCGGTGACACCGGTGTCGGTACCGGAACTGGCACTGGTACGGGCACTGGTACGGGCACTGGTACGGGCACGGGTACGGGTACTGAGACTAGGACTGAGGCTGAGGCTGAGGCTGAAGTGCTGTGAGGGTATTTTCAAGTTGCTGTGTCAAAGAGTGTCACGTCGTGTTTCAAATGTGGCCACTTGCTTCTGCTTCTTTTCTTCTGGATGACAAGATTTATGAATTTCGACTTTCAAAAGAATGAAAATTTCCATTATAAATTCCGTTTCTCATCAAACGTGCATCTAAAGTACAACTTCATCAACCTGCAAGTTTGTCTCAAGAATCCCGCGTCTATATATCTTCACCAATATCATCATTAGAACTGTGGGGTGGGTGCTTGTCTTGTTACAAGTTTTGGCGGGTATCTAGTAGCTGTAGCCTGAACATGCATCGACTATTAACTACTGTAACCTCATAAAAGTGGACGATATATAAATTGCAGACGGGAGGAGATAGGCAATTGGGACTAAGGTTGAAGAATGTTGATTGTGGGGGTTTCTTTTTGCTTGGCAATGCTTTGGAGTGAGGGGTGATAGCCATGAACACATCACACAAGCTCGGGGCAAGAGGGGTTCGTACATGTGTAACTGAAGGGACATCGATGTAAACACATCATGTGCAGAATTGTTCGTATACTTCTGTTTACATTTAGGGACAATACGAACTTGATACAACTCCTGGCCAATCCCATCTCCTCTGTCCAACCGAAAAGCTCAAAGTGTAACGAGGCAGAGGCACATAGGTACGAATCAAGGTTGCATATCAGTGCATCTCTATTGTTGAATACTAAACTAGGGAAGAAAGAGAAGGAAAGGGTTACATGTATGTCTGGCCGTTCTCCTATTATAAGGGGAACGCGCTCGTCCAGATCAGGGCAGGCCATGTCAGGATGTCCCTGCTTATCGTCCATGTGTCAGTCGTCACACAAAGCCCCTTTCCGTTCTCAATGCGCCAAACACCATGCAATAACTCGAGGGTATCCTACTGCCAATCATAATCATAAATCATAGAGAAACATAGTAGATAAACATAAAATCCGAGGGTCTGCACCACAGCCCGGATCAAGAAGATGCAGTAACAAGCATTCCCATCACCGCTAAGACTTCCGGCTCTTGGCCGAGTCCGGAGGTAGCTTGGGGCGGAAAGCCCACTCCTGTTCAGCAGTCGGATTCTGCTCAGGAGTGTTCTTGTCTCCGTATTGACCCGTCAGCACAGCACGACATGCTTCGAGTCTCAGATTGAACTTGTGATCATCCTCGGTCATGCGCCACAATCTATCGATGACGGGGAGGATGCCAATCGATTCTCCATTGCGAGCGTAAACGTTGGCGCCTTGTTCAATGAGGCACTTAACCGATCGCTTCTGCCCCAGCCTCGCGGCGACGTGTAATGCTGTCTCGCCATTGCGGTTTCGGGCTTCAAGATTCGCGCCCTCCTTGACCAGAATTTTGATGATGGCCTCTAGATCCTTGTCGTACTTCCCATCCGTGATATGGGAGACGAAGGCCATGAGAACGGTGTCTCCCTTGGAGTTGTAATGGTTTACGTCGACTCCAGCCTCGAGCAAAGTACCCAGGTACTGCATTCGGTAACTGAGAGGACAAGAATCTTTTGGCTCGTAGTTATCGTCTAGTTTGCGCTTCGAAACCGGACTATGGGTGATTTCATCGCGAGACGCTTCCTGGGGCACAAGGTTTGCGTCGAAGGCAACTTCGGCAAGACAATGAAGTGCATTTCGACCTTGGGCATCTTCGATGGTTGGTTTGATTGCGAATGCATCATTAATTATCTTCACCAGTTGGGCTTGAATGCGAGTTCTTGCCTGCGCATCGCCTGGTGGGATCGTCAGACGGCCCAGTCCTTCTTGTCCTTCTTCCTGGACACTTGGCATGGTCCCCACACGACGTATGCCCGTCATTGGTTTGACCCCAAAAGCATCCCGACATTCGAGATTTTCCATGTCGAAGTTACGTGTAATCTCCCTCAAAAGGTGAGGGTTTCGGGTTAGGTTTTCGCCAAGAATATGGAAAAAGGTGCGTCCGTATACATCTGTGGCGTAGAGGGGGAAGTTCCTAGCCTTCAGAATTGATAGTAGTTCACTCAACTGGGACTCTTCATCATACCAACACGAATGCAGGACATGAAGAAAGGTTTGTCCAGCTGTGTTTCGCGCCCCAACAAGGAAATCAGAATGGTCGAAACTCTCACAAAAGGACTGTATGAGTAAATCCTGGTGTCCTTCGGTGGCGGCGAAGTGGTGATAAGCAGTATTACCGAATGGGTCTACGACATCAAGTTTGATGCCTCGAAGTTGGCAGTCGCATGCCGTGGTGTCGTGAATAGCCGACTTGGGAATATAACATTGTTGTTGGCAGAGGGCATTCACATCCACTAGGTCGCCTGCGAGTTTCTGTGTGACTAGTACGCTGGTTGGTTGCCTTCGAATGCTGCCAAATTGGTTCGTTGAATGCTGCACATTAGTGGGAATGCTAGGCGAGAAGACAGCTGCAGAGCGAGAGTCGTGTGCTTCTGGCTCAGCCGAGATGGTGTAGCGCTTAAAAACGCGGAACACGTCCTTCACGTCGGATTGCGTAAGGTCAGATACCAGCTGAAGCTTCTCCTGCACCGCACCGAAAGCTTCTCGAGTCCGGGTACTCGCAGTGGTGAAGTCAGTGGACGTAGTCATGGCAGTACCTTGCCGGCTAATCCCTCTAGGAAAGAACCTGCTGAGAGTTGTACGCGAAGAGTTTGGAAGTTGTCCTAGATTGACATGGGATAGAGGCACAGTGGACGGCGGAACAAAGTCGAATCGGGAATTCCAATCATAAAGTGTATTCACAGTGTCTCGATCAAGGACGAAATCATCCGGTTTCTCATAAGAGGAGCCAGCAGACCGGGTGATTGTTGCACCGTCAAGCGTATCGGTTTCGGGATTCAGGAAGCTGTTGTAGTAGACACCACTTGCCGGCCGGTGTGGTTGTATTGCGTGCTGTGGGGGACGACTGTCTTTCTTCGGCGCCCGTTCGCTATTCTTAAGGCAATGGATCCGCTGGCGTTGATCCTCGACAGTTCTTGGTCGCATCCATCTAGGGTCTTTGCCGAGTACACCATTGAGGATCTTGTTGGCAGCTTCCTTCCTGTAAGATTTGGTGTCAGTACGCAGACCGAGTTAGTTCAGCCATGCAGAGTAAGCATACCCAGGCTGCCAGACATCCTCCTTGAGCAAGTCGAGAATATTGTGGAGCGGCAAGTTCGTGTAGAGATAGAGTCGCGTAAGTCTGCGCGCTCGAGCAAAAGTCCAGTCCCTTGGGCGACCACCTTTGTTTCCGCGATTGGTAGATGTGGTTGTCGCTGGTGACGCTAAATCAATGTTGGCGGGAGTCATCTTGGCGTTGGCGGCTAGAGCGATACCAGTTGAGTGTCGCTGTATGCTTGGGGATCCAGAAGCCAACAATCTACCTATTGAGCAGAGGAAACCCAGAATACTGTGAGTTAGGTTCTCCCTGAGAGGAGGACACTTGAATTTGTGTGAGCTGATCCATCGCTGGAAAGCTGTTTATTAAGCTGGTGGGAACTGTGGTCTGGTTTGGCCGCAGGTTGTGAGAGGCAGTATTGTCGTTTGGAGGCAGCTCTTTAGAATCTGCCAGGGCTCCCGCAGGGATCATGATTAGTCCCACCCAACCCAATCGCTATTGAGGTAAAGAACTGTTAGTAGGTACTCCGCCTGCGTCTAGCTGCGGCTCATGCGATGCTGCAATGCTGCAATTTTGCGTCACAATAATCACAACCTTGATCGGCTGCGGCCAATGATTTGCTCATGCGGAAGTATCGTGACAAGTGACAAGATGGGAGCGAAGATATTTCTTGACCGATTACATCTGTGATACCCAGGCTTTTCAGTTTTAGTCGTGTTGGTGTTCAAGCACATCACACCTCCAGCACTGAAGCACTGCCAGCCGCGAGTGGAAGCACCTTGGGAAAATGGTTCATCTCGACTGTCCACCAATCCTCAAGCTCTTCAAATGACGTGCTCGCATCGAATCTTGTTCTTTCCGTATGTTTCAATCGGACAATACCCAGTCAAAAGCCGAAATACTTTTTTTTGGCTAGGGAAACAATGACTTGGGGAGGTGTTGGAAGTAAGAAAGGGTGGCAGTGTTACCGTTGTCGTGGCTTGCGGTTGGCACCAACATGAGAGTAGCGCACTATCAGAGGCTGTGTTGGCATACAAGGCCACTGACAAGGCCACTGACAAGCACTCAGTGGGCAATCACTCACAAGTAGCCAAGCGATCTGTAAAAACCCACATTACCGCCGATTGTCCCAATCACGCTTGATGGGAAGCGGGGAATTTTGACAATGAGCGGCTCCGCGGCTGTCGTGCGCGCGAACCACCATCTCACCACCACCACCTAGTTGAGTCGGTGGCGCGTCCAGGCTATCCGCTGCAAGGCGAACAGAGCAACCTCGACCTGGCCCTAAAATTTTCCAATATTGAACATTATGACTTCATATTTTGTCGAGAGAACAGGTTATGGTGTTATGGTTGTTTCAAGGACGGCATTCGCAATACAAGCGAGCATTCGGACAGGGAAGTTGAGATGAGTTGCGAGTCGGGTAGTCCAACATTCCCGTCTTGACACCACTCGAGTTTTTCCAGATTCCAACACTCACTTCACCAGCCAGGTTTCCGTCGTCTTTAACATCCCTTCTGGATTCAACGAATGGCAAAATAACACGCGATCCGAGCCAAGTTTTCGTTGATACAGAGCCGTCCCGTATCTCCCCTTACCCCCCTACCTCGTCTTCCGCGAATCGCCAGTGCCCCGTAAAACGCTCGGCGCTGGTGGGTCTACCGAACACACACACACACACACAAGGGCTATTCCAGCCAGTCTGCCGAACACACACACACACGGAGATTGATATAGTACCTTTAGGCACTGGATGGCATCGTGAGAACAAGTGAATCTGGAGTGTTCTCGAGACACCACTAAACGAGGAGATTGAGCTTTTGCACGATGAACAAGTCGTGCTAGTATCTTTTTGCTAACGGTTCGCGCCTAGCGTTGGACGTGGAGCTAGACGGGACGAGCCTCCCGTTAGCAACATCCTCAATTAGCCAGTGCAATGCTTGGCTTGGCTTGGGGGTGGCTTGGTCACGATCCATCATCATCACTACCGCCAACACAGCTTTTCTTCATTTCCTTCCTCGTACTGGACACATTCGATTTTTATTCCGTCGATTCCGACTCTTCCGGAAGGTCCTCATGTCGGTTTTCTGATTATCTGACATTTGCCACCCCGCTAGAACAAGGGGTGCTGTTCGAAACCGCCCTACAATCTGAAGCTTGGCCTTGCTGTTTGTTTCCAAACCCATGTTCAGCTCTCCTATTGGCTAGGAGCATCAGTTTGGTATTTTGCGAGCTTGATTGATTCGCGAAGCCTCATCAGGAACGCATCAGCAGACAACGGCTTTTCCCCGCGCATACATATACGAATACAAAATCATCATGCAACAACTAGGATACCACGTGTGGTCTGCCGCCTCCGATGTGGCGACTCGGATACCCGACGACAATGGATTGTACACTTGCCCGGCGCCACATTCCGACTTGTTCTTCTCTTACTTGGTCACAAACCGCGTTGCAGCTCAAGTTCAATATGCAATCAGTCTTCCACCCTACACTACATTGTTCGGGCCTGTAACGACTAATATTCAAGTGTCAAATCCTGGGTTCTGGTCATCTTTCTTGTCGCCTTTTTACATTTCACCTTATTGTTGTGCTGGCAAGTGGCAGTAGTATCACCGCATCTCATATAAGACGCTGACTGGACCTCGAAGTCTATCAAGATGACGGAACAACTCAACATGTCTCCCATATCTCTATCCAACATGTGATTTTGTTGTCTACACTCACAATCCGTTTCCACATATGCTCTTAACCTTCCGTATCAACCGTCTGATCAGTCACTCCAAGTCAAGTCCCCACAAGAACAGGTCGAAAAATCAGATACTCGTACTATTCTATCTTTTGGCACCCACTTTGAACCCTCGATACACTCAGATCATATCACCATTTCATCATGCCACAGGGCCACTCGGCGCATAAATCCTCGAGGTTGGCCCCATCCCTCAAGATCTCCGCGGCAAGTGCCCCTTGACTGACCAAAATGATTCATTGTAGCTCGTTTGCGAGAAGTACTTCAATGTTCGGAGAGGCACTCAAGCAAGTACCACAACGACAAGACCATCTTAACATTTATACAAGTCGGACCGACTCAATGGAGCGGTTCTGGGTGACGGGCCAAACAACCGGGAAGTCGGCGGCGTCTAGAAAGGCACGAGAATTGGAGACATGGACTGCTCGTTGGTCAAACGCTAGTCGAGGCAGTTGAGCGATTTATTCCTTACTGATTTTGGGATGATGCCTCCCTCTGGTTGATCAATTCTCCTCATGCTGCAATATTCAGGGTTCCACTAGCTCTAAAGGGCCCTTCACCATGCTTCTTAGGTTTCGAATGATCCGAAAATTTGGTATGAAAGCTTACTCTGAGATCGCCACGCACCCTTGCAGTTATACCCCTATTGGCCAAGACTCATGACGCTTAGGGGATGACTCACCAGACCCAACGTATGTGAAGCTCTTTGGTGCTGCCAATACTAAACCTTTTCCTCATTTTTCCTGTCTTCTACAACCATTTCATGAATATTTTACGTGCCAGATTCATATTGAAACTACACCGCCGCACAAAATTCGCATCGTCCGAAAGCCATCTCATCATGCTCCGCTATCCCCCACAACACCTGCACAATGCCTTCCTTCCAGGACCTGCCTTTCGACATCCACTGCGAGGTATCTAAACATCTCGACTACCCCTCGGCCCTAGCCCTGAAGAAGTGTAACTGCTACTTCTACTGCCATATCGACCCGAACCGGCTTTCCCCCGGCCAAAAACAAGACTTCCTCTCAAAAGCAGAGCTCTTCACCCAAAATAAGTCCCTCTACATCTGCTACAGATGCAGCCATCTCCTCCCCAAGTCCTCCTTCGGCCACAAACAAATCACCGGCCCTAGATCCAAGAACGCCTCGCATCCAACGCACGACCGCTTCTGCTGGAACTGCGCGGCCAAATACCGGCTCTGCGAGCATGCGCTGGCCTACCGCAAGGGGAAGAAATTGTTCTACCTCTGCTGGAAGTGTCAGCGATGGGGCCCTAAGTATGAACGCTGTGGGATCCCCAATGATCCGACGGATAGAGATTTCAGGAATCCGGGGTGGAGATGCTGTCCTGTCGAACCCTCGCCCACACTCCAGGGCCTACCGTCCAATATACGGCAAATAATGCTCGAGATGTTAGGGTATCGCGACTCCATCGCACTATCTCAAACGAGCCGCCTCTTTCACGCTGTTGTTGACCCCTCCCAGTGCGCTTTGCATGATAAATTCCGCTTCGTGCGCGACATGGTTTTGAGAATTAATCTCGGGAACCAAGATCAGCAGCAGCAGCGCAGTGCCTACTACGCTTGCTTCTGCATACTACCTGATGTACGGTTCACGACACGGCAGTTAGACATGGCAAGGGAGAATCCCAGTCGCGGGTGGAAGAGAAGATGTCGGAGTTGTGTGTGGAGGTTGTACGGTGATTCAGATAATACGGGGCCGTTAAAGGAGTGGAGGGCCAGGAGAATGTGTCGGGGTTGTAAGTTGATGATGCGGAAGGGAGAGAGGTGTTTGGGTTGCTGGGAGAAGGTGGGAGAGCAGAGGAGATTGGAGGTGCAGGAGCAGAGGGAATTGATGGGGGACCTTGAGGAGTTGGGTGGTCTTGGGGAGGTGGGGGCCGGGGGTGAGCTACTGTTTGCGGCGGCGGGTCTTGATCGGCTGGAGCTTTGAGCAGTATCTGAGATGTATTGGGATATACTTATAGCATGCTTGTAAAGCCTATAGGAGTATCGTTATTGGTCGTGCACGATAAGGATGGCCTGTGCAAACGTTCCTGGGGAATCAATCCTTGATACCCGTGCCATATGACTCCACGTCGAAGGGGCGTTTAGACTTCATCTCCTGTCATTTTTTTTGCTGCAAATATTTAGGCCCATTGATCAAAGTCAGCTCTTGCAAATCTCGTAACAACGAAATCGCGGCTTGAACAGGAAGATACCCAACCGTAACCCTTCGGGGCTTCAACATGCCTCCGACATGTCCCAATCGGAATCTACCGCCGCACAGCTAGTTTCTCTTCCCATTGCCTCAGCTACTCATTGTTCTGGTATGAGGGAGAAGTGGGTTCGCGACATGCAGTGGAATGAACTCGATAGTCTGATTCTGATTCCAAACTCAGCGTTGCCCTGCGTCTGACAGGCCAGAGCCGGGTACGAATATATGGTCCCGAGGGGTTAGGCATAATGCAATGGAGTTCGGCTTGAAGCATCGAACGCAGCTAAAAACGTCAAAATGATGACCAGTCGCCACTGGATGTCGAAGTTGAACGCCGTGGTCATCACGAGACAGCACCGTTATGACAATGATAGCCTTTGTGAGACACCAAAATCCAGTTGGGAGTAGATGAAGGTGAACTATCGCGTCGATAAGATATGAAAGTACAGTACACTAGTTCGAGATTGTAATCCCTATCCATAAGCTCAAGCGTCTCGAACTGCTTATAGCAAGCCATCATTGCCGACCTTGTACTCCCTAAACTCCTGCAAGTTTACCAGTAACCAGTTTCTTCAAACGGTGCTCAAGTACATCCATTTCACTTATCGATATCCCGACTCTCGTTTGTTCCGTCAAAGTGGAGGGTGCAGTCGAGGGGGACATGACTGCGTCGATGCACTCGTCGTTTCGGACCTCTTCAGTCAGAAACGCCTTCCATGTCGAGGCCAAGTTCAGCGTCCAAGATCTCGTTAAGGTAGGCCCCATCCTTGAGGTATATCCACCCGCCCGTGGCCGTGTCTTGCTTCGATGACTGGTCTTCGCTAATGACCACCCAGTTGAAGCGCTTCGGGCCGGAACGTGGGGATGACAGCCAGATCTGCTTGTTGGGCGGCTGCTTGTTGATGACCCACTTACCCACGTTGGGCACCTCGATGGTCATCACGCCGGCCTGGAGGGGCAATCGTCAGCGGGTGAATCAAATTCATGGGACATCTGTGCACGCAGTTGAGGGGAGTGCTGTAGCGGGGCAAGTACGCTGTATTCAACATCCAATCCGATCACCGCCTCTGCTCTGGCCTCGGCCTTCTCAAGAACAGTATCGAGGTAATCATCCGCCAGCTCGTGGTACTGGTTGTCGGTGAGGGGTGCTTCCTTGGCGTTCTGAAGGATTTCGGTAGTCAATGGCTTCGCGGCTCGGGACGTGGTCGAGAATGGCTGCACAGCTCTAGTAGTGATGCTGGCAATAGGAAGAGATCGCGCAAAGCTGATACTTCGGGTCAGACGTATACCAGTTCCATTGCGGCGCGGAAGTGCACGACCGGCGACGCGGCCCAGCTTGATGAGGTTGATGGCAGACATGGTGTGATCGGGTTGGTCGGAGAGTTGGATGGACCACTTCGTGCGTGGATCAAATTGAAGTACTAAGACTCCAAGAAATGGATTTACAAGCGAATTGTTGGATGAATCTGGGAGCTTGGAGCTCTCAATGGCAGGGGGTCACAACATATCCTTGAGTTGGAAATCACGATGTGAGTTCGAGGTAATCAGGTGAGATGGCAGCATTGGAAACTGCTAACTTCGGCCAAAGCTTTAAGCTCCAGGTCTGGTACGAATCGCAATGGAATCTCCCGCGCCTTCCCCACTTCCCCGCCAGGAACGCTGCAGGTGGCCCGAGCTTCGTGAACTACATGTGCCCTGCTTGCCTCCAAGGACTTCTAATTCGTACTTTCCAAACATAGAAGCTCTCATTGCCAGCATTTTGAGGCTGGAAGCGCTGATGGCAGAGGATATTTGATCCCATATGCGCTGGCTGAGAGATAATTTCAACTGGGTCATTTCGGCCTGACCCGGACATGAATTCTTCGAACCGGCGCGTTCATGACTTGCAAGTTCGGCCGGTTGTGGGGTCACTATCTGGTGTGTTGGCCTTCCCTACTGGTCTTAGGCCATCCAATCGCATACTCTGGTCCTGGTTAAGGCACGGGGTGTTCGGGTATGACGGTAGTCCGGATTTTTTTCAAGTTAGGATGGTCGAACGGACGCCGTGTGTCCATCCTGGCAGATTCTTTGGGTCCGTCCGAGATGGTACTGGTGCATTCCACCCATCTCCTCGCTGCGAAGGTCGCGCTCGACTAGAAGAACCTTCTTGATCAGGCCCTCGCGCAATGCAAGATACTTGGCATATTCAGAGCTGACATTTTGGTCGTCTTGCAGGTGGCCGTTGGGCTGACTGGCCATATCTGGAAGGAGAAGTTCGACACGCAGAGAAGATGCCGTGAAATGCCATATCATTTGGACTCTGCATCGGTTCTAATATGAAAAAATGATAGTATAGACCAGTTCATGTGGTATAAAAACCATCCTCTTAGTGTGCTATGCTTCTGGCATGACATGGCCCGGTTGCTTGAAGTATTTCAAAGTTCCTTGGTGGTTGTGCCACGGGAAAATATTGTCAATGCTTAAGGGTGAATTGTCTAAGAAAACTTTCCCATATGCTGAGTGAGACGTCGACCTCGGTTCGTAACATTTCAGTGCTGAAAGGCCCACCTGTTAATAGGTTTACTACCGGGACCATTATTTTTACATGCTGAAGTGAATTTCTAGGCGCCTTCTGAAATCCTTGAGATATGGTAGCAAAGTGGGGCAGTACAGAAGACTTGGCTTGTTTTTGTTCTGATAATTCCATTTCGCTCAGATTCATAACTGTGGGAAGTTATGGCCTCAGGTGTACAGGGGTACGAGGCAGGCAGGTACGCGTTGCAGTATTTAGGGACCCCTTGGGACCAACTTGAGATTGGCTCCACGCACCTTCATAGTATCAATACAGCCCCTAATACTTCGATTCCGCAATAATTGCATAAATTCTGGGCATTTATTGGGCGGCTAAAGAGTAAGTACGCTTGGTATGTGCGAAAGATCACAAAGGGGATTAGCGAAGTTTCCCTAATTGTGATTTCTGACTCGATATAGCCTGATTCACTGCTGGAATTGCCATGAATCTTCAACACAAAGTATATATTATTTATAGTCTGTCGTATTATTTCAATCCATAAGCTCAATTAAGAGTCAATTTATTTCCCTATAACATGCAGCGAAACTTCTCGAGCGAGAAGCAACCAATATCTTAATTGCAACTTTACTTCCTTCGTCCATGTGGCTGCATCGATGTACACCTGGCGAGAAGACGGTTAACCTACTCCGGTGGGGTGATATCGGCTTCACCAAGCTGGTCGATGGCTTCATCCATGTAGTTGCCTTTCATCTGTGTAAGATGTACACCGTTCTCTCTGAATAGCAGCCTTCGTTATATTTCATTCGGTCGTAAACAGCAATATTACGTTCGATGAGACTGCAGGCTGCCGAGCAAAGCCAAAGAAATTCAACTCACATGAATAGCCTATCATGGCAAAGTTACGTTAGTATATGGACGTATAGATCATGTGGAAACATCCATTTGCCCACAATCCAACAGCCAGCTGCGTGATCTTCGATTTTAACTGGCATGGGAATGATGTAATGAGCTCCCGAAACTCGAACAATGGCTTGATGGGGAACTCTTTAGGGCTTGAAGAATACAATGGCCATGAGAAAATTCGCATTCTTTGAGGCTCGTATTTGGCAGCAACAACTTCGTGAAGACCATGACGCTGGCCTTTCCATAATGATCCATCTGGTCAGAAGTGACTCCCCGAACAAAGCTGCCTCAGAGGATAAGGCCGGAATTGCTACACCCGACAACAGTGGAGGGACAATCATCATGATTCCAGAGCTTTGCAATATTTCTCTGGTGTGAACTATTCTCCCTAGTCCACCAACGATTCAAAAGAGCCAACCGCTATGCCCAGGAGGATTATCAATGTTGTAACGTTTCCATAAATAAGAGCGGGCGTCATCCGGGTAGAAAAGATACCCTAAGCCGAATGGCAAGAGGTGATCGAGTAATCAAGGATGACGAAGTACAAAAGCGGTATCTCAACCCGAACAGGGCTTCTCATCGTTCTGATCGACAGACAGTACAGATACGCAGTTTTTAACGACCTACTGATCGGATGGGTGAAAGAACTGAGTAGCGCAGGGAATTAGGGTAGAAAACCCAAGCCTAACCACAATAAACTGCAAATTTCAGCTTCGACCGCAGGACGGCCAGCGATACATTTGTCCTTGTTACTTGTAGTCATGTTTTGTGTTCCCAGATATACTCAACCCATGCCACCATTCATTCTTGATTTGCAAATTTGATTCGGCCAATTGGCAATACGCGAAGGGGGCCATCTGGAGATCCATGACCAAACTAAATTGTACGTCCACTCCCTCTACGTCGAGATAGTCTTTACTCATGGTCCCCTTTCTACATATTCATTGAATTTGCAAGTACTCCTTGATGCTTGAAGTAAGTAACCAGAGCATAATAGTATTCTACATCAAATATAACCCATTGATCGAAACATGCGCGGTGGATTAGCTGCATAGATTGATAATGGAACTATTACACCTTGAGCTGCCCTGGCAACTATGAATCGCAGTAATCCATGCCGAGGACAAATACCCTGACTTGTTGATCAAATGCGATAGTATAGCCTCGAATTTTCATTTAGATTGCTCGAGATCCGTGTGTACGTATAGTCTCGTGTACTAGAGTTCGAGTAGTAGTGATGTAAGTGCATATGGGGGTTAAAGTGTGTGTATTGGGAAAGCTGGGTTGGCTAGCTACATAGCTGGCACCCTTGTAGCCCTATCTTATCTTATTCATAGCTACACGGTAACCCCCCTTGGGATCCCGTATCGCTACAGTGTACTAGAAATGGAATCTTTCCTTTGGGATGACATGAATACGTTTTGAAGAACAGTGTGCCCGTAAAATAATATTTGCATCATAGCATGACCGGAAACTGCTATATGTTGATATTGGCCACTTGAGGGCGCAGTCTGCGCCGGCCAATTCGTTCGTAGCTGGGCTTCGTGTTTCAATGTTGATGAGCTCTCATTGCGAAAGTATGAGATGTTGCCTGCTTGTCAAGCTTTTGCCGTCATACCGATCAAGTTTGTCGTTTCACTTCACCTGAAGGCTACTGCCTATGCTACGGACCTGAACCAATCAAAAGTGAAATCATTATGAATCATAATGGCTCATCCGTGGGCTTTCGAGATCGGCTACTTCCGAGCCAATTATTAGAGCTTACGCTGGTGCTAAAGGTCCGCAGATCCGGCTCGACTGAAAACTGGGGCATGATTGCACCAATGGAAGAAACGAGAGTGGAATGGCCACTTCAAAAATGGATCCAGTCAGATCGTATGGAATGTGACGAGCTAAGTGTAGAGTTGTATCAACTCGACGGACGTATTACGCGGACGGAGCTTATGGGTGACTCAACCTCAACAATAGCTCATTTCCGTGCTCTGGCCTTTGATCGTACTACACCTGTTGAGAGTTTCCCACATCACTGCAGATATCTCGTCTAAGTGAAATACCGAGGCAATTGCACCATGACGGGGGTATGGACTTAGGATATGAGCAGCATACGAAATCAGAGAACATGCCAGAAGGGAGCGAGTTTAAGGAGCGTGCTGCTCAAGATAAATGAATCATTATGGCTCAAGTGTACTAACAAATGACCCTCAAACCTGACGTGGCCTTCAAGGAGACAATACAAAGCTACTGACTTTCCCGTTGAACCCCGTCTTTCAACTTGAACATACTCTTGAGCGCAGCAGTCTCGGCCTCCTGGCGTGCAAGGCGAATGCGTAATTCGTCACGTTCCTTTTTGATGTCGTTTAGCTCGTCCTCGAGCTCACTGATCCGATCGATCTTTTTTTGACGATACTTGCGAGCAGCGACATTGTTGCGCTGCCGCTTGAGAGCCGTTACGTGGTCAACTGGCGGAGAACGCTTGCGCGAACTGGATGATTGGGAATGAGATTGGGGAGACGATGAAGAACTGAGAGAATCCGAATTGGATTCTGGCTGAGGGAGAGGGATAATATCCGTGAAAACCGGCATGTTAGATGATACTGGCTGAGTTGTGCTTGGAAGGGATGTTGGAAGTGTTAAAAGTTGGTCTGAAAACACGTCAGTACGAAAACAGGGAAATTTTAAGAGAACTTTGCATACCAGTGAAATCAATCTGCAATGAGTTCGTAAGCATCAAGTCCTTTTCCTGCTCCAAGCGAGGGGCCGCAGGCCATTCTAGCTCGGAGCCGCCATTCCAGCCCGCGCTGAAGCCGTCAACGCTATTCAACCAATCACTCGACACGAAGCCGAGATCCTCACCTCCAAAAAGGGAGACATCTGCTGGGTCTGTGGCAGATGTCTCCCAGGAAGTGAGGTCAGGTTGATTTGAGGGCGGCGATGCGTTGCTGCGGCTGGAAGTATGTGACGCTGCATTGTTGCGAAACGTAGACGATTGATTTAGTAGTGAATTGCATTCTGGCAAGGTGACGTAGCCTCCACTCGAGGCTGGGAGAAAATCGAAGTTGAAGTCTGGGGGAATTGCGTGAGGGCCGTCACTTGTCTGACGGCAGGGTAAGGTCCCAAGATGTTGCTCTTGGGTGGTTAGGGAAGAGGGAGGAAAGGTGGAAAGGTGGGTTGGGAGCAGGACGACGGGGGGTTTTGAGGGCGAGAGGCCCGGCGGAGTAGGGCGGAGCGCGTGCCGCTTATTTTTAGTGCTGATCTGTGCCTATGGTGTGGGCCGCGATTTACAGTTTGTCCCCCACCAGGTGTTGTTCAACGTTGCAATTGGGGTTGCACTTGAAATCGATAGAGGTAGATGCATACTCGCAGGTTTAGATTCACGTTGTATCTCCTGCTCAATTAATGCCTGCACAAAGGAATCGAAGATGATAAACGCCGTGTTGGTCTTCAACGGCCAAGGCCAGCCTCGTTTGACCAAGTTCTACACACAGCTGGTTTGACAATCCAAGTATCCCCAGCTGATCAAAGTCGCTAACCATCCAAAGGAAACTAGCATTCAGCAACGCCTAATATCCGAAATCTTTACCCTCGTTTCGAATCGCCCTGATGGCGCATGTAACTTCCTACCTCTACCTCCTGTCCTCGCGGCATCCGGAACCTCTCACTCCTCCTCCGAGCCGCACAATGACGTCCCATCACTTGTTACCTACCGCCATTATGCGACCCTCTATTTCATCGTAATCTCCACCTCGACCGAGTCACCGCTTGCGCTGCTTGACTTGATCCAAGTCTACGTCGAGTCGCTCGACAAGCTGTTCGAGAACGTATGCGAGTTGGACCTCATCTTCAACTTCGAGACGTTGCACGCAGCACTGAGCGAAATGATCGTGGGCGGCGTGGTAATAGAAACCAATCTGGATCGCATCGTCTCGGGGGTCAGGGCGCAAGGCACAGTCGCCAAGAGACCGGTCAACGAATCTAGGGGTGCAGGACTCGGCGCCGGACTGGGCATGGGCGGCAACTTTGTTTGGCCAGGTCGTTAATGGGGTCGACATGCCACTGGAAGCATGGACGGTGTATGGAGTTACGGTCACTCGATGGACGAAGGGCATCGTCCGAGAGAGGAGCATTATCTTTGGTGTTCAACCATTAGGTGCTTATACATTATATCAAACGGGTATTCTTGTCCAAGCCCAAACTCCACATGATGCGATACAGCGTTTTGTGATATACAAGGTGTGTCGTGGTTCATTCTGATTTCCGTCGCTCGTATCTCTTTGTAGGGGAGAAGGCTTCCACCGCGCTCCAGAACCTGCTCCTCACCTTGGATCGTGATTAGTCGCGCCGCATTTCCATTGTAAAATGTCTACTTACTGCTTGGAAGGGTTGGGGATCTGTATTCCAGTCCATGAACAGAATAGTATAAATAACGACACCTACAGCGCGATTAGAGGGGACGGCTCAAATGATATGCCTCAACTCACTTGTGATAGAGAACAACTGTGCCATCTTGACATATTTATCCCATCTTGGTCGTGCCGTTGCGAGCTTCACCCGTCTCTTGTACTTCCTCTCGAAGCGGAATTGTTCCTTCTGGGTGAGCTTTGAGAAATCGGGCGGCCAGATCTTCTTCGGCTTGAAACGACTGTTGTAGACGCCGGTCATTGGCTTTCGTAATTGGGGAGGAATTGGGCTCGCGCCAGCCGTTCGCATAAGTGTGGGAAACATTGTTGGAAATCCAATTGTGGTTGTCTCTAACCCAATTGCGCTGCTTTCGACCGTTCAGATGCGATTCCTTGGATACCGTTCTCGTGTGGCTGGTGATGCTTGGCGATATATATTTTGAATGTAAAGCCCCACGGAACGATGCACCGTTTCTTGAATAACTTGGTGCTAGTGGGGTTATGCATATGCATAAAATGCTACCCCTCCATACAGACCATTACAACCAATTGACCCCGCCATTCAGAGAGCTTGGATAAATTCGCAAAATTTGGGTTGAGTCAGAGAAGACAGCAACATCGCCAGTCACAAATCACCACCAGCCGCGAGTCTTGGACTCATTTACGCCCTCCTTGGAGCTCATGACGGAGCATAAATAGGACGAAGATATCCTTGAAACCTCAACAAGAAGGAACGGTTCTACAAACGACCCGATCCATCATGGCTGCCACTTCAGTCTCCATGGCCCTCGAAGGGCTCCAGGTCTCCAAGACCAAAGAGTTGAAAGGCGTAAGCAGTCCTGAATCCACGTTTTCTAACTTCATTAACTTCTCTTAGACTGAAAAACGTGACTCCCTCATTGCAATTGAGAAGCAATACCAGGTAAAATGGGAGCAGGATGGTGTCTTTCAATCTGACGCCCCCTCGAACGCCGAGATCCCCCTTCACTCGATATCCGCTGCAGAACTCCGTTCCAAATATCCCAAGTTCTTTGGAACAATGGCCTATCCCTATATGAATGGCACCCTCCACGTTGGCCACACGTTTTCCGTGAGCAAGATAGAATTCAACGCTGGCTTTGCGCGGATGCAGGGCAAGCGCGTTCTCTTTCCCATGGGCTTCCACTGTACCGGCATGCCTATCAAGGCGTGCGCAGACAAGCTGGTAAATGAGATAGCCTTATTCGGCCGCGATTTCCAAGGGTATGAGGATGACGAGCCCGTCGTGGAAGAAATCCCAGCCGCGGAAACTCGACGAGATGACACGACGAAAATCGTAAGCAAGAAGGGTAAGGCTGCTTCAAAGGTGGTGAAGATGAAGTATCAGTTCCAAATTATGCAATCACTCGGCATACCGATCCAGGAAATCCATCTCTTCGCCGACCCGCAGTACTGGCTCGAGTTCTTCCCCCCTTTGTGCCGCAGAGATTTGACCAACTTTGGCTCTCGAATCGATTGGCGCAGATCAATGGTTACCACGGATGCGAACCCGTACTACGACGCTTTTGTCCGATGGCAGATGAATCGTCTGAAGGATTTGAAGAAGATCAAGTTCGGCAAGCGATATACCATTTACTCCATTAAGGATGGACAACCATGCATGGACCATGATCGATCAGAAGGGGAGGCTGTTGGACCGCAAGAATACACTGCCCTTAAGTTGAAGGTTCTCGAGTGGGCCCCGAAGGCAGAAGAGACTCTCAAAGGGAAGATACCAAGCGATGGTACCGTGTTCATGGTTCCAGCTACCTTGCGACCCGAGACGATGTACGGTCAGACCTGTTGTTTTGTCGGACCTAAAATCAATTACGGCATCTTCAAAGCCTCCGAGAAGGATTATTACCTGGTAACAGATCGGGCTGCACGAAACATGGCGTACCAAGGTGTATTTGCAAAAGAGGGCGTCGCTGAGAAAGTGGCTGAAGTACAAGGCTCCGACCTTATTGGAACGCTTGTTAACGCACCCCTCTCAGTTCACAAGGATGGCGTCCGAGTTCTGCCCATGGAGACAGTGGTTCCTACAAAGGGTACTGGTGTTGTAACATCGGTTCCATCAGACAGTCCGGATGATTTCGCGACTGTGGCAGACCTCGCCAAGAAGGCGGACTACTACGGCATCAAAAAGGAATGGGCCGAGTTGGAAATAATCTCGATTATTACTACGCCTTCATACGGCGACCGCTGCGCCGAATTCCTGGTGAAGAAGCTCAAAATCTCGTCACCAAAGGATACCAAACAACTTGATGAAGCCAAAGAGCTCGCATACAAGGAAGGATTCTATCAAGGTGTCATGAATGTTGGCGAATTCAAGGGTGAGAAGGTGGAGGCTGCCAAACCCAAGGTCAGACAGCAACTTTTCGATGCCGGGGAGGCATTTGCATACTCTGAGCCCGAGAGAAAAGTTGTCAGTAGATCAGGTGACGACTGTATTGTTGCTTTGATGGACCAATGGTACCTCGACTACGGCGAGGAGTCATGGAAGAAAACGGCCCTCGAGTGGGTTGCAAACACCGACGGGAAGGGCATGGAGACGTTCACCAACGAGACTAAAAATGGGTTTGACGGTGTCCTCAACTGGCTCAACCAGTGGGCCTGCGCTAGAACGTATGGTCTTGGCTCAAAACTCCCTTGGGATCCTCAGTTCTTGGTAGAGAGTCTGAGCGACAGCACCATTTACATGTCGTACTATACTGTTGCTCACATTCTCCAGAAGGACGTATTCGGACGGGAGAAGGGCACAGGCAACATCGGCGCCGAGCAAATGACTGACGAAGTCTGGGACTACATTTTCTGTCGCAGAGACCTCAGCGATGAGATCTTGTCCGGCTCCAAGATTCCCAAGGAGACACTCGAAACTATGCGACGCGAGTTTGAATACTGGTACCCCCTAGACCTCCGCGTTTCTGGCAAGGACTTGATACCGAACCATCTCACATTCTTCCTGTACATCCATCTCGCCATCTTTCCTCGCGAATACTGGCCCAAGGGGATCAGAGCCAATGGCCATTTGCTGTTAAATGGCGAGAAGATGTCCAAGTCCACTGGAAATTTCATGACCTTGAACGAGATGACGAGGAAGTACGGCGCCGATGCCTCGCGTATTGCCCTTGCCGATGCGGGCGATGGTGTTTCCGACGCCAACTTTGACGAAGACGTCGCAGATAACAACGTCCTCCGCTTGTACAACCTTCGTCTGTTTTGTGAGGAAATCGCCAAAGATCAGGATCAGCTTCGCACTGGCGAACTCAACTCCTTCCAAGACGCCCTGTTCGACAACGAGATGAATCAACTCGTGAACGAATCGAAGGGGCATTTCGAGGCAACAAATTACAAGCTTGCCCTCAAGGCAGGTCTGTACGATTTCACCAATGCTCGCGATTTCTACCGCGAGGCTTGCAACGCAGCAGGCGTCAAGATGCACCAGAAGCTCGCTCTTCGCTACGTCGAGCTCCAATCACTCCTCCTTTGCGTCGTAGCACCGCATTGGTCCGAGTACGTCTGGCTCGAGGTGCTCAAGAAGCCCGAAACGATCCACAATGCACGCTGGCCAAGCGTACCGCCAAATGACGCTGCCCTAGCTGCAGCGCGTGAGTACGTGCGGAACACGGCTTCCAACATCAACTCGGCCGAAGCCGCACAGCAGAAGAAGAAGGCCAAGGGGAAGGATATTGCATTCGACCCCAAGAAGCCCAAGAAGCTGACTGTCTTCGTCACGGACCGCTTCCCCGCCTGGCAGGAGAAGTATATCGACCTGGTCCGGTCGGTTTGGGACCCGGCCAGCAAGTCGGTCAAGGAGGAGAAGGAGCTCAATGTCAAGATTGCCAAGATGGGCGAAATGAAGAAGGCCATGCCCTTTGTACAGGGGCTCAAGCGACGTCTCCAGGTTGGAGAGCCTGCGGAGAAGGTGCTGGAAAGGAAGTTGGCGTTTGATGAGAAAGTCATCTTGAAGCAGATGGTGCCGGGCTTGAAGAAGACAGCGGGGCTGAAGTTGGTGGATTTGGTCCTGGTTGAGGAGGGTGGTAAGAAGGGGGCTATCTTTGGTGGGGATGGCGAGGGGGTCAAGGAGGGGTTGCCGCCGCAGGCAGAGAGTGCTGTGCCTGGGCAACCTTCTTTTGCTTTTGAGAATGTGGAGTGAGGATTTTGATAGAGTAGATGTATCGAAACATGGTTCGGGTCACAAGAATATGCGGGACAGGTTCCGATGCAGAGACGTAAAGCACGATGACGGCTTGTACCATTTCAGATAAGAAATTTATTCCTTGTCTTCAAATGTGGCAATGCGTTGCTCATGTCCTACATTACTTGGTCTTGACTGCATTGTAGTACCCTGCTGCTTCCTCCTGATTCGAACCCAGTGTCTACTCCACCGAATAGCTCGTTGTTGTGTCCATATATTTGTGGACCTTTGGTGCAAGGTAGCACCTTCAATAATCCTTTACGCAAACAATCTAGGGTCATGCACCCGGTCAGCGGACTCCAGTGAATATACTCTAGATGGTCTATTAGCCAATGTCTTCGTCCCCATCACCACATCACACCAGCCCAAGTTTGATATCCACAAAACGAGCTAGCCATGAGACTAGCGACGATTGCAATCTTTCATCCTATGGGGGGACCAATTTATGGGTGAAGGTACCACAAGTTTGCTGCTCCGGTTGACGTGCAGAATTCGGGTGAGCCATCGGGCCCCTGAGGAAGATGATTAACTTCTTACAACGTCTGTGGCCGTAGAAGCAGCAACCCGGGAGTGTTGGCATGCATGGTCCCGATAAGCATGGTCGTTTCTATTCTGTTGACTCCTAATGGTCTTTTGTAATATTGTTGTTTAACGGCAGACTACCTCTGCTGGCTGTTACTTTGTGGAGCGTATCACTGTGGGCCCCCTTCATGAATGGGCTTGACTGGTTTTCTTGGTCCTTGGGGTTGATGAACGACTAGGTCTACAACTTACTGTGTTACTGTTATTGTCCTTGTCCCTTTGTCTTCACCGGCTTAGGCCTCGAAGGGAACTTGCTGATGCACATGTAACAGCCAACAGATGGTTCCAGGTGCTCAATTTTAGACAGAGAAACCCAGCCTCCTATGCCGGAGAATCAGCTTTTCATAGCCCCGGAAAACATAACGTGAGACCAAGAACCATTCTGAGTAATTCCAATCCGTTGAGGTTTAGATCGCCCATGACATAAAGATGAGGTGACGGTTTTTAGTGCCAGGATGTTGCGAAGCTTGAAGCTCTTGTTGGAGACGTTGAGGGGCAAATGCCAACCTCTGCATATTGGCATGATAATCCTGTATTATACTGACATAACAGCCTGGAACTATGTCTATCATGACATAGTATTGATGGAGTATTGTTAGAGTGAATTCAACTTCCCTCGAACATCTCTTGAGAGGCAAGATCGGATAGTAGACGTTGAAGTTAGCACAACGGCTGTTACGTTATACTAATACAATGCGGCCACCCTTTGATTTCATATAACTAAATCACAAGGTGTTACAGGATTTCCTATACCGTTTTTTGCGAAATGGCTTCTAGCTATAGATACATTTATTCAAGTGGTACTCTACATGATCTCTGGGCCACTGAAAGTTGCTACACTTCAGCAGGCATTTGCTCTGGGACTCAAGACCCAGTCGGGTCGTTGTATTTCCGACAGGCTATGGGTTTGGGGGCAATATTGGATTTGGGTCGCCTGTGAATGCCGCCAGGGTTATCAGAGCTGTAGTGGGGCCAGTTTTCTGTCGTAGCAAACCGGGAGTCCTAGCTCCTACCTTGTCGCGCTCGAGGGACTATGAGCCGGTTATCTTAAACTTCAATTTTTCATAACGTACCCCACGGTCCAATTGAACACTTTCGCGCATTTCCGTACAACCTAGGTTTTATCCCTTATTTTCCACCTTCTACAATGGCACGTAATTGGGAAGAAAGCGATATTCAATTAGCGCTTCAAGCGCTTCAAAATAACCCCAAACTAAGCGTACGATCCGTAGCACGGATCTATAATATCCCTCATACAACCTTACGTCACCGATATCGCGGCGGTACTTCACGACAGGATATACGATCACCAACGCAAAAGCTTACCTATTCCGAAGAAGACGCGATCGTACGCTACATAGTCGACCTAGATTCACCATCATTTCCTCCTCGAATAAGTGGTGTTGAAGATATGGCGAATCGACTACTCCACCAACGCGACGCAGGACGCGTCGGTATTAACTGGGCTTCGAGCTTCGTACGACGACAACCAGACCTCCGGACGCGTTTTAATCGAAGAATCGACTACCAGAGAGTCCTCTGCGAAGATCCCGACGCGTACCGCGCGTGGTTTTATCTCGTATGGAATACAATTAATAAGTATGGAATTCAAGAGGAGGATATCTAATTTTGACGAGACTGGGTTTCTTATGGGTCAAATCTCATCCGAGATAGTTGTAACGACCTCTGATCGACGTGGAAGACCTAGAGCAGTACAGCAAGGGAATAGGGAATGGGTTGCGGGAAGCTTCAGTATCAGTTGGATGATTTTGACAAAGACCATAAGGCTGTCTTCCAGAGGCATCACCGTGGAGTACAACCCCCCATACGTACTGCTTCTTAGCGTAATATCCGCATGGGCTAAATTTTGGATAGTTGGCATTGCACTTCACACAGAAAGCTCAAGAGTCTGCAGTAGCTCAGCAGAAGACTGCGGAAGTTGTTAGAGTGCTGGCTTGGATGAGCTTCGTGAGAGCTGCCCTCCTACCTCTCTCAAAGTATTTACTAACTACGCGTCCCATAGATCTTCTTACCTCCCTTAGTATCTGCCGCCCTTTGTAGCATCCAGTCTCCCCTGCGAACTTTCGGTTACGTTACTTTGGGAACAACAGCATTTGCCATCCTGATGCTTGTAATCTTACTTAAGCTGAATTGGCTCAAGTTTCAAATTGAGAGACGGTCCGTTCCACGACTAGGACATTGTCAATCGCCACAGCCACTGGAAGACAATCTGCCCACAACTAGCGGGCCTCCTTTACTTCCGGAACATGAACCTGTTCTCCTTAGGGCATCCACAAACCCGTTTCCCATGAGTAGGCGTGCTCCACTTAAAGTATACGACAAGCATCCCGTCATTCCTCTCCACGAACTACCTAGCTTCAATGACAATGAATAATGTTAATGATCTGTAAACCTGCACACGCAACACTTGTTCCTAGCACCCAACCTAAGCCCAGCGGAAAATTTCCTCTTGGGAAACCCAAATTTCGCTAGGACTAAATCGGCTTTTACGAAAGTGGCCCTTCGGGGAAACTACGTACGGGTAGGTCAATATCCCATTGTTAGGCAATCATACCTTATATCAAGCGTCAGTTGAATAGTTGAAATGACTAATTTGAATGCCCAGATGACCTAGCGGTCAAGTTATAACAAAGCTAGTCATCCCCCTCCCGGGAACCGAACCTGTTACCGCTCCATCCGTGATACTCGCAGTGGTTGCGTTCATATCATGCGTATTATCCGTCAACCAAGCCTGTACACTCGTCCCATCAACCCCAGACACACTCACACTCGCCGCACTACCCCCCGTGTTAATAATATTAACCGTCACCTTCCCATCGACATTCACAAACGCGGTGGTCTTCAGCCCCGTGCCCCCCGACGCCCCGACTCTCACCGCACCAGGGCGGACAGTCCGACTGTACTGCGCATACGCCCACAGCCGCTTCGAAACCTCGTAATTCTGCCCATCCACCAAGATCAGCTTCTCATTGTTATTGTTGTTGGTGGCGCGGTCCTGCGTGCCGACCCACCACAGGTACGCCGAGACGTTTCCCGTGGTCAGGCCTGTGTAGATGTTGTTCGCCCAGGTGTAGCCGTCGCCGCTGCCGCCGTTGCTGTACCAGGACGTCGACCACCGACCGTTCAGGTCGGAGCATTCGGTTTCCCAGACTTTGCGGGTGGTGGGCTGGCTTCCTGAGATGCCGGAGGTATCTTGACCAAAGGAATATGTTAGTTTCCGTTGCCTAATTCAGGGGTTTAAGTTGGTCTTGGAGTGGCTTACACGTGTGTCCGGTTATCACGCCAACCATCGACTCCACTCCCGCCGACTTCAGCTGCTGAGTGTACTGCGACTGTATATTCCAGCCAGTCGCCTCACAACAAGTGATGGCCACATTCGACATGTTATTCTTGGCCAGTGTCGGATACAGCACCTTGATGAAATCGGCAGCTTGGTTTCCATTCACCTGCATCGAAGCATAGCTGGTGCTCATATCCGGCTCGTTGACAAATCCCAGATGAGTGACGGGAACTCCTGCTTCGGCGTAGTACCTGATGTACTGCACCAGGTAGTCAGCGTATACCTGCCGCCAATCCCCGCTACTGCATGTCGCACTTGGTGTGCCGCAGATACCGCCCCCGTTCGCATCATTTTTGTTCGTCTTCATGAAGCCTGGGGCGCTCCAAGCGTCGCCGTAGAAGGTTTTCACCCCATACCGCTGGGCCTGTCACTTATAAATCAGCGCCTAGCTATGCTTCTCGAGTTCCACCTGGAATGACAAGATTTGAAGGCAGCTTACAGCCTGCTGTGAAAAATAAAGCTGTCCCGAATCTTTCCCATCCCAATTATACTTCGGCGGCGCAGTAGGGCTACCCGGGTCCTGCGCGAACGTGATCATCCAATCATTAGCATTACTGGGACTGCTGCCAATGCCATTGCGGACGATGGAGAACCCGGCCCCGGATGTGGTGTTGAAAAGCAGGTCAAGGACTTCGGTCTGCTTGGGCTCCTTGAGGTTGACAATGTTATTTGCTCTTTGGAAGGCCTCGGAGATGCCGAAGCCGTCGATGGTTTGGTATTTTTGGTTTACGTTGATGGTGATTGTCTGGGATGCTTGGCGACGGCTTAGGAGGCCGGCGCTGGCGAGAAGTGGGAGGGTTGATAGGGATAGGAGATGCATTTTGGACTGCAGAGTTTGAGAATTGGACTTGAGTTGAGATATGACAGAAATATCTAGTGAACCACGTGAGATTCGTTAGCATATCCGGGGGCTATGATGCCTTTTTGTAACTTGGGTTCTGATATCTGCTTGCCATCGAGGATACTGCCTAAATGAAAGACACAATATAGTCATTCCTGGGCATGCAACATCTCGGTACCCAAAATAGTTAGCGGCTATCGCATCCAGCTGTACGCTTAAATAATCTGGGGGTCGTCTCCGCTCTGCCGGATCATGGGGTTGAGACCCTGAACGTAAGTCCCGTTTAGCCTAAGCAACGAATACCGGTCGTCCGGGGAATGCTGTTCAGGCCATTTGTACTTAGAACGAGCGACAGATCGCGAGTCAAATTTACTCGTTTGTAATAGGGTCTCAAGGAGCGTTCTATATTTATCGGCGCAGGGTGCCATTTCGGCTATGTTGTGAAAGCAAGAGGAGTGGCGGCAGCAGTGAGGAACAATAGGAGAGCTTGACAACGGATGAACTAGCTTCGTATATTTTGGTGTCAAGATTGCACTGCAAATAGTCTCATGGCAGGTGCACTGTTCTTCCTCCTTGTTACGGATGCTGTTAGTGTTTTGGAACTCTTATACTCGCCGAGCCCCAAGTTCAGTGCCTAGAAACATGCAGCTCCAAGACGTTTCTATAAGATTGTATTATTACAGTGGTATGCACTACGACGTCAGATAAAAATTAATTGAGAACAGGCATGGCCAGCCCGTTTCGATCATCTTCTGGTCGATCGCGAAAATTCAATTCTTTGTTTGGTGGTTTACCCCCCTAATCGAGATTGACTGTGCTTGCTATAGGTACGATGTGAAACCACTCCTAGCTATATTTGAGTAGCAGAAATTCCTGAAAGTTAGGAATACTACCTCACAGTAGTGATTTTAATCATCTACAATCATCAGTTCCACCTGAAGTGCAAGGAAAGCTTGAGTCGAAATTCGCCTATGTGCGATACATCAATAATCAACTATCTACGCTTCCCAGTTGGGCTAGAATGCGAAACTATAGGCATATCGTGCTTCTTATCTTATGATCCGTTCATTTACGTGTCTGAATATAGTCACAGTCCCCAGCGAGCTTCTGCTTCTTTCCATCGTCAAGTGGTCACTGGCGGTGATGTCACGGGATTTCAAGTGCAAAGTGAAGGACGAGAGTGCTCAAGCGAAACAAGCTGCCAGTCACCAGGTAGGTACCAATAGCGTAGTATAGGGGACTCAATAACGACAAGTTAATCGCTGCCCTCTCTAAAAGAAGAGGGGTCACAGCAGCCTAGTTATACATTTCCGACCCCTGTCCAGGCCAAGCCACTGTGGCTTATTTGCACCTGACAGGTGATCACCGGCTAATAGTTAGGAGATGATGGTAAGAGCACTGGGCCTTTCTTCTATCGGAGAAAGAATGCTATAATTAGTAGAGATCTACCGACCGCAGTTGCTGATAGATCAGGGTTTTAAGTTGCCAAGTCTACAAGCGTGATGGAAGATTGCTACTAGATATCCAATTTTGGAACTGGTGGTGTGCTCTGTGCAGACTATCAGATGGATTAACATTTTCGGGGTCAGCCCTAAACCAGCTCAGTATAGGTGCCGCCGGACTGGAAAAGTGCCGTTGAGCCTGCGCTGTGTTGGGGTGGCTGTAACCAGCGCTAAATCCTGGGTGATCGAAGATTTGCAGCTTGGTCGAAGTATGATCATGGCTTACATATTGTACTACATCCTTACAATTTAGTTTGCGAATTCAATGAACACTCGCTTAAAGCGTCGAGGTTCTGCGAATTAATTGCTGATCGGATCATGAATTTCCTTTTTTGCTTTACATCGGTCTCATCTTGATTGCCAATAAATACCATGAAGTTTGCGGAGGAGCTTGATCATGAGCTTGTTCCAGGTATGTACTCTTAGTTTACATCTCTTCACCTTGATGCTTTTACACGCCTACTAATGTAAAACTCCCTAGAATGGAGAGCCAACTACCTCAACTATAAGGCCGGGAAACGATACGTCAAAGCTGTTGGTCGTGCAGTTCAGCGTAACCATGGAGCAGCGCATCCCCAAGGACGGGAAATCCTCACCAGCCCCTTCACGGCACATGGTGTCAGACGCGGCGTGAGTGATGGAAGCGAAGAGAGAATAGCCTTCAGAAACAGACCAGTTCTCACGGGCCAAACAGGTCCTTCGGAAGAAGAAGAGCCCTTGAGTCAGTCGTCCAATGAACAAACAGATGGAACTTCCTCCCCGACAGCTCAGTCGCATACATCACCCATCATAGAGACGCGAGTTATGTTTCAGTTCCCAGGAAAGCCTCTCTTAACGCAATCGACAATCCAGTCTCAGCAAAGTCAGATCTTGTCACCTAGGTCCCAACCAAGTCAACGGGATGAGCTTCGAAAATTTCTTCAACCCCTCACCATACCACCACAGCCATGCTTCAATGCTGTACCTCCACACGATGATCATATTGACACCCCAACACCGAGTCAAGTGCGGCGCATGCTTCCGGTGGGCCACTCATTCACTCGGATACAGACACAAAAGCTCGAGGAAAACTTAACTCCGACAGATATATTACGAGTACGAACACGTGAATACTTCAAATTCATGGATAACGAGCTTGAAAAGGTGGAAACATTCTACAGGGAGAAGGAGACACAGGCAGGGAAAAGATTGGAGTCCTTGAGAGAGCAGCTGCACGTCATGCGTGATCGAAGAACTCAAGAGATTTCTCATATGAGGGATGCTCGTCCCGATGATGATACTGATGAGGGACAAGAAGACGAGAGTGAGAGGACTCCACGGTTCTCTCTTCCCATCGCGTCCAGAATCACCAAGCCCGGTCCCAATTCGAGAGCGCTTCAAACCCTATCATTTACACCGATATCCCATTCCACGCACCGAAATCTGGATTATACAAGAAGAAGAGCATCAGTGTCATCCAATACTACCAAGGAAGTCTCCTATCGAACGGCCAAGCACAAGCTGAAAATAGCACTCCAGGAATCCTACCGCGGCCTAGAACTCCTGAAGTCTTATGCCCTCCTCAACCGGACCGCCTTTCGCAAGCTGAACAAGAAATACGAAAAAACCATCTCGCCCAACACCAGACCTAGCTACCACTATATGCACGCCAAAGTCAACAAATCCAACTTCGTCACCAGCGGTGCTCTGGAAGAGTACGTCGAAGCCACCGAAGACCTCTACACCCGCTACTTTGAGCGTGGAAACCACAAACTCGCTGTTGAAAAACTACGGCAACTTATCAGACCCAAAGGCGACAAATCGACCAGCGCGTTCATGAATGGGGCCCTGATCGGTGTGGGGCTGACTTTTGCCGTCGAAGGCGTGGTATGGGGTGTTCAAAAGCTCCACGACGAAGACGAGGACGTTCAACAGCAGACCAGATTCCTTCTACAGTTTTACGGCGGATATTTCCTCATGCTGTACATGTTCGCGTGGTTTTGCCTCTGCTGCCGGGTATGGACAGCGTTCAAGGTCAATTATGCTTTTATCTTCGAGTTTGACTCGCGGCATGATTTGGATTGGCGGCAGCTGTCGGAATTTCCGAGTTTCTTTACGCTGTTGTTTGGGATTTTCATCTGGTTGAACTTCTCGGACATTGGACATGAGGCGATGTTCTTGTATTACCCTGTGCTGTTGATATTCATAACATTGTGTATCATTCTGTTGCCGATGCCAGTGCTTAGGTGGCGGAGTCGGAGGTGGTTTGCTGTTGCCCATGTAAGTTGCGTATTTCAGTTATTCGGGGAGATACTGACGAACTCTTTAAATAGGCGCGCATGTTTTGCGCGGGGCTATTCCCCGTTGAGTTTCGCGATTTCTTTCTCGGCGACATCTACGTCTCTCTTGCATACGCGGTGGCTGTAAGTCTAATCTTTACCAACTTCGAAGTGGTCATTAATAAAATGCCGTAGAATACCGAGCTGTTCTTTTGTCTTTACGCTGTACGCTGGGAAGAACCGATGCAGTGCGACTCGAGAAACTCCCGCCTCCTCGGATTTCTGGCAGCTCTCCCAGCAATATGGCGTGCACTACAATGCATACGTCGGTATCGGGACTCGAAACATGCCTTCCCGCACTTGGCCAACTTCCTTAAATATCTCTTTGCAATCGCAACTGCTGTGGTTCTGTCCCTGTTTCGGATCGATCACAACCCCCTTAGCCTGTCCCTATATATAGCATGTGCCTCAATTAATGCATTTTACGGAGGTAAGCTCGTGTCCTCTTAACAAGTGAGGCCCAGGCTGACATTCTTTCCCTGAAGCTGTGTGGGATCTCTTTATGGACTTCTCCCTGCTCCAGCCGGGGGCGCGTCTAATCGGTCTCCGAGACACCATGGCCTTCGACCAGCCCTGGATGTACTACGGTATCATCGTTGTCGACCCAATCCTGCGCTTCGGCTGGATTTTCCTGGCAATATTCAGCCACAGCATCCAGCACGGAACTATCGTGGCGTTCTTCGTGGCCTTTGCTGAAGTCACACGTAGGGGCATGTGGACGCTCTTCCGGGTCGAGAATGAACACTGCACAAACGTTGTGCAGCAGAAAGTTTTGCGTGATGTTCCGTTACCATACGACTTTGAGAAGGTTGAGACAGCTGAGAAGCGGGTTGAATTTAGCGGTTTCCAACTACGGGCAGCCAGGCCAGCTGAAAACCTTCATCCGCAACAAGATGACGCTGCGACGCCTTTGATGGAAGCTGGCAAGGCTGGGACAAGTGAATATTCCAAGGCTCAAGGAAATACCTCGTCAGGGAGTCTTAGACGGGGCTTCTCCAAGATTCTGGCCGAAGCGCACGCCCAGGACTTCCAGAAGCGGAGGCGAAGACTACGGGAGCCGAATGAGCAGGATAGGGGCATCCAACAGGCGTTGCAAAGTGATGAAGGGTCTGACGACGGTGAAACTGGCTAAGATGACAGTGTCGAGACGCAAACTGAGTCATCTAGGACTAAAACTAGGATAAGGATATGATTGTGATATGACCATATCGAAAATAGTATATATAGATTTGCAATGACGGGGTGTAGCGGCGTTTTACTGAGTGGACATTGACATCGTATCGCTGTTATGAAGGCTTTGTATTTGAGGTGGGCACATTACTATTACTATTACCAGCGAGCCTTTTAGACTTCAAATTGGTACTTATTTCCACCGCTTTTCTGACTTGTGTAATGTGCCAATACTTGGTGATGAAAGGGAGGAGTCGGACAATAATCTTACTTCAGTTAGCGTAGAAATGCGGCATGCCGAACACGGGACGCGGGATGCAGGCTCCACTCGGGGCCACGGCCGTCACTGCCGACTAACCTCATACAACTACTCTCTAACTTCTTGCCGAGGAAAGTGTTGTCTAATTCACTTCGATTTCTTGCTGAATTGAACTGAAAATTTTGCCATAACCCCAAATGATCGCGAGCAGCTCCACAATATGAGTCACTCGCATCGCGTTGCGAATGCAAGTTGGATCCCAATCTCATTCCTGATCTGACGCAACGCTTCATGCGACTCATGGAGAGAACGAGGAACCGTTCACAACAAGCCGCTACAGATACTACACCAGCGACACCTATCTTGATGTCGGCAGCACAGGGATCCGATGCCGACTCAGGCCAACCAGGTCCATTCTACCAGCAAGTCATCGCCCTCTCCCTCACACCACAGCGCTACCAACGCCCCGGCCTCCAGGAAAAAGTCCTCGAGACCCTAGATCTCGGCAAGATCTACATCTACGCCGATGAGTTTACTACCGAAAATCCCGATCTTGGCCACCAGGACTGCGTAATTAAAGGCCTGCTCAAGTTCTTTAAAACGGAATTCTTCACCTGGGTCACCTCGCCCACCTGCTCGCAGTGTGGCAGCGAGACCACAATGTCCGGCGTCGAAGCGCCCAACCCCGGGGAGCTGCGAAAGGGCGCATCACGGACCGAAGTCCACCGATGCAAGGAGCTGCCCCTGCACTTGGAACGCTTCCCGCGGTATAACGACCCGGAGACGCTCCTCGAGACGCGGCGCGGCCGCTGTGGCGAGTGGGCGAATTGCTTCTCGCTGTGTTGCCTGGCGCTGGGCTCGCGCACACGATGGGTCTGGAACGCCGAGGACCACGTCTGGACCGAGGTGTACAGCGAGAGGCTAAAGCGGTGGGTGCACTGCGATAGCTGCGAGCAGGCTTTTGATCAACCGCAGATATACGCTGTGGGATGGGGGAAGAAGATGAGTTATTGCTTGGCTTTTAGCAGCGAGGGGGCGAAGGATGTTACGAGGAGATACGTTAGGAAGGAAGAGCAGGCGCTTTCGAGAACGAGGGGAACGGAGGGAGAACTGCAGAGGGCGATTGGCGATGTTACCAAGCGATGTCGTTCGACTGAAAATGCTGAGAGGTTAAGGGCTGAGGATGAGGCGGAAGAGGTGGAGCTGGCTGGGTTCATGAGTGGACCTACGCCGACAGCACCCGAGGAGGAGAGACCAAGAGAAAGTGGCAATGTGGAATGGAAGGAGGCAAGAGGGGAGATGGGTCGGAAGGATGCAAGTGGGTGAAATTGAGGTCTCTGATGTCTCGTTCACCTGATGTGATTTTATCCGAACATCTCTCTGCTATCAGCCACTTTTTCACTTTGTCTAAGTGTAACTGACAGGAAACGCCGAAGACATACGTGCTGGTGGCTTGACCATTACCTTCTTGGCTTTGAATTGATAGGTCACATAGAATAAATGTCGGCTTTGAAAAGGAACATTCTAGCCTAACATACCAATATCCGACGTGGGAATCAGGCAGTACTAGTCAAATATATTCCTTGGCAACGCTTACTGTGTTATAAAAAGCCAATGATCTCAGTACCTCTTTGGATTGGACTGCCCATTTCTGCATGGCATTCTACTCACTGACTTGTCGGGCAGAGGTCCCCAACAAGGCACCACCCAACCAGCAACGCCCGTCCTAGACTACGCCCCCAAACATGCAGGTAGGATATGCTGATATGATTGACTAACTCACAACACTGGTAACCAATAAAGAACCAAGCTGGTAGTGTATTGAGTATTTCATGGACACTTGGAAAACTTGGCTGTCTTGTTGGCCTCGACGTAAAAGCGTACGCCGGAGTAGTAGATTGTCTCGAAAGCAAGGCAGACCTTATTGTCTGACCGTGGAGTCTCTCTTCTACAAAATTTGGCACTTTCAGCTGATACTCGGGTATATGCTAAGTTAAGACATGAGTCCCTTTAGATTATGTTTGTATGCACTCATGATGGTTCCAGCACTTGACAACTCCTCGTCATCAAACGGTATAATGAAGAAAGAAACCAGACAGTCTGAACATTCCACCTGGATTACCTCGAGGTCAATCTCGACACGGTCCCGTCTTTTTATACTCCTCTCCGGGGTTAATCGTCTATTCCGTTATCATCATACTCTACCTAACTCTTCATCTTACCAAGAACCCAGTCCTCGTACCGAACCTTCTTCCCCTTCTCTCCGACCCATTCATCGGCCCCAGGTTCGCAGAAAAACGGAACACTGAACCTTTCCGTCTTCACGCTTTGCACCCGATGTGAGGTCGCGACAAATTTTCCTCCGCTCAACATTGCCATCAGATCTCCAATATTAACGACTAGGCTCCCGGGCACGTACGGTGCAGGGATCCAATCGCCCGCGGCGTTGCGCCCCTCCAGTCCGCCGGTGGCGTCCTGGACCAGCAGCGTCAGCAGTCCGGAGTCTGTGTGCTCTGAGCAGCTGAGCTCCTGGCTGGGCGCGGACGGTAAAACGGCGGGGTAATGTAGCAGGCACAGGGTGCTGACGCTGTGGGTGAGCAGCTCGGTGAAGGCTTCGCTAGGCTTTTCCAGAGACAGTGCGAGGAGGGCGAGGAGGGTTCTGGAGAGGGATAGGAGTTCTGTGTAGAGAATTTCCAAACGATGTCGCGAGGGGAACGTATATAGAGGAGGAAATACATTAGGTTCGGTCAGGGTAAAGGGGGAGTCGCTTGAGGTTGATGACGAGCGGTTGGGAGTGCAGCAGCCCATTTCGAACCCTTCTTTGAAATTATCACACTGTGCTGAGCAGGGAAATAGCTTTCAGCTATCAGAGGTGTGTTCATAGGTTATTTATGCTAGAGTTGGTATTTACCCTCGATATGTGTTTGTGTTTTGTTTCCTGAAGGACTTCTTGGCTACTGCCATCTTCTTTTCCTCGTCGATTGAAAAGAACTCCCTCGCCAAGCCGAGAATTTCTTCGTTGGAGAAGGATAGTGGCGAGTTGATGAGGTATGCAAACCCCGTAGTTGCGAACACCTCGTGAAGCTCTTTTGCTACGGCTATGAGAGCTTCTTCGGATAGCTCTACGGTAGAAAGCGGCGCGAGGTCCACAATAGGAACAGATACAAACTTTGTCGCCATGTTGATCGCTAGACGAGTGAAAACAGTGTACTGAAGAAATGCTTGCAGCGACGAACTTGGCGGAACAACGCGAGAATGCCGATGCGAAGAACGCTTGGTGGAGATAAAACTGAGACAAGCTGCACCACACTGGGACGTACCAAAAGTGCCTGATAAACAGTTGCCTAGCGAAGGTCCTCACTGTTGGCTTACAAATAGACCACAAATGCACGTACAAGTACAAGAATCTGACATTAGAACGCTAATGCATGTCTGAGGCTTCGCGGACTCTTGGATATCGACCACAGAGCCTTGTGAAGCATTTGGAGATTCGTGTGACCAAAGAGGCAAGCCGGTCGCGAGCCTCCTGCAAGAATGGGGTGATGGGATTCCTTAGAATCGGCAGAAAGCCTTGCAGCCTGATGATCGAGCGGGGTTGACTGACCGTCAGCCACTTAGCTCTCAGCTTGCTCGCTGGGACTTAAGCAGGCTGCGAGGCTATGTGGGCTATATGCGTTTGTCTTGAGGAACTCGAACGATAAGACCTCCGGCTTCCTTGTGTCTGAATCTTCCAATCAGAATGTATCGCGACGGATAAGGCTTGCAAGCGGGGTACTACAAGTGCGCATTCGGGCGAAATGGACATGTTTCCCATGTACTGTCTATAATTACCGGCTGTAGCCTGATATCGGAATCAGTCTTTCCCATGTTTCCTGTACGACCATGGATCCCGAGAAGACCAGCAACGGCCAGAGGGCCGGAGAGGCGCCCGAGAAGTACTCTGTCTTCACCCCAGCCGAAAAGTGGTGCATCACCGCCATGGTGGCATATGCCGCTTCGTTTTCGACCTTGAGCAGCTTCATTTACTACCCGGTCTTGGAACAATTGTCACAAAGCCTGGCTGTTTCAATCGATCAAATCAATCTGACCATTACTTCGTACATGGCAGTCGCGACAGTAGCGCCAACCTTGCTTGGTGACGCGGCTGACGTACTGGGCCGACGACCCACGTACGTGGTTGCTTTGAGTCTGTATGTCGTGACGAACATTTAAATCGCGCTATCGAAGTCGTATATATCGCTTGTTGCTCTTCGTGTAATGCAGGCACTGACAATCTCCGGTATGCCGTCTCTCTCGGTCTTTCCGACTTTGTCGTTCCTGCTAACGTCTGGCTTCAGGCGTCTTCTCGATTGCGTACGGCGTGGTTACTTATATCGCTTCTCCGGCAGAAAGAGGATCATTTGTTGGTGCCGTATCTTTTGCGTAGGTCCAGACTCGATTCTCTGATGATATTTAGCTCAACTCCGTTGGCCAGCGTGACGATCGCGCCAAGTCTGGGTCCGATATTAGGGGGAGGTTTAGCCTATGCCGCTGGTTGGACCTGGATCTTCTGGTTCCTGGGCATTGCCGCATCGTTATGCTTGGCGATCATAGTCTGCTTTTTGCCAGAGACTTCTCGAAACCTCGTGGGGAACGGTTCAATCAGACCGTCGAAGCACTTGCAACTACCAATTCCCGGACTTATGTGTCACTGGAAGGAAAGCGACGTTGTGGCAAGCCATAGGTGGCGACTGCCTAACCCTCTCAGATCCCTGAAGATACTAATCCGCAAGGACAATATCATCATCATTCTCGCCTGCGGCATTCTCTACGTGGTCTACACCTGCATTTGCGCTTCGCTTTCCGTGTTGTTCATAAACATCTATGAGCTAAACCAGTTCCAAGCAGGTCTCATATACATGCCGTTCGGCGTCGGTGGGACTCTTTCAACTTTCTTCTGTGGGCCGCTGCTGAACAAGGCATACCGTAAAGCCAGGACGGAGCACGGCCTTGCTACAGACATTACAGCTGGAGATGACCTAGATAAATTTCCCATTGAGAAGGCTCGTCTGACTGTGATATGGATACCTATGCTCGTAACCACATTGTCTGTCGTGGCTTTTGGCTGGGTGTTGCATTTTCACCAGGTGCGCATTGTCTTGTGTTCGCAGGTTCCCCATGACTCGTTAGCTCATATAGTCCAGCATATCGCAATTCCGCTCTGTATCCAGTTCATTGCCGGTCTCGCCATGCAACTCGATTTCAGTGTAAGTCATGCCTCGAAAATTCATTTCAGCGTTAGAGCATCTAACGGAATGACATCCAGATCTATAATACTCTTCTAGTAGACAAAAACCATCGAACACCAGCAGCTGCTCAAGCTTCTAGTAAAATAGTCCGTTTTGCACTAGCAGCTATTGCAACGGTGTTTTTACAGGACTTAATAGACACGTTAGGCATCGGTGGGACATCTACACTCATGGGGGGCTGTGCCTTGTTATCACCAGCTTGTTTTTAGTTGACTACCATCAGGGGATGGCGTGGAGGCAGGAAGGGCTAAACTTATCCAATGATTGAGAAAACATAGTTCATGCCAGCACCATAGTATTAGGACCCGACTCAGGTTTTTCTGTTATCTGCGCCGAGGAGACGATGAACCAACTGCTATGGCGCTGGGTTTTCACAAAGCGAGTTTCAAATACGCAATTAGGGGGGACACCGACTTTCAGACATCACGTTGGGTCGAGTCAGTCAGTGTGCGGAGCACGTTGGAAAACCCATGGGAAGTCTTGGCATTTCTGCTCAGTGTCCAATAGAAAGAAGCATCACCTGATGCAGAATCAACCAAGTTTTGAGCAGCTTCTAGAAGTGTGGGCTTCTATAGATACCTGTTCCCTGGCGCTCTGCCCTAGTTCCTTGATCTACAAGCTAAATTCAAACCAAAGATGAGCTCCTCACAATCGCAACATCACCATTCGTCGGACACAACAAGCTCCTCTCTTTCCCCCATACGTTGCAGAGAACTAGGCATTCTCTACTTATCCAGTCCCCTGGCAACGCGAAAATCTCCGTACCCAGGCTATGAGGATCATTTTTACCTTGCTGATGGACAAGAGTCGCTGAACTCCAAGCTCGTGATATTGGTAAAGGCACCCCCGGTGGATCTGAACTTGTTGAAACCTGCCAGGAGCAGATCTGAAACGTCCGGGAGAGGAATATCAGGCGGTTGTTGGGTAGGAAGGCAATTGCCAGGGCAATTCGGGAAGATGCGTTCTGGGGGAGAAGGGATGGGGTTATTGTCGCCGGGACGCTCTTCTGATCCTTGTCTGACGTCACAGTCGTTGCGGCGGAAAAGGAGCTCGTGTCAAAATAGAGAAATTTCTTCTCCCTCGTTTTATGACTCAAAGGGGAAATTTGAACCAACACATGCCTTTTGTCGTGAGTTACGAGGACTCGGTCAAGTGATGCCTGGTCCGATGGGATTCCTGGGCCTGGTGGTCCATTATGATAGAGTGGATAGTCGAGTTTGTAATTCTGGCGCTCAACCAAGTTCCAGTCCAGTATGTGAGCGGTCTTTGATGCAAATCCTATCACCAGACCCGGATCCTGAGGATGTATGATCCATTTGCACTCAGCAGTCTGTAACTTTATCGAGTTTGTAACCGAAAAAGATGCGATTGAAATGGTGAGAACCATTGAAGCTGTATGGACCAAGACATGGCTGGCGTCAGATTGAAAAAGTAGCTGAAGAATCGGCCCCTTCGTACTACTTTGCATCGGCAAGATCTTTTGTGGCCCCACGACGGGATCGGAATTGCTGGCACCAGGGCGTATCGATGTGATGAAGATCTTTCTACTTGAGTCAGAAAAGCACAAAAATCGTCCATCGGGACTCCAGGTCATTTGGCCAATGCTGAAATGGTTTTTGGACGTGTGGATCTCTGTAATACCCCCTCGCTTTGTGTCGTGTAAAACCACTGTTCCCTTTTCTGTACCGCAGCAATACAAACGTTCGGTAGGCGATACTGCGAGTACAGTGATAGGGTCGATCCACTTGGGCGTATTCACAGGTACACGGGAGCTTAGAGTGAGACTCTCTGTCTCGCTGTCGCTGTCGCTGCCTTTGCCTGCCTGTTCTGCATATCTCAACAAAGCGTTAGGCTCCCAGGCGTTACCATAATAGCCTCTGATATCGTAAAGGCGACGAAGGTCTGGACTGAAGGCTAAGCCAAGCACGGTATCTTGGGATGCCAAGTGATAGAGAAGGGATAGGCTAGACGTAGTGTAGACCTTCACGGTTCCGTGTACGTCACCGGTGGCAAACAGGTTCCCATCTCGATTGATGGTCAGCCTATTTGCTCCCACAGGAAGCTCGTCGAGTTCTCCATCATAGGGTCCCCATTTGAAGATCTGTCCCGTAGTGTAAAGACCCAAGATCTGTGGAAAATGTGGGTGCCAGACAGCTTCAACCACTTCACCTGGATATTCTGCGTCTTTCCTCCAACAATGACCAATATGTACAGGTCCATCGGTCTCCCAAGCGGAAAGTGGATGGCCACGATAGGCTACAGTAATCAAGGTCCCATCTTTATTCAGAGATATTTGACTTGCGGCATTCAAGAAGTGTCCTTCCAGCTCAGGCTCTTCGAGCTCGGCCACGAGGTTCCAGGCGGGAGATGGGTGGGTCAATTGCAAAGATCGTATCCGCCTGTCATCAGTCCCGACAAGAAGAGTGCTGTTATTCTTCAAGAGCAAGACAAGGGGGCGGAGTCCCGTCTCGATATTCGCAACCGACAATGTGCAGTTCCCCGTTGAAACCTCCCAGACCTTTGTCGTACGGTAGCCATATGTAACAATCACCGTGCCTGTGCTGTTAAGTTGCATCCTGTACACACGCTCTCCGTGCTTGAATGGACTGGATGCTGTCTCGTCTAAAGTTGATGAATCGTAAAGGAAAACGCTTCCGGACGAGACGAGGACAGCAATTTGAGCTCCAGATACCTGAATAAAAGAAGCATAGGTGCGGAAGCCGAACGAAAAACGACCAAGTGAATCGCTTGGTTGCAGATAAGGAGCCGCTGTCCAAGATATTGGCCGAAGTCGGAGGAACACAGACATACGGAAGCAAACATCCAGAATCCAAGAGAGAACCTCGGCTGGCTATAAGTAAGGAGTCGAGACGGAGGAAGATAGAGAGGGCAGAGATCAATGCATCACCGTGGGCACCCCTACCTGAGACCGCCAGTGACCACCCGGTGCTACGTAGGAGGGACGCCCGTTACTCCCCATCACTCTGTACTATTGCCTTCGGCCTAGCCGTACCCTGACATGACCACTCTCGCTTTGTGATACCTCATGTGCTCTCCGTTCGGCGGAGTATCTAGAGAGATGTTTTGACGTTCGAACAAGGACGCCAAGGCGGTTACTGTACGCAAGAATGTGAATCCAAGTTAAAACCCAGTGTCCTTTTAGGAACTTCTTAACGGCTTCAGCCGTTTCGCTACAGTCAACCGGCGCTGCTATCAAGTGAAATGACCAGAAATTGGCCGCATACTCCAGAAACTCTGGCATTTGATCCCGGATGATCTTTGATCTGAGAGCGGGAGCCATAAGACAGCGCATACAGCTGAGAAACATCTGCTTATGGCCTTCCTCACGGTCAACATGAAAGGGACGGGGACCACCGCTGCTGTTGAGCAAGTCCTCGCGAGCGGTTTGATGAATCATTGCAACGTTGGCACCATTATCGACGAGGACAAAGCCACCGCATAGATCGAGAATGGTTCGTTGCAGGTCAATGACCTCCAAGACGTCCTCTTCCAAGGCCTGCGAGAGTTCTGCAACGGTCAACATGCGTAGTGAACAAGTGACACACTGCAAAATAGTCGATGCCAATTTCCTGTCTGTTGGGGTTGGTGTCTGAGCAATGGACGAGGCCATCCGATCGTATAATGCTTCCATGCCAACTGGCAATTCTCGAAGCGCACGTTCAACATCCGGTTGAGTGTAGCACATGTTCAACTTATCAACAGCGAGTCTTACCCACTGGTCCTTCAATTAGTGTTGCTCGGCAGAACCCAAAATAAAATGACTATTTCAAAGAAGTTGGGGGTTCTTACGAGGAAATTATTCTGCGCTCCATCGACGATCCGCTGCACGAGATCTTCTTTGAATCCAGCGTCTCCAGGCATGTTCAACTCCTGGTGAATGTAACGTCAGAAGTCTTCCAGGTGATCCCCAATACTCATAGTAGTGGGATGAAGTATAGTCGGAATCCTCTGGAAGGCGGAAGACAGCTCGTTGGTTCTTCGACTTACAAGCAAGATTCGTACAGGTAGAGACAAGGAAGAGATGTCGGAGAGTTGTTTGAGAATGGCCCGGGGATCATCGGCTTCATCAAGGCCATCTATGACCCAGAACAATGGCTTCCGAATTTCCGTACTGGACAAAGCGGTCTTGATGACGCAGTCCCATATGGTTCTCGAGTCTGCAGTTTCAAAACCGATAGCTTCCTCGGCTAGTTGAATAACATTTTGCAGAAAACCAGGCACGCTGAGTGCTATCTGATACGCTATTGAACGAAGGATGAGGCTCAGTGTTCGTTTTTTTCGGTCACCGAATCGTATGAAGAAGTATTGACAGCAGGCGTCTTCCTTCACGAGACTGTTGATTATAAATGAAGACAAGACTGATTTTCCACTTGCGGCTCCGCCAGTTAACCAGAGGAGACGTGGCGATGGGTCCTGGGAGTGTAGCCATTCGAGGTAAGTCTCATTTTGGAGAATCCAATCACCGGTTCCCTCTACCCACTGGTCCCGGAAAAACGAGTAGTCTATGCTTGGCAGTTCTGTTATGGCGAGCACTGACTTCAAATCATGCGACTGCTTTCGGTTCGATACCAGCCCCTTGGACCGTGAACTTGTCGGATTGCTTGAAATGATCTTGCTGAGGAGTGACTTGAGAGCATTTCTGACGGTTATGTAATTCGGATCTTCAGGGCAGTCGTATTTGCAGACACCATGGTGGTCTGCATTCAATGCCTTGGATGTCTCTCCGGGGTATCCAAGTACGGAAGAATCCTTCTCCAATACCATCTTTTTGGTTGTCAGTACAGCAAAAGATAGTTCTCTCGACTTGGACTCACAACTCGGGCACTTTTTAGTCCAAGTGAAGTAGGCTGAGTTGCGTAAAAGGAAATAATGTCCAGTCTCGGTGCAATGTGACGGAACTGTTCGTTGAGCTTTTGCAACGTGAACGAACTTCTGGTTAGCTCAGAAATATACTGCTTCGAGTTGGTGACGAAGGTTGACTGTAATATACGATTCAAGGTATTGGCGAGGTTTGTACCACGGTGTGGCGTCGCAAGAAAGGTGATGGCGGAGATAGCCTTGATTATTGACTCATATTCGGGATCATTCTGGCCTTGCATGTATGCCTTCACATTGTCAGCGTAGCCTAGAAGCATTCATATGATCTCTTACCTCCTTGACGATGAGGCCTCCCATGCTGTGCGCGACAAAAATCAAAGGCACCTTGTTCGAGATTAGACTCATAAATTGATATGAGGTCAAGATATACATGACTTCACCTACGTGTCCGATGTCTAACTCTTGACCCTGCCCATCCCTGGCATATTTGAGGTCAAACAGCAAGTCCTTGGCAAAGTCCAACACTGAGGTATTGATGTTTCCTGCTTTGCGAAAATCGGCATTGTATCCAAAGGTCAGTATCCTGGCCAGGCAGAGGTCAGACTCGATGGGCAGGAATGTTAATGGCCAGAATAACGCGGGGTTCGTGTGTTTGGACCAAGTTCACATACTACTTCCCCCGAGACCATGTACGAAGACAATATCGGCCTTGTGGCCATTTGAAGGGCAGTAGACGACATTCAGGCCAAGTGGCCCAGGGTCCGTGCTTTTTTGTCTAGGCTGGACGCTCGATTGTGATTATCGCCGGGACTGGATACTATCGTGGGCTGTCTTGGCTTCCGAAAGGGAGGGAAGAGACACCCCAGAATCCTCTGGACTTACGCCGGCATCGGTGGACTTCGATCTAGATTGACCCTGTGGCCGGCGATCATCATTGCTGCCCTTTTTCCTAAGAGCGGAAATTTTTCTTAACTAATAGTGATGGAAGAGCAGTCAGTTATCCTGTTGGTATTGAAGGGCCGTTGGGGCTGCGTTCGCCCACTTACCATGATCCCTCAAGTTGCCCAGAGTGGACGGCGTGCAGCGACTCAGTCAGTGAGCGGAGGCTTTTCTGCCGCTAGTTTGCGTAACACGTGGCTCGATCAGATATGTATAATAGAAGAGTGTCGCCATTACAGCCGCCGTACAACCCGAACAAGACCTTTCGACGTAGAGACCTAGAGTAAACGGCAAGAAAAGAAGAAAAATTCTAGTACAGACCTCCAGCACGCTAGATATCAGGGAAAGCTCGGAACTCAGCTGAACATCTAAGCTGGTTGTGGAAATTTGTCGGCACGTGTGATCTAGGTTAAGGCGGCTTATGGATGCCGATAGGCGAACAACATTGACCAGGAAAACAGATCGGCCGCTTTTCTCCTTTTCCCTCTTCAGGATGAGAAAGGGCCGAATGAACTTTTTGGTAGACCCTTGGAACCTCATGTTCGTTTTCAGCATCTCAAGTGTCAACCAATCTATCGCGGAATTTTGGTTCCAGGTTGATATAATCCCTCAATCTTCTGGCGTTTTCTGGGACTCATAGAGACCCCTGGACCTACCGTGGTGCTGCGGGCAGGCAAGTTCAAACGGTCACTCGGCAAGCGTGCCATGCGGTGCATCAAGGTGCTTCGCCAAGGTCTACCCTGTGTGCACAGGTGCTACATGGTAGCCTTGTACTCGTGCACATGGCAAATTATTAAACTTGCACGACTCACAAAACGAGGCCTCCAGAAGAGTCTGTGGGATTCGATTCCTTGTCACGGCTGCTGCAGATGCAACACTCCGTCGAAGGCCCCTCTCTGCCTAAAGATACCGAAGTACGTCAAGTGTTGCGTTGGTGTCAAACTGCCAATCTGGATGTAATAAACTGTGCAATATGTGGAATAGCAAGTGCCACTTTCGCGGTTAATCATCCTATTACTTATTACTGGAATGTCCCAGTAATTCTATGTATTGTAGGATAATTTCCATGCCTATGGTACTTTTTCGAGGTCATTTCACCAAAACTACGCATTTTGGAGTTTCGCACATCTCCGGGGGGAGGGAGGGCCGGAAGGGGGAGCCAATCATCCTAATCCACGTTTTTGCAGCCTACAGGTAGCCGCCGCCGCCGAGAAAATACCTAGGCTGACTGGACTGAACGGGTGAACAGGGTACCTGGATGAGGCATAACTCCGCATAGCCCATATTCACCTTATCTACGGATAATCGCTGCTAAGAGCATACCTACATCAGTCTGGCTGGGCTTACTAGTTACCCAGGTATGCAGGTTCCTCAGACAACGGCACTCACGGATTCAAATACAACCATATAAGTCAGCATAGAACAAAGTAAGGTCGCGAAAAGCATTGGCGACGGCCAACATCGGTCTTTAATAACACCACCTTCCTTTCAACGAATTCAACTAGCTCGTATTGCAAGGCCGCCTGAAACTGTCACGCGGCTTGGTTTGAGAACCGAACCATGGCAGATCCTTCTGATGAATGGTCTATTGGAGTGTGGGTAAATGGTCTTGTATTGAAAGTGTCATGATCTCTGGAGAGTCCTGAGAGAAGTGAAGGGCGGCCATAGGGGCCTTATATAGGTAGAAATGACTGATGCCTGCCCCACAGCCAGGACTTGTGTGGTTCAATGGGTAGAGGTCATATTGACCCATACTTCGTACGGTTTGCGGCTTTACGTTCCTCCTTTGACTTAGCAGTCTTGACGGAGTAGCCTTGAAGGTCCGACATGGGCCTCGGGGATTGAGGGAAATTTCCCACTTCACAAGACTATTGTCCAAGGTAAGGATACACGCTAGAGAAGCCCAGTATCCAAATGCTGATGGAAGGACTCCGATTTCGTAGTCATGCCGCTTGGAACAAAGGTCCTCTCTGCAGTCTCTTCTGGTGTGTCTGTCTGGGCAAAGACTGCCAAGATCTCTGTCATGGAGCCAGACGGCAGTCCAAAAAGATATTTTCTCAAGGTACCTTTCTTTGCCTTGTTATATTTTACCTATCAATCACTTTGTACTGTCTAGGTTGCATCAGGCTGGAGCGCTAAAGCCTTGGTTGAAGGCGAATACGAATCGCAGAATGCCATCGAGGAGGCCGTAGGTCCAGGATTTGGGCCGAAGGCTCGAGGATGGGGAGAGTTCGACGTCGGCGGCACTCACCACTACTTCTTCTTGGGAGACTTCCATGATTTGGATATGGCTACAGCTCCGGAACCTGCTCAGTTTGTGGAGAAGATAGCACAGCTCGATCAGAATGGAAGGTCGCCGAACGGAAAGTTTGGATTTCATTGTCCCACGGTCTGCGGCATGATGCAACGGACAGTACCCTGGGAAGAGAAGTGGGCTGACTCCTTCACTCACTTGCTTAAGGATGTCATCAGGTGTGACAATGATGCCAATCCTCCGTGGCCCGAATACGATGTTGTCTGCCAAATTACTATAGACAAGGTTATACCAAGGGTCCTAGGGGCTTTGCAGTCAGACGGTCGATCTATTGAACCCGTATTAATACATGGCGACGTCTGGGAACAGAATGTTGGAATTGATATGGAGACGGGCGAAACCCTGGTCTTCGACCCTGGTTGCACGTACGCTCACAACGAAATGGAATTCGGAACTTGGAAAGGCTCCTGGGCCTTATATTTCAACAATCCGATATACCAGCGACTGTACCAGTGCCACATCCCACCTTCCGAGCCAGCAGAAGAGTGGGATGATCGCAATCGGATTTACGCTCTCCATATCAATATCAATGATTCTGCAGGACATCCGGGGAGCACATCAAGGCAAGTGTAGGTATTACTTCTCAATTCGTCACCATGAAAGAGGACTGATAAAGGGTTGCACAGTGCCTATAACGATATGTTGTACCTAATTGAGAAATATTTCCCAGATGAAGCGGAGGGCCTCAAGAAATATGATCCTCAGAAGGATATCACTGTTACAGGGGCCTATGTTCCACATGTCGTACACCAGTTAGAGTGAAAAGGAATCTCTGAAAATATAACATGTTCGACGAGTGAGTAGTTCACTGGGAAACAAACAAACCCAACTTAGTAATCATGTTTAACTCGGCAAATTCTTTTGAAAATTTATGAATTCGGTTAGCCATGCATTCAAAGAAGATAGTTCTCAAAAATGTTTTGAAAGTCTACTCTGAATATGAATGCTCAGTATGTGGAGAGAGACAACAGATCCACAATGGATGTATCTAACCTACATGGTTGGACAATAGGGCTCTCGATATGGAAGGCTTAATGTAGGTCTGGCAAGGCTGGCCAGAGCCAGCTGGTACGGTACGTGCAAGATACTAATGATAGCGCCCTGGCCAAATACCATCAAGATCAACTCATCACAACCCACGGGATCTCTGTGTTGATATTGTCACCACAGCAGAATTCGGAGGTTTAGTGGTTTATGGTGGTTAATGCACAAAAGGTGGACTTGAGCCGACCTGGAACGCATGTGGTTTGCCCAAAGCGTATAGTCGGGTTGTAGTCAGTACAACCTTCCTCGACCTCAAATATTTTGTTTACTCAGTCTTGAATTTGGAAATACATAATTCTAAACATCTGAACTAGCATGCGAGCTCTTGTGCACCCTCCTTTCAACGTAGATAGGCCATGAATGAGGAACCAATGTGAAATTAGCCCTCCATTTCCACTCTTGACTCTTGTCCACCTGACGAATGTCGTAATCCCGTACGATCGTCGCCGCAATCTTGGAAATTTCAAGCTTAGCGATATTGTGACCGGGACAGGAGTTATAGCCAGCTCCAAACTACAGTTGAGCTCATATTAGTATATCTCCAGGAAGAAAGTATGGATTCTGGGCATGGGTACTCACTGGAATGAAAAACTTCTTCTCCAGTTCTACCGCATCCTCTCTGAACCAACGATCCGGGTTGAATTCCCGCGCATCTTCGCCCCATATCTCTGTCGATAAATGAACCACCCACGGGCTAATGGAAAGAATGGTCCCTTCCGGAAACGTTCGATCGCCAATAGATATCCCGCCCGCTGGCGCCGTACGCGGTAATCCCATAGGAACCGGATGGAAGAACCGCAAAGCCTCCTTGATACAAGCCTGCAAATACGGCAACTTCTGCGCATCTGCATATGTCACAACCTTCCCTTCACACATCCCCTGTTCTTGCGCCTGTTGGATCTCTTCTCGCATCCTCCCGTAATAATCTGGATTCCGTATAGTGTAATAAATGAACGATTGCAACGCGCAATTCACCGTATCGGCCCCCGCCCCAACATTATTCGTCGCCTGCGCATAAATATTCCTCATCGTCAGGCTCTTCGGCATCTTCTCATGCGTTCTGAACCAATGGGCCACAACATCAAACCTCGCATCTACATTCTTCTGACGTTCATCAACGGCTTTCATTGCGGTGTTGTACACGTGTCCCATAGGCAGAATCTGCAGCCACGTCATAACGGGGTTGGTAAGTAACAAGGTACATAACTTTTTGTAGAAGCTCGCGAATGCGATGAATAAGCTGAGGTACCCGGAGTTGGCAATGGAGTGGTCGATATCGTATCCGGCGGTCAGGAAGCCGAAGGGCTTGGAGAAGATTACCTCGCCGACGATATCGAAGGTGGTGTAAGCTAGGTATTCGTCGAAGTTCATGGGCTGATTGTTTGAGGAGAATTTATCCAGCCATCCAAGTAAGAGCTCTATGTTGCGATTTATGGCGTCTTCTGACCGGAGGATATTGGCTGGCGAATTGTTAACATAGTACAAGGAGAAGAGTCATGAAGATGACATACATAGCGTGTATCCCGAAGAGAGAGCTTTCGAGAGCGCGATCTTAGCCTTTGGATCCGTGACGGACATAGGAGCTACGAATCGGTAATCCGGAAGTATAGTGCCGGAATACCAATAGCCCTTGATGAGCCTTCTTGTCAGAAGCTGCCTATCAAAACTGAAGTAGCCGCATGGACACCAACCTTGGGAATAGGAGCCAACAGAAGCTTCTTGATGCCATCCAGATGACTAACACTGACTTCATCGTCGGCGATGCGAACAAAGTGGCCTGATGTCGCTCAGCAAGTGATGTTATCGGATAAGGAACTTGTTTGACGAAATACCATGTTGATCATGCAACCTGATGAGCTCCAAATTCTGGTCTCCAGCAAAGATTTTTCCTACGTGCCACAACCGAGTGAACGAAGCTAGAAAAGGACCTGGAATGTCGCGGAGGGGCGAGCAGTATCGGCGCCAGATGAGCAAGCTGATAAGGCCGAGGCACAACTCGATGCCCAGTAAGGGCGAACTGAATACGCTTAAATCGGCCATAATCGTGAATCTCACTTTTGTCACGGACAATGCCCTAAGGAATAATGACACGGCGGAGATTGGAAGGAAATGTGAGCATCGGCATACGTTCCGTCCTAGTCGTTAATAAGTATGCTTGCGGAGACCCTCTTCATTTCACGAATCCTCCCCCAATTGGGTAATAAGCGTGGCGCTAACTGATTGTAGCATCATCTAATTTACCGGGCATCCGCATGTATGTGATAAGAAGACGACTGTAAGCTTGATTGGTCTGAGATTGGTCTCAACCGTCATTGTATCGCCAAGTTGCTGCACTAGCTAAGCCGCGAGCTGCGGGTTTCGAGGCACTATCTGATTTGAAACTTGTATTGGTCAAGGGGGACGTACTGAGCCGTCGATGTAGTAGCTTGCCGCTATGAAACTTTATTGCTCACAGATCCAAATTCGGGGCTTCTCTGAGAGGACCGCAAGTTCTTCCACGCGCCAGGTTCTTGGTCCTTGTTTCGAATTGGGCAGGTGGTCCATAGGTTCGTGTCGTTTCCGATATTGATACGTTTCAGCGCAACTTCGCATCTCTGGATTGACCGAGCTCTGAACAGTATACGCCGGAGGCCTGGATATCACAACGAGAGCCCCGGGGTCATGCCGTCCGTAATAGGCTTGTTGCTGGACTTTACTCAAGTGTTTCTGCAGTTCTCGCTACGATGACGGTGTGAAATTACAGTCTAAAATTGAGTGTGAAATTCTCGTGACTCTCACCACTCAAAGATATGTCGTGAGTGTAATGCTTCGCTACTCCCCCCTTTAGCGCTTTCCTGTGGCTGGATCAACGCGCCACCAGTGTAAGGTCAGACCCTTGGTTCTGACTAACAACTGTCCCAGCTCTTTGGACTCTGCCATCTTCATCAATTTCTTGAAACGTTCTAAAATATTACTCCCCAACTTCCATGAAAACATAAAACACTGCAATGCTTCTTCATTCGCGACATCATGGGAGGCCAGAATTTTCAGTCAGATTGATTCCTAATGAAACGGCGCCTAGGGCCAATTTAAGCAACGGGCATGCGTCCTGCGAACTACTTGACTTCGATACACGCAGTCTTCGATAATCGCCCCTGGCAGTCCATGTCGCTATGAGTACAATCTTTCCTCTGGAGACACCCTCTCAGAAAGCCGTTGTTGCAGTCGCAATAATCTTCAGTATACTCCCGGCTACAGCAGTTGGGCTTCGAGTTGTGGCCAAGCGGATCGTTCACCGCGGTTTGGACTGGAGTGACTATCTGATAGTCGCAGCATGTGTGCGTTGCTGTGTTTTCCCCGGGGCGTCCTCAAGATGCACCATTCCGTGTCCAAAACTAATACTCTCCAGGCGATCGTGGTGATTTACTGGGCTTCTAGCATAACTTGTAAGTTTTATTCACATCAACACATTCTGTGTTGCGAGGAATAGTGTGTTCTCACACTTCAACCTGCTTAGCGGTTGTGGTGGGCGGCATGGGACTACACGTCGAGGATGTCAGGGAGACGTACGGACCAGAACCCATCGCGATCACCTTCAAGGTATGTAAACTGTCAACTACAATGTTCTAGCGTCGACAAGGACTCATCCGTTATCGCAGATAATATTCGTGAACCAGTTGTTATGGGCTCTAAGCGGGGGATTCTCTAAATCTCCATTCTTGCCCTATATACACAACTCTTCCCGACCAATCCGATGCTTCTGCTTACCAAAATTACGGCTGCCGTCATTATAATATTCGAGTTATCCACGATTCTGGTCACTTTTTCCATCTGTCAACCTGTCGAGATGAACTGGAACCCGCTTACCCCAGGGGGTCACTGCGGCAATCGAATATTGTCGTTCCGCCTCATCGGTGCGGTAAATGTCATTACAGACTGTTTCATATTCATCTTGCCAGTGAAATATTTGATCGCCCTCCGCATTCAGCTGCATAGGAAGATTGTCCTAATTGCAACATTCACATTGGGTCTGTTGTAAGTCTCACTTTTGAAAGCTGAAGAACACCCCTGGCGCAGAATTCTTCCCACGGTGACTAACACCAGTTCATTATTAGCACCTGCATATTGAGCATAGTCCGGATAGTGATACTCTCCGAAGTTGACTTCACAGACGTCACACACAGTCTGCCAGACCCAGTTATCTGGAGCGGTCTGGAACCCAGTGTCGCCGTGACACTGGCCTGTATACCTCTCTTGCGTCCTCTTATTCGAAGACGGACTTACTCGCAGCAAGGATCAACGACGCGTCCTACCATTCAATTGAGCTCAGTAAAAAATGATGGGACTTTGGACCAGATGCGCGGGAATAATTTATCACAATTGCACCTGACACCGCAAGAAGTCCATGCGTATACTGAGGTTACGGTCAGCACTCGCAGACGGTCCGGTACGTTTTGCCGTATTGATCTCAGTGAATGGTTGGATTTGCAGCTGGGTGCGGTGGAGGTGGGTGGTGTGGCGGCTATTGCTGTTAATAGGGAGTGGAGTGTTGAGTCGAGACGTAAGTCAATTATAGGTGTTGCGCAAAACTACAAATAAAACACATGTATTAATATCTCTTAGATCATGCAATGAAAATATCAAAAACGATGCCGAAGTTTGAAATATGCAAAATACGCCCGAGGAGGAATAGTATTAAAAGGGGCTGTCTTAGAAGTACCCTCATCAGCAGTATGCAAAAGCTTCCACATCAAGAAATAGCAAAATATGATAACGACTTGACGAAACTAAGCATAAGTTTTCGACAGCGTACTAACATTGGATATTAACTTATGGACAGGCTTTTGAGCCTTGTTTTTCGGATTTTCGAATGATTTATGCAATGAGTTTGCTGCTCAAGGATATGAAAGGACCTAGACAATTAAGGTAACATTCACCAGGCTCGCAAGAAGAAGCCGGAAGCAGAGAAGAATTGAGTGTTCGTTATTTTTTCTTATTGAGGCTCTAATTTCTTGATAGCCTGTTGAGGTCTTATTCTGTTATTCGTGCCTGTTAAAGCCATTGCTCGTACCTGTTGAGGCGCTTTCTATTGTCCACCTGTTGCGGTGATTCTTTTAGGATTTGTTGGGGCTCTGGTTTTTTCTGCCTATTGAGGCTTATTCAATTGTTCTTACCTGCTAATACAGTTTTATTTATGTAATCAGGTTGACAATGCTCTTGGTCTTTTCATTATCTTACTCGTCCGGACAGTAGATCTTGTTAGGGATCTTGTTGTCCGTCTCTATTATCTTCACCTCAAACCTTGAGCATTTACTGCTCATCGACAATGCATATATACATATAATGGCTAGATGAAATACTCAAACAATATATACGGTATTGTGGGAAGTTGTGTGCTCAGGTGTGGAGGGGTACGAGGTAGGCAGACACGCATTGCAGTATTTAGGGACCCCTCAGGGCCAACTTGGAATTGATCCCTCACGCACCTTCATAGTACCAATACAGCCCCTAATACCTGGATCCCAACAGTATCTAATAAAATAGAAAGACTACCTACTGGCAGATAAATCTCGGGAAAATGTTACAAGTTCAACAAAATACCACTAGAAGCTTCTACAGTACTACAGTTAATAACGGACGGCGTGTTGCAGGCAACTATGACCCAATCAATGTCAGAATGCAAACAACGCGAGCCATTGTCCTTCACAGAGGCTACCTGCTGTAGTTCTTCACAAATACTTCCCTGGGTGCCATCAGAAAACACTTCTATGTTGGCGTCAACCCGTACATTTTGTATGGTGAATTACTTGACATTTAAATACCAGGGTACGTGACTTAACGTCAAGAAACTCGACCGTGAAGACTGCAATGGTCCCGAGTCCTCGATGCTCCTCCATCACTTGGAAAGTTCTGCTTTCTTTGAAAAACAATCAGCCTTTGGAATTCGAGCTGATAAAAATCGTCGATCATCTCAGGAATCCACATAACTTAACAGTGATTTCCAAAGCGTTCACTCAGTCATTATGTCGCGTCCCCTAAAGTCCATTCCCCCTGCGTAACTGTATATTCTGAGTTCTCATAGTTTGACGCGGTTCGAACCTGACTTACTTGATGGGAAGGCCCCAATTATAGTGCATTCGCCTGTGGGACAAAGACAATATGTATCGTCTCTCTTGAGCTGCTCACGATATAAACAGGCATGCGAGGCCAGGAAACTTCGGCTCAGGTTGAGCTAGGTCATGATGTCCAGGGAAGTTGCGACTATATACAGTACCCGAGTCTGGCCCAGAGAGCATCGACCAACACTGAAAGCGACGTTTACACAGTAGCACCGGCCAGTGAGGACTTCTCAGTTGACCAACATGCCCAAGGGACCAGTAAGAATGACTCTGCCATGAAAATTCCGGATTTCACAGTTAGTCGTCAAACTAAGGAAAATTTCACTGGTTCCACAGACGCTTTGATGTCCTATGATGATGGACGCGACAACAGGATCAACAGATCGTCCACTGCCCCAACTGTTCATTGTAATGAGAAAGGCAGCAGAGAATCGAATGACGCAGTTCAGGGAAACCACAGTCACAATTACACCAACTTCTCTCTAGTACGAACTATCTGCTATGGTGCAGAGACTAAGATCTGCAGCATCATTGCACAATAAAACGAGACCCTGAAGGCAAAGCAACATGAGCTTGTTGCCTCACTACAAAAGGTCCATCCTCTCATTCAGCAACTGAAGCCCCTGCTCGATACTTGTGAGAAGTTTTCACAAGATGCACATGAAATCCACCGGGAAATGGACGTCCTGGTGTCAAAAGAATTCATCAATGTGTCCTTCAATCTGGACTCACTTCGTAAGACCGGACTGGTCGAAGGAGAGTCCATATTTCACATGATCATGAAGCTCCAGAACGGCGTTCCAGCATGGCTTAAGCCTGGACGTCTCTACAAGTATCCGAACTCTACAAGAAGTCGTGACACTGTTATCAAAGCACGAGGGATTAGATGGATCAGTCAAAGATGAGAAAATTCCGTCTCCATCGGGCTCGAAGCCAAGCAATTTGCCCAAGCCAAGCAGTGATCCTAAGCATATCGGTATTTCCGAACCAAGCAGTGTTCCCGCAACAAGCGTTGTTCCCAAGTCAAGCAGTGCTTTCAGACCAAGCAGTGTTTCGAACCAAAGCTTTGTTCTCAAGTCAAGCAGTGCTTCGAACCTAAGCTTTGTTCTCAAGCCAAGCGGTCTCCGCAACGTACCCAAGCCGCAATTGAAGCGAAAGAGACACCAGCAGGTAGGAAATCACAACTCCACAATCAGGCTCCTTCTTGACCCACAGGCCATAGTGGACGAGCCCGCAATTATGATTACGCACATGGACCGTTGTGCAGATGAGATAGCGAGCGACGAAGCCATAAACACGCCGGTTTGACCGCATGTAGGAATAACTCTCCGTCCATGACCCTCGCGCCACAGCTCTGTTGGGCCGCGGCGTTCGGGCACCACATGCTCATGCCGGCGTTGTAGTGGAGTTGGCGGGCTGCGACCTGGGTACCTCGATGTAGGCATCGAGAGCGAAAATGGGGCGAACGCTGCCGTAGAGGTGCCGTTTCGTGACTAGATGGGCGTATTGGAACGACACACGATAGCTATCGCCGCCCATAAGGAGATGGATATACTGAGGGGTTTCCCATCCAAAAGATAACTTGATCAGTGTCGGTGCGGACGCTCCAGTCCTCGGACCAGCGACGGAGTTTTCGCGTAGCAAGCAGTAGTAGTACAGATGCGCAAGGTCGCGCTCAAGCAGGAGGAAAATGGGGCAGTTTGGCATTCCGCAGGCGGAGGCTGAAGAGGTTGCATATGTGCATGGTTTTGCAGGAAAGGGAGAGCGCCGCGGCGCTACTAGCGCTTAGGCTGGGGACATTTCGTGGATGAGACCAACGGGGAGCTGGAAATGGCTGAGGGGAGTTTATGGCTGATAGGTCTGGAGTCGGTAGGCTTTCTGAGGTTGATACTGTTGTCGTTGCAGCTTGGGGCTGTGGCTTGTAGTTGCGCCGAGTGAGAATTTTTTGGTGTTGTTGGAAGTAGCTGTAGGAACGGCGCTATTTATTGTCAGCAAAGCCAACGGGGGACGTTTTTTATTTCCCTTCTACCAGTCACCAAGTTGAGAAACAAAAATCGGCAAGGTAATGGTTGGTGACAAACGCTATTTCATTCCCCATCCGCATCCGTGGGCCTATTTAACCTTGCTCATAATTGTTTCCGGTCCCTAACAACATCCATCTGTGCCGCCCTGGCTTTGACTGCATTCAACATACTCCTCTCAAAGTCATCCCGCGATCTCAGCACAGCCTCGACCCAACTAATCTGCAAATCCCAATACGCGCTCTTGAAGTCCTGGAAGACGTCCGGGATGGCGTCCTTCTCCGACGTGAGTAGCTGCATGAACCGCTCCGTCACGCGCCACGTCTGAATGATGGTGGCGCTGGATTCCGGGTTGGGTAGACTGCGGAAGAATTCAAAGGCAGTCGAGATGTCGTTGAAGACCTTGTCTTGGAACGGGTCGGTACGGCGGAACTTGGCGCCCTTATTGCGCACACTCATGAGGTAGCGTACCAGCAGCTCATTTCCGAAGATCTCCGTAAAGAGGTCCACCAAGGAATGATGCAGAAGCAGCTTGTACTCACCGACGTACTCCTCGAATGTGATGACAAGTTGCTTCATCGTGGCCGTCTCATACCACTTGGTGGTGAAGAAGATGGGCATCGCCGCTCTAAAGTCGACCGTGAATACGAGATTGACAAATTTGTCAAGGCACCACGTGCTGAAGTCGACGTATCCGTCTCTGAGTAACTCGACTTCGTTTTCGGCACGCTCCAAATACGGGGGCGTCACCAACGGCTCGAACTTTTGCTTGAAACTCGTTAGGTAGGCAAATCGATCCTCACCCTCGTTGTCATCAATGCAGGCGATAGCGTCGTTGGTAGTAGCAACGAGCCAGTCCTGAAGGGTGTTCAAGCCCTCGAACTCTGGTTCTTTGCTGTTTTCGTACTTCTCTGCCTCGGCTTCGAGCATGGTCTGCAAGGACTGCTGCCGACTTCGTAATCGCAGGAACATAGTATCTATCACACCCTCTGCGACATCGGTTCTGGCCGAGTTGCCCGCCGCGTCGACTTGCTCTCTCAACATGCGCCACATGTCGACCATGTTCTTCGTCCGTAGATAGCCGTATTCATCACTATCCAGGTTCGCGCCTTCCACATTCCGATTCGCAAAGTCTCTTCGCTCCTGGGAGAAAATACGCTCGATCCATTCATCGAGGAATTTTACGATGAGCTCGCGGAAGCCCTTGACCAGCTCTCCCTCTCTGTTGTCGATTATATGAGGCGTCAGTTCAGATTCTTGGAATCCGAGCTTTTTCATCTTCTTGTAGTACTGTTCTGGCCAATTGATAATCGCTAGTGTATTTGCTGAGCTGGCCTCTGGGTCATCAATGATGCCCACCAGGAAATCGTGCATTAGTTGATGGTAGATACCGCCATATGTTTTGAGGATCTTCCACTTTTGGGGCATAAGTGGTACCATTGCTTGCTTCACGGCATTCAGATCATTGAAGTACCATTTCAGCAACTTTGACAGACTCTCCGGGTCTCCCAGGAACTCGTCCCGGATATCTGTGAACTGCCTGTCGCAGCTCAATTTGATGGCCTGGAGGAACTTGTCCTTGTATCCTCGTACCTTTTTGGCCCCTTCCGTTATGGCTTGGAATCGCGTCGCCATCTCCTTGTGGTCCTTCAGCGCCTCCTGCAGTGCTTCGACCCGTTGATCACTCTTTTCCTCCGCCTCCACAATTATGGCTAGTCGAACGATCAATGCCGAGTTGTCCGCGATGAGCAGGTCAATTAGACTGATGGCGATAAGACCAACATGCTCGTCAAACCAATCAATCGCGTCATCCAGCCTCGAGAAGTAATCCTCCAATGTAGATTGCAGACTCGGATCATCAGCTCTCTGTATCTGCTCGATGGCATCGTCCCGAATATTTCGCAGCTGCGTCAGCTCGTAGTGGATAGGCAGCAGGTTGGGCATGTTGTCCTTGTCCTCCTCGTCTTCTCTTAACATGTTCTCGACTCCATTAACGCGTTCATTGAACAGCTCAAGATTCTTGCGCATGGCCTCTACGGCAACAAAGTTGCGGTGCGCCTGCGACACGAGGTTGATGCTGGCAAAGTCCTTGATCATGTTCTGCGACTCTGCGCACAGCCGGTCGATCTTCATCATTTCGTCCTTGATGGCCTGCACCGATTTCTGCCCGTCAGAGAGACCTGTCATGCCAGCCTGGGTCGTCTCGAGTTGTTCGCGTAGGCCACCCCGCAGCTGAGAGTCGACGGCGGCTTTCTTGCGCGTGAATTCTAGCTTCAGTGCGGGGATCTTATCGAGGTCATCCGGGTGGCGGAGGAGCTCCGAGAGCTTGACTGGCGGTGCATCCATCTTTTCGAACGGGTGCCACTGCGGCAGTTATTCAAATTGAGCTTCACACCATCACAAGAAGCACGTCAAGGTGTAGATCCAGCGTGGGGGTAATTGGGGATTCGTCGGCGATGTTGAAGGGATCTGGGTTTACAATGGTAATGACTGCTGAATACAAGGCGGACAGGGATGCGGCTAAAGCGACGTGTTCCACAATAGAAACACGAAAGCGCCCCATTGTGGCTTATCCATAGAGGGGTGCAAGACGCCCAGGCACGAACTAATGTATTCAGGGACCCCCCGGGGACCGGTTGGGCAGAATCCATTTGCGGGGTGCATGGTAACTCAACGCGCTAATAGGTAACGTTCCCTCAGCCAAGCAAGATTAACTCTACTTATACTACCTTATATTGGACGGTCGGAAAACCAAGTAGAGTTTGTGATCCATCTGATAAAACGATCTCTGCGAAACAGTCTATTGACTTTAGTGAGTGGGATGATGGTTGTTTATTCGAGGTCAAAAAGACCTTCTTTTGGGCAGTTGTTACTGCCGTTACCCCCCAGTGGGCCAAAATGACCACCACTGTCAACAAAAGCCCTAAGCTTGTCATTGCTAACGCATTCCAAATTGCAAATCCAATGATTAGTATATGTGAATATAGTCACCAAGCATGCTATCAAGCCATGAAATCTTCTTGATCATGTCCTCAAGCCCTCGCCCCAGTCTCTACAGCCAGCCCATAACCCCACTCGACTTTATCTTCAGCGGAACCTGCCGCTGCCCCTCAACGTCATCACCTTCATTATCTTCCGTCAACGACGACGCCGCACATGAAACTGACTTGCTTGCTCCTGTTTCAATATTCCCACAGTCATTATCCCTCGGATCAACATGTTCAATCTCCAACATGACCTCATCCAAAACCACAATAGCACCCGCCTGCTCCGCCATGTGCAGAAACGTATCCTCCGTACTGCCATTGCTCCTCACAGCAAAAGCAGAGGCGTGACTCGTAGATCCCATAGAGATACAGCGTTCGAAGCTGGCGCGCGGGTCGGGGATTGACAGGGTATTGGCCGGCGAATTGCGGGGTTGTGTGCAGTCCTTCCCTCCTGTTTTGTTCACGCTCGGTGAGTGGCCCATGCTGCTCGTGTGGCTGTGAGATGTGAGGCGGAGCGCATGGTTGAGTACTGGGATTCTCGAGACGAGTTGGCGGAGAGAGGGGATACAGGAGGCGACGACGAGGGCGCAGATTTCTACCTCGGCCCAGACCAGGGAGTCGGTTAGTTCGTCTGTTTGTTGCTGTCAGTCATCGTCCCAAAGGAGAGCCGCTGTTGGAAAAGAAGTGCTTACAGGTATCGTCATCTCCGACGCCCATGGCATATTTGATACGAATTCCGGAGAGAATGGTGGTCCTATGTATCCTAGTTAGTCAAAGACGTTGAATCAGAAAGCTGAGTTTTGTCTCACAATAGCCCCAGAGATATCATGATGATGAGACCAATCCACTCAGCCCTGGGCAGCTGAAGGTGCCACATTATTGGCACTGGCTCGACGAGTAAAACCAAGTTGACTGCGAGATTGAGGCCGAACTGTAGAACGTCAATGATGCGCCGCTTTGAGACTGGGCATAGCGAGTCGTCTTACCACTGTGTACCATAGTGTTGGCTGGTCGAGACAGTAACCCCCCACCTCAGGCTCCCATGCCTTGTATATCGGGTTACAACGGAACACTGTCACGCAAGTCTCCATCATAGCCTGGATTAGAATGAAGGCAATGAGGCCTTGATTAAACCTCCGCAGCCGATGCTCGGGCATGAACTTGAGGTACAGCACTGCGATGGACATCTTTGCGGTCGCGATGCCCCAGCTATATAGCACAGAGCTACCAATAGGCACCTAGTATTCGTAAATACGCGTCATTCAGATTTTTTATGGACGAGGATTTGATTTACCCTGAGGAAGATTTCATAGTCTTCATCACTGACTTGATTGCGGTGAAGACCAAGTCCGAAATGTGTCGCTATTGATGGGGTTAGCTTGGGGCCGTAAGTGTGGACATCTTCGCTGACCTGCAACTAAAGAACAACATAGTGTCAACGAGAATAACTAAAAGAAAAAAAAGACCGGATTTAGCATTACATCGTCGTGGTCTCCACAGAGTTCGAGCCAGATGAGGCACTCACCCAGCTGGCCATTATCAGGACTATCACAGATCAGTCTCGTTCTCCAATGAAATCTCAGGGGCTAACATGATCACATACCGTCATTGAACCCAAAAGAACTCGGTGCAACAAGACGAGCCCATATTCTCAATCCAACAAACACCAATGTCACCGCAGTCAAGACCAAACTGACCGTGATACTATGGATTTGGTGAGTGTCTAGCATTTTGATCGTCAGATACCCTGCATCTAGCAATGTGATCTAACCAGTTGGAAGAGTTGATGGAACTGGATCTGCAGTACTTAAAACCAATTCAGACCACTGGATATTAAATGATTCTTCCCCCAGACCCATCAACTTGAGGCTCCCGATCGTCGATCTCCCGTCCTTCCGCCAAGTCAGGTTCTCCAACTAGCCTCAGTTACCAGTCACTGAGAACCTATAGGATATAAGGGGATTTGTGTGTTGAGTCCCACTCTAGTCATGACCCGGCTTGGGGTTACCCCATAGATGAGTGGCGGCATGGAACCTGACGATGGCTGCATGCCGGGAAGTGGGTGCAGGGGCTATCTCCGAGGTGGCCAAGAGTCGGAATCAGCGACAGCAACAGCAGACATGAGTAACCGCTGTGGGGGTACCTAGGATGTCCCGCTTTGTGGTTGTAAGATGGAGTTGCTGGAAGAGCTGACATTAGAATGGCAGAAAGCTGATAAGGCCTGTGCAGTATGCCCCGGCTATAGCATCTGGTGGATCGAACTCGAGAAACGCTGACCAGCTACTTTCAGCCAGGTCTCATTGATGACTCAAGCTCTTACCGGATCGATATCACGGCATAGCAAGCCAGTGAAAGCAAGCATTCGTTTTACCGTGGCAAAGCTTTAGGAAAATGATTGTAGCAGGTGCTTCGCCAGGGCTGACTTTATTCGCATTCGCATTGGAGGACGGACTTAATTTAGCCCAAGCCGAAGCGACACTGTTGAGATAAAATATTACGTGCCGAGGAACAACCCCCACGTTCCCCACGTACCCTCCTCCCAAAGTCTGGCGGTGATGATCAGTCGGTTTCTCTCTGCGTCGTGAAAAGTAAAATCCCCAGTTGAAATTGTCAGAGAGCAACTGCAGCGACGTCCGAACTGCCTACAGTGGAGTAGACAAACCTCGGACATTTCCGAAGGGTTACAAATCGAATGGAAAATTATGGTTGGTCCAATGACGCCATAATCCCAAGCAATTTTTTATTTCAACCCGACTTAGTGTCTTGCACGTTATTGTATCCTGTCAGGTCCTGTCAGGATCAAGTCAGTTCGAGTCATGCCACACGATTCTTCATCGATGCTGCAAGTAAGAGGACCCTGATCCGAACCTCGCATAATCTCGACCGCCACGATGGATTCCATGACTGTCTTATCGTTAGAGAAGCCTTACCCGCTCCCGTGTTGAGGAGGACTCCTTGGCAGGACCTTGAGACAATGAAACAAGAAGTCAACGTCATGTAACTGGCGATTGTGTTTCCCGGAGACGTCCTTGAGATCGACATGTTTGAGGCCTTCGATTGCTACCATACTCCCGAGGATCGGAAAATGTGTTCGATTAACTCCGATCTCTTATCCATGGCCGATTATGTCGTTGTCATATCGATTGTGAAGAAAACACAGCGCCAGGATGTAATGAAACCGACACGTCGAACTCAATGAGACCTGAGGATAACCAATGCGAACTCTAGAAACAGGCCCCGTTGGCTGCCGTCAATCGCGAAGCCAGTACTTGTCGGTATGTAAACCGAATAGTCTCGTCGACATTTCGACACGGTTAGATCGACACGGTTAGATCGACACGGTTAGATCGACACGGTTAGATCGACACGGTTAGATCGAGTGTTGGAGTTATTAAAGGCCATTCATATTTTCCAATCATTCCTCTCATTGCTTTGACATGGACGTGTAGAGCGGGTTGCATGGTTCAACGACCTGGGGCATCTGTGTGATCAGTAGCAGCAAGACCATGTATTGTTTGCATAGATGGTCCTGCTTCCAAAGGGTAGGGCGAACCCGTGTGAGATGTGGATTCCTCTCGATGGTCATGTTCGACTGCTTCTTGGGTTGGTTTTTTGACAAGCTGGCGTCTCTCGTCTCTGATTGCTTGGCCACTGCCTTCCATGTATTCACAGGCGAACTCATGCGCAGTTAAACCGATGCTGCCACGGCATAACGTTTCTCAAATGCCGGTTTTAAAGAGTTCTGCATCTCTTTGATCCAGTTCAAAAGCGTGTTTTGCAAGCAAGTTGCACTGCATTACCTCAATTTCATCAGGAGGATGATGTGGGATATTTCGGATACCGCTGGAATGAACATCCACACCAGCATCACGCCTCGCAGCCGAGATTTCATCCGTGAGAAGGGAATAGGCCCAGTGTAAAACCTCCAACGTACTTGACAGGAAAATTTATAGCTGACATTGTGACTAATCAAGGTCGAGTGTTCAGCCACGGTCAATGAGAGTGCTCGAGATTTGCAAATCAGAGCATTAGGCCGAGGTTACAGGGACGTCTTTGTTTGTTTGGTGTTCCTCGCACTTCCAATGATGAAATGTGCACGGTGTCGTTAGCGGACGTAGCTCAAAGAACTGCCGGCCTTAAATGTGCCTTCCCATTTGGTGACCACCACTCAAACATTATCGGCGGAGACCATGAAATAATTGTTTTAAAATCAATTGTTCTGTTCTTAGGTGTATGCGCTATTTTTACGGTCTTCATCTCCTCAATCAGCATCGAGTCGAGCAACAGGCGGCGTATCATCAACCTGAATACCACCCCTCTTCTTCTCAAGTGAGTCCCAGAACGGCAGCCGCCAACCGCCCTCATCCTGCGGCACACTCAACCACAGCCTCATCAAGTGCCGTCTTGGCTTCCCACTGGCCGGCAGGAAATCCCGATACGCTGTTCTCGCGTGCAACGTATGCGTGTTGGCCACGAACTGAATATCACCAACCTGGAGCACCATGTGCAGCTTCACCCTGTTACACGTATCCTCGAGAACCTGCACCGCCTCTACCTGCTCAGGCGACAACGGCGGGATGACACCCGCGTCCGAAAACCTGCTCAGACTCTTGACAAAGTACGGATCCCACTTGCAGTAGACGCGCTGCTCAGCGTCCGGGTTCGCCGGGTCAGGCGTCTCTAAGTAGTACACCGCCGCCCGAATGTACGGCTCCTCCCCTTGGGACACCTCGCCCTTCCGGTCAAAGTACCAAATGGGCTTTGTGAGCGTCTCGGCGACGTCAGGTCGTTCCTCTTGTAGGATATTCCAGACGTGGTGGATAGACGCAACGTCCGACTCGCCGCCGAACTCGGATCGGGCAATGCAGAGCAGGCCGACGACATCGCAGTCATCAGCGTGAAAGAACTGCCGCGCGTTGGTGCGATAGATGCGCACTTTGTCGATTTGGGTACTATCCTCACCGAGATCCTTGACGTGGCCGAGAATGTGGCCACGCCCGTTTTGCGACACGGGGTAGCCAATGTAGGCCCCGAGGCCCATGTACGCCACGGCAGACTTGTGGTTACCCCATTCATTAACAGGGAAGCCCTTGTACAGGATGAAGCCTTTGCCGTTCAACATCTCGCGGCGCATGGAGGCTAGCGATGGAGCCAAGATGGGTAGAGGGAAGTTTTCCTTGTTGATTCCCGTCACAGGCAGGCCGGACGCAGTGAAGTTATCTGCTGTGTTTGATAACTCTTCTATCTCGGCGGCGGAGAACTGGTGGACCCAGCGCTCGGGGTTGTTGGAGTATTCTTCTGGCTTCCATACTGTTGGTCCTTCAATGCGCTTGGGGAAGGCGCTGTATGGGTATATCTGATCATATAATGGTGGGTGTTGACCTTTTACTCGTTAGCACCTGACGAGCTGCGGAGGGCATTCGACTCACCTGAGGTTTTGAGGCCATCCGGAAAGATGTTAAGGTCAACATTTTTGGTGGACGACTTGAGTTTCTGGATCAAGTTGACCGGAGTTTCCGCATCGGTTGCACTTGGAGCCATGATTATTTGGAGGTTTGGAAAGAGAAACCAACCTTGATGCTTCTATCAGGATCACACTTGAAATCCAATGGCAAAAAGAAAGAGGTAGACAGGTAACTTGACGGGGGGCGATCCAGACTGATAAACTTTATCCAGGACGACATCGGCGTTGCAATACCTTGCTTGTGGCCCCTCTAATGTTTTAATGGGACAAGTAAATTGCATCATAGCTCGATCTATAACTCCTTTAATCCAGGGTTCTACATTTCTCCTCAACCTCGACGAGCAATTTTGGGGGTGACGTGGGCGCGTGTTGAACTGCGCGGACAGTGATCACGCAATCCCACTCCAAGTGTGCACCATCTCCAAGTCCCCGCATGGCCGTTCCCAAACTCCGATATGGTGTCAACGCGTGGCGCACAGCCCTGGAACGAAGACACGGCAAATCGTTCGGGCGACCGGTAGAGCATATCCCGCTATCTCTACTCGCTGCTTAGGTGTTCATCGATTTCATCTGCAAAAGGAAGGCTAGCGCTGATTGGTTCACCAGTGGGGGTTCTTGGCTCGTACTGCATCTGCTGGTTCCTTAGCATCGCCGATCCAGTAACAGCAAAGCAGGCATCGCGCACGATATGAGGCGTGTTTCTCATAGTTTTACAACATGATCAGGTGCTTGTAGGCTGTCCAGGATAAACTGGTTCTTGGGTGTTGGGTCACTGAAAGTATGATCCACAACTTGTAAGGTACGTCTCTACGGACCCTCGCGACAAAGAGGTTGATGCCAGCTGTATTTCATATTTGACTTGCCGGGCTTCGCATGGAGCAACAGTATTCAGACTCCCATTCAAGTAGGGTAACTGACGCTCGGAACCAGGTTGATAAAATAAATGGTGCAGCTAAGGATTGCATAACATGGGTTAGCACGGTATTCCAGTGTAGTAAACTGAAAGAATGCTGTTCTTTACAACTGGTTGCACCGCTGACTATCCGGTTGATCGGCATGACCGCTTTACACAAGTGAATTCGGGTTGCTCTTTGCCGCCAAACCAGATGTACTCCGGCCGAGCGGCCCGCGGCCCCACTGCCAACGTCGGTCCGATTTGCCAGTCCCGGTTCTAACTTCTCTTCATCCGCAATAGATGATTGTTGTTACGGTTTCTGCATATGCTGTTAGATGCAAGAATGGCATTTAAATGATATTTCATGCTTCACATATTTTATACAGATTGGCCTAGGATTCCTGCGTGATGAAATGGAGTGAGTAACCACCGCTTATTGATGTGAACTAGAATGGGCATCATACAACCCGTCCAATGAGGAGACTTGTCCGCCAGCCAGCCCTGTAACTCTAGTACTCAGAGGTCTATGCATACTATGTTTACACATTCGTTACGCGAAAGCACTTTGTTCATTCCCCACTTCCCCTTGTGCCAGTTGCAGTATAAATTGTGCCCAAGACCTGCTTCATCTATATCCGTCATCCAATTCACATCAAGTCCCGACCTAGATAACTACCTCAACATTATTATCTTTAATTTGAGCATCGCCCTCGCTTCTTCAACGTCGCCATCCGCCCCGGAAACTCCTCCAGCCCATCGAAAGTGTCGTCGCGATAGAGCAAGTTGCACCACGCATTGTACATCAGGAAGCCGAAACAAGGAGCTCCTTAAGACCCTTGCTTTGAAGAACTTGATCAACAAACAGTTGTATCAACTAGCAACCCATTGTGAAACGACAAAGAAAGGACCAGTCGAGAAGAAAAATGGAAGACATGGACAGCTGGTGTCAGTGACTGTACCCATAAATCAACACTCTATGCCTATGGCCAAAAGGTTTTCCATAATCCATCACTTTTCTAAGACTTTCTGTGACTTTACTACGAACACAACTCAATCATCAAGAGGTGGCGTTGGTATCTTCCCCTCAGCTTCCCTCACAATACCACTCAAATACTCGGCCATCTCCCTCAACCTCTTCACAACCTCCTCCCCGCGATTGTTTACCGCTCCCGCATCCCTCTCAACCATAATGCTCTCCCCAAGCAAACTTACTACCCCGACCCTTTCCACCTTCCTCTCCCGTTCCGCCTCCTCCATCCTGTTCCTACTACCCCCGCTCTCCCTCCATCTCGAATCCTCCGTATACACGACGTCATTCCACCCCCTCTCATCCATCCTTCTCCACATACTCTCCAAGCCCCTGTTGTTCAACCCAGTGATCTCTACTCCGCCTATGGGGCGGCGGTCGATTCCGCCCTCGGGTGGGTCGATCCAGTAGATGTATTCTGCTGAGGAGCAGGGGTTGAAGTCGATGCCGACAGTGGAGGCGATGCGGCGGAGGGAGAGGGGCAGGGAGCCGCCGCCCCAGGCGCTGAGGAGGTCTAGTACGTCGTCGAAGAGGAGGAGGACTTCTTTGCGGACTGGGCCGAGGTCGTACCAGATGCGGACGGCTTTCATGGTTGTTTTCGACTATTTGGATTTCTCAAGTAAGCTCAAGCGGGGGCGGATTAGAAATGTAGGGAATAATTTTGATGAGGAAAGAAGCAGGTGGCTATGGGTTCGGGGGGTTTTATAGTGACGGCTGATTCATTTGAGCGAATCACTTCAGTAGTCCAATTTCATATCACGGTCTGTAAGTTTCGATTTGCTTGCCGACCAAACGACCGTAAATGGCATTGTGTGTAACTACGGCCCAAGTCATCATTATACTCACGGTTCAACTATTGTTATGAAGAACCTGTTATCCATAAGCAAGTATAGGCCAACGTTCCTATCTCCAGGTCTCTCCTGTCGGCAGCTTGTTTCCAGAACCAAGCAATATCTTCTATCCAGATCCTCACTTGTCAGCCTCTACCTCTTCCTGAGCCGCTTCATTAGCAAGAACGGCACAGTCCTCCTCCATGCTCTGGAGGAAGACCTCGACACGGTGAATTCGTTCGGGGCCCTGGCAGATGCGCTCGTTCGCCAATGCCTTTCGGGCAAAGTCTAGACAGGACTCGAGCTGGCAGTCCTCGAAGGCGTAGAAGCTGCAGCGTTCGTATCTGGAATACGCCATGTGTTTTGTGATCAGCACACTGTTCCCGTTGTCTTCACTCGTAACCTGTCGCATTCGAGCGGTATCTTTAAGAAACTACTTACGCCATGGTGAGCGCCATAACCAGCTCTTCCTCCTGCAAGATAGCCACGAACTCCTCGGCAAGCACCAGCGCCAACGCATAGTCATCATTCCGGATGACCAAAGCATCAGCATTCGCATTCGAAATCTCGAAGTTCTCGTTTTGAGCCGGCTCCCCGATTTCATTGCGCTTGTCGAAGTCGTTGAACGCCTCGAGAAGTTTGGCTAGTTCGCGTCGGCGGCCGTCGCTCTCTTCCTTCTTGGGGCCGTTGCAGGTAGTACAGAGGCAGATGAAGCCCAGGGCGGCTGCGCGGGCATCGCGGGGTCGGTTGAGGTCGATGTAGGAGACCAGAATCTCCTCGCCGGGCTTGAGGTCGCGGATAGCTCGCACTTGTCGCTCGTAGGTTCTGGGGTCGTGGATTCTTGTTGTTCCTAGAGTCAGCATCGGTACGGCTTGTGGATTCAGGGTGGCTTATTGGTGGCTCACCGTGAAGCGTTGGGAGCGCAAGAATGATTGATGAGAGTGGAATGCAGCCATACGGCGCTCATCTGCCATCCTTCGTACTCCTGATGGTTGAGATACTTCAGCAGGACAGCCAGATGGAGAGGCACGCTGTCTCTATCTTCGCCATTCTCCTGTCCGCCGTCGCTGGCTTCCTTCTCCTCGTCGTAGTTGACTTCCATCTCGCCATCTGCAGCAATGTTGCCCGAAAGCTCGTCATTGATTCCCATCGCGTCGTAGCACTTCGCAAGGCATTGCGTCTGCTCCTCGGAAGAAAGCGCATTCCATCTCTTCTCCAAGCGCGCAATCGTATCTTCAGCCTCCACATCTTGCCGGTTAAGCGTCATGATGGGCTTCTCAGAGAGGATCATCGTGCCCGCAGTGATTTGCTGCGTCGCAAAGAGACCCCGGCTCTTGTCGGGGACCAACTGGATTGAGTAGAGCACCATGGTGTAATCTTGGTCGATCTTGAAGCAGTTTGACTGGAAAGAATAAGAAAATGCCAAATTCAAGTTCGATCGGTCTCTTCGTTGCGGTTTTCAAGCTCATCAACCGTATTTGGCGACCGATAAACCAGTCTGCTCCGAACAGGAAAGGGCCCATGAAGTGGACTACGGTCAGAGCTTTCAATTTCCAACATTATCTGATGCATATGGGCCTTCCTTTGCAGTGAGTAGAGTATGGAATAAAGAAAGAACATCGGTGAGGAATATCTTGGCGCGTCACAATCATACTGTCTGTCTGGTACGACGTCCCGATACGGCAGCGCCCCGTTCGTTCTTGACTTAGAACGCACTAGACTATGCAATTCACCAACTCAGTTAATATTAGTTTTGTCTAAGTGGCCAGTCCTTTATTGCTTCACAAAGAGATCGATGAGTCATGGTCAAACACAGCTTCTAAGGAATGCAGGTGGGCTGTGAGTTCTTTCTGCTGCACATATGCCCAAAGAATTCATATCCTGGACCATCTAGGCTGTTCAAAGTCGTATTGCACTGGGATAATATAAAGATGTGGGTATCTAGGGAGAGCATTATAACTGTGGGCAAATCGCAGCCCACCGTTCATTGTTGTTCTTATGACTATCGTTACTTGCCGTAAGCTCTGGCTAATCTACAGTGGCTACACTGGGTGGTCCGTGCGGGGCCGAACACTGCCATTTCTGCCCACAATAACATCTTGATAGCCTGATAGCCATTGGCGTTCTTATTCAAGCATTAATCACAAGGCCTAGATATCTGTCGGGATAGTCATATATGCCATAATTTCCCATATGGAAGACTCTACGCTGAAAATATGCCCATAGTGCAGACCTCACCACGAGATTTTCAACGTCTACTTGCCAGTGTACCCAATGGTACTCCTTTCTTAAGCACCTCAGTGTATGGCAGAAATTATGTCTGTTATAAGATAGATCAGTGAAGATTGGGAATGGATTATATTACGGAGCAACGTCTCGTACTTTAGTCTATAACATGATTGCTTTCTCCTTTGTTGAATGTGTTTACTCGTAGCTGTCTTTACCTTTACTAGCACACACATTGGCACCCTGATCGGTATGCTCATCATCGGCAATACTTCTCACTGCGAAAGATATATGTGTCTCTGTCTATGATTTAAGTTGATACTACTACGTATTGTAATGAATTTCACTATTATTTTCAGCTAAAGAAAACAGCAAACCCATGATGTCCAACTCTCTATCCAACGAGCAAGTACATACCAACGTCCCACATCAGACCAACCGTAAGGGTTTTGCAGTACTAGAGACCAATGGCATGTCTCTTTCCGTTTTCTTCAAACTGGTATAACAATGCTGCTTGGGTATTGTTGGGAAGTTTTCCCTCAGATAGTGCGAGTTTTCAAGTAGTGAGACCCTTGTGCCATGGAATCCGGGCAAATATCGACGCCGCTCACTTGATAAATGCCAAAATGAAAGTAATTGTCTGTTCTCCGGCTGTAGATGTCGCACCCAAAACGGAATTGGCCAACCTCCAGACACTGCTTTGGTGTTGTGAAGTATTTTGGTGAAGCAGATGTGGATGATTTACCGTGATATTTTGATGCTGAGGCATATGGGGTAGCCGTCAGTCACTACTTCTTGTTGGAGAATTTCGGTGATAACCTGAAGGGTGCCCTTCATTTTTAGGGCACACCTACTTCATTGTCTTGTATTGTGAAAAACATGTTCAGAAGCTCCCTTGCTGGTGGTACCCTGTGACCCGGGTCCTCGGTGCAGCAAGCAGCAACAGCTGATTTAAGATATCGCGGCACAAACTTGCCGGGGTTGGGGGACTGTATTGTTTCAGTATGTTTTGCAGTGTACATGGAATCTAGATGGGTATGTAACTAACCTTTCTGCAGAATACTACCAGATGGTAATTGTCAATCTGGAGTGTCGCCGCCAAAAAGCCCCTCTGTCAACCCCAAATAGTAATACTCGGGGAAGCACGCCCTTACATATGTCGTCAAAATGGAGTTTTGCTTGGAGGTGGCTCAGTATGATATTGTCGCCACCATTGAGGGGGATAATTCCTGACAGCATGGATTCGGCCAAGTATCCGATGACGAGCCGCTGAGGATGCACCTCGACCACCGCTTGGACAAATTATCCTTTTGGCCGCACACTTGAGTCAGTTACTGATGCAGAGGTTTCGCTCCTCAAGTCCTAACAGTTGGCTGTTGCCAAGGGATTGTGCTCAGGGTCCATCCATGATCAGTCAGCTGGCCGCAGTAGCCGAAAACCGGACAATACAGTCGCTGGAGATCGAAGGCTGGTGTGGTTCGACAACTATTGAAAACGACACTCTATTCGTCAACAACCTCGCCGATGAAGGGATTGATTCCAGGAATGTCGCAGCGAGTATAAGCCTGCGTTAATGTGTTCTTTCGAGGGGCCAAACTAATGCAGATAGGGTTTGAGCCTAAGGACTGAGAGGAGGTCGCTGTACCAGGCCAGACTCGACGCCTCGACGCACCACAGAAAGGTCAAATATCTAACAATATTGAGTTGTGCTTTCTGTTTGACATCCTTATCTGAGACGCAGATAGACTGGTTTGGCTACTTAAGCGCAGCACTAAGCACCTTTCTGCCCTATTTTCTGGATTAAGAGGAATGGGGTTTTGAGCAGCACTCTAGCATTCCTTACAATTTATACAGAATGTCCCGATTGCGGCAAGGTGATGCACGACTACGACCCAAACGGAGCGCGTCTGGGGTTGCTTCTCTCTAGTAAAGATTGGCCTGTAGAGTAGACATGATTGGCTTCATTTCAGCTTATAATCATGTTCGTTTTTATTCGTATGAGGATATAGACCGTGAAGGTACTCGTCAAGCCTAAGAACGGTGGTTTGACCCACTGCGTTAGATGCTATTTTTGACCGACACTTCCCGACTTCACCCATTCACAGCACATTCGGAAGCATCTCTCAAAAGTTAATCCAACGCTTAGAAGCATGTAACGAAAAAGCCAGAGTTGGCTTCGCAGCCCCAGTCGGTGCCAGAATTGAAAGGATAATCGGGATGAAGACCCTTTGTCAATTATACTTATTATATTCGGATTTGATCGAGAATAATAAGTCTGCGATCACGTACAAACCCTGTAGCACTTACAATTGGTTGCACTTCCAACCTGACATCTAGGGTATTAGCGAATTAAGGTACGTGCATTTGTTGTTCTATACCGTGTACATTTTTATTGGTGAGGTACTAGCAGTTTCGTGCAGATTACTAGTATTCGGTATTAGGAAGTCCCCTCAATAATGACATAGATGAAAAATGACAGATAGACGTCCTTGACACACTGCGTTAGCAGTCGATTAAACCGCCGTTTTTAGGCTCGGTGAGTAAGTTCCGCGGGCGAATAGTTATTTATTATTATTATTAAATACGCCGTAGGCTCGAAGCCCCCGGTACCTCTACTAGTACTCCCGTATGTCAAACCGTGCCCTAATGGCTGGACTAAATACATACGCTGCGTCGTCGGTTCGCCCTATTGGCGACTGCGTTGCGTTCACTACCATACTACGTTGGTTCTCAACCTACCAACAAAGTCCCCCCTGAGAAGATCGATGCTATCTGGGCCTTGAAGCTGTCCGACCCGTCCCTAGCAGCCACCTTACAATAGTCCCACTAACTACTGGTTCTCCTGTTGCCGTTGCGAGGTCTCTGCGAGAGTATAGTGGCCGTGGTGCGATAGCGGCCCGTAATCGTTCGCTCGGTCCTTCCAACAGCCCGCAAAAGAGGATTACGTGCTCTGCCGTCTCAGGGGCGTCGCCACAGCGGCATAGCGGCGAGTACACGCCAAAAGCCCCTGTCTTGAATAAGAAGGCTGCTAATCCTATTTTTTCCGTCCTGATCTGGCACAGCGTAGACGCCTCCAGTCGGTTCAGGCCGAAATACCTGCCCCCTTTCGGTATCTGCATCGAAGGGCCCTCCGGTTCCTCAGCGATAGCGCGTCGCTGGCGATCGTGATGCTCTGCGCCGGTGAGCCATCTCTTCCTCCAGTGGCCGAGGAGGGCAGCCGGGACCTCCTTTTCCTCACTCATCCACTCGGAGCCCCGGGCCTCCTTCTCCATAGTGTACCCTGCCGGTCGGAGTAGCTGCGACGCCTGCTTCCTCTTCGCCGGCCTATCCTGCCGGAGTATATGACGCTTTAGCGCTCGCGCTGCGAAGCAGATTTCTCTTCCCGCTAAGCCGTAGCCGTTCTTCAAACTTAGCAGCCCGGGCACTAAGATAGAGGTCTAGTGGCGGGATTGCTGCTTCTGCTTCCAGGTGGCGAACCGGCGTCGCTTTGTGGGCGCCACAGACTACCCGGAGGCACTCGTTCTGTATCCCCATCAGGCTCTTAGCTGGCCCTGCCGGTTCCTCACTTATAGTATGCCACGCAGTCGCCCCGAAGGCGATCGCGCTACGGATAACCACCGTATATAACAGCCTCGTCCGTATAAGATCGCAGCCCCACGACATATTGACTAGCTTTGTCAGGGCTAGCTTTTGAGTTGCCATTTTTGTTTTAACACGCTCAACATGGGCGTGCCACGTCAGTTTGCGGTCGAACCAGACTCCTAGGAACCTCGCTGAGACTACCGGCGACACTGTGGCGTCCCCAAGGCGAATACTTTGCGGCAAGGGCTCTCGGGCCCTAGTAAAGTGCATTAGCTCACTCTTGTCAGGAGCGAACTCCATCCCGTGCCTCACTGCCCACCGCTGACACGTAGCCCATGCGCTCTCCAACCGGCGGCAGGTCGTGTCTGGATCGGTGCCGACGCTTAGCAGGTTCGTGTCGTCCGCGAACCCGACTACTAAAAGTAGTGGGTGCTGCTCCGCTAGCTCCTCGTACATGGCGAATAGTTTCTGACTTTAATGAATCAAGTCCATAATTCCTAATATATAGTCTAAATGATATTCAGTATGAATGCCTACTTCCCTGCATAATTATCTGTTGCGTGCCCTAGGCACACCGCCTGTACGCTGGGTGCAGCGCTTCGGCCAATTGCCCGTAGATAGCCCTTCCGTGGCTGCAGCCTTTGGGACTTAGTCCCATCATCACCAATACCACCCTCTTGCCTGTATTCCAACATTATACTGTTGCAGTTTCTATGCGAGCTCAAACACCGGTGTACACCATCTTATAGTGGTATACTCTTTAGCTTAGTAATTAAAACGAATATATCTGCCCCACCTACTCTTGGTGAAACGAGAACTTATGCCTCCACAGACTCTGTCATTACTACGTACAAACTGGATCCAAGAAAAGTCAAATTATAGTTTAAAGTTCAATCCAGGAACAACCTGTACGCTGGTAACTCCGGTTTCCGCGTTTTCAAAATATTTGATGCACTATTCGATATCCCAGCCCTCTCGACCGGCCTCTCTTCCCTTATCGAAGGGCCGGAGAGGACTCCGAGCCTGGACAACCGATCATGGAAAATAAAAATAATATAATAATATTAAATACGCCGTAGGTGTTAACCCTCGGTACCTCTACAAGTACTCCCTTAAGGGGCTATAGATGATATAGCGAGCCCTTAAGCCGCGTCGGGCGGTTATACAGGTAAACTTGTAGCCAAACGACTACTAAACCTCCTGTCCCTCCCTAAGTCTGTGCTACAACTCCTGCCTGAACTACCGATAAGTGTGGTAATGTGGCACTTAAATTCGTCCTCAGGGGTGGGATGCTGCTGATGTGCAGAAGATGCTCGACTATTTTTTGTCGCGACAAGTCGTAGTATCTGCTAATTGGGGTTCTCGTCGAGCGTATACATCTCAACCATACGCTCAAGTGGATAGACCGTAACGTGGTCTAGACGCTCGCAAGAATCGCGGCGAGAGGGGGTCCGATAAGGGGTCGGATTAACGATTCGAATTCTGGACCGGCTGTCGAGTTATATTCCGCCGACGTAGTGCTTGACGGTCGACTGGCTAGGATGCTCGTAATCCTAAACTGCACCAATCTCCCTATTATCGCTAGGTAGGCGAAGTCAACAAGGTGGGCAGCGCGCCGTAAGGGTTGACTAAACCCCCTTGTGTGTCAGCTGCGGGATTCGAACCCGCGACTCGTCATCGACCCAAGTTGGCGAGGCTCAAATCGGACTTATCTACCAGCGAAGTGACCAACTACATCAGCCGACCGAGAAAAATATTATCAACGCGTTTGGTGGCAGCGTGACGATGTAGTATTGGAACGAATCTGTGGAGGCGGGGCCCAGTTCCTTGGGTTGACTCAGGTATCTTTGCAGGGTGTCGAGAACTGGCGATGGATCGCAATCTGAGGTAATTCGGGCCTTTGCTTGTGAGAATAGCAATAAAAATACGCCTCTATATGGAAGAATGTCCTGCGACATCAGTAAAGACTTATCCGAGTTCCAAAGGTCCTGTGATGACCAGATCGAGGGAACCTCTTTTCCTTCAAATACATATCTACACAATCAGCCCCTAACCCCTTGAGTTCCTTAAAGAATAGTTCAGACCCCTGCTGAATGACGTACCGCCGTTAGATGTCACGATGAAACGTGCGAGAAGATTTTCAGATGGGACGGTAATACCTGCATCATTCGGCTTGGCCCGAATTAGTGACTGATGTGGGCTGTGCGTTCCACTTCATGCCATCAACTATTTTGGTCAACTTGTGTTGGAGTTGTCGCTTTCAAGTCTCGTGAGTTTGGCAATTGTGGGTGACATGTCGTTCTTGTCGGACAAGCCGGGTGGTTTTCTAAGTTGTCTCGGTTCGCTTCGTTTGAGGCTGGCGAATATAACCCAGTCTATGCTTCTGGGCGATAGAACAACTTCATACACAATGTATCAGGCGTCTGGCCTTTGAAGTATGTATTCATGCATTGTAGCCATTGCTGTGACCTGTTCTGGTTATTTTCAAATTCAGATCTGAAAGAAGTATTTGAAGAAAACCATGGCGATGACAGAACGACACTTCGCATGCTTCAGCCAAGCCTCCGAGAGTCACTTACCCCGATACCCAGCCCATTAATTCCGTACCATGCCACCTGAACAGGCTTCCTTCTGCATGGACTTGATCCTTTAAGATGACTTTACACTACTGCCAAGAACCCGCCTACTTTGCGCCATCCCAATCACGAGACGAGGGGAGACCGCCCGTAGTATATTCAAGTCACAAATTTCAGCACTTGCGCAGTCAAGTCTAGAAGTAACATCACGATCCTGAAATCCGACTCATCAAGATCCTTAACAAGGAAATATCATTCTCGCCAGACAGGTGGATCCGCCATTTAGACTAGTCTACACTGCCGACAGTCTGCTTCCAGTCTCCGAATTTCTCCTTTCAGTTATCATCATAGTCCATCCCAGACAGTTAGTTCAGTTCACCGCCCGGCCACCTTTTTGACCTCAAACCCCGGCACGCCATGCTCAAAAAAAAGATCCATCCCCAAACGATTCATATCCTTGACCTTGGTCCAAACGGCCAGATAGTGCAATTCTCATAAGAGAGACTAACTCTTACGCTGTCTCTTCGCTGCCCGCCCACTCTCATCCTCGACGAGATCATCTCTTGGTATCTCCTCCGTCGCAGCACTGCTAGGTGACTCCTTGGTGGGTGTGTTCACCGTGTCCACAATGCCAGTGCTGTAGTCAATATTCAGCCCATCGCCCGAAAATGGCTCAAACTTGGCATCGCCATCAAATGCCGGCGTGCTGAAGTCGAAGTCCCCGGTCCCAGCATCTGCATTGTAAGCTGAGGTATCGAGGTACTGACCAAAGTCGATGTTGTCGTCAAAGTAGTTACCGCTTGATCCGTCGAGGCCCGGTATCCGACCCGAGGGGCTGTACGGGCCGAGGAGGCTGGTCAGGTTCTCGAGTTTATGGTTCTGCTGCTCTTGCAAGAGGTGCAACCGATCTAGTTCTTCTTGGTTGACAGAGAGCTGTGCCAGTGACGGCAGCGGGGCTGAAGAGCCCATTAGGGGTGACAGAGACGTCGGGCTCGAAGCAGGCATGGGAGGGGCGGACGACACAGGAGGTGCAGGGGGTGACGTACTGCTACCTTGGCCGCCTGACATGATGCTCAGCATGCGACTCCTCTGGTCTTCCGGCATGGTTGACGGTGTTGCTGCGGCGACATTCTGAAGATTTATAGGACTGTCGCCCCTACCCGTATTGATATTCGCATCGTGGATGATCTTCATCATTCCCTCTTGAGGATTTGACTCGAGTTCATGCTTTAGATACGAAGGACTAGTGCCCGGCTCAAGGGGCATGTCAAACAATTCGGTAATCTGGTGGTTATTGTACGAAGCCGGAGTAGCACCTGCCAAAGTCGGTCTCACGGCTTCCTGGTCTTGTCCGTGGGCTTGTTGAGGGATGGGCGGCAGCAAGCGTTGTGTCCTCTTAGGCGTACTCGTTGCTGGCGCCGAACCCGGCTGCTGCTGAACATACTCCCCAAGATCCACGACGTTTCCAACGCTGCCCTGATGTTGGCCTTGAGGCATCTGCATTCCGTTGGGATTCATGATACTTGCCAAAATGTCACTGACATTCTGAGTTCCGCCCTGCTCCTCCAACGATTTCCTGAACACATTGGCCAGGAAGTTCAAGATGGCGTTGATGGAGTTCTCGTGGCGACTGTGCATCTCTTGAAATGCAATAGCTTGATTTTGGAGTTGATGGTGTTCGCGGTGCAAACGAGCGATCGCTTCACTGATTTGCTTCTGCTGTTCCCGTAAAGCATGCATCTGGTCACGGACCACGGCCAACTCCTTTTTTTGCAGAGGCGGGCCGGAGTTATCGGGAGCGGGCAGGGCACGGCTCGCAGTGACAGCAGGATGCTGGACGTAACTTTGGCCCAGCGGTTCGTCTCCAGCAACAACCTCCTCGTCACTGTCTGCGTCTCCATCTTCAGCTCGCTTACCCTTCTTTTTGGCGTTTCCGCTCTTGGGTTTGTTGATCAACCACAGCAAATTTGGATGACCGCGTTTGAAGTAAGGATTGTAGTATTCGCTAGGACTCTTGTTCTTGCGCTCGCTCGCCTTCATTGAGTTGTCCGACAATCCAACTTTCTTGTGGAAGCCATACATATTGAGCTGCCGCACAAAAGAAGCATAGTTGTTGTGCTTGAAGAGCTCCGGGATGAGGGTCTTGGCAAACTCATCTTCGTCAAGCACAATGAAAGAGTCGCCTTTGTCAGACCAGCGGATGAGTTCAGTGTTCTTGGATTCCTCCAGAAAACTAGTCAACGTTAGTATAAAATCTTCAATGGGGTCCTTGATGAAGTCACTTGCCTGTTCAGCTTCTGCACAAAAGGTGGAATCTGCTTTCGCTTGGCTTGGGCTTCTCTCTTAGCCCGTTGAGCTCTCTCTTCCAGCACCTCAATGTTATCGTGCTCGTCCGTGGTACCATTTGGTTGAACCAACTGGTTATTTTCGACGAAACTTGACCAAGGGTCGCTGGGTGGTTGTGAATAGGCCCTATTTGCAGCCACCAGTTGATTGTTCATTCCCCGTCTTGCGAGGGCAGTGGAAGGGGCCGGATGAACCGGGGTGGGTTGGCTGGGGTATCCGCTCGCGGCGCCAGGCGTTGTTGGCGACATCATGGCGTAGTTTGCGTTGTTCCCATTCCACCGCACCTGATCTGGAGTCGGATTTGGCGGAAGGTACGGCTGTTGTATAGATATTGGAATAGTGCCCGGTGCAGGTCGTTTTCGAGGATTCGGATTCGGATGAGGCGGAGACATGGGAAGATGCCCCATGGGATTGGTATATTGACAAAGAACGGCGTCTGAATAGAGCATTTGACTTGGTCACGACTGACCGCCTTATTGGAGCAGTGAAGATCCCAATCCACCCAAGCGAGCCGACAGCCCCAATGCTTCCTCCAGGCGATTATACTGCGAGAAGTGCGGAAGAAATGTTCGGTCGAGGAACTGGCGATGCAACTGCTTTTCTGTTACTTCAATCCTACGGCTGGAATATCGAGGGATTATCAATCTGTTGGGGGGAAGCGTCAACCGATGCGCTGGAGAGTTGCCTGGGTCAGCGCGAAAATGCACACGATCGAAGACGATGGTGCAGAGAGATATTGCCCGTCGGGGATGGTATGATTGTGAAATGTTGTCTATGGCGAGGTGATTCTGGATTCGAGGCACTGACGAGGCAATGGCGAGGCTGCGACGACAGCCTGGTTCGTGACAAGAGTTTGGCTGGCGAGACTGTGTAGGCTAGTCTAGGCGCGCAAGGCAGCTTCCGCAAAATTCAATTGATTACAAGCTGTTTGCTCGATTTTGCGGTGCCCACGCGGGCATACGTTGTCGGTTCGGTTGGAGTCGGTCAGTCGGAAAGGAAAAGTCGATATCAATTCTCGATAGACCAAGATGGTGGATTCCAGCTGCACCCCCCCCCCCACGTCTGCCGTCATATACTTAAATATGTACTGCGAAATGTGCGAAATGCTGTCAAAGGCGGGTACAATAAGGGAATCCTGAGTCAGCCCGTTCTAGCCCGAAGAAAGTTTCCAAGACTTCCTCTAAGTAGGGGATTGTCTCTGGAGGCTCGCGATGGAGAAGGCTTCTCTGACACCGCGAGCAAAGGCCCGTTGTCTCAAAGGTCGATCTGCCAAAAAGATAGTGTCGCGACTTTGGTGTCACAGTTCACCCAAGCTTCAGCTGGAGGGCCGGGGGTGCCGGGGGTGCCGGGGAAAAGTAATAGCTGTCCGGGGCGGTTTCTTGCTTCTGCGGTCAGTCAATTAGCTGCAACGTCCTTCCAGGCTTGCAGCTGGACTTGTGTCACCAAGACAGTCAAAACTTGGGACAGAGCGGAATGGTCGTTTATTGTTTCTTGACGCAGTGCTGGCTGACACGACTGTCTCGGGAAATATCAAGAAAGGCTTTTAATGCGACGGTCCCAACTTGTGTCTCTACTAACACGTGTTATTTGCTGAAGGGAGAGCCCCGTGTGGTCTTTCTTCAACTGTTCCTGCCTTGACTTTGTCCTTTCACGTGGTGGTATGGAGAAGAGATTGTTGAATATGATGACTTGAAATGGCGGCGAAAAGACTTCAATGTTATCAACTTGTTGGCTTTCGAGGATCGATGGGATATGATCGCAATCACTGATGAGTTTCAACCTCTTGGATCCGATATTGACTTTATGATGGTAGCTGTCTTAACTAGTTAGGAATGCTTCAACACCCACCCCGCGCTCGTGCCCGCATAAAGCTTTTCATCGTGGTGCTTCAAAATTCATCATTCAGTCTTCGCCAGGGAGGGTCCTCTTGCTTGTCGACATCGAGATGCCTCGCCTAACAGGCCAATCAGGACAGTCTTCCGCTGGTGCTGCTCTTCTCCATGCGGCGATGACATCGCACTTTGAGATCCGCATGTTCGAGTCCCCACTAAATTGAAATCAGAATCTTGTGAAGGGATCAGTGCTACAAGACGAGGAGTGGGCATTGATATTGAGAAGTGGGGACGACTAAGCTCGCGATGTTCCGCTGTGAAGCTGACGAGGCTCCACCCAATGCCCATTCAACTCTTGTCTCCATTAGATGCCGCTGTCAACACGTCTCTGAAAGGAACTTACGGAGAAAACACTCCGGGCAATTGAGATCTACGTGAGGCTTAATTGTAGACTGCAGCACAGGTCGCAAGTATGAGTATACTTAGTCAGAAGGGTGAAAATAAGATATATTAAAAAAAAATATTAAATACGCCGTAGGTGTTAACCCTCGGTACCTCTACAAGTACTCCCTTAAGGGGCTATAGATGATATAGCGGGCCCTTAAGCCGCGTCGGGCGGTTATACAGGTAAACTTGTAGCCAAATGACTACTAAACCTCCTGTCCCTCCCTAAGTCTGTGCTACAACCCCTGCCTGAACTACCGATAAGTGTGGTAATGTGGCACTTAAATTCGTCCTCAGGGGTGGGATGCTGCTGATGTGCAGAAGATGCTCGACTATTTTTTTGTCGCGACAAGTCGTAGTATCTGCTAATTGGGGTTCTCGTCGAGCGTATACATCTCAACCATACGCTCAAGTGGATAGACCGTAACGTGGTCAGACGCTCGCAAGAATCGCGGCGAGAGGGCGTGCTGCGCGCCTTCTATCGTGAGGGGACGGGTTCGCCGACGAGCGTTATCGGAAAGGCGAGGTCCGATAAGGGGTCGGATTAACGATTCGAATTCTGGACCGGCTGTCGAGTTATATTCCGCCGACGTAGTGCTTGACGGTCGACTGGCTAGGATGCTCGTAATCCTAAACTGCACCAATCTCCCTATTATCGCTAGGTAGGCGAAGTCAACAAGGTGGGCAGCGCGCCGTAAGGGTTGACTAAACCCCCTTGTGTGTCAGCTGCGGGATTCGAACCCGCGACTCGTCACCGACCCAAGTGGGCGAGGCTCAAATCGGGACTTATCTACCAGCGAAGTGACCAACTACACCAGCCGACAAGATATATTAACTATCTATACAAGCTCCCTAATCACTATAGCCTATTCCTGGTTACTAGGCTAGAATTTCTTAGCCTTACTACGTCGATTAGCGTATATAAGTATTTAAAGTATAATCATACCTATTATAAAGCCTATCTTGTTGAAATTATAGAAATCCTTATCTTCGATACTATACTTGGCTTTTATATTCCGTATAAAGTCGAAGTATTCTTAAATATTTTAGCATCTTCGTATAAGGCCTTCTAGTAGTCATATAGGTCATTTCAGCGTGTCTAGAGCTCTAGTTACCGTTATAAAAAGTTCAAAGTTTGGTACTTACTAACGCGTCTTACGCCACGCTCCGCGAGTAGGAGATTAGCTATATCTTCTATATCCTTAACGGTAGACAAAATTCCTTCCGAATACATATTTAATACATACTCAAGAATAGCCTTACGACGACTTAGTTTCAAGCCTTTTTTAATAGCTTAGAAAGCTAAGTTTAACTTGGCGTTTTTTAAATTAGATTCTATAATTACTCATAGAGAGATAGCTTATAAAAGTTAAGGGAGCGTGTTTAGGCAAAAGTACGTGACTCGCTTATAAATCACGTTATACATATATATATGTACGTGAATATGGTATTGCCGGATTTAGTATAGTGGCAATATTTAGCGGCCCCTACTAGTACACGACAGGGTTACTTTTCTTCGGACGTATCGTACCATTTTTTGAGTTCAGTATCACCTCCGAGGCCCCATAACGCTCATGCATGGACCCTGTAAGACGAAAAGATCAGGCCAGGGAAGGACGATCTCGCAAGTTCACTCAAGCTCTTATTCATCGGCTTTCCCATGGTGAAGGAGTTGGCATATGGCATTCGTGACTTTACCATATTTACGAGGCCTCTAGCCAAAAGCGTATGAACTGGCAGAGGACCCCTTCAGCCGTGTGAATACCTCACGCAATGCTAGTTAAACTGTCTGCGGTACTTGGGATAATTTTCGTCCCTTCGTTCCTAGTGGGCCCCGTCTTTGTCGGGGCTGGAAATACCCTAAGTACCTTGCAACGAGCTAAGCTGAAAGAGAGATTATCGCAACTAACGAATGCCGGCGAGACATCACAGGGTATCAATTCGTCCTACAACGCAGCCAACTTACAAGCCCAGGAGTCCCATTCTCACCTCGCCCCTCGTCCCGCCAACGCACTCTGTTTTGCCAACTTCTGATTCCTCGCCTGATCCCACTCCCTCCCACTCCCCCCAGCCCTAGCCTCCTGCTTCGCCTTCTTCTCCTCCTTCAGCGTCCTGGCCTTCTCCCTCGGATCAATAACCATGAGCTCGTCCTCAGCCTTCTTACGGTAACTCAAGTCCTTGCCCAATTTATCCGCCGCAAAGCTCAGTTTATGCGCCATCCAGCCATCATCATCACTGTCGTCCTCTTCGCCCTCGACCTTGTCCCACGTCTTGCAGCTCTGGCAGTTAGCGATGAAGTGCAAGTCGCACAATTCTGTCTCGTCGTCTTGGGCCTCGGTCGTGGGGGCTTCTGCGCCGTCTTCGCCGATTTCGATTCTGGGTTTCTCCTTTTCGGGTTCCGGGGGTGCTTGTTGTAGTCGGGCTTTGAAGGCTTGAAAGGAGGTGTACTCGGCTGATGACATTGAAGTTTCGCCGGCCTTTCTTCGCTTTCGACCTCGGGTTGATGTCTCGGGGATAAATTGCTCTATACCTGTCTTTCTCACTTCTCTGACTGGTGCCGAATCCACGGTCCTCTTCATTGATGCTTTCAGGGCTGCTATCTCATCATTTGCCTTTTCCAGAGCTGACTTCTTTGGAAATTCTGGTTCTGGCGAGGAATAATCTTCTTGTTCTACTTCGGCAGACACCTTTTCTACTGGCGGTGAAGGTGCCGCCGCTGATTTTGACTCCTCTGACTCTTCAACTGGATGTTCTCTGACGGGGATTGATTTCTTCAACTCCTTCTCCTCTCTTGGGCGCTTCTTTCGTGGGTTCGTCTCCGCAATTGTTTCCTCGTCGATATCCATAACGATCCTCGTGTCAAATTTGGCTTTCTTCACAATAAGTGCTGGTTCACCGTCTCCTTCATCGTCGCCGAAGCTCAGTAGCTTCTTCCCAGAGTTTGGCTTCTTCTTCTTCTTTTGCGTGACCACAGGAACTGCTTGGCTCTGCGGTGCCACCCGTGTCCTCTTCGTGATGTCCTCGAAAGGATTGGTAAGAATCTCAACGGTGGTAATCCTGATAGGATACAATGGCCGGTCGGTTCCCTCCGCAACTTCTGCTTCACCCATACGTGCCAGGTTATATATTGTGTCGCCCGCTATTCGTCCGAAGACCGTGTTCTTATTATTTAGCTCCTCTGCCTTGTCCAATGTAAAAAAAAACTGGCTTCCGTTCGTGTCCGGCTTGCCCTCGTTGGCCATGCCCAACAAGCCCCTGCGGTTGAACTTCAGGCGCGAGTGGAACTCGTCTTTGAAGTTCACACCTGTAGGCCCTGCATTCTTGCCATGACGCTGATCTTCCGGCCAGGGGTCGAGGTCGCCGTTGAGGGCACCGCCGTCGTAGATACATTCGCCACCATTGCCACTACCGGTGGGGTCTCCGCCTTGTAAGATGAAGCCCGGCACAAGGCGGTGAAATATGGTGTTATCATAGTAGCCGTCGAGACATAGTTGGAGGAAGTTGCGTGATGTGAGCGGGGTCTGCTTTGCGAAGAGCTCGACGGAGAGGTCGCCTTGAGTCGTGTGCAGAATGACGGATGCGGTAGGCTGCGGCTCGAGGTTGTAGATTGATGACATCGTGTAGTTGTGCCGGCAGCAGCTATGAGTTTTAATGCGCCTCCAGTGAGTTGAAATGTTCTGTTGGCAAATGGCCCGATGTCGAGTTGGCGATTTGGGTTGTTGCAAGCAAGACACGCAGCTTTGTTAAAGCTTCGCGACGTAGTGTTCCTTATCTTATCGTGAAAGTCTACAGGCGATACAAGGTGTGGTACGAAGTAACTTACCTACGAGCGAGGCCGGATCAACTCCTGGATAGGACATTCAAAAGTCCGAAATGCAATTTCAAACTTCCATTAGTGAACTCTCATATGCACGACCACGTATGGTGTGAGAATTGGAAATGTCTTGTTGACTAGCCAATGAATGTATCATATTCCAGAACAGCAACAATCGGCTCTCGTGGTATTCCTCTGAAATACGCTTTGCACATACCACACCTAAGGTCGGTTTAGGAGCCCAAGCAGTCTCCAAAAGGAGAACAGCACGACCCCTTCTCTTCAATGAGATGGAAGCGTACAGAGTACCATGCGCAGCAACACGTCCGAATACAGATAAACAGCGCCGGTTGAATACGCTGATATGGGAAGCCTGAGAATACATTGCTGTCTCCGTGGCATAACACTTTATACATCGAACATCTGGGGTAGCCTATATCATTCCACCCTTCGATGTGCCGTTCATGTTTATCACACATTCGTTCAACGGTATCACTCGAGGATACATGGAAGCGACGCAGAATCAAATTTGTGATATTTTTCGAGATCGGTATAGTAACCAGCAGCCCGCCCTTTAGCTATAAGTCCAGCCCTTGCCTAATTGACCGTGCTCCTAGAATGCTATCATATGTTGGCCTGAAAGTCATGCCCAAATATGCCTGTATTTTACATTGCCGCCTCACCCAGCCCAGAACGTCGTCCATGATACTCAACGGCCCCTCCGTCCGTCCTGCTAAGTCTGCCGCCGGTCTTGTCATAGTGAGGCTCAAAGGATTCGGGGTTCAAGCTCGATTGCAGCTGATCCAGTTGGGATCGTTTTTTCTTAGGAGCAGGGTGTTCGTTATACACATCTCTGTGTATCGTCGAGTTGACAGGCTGTTTCTGAAGTGCTTCGGAGGCAATGCCGTTTCCAGCAGCGCGTCGCTTGTTGTCGGACCCGGGACCGCCAGACCGCCCTGTCTCCCGGTCTGGCTGCTTATAAGTGGCAGCGTGTTTGCCCTGGCACTGTCGTTTATCTGAGAGCTCGGAAACTGGAATTATGCGCTGCTGCCGCTCAAGATTCAAAGATTGAACGGGCGACGATTGGGGCGAAGCATACTCTCCGACTTGGCTTTCCTCTCGCCCTTCTGTTTGGGTTCGTACTCTGGATGGACGTTGCCCCCAACGGAAAGAGGTGGATCTGATCGTGGGCTTGGTTGGCCCTCTTGTGCTTATTGCCGTCGAATGTCGCCATCTCGTCTCGCTTTCATTCCTCGAAGAATTTTCTTCAATGCCCGGTCCTATTACTCGTCCCACATCATTTGGACTCTCTGGCCGGTCTATTGTGGTATCCGAGTCGTAGTCGTTGTCAACGTAATACGTGTTAGAGGACTCGGGGAATGAATTGGGCGGGATACTTGCTTGCGGCCATCGATGGGTATTGGAACGTGTTCCATACGGGTTTTCTGGTTTGAATGCGTTGTCGGGACCATCGTGGTATTTCGGGAATAATGAGAGTCGTTGTGGGACTTCAATCGGGATAGGATCCGTCATATTCCTTGCTTGGCTCATCGCAACCAGCATATCTGCGGCTTCCTTGTCTTGCGGACTTATACGGCCTGGTTGCAATCGATGTGCAGCCGCCGGTTGGTAGGAGGTCGAAGAAGCTGCAGGAGCGATATCCAAGACGTACTTGCTCTGCTTGTCGGTAGAAAGCGAACGGGGTGGCGTTATTGGACTGTAGGGAAGGGATTTGGGCGATTCAGTCGATTCGGATAACCAATTGACCATCCAATGGGTTTCGGTTTGGGATGGATCATGCCCGGCAGGCAGGCCGTCTGGGTAGGAATGGGATGTTTCCATGATCAGGAAATAGGGCAAGTTGCCATTAGAATATTATCGTTATATGGAGATGGGTCAGGATAAATCCTGCGTGATGAAGCAGAAATGTGATGCAATCAATGGGCTAATTCTTAGATGCGGTATATGGGTGGTGATCAACCCGGGTGAAGCGAAGGTGATTCAGAGAAGCTCACAGTTTGGATGGGTGGGAGGAAGACGACGGAGAATGGAAGGAGTGCGAAGGGGGTTTGGGGGCGCTGAGGAAGACCTGCCGCAAAGTGTGGCGAGGGACTCCGGCTCTTTTCTCTTTCCTGCTGGTTTGTCTACCAGCCCGCGCCGACATTCTTGAGTACTGATTATTTAGTGCAATGCCGGCAGAAATAGAGAGATGGATTCTTTTCTGGCTTTTGCTCCATTGGCGGAGGGATTATCTCAATTAGGCGATGGTTCCAACAGTAGGCCAATGTTGACAGCAGAGGGAGGAAGGGGCGGTCGAGTGTCCGAAACCCGCAGAATTTCAATACAAACTAGATGGACCCATAGGATGACTTTCTTGGGTCAATCCAGCCGCGCTTGAAAGTGAAAGCAGATTGGGGGGCAAGGCGGAAAGTTATATTTCTTCCCTACTGTACTTATTCTTAGGTAGGGTAAGTAGGTCCCATGTTCGCACTCGATCTGTGTGCTGGCAGATAAAAGTACTGAAGTACCTTTATGTAATGGCGGACAATACGCTGGGCATCGAGCAGACCCTGCATTATGAGATTCCGTTCTTGTATCCCACCAATCCTGTAGTTCTGCAGTCGTTATCATGGCAGTCATTCAACTGCGCCCCTGCTTACTGCTCGTGCGTCGATATAATACGATGTGTATGCCCACCCTAGCATCAACTTCTTCCTATGCAATGCTCCTTGCAGTGCCACATTTTCACCTTACATGAAATCCACGTGCTTATAACATGTACAGCAACGCTAGTATTTTCCCTGGGTAGCTCCTATTCTTAAGGGTCTAGCATTCGGTTTCCAACTCGGCGTTTGCCATTCGTCATTGCCACATAGAGGCCTCATGTACGGAATAATGATGGAGCTGAAAGGAGACTTCATCAATGGCGGGGTATATCAAGGTGGCCCGTCTGCAATGGCCCAATACAGCCAGAAAATGCCGAAAAATGTTCTTGTTTACACAACATTCGCTATCCTCGTGCAGAGTTCAGCCCTACAGGAGATCATGCTACGTTCATTCAAGCGGCAAGGGGGTGTAAGAGCGGTCGGGTTGTTTTGTCCATCGTCTCGGAACGTGGAATATTCCATGGCATGTACCTAGGTATCTTCATTCTGTTGCATCCTCCTTCGCAAAAGTGCTAGCTACGATAAGCGGGAAGCACGCAGAAGCTTCGCAGTAGACCTGTACGATGAGTCAACCTTGGGAAACAAAAACCATGAGAAGCGAAGAACTTACCTTGACGTGGTCCGCACCAACTTTAATCTTTCCCCACGAGACTGCTTCGTCTGGTCTGGCACCTGCATCACTGCCATCAAACTCTTGTGCTGTGTTGATATAGACCGCTGATTCTGCGCCATTGCGCATCAAGTTGGCATTCGCGATATGATGCTTGACGACACCACCGCCGAGAATAATCATGCCTGTTCTCTTCGCAAATACAGATATGTTGTTGATCCGCCGAATATCCTCCACTAGATCAATTTTTAGGTGTAGTGGCGCTGCCTTGTACGTATGAAAGTAAAGCATATCGCCAAGGCTGCCATCTGTCAAGGCTGGGCAGAACACGGGAATATTGTTCCTGTAGGCCCAGTAGTAGACTGACCGGTCATCGTTGATTTCCTTGCCCAGGCGGTGAATAACCTTCGATGGCGTCCAGTTTATTTCTTCGGCCGTGCCCTTGCTCGCCTCTTGCTCTTCGAGCATCTTGTCCAAGATTGGCACGACCCAGTCCTCGAACTTGCAGTAGTTCCCGTTCGGAACCATAAGGTTGCCAATGCGGTTCAGACCATTCTTTCTCAACTCTGCCCCTGAAGCACTAAATGAGGACATGTAAGTATCGCCCAAGCATTTGATGAAGTCTTCCTCGATACCGCCAGCCGTCGTCACAACACAATCGACGTGCTTGTGCTGCAAAAGATATCGGAATGTTCCCCGCAGGCCGGACGAGATCATGTTTGACGTGTAGCCGAAAAAAATGGTTGTCTTGTCTCCTGTCTCTGGATCTCGCCATTTGCGCATATCATTGATGATCCGTACAGCTTCGCCGATCGACGAGGCTTGGAAGCCCATGTGTTTCATGCCTTCCAGAAGGTCGTCAACCGTTATTTGTCTTCCTTTGAATGCATTGAAATCGAGCTCCTCAACTTTCTGGGCCTCATCGGGCAAAACTGATTTGACGAAGACAGCATCCTTGGCCCCAGTCGGGCCAGCAGGCGCAGTGTTCTCAGCAGACGACGACATATTGCAGGCTTGACTTGTAACTACAGCGACCCAGTTGAAGATTGATTTTCTCCAGGTAAGAACCAGGTTTGAGTTTAACAATATTCGTCTTTCTTGGTGACTCAAGGCTTTCCCAGATTTTTGGTTAGAATGATTGCTCCCCTCCTCTTCCGATTCATGTGGTAGTATCGATCTTCGTTATTGTTTGTCACTACCCAGATGCTTGTATCGAACCACCCGTATCAGGAATCGTACGGAACGAGCCAGACACACCAAATACCAGTACTTTGCGGGTTTGTGAATTGGTGAAAAGTTGGCAGTTGAATTTGCGGAAGTAAATATCACCCCAACTTTATATCCGAACTGGAGTTCTAGAGAGATATTGGTGGCGGCAGTGGTGCTTTTCCGTTTCGAGAACCGCAAAAGATCTTCGTGCAATATTTTTGTGAGTGCCCGCTGTACATGCAACATCACCCGATTCTGCTGCGGATGAGAAGTCACACGCATCTTTAAGGCTTGGCGCGCTTGGAAGCGAACCCAAGCAGGTGCCGCCTTGCCGTCAAATCTCAAGGTTGACACCGACCCCACACAAATCCCGTCAGGCTCGGATGTACCGGGGTACTGGGAAGTTTGGCTTGAACGGCTACGGGTCATCACTTTAGATGGCAAACGTTACACTCATCCGTTGACTGAAAGAAACATCACCTAAGACAGGTTACCATTGATTGTTTACAATGGATGAAATCAAGTCAATCCAGTGTGTTGGCGACTGCATGAACCAACAAGCGCAAGTCCATGGCATCCCACTGCTACTTTGTGCATTGTTTCTGCAGGTGGGTCTAGCGTAGATGCCGGTGCGCTCTCCATCCTGGTCGGGCTTAGCGCTGCCACGCGAAGACGTACCAGTGTTTTCGAGGTCTCCAATTCAGCCTCTTCCACCTTTCACCTGCAGCATTCAACTACATGATCGAATAGAGTCGATACTGTATCCCGACATTTAACGGAGGTCCTGTAATTTCTCCTTTGTATTTGAGTCTTACCTTCAGAAGTCGTTCGGTAGGCGACCTGGCGCATTCATCCGTATACGGATCACCGGACCGGCGCGACGACGTTTGCGGGCCACCTCATGACTTCCACCCGTTGCCCACATCCGACCACATCTCGAAGTTGACCAATTTGCGCATCCGCATTCCTGGCTCTCTGTTCACGGATTTGGTGACGATTCCGTCCTCATGAAAACTCAATAGGGTTACTTGAACTAGGCGGCTCCCTCAGCCACCGCAATGTAGGTTTGATCTCTCTGTTATTTAGGGTCTCGCACCTTGTCCCACAACTCGCAACTGCTGCAAAATGCTTCTGTTACCTCCCTGTCGAAATCGACATATTACCCTCGTGATGATGATGAAATGCACCCACGCTCTCATCACCCTGATAACAGGCACTCGGGCTATTCCCAGAGGCCGCGCTTCCATCACAACGCCCCTCGCTATCATCCTTATGTCCATCCTAGCCATCCCCATGCTCACTCTGAATGCGATCTTAGGGCTTCTCGCTATGGTGGATCCAGGTACGATGGCGAGGCACGTCGCTCAAGGTCGCGCGACCGCTCAGCAGAGCGATACAATGATCGCGCTTCCCAGTACAGTGACGGTGGGCCTCGACGAGCTTCCGCAGAATCCCGCTCGAATAGCTCGGCCTTCCAGACGAATCGCGACAGTTTCCGTGATGCCCTACCACGAGACCCCCCAAGAGGTCCAAGGGCGCTCCTGGATCCTCCCAGCGGACCCAGGGGAGGTGGATTATCTGGAGAGTTTCGAGGACGAGGCCGTGGCAGAGGCAGAGGTTGGCGGGATGATAGCCGGGATAGAGGCAGAGACCGCGATTACGACCCTCGCGACCGAAGAGAACTATTTCGGGACGAACGAAGCCGGGAGCGTGAGCGCGAGCGCGGAGACTGGCGGGACCGAGATCGGGATAGCTTTCGTGGTAGGCGGCCTTCCCCACGGGGCAGGTCACCACCGATTGGTAGAGATTTTCGAGATTCTAGGGACTTAAGAGATGTGCCCCTAGGTGTCGATCCAGACCGTGCACGTCGTGGCTCTAGGGACGGACCTCTTTCTGCAGGGTCATCCAACTCAGATGCTCCGTTTCCTTCAACCTACCGAGGTGGATTTGGCGGTCGGGGGCGTGGTAGAGGGCGAGGGGATTGGGATCGCGGCCGCGGAAGAGACTACTATGGAGATCGAGATCGGGACAGATATGGACCTGGACTTCGGGCTCGCTCTCAAGAGGGGCGATTCCGAGACAGAGATGATCGCGAACGAGATGCTAGATTTCTCGACAACGATACTCGCCCGCGAGACCCGCGCGATGATCGAGATGCTCGCGACCGTGAAACCCGTGGCAAAATGGATCGGACCTCCCACGAACCGGCCCCAACAGCCAGGGAAGTCTCACCACCACCCCTAGCACCAGCGGCACCATCATTTGGATCTGTACCCAACCGGACCTCATCCAACGCCGACATCAGCGCTGTCATAGGCAGGGTACCACCGACTGGCCCAAGAGCGTTGAAAGAAGAGCGTCCTCTCCCTACTGGGCCTGCGGCCGGCAACGATACACGACTACCGCCCACTGGGCCTTCGAAGCCATTACATCCTGAAGGGAGTCCTCCAATCCCTTCTGGTCCTCGTGCACAACGGCCTGGTCCATCTTCGAAACAATGGATCAACCCAAGTTACAAAAGAGGCCCAGAGTCGCCCAAGATGAATAGGTCCCAGAGCTTTGCCCAAGCGAGATTCCCCGGTTTCCGTCCAGATGGCACAGGTTTTGATCAGCAACCAGACAGTGACAGGCGTCCACGCAGCAGCGAATTACACATAGCGGATTCAGTGGATGGCGCCAATAAACTTGACAGACGGCCTCGCTCGGCTGGTTCGCCATTTGACAGAAGCTATCAACCGAGAGGATCACCGAAGACAGTCAAATCTGAAGGAGCCCATCCTCAAGATGGTGTCGAACACTTGACCAAAGAGTCGTCCATGGCGGAACCCGGCTCTCCGAAACAAGTCTATGAAAAGGGCGTAGCACGTCGAGAACCGCTACTAGGGGTTATATTCCCTAAACGTACTGGAATTCCATGCAAGCAGTTTAAAGCACCTGTTAGCGATCAGTCGTCAGAGTCTGACGATGAAGACTTCGGGGACGAAATTGAGTCGCAGTTGACCGCGACCGAGGCAAGCCTGAAGAAGATTCCAGGTCCAGAGCATACCGTACCTATCGACGTCATTGTGCGACATGCGATTCTGTCGCTCGAATGCGTCATAAAGGTCGGATCTGAACCAGAGAAATTGGCGGCTATGGTTGGGCCAATTCCGGAAGAAACAACGACTGCTCCAGTCGAAGCAGACATGGTTGATGTTCCAGACGAGAAGCCCACAGATGTTGATGCTGCGCCCGAAGAGCAGAACGTCGCCCCCAATGAGAAAGCGCCATCACCCATTCCGGAGGTGGCAACGGTGGTGTCAAGCTTGTCTCGAGAGGAACTACCCCACCCTTCGATAGAACATGATATTGATATGATGCCTATTGACGAACCAATCACGCGTCATACAGTATCCAAAACGGAGGATGGCGACGTGGTCATGGAGGATGTTGCGGAAACTGCCCACTTCCCTTCTGGCCCGCAGCCAAAAACTGGGCAGATAAACGGGATAGTTTTCCCTAAATCTCGAAGGTCTTTGTTGTACCAGGAACTTGAGCCAGCGCTTTCGAGAGATGGGAGCAAAAGAGGGACTAGTACGCCATCTCCAGCGGAGGATGACGACGAGACGGACATCGAGGATGTTGACCTACAAACTGTTGAGATCTTTCAGGATCATATGAGCACGCCGCCGACCGATAGCCTCCCCGACTTTGACGAGAAGCCATGGTATGATGACCGAGCATTTCTCAAATCTATGGACGCGCCTAGGACTGCCTTGGACAACTTTATCCTGAAGAGGCTCCAGGCAGAAGCCTGGGACCGGACGGTAGAGCAACAACAACTGAGGAAGATTTACTCCGGTAATTATGAGGCATATCTCCGGTTTACCATGTCGGACGACCCGGTTGCTGTGAAGAGTCGCGAGAAGTTTACATGCGTCACGGGGGTTCCTGAGCCTCCTGCCCACAAGCCAGGTTTCAATGGCGAGGCAAAGCCGGAATCTACGAGACGAAGTAGATATGCCTCTGAGCGCGACCTTGAAAGAATTCTTGAAGAATCCCGCCGGGTTGAGGAAGAGAAACGTGAACGTCACTTACGGGCAGAGAAGGAGAGATACAGGAGCGAAAAGGAGGCCGTCTTGCCCTGCCAATATCAGACTCAATTGGAGATAGACAACAATTTCTACCGTGACCACACTGGTGCCGTCGGACCTGAAACGATTGTATCGACGTGGGAGGTTCTGCCTCCAGTTGACAACTTCACCGAGGAGGAGGTTGCTATCTTCGAAAAGGCCTACCTGGAGTTCCCCAAGCAATGGGGTAAGGTCTCCGATCCGTTGCCTAACAGGGACTTCGGGACCAGCATCCAGTTCTACTATCTCAAGAAGGAAAAGGCTGAGCTCAATCTCAAGGAGAAACTTAAGAAACAACCTCGGAGGCGCAGGAAAGGTCGAGGCAAGCAAAGGTCTAGTGCACTCGTCTCGGAACTCGGCAATGGTGACAACGAAACTGAAGAGACGCAAGAGACTGGGGAGAACGGTGAAAGACGCCGACCGCGGCGCGCAGCCGCTCCCACCTTTAACTCTGAAGCTACTCCTGCTACGGATGGAGACAACACGGCCGGCAGTTCCACCCCGAACCGCCGCGGTGCTGGTGCAACGAGAGCCGACGGAACCGTGGCTGAGAAACCTAAACGAGGCCGTAGGTCGGCTAAGGACAAGGAACCCAAGCTGCCCCGGGCGAACCAAACTCTGGCCGCAGCGCCGCCAGCGAACACGGCCAAGAGCAACCGATCCCGGTCTAGTTCTCGAGTGCAGCCGCCGGAGTGGGTACCGCAGCAGATTCAAGGCGAAATGCCTCGGGTTCCAACCCCGTACGAGCATGCTCCAAGCGGTATCCCTGTTCCTCCTGTTTCTATGCAGCCTACATTTCAAGCTACAAAACCACTCGTCAGCCCAGAAAGAGTCGTTCCGCTGCCCACTCCTGGGTCCATGTCGGACGTGATGGCCCCGCCACCATTGCGGCCAGAACCACCACAGCCTCCGGGGGGAATGCCGTTTGACCTCAGTCAGTCGGCGTTCTCAGATCGCAAAGCCAGTTCCCAGGCATCTAGCTACTGGAGTGTGCCCGAAGCAACTGACTTCCCCGCTTTGCTTCGAGCCTTTGGTAGCGACTGGGCTGCTATAGCCAATCACATGCGCACTAAGACTGCTGTTATGGTATAATGCTGTTCCCTTCATGACCTTTTGGTGGACCACGACTAACAAAGCACTCTAGGTCAAGAACTATTATGCACGTCAAAAGGACAATGGCAAAGAATGGGAAGCACTCGTTATGGAGGCCGAAGGCAAGAAGCAGCGAGGCGAGAAGATGCCACAGCCGCCTGTACCTAATCCAACAATCAAGTCGAAGCGGTACGACACATCGGCCATCAATCGGCCGTTGGCTTCAGCGGACACTGTCATGGAAGACGCGGCCCCTCCGAAACTGGAACAGCCCCCCACGCCTCAGTCCATTACTGGTCGTTTCAACGTCCCAATCGCAGCCCAACCACAGCAGCCATCGGTGGTGCAATCGCCCTTTTCTCAGCCTCCTCAGCCTCCGGTTATGGTCCACTCTCATCCAGCCAGTCAGCCCCCTGTTTCTCAACCGCTTGCCCAACCTGTGACGCAAACCATGTCTCCAACACCTCGGCCACTAAGGGCGCCTTTTGCGTACCATGAGAGAGAACAACGGGAATCGATGTCGCAGCAGCCGACTCGCACACCTCTTGTTCAGAAACCTACGCCTCAAGCTCACCCGACACCAGTTTCCGAGCCACCACCTATAAGACATCCGTTGCCAAATTCAGTTATTGATCATGTCGACCGTCAAAAGACAGAGTCGAAGCCAGTTAAGGAACAGCCTCGACAAGAGCGGCAGCCGCTGCGTGTGAAGCAGGAACCCGACCTAGGCCATCAGTTCGACCCTTATTCGGCTCAAGTGCAGCCTCAACCCCAGCCTCAAGTGCAAACTCATGTGCAACCTCAAGGGCAACCTCAAGGACAACCTCAAGGACAACCTCAAGGACAACCTCAAGGGCAACCTCAAGGGCAACCTCAAGGGCAGCCTCAAGTGCAGCCTCAAGTGCAGCCTCAAGTGCAGCCTCAAGTGCAGCCTCAAACCCAGCTGCAGCCCCAGCTGCAACCCCAGCCCCAGCCCCAGCCCAGCCGTGGAGCTCCAGTTCGAGCAGAACTACCTCTATCACGCCCGCCTGACCCCCCTCGTGCTGTTGCCCCTGCTCCCCAGGCACCATTTGCTACCGCCTTACAACAGCAACAGGGACGGGGCTTGTTGCACGACAACCATCCTTCGCAAAGCCATCCGTCGCCGCCCGCACCTCCGAGGCCTCTATCAACCTTGTCGCGGCCAAGGTCCTGTGCAAACGGAGCCGGTGAACAGTATAACGCGCCGCCTGCGCAACCGACTCCACCAGTGCCTGCCGCGGCACCACCTAGACCCGTGGAACGTAAGACGTCCAGTATAATGTCCTTGTTGAACGACGATCCTCCACCGCCCCCTAAGAGGGTTGCCGAGGTCCCAGCAATGGTGAAGCAGTCATCTACGCCGCCTCCGCAGAGTAATCTTTCACGCCCACCACCGCCTCCACCACCGCCGTCGCACATTCGTCGCGAGCCGCAAATGGTCGAAACCCAACCGTACGCACCTTATGGGCGAAACCCGCCACCAGCGCCTTCATCCATGCCTGCCTTGAAACCATACACTACAGCCTCGCCTCAGCCTCAGTCACTGAGTGCACCAAGGCACTTGGCTATGGAATCTCCCGCCGACCGAGTGGAGCGCGAACGTGCCGACCGGGAACGTGCTGATCGAGATTACTTTGCTCGACAGCGTCAATTCTCGTCCCCCCATCAGTCCGTTGTTAACTCACCACAGAGCGCCCACCCCTATCCCCCTCAGAGTCAGGCAGCTCAGATAAGCTACCAGACTCAGCCTGGATATCCCTACGGTGCGGCTGCCGCTCAACCACCCCCTGCAGCCTCTCCTCCACCGCCACAGTACGGCGGTCACCCATCGGCATCCCGGGGTCACGAACCACCCTCGCAACCCAGCCGGGACATGCGGGACATGCGGGACATGCGGGACATACGGGACGTGCGAGAGATAAGAGAGATGCGGGATATACGAGAGATGAGGGACATGAGGGACATGCGAGACATGCGAGACATGCGAGAGAGGGCATGGTCTGGCGCGCACCCAGGTCATGCTATGCAGCAGCAACAGCAGCAACACGCATGGCAAGCTCAGCCGCCAAAGTCCAGTCAACCGCCGCCATCTCAGTCACCATGGGCCGCGCAACATTCTACACCCAAACCGCCACCGCCAAGCAGCTCTGTACCGCCACAGCCATCATGGGCATCGGCTCCCCCAGCGCCACGTGGACATGACCCTCGGGAAGCGCTGAATCTTCGGGACCTACGGGATCCATACCCACCACACAGATCAATGCAGCCGCATATGCAACCGCAATACGGTGCACCCGTCTCTCGAGCCCCAGAGCCACAACCTCCCCAAGCATCTGCAGGCTATTCACGGTACGCCAATACACCGGTGCCAGGTCGTGACCCCCGAGATGCGGGACCGCCCAGCAGTTATACGCCCGTCAGCGCCTACGAGGCGCGAGGTCAATACACGCCTTCAGGGCAGGATATGCGCGAAGTCCAGATGAGAGAGCAGCAGCAGCAATCCATTCTGCAACAGCAGTTACGGCCACCGCAGGATCGCTTGTACGACACCCGGCCGCCAGATAGGTACGGGCGCTAGTAGTTCCCGCACCCAGCGATCGGAAGCGTTGCGATTGGCGTCAGATCTTCCAAGCAGAGATCCCAACACAACAACATTATCACAAAACAACGCGCAAAAGGTCACTTGACTTAGTTTTGCATCTGTACATTGAATTATGGAGGAACTGGGGGAGGACGTGGAACGACGACTCTGCTTATATAGACGGCGTTGATTGACAGGCATCACTTGCTGCAAAGGGAAAAGGCTCTGTTGCCATACAACGCGAGGGTTTTATTGGCTCTTCTTGTTATTTTATGTCTTGGGAGTCGCGCTGGAATGGTTAAATGGTCCCATATCTAAGGTATTACATATGTACATCATTGAGATTTGTTGGACGGGAATCCACATATCTTTGTTGGAGTACAGTACTCGAGTGTATTGAAACAGTTTATGAGCCAAGTATGATTTAATTCACGTCTGGGTTAGATGATGTGTGCTTGTGATGGTGACTAAATGGTAAGTATTGACACTCGTGGTAATATGAGTCTGCGATCTATCATGAAGGATGCGAGATAACCAGTAGGCCACCTCTACAAGAACAGGGGCATGAATTCAAAAATAAACATTCCTTCCACCTAGAGCTGAACTTACCACTCTGGGTACACGAAGTGATGTTACGACTGGCGTGCCTAGGGCATAGAAGTCTAGTTTATGCTTTCATGATGTGCTGGAGGGCTGAAGCTAGAAATGCAGGGTCCTGTCACTGCTGTACCCGTTGGTGGGGGTGGGGCTGTAAGGCTGAGAAGGCCACATGCGGCTGCATTTCCTTTCAGTCCCGCCCGAGCCAAAACTCCAAGCCTGCATTTTCTCAACCCAAGAATGGACTGGCAGACAGAATGGCGGAAAAGAACGGAATCCAAGGGAAAAAAACGATAGTCTTCTTGCATCCCGATCTGGGTATCGGTGGTGCGGAACGTCTTGTTGTCGATGCCGCGGTCGGCCTGCAGAACCGAGGGCACAAAGTCGTCATCTTTACGAGCTACTGCGACCCGAGTCACTGCTTTGATGAAGCTCGCGATGGTATGCGGCACCCTTGTGCTTCAAATATTTTGCACCAGGATGGGATGAATTGCTACTAACTGTCGTCTCCATTCAGGCACCCTCGACGTCCGTGTCCGCGGCAACACCATAGTCCCATCCTCGATCCTCTCACGATTCAGCATCTTGTGTGCCGTCCTCCGTCAATTACACCTGATCCTGCAAATCTGCTGGACCAGCGAACTGCAAGACCTCGCCCCCGATGCCTACTTCATTGACCAGCTCAGCGCTGGCCTGCCCCTGCTACAATACCTGCAACCCCAAGGTCGCATCCTTTTCTATTGCCACTTCCCCGACCTGCTCCTAGCCCAGGGCCGCCAGAGGTGGTGGAAGCGCGTATACCGAGTGCCCTTTGATTTTCTAGAGCAGTGGAGCATGAGCTTCGCCGATGCCATCGCGGTCAATTCCAACTTTACCAAGGGTGTTGTCTCCGGCACTTGGCCCCGTTTGGCCCAGAGCAAGGATTTGAAGACCGTATACCCGTGCGTGGATACCATGGCCAAGAAGACGGGCGATGCGACCAACGCGGACAATGGAAAGCCGCTGTGGAAGGGCATGAAGTTCCTGCTGAGCATCAATCGGTTTGAGCGGAAGAAGGACATCGCTCTGGCTATCAACGCCTACGCTGGGCTAGGCAAGGACGCAAGGAAGGGTGTGAGGCTCGTTGTTGCTGGTGGCTATGATAACCGCGTCCCCGAGAACGTCGGGTATCACAAGGAGTTGGTTGATTTAGCCGACTCCCTAGGCCTCCGCAACATGACGGCCAAGACAATCGTCACAGCACTCGATGTACCCGACAACGTCGAGGTCCTCTTCCTGCTTTCGGTACCGAACCTGCTCAAGGAAATGCTTCTCAAATTCGCCAAACTACTAGTCTACACGCCAGCCAATGAGCACTTCGGTATCGTTCCACTGGAGGCCATGCTGGTAGGCGTGCCTGTGCTAGCAGCCGATACAGGAGGACCCACCGAGACCGTGATCGAGGGCGAGACGGGATGGCATCGATCGCCAGCTGAGGTAGAGAAGTGGACCGAGGTCATGGACGCGGTGCTCAACAAGTTGTCCCGGGACGAACTGGCCAGGATCTCCCAAAATGGCATTTCGCGCGTCCAGGACAACTTCGGCAACATGCAGATGGCGGAACGTATTGATGAGATTATGGAAGAGATCCTCGATATGAATGCCAAGTCGGGTTCGTGGATGCCTGTTGTCGCAATGGTATCCGGTGCCGCCCTGGCGCTAGTGAGTGTGGGCTTGGCATTGTTTACTGGCAAGACGAGCGATTGATGGCCGCCTAGATTGGTACTGGGGACATAATTTGCGGCCTTGTAAATAAAAGAACAGTTTTTTCAGATGATATATCACATGCGAGCTAGGGGCATTTAAACTACGCCACACGGGCCTTTATTCCATTTCAAGCACTGGGCCGTGATGATCTCGCTCGTTGCCCGAGGTGTAGGGGCCGTGAAGCGAGACAGTCATCTCTAAGTGGACTCGATGGGGTATTGGCAAAGGGTTAGCTTGGGTTATTTTACCAAGAACACAACGCCAATCAGTTCGATTAGAAGCCCCCCAACCGGCATGTGGCACAGCTTATTGCTTACGCCGCTCCCAATGCCAGGTTGGTCAGTACCATGATATCGGATCCGGTGTTCGGTTCACTTCGTCTGATTTACATCCGAACAACGTATCTGAAATGATGTACATTCCGAGTACCCATGACAAGTCCATATGGGAAACGAGGGGTTATCGACACACTTGACACTGGACGATGTCATAGACTGTGATGCCGTGTCAGGGGTGTATATGGAGGACGCGCAATTTGGGACTGCAGAGCCCTATGCTACGATTTGGAGGCTGTGACGAGGCTGTGGGAGGTGAGTGAGAAGTTGGTTGGACATTCTGTCGATATATGAAAATATGCAGGGGATGTTCTGGGTTCAGTGGCTAGGTACGTTTGGAATGGGAATATATCTTGTCTAAATGTTTCTCCATCTTATCTTATAGGTCTGCAAGCCAACTAGTCTAGTAAACCAAAGTACATGACGCAGAATTAGCTTCAAAGGAGCGCGGGAGGATATTGTACTTACTCAGGTTTGTGGCGCAGGAACTACCAAATATGACTCTGGTGTTATAGTCATTTAGCTGGTCTCTAGCCATTCTGGCAATCTACCACTATTATTTCGCCCTTCTCCGTTTCTTGTTGCTTTCGTACACGCAGGTACGGCCCACACTGAACCAGCGCAGACCGGATCAGTTTGTTATAAAAGTCTTAACTCAATCGAATCAATACTTCGAAGGTAAGCTTCCCGGGTGAGTCGGAACTGTATTTGGTCAGACTTTTGCACTTGGTTCCGAACTTCTACATAAAACCCCCTACTTTTCTCATCCTCACTAATTCTCATTTGACAGACGGAAATTATCAAACTTGGACGTCCTACCTAGGAAGCCTAGACCCAACCTGCACTACCTATCAACTTCATCCTTCGCCGATTCACACGTCACAATGGCCGCACTGCTGGTGCCGATCGTGAAAACCGCGTTCGCCGAATTCCTCAAGCGGCAACGTGACGCCAAACCCACGAATCCATGCTTGCGATGGGAACAGCAACCCACCACGGGGCCTCCTCCGTCTAATAGCGAGTGGGTCTTTTGGCTCGTCTACGCCCTCATATGTTTCAGCCTGATATGGCTCATCTTCGGACCGGCCATTTGGACATCAGCGGAAGATACGAATAGAGAGGGACAATACGAGTGGGACCAATTATTACAGGAAGCCGTGGAGAATGAAAGAAGACTCCGTAGGAGTTCGGAAGTCTCTATCAAGGAGGTAGAGCAGGACACCGAAAACGCCGTTCCAGAATCAGACCACGAGAATGAGAAGGAGTACGAGTTCCATCTGGCGAATGGCAAGTTGCTGCAGATGGTAGAGAAGCTGCAAATCGAGTACAGAGATCTCCACAGCTATATTTTCAAATTGGAGTATATTAGAGAGGCGCTGGACAGCGAGAAAATGGAGCTGAAGCAGGCTTGGGATCGGCTGCAGTTCGAGGAGATGAAGAAGCGGTCTGGAGAGCAAGAGGAGGGTTGGCGGATGATTGGGGACCTCGAGGATCCGCAAGTCGACCATGATTTCGTTGTGGTTTCTGACGAAGATAAGATATAGATCGCTGAATTCGACGAGCGCAGATAGAAATGGGTGTCTGGACTAGTAGACCATGTGTACTATTGCTCAATGACACCGAAGTTGTTTGGCACTCTTTTCCAGCGTCACAGGATCTTCGTTCCTGCCTTTAGGGAAGAACATATAGGCATGACCAGACGACAAAGATGGATTTCCGGGACTTTTTTAGGCCCAGTCCTGATACGGCTCCCAAATTCGGGTTGCAGACACAGTGGTATTCGTTCCCATTTACCATAGATCCGACCATTTTCATTTCTTTCACAACAAAATATCAGCGAAGCGAGCCAGGTGTGTAGCAGCCTATACTCATCTTCGCCGAATAGTTAAGCGTCATTCAGGTATTCATCGCCAGCGTCAACCCACAGGTCGCCTAGATATTCCCAATCGCCATCGTTGGGGGCGGTTATTCTGAGTCACTTGAGGCCATTGGTAATAACTGTTGTAAGAAATAACTAATAGCATATGCGATTGCCGGTGGCAACAGGTGGTCGACAGTTCAGACTCCCTGAAGGCCACCAACCTGAATCATCAGGCTCAACTTAACCTTCAAGACTGGCACTGAGCGATACCGCCATGCCAAGCTCAACCCGTCTTGAAATTATAGGATACGAAATGATTTCTCCTAGAATAGAAGAAAACACTTTATTCACGACAAAGAAGTGAAAAAATTCATTTATGCTTTTCAGAATGCGAAGAATAAGGGATCAAAACAAAAAAAGAAAGGCTTCTTTATTCTATTAAGAAATGTAGACGATAAAGAAGAAGAAACGAGTTCGGCCGTAGTAAACAAATCTAACCAACAAAAAAGTTATACCTGTAAGTAAACGCCTAATTGCCCTCTAGATAGACTTGGTGATGCGAGTGCATATGGGGTGTGAATTGTTGTATTGGGAAAGGATGGCTAGGTCAGCTATTCTGGCCTGGCAGAGCTCTTTTATAGCTCGTATCTATCTTATCTATAGCTACAGGGTAACCCCCCATGGGGTCACGTATCACTTGGATAACACATTGATATACTCTTACTCTTTTACTTCTCGAATCTACCCTGTAGCTACCCGGTAGAAACCCACAAATATCCGCTGTATACTCGTAACCTAACATAAATAACCTTTTCAAAGGGACATCAACAGCCTTGCGGACTACCGAACTGTGCTCGATGCGATAGTAGATGAGCTCAAACAGCGGCACTGCCGTGGAACAAACGAAATGGAAGGGACTTTTGGCCGCAGTACGACCTATCCTCGATCCGCTTGTTGAATTATTTCCTGGATCTTTGAAGTCATCTTTGGGACAGGAAATACGATACAAGATATAGCCGTCTCTGGTAATATCCCAAACATGGAAGGACAGTACATAATCCGTCTGGTCCGGCCGCAAAGATCCGGATGTGAGTGGATGACGTTGTGCATCTCTCCAGCAACAAACTCGAATACTGTCAGAGACCTGAATGCTACAGGCACCGATGGGACACCGGTGGGGCCCCGGTGTAGGGATGTGCGAGTCATGACCTAATATGGAAGTCTTGGTATACGGAACAATCGGAAAACCTAGTGCTCTACGGCTCCGACTCCGGGCTCTAGCTATTTATGTAAGGGGCAGGTGGCCGGGAAGAAGATAGAGAGGGCAGAGATCAATGAACCATTGTGGGCACCCCTACCTGAGACTACCCGTGATCGCCAGTGACCACCCAGTGCTACGCAGGAGGGACGCCCATTACTCCCCTCCACTCCGTACTATCGCCTTCGGCCTAGCCATACCCTGACAAATACTCTTCACTAGCTTGTCGCTCGCATTCATCATGCCCATGTTCCACCTTGGCCTTCGCTCTGATGGCTGCTAGCACAGCCCGCAGACTTCAAAATTTTTTCTGAATCAATTAGGAGTAATATTTTTAGAGATATCCTCGGATAAGAACATCTTTTCCACACTGGAGCAGACGCTAACGTCGGCAATGTCAAAAGGTTTGATGACCTGTAGTAGAGGATTCAGGGGTTGCGAGCACATAAGAGGGGTCAGTAGAAAGGTCATGAGTTACTTCAAGGCATGGCGAACCCTTTCGAATCTATGCCACTCAAGTCATTGAGTTCTTACACCAACCATTTCTCCGTGAAGTTTTCAAGAAGAATAGCAATGTTTGTTGAACATAGGGATACTATCGCTAGGACGTTATCAGGAAATTATAGAGCATTTCCAGCCTACGTCAAGTTATACGACGAATCGTTCGAGCTTGAAGCCGGCGATCACATCATCCAGCTCGAAATCACATTGAAACAAGGCTCTCAGATCATTGACCACGACATCATCCTTACCGCAGCACAGATATGGAAGAACAATAAATCAACGCTGAATTTGACCAAAGCAGAATTTGGCAAATAACTGTAAGACTACTTAATGCGGCAGATCAACTTTACCGTACATTTTCCTGTTCAAGCGAAGCTTATGATTGAACCAAATATTGCCGAGCATCACGGCCCATATTACCCGATTGAATCATATCGATAAGCTTTATGGCTTCCAGACAAATGCTTCTTCAAGTCTGTCTCCAGGTCCTTTCCTCAGGTTGCGGTTGCGTGTCGCTATGGCCCTGGAAGATGGGAGATGATATTGGATGGCGTGTTTTATCACACGTCAAAACTGCCTGACAGATCAAGAGTTCCTACACTAACTAGTCTTGAAATGTTTTGTATTAACATATTATCATTTCTAATTAGATCCTAGCGACGAAAGCTACCATCAAGAACTTGGTGACGGTGTTCTTCATAGTGGCGAGATTGGCAGTTTTACTAGGGGTTTGGGCTGCCTTGTCGAGAATGGGTCACTGTAAGCAGATTCGCGGAAGGCGCGGGTGATTGTAAAGCTTGCGTGATGGCCTCCTAGTAGGCGAGAGACACGATGTTGGTGAAGTTGAGATGACAACGAGGCTAATTGCTAGGCTGCAGATGATAGCCGGATCTTGCTGGTACTACTCAAGGGTGTTCGTAATTTGGGGAGCAGGCTCTATATCAGACACGTCTCGGCTCAGCTCAATATCAACCCACCATGACCCCTTGGTGGGTAGGTGGTCAAATTAGTAAACAAGCAAAGCGGCCGAGGGATTGGTAGATATGGTATTAACGGAGCATTCTCGTGGATTTGAGGGTAGTTTTGGTGGGTATTGTTAACCTCTCGACTAAGGCGGCGAGAATGAGGGAGAATTGTAAAGAGGTAGTGCTCAAAGACTAAGCTGGCAGAACTTAAGAAGGCGGAGGAGATTGAGATTCTCTTATCAGTATCCGGGATTCTTTCATGTGCACCTTAATCTGTAGAGCTTCGAGGATCCTGCGTGCCCGGGTATTGTTTAACAGTAGAAAACGGGCCAGTAGATTGGTTTTCGTAGTTCTCTAATATATGGGTTATGTATCGAAGTAGAGTATCAGAGATGGTAAGACGTAATCAATACTGTTATAATGTCCTTGGAGGATGTCCAAGGACACATCCAGACTTCAACTTTCTAAGCTTTCATCAAGCAGCCTCGTCATGAGACAGCAGCCTGAGGGGTATGATTTTACAGGTTGCCCTTGCGTACACGGTATCACGAACAGCGACGCGTGGGACGAAGGAAGATGTGTAGACATAAGGACAGTTTGAGCGTAGTAAATGGAAATGTTTGAACTCGCAAATGCTATAAGCTAAAATCTCGCACGCGGATTTAGGGCGTCATATTGAAGACATCGGTCCACTAATAAGTAGCGCAGCTCTTAGCCGGGTGAAGTAAGTTAGAAGTCTAGAGGAATCACACGGCGAAGCCAGTGTACTGTCGTCATGTCAAAAACAACTGGTTTATTCATCACATTGCGCATTCAGTCGAAGCTGGTCTCAAGGTAGTGGAATGCAACAGAAATCTGCTCTTCACTACTAGGCTACGAGTAAAAAGCCTAATGAAAGTCATTCCGCAAACAAATGGTCCACCTATCTGATAATTTGCAGAGAGTAACCGACAGACGGAAACGATCCAGAATTCGCAGGCATGAGCGGCGTGATGCGTATAAGCTTGGCCCAGCCGAAAACTGAAAAAGTTCACAGTTCACAAATTGTCGATATTCCTCCTCTCTACCCTTTTCCCCCTGCGTCATAATCCATCCTGGTACCGGTCATCAATTTCGAGACAAGACGCCCATAACATGCAGGGTATTTGATAGAATGTCCGTATCAACGCCCGCAACCCAAAATTCCCTAACTCCAACGATAACAAAAAACGGAACACAGCCATTCTCGCCTCCGAGATGAGATCCATCCCAGAGGGTCGCAAGGCCGTCGTCAAACAACTTAAACGTAACCTACCAGTCGCGAATCCTAGTCAAGGCTCTAAGCACACTGCCTGACCCATCATTCGCTTACAGAACCCTCGTCTTCGAAATAGTCCGCCTCTTGATCCATGCGATCCTGCCGGTAATGCGATACAAGCCTAAGTTCGCCCCTGATATCGTTCTGGATGCGAAGGAAGTACTTCTTGAGGCTTTTCAGGCCGCGCAGAAAGCCGCGATCTGGCTCATTTGGATGCTGCGGTGGACAAGGCTTGTCATGAACCAAATCATCCGGCGTGACACTGTTGGCAAAGTCGGCGATCTTGAAATCAATCTCCTTTCGTTGGCGTCGCCGCGCACCCAATGTCTCCTCCGTGTCCGTCGCGAAATCAGTAGTCGAGTCGTCTACGACTGTGTCGTAGTCCTCCCCATCTGTATTCTCATCGTAGAACATTAGGAGACTTGCCGCGTAGAAGCGGTAGCCTCGTAAGCGCCGCACTGTCTCCTCGAGCTGCGTGAGCTTCTGCAAGATTGTGGGTATGTGTCGCAGAACACTCGAATCGTCCACTCCGTTGGAAAGAAACATCCTTAAGGCATCTTGGAATTCCGCCCCTGCCTTGAGGTCACGACCATAGTACTTGTCTCTGAATATATACTGCTGCTCTTTCACATTCCACGTCTGCAACCCACAAACACGTACACCCAGCTCCCGCGAGGTTGTCCCTGCACACTTGCGACGCTGCGATTCGAGCTTCTTGGGGCTCGCTTCGATTCCGTACTGCCTCGTTCCCATCTTCAGATCCATGATGCAAGGATGTTTCATCCCAGCGGTCAAGTCTTCCAAAAGAAGGAAGAATTTGATGTGGGATTCCTGTTGAGTCTGAGCTTCCTTGGGGTTGACTGGCCGAGGAATTCGCTTGAGCTCCATGGCCGGGCTTGGCAGTTCAGATGCAAAGGCCGAAGAATAATCAGACTGGGGTACAGGCACGTCCGGCGGCGTCTCATAGCCGTTGGCGGCGTTTGGTGACTGGTCGTTGGTCTCCACATTACTGAGGTGAGATGGCGGCAGGGTAAATGATTTGTTATCGCCTTTGTAGTCTCTGTCGTCGACGTCTTCAAAGTAGATGAGATTGCCACGGGACCCAGAGACATCATCGGGCTTTCTCCTCAGGCCAGTGCCTGAGTATCGACGCTTCCGACGCTGCTGAGCGGCAAATTCGTCCGTCATTGTGTCTTGTTCAGGCGCACTAGTCCCTGTGACATCCTTGACGTTTTCATGTTCTGCATGGTCCACTTTCAGGCCTTCCTCCTCGTGGCCAAGATCACTTTGAGTATGGGGAAGGCGAGCCTTATTTCGTAGCGGGCTATGCCCGTGTGGCCCTCCCGTTGTGCCATTTGGTTCAGCTTTGCAACGCAGCAGAGCCGGATCCGAGGTGCTGGGGCGAATCATCTGCTGGTGGATGGACCGCCGCGATATGGTCCGCTGATGGGAAGCAGGTTTCTGGTGTCTCTGGACCGTGATCGGTTGTTTAAGGAACGCGTCGCTGAATACCTCATTTCGCAGTCGTTTGTTCACGGTAGTGGCACCCCAGCTTTTAGCATGTCGGTCTTCCAGTGTCGGTCGCCTTACTAGCTGCTCTCTTTCGTTGGATCTCGCGCCTTCACTGCTGAGCTGGACGATGGCTTCCGACGCGCTTCTAACGCGGTGTGGCGGGCTGGTCGTATGCGGAAGGAGGAAACTTCTCGGAAGTATGTGCTGGTTATCGACAAAAGTCACGGTGGGGATCGGGATGGGCTGCGATTGGAGTGACTGGCTGACGATTCTGCGGTGGTCCTTGTTCTGCTTGGGCGAGACGTTCGGCGTTTGTGGGACCTCGGGGTAGGAATTCTCACTGGTCTCGCTCGCTTGCACACCATGGTCGCCAGGATGTACGGCCTGAGTGGTGCGATCGTCACGCTTGATAGTGGACTTACGCCGTGGTTGCTTCTGGAACGTAACGTTGAGAACGCCGATGTACCTGCGACGACTGTTAGTTACGTACGACTTCTCTAATAGGTAGTAAAGCAATGTGGTCCAGTTGGAGCTGTTCAGACGCGTAGTAAAGAAATACAAGGACAAATCCGACCTTGGCAAAAATTGCAACAAGTCGCGGTGGAAGCGCTCAATGTTTTCGTAGAACTTGTTCTCACTGTTATTCAGTTGCTTGCACACGGCGCGCTTGGAGAACCTCCACAACGTCGTATGACCACCAACTTGGTGCTTGTACGGAATAAGTTCAATTGCCTCGAGAGGCTCTTTAGGAGTAAATTGATGGCCGTGTACATGTTCATCGTAGTACTGAGACACCGGCTGTGGGACTTTACTTGGAGTACATTCTGACTCGGGGAGTTCATCCTCCTCAACAGCGAATTCATCCTCCCCCTGGCTCGGCGCATCTTTGGGGGTGTGGACACCATGATCGTCATGAGTGTTGTGGGAACCCTCTTCCACTTCATGGTCTGCCGTCTCCCGCTCAACTTCGGGCTCATCCGCCTTAACCAACCAAGGGTTAATCTTCTCTGCAACAGATGCTCGGTGGGGCACCTGTGGCCTCCCAGGTTTGGCCGGGGCGGGCTTAGCGCATTCGGACGCTTCTTCGAGGCCGTGATGTGGTACAAAGACAGCCGACGATATCTTCTCCTCTCCAGATTCATCTCCCTCTTCATGAGCATCTCCGATGTCGGTGCTGTCACGTGACATCCTCCGCTCCTCTTCGGGTGAGACATGGCTTGACGTGATTACTGAGCTTGATGGCGCATCGTCATGTCGGAAACCCTGAGCACCCGCTTTGGCATCATGCCACTCCGGGGTTCGGGAAACGGAGGCAGGCGCGTCGGCCTTCTCAGGCTTCTGGAAGCTGAAGTAGTCGGTCTCCCCCTGTTCGATGGGAGACTCAACAACCGAGCCAGCGGATGGGTTGGACAGGGTTCTTGATAGTGCTTGTGCAGGAGGCGTCATGTCTTGTGGAGATGGAGGGGGCCGCCCTGAGCTCGGCACCCGCTTCTCCTCGGTCGCCAGTTGGCCATCTTCGCTCGGCTGTTCCTGGACTGGAGGTGGTCTGTCTCGAGCGTAGCTGCCAGACTTCGTGTCTTTGCGCTTGCCTTTATCGTCGGGCAGGCCTTCCTTGAAGAAACGAAGACTGTGGCTGGCCTTGCGACTTCGCGTCGGTTCGACGCCCGCGAGGGCTTCGGTGATAGACTTTTCAACCTGCCCCGCCTCCACTCCCAATGCGTCGCCCCGACCTATTGACCAAGCCTGGCCTGGACCCATTGATAGCGTACGGTCTGTTCTCCATGTCCTGTATTGAATGCGGGTTTCGGTCGATGAATTGGACTGATCAGGGCTGATAAGGATTGGCTCTTTCCCTAGACGACCATGTGGCAACGACGTGTCACCGACGTTGCTTGAGTGGTTTCCGTTGGCATCCAATTGCTGTGTTCGGATTTCCTTATCGGTGCGTTCCAGTGATCGTGGTCTTGATGCAGAGGAAGCAAGGGCCTCTCGTTGGCCGTGTAGCTTCGTGATGGCATCCACCAGGCCAGGCATGTCGAATTGGGGAGGAATGCCCATGTCTGTATCGCTGATGGCGATGGGAGATGTCAAGAAGTTCGGGGTCGTCGCCGTCGCTATACCAGTGTTCAGCGAGGATGCTCTTGGTGTCAGCGACCCACCGCAAGATGGCGAGAGAATGTCATGGTGATCTGAAGGAGGGTTTGCGAGAGCATGACTGGGCCGCGCATCATGAGAACTTCTTATGTCGTTTGCTGGGGCAGACTTCTGCTCGGCAAGTCGTTCAGTCTGCTGCTTGGAGTTGCTGGCAGGAATAATACCCCGAGCAGAAGCAAGAGCCTGTGTCAGCAAAGAGGGCCCATTGGATCGGAGAGGTACGATGGGCGGTCGACTCTTCTTATTGCTGTTTTGGTCGGCAGAACTGGCTGCGACGGGGGGAGAGGGAATGTTTGATATGGATGGTATATTAGAGTCCGAGGTACCTGGCACTACAGGCGAAACATGGTTCGCCAGGGGTGCTAGGAGTACAGGGGACGACGACGACACAGACTGAAGACCACCAGTCACAGTTTGAGACACGGCGGGATGGTTGTCACTCGCGATCCCAGCGGCAGCTACAGAATTCGACTTGTCGACATTATCCACGCTGGCACCCACCTTGACCTGCATGTCAGGATGGGGATGGGTCTTTGTGGTGGGCACCGGGACCGCTGCTTCTGGTGTTCGCCCTTGCGCTGGCTGCTGCTGCAGGGCAACGGCCGGGGCAGAGCAGCTCATCGGTGCAGCGGTTGCGGCATTTTCGGGCTTACGAGACGGACTGGACATGAGTAGGTGAACATTGGGCAGATACTGCGACAGTGTGGGAAGGATGGTTCGCGAGCGGCGCAACGATTGACAGATTGATGTGATAAGACCCTGGTGGGATTTTCGCCTGCGGCCGCGGAAAATCTGAGGTACGTCAAGTTAAGTACTGATTTGTTTGGTGGCGTCAGGTCGGGCTTGAATCGGGCCTTGCGAGTTTTGGGCAACGTCGAGTGCATGGGGGACGGGAGCAGAGAGGGGTGGTGGGTGCTCCATGTTGACTGTGGGGAAATCCCAACCCTCGAAAGCCACCTGGGAAGGTACCTACCGAACTTTTCGAAGCTTCGATTGATTGCTACCTACACCCGCAGGCTTGCAGGCCTCCAATTCCCACCTCCCCAGATCCGGTATTATGGATATCTGCAACGGGTCCCATCAGATTATCTCTTCTCCCATGTATCCTCTGGCGCGACCCAATTGCGCTGCGATCGATTGCTCTTGCTATCTAGACCGTTGTCGGTGGGCAACATGCAACGTTGATTGATATGAAAGTAAGCACACCAGGGCCCAGGCGTCACGCCATGGCGTATATCTACCTGTCTGGGGGTCACAACGGAGAAACTTCCAAAGTTTCTAATAGCCAACGTTCAATACTACTCGAAATCCGCGGTGTCAGTCGCGCAAAGCTCCGGACAAGGGGTCGCTTATCTCACTGGAGCTCGTCATGACTCTCTGTCCAACCCAATCCTACGCTAGGAACATGTGGTCTATCTGTCTGCTCCATTCCGTCATTCCCAATGAGCGATTGAAAGGCAAACGACATTACAACACAACTACGCACACTAGCATTGCAACCGCGAATTGTTGTTCGTCGCTTTGACGCCTCTGTTCAAACTGTAAGTTTTCATTCGTAATTGAAATTTACTCATCTGCGTAAATCCTCTGACCGCTAGAACTCTCCGTTCCTCGGGAAGCTAGGCGTGCGTGTCTTGAAGAGTTGCGTAGTACGACTACCCCTTGTGTTCAGCCTTTGGTCCAAAAGGGTCCCCCGGCTACCACGTTGTGGCTCTATTGATCCTTACAGGCTGCGAGGACGGAACAGCACGCGAATGCGCATCCTCGAATGACTCACAAACATTGAATTTCGGTGCAATTAACGATGTGAAGCGCTACCTCACGTTGTGGCGGTGACGGATCGATCGTTGTCGCTTGGATGAGATTGACTACATGCTAGTTGTTTCCATTCGGTGTTGTCTAAAACTTCGCAATCCTATCCGGGTCAGTACATAAACCCTAGCACGGCTAGGCATCGTCTACTAGGAAGCGGTGGGAGATTCACAATGCGTCTAGAATACGTGGAGAGCTGTATTTCAAATATGAGCCGGCAACTTTCCGGCAAGCCAAGTCCGCGATACAATCATCAGCCGTCGCACTCAAATTGTGATACTGCAATCGGCTAACTGGCTTAATGCCGTGAAAGCAGCCCCAACCCACAAACAATTAGGTACGATACTTGTCGTCGGCCTTAGATGCAGAGTTGCTCCTTACGTCCAACGGCCCAGGGACGTCCTACCAAATCCAAATACAGCCATGCACATTGGCCAATCAGCACCCGGACCTGATGATCGTCTGCGAGGATCCGTGGCATTCCTTATAAGCCCAATGGGATGCATCTGCGACTGCTAGGGTCTGAAATCATAATCTCAGAATGTTCTCCAAACCAATCATTCGGCAACGTGCTCGACGGGCCGCTTCCAAGCTGGCTAAGATCAACGTCCTCAACCTCGACCACAGGTACAAGCGTGTACGGAGGATCCAGGAACGAGTGCGCATGCTCGGGCTTCTCTTGTCCATTTTTCCCTTTCCAGACCTTAATCCTTCTGGCGGCCCAATCCAGTCAAATGTCAGAAGATCCAAAACGTGGCATTGCAGCCAGGCTAAGACGACGGCGTGGCACCATCTGGAAGCCAGTCCTGCTTCTCTCTTCAGTTTCATTCACTCTACTTCGTTGATAGAGGATGTTGGTGCCATGAATCGAAAATTCGGCGGCCAGTCTATTGGCAGCTTCGCCTCACAGGTATCTCCAACGTCCCACTACATCGGTCAGATAATCTCAAGGTATGCACTGGTGATAGGCCTTCTGCTATATTTTATGCCCATGTTTCCATCAGAAAGCGAGTACTCTATCATTTGTTCATCATGACGATGTGATGACCCGATCCGTCAAGGTGCGCCGAGCAGCATCGTGAGAGTTCAATAGCTAGCAAGGCTCTTTCCAAATGTCCATTCAACATTAGCTGGAGCATGGATAACTATGCCGCCAGACCATACTGGAAAACTGCTCACATCTAGGCTGGACTCGCCGTATCTCCCTGTCGTTAGTACCATGCGTCTGTCTCGGATTCATACCTAGATACCTTGGCAATCTCATGCACAGTGAATGACTTTCGGGCTCGTCCCCTCCACACGAGGACCATGTAGTCGGGACCAACACCACTGTTAAGGGGCCAGTGCGACAACCCCACCAGCTAGCCCAGAAGTTATTCGTCCACATCGACTCAGCAAGGGGTATATTCCCTTCTTCGATTCTACCAGCGACTAGCAGAGAACCCGTGCCAAGGTCAGTAAAGATCAGTGCCTAGCATAGGGGCAAGTAACCGAATGTAAATGGTATGTTGGTACGTTGATATACTAGACTGTGTGATCTATCGGTTGGTTCACTGCAACCAACGACGCGAAGACTCCTATTTAAGATAAAGGGGCTTTTCTCCTCGAGTCGTGTTGGACCTCGATAGGTATTTCCCGCATTCTAGTCGCTACTACGCTATATCTATCCTCGCGCTCTTCATTCTACGAGGCTTTTTGAAGTCTCCGTCATGGATGGGACTTGCGGGTTCCCATGCTTCCCGTTCTAGCAGCAGCAACAGCCTTTCAGAACTGGCGAAGCGCCGCGCCCTTTTTCTTTCAATATGTTTTGAGATTCAGAGTGGCATGTAAGACTTTTAAGCCAGACCTTCACCTGTAAAGGTCATGTAGCTTTAGTTATGTCAGTGAGATAGTTTGCTAGGCAAGCATGTCCCCGACGAAGATGCCGACCAGACTGCTGCAGGTATTAGCAGGAGTAAACCACCTGCAGTACCAAAGCTTCGGCACCTCAATCCATGGGAAAGTACGATCAACTACTTACGTTCTCAATGCTGAATAATACGGGAGGCAATCTCTGGTTTGTGACGACGAAAAACCGACGGCTCTAAAATATGGAAAGGAAGATATTGGCTACGATGAATCTACTGGTGGACGACGAGCAGCATGTAGCCATGCTGTATTCACCGAGTCACATTGCGCCGTGTATAAGAAAACCACTATATTCCTAGTTGCCGCTTCGAACTTCATCTATTTAGAGGTTCTCTATCTGCTGGCATCTTCATCGGAGTGACCGATTTCTTATCGCTTCCGACATGAAACGGTGTAGAGCAGTAGCGCGTCAGTCGAGTCCCAGCAATTCCATCCACGCGATCGTCTATCGGCTTCACAGGCGGTCCTTGATCCTAGGCCCTTCCCCACGGCTGCTCGGTACATACCGCTGGCTTTCGCCCCATACGCCTGATAGACTTCGTCTTCATCTGCGCCGAGTTCCACTATGTCCACGACGGGGATCCCGACGGTGGGCAGGAGATCGAAGAAAATGATCAGAATGCTGGCGGAAACATCGATGCCGTTTACCCGGACAGTTTAGGCGGCATGCTTGACTATCTTTTCCTCAGATTTCGAAGTGGGAAACGTGGACGTGACGGGAATCTTCTTGGCCGAGGTCTTCCGACCTGGCGCTGTTGTTGCTTTGGTCGACCATCGTAACTCTGATTGCAACAGGTCAGTAATCATCCAATGCAGGTTTCCAGTACTACGAGACTTTTTACCGAGATATATCGAATGGCATGATTGGCAGGAGTGCAGTGTTAGTGAGCTCGAGAAAAGTAGTGTACTACTCAATTTGAATTGCGGAAGAAGCCGGGCAGGAACAAAGTGCCAGCCTTTTGATGTTTCTTAATTGGCGAATGAATGGAAACAGAATTCTCACAGCTCTCTCGGGAAATGCAGAAAACTTGGGTTGATGGTCTGGTGGATGTGTGTTAGGGTGGTTGTCTGGTTGATTGAGGCAGCGTCTTGTGATTGCAGCCACTCAGCCGGAAGGGAGCTTTTCGGATTAAACGTGACTAAGTACCGTCCGAATTCAACAACTACATAAAGATAAAGCATGGCTAGTAATGGGGTCGTTCTTCGTGACAAGGGAAGGCTCACCCTATCGAAACCTGCCTGGTCTGCCCGCAGCTCATCAAGATCAACGAGATACCTACTTCTAGACAGCGGATTGTTTGATCAATCATCCAGTTATCAAATAGGTTCGGAAGACATCAAAACCGAAATGGCTTAAGTTGGATCCAAGTGGCACACGTGACTATGGTACTTCGATGCAGTCTGTCTAACGATACATCTTGCTCTGCAACCTTAGTAGGCGAGTTCCGACTACATAATTTCCTATCCTCTGGTAGATATCTAGCTCTGAGGGTGCTTCCCCCTTTTCTGAAAATCTCCATCCAGTCACCAGATTGGCAACGGTCAATCCACCATCTTCTAATAGCCTATCCGAGTCTACAAGTTGTACAGACCCAGGAGACCATGGACCTGGGGACTCTGACCAGCATACAATCTCATCATAACAAAGATCCCACATTCAAACAGTCGGATAGCCATGTGCAGCTAACTCGTCATTATCATTCGCGGCTACTATTCGCTCGCCATAATTAACTATGTACTCATCCATGACACTCATGAATCATCCTCATCATGTTAACTTCTTATAGATACAATCCCTTTTCCTCATACCAGACCATGCCCTCTCGATCTTGAGCGTGAGCCACCTTATCCTGAATAGTGACTCGTTCATGCTATCACTGTCTGTTCTCGCTCGTATCCAGACTCCTCTACAGTACGTACAATCCATCCCCCTACACCCTTTTCTGGCCATTATTACGTATCCTCAATTGTACGATCACGTCATAGCCTCGTCATAGCCTCGTCTGGCCCCTTTCATGGTTCTCCAGAGCTCCTGGACTTCACCTCTGCCTTTTCAGCCCCGCTTCGCACTCCCCCTGCGTACTCTTCTTGTCCGCAACATTTGCTACTGATTCGAATATTCGTACCATATCCACGCCATGTCCTCCAGATCCATCTTCTGCTCCGTGATGATATTGTGCTCCTCGGACACTAACTCCCACTGCAACTTAATCAGCTCCCTCGCATTCTCAAGGGTGTCTTTCAGTTGGCGATTCTGTTTCTCTAGATTTTCTATGGTGGAGCAGTTGCATCTGCGTTCTTCTTTGCAATTCTCACTTGAGCGGTGTGAAGTATCTCGAAGTCTTCCTGAAAACGCAGGTAAGTTGGTTGCCGCGGCATTCCATATCCCTAGCATCGCCATCTTCGCCATCAAGAAGGGATTGGAGGCTCCTAAGCTGATCCCGGCGGAGTCCAAGGTGTCGAATGGGCTGCTCGGCTTCAACATGCCGGTCATGCCGGTGTGTCCTTGGGTGCAGAGCGTGTAGACATTGTGCTGGCGGTTGGTGGCGCGGCAGTACATCTGTACGTCCATGTCGTCAGCTGGCTGGATGCTTTCCGAAGGGGATGTCACCTCGGCGGAGAGCACGGCAGAGGTCATTAAAGAAGCCGCCGTCTCAGTAGAGAGCACGTTAGTGGCCGTTGAAAGGGCTGCTGTCTTGGTAAAGTGTGTAGGAATCGTATGAGAGGATTTGGAACGACTATCCGTATTCGTAGGGTACATAGTTATTGTCGTTGAAGCCTTAGTTGTGACGTGGACAGTAGTGGTACTCGTTAGCGTGACGGTGATCGTGTCTGGCTTGTGCTGAACGACGGTAGGGACGATATCCAGCGGCAATATGCTAGCAACCTCCCCTATCAACGACGGCGCTGAGGTCGCTAACAGACGCAGATCTACGAGCATTCGTTAATTTGTGACCTATCTTAAGTTACAACCTCCCTGCTAAACTCACCAGTCATCATAGTACTTCCATCTAACTCCACCAGACCCCCAGGCAGGGGCTCGTCAAGCTCCGGTCCTCCGGGGCCAGACTTTTCCTCTCGAACCATGGCCCAGATGGGAACTGCAAGTACGTATCGTCGGTCAGCCAACGTTCACCCTTCGATTTCTCCTTTCGTATCCGCACAGGTCATTTGTGTAACCTACCGACAATAGCCACCATCGCCGCTCCAATAATGAGCACTAGACCGACCCATGCCCACTTGTGTCGCACCTTCGTGATGCGATGCTTCAGTGGGACAGCAGCAGCAGTCCTATCGCGGGGTGTGGGCGCGATGCGGAAGAAAGAATTCATCGTGACGGTGACCGTGGAATCCTTGGTAGAACCGGTTGGCCGTGGATTTTAACGGTCGCGAGCCGGGACGGCGACAGAGACGGAGACAGAGAGGTCAACTAGATTGTTTCTCGCTTGCTTGTCGAGAGACGCGGTTGAAATGATTGACTGATGGTGAGACAAGGAGGTTGCTACCCGTTGAACCTGATTGCGGTAGATCACCCGGGTGTTGCAAGATGGAAATCGTCAAATGTCAGATTGCCGCTGGTGGAACGGCGCAATAGAGTGTGTCACCAGAGGAGTGATGGATTTCTGGAGGTGATGCCGCCGTGGTCGTGGAATAATCACGACCTGTGACAGGCCCTCGATCGACATGCTGCGTGGAATAATCAGATATTGAGCAGCAGAACCCTCTGAATCAAAACTGCAAGCGCGGGCCCTACCTGTAGTGGATGTAAACCGATCAAGAGGACTACATCAAGGTTGGTGCCTATGATCCGGTCGTGACGAACAATCAGACTGTGCTCCATGACCATGCTCTATGACATCAACTACTGATTCACTTTACAAGCAAGAGCGCTGCTGTCAAACCGCGAACATCTCGACCTCAAGGTCAACTATCATAGAACCATCATTATAAACCAATCATCAACGTGGCCCATGAATCAACCAAGGGCAAACAGAGCCGCGAATAGTGACGATCATAGAAACTGGACCTGCCTCTTCCCACAACCATCACCGGCCACACCGCTGAAAGCAACGCCAGCCTCAGTGCTTCGGGCAACGCAACACAGCGAACGTGCAGTACAAACATTACGACCAGCCCAACCACGGGGAAACATTATTCTGCATTTCAACAACAAGCCAATATGCCTTCCAACTTATGCTAACCTCGGAACGCCAATCGCTTTCGGCTGAATGATGCATGACTCGCCCCGTTTGAGTCCACAAAAACATGTTTTCTTGTCCTTCATTCATTGACTTCGCTCAAAGGCTTCCTACCTTCCTGCCTATCTTTGCTCCTTCGCATGTGTCGAGGTATCTTTATGTCACCATGATACTGCTAAACGTGTCTGTTATCTCCCGCCTGGTCGGTCCCTCGTTCAACAGTGGCGCTGTCGACATGCCAGCCGCCAAGCGCTCTACCATGAGCTTGAGCAGGACTGCGGGGACACTCTCATCAGTCGCCCGGAGCGTGAGTCGGATCATCTAGTCACTGGTTAGTGATGTCTTCGCTGCAAACCCTAGTGCCAAACTTACCTGTGATGAGTAGTTGGGTTCCAGTCTGAGCAGACACCCAAACTTGCCTCCCTCCGCTGTGTGCAGCACACTAGCTCCCACAAAGTTCTTGCTGTTAGGGTCGACGCCGTCAAGAACCCCCCATCTGAATCCCTGTACCGTCTTACGGATGAAGCTCTCGTTGATCTCCATGCTGCTGTCCTTGCTAGCGGCGAGACCAAAGATCTGCTGTGCCTCGCGTGGCGCACCGCCAATCTGCTTCCAGCGCTTGAAGAAATCCTCCGCAGTCAGGTCGGCGGGATCCATGAATTTGTGTGCAGTGAGCGGCAGTTTCAGTGTAAGTGCCTGCAGAGCACCAGCAAGATAACTGACACGAATCGTCGGTGCCTTGTCGAAGACTCGCTTGGACTCGAACATGATGACCTGCCTCGTCTGCTGGCCCTGAGCAATAGAGCTATCAGGCATGGTCTTGACGTCCCAGGTGAGCTTGGTCTTCTCGCTCTCATCCAGGTCCAACGTCGTCGTGAAGGAACTAACTGCTGCGGGCGTCTTATTGGTGAAGTAGAGGATGAGACAAGCCATCTGGCCTCTGTACTCGGATCGAATTCCAACTTGCAACTGGCCATCTTCGAACAGAATGCCGTCGGATTTAAGCAGCATTTTGTAGTAGCCTACTTCCCAGCCGGGAGACAAATGAGCAGCACTGGCCAGATTTGGAACCTTCAACAGCTTTTGTTCGTTCGGTCCAGCGCTCATATCCAGGCCAGCTAGGTCATTGCTGGAGTGGCCGTTTGCACCGTTTGTGGCGCCGTTGGCCAAACCATTGCCATTGGTCGGGCCGTTCGAACTGAAGGTCCTCCTAAGGCCGGGATTTTTGGCCATGTTCAATTCTGTGGCATCGGCATTTGCGTCCTTTCCGCCGACAACCCACGTCCGCTTGTCGCTGGTGTTGGCATGTTTCTGGTGCAGTCTTGACAGAAGTGCAGATTGTCGCTCCGGGAATGGGGGCATCTCGTCGCAAACGGTGCGGAGCAAGTCGTCCGTAGGCTGGCTAGCTAGCATCAGGTACTCACATGCTCTCTGTTGAAGCTCCGAGTCCAATGTGTGGCTATAGACGTCGAAGACGTGCAGAAGCTGTGGCTTGATTTCGGGAAACAAGTTGACAAACTTGACAAAAGACGATAGAATCATAGCGCGAGTGCTCGAGGAGCAGGCAGGAAGCTTTCCCTGTAGTGCCAGGAACTGCTCAATGGGGCTGCACCCCTTTTCCTCGGCGATCAGATGCCCAAACTCTCCAAGAACGTAGACTCCAATCTTCACAAGCGTCTCGTGGCAGTGATCCTGCTTAACGTGCTGCAACGTGTTCTGAGCAGCATAAACCTGGAGCTCCTCGTTGTTCGTGACGATCTGAATCACCCGCTGCCATACCTCGTCGCTTAGGTGGTCACCCGCCACGGCCACCAGCTTGAGGGACACGTTGATATACCACTGGATGTCGGTGGCATATTTCTCGGTGAGAATGGCAATCTTCAGAGCCATTTCCTCTCGGATCGCGAAGTCGGCATTCTGCAGGTAGTGCAGTAGTTCCGACACGATTGGTCCGGAATTGGTCGAATCGCACATACTATATAGCAAATCGAGACCCTTTCTGCGGACACTGATATCGCGATCCTTCAGAGACCCGAGAATAACCTCTTGGTGCTGTTTGATGGGGCCCAAATTCTCTGCCCGAGCTGCCAGATGTGTCATTGCCTCCAAGCCCAGGTACCGGACGTTGGTTTCCCTAGAAGTAATGAAGCGTCCCAAGCGGGAGGATATTTGCTTCATTAAGGCGTGCTCGGTGTCTAGGTGGATGATGAGATTGATCGCCTCAAAGAGCACGGCATTCTGCGCATTGTTCTGTTGGACGTTCTTGTTGGTCTCCATGGCTAGGTTCAACGTCTTCTGCAGCGATTCCCGAATCATCTCGCGAACGTGGCTGTCATCTGGAGATACGATTAGCTTTGAATTGAACAGACTTTGGAGCCAACATACCTGAGGGCGGGAAGTACTGGAGTAACCTCAAGAGCTTCACCTGTAACCAAGGACATGGTACCTTGTAGTAGAGGTAGTCTGATGTGTAGTCGTCATCTACCAGGAGGCGTTTGAGCCTCGACGCTGCCTTGACGTAAGCGCCCCTGTACTGCTCCAGGTTGTCTTGAGCAACAGCCATGACTAGAGAAGTGACCGACAGAGCAACTCCAAGATCTTGATCGTCCATGAGCGATATTATTCGCTCTGCCCATTGTGGCTGAATGATGTCTGGGTGCTTGCGGTACAAACGGAGCAGTGTGAGAGCTGCCTTCTTCTTCACAAATGCCTTGGATGTTCTGGAGGCCATTAGATTCCTTCGGGCCCAAAGAGGGGATGCTAATGGGACTCACGGAGAAATAAGGAGTCTATGGACCTCCGCGCTTAGAGCCTCTCCCATTTCCCTGCCTCCCACGTTTGCGATTGCGTGCAGAGCGAGGCAGTTGAAGAGCTCATTATGATCCAGTAAATCTTTCCGGATGCTGTTGACGACCAGATGCAACAGCTCATGTTTCTCGTGTAGAAACAGTGTCATTGCCAGGTATCCTATTTGCTTTTCAGAGTATTTGTTGGCGGAGATGAGGTTGACGGCTTCGAGGTGGCCAAAGTCGACGTTCCAGCCGAGAATGTATATATACAGTAGCTGTAGAAGTGTCAGCGTGCGCCTCGTACGGTTCCAGAGGCATGAACGTACTTTGCAAACATATTTCTTCTTGTGATAGCCGCTCAAGTTGCCATCTGAAGTACATCGTTAGTGCCCAGCCTCGTCGCCTTGCCTTCCAGTTTCCCGTCCATGAAGCCATACCTTTGAACTTTTGCCTGTGTACAGCAATCTGATTAGCAGTATGTCCAAAACACGCGGAGAGCACCACCGGCTACAGCTACCACTCACCTGATGTTGGCCAATTCCTTGTTGATTCTCTTCTCTTCCAACTCGCGCGCGCGCGCATTTCGTAAGTCGGCAATAAACTGAACAAGTCCGCGCATGTTTGAGTTATTGCTACTCGACCTGCCGAGGAAGCCGGCTGCCGCTGAGGAAGCCATTGTGTCGTTGTCGTGGTAGTAGCCGTTCCCCCTATTCTTACAAGGTGAACTTTATCTCCGTACCATCCGCCGCCAAACTACAAATGCACCGAGGACACAAATGGCAGTCCGATGTCTGCTCGAGGGCCGAAAGATTCGCGATGAATTTCAGCAAGCGCGCTCAGGTTGCGGCTGTCATGGTAAGATCAGTCAATTGGCGGACATGATCGGCCGCCCAAGAGCGGTGGTGGTGGGAGCGGAGCGGATGAGACAGCAAGCTAAGTCCGGGGGTTCCAGGTTCGAGGTAGCAGGCGTTTGGCCTTGGAAGACGAGTCGCGGTTGCTATAGAATAAGGTCCTGCTCCTGAGGAACAAGAATCAACGCGATGCACTGTGTGCGGGTCAAGAGATTGGTTGTTGGCGGTCCTTAAGTATCTGCTGATTTCCAATTTGTCTCGTTCAAGGTGGAGGAGTCCTGCCGGCTCCAAATGTTCGCCGGCGCCACCTGCCAGCTAGGCTTGCTTGGGGAAATTCGAGTCTGAGGCACGCTTGCATTTGTGGCTGGTGGTTCAAGGATCTGGGATGAAAGAGAGTGGCTTGCTCCCACTGAGCAACATGGTCCCGCTTTCCTGCGGAAGCTGCAAAGCTTACCGTCACGACAAAGCACCGGAGAGCTGTGATTGAAGTCCAGCATTTCCCCAGCTCACCCGGTTTGCATTTGAGGCAGAATGTGAAGCGACACCCAATTGATCTCGGAGGATGAATTGCAGCAGCCTCTACCGATCGACCGTCCCGCACCTTCGAGCTGCCAAATTTCTCGTCCCCACCAGCTGGACGACAGGCGCGCAGCGTAGAACCTACGCGTTCCAAGCGGCCGGGGCTCCCATCCACCAAGTTTTCAACCGACGCACCAAATGGCTGCAGAAGGAACGGGCCGCAGCCAACGTTGAGCAGAGCCGAATTGCCGACTTTCTGAAAGATGAAGTTGCCGCCCGGCTCTGCGAGAGGCTCCTCGACATCAAACGCCACTACCCGAAAGTCCTCGACATAGGCGCAAACTCTTGCAACATCGGCCGTGCCCTCACGAACCCGAATCCGGAACCCGATCCGTTGCTGCCGCAATCAGGCCCCATTGCCAGTAGGGTCGGTCATTTGACAGCAGCCGAGTCGTCAGCGACGCTGCTTTACCGAGATGCCGAGCTGCCGTTCAATGAGCAGATCAACATGACGAGGGAGGTGTTGGCGGACGAGGAGACAATCCCATATGAGGCAAACACCTTTGATCTCGTGTTGAGTTCTTTGAGTCTTCACTGGATCAACGACCTACCGGGTATGTTGTCGCAAATCAACAATGTGCTTAAGCCGGATTGTGCATTCATGGGGGCCATGATGGGAGGCGACTCGCTCTTTGAGCTGCGCACCTCTTTACAACTTGCCGAGCAAGAACGACGGGGCGGTATATCACCCCATGTCTCGCCATTGGCCGATATCCGGGACTGTGGTGGACTTCTACAGCGAGCAAGATTCAAGATGGTCGGCGTTGACTTTGACGACATTGTTGTGGATTTTCCTGACATCTTTGCCTTGATGCAGGATCTTCAAGCTACGGGTGAGAATAATGCCGTTTTGGGTAGAGAGATGGGACCTATCCAAAGGGATGTATTGCTTGCTGCCGATGCCATCTACCGGGAGCTTCATGGCAATGCGGACGGGACGATACCTGCGACATTCAGGACTATCTACATGATTGGGTGGAAAGAGGCCGATAATCAAGCTCAGCCATTGCCGAGGGGCAGTGGACATATCAACTTGAAAGATATTTTGCAGAGCAAGTAGACAGTTGAATGGTATATTGCATCTCCACCTCCATTCTTGTTCGTTTCAGTTTAGTCACACAATCCAACGACTGGTCATCAACTTCTTCGCCATTCTGGGCCCAGCTCTAGCCTTATGTAGATCGAGCAGTAAAGTAGGTTTACGTTTACTATTCAGCGAATATTCTCTCGAAACCCGCGTCCCAAATGAAACTGCATCTGAGAGGTAACCTATCGGTCTGATATTACGAATGAAGCAAGCAAGCTGCGTTTCCATGTACCGCTGGGAGCTAACGATGAAGAGCACGATGATGTATAAACCCCCTCATCCTCCTCCTCTTCTTCCTGGTTACCCCAACATGCCGCTCTCCTGCGCCGTTTCGAAGTCCATCTCGAGAAAATGGCCCTCTTCTTCTGCGGCTTAACGCTGAGCACAGATCCCGACGCGCCCCACCATTTTCCCGGTGCAGGTGAGACCGAGGCGGGCCTAGCTAGGGAACTTCTCGAGGACGACGCGAAGAAATCAGTAGGAGGAGGCTTCTTGGCCTTGCATCTCCTAGTAAGCCTTGCCAGCCAGCTCTGTTTTGGTTTCCGTATCGGTTCGGATAAAGTATACGATGACGCCCATGATTGCCTACCTTCAGGTACGAGGCCTGCGAGACCTTCGTTTCGCATTTTTTGTCGGACACGGTCTGATGGGTCAAACCTGGATCCCGTGGGTAAGGGGTCGGTGGTTTTTGGCGAAGCAACCGGCCTTTGCGGAGATCCAGGCTCGGGGCGCTGTGCGTGAGAGCTATCGTTCCAGGTTTGCCTCGCCATCGGCGTTTGTTCTGAGGGTTCTCGATGGGCCGTACCGTTGTTGCATCCCGTTCCGGCTGACTCAACCACACTTTCAGCGTAATTAGACATGTTATCAAGATATTGATGCAACCTGAGGCTTGTCGGATGAGAAGTGACACCTTGAAATATTGACGCCTTACCATGCTATCCAACCGGTTGTAGACCTGTTGAAATCCAGATCATGACAGCTCTAGAAATCACAACGTCAGAGACTTCTCGTTCAAATATCGCATCCTCTAATCAATGGCTTCTTCTATGTTCCTGCTAGTGTCGTGTACCATGGCCCTGGCCGAGAAGCACCATGAGGCTGATATCAACAATTTAACAATGTGTGACATACATGTTCGCCACGTCCAACAACAAATTTAGGGCGTTTCTGTGTATATGTAGGAGGGATATCAGTTTGTTCAGTTCTTACTTGCTGGAAGTCACCCAGCTGAGCCGGATTCGTTCGGAAAGTGGTAAGAAACTGGAGAAAGCTCCGCCCATTTCCTTGAGGACAGTGGAACGGTCTTCCAGAATGCCCGCGATCTGCATACGTTACCTCTCCGATATATCATGAGCCCTATGAAAGCATTCCATGGCAAGCTAGATCGTATTTTGAATTGAGCCGTGTTCTTGCGTCACCGAGCCGATTTCCGTACGCGCAGTTTGCATGAAACCTAAGAAATATGCTGCAAGATTGGACACCTAGAATATGTCTCAAACGACGGTGGTGCATGCCATTGCGATTGATAAGAAGTCCATAGTGAAGTTGCATGTGGTGAATAGCCTGTGTAGTAAGGTTTCTAGTACGACCTGGGTCAGGAATCGTAGACTTGGACAGGAGAATACGGGCACATTACAGTCCAGACGAGGTTATTTTGTATTATCTGTGGGTTCTGTGATAAAACGTGCTGGCCAGGCAGCATATATGCAGGCGTCCCCAATGAGGTGCTGCACATTGCATCCCGAGATGCGGTTCATCCTTGGTTCTAGTCATGCACGGGGAGTATATGTGAACTATACATTTTTGAAACTGATGAATTCTGTTTGAGATACTCAATACTCCAGCTTAAGAAACTAAGAAAAGTCATGAAGTACGAGCAAAACTGACGGCCCTTACATGCGTTGAAATCGACCGGTACTCCAGTAGGAGTAGCTATCGTTCAAATAACTAGCTTAACCTCAGGAGTAAAACCATAAAAGAGGCCATGACGATGAGATGTACGAACAAGTCCCATACAGGCTCATGATTCGCTCTGACGTACTCGCTCAGGGGCGTATATAGGGGGTCATCTGGGCTGGAGAAGATAAGTTAGAAGTGAGACCGGAAGGTCTGTACATACAATAGCAATCAAATACACCTGGCAATTCCCATAAAAAGTGCTTTAGAATTAGCTTAGATGCTTATTGATAATGATTACCAACGTCTTATGCAAAAAGGCAGGCTGTCTTACGGTGAAACGACAGCCTGTTATCCGTTCTCTAGTTCGGAAGCCAGGTAAAGCTCAATACTTTCAAACCCTCTGCTCTAAAATAAGATCCGAAACCATGTATTACGAGGCAATCACTTCTATTCAACTCTAACCTGGATGACTTTGCGCTTACATTTGGGCTTGACCGGAGCACTCTCTCATAATTATCTCTTTTTTGGACGCAATTCGATTGGTACCGGGGGTAGGAGATCCTCGGGTTATCCGACCCGGATCAGGTAATATGGGGCTATCCCATCATTCTGACCTCTTGAATTCTATATATTGAACCGTGGTATGGAGAGCCTCAATTACTACCGAAGTGGTTGCCCTGGATGTCCGAATCAAGGTCTGCTAGTGTTACGATCTCAGGTCCTGTGAACTTCGGGCGGGCCGAATTTCCAGTATTCAATGACAACCCAGTCTGCGCACATTTGACAACATAGCCTCTGACTGGTCATTTCTGATCACTCAACTTGCAAACACATGGAAACCCACTGGACTCTTTAATCAGCAGAATCTGAGAACTATACAAGTCAGATTCCGGTCAATGCTGCTTCCCGTCACCTACCTCGGGGCTGCTGTAGATGACACCCGAGATCCTTCTTTCATTCATTTCAATAAGACACATCATTATCCAAGTAGACAAAGGTCCAAGCGGTCATGCGAGACCTTTTGATCCTCGTAATAACATGTCGAGCTCGGGTCGATCCCCTGCTCTCCGCTGCGGCAGTCAGGACGAAGAAATGATGTCCGAACTTGCATGAAGGGAAACTTTCCAGAAATATCTTTGAGGGTTCGGTCCCGAGAGAGATAGAGAGAGAGAGAGATGAGCACGCAGATGAATGAATGAGGCTGATGCGAGAACCGCTTTGACGATAGTACATTCTACAGCATGCTATACGCGCGATCAATTGGGGCCAAGAAAAGGAAGTCTCGGGAGCCATGGTGATTACGATTGGAGAGTTTCTAGGTCTTTGGGATGGGGATGAGGTTACACTGCTTTTCAGAGTGGCTGACAGACAGACATACACGACGGAATACGCGAACGGCACAACGAGGTGGGATAGTATGCAATACCCCGATCCCCTGGTGTAGTAGATGGCGTCACAATTGCGCGGAGCGGCTATGAATGGTATTATTGTTCTTTTCTTTATGCGCCTGAAAGGGAGGTCGTCGTCCAATGATTTCACAAGTCATCCTAGGATAGGATATCTGGGAAAAGAAACCATTGGCTAACGTAGAGATTTCGAGACGAATGGACGGACGTGTGAGTGGTCAACGACATGGATTGCCATATTCCAAGAATTACGTGTTTTGTCCGACGCGAAATATCGGACAGCATTTCCCATAACGAAGAAAGATAAAGCAAAGAAGTGTTCTGGAAATTCCGGTCGCGACCGCTTACGTACCGGATGACGGCGGTCACTCACAGCAGCGCAGTGAAGCCGTGGGGGCACTCCAAGCCACCTTGCCCCCAAATTTACGTTGTCATTACCGTCATGATTGTCACCCCACACGTATCGCATCGAATAGTAAGCGGGTAATCACCCCCAACTTTTGCTATTTTTGTTAATTTTTTTTTGTACTACGGTCCATGATATCAAGGCTGGTCCCTGAATCGCCACGGAAGTTGGACCCTGACAAATATTGCGGTTCACAAGTACGTCGTTTTAGCATCGCACCAAAAGTTCGCCCTTGCCTCCGTGCCCGCTGAACCAAAATACGAGATAACTGCGCCCCTTTCCGTGTGTCGAGAAAACCCAACCTAGGTATGTAGGTGTCTGCCAGGAACGAACAGAAGGAGGGAGCACTTGCCCACGCCGTGTCTCGGCAACAGTAAGGCTGCGTATGCTACGCGATAATGATCAATACGGAAGAGCGTACCTGCGTCGTTTGTGCCATGTACATCGACCGACTAACCGACGTCAGGCGTCTTGGCTCATGTGGGTTCGAAGATAACGTCTCTTCTATCCCTGACTATGGTAATGAATGTCAGACCCCAACTTTTGCACTAGTTAAGGGGATGTGGTGGAGACTGAGCTGGAGACTGATTAAGTAGAGTTTGGCCCCCCATCCGTTCCGTTCTTGAGCTAACTGCATCGTACGAAGTTAGCTGCGGGCGATCACTCCCGGTGCGTGCATTTGCACTGGTGCTATCCGTATCTATGTCTAGGTTAGTTAATTATTGCCATCTTCCTTTAATTTTTATTGACATTGGTTTTCACCGCCCACTCCTGTCCCCCCCGCGCTTTTCCCCCTCTTGGAATGACCCGAGGACTTGGTCGTCGGGCTCGACAAAAATTCAATCTGCTCTTAGGTTGCATTAGTCTTGTAGTTGGGGAAAGACAAAACACAAGTTTTTGGTCCCCGACAAACGCTTTGGTATTTTTAATCTATTTTAATTTCTGTTCATGACAATGGGTGGATGGAATGATGGATTTCTTCTCTTTTCCGACAGTTTTATCGTATCCCTTCTTCTGGCGGAGGGAGTGTGAAGTTTGCTTGCTGTGTGACGTTAGTGATGTTACCTGCAACTATCACCGAAAGGGCTTACACATACGGTGTGTAGTCTGAACTGGCGTGGTTAGTGTGTGATACCCTTCTGCGGCGATATGATTGATTGCTGCTCTGTGATATCACGTCATATTTTCTTACAAGTTCGCGGATCTGGTGTGCCGGGAGGTCAGTCACCGGGGACGAAAGTCCACCATGTTTTTTTTCTTGTTGGTGCAACCTGGAACACCCGGGGGTTTTGTGAGGGAGAGCGCTGGGGTGTAGAGGACACCAACATGTATGTTGCTATTTTTGACCTGCTTTGTGCAAGGGCACCCGACTGACATGACGAGGACAAGCGATGCCAAGGGTTTTGATTGCTGATTCTGCGTATATCCCTTTCATACGCGAGGTTCCATGTCGGGAATATGTTTGCGTCGCATGAAAAAAAATTAAAGAAAAAAAAAGGATGACGGTCAGTAATCCTGACGCTTGCGATTTTTTCTTGCCCTGTCTTGTATCTGCTGGGGGTCCCCAAAATGTGACGAACCGTAGACTGGGAATATGAAAGGTGGGAAAATCCTTTTTCTTCCTGTTCCAAATTGGTCGGTCCCTGACAACCGGGAATAAACGAAGCAAACCAAGACCAGACCTGTCATATTCTGATTCCCAGATCTACCCTGCAAGATCGCCAAAATCGCATGCCGCATCACGGAAGCTGAGCGCCAAAATGTGGTTTGGTATGAAGTGTAGCGCCATTCGGCTGGAGTGTAACCCGTGAGGCTACCTTGGATGCCAGTCACTTGAATATAATAGTTTTGGGCTATAGAAAAATACAGAGTATTAAAAATCTGATGCATCATTCTCCGATATGCTCGGTCGCTGTGTAGCTCTCATGCTGTAGGTTACTATACAGGTCTTCTAAAACAAGGGGGGTATCTTCTATCAACCTGGTTCCAGCCCAGCGCGGCTTGGCTGAACAACCCTCTCAAATCAAAATAGGGTAAGGTAGGGGTGAATGCGTGAGCAATCCCAAAAGTGTACAATATCCAGACAATACTAATCAACCCAAGCCAAAAAGCTCTTCGGGGATCCGATTCCGTAGCAGTACAATTCCCGAGACCCCATTGACAAAACTCGTCCCCGTGGGGGGACCATCCAGCCTGAGGAAATGGACAAGGAAAAACAAAGGGGAAAAAAAGGAAAAGAAACCACAAGTCTATATGCAAGCCAAAATCCAATTCTTTTCCAGCCCGTAACCCATTTTTTGTAACCCAAAACGTATACCCTCTTAATAGGAAAATTCCCCGAAGCAAAAAACAATCGTGTATGCTAGGAGCATGATCGTCAAACCCAGAATCATGTGCTAGTCGAATGGGGGTGGTAGGGGTATTAAATGAGGCAAGGGCGAAAAGATCGTGGCGGAAGTGGTTCAGCTGGCGTCGTGATAGGGTGCGGACCCAGGCGAATTCTAGGAATGGAAGTCGCGCGGCGTTGAGCCGAGAGATGAGGTTGTGTGCGTCGGGGGTTTCTTGTGCCACGGCGATCGTTGAATGCGAAAAATATAATTGCATCCGAGGTGAAGTAGGACAGCATTTTGCTTGAAACTCCCCCCCCTTCTCCCCTCCTCCCAAAAAAAACCCCCATGATCCCGTCTAGATTGAACGCCGTAGTTGAAAAATCAAGCCGAATTCCTCAGATGCCCGCGTGTGAATCCTGTTGAGTGACCATCCTTCTTTGCTGCTGGGAAGCAAATGGCAATATGTATCGTCGTGGTTGTATTGGTGTGTGTATTAAAAGTTTATTGGAATGTTGATCGGCCACAGCGGGAAGGATCCAGATGCAAAATTGGTGTACAGTCGAAGCGCAGGTGGTGATTAGTGTGTCGTCATGACCCTATGCAGCAGTTTCCCCTGACTTTGCAAAGCAGTGTTGCGAAACATGCGATGCTAATGTTTCAGGATGCGGAAAAGCAGCGCCGACGAAAAGAGTTGGCGGCGTGCCTCGCAATTAGTCGTGCTGGTTTGGGAGCTGCCAGGAGCTGCAGTTGCATTACTGCAGGCCTGACTCGCGAGGCGCGAAGGTGCGCGAGTCTTGGGAAACTTTATCGCGGCTGGGGCTTCGGGGGGGGCTTTGGCACACCAGTCGTATCATAGGCACCACGGCCCATGTTGGCCAAACTTTCAGTCGTTCTGTCAATCATGGTGATAGAATCTGGAGAGTGTGAATGCTGAGGAAAAGGTAATGTCAGCAAATGTCCAGAGACAGCCGGAGTGTGCGCATATAAGTAAAAGTGTGCGGTGGAATGCACGGGCAAATCGTATCAGCCATGATGATTACAGCTGAGTCGCGATGCTCTGCGCATGGCAACTCCCCGAGGTAACAGTAGTAACATATAGTTGAACCACAGAAGAGGCAGTGTGAAGGGTGTGTTCGGAGCTGCGCGTCTGACTCACAATTTTAGCAATCGTGCAACGACAGCAGAGTATGAGTGTCCTGGACGGGAGACTCTAAGGATGCGGAACGGGATTGGAGAGGATGGATGCTGGGGCGATGATGCAGCAAGTGCAGGGTGCTTTTGCCGAATAGGAAGCCAACTTCAGAACTTGCGGGACCGGGGGGGAGATGGGGTGTCGTCGCCGATGTGTGGCTTGCAATAAATAGCTGATATCAGCAACGAATCGTCAAATGGGACGACGCCGAGTTTATATAGTTTGCAATGCCAATAATGGGACTTTTGTCGTGGTACGATGGTTGCTGATGCCCGGTGGAGAGTTTACAAAGCTCGTGACGATGAGACAGCAGAGAAGGACAACAGATGGAAGCCCTAGTCTTTGTGCTGCGTTGCGTTTCTTTGGCGCCAGGTGACGCAGTCTCGGATGCGTGAGCTATTATGGGTCTTGGGTGGGTGTTGTTGGATTATTGTTGTCTTGGTTGTCTGCCAGGTACGCTGCAGGTCGGTTGTGGTTGGGCTGAGAATATGCTGGGCCGTTGGCGGTGGTGGAGTGGATCGCACAGGAGGGAGATGCAGCGCGAAGTGTGGCCGAGAGACAGTTCTTTCGTTCTGTTTGTTGAGCAACGACAAAGTCAGAAAAGAACAAGAACTGATGATGTAGAGAGCGTCGGGAGAGACAGGAGATGGTGCTCTATTGTACAAGACGAGGAGAACTGGATATTTTCCTTGGAAATTTCAGAAAAAAGTCGTGGGAAGGGGGTTCATTTACATCTTATAGCCTGGCTGGGGTGTGCTCTGTAGGGAAAAGGATAGGGTGGCTCATTTACCAGCTCAAACTTCACGCATGTAAATTGAGCTTGTCAAAATGTACCTGGGGCCAGGGGAGGCACCGCTGCCCAGGGTGGACTAAACCAAGCCGTATGCCCAAGTAGACGGTACAACATGTACCAAGTGGGCAACGGCCCTGCCCTGCGACATCCAGAATGTGACTTGTGACTTGCTGGGGGCCTGTCTACGAGGATTGCTTGTCCGTCCATCCCTTGGGGCCGTTCCCCGAGCCCTGTGCCAGCAGCAGTAAGCCAGCCTAGTCTAGTCTAACGACCTCCCTAGCGGCGGCCCTTCCCCCGACGGTCTATTCTGAAGTAAACGTGAAGTAAACGCATCGTTCCAAGTACCCCGTTATGAGCCCACAGTTGCGTTGTAACCGTCCAGAACGAGAACTTGACTGGAGGTTTCCTTCACAGACTCGGCAGGGTTTAGGGGAGATCTATTTTGTTGTCGCTACACTTGCTCCACTACGGTAATATGCTGGCGGCGCTAGACAAGCATCCACCTTCGAAGTTTTCTGGAATATTTTCTTTTAATCCTTGAGAGACAGCCCCGGGAATTAATTCGTCTTTCTCTCAGGACCCTCGTCTGATATATGATCGATGTCGGGGGTCTGTTTGTTTGTTGGAGTCCTGTAACATGTTCACTTTGGGCAAGTAGCCTTGTTCTGAAGTGTCCGCTTTGAACACTTTGACGCGCCGCCTCCAACAGCTGCTACACTCGACCTGAGGACTCTGAGAGTTTTCCTGGTCCCCAAATTTAGTTTGGAAACTTTCTTCGAACCGTCATGAGCAAGGTAGGTACAAACGCGTATTTTTTTTTAGAGTTCCGCGGCGGGTCAGCGGAACCTAGGGGAACTCGGGAGGGAGAATAATCAAAGTGTGAGATTGGGGATTTGGAGAACACGAGCCACTGTATCTGCTGAAACAACCTCACCATGCACCTGTAGACATCGCGAGGAGCCGCCACAAAGCACATATTTTTGCCGTTATACTTGGCGGCTGGATTGTAAATATCCCCGGCCCTCACTGCCCGCGGTGGATCCGTGAGAATTCCATGCAGTACTCCGTATCGGTGACTGGATCTTCCATCAGCCGTGCAGGAGCGAGATGTGATGATTGGGTGCCGAACTTTTGTCGATGGAGGTATCTCTGTTAACGCCATCTCGCCATCTTGTGGTTCACCGTTTGCTCTGATGATGGATTGCTACGATGCACCGCTGAGTATTCTCGACCTCTGCCCTTTTCGGCGGGTCAATCTACTTTGGATGAACATGATCGACAGGAGGCCAAGAGTTGTTGGTACGCCTCCATAACCGAATCCTTACAAGGAATGCATGTACAATGCAAAGCACATACGGCTCGAAGGGTGATGTGCATCAGTGACTTGACGATAGCTGCTTAAGCAGCTTGAATGCTGTCACACCCAGGCTCATTGGCCTGGTGTGATGAGGCACTGCATCCGATATCCGCTATTCTTAGGCTGCGCATTGCTGTGAGATTTGATCTGTTTGGTCCACGTTGTCGCGTTTTTGTCAGCTGCTCCTCGTGACTGGACGAAAAGCCACCGGACTCCAAGGTATGAATGCTTCAATGTGGTCCCAGATCTCCGGTTCTGCATCACGGTTGGACAAAAATAATTCGTCGCGCCTCGCTGTATAGAAGGCGACGGCCAAGCCGTCACTTTCATCCAGGGGCCTGGATATGCAACATTGACGCCGTGAATTCGTCCAGCTGGATCGGAAACGAGATTTCGCAGCATCGTATCTAGCATATCGTGACGAAAACAAGCTCTGCTTCGACCACTGACTAGGGGCAAGCGCCGTGATACATGCCCCGGCATTATCGAGACGATATTCCTGGGAGAATTTCCGTTATCGCGAAGGGGAATCATGACGCACCGAATACCATCACCGCGCGCATGCGGGATAATCGGCTAGAGTGGAACCTCCCATCCGGGACTTCAAGGCCGGACTCGATAAGCTGTCATGATCAGCTCTGCATCATCCTGTACTATGTCACGTCCCATCGCAACGGACCGAGATTTTTGATTTGTCGGTTCCAGATATAGGGATACGCTCAGTGGTACATATCAGGCAAATGATACTTCAAACATCGTAGCCACCGCGTACGACTCCCGCGGAACGGTTTGTGCCGTGGACACAGCGTTACGATCGTGCGACGGATAATCCGATGAGTCAATACTTGGCTTCAGCTGCAATACTATCGGTTGCATTGTAACTTTCACCGAGCAGCATCATGAGTTTCCTTTAATAGGATGCAGATGCGGTCAGCGGTACGTGATATTGTAAGGCTGTATGCACGACGGAAAACTGCGCCTTCGAGTTCCGCTGTATGTCATGGGCGAGGCTAGCTGCCCTGAATTCGCTGACGCTGTCATCGAGAGCGGCGGACACTTATAGCCCACGATAACGTGTCTCGAGAGTCTACTCGTATTGCCCCGCCCTTAAGAGAAGTGTATTGTGTTTCACGATTCGCATTGGTGCCACGAAGACCGAAGCAGAACTATTCAAGGACAAAAATGCCCTATTATTCTCAAACACAGCCATGGCAATTGAGAAACTTGACGTAAAGGGATGCCGGACGGCTATTCCAATCATGATGAAAATCCGGGGTCTGACTCAACACAGAAACGACATAGGCGATTCCTGCGCAAGAGACTCGTTGTTTCAGGCGTTCGCTTCGTAGAGTGGGTTGGAGTACGCGAAAGCTACATGCCCGAAGGGGCAAGGCCTCATGCAAGCACTTTGACTTCACGGCAAATATTCCGTCGCCGCCGTGTTCAACCACTTGAAAGTGGCTAAAAAAGAAACTGCCTTTGGGCGATGTCATTACAATGGCAAGCCGTGGGCGGATATTCCGGTGGCCTTGACTGCAATATTGCAACTGCGAATGGTGGCTTGTTGATATTGACAGGCTACGTAAAGAACAATGATGCAAGAATACACAACACAAGCCTGGCCTTCGCATTGCCTGCCAAATTGATGTTCGTTCACATCCCCGAAATATCACAACTTCTTATCAGGCTGCGTCATAAAAGGATGACGGACCGATCCGGTTGCCGGTGGGATGTGGCCGGATAAGCTTATACGAACCAACTGATTTGAAGTTCAGGTATGGCAGGAAGGCGAGTTCAAGACTATCGTTGTTCCTCTCGTCTTCCGAAACATGGCCAATAAAGTAAATGTTTTCGTTTGTTTCTCATCGGGTGGGAGGCTGGGGAGGCACGTACGACGTGGGGGGACGTGAATACGGACGTAGATGTGATTGACAGGCGATGTGCAGGAGAGCCCTAGGCCCCCTGGAACCGTGATTTGTCCTCGATGGGCAAACAGAAATCAACCTGGAGCTAAGCAGGGCGACTGAAAACGCGAACAGATGTCACGTGTACCACATCCAGCCGTCAGACATGGAAGAACAAACGACAACTCGCTCTCCTTGGTTTCTTGTTCTTGTCACTCGTCACTTTTTCATTACTCTGGCTGAGGGGGCTTTGACAAACGGCGGCGTTCCGTATGCACACCGAATGCATGCCTTGTAAATTGAGGTTCGGCATCTCCTTGTGCGGCCGCTTTCGTCTCGACTTCAGTCGCGTTTTCCGTCATGCCTTTGTTTCCCAAGTGGATGTTTGGGCTGGTGTGCAGCATGCTCAAATGTGGATATATTGATGCTTCGTTCCTTCCATTGGAACTTCTAGAAGGATGCCATGGAAAACCACTCTTGTGGGGTGATCTTTCCCCACCGACATGCAACAGCCGACAACTGCACTAGCTTTGAGGGGCTCGGACACAATTTCCATAGCACTCACTCCAAGTTCAGCACTAAAATGTTGAGAGTAACGCCTTTGGTAGCATTTCATTTACATTTGCCTTCATCCTGTCTGGGAATCCCCTAGGCCATCCACGTGCCAACCCGCCAACATGAATCGCAAAGAGGCAGTTGACAAGAATGAAAGGGTGGCCGACCTGCCAGCAGAAACAGTGACTGGAATGCCTTCAATTTAACCGCTCTAAAGTTGAAAAACCCCAATCTTCAGCATCCATCATCCCGCATCGTCTAGCGATGCGGCCATGCCCAACCAAGAAGACGTGTCAAGACCAGCTCATCAGCTCCAGTTTCCACCACACCTTGTTGGCCAACAGGAAAGGCGCGTAGTCCTCAGCCAGCGGGTCAAGTTGTGACCGTGGCAATATGAATTGAAGGCCCAGTTGGTCTGATCGCACGTGGTGCCAGCTCGCCTTGGGTTATCGTGCAGGGCTTGACCCTGTTCGGTTACGTCAAGAAATCTGCTCCACCACTCAAAGTACCGAGTACTTGTGCAACCGGAGCTAGGGTAACAAAGATCCTCAGACTCCACATATCAACTGTTCCTGCATTAGCGAATTGACAAGGTACCCGGACCAAGTGGCCGCCCCTAGGCAAAAATAGGCATGAAACAGGGGAAAATTCCCTCGTCGACTAGGATTTGAGGCTGTTTGTACCGTCTAGATAAAAGGAAAACCGCGTTGGCCCGTAATCAAGTCCGTCAGTCAGCCTCGCAACCTCCTGTCCTTCAAAGTGGCATCAGAATTCGAAAGCTCAACAGCAGCAATAGGGTCACTTTTGAGCTCTCATATGGGTGAGGCTGCACCAGCAGACGGTTGATTGGTCTCGAAAGCACGAATCCCCTTCCGTCCATCCCGGCGCAGTCCCGCCCTTGCCCACGCTCCCTGGTTTTGTAACGTCCAGTCAATCGATTGGCGGAGTCAGCCTTGGGACTCGATGTCGGGACACGGCCGGCACCCAAAAGGGGCACCAATGACAGCAAGCTTGCCTTCGCCGTCGACCCATCAAGCGTACGCACCCGCCACGCATTGTTCCACCATCATGTGACGAGAATAAATCGAACGAATCTCGCCGAGCCTAGCGTTTGGAGGATGTTGATTGTCTCGCCAGCAACCAATCCACGAGGTTCGACTCGTCAAACCTGCGCACCATTCGCGGCTCGTATGGGTAGGTGTCTTTCTTCCTATGCCGTCTCCGTTGTGGTGTGATGGGCATTTCCGGTTCCCATGTCTTTCTTTCTGGCACTCAGTTGGCCTTGCCTCTGGGCCATGTATCCATTCTGTCACCATTAGGCCAGTCACGGCATGGCCTGGTTCCAACAAACTCTTTTCCGACGACGGGAGACCCAGCCCGGACGTCCCGTTTAGCCGGTTGGTGTCTGGGCTGGCTTGTAGCCTTGTCAACAACCTTCTTAAGCTTTCACTGTTAGAAATGTTATAGTCTGGCAGACCAGGTTGCCGGGGATTTCTATGGATTCCTGGCCCATCAGCCCATATCTCAGGGTCCTCTTCGTCTTGGAAAGTTAAGGAGAAGTCATTGACATCTGCCATGTGTACCTATTCTCACGATCCACAAGGTGGCATTGTTGACTGGGCGTTGGCGCAGTGAGAAACAGGGGATAGTAGCTTGCGGCGTTGCATCCGGGGTCCCGCGCAGACCATTACCTTGACGGCAAGTCCCCATTAGGTCAAGTCCAATCTTGTCTAGAGTCTTCACCGGAGCTACCGCATGGTTGGGTTCACCGAGTCATTGAAGTCAACCGATTTCCTTGTATTTGCCTACAGTCCAGCCAATGTCAGTAAAATACGGCATTTGAACAGTTTGCCGGCAATCTACTTCCGCATAGTTCCATATCGCAAGAAAGGCCTTTTTCATTGAAACAAAAATCGTATAATCTGAGAGCTGTCCCTTTTCTTCAAATCAACACTGAAAGAATTAAATAAATTGACCTCGATTTCGTGGTAAAAGGTATTGTGGAAGTAATAGCCTTTAACTGAGTCCAAGTCCGTTTTCTACTGACGTTGGCTGGCCGTTGAAATGATTACGGTCATTCTACCCATATTGCTCCTGCTGTCTAGCAACTTTTCATCAAATCTTCTCCTTGACAACTTAACCGAGTTTGTGAATGATCACCTCGAGGCTCCGCATAAACCCCACTCCTGCCATCGCATTGTCAATTCAATACTTGGTGATGATGACCCTAGGACCCTTAATCCAGAGGCTCGCCGGAGAAGCCCTGAGGGTAACGAACAAGGTGCCCACTCCCAGGTGATCTGGCCGCTGTCACCGTTGGAACCTCTCCACATGAGCAGAAGGCAAGGGCATGCTTCTAATTTTCTAGAAGTGTTCCAAGGCTCCATATGCAGTTCCCCGGGCACTACTTGCCGTCAAAGCTCAGACGACGCGAACCGGCAATTTGTTTCCGGCACCTCTCTCATGCGACCTTATTCGAGCATCGAAGACTTGTATAAACAGCGCTCTATCGGCAGTGGCTTTTGGTCGCTTCAGCATGAAAACCAAGCACATTCAGGGGGCCGTCAAACTCAGATATGTCACTTTCAAAATTCTTGGCAGAGACAGGGGCCCGACATCCTTGTCACAACCCGGTAACACGACCTCGTGGCAGGTAGTTCCGGGGAAGCTATCCGCCCTTGCAGGAGGTGCCATGAGCTCATGATTATCGTGGCTAATCAAATTGGAAGAAAAATTTTAATCGAGCCTGTCCTGGAAAATGGGAAGGTTTGGGGAATTGGGGGAGAGGGGGGGACCAATGCTGTGGTTTCCAATTCAAACCCATGAAACGAAAGATTGATAACGTTAGAACAAACGAATATGCCCGAGCAAACCAGAGCAACCTGGCAATCCGTTAACTCAGTAAACCTAGGATCAGTGCAAGGACAATAAGTTTGAAGCACGCTCGTCAAGGATCAGTTATGTTGACCATGTCCACTCACGTAACCACCTCCTATTTCCGTCGTAGAAGGGGTTGGCTAGGTCGCTGTTCGTACTATGGTAGGTGTTTGATTTCTCTCCTAACTGATAACAAGCTACTCCAACAACTGCAGAACGTCACTCCAACATGACGAACAACCAACGTGGGATGAAACTATATGCCTCATAGCCTCTCTGATCCTTCCGTTCAAGTTGCTGGGGCGCCGGTTGACGCAGAGCCGGCATTGCGCCCTGCGATCAGTGTTATTACGAAATTCGAGCTTCCGCATCTCTTGGCTCTCAAGCTGATGGAAAAGATATCCAGGGCGTATTGATCTGCCTAATGAGTGTTAACTTTGGGGAATCATCGCTCCATTGAATGACTCTGTACACCGGTGAATGGCGATTCACGGGTTGTCTACTGCAACCGCGGTTCGAGTCATTTTGGTTTCGGGTCAAGTGGCAACTCTTCGCCCCAGTCTCCCGCAACCTTGGAGGCTGGATGGCAACTTGATACATCCCTCTCCAACCTTTTTACCCCAACATCAATTTTATTAACGCATTTCGGGCCAATGTAGCAGCGGCAGCCCAATGACACATGACACGACCACAGATTTCGTTCGTATGCGCACTTCCATATGCAGCACTTCTTTCGGGCGTGCATGTTTCATTCATCTTGCTGCGAAACCTGCATCTGGCAGCACCTCATCGGCGCTCTACCACGTGGCATTGCACCGGGCATTATTGAAACCTTGGGCTGGGTCTCTCTGAGGCAAGCAGTTGATTGCCAAAATCGCCCTATCTCGATTATCTAGTGGGCAGTTTCGATCCATGGCCTTGTTTGAGAAAGCGGCAACTCGGCCCAGGTCGTCTGATGATAATGAGTGTTTTGAAGTCGTCTGGAACCAGCCCGACGTTCCCGGCCTTCTGGCCGATTTTAGCTGGTGTTCAGGCGGCTTGCAGTTCCTCATTGAGACAAGGCGGGTGAGGAGGGAGCGGAGCATGGGTTTTTCGTTAGTCATGACTCGACCGATCGGTTGGGTACCGTTGGCAACGTGTTGATCCACCCGAAGCTTCCATTTGGGGATCGAGACCAAAGATGAACGACGGTCTGATGTTTGATAAAAATCAACAGTTGGCCCTAAGCGGAAGCAGCGCATGGCGGGCGACGGGAAGAACCCGGCATCTTGCCTTGGTCTCCGCGACGGGATATTTTGAGTTCGTCTCGTCATGACAGCATTTCAGTAGCTCCTTGAGTCGCATACTAGACGGATATCGTATACCCTGCCCCCACTCTACCTTATGGGCTGCGCGGGTCTGGCCCACTGGCGTGGCTCACGACGTATGACATGAGTAGGTGAGGTTGTGATTGCTTCTGGAATATGACTCGACGTTCCGTTCATGTAACTGTAAGTTGTCTGATTTGTTGCATACGGACAAGACTTTCCAGGTTACAAAGCCCATGGGTTGCTTATTTTCGCTTACGATTTTTGAAAGGCTGTAAGACATCCTAGTATTGCTTGTGACGGATGCGCCGGTACTTCGAAACTTCAACCTCGTCATCGTTCACAAACTTGCTTCGGGCGAGTACCACAGTACTCAGTGTAACTTGGCATCCTGGCTATGCTCTTCTTGATTTCATCTTGGTCTGTTATCCTGTGGACAAGACACGGCGCCTCACTGCCCAAGTACACAGAAGCGGCAAGCGGTCGATGAAGTGCAAATCCATTTTTTAAGCCTATCATGTAAAGAAGTAGCATTGATGTTCCTCTACTTCAGCGAATATCGTCAAATGACCAACTAATTTAATGATGGCCTCAGATCTCAAAGTTGCAGCCGGTGCCATGCTGAAGACTGACTAAGCCACATCGAAGCTCCCAAGCAAAAGTGGCTGAGTGCTTGCTTGTCTGCCATTCAGATCTCACCCCCAGAACAGCTTAGGCAATATGCCCCACCACCTACCTCACCTCCCAACGACAACCTTCCACATCGACATTGACGAGAACCAACCCATTAGGATCGATAGCCTCACTTTGAAGCCCAACGGCAATCCAGTGCGCCTCAGCCAGTGCGCCCGTCGCTACTTCCAGCCAGGCGTGCAACGCTACGTACTTGCGGCAGAATGTCTATCATCCAACAACATACCTCAGCCTCGCTTGGCGACGCCTGGCGCACTATCAACATCGACGCCCTCGACCCGGAGTCGTCGCAGAACTTCGATACCACGACGCTGCACCCGCCGCTTCCCGAAATTAGTGAGGCAGAGGTTCGTCAGCTGAACGGACAGGTCCGCCAACTTCTTCGGGGTGGCGATGCGGAGGGCGCTTTGAGGGGGTGTTTGGAGACGCCAGTCTATAATGGAAGTGAGGGGACGAAGGTATGATTGTTTGATCTGTTGTGGGGGGAGATCTGTGAGGGAATGAGGACGGAGAAGAGAATAAACCGGCTGACTTGTTTGGGTTATGAATAGGAGGTTCACTTGCAGACCGTGGTCGAGGTCTTGCAATCTATCAAGGCGAGCGACATGACGCCCATGCTGCAGCGCATCTACGGGTCTGAGGGCGGAGGGGAGTTGTTGGATGTGCTGATGAAGTATCTGTATGTGGGATCCCCCTAACTGGGCTTGGAATACTGTTCACTGGTATATACCGCCTACGGACCTAGAGACTGACAATGTTGCACAGGTACAAGGGCATGTCTGCTTCGGCATTAACCGGCGGCCCACGAACACCGGGGAGGATGACACCACAGCAGACGGGGTTCACGCAGGTGGGATCACGGCCGGGGGTTTCAAACGAGTCTACGAGTGCGGCGATGAGTGTCTTGCTTAGTTGGCACGAGAAGGTTGTCGATGTTGCGGGACAGGGTAGCATAGTGAGATGCATGACCGACTGGCGCAAGGTATGAGTGAGGGTTGATGTGGGTTGAAAGGTAGTTGGCCCTTACTAGTCCGTACGCCAAGGACAGGACTGGTGACTCATTGAGATTCCAGCGTCTTCTGAGTGAGTAGAACCATAGGTCTATAGGTAATCAAAACGATGACAGACCATGTTGGAAGATTCCGAGGGCAGTGTGCCCCATGATACTCGATTCCTACCATCCCACATTGACATGCTTTTACACCAACCGACTGCGTAACAGTCAGTTTAGAGAAGAAGGATTGTGGGCCGCCTGCCTACTTGGAAGCGTTCCTGATACGGTCTAGAAAAGGAACTTTGGCTGGGTCCCCAAATATTGAACAGTACTTTGGACGCCACAAAAGGAAGGCTCGACTTGGGATCCAGCGCGATATTTTGTTTCTCTTTATCCACATTCACAACTTTCCGCACATGAATCTTTCCCATCTGGAAAACAGAAGTCGTTCAAGCCAGGCCCTGTCGACCAACTTCACTTCATTGTGGGAACCTTTCTCGCCTGCAAGGCCCTCTTCATGGTGGGACTGCTCGACTGCAGAGTCCAACTCTCCCTTAAGCAACAACCTGTCATCTACCCGCAATCGAACTGGACCATCCTGCCATCTCTGATCAAAAGACACTGCAATCATAGCCAGAACAAGCAGCTTTGCAGGTGAGTTCCAATTTGAAGTTTTCGTGGGACTCCTTCCTTCCTTTCGCACCAGTTACTCACATCAACCTGGGCAGATGAAAGTGTAGGCCGAAGGCATATCGCAAAAATACTGCCATATTCCTGTACCAACAAGATCTCTGTCAAGCTCTTTCTGTAGTATATCGGATTTCACGATATCTTCAGCGATAATCTCAGGGCATTCGCGATCACCCTGTTTTCTTCCGTCGAAACAACTGCTTCTGAAGGCTGCGCAACTACCTACCACGACGCTCCAACTGGAGTAACCTTTCCCATCACTTATCCTCTACAGACCTCCACCTGCCATGATCAGCACCGGAAGCGTCGCCCAATATGCCGTACTGTGCAAAATGCCGCCGTTATTTTGCCAATACCCAGGCATTACGCCAACATTTGAGCGCCGAGAACAGTAAAGCGCACCCTTTCCCCGCGTATTGCGATGACTGCGACAAATATTATGAGGGGAAAGCTCAGTTGAAAACCCACCGATACAAAAACCACAGATTCCTCACGTCGGATTCGGAGCTGAAGGGGTGCGTGGACCAAGTTCAAAAATGTTTTCCATGCGAAAAGTGCCAGGAGAATTTCAAATCGGACGTGCAGCTGGAGAGACACATAAACCAAGCTCACTGCACCTGTCATGTACCTGGCTGTGGAAAGGAGTTTAATCAGTCGCAGCTTGATGGCCATCTCATCGATGACCATACTTTCTGTAAAAAGTGTAAAAAGTGCTACCCGTCCCAGCAGGAGCTCAAAGATCATCGCAGATCCAGCCCGAATCATTTCTGGTGCCATGCCTGCGGTGTGGAGTTTGCTTCCCAGAGTGAGTTGGCAGACCATTGCAAGAACACTCAGGACACCCCGTTGCAAAAGCACTATTACTGCTCGAAGTGCAGTATAATCTGCTTTAGCGGCGAAAGTTACAAAGATCACTTGGACAAAAGCGCAAAGCACCATTATTGTCGCAAGTGCCATCAGCTCTGGCCCACCGTGGACGGCTGGATCGAACACCTCATCAACTCCGAATTCGGAATCAATCGGAAGCATTACTATTGTGCAACCTGCCATGTCGACTTCAACACTGAGGATAGTCTGAAAAACCATTACTTTGTGTCGGATGAGCATCGGTATTGCCACAAGTGCAATAAGTCCTATGACTCGGCTGCCGAACTTCAGCGTCACCTCCAGACATCCCCAGGCTCTCACCCATACTGCACACAGTGCCGTATAGCCTTCACGAAGTTCGAAGATTTAGAGCTGCACATTCGCCAGAACCCATCCTCACACCCGTCGTGTCCCAAATGTTCGGCCCATTTTGCCACCGAAGATGAGTTGAAAGCTCATTTGAGAGCTGAATTGGACACACATTTCTACTGCTACGATTGCCGCCTATCATTTGACAGTGTCGATAGGCTGAACAAACACACCTTCATTCGGCACAACTACTGCTACATCTGCAAGGAGTTCTACGATTCGGATGCGGCCCTCAAAGAACACTTCAGCGAGAAGACGGAGACGCACCCTTTCTGCTCTAACTGCCGTGTTGCCTTTTGGTGCTTCGCTGAACTGGAGCTTCACATGAGCCAGAAAGCGAAGGGCTATTTCTACTGCTTGTGTGATGGGAAGGCGATCGTAACGGCCAGCGAACTCAAAGAGCATAAGATCAATAGCGATGATCATTACTTTTGCATCGATTGCGAGAGGGATTTCGTGGAGGAAGAGCATCTTCATGTACATCTCCAAGCCAAGCACCATGTGTGCCACCACTGCGATGCACGATTCGACAGTGAGAAGGGGCTGCGAGAGGTAAGTACAACCCTTAGACGTGGACAGGGAAGATATGTTTCTATTTTCGAGCTATCCACAGATGCAGCACCGTCTGAGGCAGTGTTGCGTTCTTGTTCCCGATCTCGAGCTAACTTATCCTCCCAGCACCAAATGTCCATAGCCACACCATGCATTGTCTGCAACCAGAAATTCCCCACCAAGAAGCAGATGATCCAGCATTGCGAAAGCGGAGGCTGCTACATAGAGCTCTCCCAGCTCTACGTGCTCCACCTCGCTAGAGAAGACAAAAGCAAACTCTTCACCACGGAGCACCTGGTCCACGCTCCAATCCAAGCCGACCCATTCAAGAAGGAAAATGTCAAGGCCGTAGAGCTCACTACGGGCTCGTACACGACGTACATCTGTCCTCAGTGCGACCTAGGTTCGTCGAAGAAAGAAGACATAGATGCTCACCTTTTGGGGGAGGCGTACCAGCCGCGCCGCTTCAAGTGCCCGAAGAAGGAGTGCACAGTCATGTTTGCAAAGTTTGGGTCTCTGCTGCAGCATCTCGAGGATATGCCTTGTGGTGGCTGGGTCAGAGATTCTCAGGAAGAGGGGTTGGCATACCTTAAGTCTTACTTTACTTGAGAGGTGATGAAATCGGCCTATACCCTCTTGGCTTGCGAACCCTTACTTCATACTACCCGTCTGAAACATCATCTTATCGAGGTGTGAAGAGTCCGAGTCACAAATGGCGGACTTTTCGCACCAGCTTGGCCTTTTCAAGTGTCCACAGATAAATGTGGAATCATGTTCACCAGCCTTGGTTTCTTCTACCTTGGATCCGAGACTCTGAGGCAAATGACTTCAGGTATTTGAAGTCTTATTTTGCCTAAGGATGATGTCAATATTGCCCAAATTGCAGTTGCTTGCAAAGCGCCGAACGACCGTCGTGGTCAACACATTACACATTGTCGGCAAAGTTATATGTAATGGTAATTTGTGGACCTCGTCTTGGATCGCATCAGTTGATTTGATGATGGAAGAAGCCTGTCTTTGCAGATAGCCTTTTCTTCGACGGCCTTTCCAGGATGTAACTTGTTGCAACCTTTGTTTGGTCCCAGGGAAAGGTGGATGAGAAAACGGTTAAAACTAGAGCTCACTTGACTGATTTTCGGCCTACCACGAGTTTTACGACAGTTGCTGAGCAGATCAATTGAAAGAGGATAATTTAGCAAGAGAGCTATCATCTCTACTCTCAAATCGTTTGGTAATGTGACTTCTGTTCACAGGTCTGTATGCAGATGAATGTGCGCCTGCCGGCTTTAGCTGGGTCGAGAGCACTTGAATTGACATTGATTTCTCCTTTTCCCAACAGATTCAAGAGTCTAATGGTTAGAGCCGTAGCTTGTACGTCTCTGAAGATGGAGTAGGGATACTTCTAGGTGTGGTTCAGCTCTAGTTACGGTTTGAACTAAATTTTGCAGTTCTCTCCTTTCTTATCTTTCGAGAAATCCTATATTAATACTCGTGATACATCCGTACATTTTGGGTGCTTCCACACTTGCAGTGATCTGGTTCCGAGTTCCTGGGCCCCCCTCACCATCTACTCAACAATGTGCACACACGGTCATTGTGGAGTTCTAAAATTATGGTACAAATAGAGATCACAGCCTCTGTCACAACTACGTCACTGAAGTGACTGCATTTAGGGAATGACTGCTAGTCTGCGTGATTCTATCATCTGCATCGCTATCGAAATGATCTATCAACACTCACTGTATCCTCTCTCTAGACCTCACCGTAGACATCCCTGGTTTAAATATTGTCAGCATACAAACTCCCTCAGACCAGCGCAAGACAAGAAAAAGGGGCAGAACTCACGTCCTCCTAACCAACGGCATCCGCCCCCTAACCTCCTCCACGACCCCCAAATCCACATCCACGATCCCCAATTCCCCCACAGCCCCCTCCTCCGCCTCCCACGTATCCGCATCCTCCTCCTCCCCCCTGATCCCCTTCAACCTCATCACAACCCTCCCCCAGGGATCCACCACCAAACTCCGCCCATAACTAACCCTCTTTCCCCCCTGCCCCGCATGCCTCCCCACCTGTGCCGCAGCAATAACCCAACACCGCGTCTCGATCGCCCTAGCTCGTAGTAAAACTTCCCAGTGCGCTCTGCCGGTGGGTACGGTGAAGGCAGAGGGGTAGAGGAGAATTTGCGCCGGGGAGGAGGGGAAGTGAGACGGGCAGGAGAGACGCAGCGAGGCTTCAGGGAAGCGCAGGTCGAAACAGATTAGGCTGCCTATTTGCCCGATGGGGGAGGCAAAGGGGGGTACTAGAGAGGCGCCGGGCTGGGTGATGGCGGACTCGAGAAGCGGGGGGTAGTCGAAGAGGTGCAATTTGTCATAGGTGGCGGAGGGGTTTAGGGTTCCGTCAGATTGGATCCAGATGCTGCGGTTCAAAAGCTTGGTGATGGGGGTTTCGTCTGTACCTTCTTTGATGGAGTCGGTAGTGGTTTGAAAAGGAGAAGTAGTTTGGGGGGCAGAGGGCTGGACAGTCACAGGCACGTGGATTCCAACATGCACGCAGAGGGAGTGCTTGCGTGCCGCAGATTGGAGGCCTGTCACGAAGGGGGAGGTGGCCATGGGTTTCGCGAGGGAGAGGGACTCGGACGGTGAGGTGGCGATGTAGTCGGATGCTTCGGGGAAGAAGAGTACCTGGGCCTGGTAAGTAGTGATTTCGTCCGAATTTCAGGAGACTAATCGAAAAGTAATATTGAAGTCTGGATCGAAAACATCCCAGGCCATGGCTGGCGACTCGATGGATGCCTTCATCCTCTCCTGTATGATTCCCGGTGACCGAAGCTCGGCCGGAGGCGTCACACTCGAACTTCCCGTGCTGAGGCCGGCTTTCCTCGACTCGACCCAAACATAGCTGGACCACGGACAGACTGTACCAGAGCTGAGACGAAACATGTCACCATACCTTAGCCCCAGCAGCTGCGGCTTTGCCTACAAGCTTAACGCACTGCTCGAGGTTGTGCGCCATCGACGTAGTCGAGCATATCTGCCCCACTGCCTGCGCATTTGTTAGCCTGACTGTCATGCATAAACTAGAGTTAAAGCTTGGATGATATACCGCGATCGCCATCTTCGGGGTGTTCCTGTGGCTATGTATTTACGCAAGCAGTATATGGAATCGATGGTTGTATTAATGGTTGTTCCGAATGTAGAGCACAAGAGATGGTGGGGTCGACGTCGGAGTTCACAGATAAGCTCGATATATATAACGTCACAACGGCTTGCCAGCACAAGCTTAACAAAGCAAACAACTAACTGGATTAAATGACATGGGAAACTCGAAAAACGGAACGCATTGTGAAATGATAACCTGGCGAATAGGTCGCATATGTAATTTGAGTCACGAATTATACAATTAAGGAGTGGTGAAAACAGGCTGGCACGATGCTTAATCCCCCGCTGCTGTCTAACAATGCTGTCAGGATCTTAGGATTGACAAATCTGAAGGCTCCTCATCAGGTCAAATTACATGAGACATACTCACTTGTTCCCGAATTTATACATTTCACTTGGACATTGGACTACCAGCGACATACTGTCCAGAACCACTAGCGCTACAAGGCATTCACCAGTGCATACAGAAGAGTGTGGGTACTTTTTTGCTTATTTTCCGTATTGCGCATGAGGCTTAGTCATGCAGGGGGCATCTAAGTCTACCATACTCATGAGCACAATCGCAATCCATCCCATCCGTTTAGGCCTCCAGTTCTCCCACCCCACCTGCTGGAAGCTCAAGTTGGAAGGGAACATTAGTACAACGCACACCTGATATCCGACAGGAGCTTTACCCTACAATTCTTGTTGTATGCAGAGTGGCTCTCCCGTCCCCCCACTCCCCCTTCCCTCCCAAATTCCGCTTTTCCATCGTTCGCAACATGAAAGCAGAAATGCACAGACGGAGGCAAAACCATTGGCCTCAGGAATGCCCATCGTATAAACGCCTGGCTGAAATGTGGGAATAGTAGTCTCTCACTCCCTGTTTTGGTGATTGACTCGAGACGATCGCTTCTTCGTCCTGCTCTGTTTAATGTGGGTGATTTGGGTCAGGGTACGAGTGTAAAGTGCCAGTGAGGACTAGTTCATGCAGACTTCGGCATAGTAGGGCTTGGTGTTATTACCGTCGCCACCTTGTCGCCATAATCGGACCTGTCCAGCCTGATGTATGCCTCTTGAAGGGCTTTAATGTCTGTGCCACGCTCTTCAAGCACATGAATCCAATCTCGGAGCTGGATGTTCTTGCCCTTCTCGGACGTCTCACGGAATTGACCCAGGTGGTTTGCGCTGGCTTGTGTCAAGGGCCCTGGAGCAGCTGGGCTTCGAACAGCACCGGCCGCGGCAGCACCAGATAGACCTGCCACACTCGGTCTAGGAGTAGACGCCCCACTGCCTGCGCCACCCGACATCCACGAATACTTCTTCTTCTTCCGACCCATCATGTGATCCAATGTCGAGTTGACGGTGCTGCTACTGGCTTCGGCAAGCTTTGCGCTTTGTTTCTTGCTTTCCTTCTTCGTGAGAGGCTTGCTATCCGGTTGCTCGGGTGCGACGAAACCCGGCACGTCGGGGGCTATTGAGCCAGTTCGGGCACCGCCGCTCCCATCTTCCTTGTCCCTATCGGTGGCCTTTTCCAAGCGCCTATGGCGTTTTCGAAGTCTCGCTTCTTCACACGAACGCGTGGCCTTGCCCGCGCTGACGATCGTATCGACCAAAGAATTCGTGGGAGGCGCCTCCGATACGGGCGTAGGAAGTCCATTACTCATCGCATTCGCAGGGCCTATGTGATTTGTCAGCAACGGTGATATCTACACATCTACACAACTAGACAGGCTGCCATACGCTTGAGTGGATTCGTGCGGGGGCTGCGTGCACTATCCGGCTCTGGTTTGGTGCCTTCCTGTGTTGCCATCATCGGGTCTTTCAGTCCAACGAGCTCCGTAGTAGCTGCATCTGCCCACAGTGGAGGAACAGCCCCGTGAGAGCTCTGCTGCCGGGTGGTGGCCAACTTATTCGCATCACCTAGCAACTCAGAGAAACGCTCCTTCGTAGCAATAGACAGCAAGGCCAATTGGTCAATTAGATATGCCTCCTTGGGAATGATGGATCCTTTCGTGCTGAGAATGGTGCCGTCGGGGGCCTTGCTGACCCGGACCTCAATCTTCGGCTCATCAATATCGTTGGGATGACCCAATCTGCCAACGCCTCCGCCGGTGCCTTTTGAATCCAAGTTCAGCTGCAGATTGTGGCTAGTTGCAATATCCTGCATTTTTCGGTGGAGTAAACCCCAGCTCAGGAACTGATCCTTGAATGAGCGCACACGTGAGGTAGCCAAGTTTGCCGCGGCTGTATTCCATGCTCGATCAGCAGCTTCTGCCGCTAGCTCCTCTTGCGTCTTCGCTTGTGTCTGTTCGGGTGGCTTGTTTGCCGGTCCACCTCCGTAGAAGCTTCCTTGGTTGCCATTTCCCCATGAAGTGAAGCCATGCTTCGTCTCCAAGTCATCCAAGAATGCTTGTTCTTCGTCCAAGTTGATGCCAGTCCCAGCGAGGGTGTCATCCATATCATATGCGAAGCTCTTGACAGGCGGCTTGTTGACTGGTTGCGTCTGCTGCGCGACATTGTGAGAGTATGCAGAAGGGGGCGGCATGGTGCCGATTGCGGGAGTCGTGGGTTGCGCAGTGACGGGAACGAAATTCGCGTTCGAGTATGGCGTATTAGGTTGGCTCTGCGCTTGAGAAAGATGCGGAGAGTTGAGCGTCGGGGTGTTTGAGAGAGGCAACGCCTGCGGCAAACTCAAGCCACCATTCGGTCGACCATTAACGTTCTGGTGGGTTTGATGATTCTGGTACGGCGTTACGTACGAGGTGCTGTGAGATTGGGAATGCGCGTTCGGATAGGCAGAGAGACTCGGCGACGTCAAACTCGATGTAGGCGTCGCGGTTCCAGGACCTGGACTGGCGCTGTACGGCGCTTGATTGTAAGGACGCGGGGACGCTGGCTGCGAAGCTGGGCCGGGCGACGAGTACTTCTGGCGCTTTGCATCCGGTCCGAACTGGAAACTGCCCTGAGGATTGTTGGGGGATGGTGAGTGCTGAGGAGGGGAGTAGGCGGCTTGCCTTGGGGGCATCGGCTGGGGTTGCGACATGGTGAATCTCGAACAGGAGTTCCCTGATGGCAAGCTGATTGGGTGTTGGGACGGCGGCGGCAGAGAATGGGAGCAATGGCAAGATATAGAGGGAGCAGAAGTAGAAATGGCAGGATATTGCCTATTTCACGTCCACTTCACTCAAGCTCCCTCGATTTGCAGGCAGCGGCACCTGGGCAGGCTGAAGCCTGTCACTCGAGACCCGTTAACACCCCATCCGTCAATCCGAGGTCGCGTGGAGTTTTCGCGAAAAGGCCGGCGATTGCTATTACTCGTGTGCGGTGTAGTATTAGCGCGATGCTGGTTTACCCGTCGTCCCTAGTAGGGTGTTGGAATGGGTGTATCGGCGATGAATGCTTCTGAACATATGAGGAGTTCGTGTCGCAAGCTTCTTGACTCCAAAGAGTTGCATAGAAAGTGATCCACCTTTCTAACTACCTTGGCGCAGTTGCATTCAAGCAAGGCTGCCAAACTCAGTCCTGGCTCCACTCTGCCCCGGAAATACCATAAGGCCGAAGAGCCTCACTACATCACCAGACTGCGACCTCTTGACGTGACTGCTGAATTCACTCTTCCAACCCCAGTTGTCGCATCCCGTTTGGACGGCCTAGCTGCTAATCTGACAATGTTTGCGAAAAGAGTAGATCTTCTCGAGTAAAGTGATCTGGCCAGTCTCAGATGCAATCACTTTCGGCAACCTCGTAATCTCGACCATTTTGCCTGTGCGACCGTATCTGTTGCTCTCCCGTCGCAATACATCATGGCGTCGAAGCGCAAGGCGACGGCCATGGGCACCACCGTCACCGAGGAACCAGTAGATCCATCTGATGAGCTCATGTTCCTGTGTCTCGGAGGCGGCAACGAAGTGGGCAGGTCATGTCACATCATTCAATACAAGGGCAAGACTATTATGGTATGTTTGTCGTCTACACTTTCATCTACGGCAAAGCGCTAACATGGCACTTCTAGCTTGATGCTGGCCAACATCCAGCCTATGATGGCCTTGCTGCGTTGCCCTTCTTCGACGACTTCGACTTGAGTACTGTAGATGTACTGCTCATCAGCCAGTAAGCCAACCCAATCACCGTCTCTTTTGGTCTAGGACGACATTGTGGTCAATGTAGGACACTGAGGTGGTTATGGGCATAGCGAGCAATCAACAGAAACAAGACATGCCGAGTATTGCATCCCAGCAAACCGGCCATATGTATTCAGCTATCAATACAAGAAATTTCCCTATGCCCAGCCTACCCCTTGTTGACTGCCGTGATGTCCCTTGCCGTGTTTTCCCACGCACCTACTCCACCCCCATAGCTATTTCTGGGATCGCAAGCTGACGAATCCAAGTTTCCACGTGGACCACGCCGCTTCTCTTCCCTATGTCTTGGCGAAGACGAATTTCAGGGGTAGGGTCTTCATGACCCATGCCACCAAAGCCATCTACAAGTGGCTCATCCAAGATAGTGTTCGAGTTGGCAATACGTCGTCCAATCTCACCACACAGCCCGTATATACCGAACAAGATCATCTCAACACCTTCCCTCAAATTGAGGCAATCGATTACCACACCACGCACACCGTATCCTCGATCAGGATAACTCCGTACCCCGCGGGCCATGTTCTGGGTGCTGCCATGTTCCTGATCGAAATAGCAGGACTCAAGATATTCTTCACCGGAGATTACTCTAGAGAGCAAGATCGACATTTGGTCTCCGCGGAGGTCCCGAAAGGGGTCAAGATCGATGTTCTAATCACAGAATCAACCTACGGAGTAGCCAGTCATGTGCCCCGATTGGATCGAGAGCAGATGTTGATGAAGTCAATAACCGGTGTGCTCAACCGCGGCGGCCGGGTGCTCATGCCGGTCTTTGCATTGGGTATGGCACAAGAGTTGCTACTCATCTTAGAAGAATACTGGGGGAAACACTCAGAACTCCAGAAAATACCCATCTACTACGCGAGTAATCTTGCTCGAAAGTGTATGGTTGTCTACCAGACCTACGTCGGTGCAATGAACGACAACATCAAGCGTTTGTTTCGAGAACGCATGGTCGAAGCTGAGGCCGGCGGCGAGGGAGCAGGGAAAGGTGGTCCTTGGGACTTTAAATATATTCGTTCCCTGAAGAACCTCGACCGATTTGACGATGTTGGAGGCTGTGTGATGCTTGCTAGTCCGGGTATGCTCCAGAACGGAGTTAGCCGAGAGCTCCTGGAGAGGTGGGCACCGAACGAGAAGAACGGTGTGATCATCACAGGCTACAGCGTTGAGGGAACTATGGCCAAGCAAATTGTCACGGAACCAGACCAGATCCAGGCGGTGATGTCTAGGAATATCAATGCCGTCAGGAGAGGGCCAAGTGGAGAGGGTGACAAAGTTATGATACCCCGGAGGTGTAGCGTCGAGGAGTACTCCTTCGCCGCACATGTCGACGGCAATGAGAACAGGGAGTTCATTGAGGAGGTCGCCGCTCCAGTAGTGGTCAGTATTACCATTCCACGACCAGTTTGTTTGTGCTCTTTGGCTGGCTAACACTCGCAGATTCTTGTCCATGGCGAGCAACACAATATGATGCGGCTGAAATCCAAGCTCTTATCCCTCAACAACGCAAAGCCGGAAAACGAGAAGACCAAGGTCTACAGTCCGCGCAACTGCGAAGAACTCAAAATTCCCTTCAAGTCGGACAAGGCTGCAAAAGTCGTGGGCCACCTGGCTGCGGTACCACCCCCAAACAAGCTCGCAAAAGCCGAGAACGAGAATGGTCCCGTGGCTCCTTTGGTCACGGGCGTTTTAGTGCAAAACGACTTCAAGAACTCCGTGATGGACCCAGAAGACCTGCGCGAGTATGCAGGCCTGACAGCATCGATGATGGCTTCCAAGCAAAAACTTACCTTGAGTGCCGCCGGCATAGATCTCGTCAAGTGGGCTCTTGAGAGCACATTTGGGAGCATTGAGGAACTACCAGAGTCGAAGGACCGCGCTGTGAAGAATGGCAAAGAATCGAACGGGGACGAGAAGATGGAAGAAGCCGACGAAGAAGTTGCCCGGCTTGTTGCTGCTTACTTAGTCATGGGCTGTGTGACGGTCCGGTACCGCAACAATGGCGAAGTTGAGCTCGAATGGGAGGGTAATATGCTGAACGACGGAATCGCCGACACCATCATCGCCGTCTTACTCTCGACAGAGAGCAGTCCCGCGGCTGTCAAGCAGTCCGCAAGCAAACACCCGCATACCCACGGCCTGCCGGACCGCAATCCACACGCCAACCTATCACCTCAGGACCGACTGGAGCGCCTCTTCCTCTTCCTGGAAGCCCAGTTCGGTGCTGATGCTGTCACACCAGTAGCAGTCCCAAAACTAGCACCGTTGACGAAAGACGCCAAGGCGCATAAAGCAGGGTCCGACGCTGGGTCGGACGCATCTATGGAGTTGTCGGATGAGGACGAAGAGGAAAAGCTGCTTGAGCTGAGGCAGAAAACGGAGATTGAGCGGCTGCATAAAATGGGCATTCCCGTTCCTGGAGTCAGTATCAAGGTTGACAAGATGATCGCAACGGTTTGGCTTGAGGATCTTGAGGTGGAGTGCCCGAATCGAGTCTTTGCCGATCGGGTCAGGGCCGTTGTGGAGAGGGCTGTTGAGGTCACGGCTCCTCTGTGGGCATAAAGAGTGCCCAGACTTGTTGAGTAGCATTTGCCTTGGTTCAGGAGTTCAGTTCTCCAAGTAAAGGAAGGGTTGTATGATGTGGTTGGAGGTTTCGTCGGGTTCGGCATTTTGAGAGTTCCTATGGCCAAATAGGTCTTCTGCATTTGCACTGCTTGCATGGTTCGAGGCTGGTATCTGCCCCCCCCAAAAAAATCCTGGATGGATTTAATTGCGGTAAACATGAGGCCATCGTGTAGAACCTTGTACAGAACTGATAAACGAATACGCGGTGGAACCATTGCGTTCCTCAACCCCAGTTGAACAAGATTACCTATGCTAGTAGCTGCTTTGTGTGGGGCCTCTGGACTTTAGCTAGCACAGCACAGCCCCCCAACAGAGCATTGTGGACTATAAGATGTTACCTCTCCCCCACGCCAAACCTTCGCACTTGTCCCCTCTGGCCCAAGCCCTTCGATAGCCCTCGTTAGCTTCCATCCATGACCTTGCACGTTTATGTCAATGCTGCAGTCTCAGTGAACGATGTCTTCTTACATAGCCCAGCTCTCGTCAAACTCTACTTCTTAAGAGCACTGCCAATATTCACATGATGGCCCCGTCTGAAGTCAGCCGGGGGCTCAAGGTTTTCTGGAAGTTCGCCTGGAGATGTTTATCTGTGGTGAAGAAGCCAACCAGATGAGCCTAGATGAAATTGATGTTGGGGCTGAGGAATGGTGATAAGAGTGCAGTGTGCAAGGTCACGGGAAGTTAGTTACCCCGCGTCTCATGGTCTGCCTTGTGTCAGTAGTAGGAAGGCGCAGCGCACCGCAGCCCATGTTAGCAGTCGATACCAATCGCGCCCATGGCAGCGCTTTTGTCTAACGGGGTTCATCGGGCAGTCCATCACAAGGCTGCAATCTCGCCATAGGATGATGCACTGCCTTCGGGCTGTGGACGCCCCCAAACAACCTTCTGTCACGAAAGCGTGACTGTCATCTTAATTATTGGGATTGCTACGGCCTCTCTCCGGCGGAGGCAATTTCTTGTTCTTTGATCCATGCGACCATGAACAACTTGAATAATTACAATCTCAATTGCATAGCCGGAGGCATTCTGAGAGGCTCCCCGTCAGCGATCAAACGTGTCTCACCACAATCGAAACACACGATCTTGAGATCAAACCAAGTATAAGAATAGGACGTGTCTATCAGTCAATTTGGCATATTCCAGAGGCACGAGCAAGACGCTTAGAACTGCAACCAAATAAAATACCTTGCATCACATTCCAGTAAAGAACTAAGGTTTCAACCCTGCCCGACCCAGTTAGTCAGTGCAAACGAACATCAGTCCAAGAAATCCGCATCCGTCGAATCCACCCACAAGCCAGAGTTTAATTCGTTCCTGCCTCAATCGGCACTTATATTCACCATGACTTCCTCATCATGGGCAAGGAGCCCAGGCTACACCACCCCCTCCTCCACCACCAACAACACTTGTACCACACTTGTACCCCCGAAAACCTTCAGACAACGAGCTCGATCAGCAGACATGGGCAAGATCAGCGAATTCCTGAGTCCAAACAACACCGGCAAGGAATCCCCCAATGTCACTCGGCACCGGTCGCTGAATCCCTTCTCCCGGTCGCGATCCGCCGACCCTGATGGTGCGGAGACGCCGTCATCCCGCACCTCTTCCTTCTCACTCAGCCGCGTATTGAGCAGCAGTCGCCGAGACAGCAATCACCAAACCCAACAAGCAGAGCCCACCACTCGCAACCCCATGCTGAATCCTTCCCCGGCCACCAGGAGACCCAGACCCCAGTCACCACCTCCTGCCTATTCGCCAAATGCAACCGCCGCATCTGGGCCAACCCTGGGTGATGCACCAGCTTACCAAATCTACCAAGGTGGAGCTCACCCAGCAATCTCACCGCAAGCAGCATCTACTGCTGAGGATCCGTATGCTTTCTTGTCGTCATTTGACACGGTCCTACTCATTGATAACTCCGGCTCCATGGCCGGCGCCTCATGGAAGCAGGTCAAGGCAGTCCTCCAGGCAATTGTACCTATCTGTACAGCGCATGACGAAGATGGCATTGATATCTACTTCATCAATAAGCCTACCAATGCGCTGCCTGGTTTCGAAATGGGCAGCGCGGGTGGTTTTTACCGCAATGTCACCAATCTTGCCAAGGTGGAGGATATATTCAGTACGGTGAAGCCCGGCGGGGACACAATGATGGGCAGACGTCTCAAAGAAATTCTGGTTCCCTACACGGAGCTCTATAAACAAAAAGAGCGAGAGACGGGAGACAAGACGTGTCTGAGGCCGTTGAACATCATCGTCATCACCGACGGCGAGGCCAACGACAACGTCGAGGAAAGCCTCGGCAACGCCGCCCGCTTCTTGGACGAATGTGGCGCCCCTCCGTACCAGATCGGCGTCCAGTTCTTCCAGATAGGCAACGTTCCGGGTGTGGCCGAGTATCTCCAGTACCTGGACGACGAACTGGGCCGCAATTCCCGAAACGGCTTCAGGGATATGATTGATACGGTCACGTTTGACTGCCTTCCTGGAGACACCGCGCCGACGCTTACAGCGGATGGTATCTTGAAGGCCGTGCTTGGTGCGGTGGTGAAGAGACTGGATCGTCGGCCTGCTCGAGCTTCTAGAACATGATTGTCTGCCGCCGTTACTTGAATATACCCCCTTGGTCACTCGGTGCAGAGGCCTGCATAGCTGGCGTTTGGCGTTTCTTCGTTCTCTGATTATGAGTAGCTTGTGGCTCTTTCTTTTGTCGAGAATGGAATTTCCTTTGATATTAGATCAACAGTTCTACCTCAATTACAAGCACTAGTAGGTATACTGTCTATAGATAAAAAGACGGCAACGTCCGATTTGCTTCAAGATCATCAACTGCATCCATCCATCCACGTTTACTTAAGTACTTGTGTGCGTCGCTAGGGACGCTTTGTACGCGTCTTGACAATATCCTCCTAGTCGCTCTAGCTTAGTGGTTTAGCTATGCTGCTACAACTTTGAAAATGTATCCGAGATCCTTACAAACTAGGAATGGGGCGCCACCCGAGCACAGTATAACAGCTTCGCCAATAGACCATCAAGTTACTCGACGGTCTTCCAACGGAAGCCAAGTCGGAGGCTGTGGCTGCTGTGCGAGAGTTGTTTCGAGCGATGGTGGCGGAGGTACTGCCGTCGGGTAGGTATAAAAATAGATGGGCGGGATTACTGAGTTGGTATGGTGATGATTTGGTGTTTGCTGGTTTGATGCCAGGAAGACGGAGAGAGATATTCTAGCCAGACGGTGGCGAGGAGTATCGGAATCGGAGGATCTTAAGGGGGGATGCAAATTCACTAGCAACGTAAGTATACATTCGTTTCTGACTACAACGAAGCTCACAGGTGCACCTTATCAAGTGTCATTGCTAGGTTAGCAATATGTTCATGTTTGCTAGTGTCACGTAGGGGGCAGTATACGCCTTGCACAGATATAATCTATTCTTTCAGAAAGACGGGTTGCGATGGAAGCTGACGTAGCCGTCAGGAGGGAGATTTTCGTCATTTGCTGAACAAGTACCGTCAAGTGGAGGGTGTCCCTGTCTCCAACTAGTCCAGCTCCACCAACAGGGACACTTGATTCAGTCCCCCAAACCCCGAAAAAGACATGATCCACACAACACCGACGTTTACTTAGATATTTATGACGTGCTATACCTGGGTGGATTTCGGGGCTGCTCGGCATCTTTATTGAACCACCATGAGGTAATGGCACGGCACTTGCAGTCCCATTTGTTACTCATCCTCACCCAAGAGTATAACAAGCCCACAGCCATGGCCGAGACAGAGACGGTATGGCAAGCCCAATACCATCCAAATGTCCAAACCAACTCTCGCTATCATTGGCTCCGGCTGGGCAGGCTTCACCCTCTCCCAAAAGGTCGCCCTGGAGAAATTCAACATAATTGTCATCTCACCCATCCGCACAATCCAATACACCCCACTTTTGGCGAGCGCAGCATGCGGCCTCTTCAACTTCCGCCTAGCCGAAGAGCCCGTCCGGCGCAGGTCGCGCACTGGGCTCAAGTACTACAAGGCCACGGCGGAGAACATTGATTTCGACACATGCACCATCTATTGCAAGACCTCGACCAAGATGGCCGGCGATCCCGGTGCCCACGGCTTTCAAAGGGCCGGAGAGGAAGGGCAAACCCAAACCACCTTCGAAGTAAAATACGACACACTGTGCATCGCCCCAGGCTGCGACATCCAGGACTTCGCCACCCCCGGCGTACGAGAACACGCCCTCTTCCTACGCACAACCAACGACGCGCGGCTAATCCAACAGCGCATCCTCGAGATCCTCGACAAATCCTCGCTGCCCACCATGAGCGACCAAGACCAGCGCGATCTCCTCAATATGCGCATCGTCGGTGGAGGCGCAATTGGCATCGAAGCCGCGGCCGAACTGTACGATTTGTGGAACGAGGAAATGCGATTCCTGTACCCGCATCTGGACGGGAAACTGACGATTACTATCCATGACGTCGCGCCGGAGATTCTGTCGACCTTTGATGAGAGTTTATCCGAGTATGCTACCAATTCGCTTCAGGGGAAGCAAGTCGAGTTGAAGACGGCGTCGCACATTGAGAGGGTGGGAAAAGACGCGATTTTTACGAAAGAAGACGGGAGGTTGCCGTTTGGGTTGTTGATTTGGGCCACGGGGAATAAGGCTAGTTCGTTGGTTGAGAAATTGCCTGTGCAGAAGCCGGAGAAGGGGTTGCCGAGGGTGCTGACGGATAGGTATCTGAGGGTGTTGGGAACAGAAGGAGAGGTTGTGCAGGGCGTTTATGCGCTGGGGGATGCGGCGGATATCGAGGGGGAGAGCTTGCCTACTTTGGCGGAGGTGGCGTTGCAGAAGGGAGAGTACCTAGCAAAGGTGTTGAATCAGGAGGGTGAGGCAGGAGAGACGAAGCCGTTTGCCTATGAGCAGCAGTCGTTGATGGCTTATTTAGGACGGCATGATGGGATTGTGGGGGGAAAGACGGATTGGACGGGAGCGAGTGCTTGGATTGCTTGGAGGTCGGGGAGTTTGGCTTGGACGAGGAGTTGGAGGAGGAAATTTATGATTTCTATTAGTTGGCTTTTCGTATGGTGGGATGGGAGGGATATTGTGCGGAAATAAGTGGGTATATTAGTTATTCGATTGCACTGTGGCTATATGATTGTTATTTACTTTTCGTGGCTTTATAAGGATTGCCTTTTTTTCTTCTACAGAAGTGAAAACCACTTTGAATAGTGCTTATAAGTAGTTTGGTTACTGCATGTCAGTTCGCTTTGTTCCTAATTCCATCGAAATATGCCAACCAGGGGTGACATCTTGACCGTGATAGTGAGGAGCAAGTTCCCGTCAACGAAAACACGGCATTAAACATGGGAAGCTGATCGTATGAGTTGAATATGTCGTCTTTTTGTTTCGAGAGTATACCCCCACTCCGCAACTCCGTGGAACCCCGATGGTACATGCGGAGTCCACGGCCGTGCCTTTGGTGAGTTTTGGTGGCTGAATGGGACCCCTACGCAAACTTACTGAGGGTCGCTGTAGCTAAACTTTGGTTATATATATCTTAACGAGTTTACATTATCGCCAGACCATGCATCCCCTAGCCGCCTGTGCATCGACTAAATAGTCTGTAATGAACGGTTCCTCTTACTTCTTCCAAAATATCTGTGCAAGTCTTAGTCATCCAGGTAGCCATATCATCCGAAGGATTATACGTGAGATTGGAGGGAGATATTGCCATGAGCATATGGAAAGTTTTTCTTGCTGATGATTTATCATTGTTGCTTTGTGTATGCACCAGATAATACGGCCAAATGGAGGGTATTATATCACATGGAAAGCTAACGAGATTACAAATCAAGAGGTAAACACAAAATCCTTGGATGTGTGTATTATAAGCCCAAGTAATCCCACGGCCTCTCACACTTGCTCCGACAGTCCATGAAGCAATGACTTCCTTATGGCCCACTATTCCATCATTGCTTCACTCCATTATGCTGGGAATTGCTCTCCTTGATCCCACTGACAAAGTGAAAAGTTAGCTCTGGTTGACAGATATAGTAACGCGACATGGACGGTATACGTACGTGCTCAACGATACACCCAGCCTCCCACCTGTACCTGTCCACAATCTCGCCCATTCCACTAACCCGGTAGTTCAACCAGCTTTGCGGGCTCTGGAATTTCGTTCGTAGTACCGTGATCTGTACTGTCGGCCAGACCGGTCCCAGAACGTCCAGGGCGGGTCCGGGGCCATCACCGCTGGCGAAGGGGTTATGGTTCTACATCAAAGGTCCCCAGTCAGCAGCTTTATTCTCTGATAGAAACACTAAGAGGTGTAAAGGTGCATGGGCCACCGGACCCTGTACGAAGCGGCGATATAGGTAAAAGCCTCGGTCAAATTCTTCTTGACCAGAAACGCATTGGCGAATGCTTCAGACCGGGCCTGCGTCTCGTTGACACTGGGAGCCGGAGAAATGGCCACGCAGGGAGGAGGCGTCACGACGGCTTCGGCGCGAGAATCTAGGATTCTGCTAGGTGGGAGGGCGCGGACAGGTGTGCCGACGGTTGGGGCAGCGAGGGCCGCTAGGGGGGCGGAGAGAACGGCAAGGAAGGTGAGGAAATGCATTTTCACGATGTTGAATCTTCACGGAGCGAGCTGGAAACCAGGGCAATCCTGAACTGTTCATGCGATATTGCGCTGGCGACATTTGAGTATTTATATACAAGCGAAGAGCCAGCGACAATATAAATACGAATCACACGCAGCACCATGCATTGGAGACACGAATTTATCCTTTTGGGAGGGTTAATTAAATAATCCGCGCAGCCAAGGATGGGGCAGATCCGGTAGTTGAAAAATGCAGGCGATATTACCGAGTTATGTCATCGATCTAGCCGGTTGATGTCGGTTATATTGCCGTTGCCCCCTTTTAGGTGGAGTGTCCTCGGTGCTGATCGTTGACCGGATTAGGACTGTGTATCGGGTTGTGCAGACAACGTTGGTGCTTTTGGGTAGGAGCTTGGAGGATGCTGATTTGGGCGACTTATTTTGGTCAACCCTGCAGGCACGCCATGCCATAACAGGGTCATGCTATAAGGTGCTGATAACAGCAATATCGGGACGAAGCGGAAATTTGGCATATCTGGGATATGACCACTGGTAACCAACCAGCCCTGCAACTATAGACCGTCTAGGAATTGGATAGACGAGAATCGCGTGCACAAGAAGCTCTACTACCCATCAAGCAAGCACAATGCAGTGTTACCCCGAGTACCGCTTCAGCCTTCTGATCAATATCCGTGGATCCAGATGAGTATAGAGAATACTCATGCATTCCTCTCCACCGTCCCCACTACCACATGATAGTTCAACAAGGCCGGGGCAGGGTCGTGCTAGAAGAAGCAAATAGCACCGAAGTTTGAATCCTGCTGCTGCTACCTTCTCATATGAGTCAGGTCTCCGAATAAAGCGATATATGGATTGCGTGTCACTGCAAATCCCAGTGTCGTTTCCGAGCAATCCATACCAGTGATGCAGCGTTGCCGGGACGGAATTCCCAGCGAGTCAAGCGTTGCCCGTGTGCAATCAAAGCAGAAACCCAGCTTGGTAGTTCCATCCCAGAAGCATCGAAATCACGGAGGGCTTAGTAGAATCAGATCCATTCATCCTTCTCGTTTGATCATTAAGCTCGCAAGCTTCAGATGCATTAAACCTACTACATACGGCAGTCTTGCTCACATATCAAGAAACGGGACGGGAATTTTTATACTCTTAACATTTTTTAGTGTTTTCTAAATTTTCTGCTCTCAGATGAAAAGGCGCGATCGTCATATCATCCAGATCCGCCCTTTCCAATATGCAAGCGGCCAGCCATCGATATGCATGTAGCTCGAGCTCGAGATAGCAAGGCGCAGGCCGCAAAATCCTTAATCCATCATCAATCAATTCCAGGTCCAATTCCTCCGACGACCTCCGTATGCAAATCCACGGCCTCCATACGCCATAGTGTTGTTGACCTGCCAAAGTCAATGTCCATAGATGATTGCTCGTCTTCTGTCCATAATCAAATGCTGTAGTGACTGACGAGATCAATTGGCAACCAATCAATCCTCCCTATATTAAAACCGTGGGTGGCTCCCTCCAGAGAGAAGAGTCAAAGTGGCAAAGAACGCGATTAGCCACGGTCTGGAGAAGGAAAATCGAGTATCGAGCAAAAGAAAAGTATGCAGATCGCGTCGTTTGGTCGATCGATGCGAGAGACCTCTGTCTGATGATGATGCTCTCGACGAACGCAAGGAAAGGAAAGGGAGTGACGATGTTTATCATCAGCCACGACGAATTGAAGAAGTAGTATTGATGAGCATTATGTCGACGATGTCCGGAATATGCCTCGGAACTTCGTAGATGATGCTCGTGCTCAAGAGACGTTGTTCTCGTGGTCCAAAAAGAAAATGCTGATGCGCTGTCGTAGCCACAGTGCGCAGAGTAGAAACCGTGAGCTTCATGCGTGATTAAGGTATCGTCGAAGGTTGGTGGGCGTGAAAGGGAGAAAGCAGGGTACGAGGTTGAGATGTCGAGTCGGAAAGGTGGGTGAGATGATTCAGCCGTAGTAGAAGAATCAGTCGTAGAGTCCAATAGCTGCGAAAGACGAGCAAGCATGCACAAACTCGCCGCCAAGAAAGACCAAAACCAAAAAGAGTTGGTCTGGTCAATACGAGGCTCAAAGCCACCTATTTCATGACCAAAACATCCGCCTTCATCAACTCGGCGGTCCTCAACGAATCCAAATCCCTATCATCGCGCAAACTCAGCGTCGGCACGACAACCAGCATAACGCGATACTGCGAGTACTGCATCTGCTCGGGGCTCATATGCAGATGATTCATGGGTCTCATCTGGCCAAAGCTGAACTTGCTCCCCGTCTCGGGGAAGAAGAAGTGCACCGTGACGCCCGTGCACCAGATCTTGGAGGTGATGGCCCAGGCGGCGTTGACGACGATGCGGATGGACTTGAGGGCCTCGTGTTCGTCGGAGGAGGAGTTGCGGAGGGGGCGCAGGATGTTGAGAAGCGTTTCCGAGTGGCGCTCTACGATGCCCGTGCGGTAGTCTTTGCCCTCGGGGGTAGTGATGATGTGTTGGACTACCTTGGCGTGGTCCTCGATTATGCGTTGGCGTTGCTTGCCTTGGGGACGGCCAGGGCCGGCTGTGAGGAGAAGGATAAGTCAGTATAGACCCTCTTGATAGATGGGTAGGTGAGATTGGAATAAGAAAAGTAAGGGTGTCGAAGTGAAAAGAAATAGGAAAGGAATGGCTCACCACCAGGGAAACGAGAGCGCATCCTCTCTTGCAGGGCACGCAGATGGCTGTCCACCTCAGGGCTGAAACCAAGGAACACTTGAGGCTGAATCATCTTCTTAAAGATGTACTCGACGATCATGCGCTTGATGACATAGTGACGAACGGCCTCCTGGCCCAGCAAGTGCGTCATATGATTGGCACTCATTACGCGATTAGTCAGACCAATAGCCAGGATATACTCCCAAGTCAAGGGCTCGACCTTGGCCAGAGTCACATCGGGCTCTTTGAAGGGAGCGTTGCAGTGCTCGTTGGCGACGTAGCCTTCAACGAGGCCGTAGAGGCGGGTGAAGGCCGCCGTGATATCCTGGTCGTTCCAGTTCTCCTTGTTGCGCGGGATGTAGGTGTCGCTGTAGTCGTCAACGGCTGGGAGGCCTTTGTGCTTGTTCAGCGGGCCGCCGCCGGACTCGGTCATGATGGTGGGCATTCGGCTGAGGTCTTGGTGGTGGGGGTTGAGAGTCGAGTTGTTGCCGCTGTAGCGAGGCATGCCAGCGGGGGCGAAGCCCGAGGGACCGGCAGACTGATTAGAGCTGAAACTGCCGTGATTACGATAACCCATTCGGGTGCCGGGTCGCTCGTTGCGGGAAGGACCAGAGAAGGAGTTGCCGTAGGAGCGTGCATCCTGGGCAGCGTAAGGGCGGTTCAGGTTGGACCGCAGCAGCTCATCCGAGTTGAAGTTCTCGCTGTAGCGAGAATTCTGGGTTGCGCCGCTCTCCTGACTATACTTGAGGAGCATGGGCATCAACGTGGCGGTGTCGGCGTTCTTGTCGGCAGAGTTGTGGCCAGCGAGGGGAGAGTCGGGGACTTTGACAAGCGCCATTGACTTGCTATCCGAAGACATCCGGAGACTCTTGATCTCATTCTCCAAGCCCTGCAATTATGGGTTAGCATGTTTGTGATACGGGGTTGAAGTGGGATTGGGATCATATTGGGAAGTGACAACGCACCTGAACCTGCTTCAAGTGGGACTCATCTTGGCCCTTGAAGCGCTTATTCTGCTCACGAACACGCTTGAGCTCCTCCTGAGCGGAGCGAAGATCCTTCTCGAGTTCCTTGATCTTCTTATCCTGGGACTCTCTGTAACGAGCAAGCTTCTGCAACTCGGCCTGCGATTCACCGACTTGCTTCTTGCGCGCATCAAGCTCCTTCTGGACGCGATCGACCTGAAGACGAGCCTCACCCACCTCGTACTGCATCCCGCGGTAATCCCTATCCACTCGGGTGACTAACCCGTTCAGTCGCTGGCCAGCGTCAACGTGGGACGACTGGATGTTGTCGGCGACGTGAGACGGGACGCCCGGCGTGATGCGCAAGTACTGCATAGCAAGGATGAGTATTTGCTGGATCGCGGCAGATTCCTGAAAAACCGGCTAGGGGCAGTAAAATTAGTTCCCGTCCTAGTGATTGACGCGTGACATGAAACTTACTTGTTGCGAGTTGTCCCGGCCACCACCAGACTGCATCGCCTGCTGCAGTCGGTAGGTGGCAGGCGTACTGACATAAGGCGATCGATTCTGGAATGCCGTGACGGGTCGAGCAGGGCGAGAGGGCGTCTGCGACATGAAGGGATCATTGTCGCGTTTAGGAGGCTGATTGTAGTTACCTTGATTTCCGTAGCCGTTGTTGCCCTGGCCGTTGTTACCTTGACCGCCACTGCACTGGCCAATCTGATGGAAGGCCGAGCTGGCGCGGACGAGGGCCATCTCATCGTCAGTGGGAGAGTCGCTCTTCGATTGCTCGCGGCGACCCTGCTTGGGGGAGGCTGGGATCGAACGAAGAGGTGCTCCTCCACCACTGGAGTCCGAGCTGGAAGATGATGAGTTAGTCATGATGATTTCTGTCCCGCGATGAAGTGATGCCTCGGTGAGGTAGTCCAGTCGCAGAACAGGTAGAAATCAATCCGCCCAGGTCCAAGTCCAGGAAAGAAAACTCCAGATCCCCAAACACCCCCGAGCTGAGCCCTGAATGTGACCCGAGATAGATGTTGCTGAAGGATGATGGGTAGATTCAGGTTGAAGGTTCGGTGGAGGGTGGAGGGTGGAGCTGGGTTGAGGTTTGTGTCGCCGATTAAAAGGTGGAAGGCAGCGGCGATTGAATCATAGGAATTGGCAAGTGCGGCGAATCCCTTGAGTATAAATGCAAAAGGGATTTGTGGGTCCAAGTTGCGTGAAGTGAAGCTGAGTGCTCAAAGACTTGGAGGTGCAGAGGACTTGTTGAGATCCTGAGAGGGCGCCGACATTATTGGTGATGGCAACCACGGGTATAGTCGTTGTGCGCCTCGCACTGTAAGGCACCGCCAAAAAAATAAGTACAGTGCGTGCCACAATGGCAGCACGAACTGTGCAGTATAGAACGACTGGAACTGCGGCACGGACCATAGGATAGCCCGAGGAAACACCGCCATTATCGATAGAAGGTAACAAAGAAATGCCAGTGAATAGGAGTGACTTGAAGATCTTTCCACTTCGCCGAAACATCTCCTCACCCTGATCTCAACAGCAACCTTCTGCACGAAGTTACCCATCACCACACTGCTGCCTACCAAGTGGCAGAGCATTGTGGTGAAGGGCTCGTGAATCACTTGCCCTGGACCTGGGTGCTGAACATCAAAGAAAAGGGTAAAAGGAAGGTGAACTTACAGATCAACAGGGAAAGGCTGGTAAGGTCCAAGGATGGGGGACATCCAATAAGTTGCCGTCATGTCGTCACCCGGGCTTTGTTCGCTCACCGTCTCGACGGTGGGATGCTGGTAGATGGCAGTCTGCAAAGCCTGCAGCTTACGCTCAGTGAGCTGCTCGCGGGCAAATCGAGGTGTGTATCCGGGAAGTTCAAACACCATCTTATCATCGTAAGATGATGTGGCCGTCTCTGGCTGATAAGTGGCAGACGGAAGTGTGGCAACTTGAGGGGTGTAACTGGGAAGATCAAACACCATCCTGTCAGCGTAAGGTGGTGTGGCTATTTCCGACGGATATATTGGAGATGGAAGTGTGGTGAAGAAAATGTTCGAAGCGTTAGGCGGCTCTCTCTTGGAAGAGGTGGGTGGAGTCTTTGTTGGGGACGGCAACAGCCCAAGAGCGGGAGATGACGCCTTTGCAGGGGAAGGTAACATCTCAGCAGCCGGAAATGAAGTCTGCGCAAGGGAAGGCGCCATATTCACAGCAAAGCGTGAAGCGTTTGTGGGGCAAGACAACATCTCAGTGGTAGGAACTGACGTGGTTGTGGAAAAAGGCCCCATATTAGCTGTGGAGGAAGGCAGTGTCTCAGGACAGGAAGATGAAGCATTCCCAGCAGAAGGCACAATCTCAGCAGCGGAGTTTGCAGTCTGCGCAGGAGAAAGCACCATACCAGTAAGAGGGGAGAAAACAGCTGCGTTGGGGTTGAGGGGTCGAGAGTGAGTGCTGCTGGATACGGTGCTTCTCGCAGGGGTATAAACCGGAGCAGCAGCATTGAGCCGGGAAGTCGTGCTCTTCAAGGTGGTGCTTTGATCTAGGGAAATAGGACAAGCGGCAGGGTTCAGTTGTGAAGGAGTGCTCACACCGACAGTGCTTTGCCGAAGAGAGAGGACAGGCGGAACCATGTTGCGGGTCCAGCTAGTGGTGCTGGAATCAGTCTTCTGATCCATTGAAAAGGGTTGCGCAGCTACATTGAGCTGGGATGTGGTGGTGTCCGAGGTGGTAGCATCGACCGGAGAGAGGGCAGGAGGCCACGCATTGCGGCTCAAGGTAGTCCTGCAGGGGCTGCTGCTCCTTATTGGCAATGGGGCGGGCGTGGCAACAAGGCCACCTCCAAGATCACCACCTCCAGGAAAGTGAAAAAACCGTCGCGCACTTTGCTGGGAATGGGAAGGTTTAACCTTGCTGGGTAGCATTGGCGGCGATAGGGGCGAGGCCTCGGAATTGTCGATGGCTCTATGGTTGCAGGCCTGTGAATGAGGTGCGCACTAGCTTGGCTTTTCATTTGTTGATGGTGGAAGTAGAAAGCTGAGTGATGGGAAGGGAAATGTGACTGAAGATTGGGGAGGGGGGAAGTACGGGGCACGTTAATCGGTAGCGTTGCCTCGTAATTGGGCGGGTGCGATTGGGATCAGGAAGGGCAAAGGGAAGAAGATTGCCGGGCTCGCTACAAAAGAAGATGGAGTAAATACCTGACGAGCTTCTCAGAAATCATACACTGCAGATCTATTTGGAGTTGTATTGTCGCGGTTCTGCGCAGTGAAAGTACATCAGCTTGACTTCTACTGAAAGAAGGTAAACAGAAAATGCAGGAATGCGATAGAAAGGGTGAACAGGATGTGACTAGGGAGGACTATGGGATGCACTCTTCTGTATCGTCACTCCGCTTTCAAGTCCAGAAGACAGCGATTACAACCAAATCTGGAGAGATGTGATAATCTGGGATGGCAAGTAATACTTTGGTGATATTCTTCATATAGACCATTGGCAGCTGCATTAACAACGGCGGAGTAGCGGAATAAGTGGCATAATCGCTCGAGAGAATAATAGGGTAACTAAGGAAGCCCATTGGTATGGTCTATCAAAGCAAGAACTCTTCTCGGCGACAACAGACTGACAATAACTCAAGGCCATGTGGACCGAGCCTTCCATGCGTAGGCATCCAAGACGTCATCTCGAGCCTCGTCTCACAATATTCCATCAAGCTCGCCATCACTACCATACTTCATGGCTGTCTCCTGGCCTTTGAACAAGTCCAGTTGCGCAAGTGACCACATCAAGATAGCAGTGGCGAGCATACGATTATGCTAAAGCCATTTGAACCATGAACAAGCAGCAAGGCCATCAGAGAAGTCTGTCTCGGCACCGAGAGGGTGGAAGCAAGAGTATATCCAAGAAGAGACAGTTTGGTTTGTCCCAGGCAAAGTCAAAGCAGCAAGAAGCGTCGAGGACCACTGCTGTCACTGGAAGCGTAATCAGGATACTCCAAACATTCAGCACTGCTTGTCCGTGAGCCAAACGCCGAACAACAGTCTCGAGAAATAGGTAGATAGATGGCTTATGGGCTAGACATGGTATGAACAATCGGGAGAAATGGTAGAACAAGAGGCGAAGAACACTCGGGATTGTTACGTTGAACTACTGAGAAAAAAGGAAGAAGAAAAAGGAAAACGTGAAATCCGAATAGGCCCGGAGCATTGTGTGCCAGTACCCAAACCCACTGTTTACAAGTTCGGAGAGTTGGTGACGTTGTTGGACCTTCAAGGCCGTACGGCCACCTAACGTACGTTATAGGCCACGATGACCACCACCCATCGTACCACATAATTTCTGCCTGCGAGGCATCGTCGTTCATTTCTACGTATATAAGGCCCTTGTGACCACATTACACCCTTGTGAAGAAGATGATCCACAGAGATCTATACACTTTCAATGCTGCAAAATTTGCACAATTAATCCAATAGATGTATGGAGGAGAGATGGGACGCCGTAAAGAATCGGGAGTGATGGTACACTAGGTATATCCCCAAGACAAAGTAGCGAAGGAGCGCTCAGGGTCGCTACTTTGAACTGCTCTGAGATGGGGATAATGAAGCCGGGGTGCTTGGGCATCGGGTAATATTCACCAGCACGTCAGAACATCGTTTCGTGGCTCGACGGATAGACGTCTGGTGGAGAGAGTCAGCTTGAAGACTCGGACTCGAAAAATATGAGACATAGGCAGGGTAAAGCGTGCAGAAAAAGTGACGCAGAATTGCATTTGGGTTGTTACTCGAATTGTTTCAAAGCAAAAACTGGGGGAAGATGGAGAATGATGGAGGGTTGCGGATTGAGTAGGGCCGCAGGCGAAGCCACCATTACCATAGCTAGGCCAGTCTTCCCGCTTGCGGTATCTCGAGGCCATAATTACATGGGATCGACAGCGAGCTTTCACGTGGAGGACGCTGACATTGGCATGCATACAAAAAGCGACAGAAACACGGCAGTGGACGATGCGAACCGCATACCGAAGGAATGAAGAGGTTGTTTCATAAGGGGGCAGGCACAGAGCGAACCATAGTACCATCAATCACCAAAATTCAAGCAATAACATCAACTAGTCTGTTTAGTACTGCTATCACGTTGTCTAATACCTAACTCTGTCCTTCAGGGAGGACACGCTGCTATGATTTCAAGTTTCTGCGCTGCCAACCATCACGATGATGTGAAAAATGCAAATCGAAAGGCCGCCGCCGAACGCCCTATAATGGAAGAAATACTGCTATGGGATTGATGAATGGAGATGCGCTCCCTCTGCAAGCTTCTCGTTCTGCTGCAGTAATCAGTGTGAAGAACCCCTCAGCGCGTTCTCCGAAGTGGGAAAGAAGGGGAAAACCGATCAAACGCCTCAATGCTGATGGCCCTGGAATTTTGCTGTTCATGGTAAAGATATAGTACTTGATGAGAGGAGTGGGTGTGATGTGCTGCTCTTCGCGAGAGGCCGTGGCCATGACCGAGGTCTAGGATCCATGTCAGCAGGGGTGTCTTAACCACAGTTGCAGTGGGGTGGACAAACCCGACTTAGATCCTAGAAGGAACATATTTCAGGCCATATTAGCATCTCAGATAGCCTTGGTGCGTGAAAACAAACTGCTGTAGACGGCATCCACAACAGGTGCGGCGCTGATCATGCGTCCGCCGAAGTACCGGCCGTTCAAACCCTTGATGGCGTTCTCGCCGCCTTGAACCTTGTCGAACTTGAGGTATATGTCGCCCTGGGAGTTGGGGTCGAGCGAGATATGGACCACATGGCCATACTTCTCTTCGGCTTCCTGTCTAACGTCATCCTCCAGTTCCTTGACCCAGCTTTCACCTTCTTCTCTGTGGCGGATATTAGTAGAGGTCGCGGCGATTCCAGAGAAGGGGGAATGTACTCATTTGGATCAAACATGTTATGCAAGACAACACAACGACTTGCCATATTGACATTGACGGGCAATGGCTTAGTCTCTGTTTTAGGCTTGAGAATCTGTCTCTCATCCCGACCAGGGGCGGGGGCGTCATCGGTTCTAGCAAGCTTGCGCATCAGAGCGTCGCGACTGTAGTTGTTAAAGTTGACGCCGCCGACATCAGTGTCGTCCAAGGCACTGGCACCAGTCGCCTTGTCGTTATCTCGGCCACCGGCGCGATCAAACCCACTAGCTTGTTGGCCGCGTCCACCGGCGCCCGAAAAGGCAGATCCCTGGAATGGTTGGTTTTGGCCCTGGAATCTCTGTAGGAGATTGGCAGTTGACTCAGGGGTGAACTTATCGTTTCCAAGTCCGACACGGATTGGTCGACCGGCGAGATCAAACCCGTTCATCTTCTCGAGAGCCTCACGAGCTTGGTCAGCTTCACGGAACCTTATGTGGCATTAGCTTTCAGTCATCAAATGTGGGAAAGGACGGCAACTTACTGTACAAACCCATAGCCACGGCTCCTACCATTGTCGTCTTTCTGGAGTTGAACGAACTCGAGCTCGCCGAAGGGCTCGAAAACATTTTGCAAGTCTGTTTCTGTGATGCTAAAGTGGATGTTGCCCACGTACAAGCGGTGGAAAGGAATGGAGTTGGCGTGGGTGCCAGAGCCCTCGGTAGTGCGGACTTGCCGGTTCTTCTCAGCCTCGGTAAGCTGTACAATGACCGGGATACCTAGGAGTTTTTGACCTGTGAGCTGAAGAGCAGCAGTGACGGATTCTTCGTTCTTGAATTCAACATAGCCCACCCTGGGAAATGGCCATTAGTAAACATACTACAACAAAATAACGTGGGAACGATGAACAGAATAACGTACCCCTTGGATCTTCCGCTTATGCGATCCTTGACGATCTGGGCCTCGTTCACGGGTCCAGTCTTCTCGAAAAACTCCTTGAGGTCCCTGGTTCGGAGACGGGCAGCAAGCTGCTGTACAAACACGGTTCTGCGATCACGCTCGTCTTCCGTCAGCTGGGGAGTGGCATCGCGCTTGGGAGTTCGGCCATTGTGGGGACGATCATCATCCCTGCTGCCCCGGTGATGGTTGGAGCGGTCATCACGACCACCATCGCGCGGGCGATAATATCGATTGGGGGAGCGGGAGCGAGAGCGTTCTCGTCCTCCGCCTCCGCCGCGGCGGCTGCTGCGGTAGAAATCTCCGTCGCCTCCTCTGTGACGTCGTGAGTGTCGACGGTCATCATCGCGGCTCCTGCTTCTGCGCCTACTCTTGTGACTACCGGTGTCGCTACGCGGGGTAGCCTCCCGGCCCTTGTCATCACCACGGTCCCGTCGGTCGCGGTCAAAACTACGGTCGCGGCGCTTGCGATCGTGGTCGCGTTCTCGGCTGTCATCGCGGGCGCGGTCGCGGTCCCGCCGCACGCTACGATCCGACTTCAAGCGGTCATCAGGTTCTTCCGACTTGGCTTCCCTTGCATCATTCTTGGGGTTGGCAGTGGCATCAAGCAGTGCCTCAACGTCGAGGTCGGCCATCTTTGAGAGAGAGTCAGAATCGAGAAAAAGAAACTGTTTGATGGAGATATCTCCCTAGTCCGTACGTCGCTACAAGAAAGACAAGAAAGATCGCCGGCAAAGGTGTCGAGGCAATGGGTGTCTAGAGTTCGAACGAAGGAGGAGGACACGATGGGGTTGTCCTTGGGCGGCTGACAATCCCGCTGTCACTGGAACAATGCAACTTTTCTGATGGCTGGAGATTGACAAATGGAGTGAGGTTGAAATCTAGCTAGCGAAGTTGGCGCTCGAAGAAACCTTCGGAAGGCGCCAAGGTCGGCCTTACCTCGGACAAAGCTTTTGTCTGTCGGATCAGGTATACGGCAAGCCTTGGAGACAATGACACGACAAGCCAACGGGAAGGTGAATTTAGATGACAAGTGTTTCAGTTTACATGGATACCTGTAAACAGATTATAGTAGCCAAATACAGGGGTAAAATTGGAACAGCGGCTTGATGGAGCTCATTGCTAAGGGCTAGGAGGACAGATAAAACTGGCACCTTCTCGCAGACTTGCCTCGAGATCGTGTCACTGTTTTAGGTCGAACCAAAGCGAAAGATTCAAAATTTAATTATATGGTTCTAAATAAATGGATTATAGTAGCCAAACACCTGGTTACGATCACCAGGACGGCCTCATGTAAACCTCACTGGTAAGTGCCAACTTCGAAGCAATCAGATAAACCGGCATTTGCCGGCAGACTAGCCTCGAGATGTTACCACTACAAGTCGAGTCAAGGTGAAGTAGAATCGAAATTAGTATCGAAATTAGTCATTATTGTAAGCCCAGCAGGGTGAGTAACTCCCTATGTCCATCACGACCTCTGGGAGCTATCCCATCCAAACGCCACCAATGCCAGAGGTATTTTCATCTCAGTCTTGGTCATTCATACTGTTCCAGCCCCATTCCTATATATACATACACACCGGGGGTGGGAGGGGGGAATTTCTCCGGAATGAGAGAAATACCACGTCCGATTACGCATTCTTGCCCACATTCAGGTTCAGCTCTGTGCCAAATACCCTGTCCCAGAAGCGGCTGGTGACGCCGAAGCCGTTCTGATAGTCTAGGAAGTGGTGAGCCAGGTGGTGCTTCTTCAGCGACTTGTACCACAAAGGCAGGTTTTGGTGGTGGATGAAGTAGTGCGTCAAGTCGTAGGCGACGTATCCAAAGATACCGCCGCAGAAGACGCTGGTGCCCATGTGCCAATTCCAGTAGAATACGGTGTGGGCCAGCTTCCAGAATGGGGTTGCGAGCACGAGAAAGAGGGCCGGCGGCATGACGAGTCGGTACTTGTCCATGGGCAAGTAGTGGTGTACGCCGTGTAGTAAAAAGTGCATGGTGATGGCTGCTCGGTTGTCGGGAAGCCATCTGCAAAGGGGTTTAGCTTGGTCCTGGGAGGATTGAACAAGACAGGGGAAACACGTACTCGTCAAGATGAAATAGGAATCGGTGAAGAATGTATTCGATCAAAGTCCATAGCGCCACGCCGGAGATCCAGCACACAGCTACTTGCGACCATCCGGTGAGCCCCTCCCTCGAGATGAAGGTGCCGTATGCGACTAGCGGTAACCAAATCGTCGGTACCACCCACCACGGCGTCAAGCTGAGTGGTTCAAGGAAGTTGCCAAACAGAGGCGCGCTGGCTCCGCCCTTGTAGTGTCGTGGCCGATGTACCTGATCCAGGTAAAACTCCTTGCTGAATCCGCCAAACCATACCTGCAACAGAAGCGGCTTGCTCAAGTCGAGAAACCTGTGCTGCTTATAATCCTTCTCCAGATCCGTCTCCTTGGTCAAGTCCTCCGCGCAACTCATGCCCGTCCGCGGGTGCACGAACTTCGTGACCTCCTCGTTGGTTTGGGAGTCGACTATTTGCGTCTGGACGTCGTGGTTGGGTACTATCTTGTCGTTGACGAGGAAACCAACCTGGCACTCTTCTATCATCTCGTAGGCAGAGTCGGAGTGCGTGTGCGAGTCTTCATCCTTGAGGATGCTGGTGACGTCTTTTCCGGCATATTCGAGAACCAGTTCGGGACCGCCGGGGTGCGACTCGACGAAGTCGGTTATGTCGTAAACATTGGCACCGAGTGTGACGTAGCAAGACTTGGCAGTATTGTGCGCCTCGAACTCGGAGCGCGTCAGCGTTGGGAATGTTCGACCCGGCATCGTGAATGAAGTGCCTTGTTGTGGTTGGGGTCGCGGAAAGTTTCCGGCGGAAGGTTTTCAAGATGCGTTTTCAAAAGGATGCGATTTTGCGGTCTGCAGGGGTCCGGTCCAGGCTTGAAATCTGAGCGGCGCCCAAGTGCCCAAGTCTGCGTAAAGTGCCGAAGCTGCAGGACGACGGCGGGTGCAAGTGCTTATGAATATGCACTGGAGGAAGCCAAGAAGGAAGCAAACAACTCAAGTTTGACCTTGCCAAATTAATTGGTAAAAAAACAGACGGGAAGCAGAAGTTGAAGAAGTTGAAGAAACAATCTGGTGATCAGATTAGGGGGATTGGAATGATGAGCAATCTTGCACTTAGACGAAATGAAAGCCGGCAGCGGGGATCGACGCAAGGTCAAGTGGCGTTACTGGCCAGAAGTACGGAACGGTCGGGTTCCATTGGCACGGTTTTCAACGCCAAGTGGGCTGACAGTGGTGCGACGACCTTGTTGTGGCTGGTGCTTCTCGGGCTTTGTTGTTTCTTCGCAGCTCCAGAGAACACATTGTACTTGGAAATTGTCATCTCCTCAACTCCCCGAAAGGCCGAGCAAGAGGCGACATGTTCCGCTTACCAAGATGTTTCATTCGATTGCTCACCGACCGTGTTTCTCATTCAATTGGTGAGCATCCTTTCTCTTGTGAAGTAGCAGCAATTTGAGGTTACCCTGGAGTCGGTCTGGATCTAATGACAACTGTACAAGCTTCAACCGTCTGCTCTACTGGTCAAGTACCACTACTCACATTGTACTAGATGAATGGTTAAGTACACTTCAAAACATGGGAAAGTTTCCGTGAGATATGGTTTATCAACTATTGGGTAGGGTGATTAGACTACGGCCCTCTCTGCTCTAGTCTGCATAAATCCCAGAGTCCTGCCACTCATTGCCAATTGAATTCGTCTATGTACCTCTCCCAAGGAATATCTCAATGCACAGGGTATCTATCTTATAAACTCAACATGCCATGCCACAGCCTTCCAAGGCAAATCAATACTCCAGTTCATGCAACACAACGCAACGCAATGCTAGACCAGCAGACAATATCTCGCAAATCGCAGCCGCCCGATTCCAGTTCCAATCAACCATGCAACGCCCTAGCCGTCCCTTATGTCTTCTGTGTGTTCCAAACTTCGTAAAAACCTCGGTATCGATGTCGCGCGTCTTTATGACACGTGCCCTTCCACGATCTCCTATTCTCTTTCCTGCCTGCCTAAGCAAAAGCATGCCAAATATGATGCGCAATAGTAACCCCGAACAACACATTCCCCTGCAACTCATACGTAAGTCCTGTCATATCTCTTGTCCAAAGGCCCCAAAGTAGGGCAAGAGTAGCGAGAACCTGGGTAATACCCAGATTGACCGACGATAGGGCAAAACTCGAAGGTATTCTCCCCTCCTTAACTTGCACATCATGTAGCAGATCGCCCGCTAATCGAACGGAAATGAGAAGCAATACTATAACGGAGCTGACATCCAGAAAACGGGCGTAGTCCTTGTCTGTCCCCAAAGCGGCGATCCAGGCGTAGAGCGCGCCGAGCAGCACGGCGAGCTCCACCTGGCGTGTTCTCCTGTCGTTCTGCAGCTCATTGACTGGTCTTGCGTCATTCAAGGGCCTGGCATCATTCGAGGACCTCGGCCTACCACCAGCGTTCGATGAGAAGGCTAACTCATCAGGACTGGGACTGATGCTAAAAGACCCAAGGATACTTGTCAGACCATCCCTGGGATCGTCAGCCGGTGGCGGCGCGTAAAACTTGGGGTCTTGCAGAACGAGACCAGAGTCACTGTCTTTACGTCCCGTGCCCAAATCCAGGGGTCGCTTCGGAGAATACCGAAAGATACTTTCTTTAACCTCTTTTGGACTTTGGCGTATGACCGGCCGTGGCGGGTTGCGCGCCCTCTGGGCAGGGTTCGTAGGTGCTGGTGGGATCTTGTACCAGAAAGGACCGGGCTTGGGCTCTAGCGGGGCGTCGTTGAAGCGAGGATTCGGATTCTTGATTTTAAAAGGATTGTGGGTGCTAAATGCTCGGTGCTGTGAGCCCGAGGGCGACCAATCCATCTCGTCCGCATAGACCGGTGGTTGTTGAGGCCCCATTCGACCCGGTGTGGGTGAATCAGAGAGGCTTAGAGATCCAAGGGCGACCTGGGGATGATGACGTTGAGGTAATGCACTGAATGATGTGCTCTGCGCGGGGCTAGGTGCTTTATACAGCTCTCGATGGCTCGGGCGAAAGTGTGATATGGGTGGAGAGACCACGTTCTCCATTGGCGCTGATTCTGCAGCAATATCGTCCAAGATGTTGCCGAGGTCGCTTGGGTCCCTTTCTCGTACATGCTCTTGCGGTGAGCTTTGCATGGATCGGGGAGGACGGCTGGAGCCGAATAGAGGAGTTGTGTCTGTGTGAATGGACTTCTCCGCGACTTTATGTAACTGGTAGCTTTGTTAGTAGTGGTAGCAGCCAAATCATCAAGTTGATCGAACTCACGTGGAGCATGAAAGAAGCTATGACGATGTGGGCACCGAGTTGCGCCACTGTCGACATTCCTTCGCCCTTCGAGTCCGAGTCCGTAGACTGGGAAATGAAGAGACAGGCGCCTCGAATGAACAAGATGACTAGTTGGTATGTGTACCACCGTCGAAAACCAAGTATATGTGAGGTGAAACCTCGGATTGACTGCTTGAATCTGGGGTTCCATGGAAAAGCGCACATGCTCATGTTCACGGCCCATTTCATGAGTCGCTCTGGCGAAGGTGAGAGGTTCATACCGACTGCGCAGGCCGCCGTCAATGTCTGCAATGCCCGAGAATCGCTTTTGTTTTGCGAAGCGTATCTGACGAAGAGGGCGAGAAGTACTGTAATGTGCCACAGAAACTGGATGACAAAGGCTATGTGCCAGCTCCACCTGCCCGCCGTGTCGACGACATCTAAGAATCCTCGTCGTTTCACCGTCTGTAGTTGCTTTTCCGTCCGGTCCATCATGCGTCTAAGATGATCCGTCTTTGCCGTGTAGCTCGCAGCGTCCAACTTTTCCCGCACCTTCGGCTCGCACTTGGCGCAGACCTGCGGGTATCTTTCCTCAAGACCCCTCCTCCACTTGCGGTAGGCCCGCTCCCTCGTCGCATACTCTGGGTCTTGGGGATCATCGGGGAATTCATATTGCCTCAGCGATTCCGTTACCAATCGCTGGTTTCTCAAGCAGGTCGCGCAGAATATCGGGTCGTCTGGTTCGGGCGACAACGAGGACATCTGTCTCGGGGCGCTCGAAGCTCGAGATACGGCGTACCGAATGCGATCATTTTGCGCTGCAGGAGCGGGTGGGTCGGTGATTTGTCCTTGCTACCATCAAGTCAGCTCACCTCCTTCCAAAATAAGCTCATACCTAGATCTTCGGGTCCCACGCACCTCATCTAGCCAATTCGTAGCTTCACAATGCGCGCAGTCAAATGACCGCTGGCCCTCGAACTTCAGGCTGGACCTCTTGCCGCAATAGAAGCAGCTCAACGCCTTCCTCGATCGAAGCACGGGCATCGCATCAAAACTCAACCCAGCAGTCCAGTAGCAACTTGTCTCATCAGTATCGATGCTTGGTACCCTTCTCGTCGTGTCGTAGCGAAAGAATCGTTAACCCGAACACAAGTAAAGTTGAACTTTCTCGTTGTTTTGCCGGGCGGTAAGGAGTTAGCGGTGATAGGTGTCCACTGCCAGTTGCTGGGGAAAGGGCCGTGCGCAGCCAGCCGCTGGGACCCCACGTGGTAAAAGGCGCTAAGGACACAAGAGTGGGTGGGTGGGTAAGTTCTAGACGTCCACCTAAATCTTTTGGTACTGTTCTCTCTCAATCAAGTCTTGACAGCTTGCTGCTCTCAACGACAAGTCAACTGCGAAGAAGTCGAATTTGCGTACCTCAATTTGGCCGATGTTGTTTATCGCCGCTTTTATTCAATCCTGATTTGGTACGAGGAACTGACAAGAAATCAAGGTGAGTTAAAAATTTCTTCGGTCGTGTTTGAGAGTCTTTTTTGGTGCACGAACTGTTGTTTCCAATGATGCTGGGATGTCGGTTGTGGGTGAGGCAAGCCGCCAGGGAAATATTGAGCTTTGATGCGCCAGGTTGCACAAGTGTGCACAGTATTCAAAACACGAGTTCGGCCTTCATTCCCCACGTTAGCAACCATGGACTGTGCAGCCACCAGCATCCAGGTCCGACAATCAGCACCTGCCTAGCGCTGGCTTGTTACCACAAGCGTGAGAACTTATTCAGTCAAAAGCCCACATCCCCGATTTTATTTCTACCCCATCTTTGTTCTCTAGCCCAGATGTTACAGTTGACGTCAAATTTTCATGGTTCACATCACCCCTTTTATCTTTGACAAGATTTGTCCAGGGACTGTTGGTATAAGCCAGGTCAAGCATTGGACCTGGTGGAATCCTTCAGATGTGTATCTGTGACTATAACTTGTCACCATCAAGCATGGCACTAAGTCGTGTTTGGATGCTAGCTCAGAACTGGCTATGCTACTTTCTGGGTGGTCACGGCGTTCAAATAACTACGTTGTTTACTTTTCTGGTCTGTTGTTCCCATGTTGATCACATTCTTGGTTTATCACGCTCATCTTGTTTACATCCCTGGAATATAACGTTCAGACTGTCTCAAAGGAGAAGACTAATATGTTACCTTAGACGGAAACTTTGTCACTGCCATTCAACGTAGCTCATATTCAGCAACCAGTGCATTGAGCTGAAGAAGCATTTCAGTCATTTCGTCTCAAGATACCCTAGAAGCCTGATAGGGATGACATACTGGACTCTATCTGTCTCAGTTGAAGCCATCAAAGCAATCAGTTCACACCACGTCGTCACAATTGGCTGCTAACAGCTCGGGGCGAGGAAGATATCGCTCTGGACTGCAGAGTGACCACATAGAGGAAGGTCTCGTATAGAACTGTCAGCTCAGAGACAGCCTAAGCTGTAGCAAGCCAGTCTCAGTGCCCTGTTGCTAGTGTCTCGTCAAGGGGACATACTCACTTCACTCATCGTTCCTGACACGTATGAGTAGAATGCGGCACACTCTGTTTCTTCCTGGGAGGTAAACTGGATACTGGATTGAGATACGAGTGTCCAGAGGCCCTTTACCTTTGTAAACTTGGGACGAGGACTCTTCAGTTCTGTAGACAGCTCACTTCCAGCTCAAGACCAGAAGGAAGTTGTATAACTGGCTGTCCCGTCACAGTCGGCCACGAAACTCAGCACGCAGTCGACAGATACCCTGCGACAGTTTCCACTTTTCCTGCGTCATGGCAGATAAAATATCCCATATGGAGCAGGAGCGCCGTTTAAAAGAAGACTTGCATAACCACCCCTTTCCCGTCAACCCATCTGTTACGGAAAACTCGAGTACTTCCATCTATGGGCATCATCAAGAACCAACATCTGAACAGCCACGAACTACGCTTCAAGAATCCCCAAGCAACCAACGACAAGAGCGCAAGACGGAGAAGGAGAATGTCTTCGGTGTTGCCAAGGATCAGTCCTTTTCGGCCACAGGCCTCCTTGGACCACCGCTCTTTCTCTTCGTCACGTGTCTCGGTCTAGGAGTCGCCACCGTGTTCACTGTCTTCGCATCGGCTCTGTCCTGTTTCCTCTTATCCGTGGTCGCCTGTTGTACGCTTTTGACGGCCATGGCGATCTTCGGACTTTCCGGATACTCGGTACGTTTCAGGACATCGGTAGTGATTGCTGTATGTTTACTGACATTGAAAGTAGGTCTTCCAATTGATCAAGGTCTCGCGGGACCTGACCTCTACGGTACGAGACTATAAAACGGTGTTCATGCTTATGGGTTTCACGGGAGGCTACGTGACTTGGGTAAGAGTTGAAGCTATTTTGACCTGGGCGAAGCCATGGACTGACTTTTGAGCTAAGTTCTGTTACGTTGCCGGATGCTGGGTTTATGAGGGAACTGAGCCGGGTAACTCGTTCTACCTTTACACCACGACTGTGTTCCTGGCCTTTCCCATGATCGCAGTGGTATGATTCCAAATGGTCCCTATACAAGGCAAGATGCTAAATAGGTTATTTAGTCAAGACACCTCAGTCTCACCGGGAAGCGCCGCGCCAAGAAGCCGGTCAGATCCGGTCACGGCGCGTCGTTGACACTGGACTATCGCCTCTATGTACTTGGCTCTGGTGGTCATACTGCAGAGCTTCTTGGAATGATTTCACGAAAACCGGCCACAGGAACCAATGTATTTCGTCGCTGGGTTATCCACAAGGGAGACACCAGGTCGGTGACAAAGGTCGAAGAGTTTGAGAAGAGACTTGCACATCAGCATGGCGTTCTTGCGGGACGTTTCGACATTGCATATGTACAACGTGCTCGCGAGATTCACCAGAAGTGGTTGTCTGTCCCCATTACGGCGTTGCTCAGCGGAATAGACGTGCTCAAGGCCCTGTCTACTGGAATATCGAACCCCGAGCGCGAACCAGGCTTCATCTACCCTCGACTGATCGTCACGAACGGACCGGGAACCGGCTTTGTCGTCGGCTTGATTGCTTGGTGCCTTAAGCTCATCTTCATCATCCCTGCGGAGCGTTGCCGCATCGTCGTTGTTGAGAGCTTCACGTGCGTTGACTTTCTGAGTCTTACCGGACGAATGTTCTACTATTCCAACATCGCCGATGCGTTCATCGTTCAGTGGGACGGGGTCCACGAGCAGTATCCCGGATCTCGCCTGATCAAGTTGTTAGCTGCATTTGGAGACGCCACAAAGGACCCCGCCTAGTCTCATCAATGCTCGGCCTCTCTCGACAAGGCTTGGTTCATATCAGCAAAGCTGATGGTATCAGCATGGCTTAGTCTGGTTGAACCAAGATTTTCGTTGACATAGATAAGGTGTAAAGGGTTTCTCAGATTATAAGGGTTACACAAATGCAGTGGATGGACCCTGCTTCCCCCAAAGACGCATTTGCACAGGGACTTTGTGGAATGGATGAATGGCATGGAAAACATTAAAAAAGGGTGCGCCCTACTTCTACCTACCGATGTAGTTAGGCCATGCTACTTGAATTTCGGAGTAAATGCAATTGAGACTCTCGACGACACTATTCTTCTTCAAGATGCGAAACTTTGACAGGACTGTCAATTACAGCACACAACTTGGGGACGTGACTATGCTGTAACTTGTATTCTTGTTTTCCAAGCCCAGTCCGTGGACGCGTCTTGTGTCCTTGATACGGTGCCAGATTTCCTCGTCCGTTAGTGATCCATTTATTCTGACATGCGCTGTCCCCGAAGACTTCGAATATCGCAGGATTTTGCTGATTTGGCCAAATCGTGTCTTCGCTGATATGTACACATGTAACTCAGACAGCACACTGTTGCTTCGCACTACGATTCGAGTCCAGCTGAATATATCCTTATGCCTTCGCGTACTCCGCCTCCAATTCGAACATCTCCCCAAATAGCACCATCAATTCCTCCCCCTCCCCACTCCCCAGAGGCAACAGCGGTCTCCTCGGATGCGGCCCATGCCCATGCAGTTTGTTCAGCACATACTCTACACACCCAGTCAGCTCCAAACTCCAGGATAACAAGACATAACGCCAAGGTAAAACAAATAGAAACACTTACTCATCCCCCTAACCCCCGCCGGGACCGCTGCTACGTCCGCCCTAGACAACACGGCCTGTATCCTCTTGGCCTCATTTTGCTCATCCTCGCTCCAATCAGACTTGTTCAGCAGCTCCCACAACCTCGCCGAAGCCGCAGGCGCAAAATTCGGGATCCCGCTCACGGTTCCGTGGCCGCCGTTCTGCATCCAGGGCGTCAAGTCGGCTATCAGCCCGTCGAGGAGGAGGAAGGGGTAGGGGCGCTGAGCGTTGATCGTGGGATCGGTGCTTATGGCTGCGGTTAGACGGATGAGTTTGGAGATGCTGCCTCCGCATCTGTTATATGCGGGATGGTCAGAGGTTGGGATCTGGAAGGAGAGTCTCGAAGGGAAAGGAGGGAGGACAGAGAGACGGTAGAGGACATACGTTAGCTTGACGCCGCAGAGATTTGTGGTTTGTCGCATTACGGCCTCGATCTGGGCGGACGAAATGTCGAGCCCTGCGGCGTTAGAGGGGAAGTTGTAGAGGAACAGAGGGATCTGGAGTTGATTAGCAAACTTCTCGGACCTTGGAGGCCATGGGGTGTACCGGCGAGCCATTGCAGATGTCGACGTAGTACTGTATGATTTGCTCTGCGTCTGCAGCAAGGCTGGCTGCGTAGTATGCCGGAAGAATCACGAGTCCGGCGTCTCTATAGCAACCGATCAGTTCCGTCGCAGCGAGTATCGCAGAGACTGTCAAAGAGCGGCTCACGCTCCAGCAGCTTCGGCATCTCGCGCCAGCTTGATGGTCTCTCTCGTGCTTGATCCTCCAACGCCGGCCACAATAGGAGTCGCATTCAGACCGGCCTCGTCGAGTGTGGCTCTGATGAAATGGATGAGTTGAACACGCTCATCATGGGTCTTTGGAAACAAGTTAGTCGTCCGTTCCGATCAAAGATTTGACGTCTTGTTGCACGCACCAAGTGGACTGCTTCGCCCAGAGAGCCTGCACAAACGGGAACTTGGACGGGTGTGAGTACCGGTCCACATTTGATATCGTCAGTCGCAACGTACCAATCCCCTTGGTTGCGAGATCTGTCGGCGTGAAAATTGTTAGCGTATCCACTATACATATATCAACATGACGAATAGTGAGGACACAACTCACTCAGTAAATGACTTTTATAACTAGCATAATCAATTTCCTGCTGCTCGGTAAAGAATGTAGGCAAGGGGCCGTATAAACCCGGCTTGAGCGATCGGGGACCCATAGTGCTTGTTTCAATCTTCCGATATTCGGTATCCGTGTCAGGTCCTATGAAAAGCCGTGGGCTATTCCGCATTGCCCTGAGTAGACCCGTGGCAATGGTTACACCAGTGTCAGCTTGAAGTGTGGTTCAAGGATGATATTGTAGCCAGAGCGCGGCCTTATAGTGGATCTCCGCAGCCAAGTCCTTCGGCCAATCTACCGACCCGCCGCATCATCTCTTATCTCGACTCTCCATACCCACCCGCATCCACTTAGTGGGTACACTTCGTTTTGCATTAGTTTTGGGAAAAGGTACGCACACCTCATTCCAAAGTTCCGTTACATGATTCATGGTCCCCCGGGCAGCTGATAGGGCAAATGCGACTGATTAGCTCCGATTGGCAAGACAGTGGAGTTTGCGATTCAACCCAGGAAGGATCATCTATCACTACGCCGGGTGGGGGGATGATGCTTGCTGAAAGGCTGTGAGAGATATTACGGATTCGAGGATTCGCGGTGAGGGGACAAGATGGCAAATGGGCCATGGAAATCTTCGACAATGGGATTTGCGGGTCGGGTTGTTTGATTGATGGAGATCCCAGTGTTGTCGCAATGAACCGAGCAGTATGTGAGCGGCGTAGTAGAAGTAGTAGTAGTAGTAGTAGTGGGGCGATTATGGAAGAGGTCTACGTTATCCTTTGTTAAATACACGACTGTTCCCTCCTCTTGAGGGGATGGTTGAGCAGCACAGCCGACGACTCCATTTTATTCGCTCTTTTCAGGCATTATCTGAGCGTCATCGACCCAGTCGCCTTTTCAACTGCAACCAGACCGAGCTTCAACTGTTGCAAAGATGGAGAAGGACACCAAATACTCGGCCGAGGATGTTGTAACGCCCAAGGACGACCAGTCTGTTGGTGAAGTTGTCGCCGACCATGATCTGAAGCGCGGTTTAAGACCTCGCCACTTGTGAGTAACTTCATAGTCGCAAATCATGTATGATCTCAGCTGATTTGCCCAGGCAAATGATTGCCATCGGTGGCGTCATCGGCACAGGTCTCTTCCTCGGCACGGCCGGTAACCTGCAAAACGGCGGCCCAGCCGGTCTCCTCATCTCCTACTGTCTCATGGCCTCGGTGCTATTCTCCGTCATGGTTGCCCTTGGCGAGATGATCTCCCAGTTTCCTCTCGCCGGCGGCCAATTCGCTCTCGCCGACCGCTTCGTCTCTCCAGAAATGGGATTCGCCATGGGATGGGTGTTCTGGTACGACTACATAATCGTGCTGCCGGCCGAGATCTCAGCCGCTGCCGTGCTGATCTCGTTCTGGACGCCAGCAAGCCAGGAAGGTTCAACATGCACGACGGGGGTATGCAACAATGCCATGTGGGTGGGCCTCATGCTCATCGTCGTGTACGTCGTCAACTTCGCAGGCACGCGAGTATACGGCGAGGTCGAGTTCTGGTTCTGCTCTATCAAGATCATCACCATTGTCGGTCTGATCCTTGTCGGTATTATCATCTCAGCCGGCGGCGGCCCCGACCACACCGCCATTGGCTTCAAGTACTGGAAAGAAACAGGCGGGTTCATGCAATACGAAGGCATACCAGGGGCAACAGGACGCTTCGCAGGGTTCTTTAGTACCTTGATCAGCGCTGCCTTTGCCTTCATTGGATCTGAGGTTACTGCCATCGCCGCTGCCGAGACGGCCAACCCGCGCAAGTCGGTCCCGTCGGCCATCAAGGGCGTTTGGGTCCGTCTCGTGCTCTTCTACCTTTCCAGCGCATTCCTCATCGGCCTCCTCGTCTCCCCCAACGATCCCTCCCTGAACCTGGGCTCTACGGCCGCCAAGTCCCCCTTTGTCATCGCTATCAAGAACGCGGGGATCCCTATTTTGCCCTCTATTATCAATGCCGCTCTTCTGACTTCGGCGTGGTCGGCGGGATGTGCTGACTTGTTTGTTTCGTCTCGCTCGCTCTACGGCCTGTACACTCGTGGCCACGCCCCCGCCTGGGTGGGCAAGACGCGTGCCGACGGATTACCCTGGGTCTGTGTCGTGATTGGCGGCGTCCTGGCCCTCATCTCCTTCATGGCCAGCGCCAGTGGCTCCGCGGGTACCGTGTTCAGCTACTTCGCCAACATGACGGCCATTTGCGGCATGATCTCGTGGGCTTGCATCATGTTCACCTACATCCGCTGGTACAAGGGGCTCGCGGTGCAGGGCATCGACCGGAAGACTCTGGCTTATATGGCTCCCTTCCAGCCGTACTTGAGTTATTACGGCCTGTGCATGTGCCTTATGGTTATGATATTTGGTGGGTTCACGGCGTTTGTGAATGTCTTTGACGTGTCGACCTTCATCACGACTTATATGCCCATTCCATTCTTTGTTGTCCTATTTGTGGGGTACAAGGTCTACCACAAGTCCACGTTTATCGACTACAAGGATATGGACTTTGCGTCGGGGTCGTCATTTGATATCCCTGATGAGGAACCCAAGAAGGGTCTGTTTAAGAAGATTGTGGACAACATCTAAAGCTGTGTGAGAGCGATGGGGGAAATTGCTGCCTTGGATGTGGTGTGAGAATAATGTGTTGATCAACCTGTAATGTGTAAATGATATCCCAGAAATAAATAATAGAATATGTTCAAGTTCAAACAAGCTTTACTGGAGGCTTGAAGCCAAGACGAAGACCTGGATTCTGACTTGGCAATGTGATGAGAAATAGTCTTGGCATCTGCAAGCAGACTCATACAAGTTCATGGATGGATCACTTGTCTTCATTCAGTCTGCACTCATTGATATTCGCTCTGACTGCTGTTGCTTTTAAATAATTCATCACGTCTTCGAGTGCCTCAAAGTAAAAATTCAGCATGTCTCCTGGAACGAGTTGTTGTATGACACAACCAGTCAGCCTCGAATTAGGCGACTAATGGGTAGGCCCCGATCCAGTAGAACCCCAGAGCCACCTAGTTAAAGAAGATCTCGAGACACTCTCACCTAACTTAGATTCCTTAAGAATCAGTCTTACAATATGCGCACCTATATCACTAGCTTATTATAGTCTGTAAAGATAGGTGCGGCTGGGTGCCAGGGAAGGTGACTACGGTTGGGCTCTCACGGAAGTCAATTCAAGTGAGGTGTTTTGTTGACTTCTATCTGCCGAGCTAAGTGTTGCGCGTTGGGCCCCTTTTGAAGAGCTCAATCTCCGACAATTATCCGATCGCTCGGCGATTTCAGCCACACAGCCACACTGTCCTTGACCTCACATAGTCGCTCTTTACACTACCTGAGTATTATCGTGAGACGTGTGGTATCCCCGTTACAGCGCGACTCGCTTATGAACCACGTTAGTAGTTCGAGCACTTTCTACTTGAATCCAGGCTTTTCCACGCTTTTAAGCTCTGTATTCGCTTACACAGTATTACTTGAGAGAAATATAGAATGTGAAAAGCGGGCCGGACTATCTCGTTATACTCAGCCGATAAAGCTGAATCACGAGTAGAAACGAAATAATGATAGATAGAATTAGATAAACAAGCCCCGGATATTCGATAAGCTATACAGTCTAACCCAAATAGTATCTTCTATAACCTTATAACTACTTGTAGTACATAAGATAAGCGTAAGAAGCGAATATAGCCTATAGAAAGTAATACTTTTCTAAAACTAAGCCGCTCTTAAGAAGAGAACTCGGAAAAATATATTTAACATTAATGAGGGATTAACCGCCACTGTTATGCCTTGAGCCAAAAGCGGTACAGTAGCTACTGCTGGGTCAGATCTTTGCTTCCCTCCTTAGAACCAGAGCAGCTCATAGAGCCTCTCAACACCAACCTACGAAGCACAACGCGTAGATCAGGCACAGCGATGAATACGACATCCATTCAGAGTCATCAACAGAGGACTAACTCCCTCAGTTAATGTATAACAGAGGAGACCAGCGCTAGCAGGTCAGCGCGGGAATCTGCCCCACTCTCACTTCCCAAATTCGGGCCACTGGTCGTGTTTCAGGTCCTTTGGGAACAACACGGTCATTATTTCTTGTTGCTGAACAGTCAAAGCTCTGGCAATCGCTACTTTCAACCATTTTACCACATCGAAATTGACCGAATGACACCATTATCTGTACCCCTGGCTGCTCAGATTCCCCAAGTGGACTCTTAACTCCACTGGAAAGGCGCAATCTCGACACCCCGGCCAACCATTTACAGGGAAGGCCAGGAAAGATGGAGAGGGCTGGTAGATCAAATCTGTTATCGAGCGATATCCACTTCAGCTCATCAGTTCCGCTCGTCATGGCCCAGTGCAGTCCATTCACATCGACCGCAACACGTATTACGTACTTTATACCTGTCATCCATCCGCAAATGGGTCGTATTACATGAGAAGCACACGGCACCATGGAACCCCATCCCCCTGTGTAAGTCGCTTCCACCTAGCGATCAGCTAGTTAACAATGCGTTATTCCAACTGAGTCGGCACACAGATCCGTATCCGAAGCCAGGCTGGCCGAGCGGCGCATCTCTCGTATCAACCGGGCCTGCATCACCTGCCGCATCCGCAAGCAGAGGTGTCCTCCGCCCGTGTCTAATGCCCCGTCGCAGGCTCCGTGCCAGAGATGCGTGAGGCATGGGATCACGTGTAGTTTTGAGACGGACCAGCCGCCGAGTCAGCAGGAGGAACCGAGTCCGACGGCTTTGGCGCAGGTTGTTGTTGGATTGCAACGGAGGTATGTACTTATGCTTTGAGGTTTGGACGAGAGTGACAGGCCCTTTGGAGCGGCTACTTTTGATGACGATGGAAACTAATGAGTTGGTGTGGTCAGACTGAATGCTCATGAGGAACGTATTGCTGAGCTCGAAAGGGGGGGTGTGCGGCATGCGAGAGATTCTCGACCGAGTTCGAGGGGAAAGGGTAGGAATGGTGTTAGTCATGGCCGGTTGTGAGTTGATATCTCTGGAGGAAGCTATGTTCAGTTGGGCGTGCTAATGTTGTGTTTGTTCCCAGTCATTCCCTATCAACAGCTGTGGCGACGCCAGATGCACCAAAGTCTACTTATCAAGAGACTCCGGATATAGACACCAAGCGGTCACTTGGCTCTAGGTTTGACATGACCAGACTAGAGCTGGCGTCACCAATTGCCACACTGAGATCTCTGGGTGCTTTGTCAGAAGACAAGTCTGATTCTGGGTCATACTCACGTTCATCTGCCGCTGTAGATGGCGGCGAAGAGGACGAACTATCACCGTATGACCCCATAGCCCTTCGCTTGCTCTCGGTCCAGGAAGCCCAGCATGCTTTGGATATGTAAGTCAATAATATGTGATGTGTACGTTCGCAGCATTTTATTGATATCGACGCAGTTACTTCAGACATTGCCACCAATGGGCGCCAATACTAAACGAGGATCTTCGCCACCCAGGCATGGATTTGAGGAGATCGAACCCAACACTCTTCCTCGCCATACTCGCAGTAGGCGCACGCTTCTGGCGTGACAACGGACTGCACCCAAGATACTTCGACCTCATCGCCCTATGCGACGCCGCCATATCACGTCTTCTGCTCTGCCCAACCCCAGCGGATGCCAGTCTGGGGTCCATCCAAGCCTTGATGCTGTACCTCCAATGGATGCCATGCGGCAGGAAGGACACATTCGGGAGGTTCTCGGAGGAGGTCAATTCGCACACCAAGAAGTTCCGGACGCGATACAACGACATGAGTGCATGGGCCATATTCGGTCTTGCCGTCCGGTATGCGACGTTTCTCAGCCTGGAGAAATCGGCCTTGGCCCCTTTCCGCAAAGATGTGCAGTCTACGCCGTCCCGCAACGACATGGATCGCATGAGAGTGTGGCTTAACCTCATCACGTATGACTGCAATCTTACACTGGCATCAGGTCTCACTGCTTCGTTGGACCCGACACTCACGGGTCAAGTAGCCAGAGGATTCTGCTCACATCACTTTGCGCAGACTCCTGGTGATGTGCGGTATGCTGCTTTGGTCGAGCTGGCGTGCATCATGCGGCGTGCTAAACACGTCGATGGGACGCCAACGAATAGACAGCCGGATGTGGCGAGTCTGAACAATGCGAATGTGGAGATGAACAATTGGGAAAGGTATGTTTCCAATGCAAACTTCATCGCCTGTGCTAACTAACCTTGTTCATGTAAAAGACACTGGCTCGGCCGGCTAAGTGAGTCCACATCAAAGCACTTGCCGAGATTTCCGCTAACGGACTAAGGACATACTGACTTGCAACACACTCAACTCCCCTTCACATCCCTTCGTGTAAGCCCGAAATGCCCACTTCTCCACGGTCCGTCAGCTAACAAACGACAGTGGTACCGCCTCGCCTTGAACAGTTCGCTCTTAAGACCACTCCTCTCCTCAACAAGGTCACGAGACCAACCCATTCAAGTTTGGACCCTCAGTTTCCTCGAAATCAGCCTCACGGCAGCCGCCCAAATCCTCTTCTCCCTTTTAACCACGGCCTCTGAATATGTCTGGAGATTAGACTCACAGAACCTCTCCTCCTTCCCCGACGGCCCCTTTATTGTCGACCAAGCTTCACGCACAAGCTTACACCACGCTGTGGACTCCACCTGGGTATCTCACACGTTTGCATTGACATTTCTGGTGCTTTGCTACATTCGCGGCACCATCGACCGTGAGTGGAACGGGTTTAGTTATACCATTGCCTTGAGGCGGTCCTCCAATTTCAACTAACCCCTGAAGCCAGACGACCTCCGAATCTGCAGCCTCTCGACCACGGCGCCGTTCACCACGCGAGCTCCATCAAAACCGCAGCCATCTTCAATCCTTGCCCGACTGGCACGGCTCGCGTTGGATATCTTCAGCGATGAGTCAGAGACATCCGATTTCCGTCCTGAAGGTGACTTCTCGGCCATCGTCCGCAATGCTGCCTCGCTCGTTCTAGACCGGGGCGATGAACATGCCGGGGTTGCGCAAGATCCGTTCAACCCGGCTGTGCAGTCTCTATTTGATATGATGAATGACTCTGTGTTTGACTGGACGGCTTACGTGGGTGATGAAGCCAGCCTTGGAAGCTCCTGGTGATTAGTAAGGATTTCATGCCAGGGTTCGAGTGTGTGAATCTTCTCGAACCAAGGCACTTATAGCTTAGAACGAGTAGGCGCACCACCGCGACTAGCACGATTTTCGCGGAATTTCTGAACCCTACAATATGATTAGCCATGTCGTATCTCTATATATCACTGGTTATTGACATACCTCTCCTCATCCGCAACCTCAAAAACCACGTCCTGCGCCCCCTCCCACAGCACCCTCGTCCCCAACTCCTTCAATTCCTCACCCCCCTCCACAATCGTCAAGAAATGATTCGCCGCCAATGGCCCCATCTTGCTCGCAAAAGCCACACCCCCATAGCAAAACAGCAACTCCGTCTCCGAAAACCCGCCTGGGTAAAGCAAAATCTGGCCTGCTGATGGGTGACTCGTGTGGTTCTCAAACGGGACCCCGAAGTCCTTATCTCCGAGGGGAACCCAGAGGCCTTCGCCGGACCATCGCACGTGGATGAGCTTTTGCCTGTAGGGGAGGAGTTTTTGGAAGGCGGAGATAGTTTGGGGGGCGGAGGGCTCGAAAAGGGCGAGAAATTGGTGGGGACCGGCTGTTATGAGGATGGTAGGGGGTTGGGACATTTTGGTTGGATGTAGACTGGTAGTTTTACTCAGAATACCGCTGTGAAGGAAATTTCAAGACATTGGATATCACGACAGCAGTTGACTTCGACTCAGGCTCGTAATACGGAGTGCGTGTCCAGTGTCGGCTTATCGGTGAGCGATCCGTCTGGAGCATTGGTCCGTACTAAGGGACTTCGGAAGGATCGGACCATTCCGAGCCAAGGCCGACCCAGAACTCCGCCGGGGGTGTACGGATCGATCTCCTTATTTCCGGTTGATACGGTTTAGCGATATAATATTAGAGTTGAGAGAGTCTAAACTTTATGGCCAAGTTTAACAAAAAAAACTCAGCAGCGACAAAAAACACCATTGACTAAGATTATGGACTTGACCACTGTGACCAGGACTTACGAGAACACTTGTCCTCCATCCTCAAGCCTAGGTACCCTACACCTCAAGGGTGGTCATGCACAGGTACGAGAGGGCCAACTCACCATCAGACCGGTCATAGTGTCTGGGGACTCGTCATTTGGCGCAGAGGTCTCCGGTGTTGACTGGAGCCGTCCCGTTCCAGAAGACATAGTTCAGCAGGTTCGTCAAGTTCTAACCCAAGAAATTACAGACTTAAACATTCGAGATAGAATAACAGAACTGACTGACGTACATAACAGCTTATCAAACTACAAGACACATATGCTGTCTTGATATTCCGGAAGACAGGCCTTGACAACGAGCGGCACATTGCCTTCTCTCGACAGCTTGGAAAGAAGCTAGAGATCAACCCCTTTTTCTATGGGCGGGAGAACGATAGGGTAGGGGAGCCGCTACTGTGGGACGTAGGCAAGTGAGTATTGCGTTTAAGTGTTTTGGAAATTTACCAGAGACGAGTATCTGATGCCTTGCAACAGTATCAACATCGACGGAACCCTAGTCCAGCCCTCGCAGCGGAGATGGCAACACAGCCTCGGTAACGCTCTCTGGCACACTGTATGTCCCCTATATTTTCTCCTCAATGACCATGCACACTTTCATCTTACGACTGATCCTAGGACTCGTCCTACCACCACCAACGCTCCAAATACTCCCTCCTGCTCTCCCACCCCACAACCCACGTCCCCGACCGCCCTGCCTCCAAAACTTACACCCACTTCTCCGACACCCGACACGCCTACTCCTCTTTGCCGCTCTCCACCAAACTGCTTCTCGAACCCTTGATAGTCGAACACGACCTATGGCACTCCCGGCGTCTCGCCTCGCCCGTGACGTACTCCGTCCCTTTGCCGCACGAACTGGCCGCCAAGCCGCCCGCGTACCATCGCTTGGTCCAGACCGCGCCTGATGGGCGGAAGACGCTCTATCTGGCTGCGCATGCGAAGCGCATTGTGGGGTGGGGGATGAAGGAGAGTCAGAAGTTGATTTGGGAGTTGATTGAGTGGTGTGCGAGGGAGGAGTTTGTGTTTAGTTTGGAGTGGGGGGAGGAGGGTGGGGATATGGTTTGGTGGGATAATCGGTGAGCAGTTTATTCTGAAGTCCAGTCGTGTGTATTGTGTTACAAGAAGAAGAAGAACAGGGGCTAACGATTGCTACGGCGAAAAGGCAGTCGATGCACCGCGCTAATCCATATACTACCGAGATGACGGCTAGGGATGTGAGACGGGCGACGGTGGTTGATGACGGACCTTTGGCGTTTGGGGTTTCTGAGCAGGAGAAGAGAGAGGCTGGATGGAAGCCAGAGCAAGCTGTGACGGTTGATGTATAAGTAAGGGGCTGTGGATGGCAACAGCGTCCGTAAGTAAATTGCGTAGACGAGAGAACCATGGCAGAATATTTGAGCAGGCGCATCATGATGCTTTGGCCTGAATCCTACCACGTCCCTTGACTTCACGTGCTCGGTTCTACTATATAATCTGAAAATACCGGAGAAGCGTACGAAGTAGCCCCCCAGTCGCAGTGTTCTAAATCACAGCTTCGACTTGAAAGCTGCATTTCGTCGTGTCAAGTAGACTGCTCCGGAGCAGCGCTCGTTCATGGTTCTCTCGTCAACTTCCAAGCGAGTCGTTTAGTCAACTAAAAGCATCTCTGCCCATATACGAGACTTGGCACGTCAAATGAGGCCAGTTCCGAAGCTTGGGTTCCTGGTGTCTAAGTTTTGTACACATTTGATCATTTTACACCTTACTCTACATTCCACCATCCTACGTCGACGCAGTCTGCGTCTGCGCCATAACCTCATCAAGCGCTTCCACGTCCAAATTGTCCGGGTCTTCGTTGCTGAAACTGGCGTAAGCCTCAGATTGTTCCGCTTTGATGAGCGCCGTCTGTGCCTCGGCCCACTTCTTCCACTTCTCGTACTGCTGGTCCTCGAGCAACATGCCCACCTGGATGAAGGTCTGGCCAAAGTAGGAACCGACCATGCGCGCCTCCTCCCTGGCCACCCTCCGCTCAATCTCCTCTTCTTGTCGCAAGGCGTAGAACTCGCGGCGGACTTGGTCGTAGGCTTGGTTCGTGCCTATTCCCGGTACGTTTTCCAACAGCCACAACTGACGCTGGACGACGCTGCGATTGTTGTCAGTTCCTGCCAGTCTGTATGATCATGGCGTGCCACACCTTTCACCACTCAACTGCATCCCGGGTTGCCTCAACCCCTTGCTCCAGTCGCATCGCTGACTATCCTTGCCGTCCATTTCGACAATCATCCTCGGCCGTGCCAGCTCCCAGGGGTGATCTCTGTAGAAGCGCCTTCGTAGTTTGTCTTCAGGGTATGTGAGTTGCTGGGGCTGGTATAGCCGGCTGGGCTTGCGCTCTTTTCCTTTCGGAATTATGTGTTGGGGAGGCAGTGGTCGCGTGATCATCTCGGAGGGCGGTATCGACTCAACGACTTTGTACCATACTGGCTGCTGAACTCGAAGCTTAGGCATGACACGATGGTCCATGAGCTTGGTCACCGTCTGGTAGACCCGCGCAGGCCGCACTTGCCGCAGATGCGGTTTTCGGACCATTGCTGCGAATGGACCCAGAAGTCCTCAGTTCACGCAGGGGTCGATAGTGACAGAAGATATGAGCCTCGGAAGCTCGACACTGCCTGCAATTGCGATCACGTCGATGCTGTCGAATTCGAGCCTCGCGATCTTCAAAAGAGCGCCTTGAGTGGTAAGAACGATGTTCCGACACCGAGCAACTTTTCAGTGGGGCCGATCGGGGGGGTAGCACAGGCGCCGACGGGACAGCGATTTTATCTCCAATCTGTCGGGGGGGGTTCAAATTTCGGTTTAAACAAAAAGTCTCGAGCTAGAGCAAGAAACATCGCCCAAATTGTCCACGAAGCTATCCGCGCCACCCATTGACCAATGTCGTCACGTCCCTGAGAAGCTGTGATGACGGGACCACCATGCGGGACAGCTCATGAAAATCTCCGTTCGAATTGATGGGTCGATATACGGCGCGATACTCTCCACCCGACAGTCCCAGAGCTCCTCGCCGAGAGCTGTGTTTCTGCCCACTACGCAACACAATGTCGCAACGAAGCTCCAACTTGGCAATATATCCGTCGGTCGTTGGCGCCCCAGAACTTATGGTGCCGATAATACCATTCAAGGACGCTTCAAGGTCAAGATCTCAGGCTCTTCTCACTACTCAACAATAACCAACCGGGGCAGTCGGAGACCACTCAACTCATACTACTTTACTTCGCACGCACCGCAAAGCCACTGTCGAGGTCACACCAGTTCTGCTGCTCCTTCCGACTTGCCCCCGAAAGCATTGGCTCCTCCAGCCAGATCCAAGGAAGAACTCCTCACCTTTGTTGACCAATACGACGACTGCAGCGTCGAGGAACATCTCGAGTTTCTGAGGGACCCATATATGCGCCGTTATGCACCACCAGATGCGCCAAAACTTGTGGTCTCTGACCGAGTGCAGGTGGCATCCCCGGCGCCTGATGAAGTGGAATCACTCGACGACGAAGATCAAGACATACTCACAAAGCTTAGATCAGCTGTCTTTCAGAAGCTATTACGGCCACATAGCACAGATCTTGACACAATTTACGAATTATACCGCTCACTCCCTGACCAACGAATACCATATATACCCGCGCGACTCCGACACGCGCTACTTGCCGTCTTTGGCATTACCGAGCGAAAGAATCCGAAGGCCATGCTGCGATACTTTGCCGTGGTCGCAGACGTTAAAAACAGTGGCTACACACTGACGAGAACCCAATGGAATACCGCCATCTCCTTTGCGAGCCGATACGTGGGATCTTCAACCGAAGTTGAGGCCGAAGCTGCTCTGCACCTCTGGCGTGAGATGGAGCACGACGCGGGCATCAAGGGCAACGAGGCTACATTCAACATCCTCTTCGACGTTGCGTCCAAAGCTGGGAAATTCTCTCTCGCCGAAATGATCTATCAGGAGATGAGCACGCGTGGCTTTCAATTCAATCGTTATCATCACGTCAGTCTGATCCACTTTTTCGGCCTCAAGATGGACGCCAGCGGAGTCAGGGCTGCCTACAGGGAAATGGTTGAGGCAGGCGAGATAATAGACTCGATTGTTCTCAACTGCGTCATTGCCGGCCTTGTGCGGGCAGGCGAGGAAGATTCGGCTGAGCGCATATACGTAAAAATGAAGGCGTCGGATGAAAGGCATAAGATCATGCCCGACCGCAATTATGTCATGCAAAAACAAATCACCAGGGTCCTCATGATGTTTGCACGGTTTGGGCGCGCCAATCCCGAAATGCAACCTGGGTTTCAGGGTACCGCAATGGTGTCTCCGGATCTTCACACCTATCAAATTCTCATCAACCACCACGGTGTGCGACTGGGCAAGCTCTCGGCGGTCGCCAAGTATCTCGACGAGATGAAGTACTTCCGGGTCCCTCTCCACGGCTCCATCTTCCTCGCCCTCTTCAAATCTTTCCATCTTCACGGCGCAACCGGGTCCGACTGGAGCTTACAGCGACTCGAGGGCGTTTGGGGCGCATTTCTCGAAGCGTTCGACGACGGGGCCAACGGCTTGTACATCAGCACGTGGATGGCCATGTGGGTTTTACGAGCCTTTTTAAAATGTTCACAGTCCAGAGATCGCGTCCTGGACGTGTACGAGGACCTGAGTGCGCGATGGGATTTAGATGCCGAGGGCGTGAGTTTCATGTTGGAGTTCTTGCACAAGTTGTTGCAGAAAAGCAATTTGTCTGTATACACTAGGCCTTCACTCCCTCAAAGACAGGGAGGAGGCAATTATCCAGCGTTGGGGGCCAGGAGTCTAGGAAATGGGAATACATAGATGGCGGCGTGTGTATATAGTGTATACTATGATGGGGCTGGACTTAATATAGAAGTAGGCAAGGTAGGACGTGGTGGGAGATGATACCCATGACCTCCTCTCTGTACGTGATGCAATTCATATGTTTAAAGGTCAAGGTCATCGTCGTGTTGAATTATCTACGTGTTAGTGTCATCATATCGTAAGGATCACGAGGTTGGGTGGATTATAGTGTTGGTGTCATGTAATTACTAATCTCATGGCCCCCATACTTATTCATAGAGGCCTGGGGTATGATAACTTGCCGAGGAGGGAGCATGTGATCAAGCCCTCCAAAAGAAAAACATACCAGTTTAGTCATACCAATGGAGTGGCCGAGATACGCTTCGAGTTGGAAATAAGACCTGCCTGCCGTTTACTTGATGAAAACAAAATTCATGAAATGGGCACCTCGAACCTTGACTGTGTTACAACGCCGGTTAGAGGCTGTCTCATTTTTCAAGAGAAATGGCGACTAGGTTACATTAGATAAGAGCCTTTGACTTAGTTGGTGGAAACGGTGGGGTTCTGGCTAGCTATTATGATATGAATAGAAACCTCATTATTGCTGGAGGACCTGTGTAATAGAGTCATTGAGGACTGGTGGTTAAACTACCATGTCGTAGATACATAGTGACGCTATAGGGAGAGAAACCTTTCAAGCTGGCCATTATATTTATATTATGGTCTAGGACGTGTCACCAATTAACAATATCGCAGAAGTAAACTAGGACGTAACCATAATTATTATTGAGTATTATGACTATCCGGGCAAGGTGACCAGGTCCTGCAATATACGGAGACTTCAAGCTGCTCATCGATGAGTAAGCATTTGCTTTATGCGACACATTATGTCAGTTATGGTGTTAGACTCTCCAATGGATTGAAGTTCATACAGCACGTCATAGCCTTACTCGAAATCATAAAGATAAGTCCCTCAACATCTGTCAAACCACTTCTCGTTGCGTATGTGCTCGATCTATGCGATATACCGGAACCCATACATGCTCTCTTTTCTCGAAGCGAAAACAAAATATTGCTTTTCTCTTGTTACAGTAGCTGATCCCGAGCTAATTCAAAAGATGCCGGATTGCACCAGCCCTTTTCTGGATCTTTGGGTGCACAACAGCTATATTTGAGTTTTCTTGGCTATAACCACTAATTGAGCGGACCTTCCGGTCTCCAGCCAAGCCGATTACCCCGTGCTTTACGCTCCTATACAGTACATAATCTGGGGTCGTTGTATGCTTTTCCGAGACCCCTGGCCCGCTTGGTTATTGTGCACATGCCGGTTAATAGTAGTCAGTTTTCTCCCAAAGATAAAGATGATATAGCTAGGCGGCCTTCAAGGGCGTAGATGTTGCCAGGATTTGTATCGAATGGGACATATTGGCATTCAACGATTAAAACTGCACTCTCATTCCTCTTCGTTATGACGAGTCTATACTGTTACACGCTAAAACTGTCCATAGGTGACAGCATACGCCGAAATGTATACTCGGTGCTTCGATAGTGCAGCTGCATATCAACGACTTGTCTAATCAACCTGTACCCCAAATCGCTAAGGCGGTAGGATCTCCGATGCCAAGTCACGCGATGCAACCCAGTTGGCCTATTAGATCGACGAACAAAAGCACGCACGTATTAATGGCGGGCTAGGATTTGATCCTCCTGCCCAATCAGGCAAGTCGCTCCCCGTGGTATACCGACGGCACGGGCGTTGGGTTCTAGACACACCTTCGTGTCCTAGATATGGCTTCTGACTGGACCTGGCGATGGAGAAAGCAAGGCAATTGGAAAGGGGGGCAAGAAAGGTATTAATACGGCTCTCTTGGCACTACCAATGCCAACTCAGTCATCAATTATCAGTTCTCAGATCAGTCCTGCTTGAGTAACGAAACAATGGCTCCCAAGACTATACTCCTGACCCTTGCGGCTCTGCAGGGTGCTCAGGCCTGGGGCACCTTGGGTCATGCAACCATTGCATACATCGCACAGAACTACCTCACTGACACTACTGCGACTTGGTTAATAACTTATCCACCATTCCCAAAACACAATACTAACCCCCTCACACAGGGCCAAAGGAGTCCTCAGCGACACCTCCTCCTCTTACCTCGCCAACATTGCCTCCTGGGCCGACACCTACCGCAGCACCACCGCAGGAGCCTTCTCCGCGCCCTTCCACTACATCGACGCAGAGGACTCCCCTCCTACATCCTGCAACGTCGACTACGACCGAGACTGCGGCAGCACAGGGTGTTCCGTGTCCGCTATCGCGAACTACACCCAACGAGTGGGCGACGGGCGTCTCTCGGCTGCCAACACGGCCGAGGCCCTCAAGTTCCTGGTGCATTTTCTGGGGGACATTACGCAGCCGCTCCATGACGAGGCGCTCGAGACGGGCGGGAATGGAATTATCGTTACGTTCGATGGGTATGATACCGATAATTTGCATTCCGACTGGGATACGTATATCCCTGAGAAACTGGTAGGGGGTCACACGCTTGCGGATGCGAAGGAATGGGCCGATACTCTGACTACTGAGATTAAATCTGGAGCTTATAAGAGCGTGGCTGTGTCGTGGGTGAAGGGGGATGATATCACCGATGCGGTTGGATCAGCGATGATGTGGGCGACGGATGCGAATGCGCTTGTCTGTAAGGTGGTCATGCCGAACGGGGTAGCAGCGTTGCAGACGGGGGATTTGTACACGAATGGGTATTATGAGTCAGTGATTGGGACGGTGGAGTTACAAATTGCGAAGGGCGGGTATAGGTTGGCGAATTGGTTGAATATGATTGTGGATGCGAATTTGAAGAGGAGGGGCGAGGGGGCACAGGTGAGACCGTTGCCGGATTTGATGGGCCGGGATTTGTTGCCACCACTGAGGCCGTTGAGTAGGGCCAAGATGGCGCGGGCGGCTATTGGGTATGGGTGCGGGCATGAGCATTAGAACGGTGGAGGTTCGGATATCTAATGTCCATTATGTTAGAGTGACAGATAAGGAGAATGACGCATGTTCAGAATAGTATGTCAATGGATGGCTCATGAGTTGATGACAGGGCAACCCCCGAAAGACGGACAGAAAATCATTAAGACCCTCCAGAATCAGAATCAGTGTCGTGCCCCTAACCCCGACACAACTCCCCTTGTTTATTTTTGGTGACAAAAGGAAGCGGTGCGGCCGTTGTATTGTCATATTCTTTCTCGTAACTATGTCGGGCGATCGACAACGGCCTGTTGAATCCAGATAATTGTATTGGAATCAAGGGTCAATGGGAAATTGCGGAGTAGGTTGAGGCCTCGGGGTATATCTCAAACAGGAACTTCTATATTATTGAATGCATCTATTTAGCCATTATCCGTGTATGCTTATTACAATGTGAGGTGTTAATTCCCTATGTATAGTTAAATCGTCCTCGAGAAGACAGCCAGCATAGTAAGGATCATTTGCAGCAAACTGCGTCAAACTGTACCGGTTCCTCCCTCTCCACCTTCACAGGTTCCTTGCCCAAATTGGTCCAACAATATGAACGAGACGTACACATAAAAGGCGCTCGCTTCTCAGTCTAAGTATGCTGTGATGGCACAGAATTTACCTGAGCTTGAACAAACTTGAAAAGTTACAGACAAAGTTAACAGTTGGTGTATGTTGCAGATAAGCAACAAAAACATGACTTCTATGCCCTATCTGTCCGCGCAGAGACAAACCCTTGTTTGAAGCAAAAGTGCACGTACATGGAATCATTGCTTAGTGAGGTCGGTAAGATCAGGAGCTCGCAATCGGTGGATGTCGCCCAAGTGAAGAAGAGTAAAGACTTCAGATCTGCGAGAAAGTATTATACATAAGTGCTCTTGTAAAAAAACAGCAAGAGGGACCAGACATACCACGGCGGAACCCCGACTATTCAACGGATTGCCCCAATGACTCGCTGTATCTGCCTAGGTTGGCTTTCAGACTTCGGGAAATAGTAGAATATTACATCGAGAACCACTGGCATGCGTGTTAGTACCGGCGCTCACGTCCGGGAATATGAATGAATATAGGCGGAGGTGCAAGCGGGTTGCTCAAGCAAACCTATCAGAACCAGCTGCTATAGCTGAGTCCGGTTGTAGCCACCATCTGTGTATGAATTCCTTTGTGTGTATAGCCTTCTTTCTCCCTGCGGATTCACCAACTTAAGTCCGTTGACCTAAGCCTTCTTCTTGCTCGCACCCCCATCAACGATAATCTCCTGCCCCGAGACAAACCCAGCATTAGCCAAATACTCCACCGCATCAGCAACATCCTTGGGCCTCCCAGCGCGATTAGTCAAGTGATGCTCCACGTCGCCATCCTCATTTAAATGAGCCCACTCAACCCCCTTCTCGTCGCCATCCTTACATTCGTGTGCGACCTTGATCCTGCCCGGCGCGACAAGATTCACCCTGATACCCCACTGCGATAAACTGACGGCCATGCTGTGCATCAGACCTAACTGGCCCGCCTTGCTGCTGGCGTATCCTTCCTGGTTGGGGTCGCTCTGGTGCGCGCGGAAGCTCCCAATGTGGATTATGCAGGGGCCGGCGTCACTGTCGTTGACGTGAAGAGCTTCTTCTGCTGGTTGGCGCATATATGGCAGGCAGGCCTGGGAAACAGCGAAGGGCGCGGTGAGGTTAGTGTCTATGTACCTGTTTCAATGTTGGTCAATTAGGAAACTCTGCCGCGACAAAGAAACGGAAGTAAAAAAACAAAGAACTCACGCACGCCACTGAGCCAATGTCTCCTGGTCCGCCATAGTCCGGCCATCCTTCCACTGGGGCGTCGCAATACCTCCATTGTTGACCAAAACGTCGATCCTGCCGCCGAGAAACCTCGCTGCCTCGTCGACTTTGTTCTGAATCTCATCCGCGTCGCGCAAGTCGCATACACTCGAGGATAACTTCTGGGCATCCGTGTAGCTCTGGAGATGGCTGTTGACCGTGTGGTTCAATTCCTCTTCGTCAATGTCGAATACATAGACATTGTACCCCAGTTCGCAGAAACGTCGGACAAGACACCTGCCGATGCCTCTTGCGCCGCCGCTGATGAGTGCTGTCTTGGGCATCGTAACGAGTCTTCTTGTTTGCTTCTTCTTTTAGGCGTGCTTGACAAATTGTTCGGGGCAAATTGATTTCGTAAAAGCAAGCCGATGTATATTTGAGGGTGAAGTGGTTGTTTGGGACCTTACTTAGGGGAGCATGCGGCATGACCTCATTCTGACAGAAGGAGCAACCGAGCTAGCGGGACGCAGGGGATCTATCAACTCAAATCTCCCAGATTCCTTTTACCACAGTTGGCAGTAAGCATAACTTATAATGGCCCTTGCAGAGGCAGGTTTTGCTTTGAGTGTCCTTCGAATTCCTACTAAACGGACTCCCGACTTCACTTGCCAGAGAAAAACGACCTTCAAAGTGCCATCGCAAACAACAGGCAAGAGTAACTCGGTGCCTGTATTCAAATGCTCCAGATATAGTTCAGAGGTATTGAAAAACTCTTGCAAGGACCGGAACATCCAAGTGAAAAGGTCAGGTGTAGAGGACCTGGGATCTGCCGCACGCCATAGAATCGAAGAGCACTTTTCGTTGTATAATGGGGACGAAGTCGTCCATATCAATGGTGAATTTTAAGGATAACCCAAGCTGAGCCTCATACAAAAGCAAATATGTGGCAGTGTGCTACCTAGTTGCTGTCAAAAATTGGTTGGTTAGAACGTGTGTGATTGTACTGGTACTAGCATTCCAGCTACACACGAAGGTGAAGAAGCGATGTACGTATGGAGTTTTCCAAGCCGCACAACGAAACTAAAGTATCTCAATTACATGACGGGTCGGACAGCTTCAAGGCCCAGATAGCATCGATCTTCTCAGGGGGGACTTTGTTGGTAGGTTGAGAACCAACGTAGTATGGTAGTGAACGCAACGCAGTCGCCAATAGGGCGAACCGACGACGCAGCGTATGTATTTAGTCCAGCCATTAGGGCACGGTTTGACATACGGGAGTACTAGTAGAGGTACCGGGGGCTTCGAGCCTACGGCGTATTTAATAATAATAATAATTATGTCTCATCACCTCAGGCCACCAATTCCACAGAACTCATATAAACTGATAATGGCTTAAAATGTCAACAAAGGACAATGCCTGGTCAGCTCTATGTTCTAAAAGTACATTATATACATAATCTAATAAAAACGAGTTTGTAGGTGATCTAGATGTACTTACATAGGTGGAACTTTGTGACCTGCCTCTTGATCTACGAAGACGAAGATATGTTGTGTCACGACCCCCACCCGTACGAATCTGTCGGCATCATACAGTCCAATATCATACTACACATAATATACAGCTGGGTCTGATATGCTCTTGCTTATAAACATAATACAGTGCCGGTGATGTCCCAAAACACGAATCTGTACTAGCCAACGCTGGAAGCAGTTGCTTAAGTCATCCAGTTGATCCACAGTGCTTAAGATATGAAACTAGGATGCCCCTTCTAAGTCAACCTGAAATACTCGACGGACCTGGCCGCCATCTTCCCATGCCAGGGACTCGCAATTGGGGTCGAGACGAATTTCAAAAACCAAAGCCTGTCAGGTCAAACCTTATCAATGACAGAATATGCCCACTGCATACTATTTAGGCCAGCCTTTGGCCGTCTTGACCACAGCGCTAGATGATGTATCTGGAACATGCCTGCGTAAGGATTTGGCATGATGACATCATATGGAAGTACTTGAAAGTGATCTTTTATGATGGTGGCTTGGGCGAATTCTCTAGCGGCAAGTTAGCGTGCTTTTCGGTAGGACACGGCAAACGACAAAGGCGAATGCGATCAGTTAGGCCGGTGCGCGCAGTTCCTTCCACCGAGTGAGAGTAGTGTCTTCACGAGAGGATGGTGGATGTGGGTACCAAGGTCGGGTCGATGGGGACTGTGCCGTGTAGGGTGGTGATTGAGGATGGGTATCCGGACAGTTGAAATTCCGAATTGAAAGAGACCAACTCGAACATATACTTCCCAATATATACAACTGGGTGGAGGTTTTTAGGTTATGATGCGTCGGTGCATGCGGGGGGACCTGGTGGGAGGGGAATGTATGAATCGCTCGAGCCACTGCGACAACATCACCAACATAGAGGATCTTTAGACCCCAGGGGCGAGGGCGAGTAGTAATTAAACTTCAATTGAGCCAGGTGCGCATAGTATCGTGTTGAGGTTTAGAAGACAATAGTAAATTGAAGATGGTGGCTTATGCGCCCTTCATGAAAAAAAGCTAAAAAAGGGGTATTGGCCTATCCTCCAGACGCTGTGCATGTATATCCCATAGATCCCACGATCGCAATGCGCCCGGTGCCCAATACATTGAAAGACCACTGCGCCGTCATCAGCATCATGCAGACCCTGTCCCATTTGTTCTAACGCCCGTGTACGCCGTGCTCGTGTATGATAACCTTATCCCCAGGGACCCTGCCGTTAATACAATGCCCCCAAGAGAACACACTGCGGCAAATCCTAGCAGTCCAACTTCATCCTGCTTTCCCGCTTGGCAAAGACCAACCCGCACACATTGCAAAGCGTACCGGGACCGTCCGGCCCCCGCCGCCATTCCGGTGTTTGTGATCGGTTGCATTTGAGGCAAGCAGGGTGAGATTTCCTTTTCTTCGTGCGCCCGGAAACGGTCTCTGGAATTGGTATTTCTCGCTGCTGGGCCATTTCGGGGGAACTCTTGTCTCCCTTTATTCCTGCCTGTCGGCTCGATGCTGTTGCACCAGAAGATTTGCGCCGCAGACCATTCGAGAGCTTAGCCACGGCAACTAAGTCGTTTTGGCTCTTGGACCGGAAAGCATCGGGGTGATACGTATAAGACAGTTGGCGGTAGGTAGGGAAGCTTGTGGCAAAGGACAGGTGATGCTTTATGCTTTGATCGATCTAAGGCCACAGCATGTTAGCACACGCCATCAAACGAAACATCCAGACCAAGCCAACGAAGATAGTTAACACCCACCTGCTGGAAACTCTCCATATTGACCTCGCTCAGCTGCATTCCAATGCTGACTGACTGACTGTGGCGCATCAGAATTCCTAGACGTCGGCACGTCGTTGGTGCCTTGGAGTGGAGAAGAAGAACCGGATGACAGTTGCAGGCGTGCGAGCGATGATATTCATTCATGGAAAAAGGTGCCCGGAGATTGGAAGGCTCAAAATCTTGCCTGAGAAGGACAAACTGAGTTCACATCAGGAAATCCTTTGATGGCTGTTTGATTGTATTTGTAGAAACTTTTTTTTATTTTCTTAAACCGTTTTGTTTTTTTGGGGACATGGGAATGTGAAAGACCCCAAGAACTTTCCCATCCAAGGCATAAGGATTTCCGGGGTGGCTAATTCACCAAAACAAATGCGATTTGTTGTCTTGCACTACTGCGTAGTGTACAACAACACCCTGCACACTAGGCCCATAGTAAACTTGGCGGTCCGGAAGCTGGTCAAATGCTCCACTCTGCCGATTTAAACACCGGAGATACATAGTAGTGAGATGGATCCCATGCATAGTGGGGTACACCTGAGTTACTTCGGAACCCCTATGCGGTTGGACTGCCCACTTGTGCTCCCCTTGTTCACCTTCGTATGTAGTTGGCCGGCATGCCAGTACCAGTCCAATACCACAAGATCTGCATAAAATCACCAGTCTTTGTCTTGGGAAGTATTTATCTTCACGAGTATACTTGCTCGATCCAGGCTTCGGCAGTTCTATAGAAAGGAGGAACACGAAGCTATACAGCGATAGATATAGAGTTGTAAGATGGTGACGACAAGTGTTGTTGCATGACATGCCCCAGCCAGTAGCCTTTCATTATATGTGTACGTAGGTTGGTGACCAATGAATATAACGCTAAACCAAAGTGAGAAGGAGAAGGACCCACTCTACTTGTCGCACCTTTATGAAAACGTACACCACTTCTTTTTTCCCGCTAGCGACGATGATGCAAGTATTATAACGAGAAGTGGCAAACTTGAATGTGTCAGCTTGTTATATGTTAATGCCATATTATGACCTGTCTTTTCGTTACAAAGTTTGAACCAACTAAATAACCCTTTATAACCTTCTCCGCTTGACTCTTTATATGGTCGTGGGCCCCATCTTCCTGCAAGTATTTGATCACTTACCATTCCCCCCATTCTTCTGAGATCCCTGCTTTAGGTGCTGAGACCCACGGACTTTCAGACTTATCTGCTCTTTGAACCTGTGCAGCCGGCTCTCCCTGAGGTGTGCGGCTTCTTAGCCAGTGCCTCCTCATTGGATTGCCCCTCTAAAGTCGCTTGGGATTTGTACAGATGCTTGAGAATGGTGTCAGACCGCATTGGCCCATTTCGGGGTCTTTTGGTGTCCAACGGCCATATTAGAGTTTTCTTGGCTATAATAACTGCTGATTGGACCTGCCGGAGATTTATATGAAGGCCAAAAAAGGATGTTTTTTTTCTTTCTCTATGATGGTTACTTCTGGTTTGAAGCGGGGTTGTGTAGCCCTACGCTTGGCCGTACCTTCCCATCTGCCGGTATCTTCAGCCAAGACGATTATGCTGTATTCTCCGCTCCGATAGAGTGCGTGCGTACTTGTATGTGTTCTTGTATGTCTTCCTCTATGGCCCATTGCGCTCTTTGAGAAACTCGATGGAGTACACATTCAATGCAATGCCCTGTTATGTGCCTCTGGTCTCCCCAAGTCCAAAGGAGCGAAGGTGGCCAATGGCCTTCATTACAGAAAAGTGTGCCTCTCTGCTTACAACAGAGCAAATTTAAGAAACTCTAAATCAGTCTCGAGCACGAAAAAATTCTGGTGCGGTCCGACATCGAGGCCCTCAGACAGACCAAAGGACTCCTCGACTGGCAGCTCAGCACCAACTTGCCTTCGCGCTTGGGAGCCCACACTCTGACCCCGGCGTGTTGAAACCACGGGTTCAGTCACCGAGGTTTCGGAGCAACCAGTGTAATCTAGTACGAGGGATACCTGAACGGGCAAATCGGGACCAGGTGCCTTCGCTAATGGGGGCCTTTTGCCAGTCAGTGTCGGCTAGTACGAGGGGTCTTCCGACTATCGAATCAAGATCCAATTGCGCAATCCGTGAGATCGGTTCGCGAGATTTGGGAACGGCGATTGAAGTCTTGCTCAAGGACGGTGATAAACCCGGGAGCAGCTTGTGCAGGCCAGCTGTAGAGCTAGGTATCACCGTTGCTGTCAATATATGTCTTAATGGTGCCATGTATCCTACTATCGCCCTTGAGAGCGTCGTGACGGCATCAGGACAGAGGCCAGGTATCAAGGCTGCTGAGGAACACGATGGACAGTTGGTGCTGGAGACCAAACATAGATATGAGGGAACGAGATTGTTGAGAAATTGAGGACCAAGCCTCTAATGAGGCGCATGGGCAACATTGATGCCAAGGAAGATAGACCAAGTTGAACAAAAGGTACACACGTTAGTGGGCAGAGAAGTGTATTGGCTCCTCGGACTTTTGCACCGTCGCCTGCATTGGCCGAAGGAGACGAAATGACACCAATAACCCAGGCGCTTAAGAACTTTAGAAACCATGTTAGCACTACTCTTAAGCTAGGAGGCCTCTGTGTGAGATCTCCTTGCGAAACGTTCAGGATTGACCACATCGCCCCGTATCCCTTCCCCATAGGACTTTATGAAGACCCATATCAACTCGGGAAATATGATAATATCAATGTACCCAAGTATTCGCATACTGTGCGAACCCCTCGCTCAAACATTGGCAACCGCCTTCAACCTCTCCATTCTCTCCCCCGTAACCCTGTACACATCCGGCAGCCCCACCTCCTCCCACTCTTCTCCCGCCATCAACCTCACCAACCCCGGCGCAGCGGTAAACACTCTCGCCATGCCATGTCCATTATGCCCCGCACAAACCCACTGCCCCGGCAACCCCGGCAACTCCCCCACAAACGGCACCCCGTCCTTACTCCGCCCAATAATCCCGCTCCAGCTATAATCGTACAATTGCCCCGGCCCCGTGGCCGCTTCAGTCCAGCCCTCGAGCTGCTCCTCGGCGAAGGACTTGACGGCATCTGTCACTTCCTTGATGCCCGATAGGCTGTCGTCGGTGCATCTTTCTGGATGCTTTGCGAGCCACTCGTCGAATTTCAACTGGCCTGGGTTCGAGCCCCCGAAGAGAACGATCCCGTCTGCTGTGCACCGCGGATTAATGCTGAATAGTGCGCCGTCGGGGAGCAGGACGCCGTAGGAGTTCTGCAGTGCCTTGGAGCCGGCGAAGGTTGAGGGCGGGATGACTTTGTTGCACATGTGTGGCGTGGGGCGGATGAGCCCGCGCAGCGACGGCTCGAGGGCGGCGCTGTAGGCGTTGGTTGCATGGACCACGCGCGTACATTCAATATTACCTCTATCGGTTCGCACGACCCATTTGTCCAGGTTCTCCTCACTTCGGACGACCTTCCGGGCTGCAGTGTAGGTTTGGAGGTTGAAGTTGAGGCCTTTGGATAAGTTGGAACGCATGATGTGTGCAGTTAGTTTCCATGGTTGGAGGGTTGAGGCCGGCCAGGCAAAGCAGGCTTGAGCTTCTTTGATTCGCGATATTGAGGCTGCTTCGGCCGGGTCGAGAGTCACTTTAATATGGTCAACTTTGCCACCTGCGACCTTGTAGCGCTCGAATACATGCTTGGACATGTCGGCGACTTCTTTGGTCATCGGTACGTCGAGGGTGTCTCCCACCCAGAGGTCGCAGTCAACTTTCTCGTCCTGGACGTACTTGACCAAGTCCTCCCAAGTCTTTTGCTCATTCTGCAATATCTGATGACGGTTTGTATTAGTAACCTATTGTGGCGAAGATCAAAACCAGACGCACCTTCATGGCTTGTTCAGCACCAAACCTTTTCTCGTACTTGCCGAATCCTCTCCCTGGAAGCCATTAGACAGGAAGAATCTGGGTATATGATTTTGAGGGAACACACATTGATCCGGTTTGCAATGCCCGGCATTCCTGCCCGTCGCTCCACTGCAGAACTCGCGAGCTTCGAGCACGACGACACTCTTCTCCGGCCAAGCCTCCAAGTGGTGCTTCGCTACCAGTGTCCCCGTGATCTGTTCCAATTCAAATATGTCTGGGTCAACATTCTGTCATCAGCTCCACGAACCTTGGGTAATCAAATACACCTACACCGGAACCGATAATGACCGTGTCGGCATAAGACGGCAGTGCGGCCGTTGTCCTGTGGTCCAGCAGCGGATCGGCTCTCACGCCTTGCAACCAATACGAAAGAGATTGACCCGACGTCTTAGGAAACCCGGTCCAGTGACCGTCTGTACCAGTCGAGGCATATTCATCCACGCTCAGGACTGCATCTGATTTCTCCGTTGTGATGCCCACGGTTGAGCCGGCTTCCACGTTTCTTACGACCATTTTCCCGCACCTTTCGTGAATTTTTCCTGGCTTGAATTTGATAGTGCCGTCGAAAGGGCTGAAGTAGGCACTGGGAGGTGTATTCGGTAAATGTGTCGTGCAGTGCGATCATCGGAGTCTTATCAATACTACACTTGGGCGACGGGCGGGGACTGCGCCCGCTTCCGATATGGCACCGCTGTATTTGCCGATGACGCGAATATTATCTCCCCGGGCCGGTGGATTTGAAATCGGCCCTCAACACGCTGGAGAGTTTGATGCCGGGTCCGCTACGACAGCACCGTATACCGATTTGAGATGCTGCGTTGTTCTAAACTCAATAGTATACTCAACACAATTCCTGCCTAGTAATGTAGTACGACGCAGGATATGTATTGAATGAAATTTGCAAACAAAAAAGGGCTCGTTTTTTTCACTCATTCGTTGAGAATGAGGAAAGCTTGTTGCGATCCGCAAACTGCAAGGACATTGCGGTATCAGTATTATGCCCCAAACCTCCTTAATTGCGCGCACGGTAAGCCTCACGGCAGTATAGTCAGTGTAGCATCGTGAATCTCAACTTCTGTACAGACAGTCTCCCTGCTTTTTCTCATGACATACTAATAAATACGTTCCCGTTGTCCCTTATGCTAAGTCCCTGTCTCATGTTTGCTGGTTTGATCATTTTATAGTGTCCGGCCACCACCAACAAGGCATTTTCCACTGCCAAGTCTCCTTGACACGAACGAACAGCTGAGAGTACCTACACTCATGTCTCTTTGCTTCCTCACTATTTCCCAACATAAACATTCATGTGTTACTTATACGCATAAAGAGAAGTTCGTTTCTGACTACAACGAAGGTTACAGGTGCGTCTTATCAGTGACCGAGTTTGATCCGGCGCGCGCCACCAGCAAGTGTATTTCTTTGTTGTTTCCGTCTGTGCATCCAACTTTGGGATATTCCACATTGGTCCCCTGAGCATGTAGCCGATACCCACCTACGAAGAAACACCCTGGTTTGAGAATAACACCACTCCGGGTCTCTGGTTCAGCTAGCCAAAGCAACCGGCAAATTATCCATATGCCACGGACACGTAATCTTATGCAACGCGTTTCCATGCCGCAAAATATCTCTGTGGCTTGCTCCGCAATCGTAGCAAAACTCGAACTCGCATTTAGCGCCTGGTGACAATCATCAGAACTTCGTCCCGAACTCCCAACTCGAACAGCCCCTAATGCAAGCCAAATTTTCTCACCCCGAGGAAAGTAAGCCGCTTAGCTCATCAGCCTCTACACAAACCACTGCACTGGCTGCTTTTATTGCCATAATGTTTTGAACATTTCCAGCAGAACTCGTACCGGCATTTGATACCTGCAAGCCACTTATTCAGCAGCAGTTTCATCGGGTACCCGGACTTCATTGGCTGGAAGCGCGGTTCTGTGCTCAGAACAAGGGTAGGAACAGATGAGGCTCTCATCCCAAATCGGTGCTCTACGGAGCGAAGGAGGGTAATATATAGAAGAATAGATTGAATTTGAAACGTTGACACTTACAAGTCATATGAGCACATCCCTCATTCTTCTCAATTGCCCACCCACACCCCGGACACGGCTTTGTAGTCTTCTGAACCGTAGCCTGACTGGCATCCTCCTCCATCTTCTTCCTCGCAGCATCCGCCTTCGTCTGATTCAGTCTCTTCCTCTCCGTCTCCCTCGCCGCCTCGGTCCTAGCCCTTTCCGCTGCCTCCCTCCTCTCCCGTTCAAACCGACTCCTTTCCGCCTGGCGTCTTGCCTCCTCTGCTTGTTCTGCCTCGAGAAGACTCAGCGCAAATATCCTGTCCCTCTCTTCCTGCTCCTGACGCACCGATAGCTCAGCCTGCGCCATGTTTTCGGCTGCTTCGTTGTCGAGGTCGACGCAGCTGCGGAAGGTCTCCGGGTCTTCTAGAAATCGGTCATATTCTTCACACGAAAGGCTTTTTTGCCACGCTACTTGGTGGCGGAAGCAGAACTTGTGTTTGCATTGAACGCAGCACACGATGGGGCGGTCGTCGCCGGTTTCGTGGACCTGCCCAGAGCCGCAGTTGGCGGGACACCAGATGAAGTCGGGGCTTTTGCCTACGGCGCTCCTGAATGCGATGGTTGAGTATCTGCACAGGCACATGGCAGGCTTCGTGGATTTGTTTGTAATAGTTGTGCTTGGGCTGTCTTACTTGGCAAAAGTGTCCTTGTCCGCGTAGAGCTCCACCTCCTGATATTCCATCGGCGCATGGCACTCGGGACAATGAATCTGATCCCATCTCTTGTTGGTAAAGTCAGTCTTGATCGAGGTCGTGATGCATTCGAGACATGCTTCCGGTGGATGTGTGCACAATTTAGATACAGAACAGATGGGGAATTCTGGTAGTGGTTTGCTGTCGGTACAGATGCTGCAATCCCGCATGAATTTGGGAATACTTCGCGGGGTGCGTTGACAGAACACGATTCTGTCTCCATTTTGTGCTGGTCTAGAATAACGTTGTCTAAATTTGTGGTGATGCTGTTGTGTTAGTCGGTGAGAGAGTTTGTTGACAAACAAGCCCGTTGAGGTACGCACTCATGGTCTTCATCTGATGTCGTGGGTTGCATTGCTTTGAACGTAAGATGCTGCAAAATGGTTGCGTCCGTTTCCCCATACGGCCGTCCAGTTGAATCCGATCGCAGTTTGCTATTCTTCGATCCCATCGAGCTGTCGCGGCTGCTTGACTGATTCAAGCTGCGTGGAGTTGAGACTGTGGCCGATTGTCCCAACCCGAAGCCTTGGGGTATGGTGAGACTTGAGCACTGGTAACGGAAGCAAGGCTGTGCGGACTCGGTTGGATTTTGTCACGGTTATTCAGTACAGCGTGAAGGACGAGAGTACTACAGAGAAGTCGGTTGATGGTCACCAAGGGTCACCAGGCTGATACTAGCAGTGTAATGTAGGGGACTTGATTACGACGAGTTAATCGCTGCCCCTCCTCAAGATAGGGACGTCACAGCAGCGTGTTTATACATGTCCGATCCTTGCATAAGCTAAGACGTGGCACGCCACTGGAGCCCACTGGCTATACAGGCCTATAAGCCACTGTGGCTCATTCGTACCTATCAGATTTGGCGTTGGGGTGGCAGTAAGTGTAGGATTCAACTTCACGGATAACCATAGTTTCGGCCGACGAGCGTCTTTCTCGAGAACAATCTTCATGTAATTTAAGGCTGGCAGGTTGACTGCGTCAGTCCACCCATATGTGCCGGACGGGGTGGAGGTGGAGTCGTGCTAGCTGCATTCGAGGAAAAGCAGGCTGAGACACAGCGAGGGACCAAGTCTGCGTCGAGTGGCGAATGACAACAGCTTTATCACGCAGCCTGATCTGTATATTTTGAGCTATGGCCGTGCATCGCCCTGTTTATGCCTCTTCTCGTTATTGTGCCTAGGCAGCCTGCAGGTGGAGAACGGCCGCGATTCGCCAAACGACCAGCCTCAGTTTCTACCTTGCACCGCTCACTGCCGCCCAAGTGCAATTGAGTCAGCCAGTTGAAAATGTGACTGCATCTTTTGACAGTTGACTGCATATGGTTTAGTTTCGTTTAGAAGACTGATATCTAGGTGCTTGTCCTTAAAAACTCTTGATTCGAACATGTTTCGAGTCCCTGCTGTATTGACTCCCAATACCTTAGAACAAGGGGGTTTATGATTCGTCTGATTGCAGGAGCGTTGACCTAATGGGGAAACTCCCAAATCCCTGCCTCCAGCCGTTGAGCTTTGAAAGCCTTCTACCACTACATAAACCACCAACCAGTCTTTCGTTTCTTGACCTGCCTTCAAGGACTGCTCTAGAGCTTGCCTCATCGTCAAATACCGGTATCAGCTAGTTCTCAATCCAATCGCATATTGCATTTTACCGATCACCAAAGTCCTGGGCCGAGTTAGCATCTCCTCCAATCCAAGTTCTTCAAGGACAGTTTCTCTGAAGCGGGAAACCTCCTCTAGGGCAATATCTAGGATGTATGACTACAAACTAAGGGTTTGCGATTTTGCGTCTTTCAGGTCCCATTTCGAGTCTTTGGTAGCCCCTCCTGTTCGTTTTCTTGTTCGAGCTGAGCCGAGGTGTGTTCCGTTTTCTCTTCTGACTGGGCCAGTTTAGATCTCAACTCGGGTATTTCTCGGACAAGTTGAATCGGACTAACGACAAATATGGTTGTAGCATGAGTGTGGTCATGAAAGGCCTCGCACTGAGTGTGCGCATCGAGGATTGTGTTTCCGGCAAGTGCTATGGGACCAATGTTCGGTTCCGTAGAATAACCCGAGACGTCGTGCCGCGAAGTACAAGAGGTGGTAAGTTGGTCTTGATGTTTGCTAGAAGGTACCGACGATGTTATGGTTCATTCTAGGAGTAAGCCTTCTAAGAAGTGACATGGATATGTCTAAGTAGGCTAACAAACTCAAGGGAGATAAATTATCTGAGCATGAGCAATACTGTCACACCTTCTAGCAATGGCAAGCGGCCAGGTTAAGCCGGCTTATAGAAATCGTGTTGAACATGTACGTAGACAGCACTGATTATGGATGACGATGTGGCACTTCTGGTGAAGTAGAAGCAGATATCTATCACATTCCTGAGGGTCAGATCAAGCAGCAGATGGGGCGCGATGGCGAAATTACTACGACGTGAGGCCAAACTTGAGATAATCTGTGAGCTGCATTCCGGAAATTTCTGTTGATGACGACTAAAACAAGACGTTTTCTTTCGCATCAACTTCGTACACACTGATCCATGGGGGTATGTGGAACATTGACGGCTCATCTGCGACGTTTCTGCCAACCCTTGCAGGCCAACGATATAACACTGTCAGTGCTGAATATGTGTGAGATGGGATTTTGAAGCTTCGGAACCGAGCCATCGCATCGACAACCCAATGAATCGGAGCTTGATGGTGGTTAACTGCAGTCACGTTACTCCTTGATCTGTATCATGACTGTTTCTGGCAGGGGTGTCATTTGGGAAAATCATATGTACTTGAGCTGTCCGTCATTAGGTGTCAACTAGATTTTGAATTTGGTAGTGGTATGTATTGTCGTTGAGGTTGAAATGAAATAGGTGGAATTAGGGATCCAAACAACAGTGCTAGTGTAATGCTTTGAAGAGAACCTGTTGCCAGGACCGGTTCCTGCTCAGGCCACTATTATGATAATTAGCTCCACTGTTCATTGCAGCTTCCTGGCTTCTTCCCGCATCATTATCACGGCCAATATATGCTATATTTCCCACAGAAACCTTAATTTGTTGAATCAGAGGTGACCATAAAAGACGTCAAGATAAAGAGCTCATTTTTGAAACTGTTATTTGGATTCCAGGACCGAGGCAGGCTGTGTGGTTCATCCACGCTACCTTGGGTCAATATCAAAATTCTCATGAGTCACAGCAGGGGTTTTGTGACCGGCTTGTTATGTAGCTATGGATCTTCAATTATCTACTGGATGGGGCGGCTGTGTTAAACGAGAACGTGGTCGTCATGAAAGCATTGAAATAATTCTCGCTACCAATGAACACCGCAATTACGGAAATCCTGTGTTTGGTCGGCAGTGTGATCTATTCTTTTCTTTTTCGCTATCCTATTTGTCAAATAGAGAGCGTACTGGAGTGTGCTACTTTCATTCCATCTCATCTGTTCCCGTGGCTACGTCTAGGGTAGCGATATTGTCAGTTCAAAAGCACTCCACTCCGTAAGTGCTTCCTTCTAGAGACCGCATTTGCCAACCAGTTGCGGTTGTAGAGGAGTTTGTCTGTGGATTGATTGGTTGGTGATAGTTTGAGTAGATGTCAGATGTGGTGAGCTGTTGGACCAAATTGACCGTCAAAAGACGAGGGACCCACTCGCTCTAGAATGAGGTATTTTTGGTAGTTATAAGGTCTGACATGAGCAAGCAAGCCGAATATTAGGAAGCTTCCTGATGGAGTTACCAAACTAGTGAAGGTCTCTAATACTGATTTTCTTTCCATCCAGTCAATACCTTGCAATGGACTTGCGAGTGGAAATAAAATTTTCCGTCGAGTGAGACTGGTTTCGACTCCCTTTTGGGTGGCACAGTAACCCAAAAGTGTGGTCGAGTTGTGCTTTTGGGTGTCGTTGCCAGTACGGGATGCCATGTGTTGATTCATACGCAGTTCCAGCCACAGAAGGTGCCTGTAAAGTCTGGGTCTTCTCCCGGAATGTCTCCTAAGTTGGAATTATGATTCGTTCGAGGTCAATAATTGAAATTGAGATCTTGGCGTGAACACTCCAGGACGTGGATTGTAGCTGTGAACAGCTTTCGTTTTGGAAGGCTGAGCTACCGAGCTGGCTTCTGGCTTGAAGAGAAAGTGCTCACTACCACATGTCATGAGGTGGGGCGGACTTCGTTCTGAATTCCGGCTCTGTGTTGAGGATATTCTTGGTGGGATTGGGATTGTCTTGTTTTGCTCCCTGGGTCGGGGTTTTGAACGCAGTGTGGAGGCTCCAGGTGAATACTAGCACCAGGTCACGTCCACAGCGACATGTGTTGCTGCACACTTGGCGTTTTTCAAGATGTAGAATTGCCAATGACACAGCGTTAAAAACTTCCCGCGCCATGAGGATTAGTTCAGGACGTCGGTGCTATTATTAAAGTTGTCTCAGGTGGTCATTCGGGTTCTAATGTGAACCTCTGCTGCTTGTGCTGCAAAGAGGGAGTTTCGTACTGGTTACTGAAGACTCGGTGGACTCGGTGGTTTGAGTTGGTCCAGGTTTGACGATAGATTGTCAAAGTTTGCGTTGGTCAAGCGGCAGCGGCCATCTGTTGAGGCGTATGGCTGACAGCAGCGGCGGTAAGCTTGCATGATCTCGACTTAACGCCTGTCCTCTTGACTAGAGTGGCGGCCGAGAGGCTAGGGAAATGAGTGGCAGTGAAGTTGCCTCGGCCTGATTCTGGGGTTGCCACAACCGTGGTGATAAGTTGAGCTGCTGGTGCTGTTTTTGATGGTATAGCTGGAAAGCGAGCGTAAGTAGAGGCAGCCATCGGCTTGTTGTTTAGGGCATCGGTGTTGACAGCCTTGGCTGAAGAGGCCCCAGCCCCAGTATTGACAGGGGGGTTCAACTTGACGAGCCTGGGATCGTTCAGGATGGTCTTGATATTCCGATTTCTCATAATGATGTCAGCACGAAGATCCCGGAGACTCTTCTCTGCCATGCGGAGATGTGATTTGGGTCTGGTGAAAGTCTTCAATGTGGTCAAGCGGACCAGGTGAATGGATTGAAGGCAGACCCAGCTCGTTTTTTCCTTGGGCATTAACTTATCGCCCTCGAGTTTAAGATAGGGACGTTCGGGGTCAGACCGTTCCGAGCCAACGAATGAGCGGAAATCGTATTTGCTGCACCGGTTCTGGTGCTTGTTTTGCTTCCAAGGTGCGAGGTAGCCGTTACTCGCGTCGGATGCATAGGCCGACACGGTGGTAACTACAGCGTACTTGGAGTTTCTGGGGCGTCGAAGAATGACGACAGGATGGCCGGCGGCGCCGAGATGAAGATTTCCAATCTTTATGTGCTCATCGTATTCGGATTGAGTGAACTCGGAAATTGGCCTGAGGAAGGCGATGTCGCCGTCTTGCCAGTCATTGCGGACAGCAGGACCACGAGTTGTCGTCGAAGTCTTGATGGGGGCCATTGTGTTTTGTACCTGATAGATCTTCATAAGATAAAGTAGGTAAAATCCAAATGAAAAATGGCCGAGGAGCGTTGATGAGACCAAAGTTCGGAAAGAGTATTAATAAGTCAAAGCTGAAATTGAAATAGGAAGTAAAATGATAGATAATCGGAAATAATTCCGAATATTGTCGCAAGAACAAGTCAAAGTATGGAGATTGATTGTGTCGTATCCAGAAGGGTCAACGAAATCCGAGTGAATATGTTGGAAACAGGTATGTCGATGAGAAGCATTTTCGAGGAGAGAATAGCATCAGAAAATCCTCCTTTATAACCCATCATCAAGGCGATGGGAAAAATCCGGACGGCTTTTGAGTTTCGCTGAACCAACGTTTCCGGTTCGCAAATGCAAGTATAGTCTGGAACGGGGGCTCACTCTGGTCAATAGAGTTCGCCGGTACCCTATACACCACCACCTGTATTGGAAATATGTAACTCCTCTTTCATTAGGATGCGTGACTTTCGCTTCTTTCCCACCATGAATGGTCGCATTTATTATATTTGGCAATGCTTATACCGTCATTTCCCGTTGCAAATGGCGCGCATGTGTGTTGAGTAAATGTCTTTCTCAAAGTGACTTGGCCAACTGCCATGGCGAGAGGCAGCCAGGATTGGGACTAAGTGTCTCGAAAATTAAATTTCTTTGAGATTTTTATGGTGTTTCTATCAAAGGTATTTCAATTTGTATGAAAACTTAATAGCTACAGAGTCTTTTACGGTGTAATGCATGTGTGGCAACCGATGGGCTGTTAAAGTTGGGCGTTCGTCCACTCGTGCCAGACGCACGTCGAGCTTCCCCATCAGGAACCCCAATCGGGCTGCAAGACTTCTGTGTAGTTTTAATTCCTTTCTTTCTAATTTAAGTTTTTTGTTTTGTTTTTATCTTTTAGTTTTGTTTGGTAACTTACAGAAACTTTTGCAATAACTCATACACCGAACGTCGTGCTAGTCCTTAAACTGCTAAATCTATGGTCGAGAAAACTCTGTCGACGTTCCAATGCCAATATGAGTATAGTTGAAATCATTTGAGATCATACGCCAAGGTGGGAAGTTTGCTGAGCCCACACAACCACCAAAGGACCTATAAATTGGTACAATCCACTTAAAAAGTAGCTACCATAATATATAGCAACACCAAGCGGAGATGGAGCAAATATGATGAACATGGAAATACGAAAGCGAAAAGGGCATTCCCAGGATAAACCATCAGATGCTGTTCTGGATAAAGCAGGGCGGGTGCATCTTGATGTTATTGCTTGATTGTGAAGCTATCCGACTTGCTAGCTGCAAGATCAGGAAGCAGGGCAACCGCGGGTGGTATATGCGCTGTGGTTTACCCGGGGCCGCAGCAGATGTATTGCATTTACTGAAGCAGAGATCTGGTTGATCATTTCGCATCTAATCGAAATGTGCGAGCTGTAGTATATCGGGCCCATAACCCCTTTTCCTGGTTACCATTATCAGTGCCACCAATACAGCTCTCTTGCCTGTATTACCCACAGGCACAAATATACAGCGACACACATCGCCGTCAATCATGAAACTATTTTTTGTCTTCGTTTGATAACTGTTGATTAGTGCAGCGTGTTGCATCACCTCCGCCTTCACAGCCTCCCTTCGACCGGAAACTTATTGTGCAATTCCCAATCAAACGGCTTCCGCGCGTAAACGATATAGCTGAATAATAAATTTCGGCACCAGAGCTCACAATTGAGCTTGGATCACTTATACCGACATGTAGATGCGATGTCTTATGTTCACAAGTTGTTTCTTGCACCCAGCAGCCAGTGCTTCCATCTCCGTCGCAGAAAGTCATACAGTCTCTAACACCTTCCAAACGATACCTCTCAGCCCATCGTGGGCTGACTCCAGTTGCTATCCACCGATTATTTCCAGGTTAGTCTGTCACGGGTATAACCATTGGCTAAAGCGTGCCTCGTTACCTTTTCGGGGTTATTAAAGCACGTCATCACAAACCGTAAGCGTATGTAGTCAAAATTTTGCTGGCGCGTATGAAACTCGATCTAACCTTCTTCAGAGTCGTCTTTGACGAACTTGCAGTATGGAACAGATGACGGTTCGGGTTATATTTTACTCAGGTATTTCCGAACGACGGACAATGGGTTGTCACGAGCTACTTGTATGTAAGCCACGCATGATTTCGATTTTCTTTTCTAAACTTCTGGGATCAGACAGCTCACTATACGCTATAGCCTAGATCCCCCTCTCCGTGGTCACATAGACAACGTTCATCGCCATTTTAGCCGTGGGACAACCTGCCATTTCGGAGCATCCGAAATGACGCATGCTGCAGATCCAGTCGATCATCTTCGGGTTGTCAGGTTTGCGAACAGTTTTCAATATAAAAACAAGCCCTCGACAAGAAAAGTTATAAGGGGGTTCTCACGCTGACCAACGGCGAGTTGTCGGACCTTCAAGGCTACTCCGTCAAGACTGCTAAGTCAAAGGAGAAAAGTAAAGCCGCAAACCGTACCCGGTATGGGTCAATATGATCTCTACCCATTGAACCACACAAGTCCTGGATGTGGGGCAGGCATCAGTTATTTCTACCTATATAAGGCCCCTATGGCCGCCCTTCACTTCTCTCAGGACTCTCCAGAGATCATGACACTTTCAATACAAGACCATTTGCCCACAATCCAATACGAGTTGGTAGGATGCGACGGTTATGATTTGGTGCAGAGATGCACGGTATGTTGGCGAAGCGAGAGTTGTGAAGTCGCAGGACTCGCCGAAACAACGGGAACAGGTTGCCTCCCAATGATTTTAAGGGCTAAGTATACCTAGGCCTTCTTGCCTAATATTGTTATCCCACTAGTCAGATGAGATATTAGCCTTGACTGAGATAGAAGCAGTTACGAAAGAAGGCCTTGGGATGGAACAATGGCTTGGTATGAGAACACAGATGGATGAGATTCGAGTCCGTCGGCCGGGGTGTCCATGTTACCCCTATGATGCGAGTGCATATGGGGTGTAAATTGATGTATTGGGAAAGGATGGCCAGGTCAGCTATTCCGGCCTGGCAGAGCTCATAGCTCTTATCTTATCTATCTTATCTATCGCTATAGGGTAGCCCCCATGGGGTCACGTATCACCCTATTTCCACCTTAGCCAGTCTAGCCATACTGTGACATGGTGACAAGTAAAGTAAGCACGATTGATTTGGACTGGCGTAGAATAGAGCGGTATGAAAAGAGCATGGTCAGTATCTATGACGTATGAAAAGAGAAGCATATGACTCCTCTCTTGTAGTCGCATTATCTTGAAACCTGACGTGGTAACACTGACGTCTCTATGTTCATTTAGGCAATGAAACGCATACAACTCCCCGCAAGACTCTCTCGTGGCGAATTTTGGTCAACCAATTACATTACTCTATTTTAACGCCCACAATATCCAACGGTACATTGCTGTAAGTAGCGAGCTGAGTGGCCAATAGTAAGGTTTCCATTTTCTAGTGTCGGTGCTACAATGACTGAAATTGGTTCGAGGAATAACTCAGGTTGGGATAGACAAAGTGGGGTAAGGAAGTATAAACTTGTCCCTCGGCAGCATAAATGTGTGCGAAACTACTCTCATTATTTTCGTGAACTCAAAGTTCTTGATCTAAAAGACTAGTAAGCCATAATCATATATCAGGAGAAGTTTCAAAGCAGACGAACTGCCACCATCCCAAGTCACTAGAATGGCTTTTGTAACTGTTTCAATTCTCACGGGGGCGTCACTGGTATAGTTCTCTATCTTCAGAAACAGCTGTTACTGACCTCCGTCTCTAGCTGTTGTTGTACTGGGTGGGATGGTGCGTCTACAGTCTCTGGTTTCATCCACTGGCGAAATATCCTGGCCCATTTTCTGCAGCCATATCAGAGGTACGCACATTGAAATGTCACCAATTCGCCCTCCCATATTCACTAACATGTCGAAGATTTGGTATGCTCGAGCATGGATGGGTGGCTATTGGCCCTGGGTACTGCACGACGCACACGTGAAGTACGGCGACATCGTCCGCATCGGCCCCAATGAACTGTCCTTCGGCTCCGTCCAGTCCGTGAAAGACATATACGGGCCACCGTCAAAGATGCGCAAGCTCTTCCCCAAGTCGGATCTCATGTACGACATCGGCGAGCCATCCAACGTAGCCTATGAGATGGACCCCAAACGACACGCACAGCGTTTGAAATTGCTTGCCCCTGGATTTCGAACTCAATCTCTGCGAGATCAGGAGCATATCATCCACGAGCACGTCGATCTTCTCATGGACAAGATTGCCCATCTGAGCCAGACGTCAAGCAATGGCGTTGATATGAGTACAGCGTACGAGTGGCTCACCTTTGACATCACTGGCCAGTTGACATTTGGGGAGTCGTTCGGGGCGGTCAAAGAAGGCCGCTCGCACTTCTGGATTTCCATTCTTTACTCGTCTATCTATGCGGCCAGTCTGTTCACCCTGCGGAAACGACTCCCCATCCTGGGTCTCTGGCTGGTTTTCATGGCGCTCTTTTCGCCTTCCTTGAAAGCAATCATCGAGAGCAACAAACAACATGCAGAGTTGACACTCGAAAGGGTGAAGAAACGAATCGAGATGGGTGATACACACACCCCAGATTTCTTCGCAAACATCATCCAGAGTGGAGAATTATCCGAGGCCGAGATGGCGTCCGAAGCAAACGTGCTAATCACAGCCGGAGCGGAAACAACCGCGGTGGGCCTTGTCGCAGCGATCTGGTACCTTTCGACCAATCCCAGCACCATGGAAAAGCTGCAGCGCGAGATCCGGACCAGTTTCAAATCCTACCAAGATATTACCGGCGATTCCACCGCCCAGCTACCCTACCTGAACGCCGTCATCGAGGAACTGCTGCGTATTTTCCCTCCCACAGCCGCAGGACCGTCCAGAAAATCGCCAGGCGAATGGGTCGACGGACACTACATCCCCAAGGGCGTGGGCGTTACCTCACACAACTGGTTTATTCAACACGATGGCCGCATTGTCGACAATCCCGAGTTGTTTGAGCCGGAGAGGTGGCTCGGCGAACGGTCGAAGGACAAGCCGTTCACATGGCCGTTTTCCCTGGGTCCGCGTTCTTGTCTGGGAATTAATCTGGCCTACATGGAGATGCGGGTTACTATTTCGAAGCTGGTGTACCGGTATAACTGGACGTTGGCCCATGATTTGAGTAATGGGTATGATTGGCCTACGGAGTGCCGCATGAAGATGTTGTGGAGGAAGGCTGAGCTGAGGGCCGTTTTCCGTCCTGCAGAGATTTGGAGCGAGAAGGCAACTAGCTAGAACCAGACCCATAGGCTTTTGAGCACTCTTGGATATTAGCCTGTTACTTCTAGACATGAGTAGAGAGTAGTTGAGCCACGAAGCAGCATGCTCTAGACCAACGAAGAATCCTCGAGTAATAGCTGACATCTTTCGACCCCTGATCGTGTCTCAGAGTCCAGTCCCCTTGACAGCGCCATTAAGCAGCATTCATATCCAGTTGGAATTTATAAAATGTAAGTTTTCCACATGCTTATAGATTACTGCAAGCTGAAGCTTGACAGTGTTGTCTCCCGGGCAACTACCCCGATACCCATATTACAAACAATACGCTTACGCGGCAACCATAAATAACAGCTTTTATGGGCCGCATGAGTATAGAGGTACGTTCAGTGCATTGTCTGAATGTGCCGTTTGCACTGAATCAAAAGAGCTGTTTCAATTCCTGCCCAATACGGTCGCGGCATCATGCAGACATGACTCGCAAACATAAATGACTGTATGACCCGTTCCATCAAGACTGGCATGCAGAACAGAAGTGCAAGTATTGGATGTTCGGGGGATGGTGGGCAAATACAGAGTGCAATGATTCAGAGCTTCATCATCACTGAATTATTTCAAAGGTTTGTTCTTTAAAAACTTCCCATTCTGAGAATACGACGAAGTGTAACCCAGAAGATACGACCGACGGAAACTTGAGCCACTGAACAGAACAGATAATTTGGTTGGTGTGCTCATGGCTGCGGATCAGGGCAATTCATCCTGCCGGGGAGTATGAGCCCCTCATCACCTGTGATAGCTGCCATGCCCAAATTTGCTTCCATTACAGACTTCCTGGCATGCGAGCAGTACGGTAATCCGCCGGAAGATATTGGCGAGTTCGATACAAGTCAATTCACCCAACCCGGAACATAGATGCCCAGTTCTCTCCAGTTCGGGCATAGAACGGAATTCGCCTGGCGATTCGAGCATCTTGCTGGGCACCCGGATCCCAGTCTACCACTCTTTGGCTCAATGAACGACGTCGTCAATAGAGGCTCGGAGAGAATGCGATACATCGTAGCAGCGGAGCAGATCTACCGGGAGCTCCTGATCAAGTTGGTCGAAAACCAGCTCGCTGTGTTGTACCAGGTCATGAACACTGTTTCCAGCGACGAGACTCCTCGAATGATGTATGAGGAAAGCCGACAAGCTCAGATCGCCGAGGTGAGACGGCTAGAAGAGGCTTAAATGAGACGAGGATTAGAAGCGGAGATGAGATTAAGAGTAGAGACTGAAACCAGCGCCGCGAGACAAAAAGAGAGAAAACTACAAGAAGCAGCCCAGTGAAATAGGGATGAGGCGTTGAACAGGAAGCTCGCCCAGAAAACTACCAATCTTGTCCCAATCGCAGGTTTGATATCGAGAACGCTGGATGGTAAGCGGCATTTCCCCTCCTCCCATGTCGATGTCTACAGACTTTGGGGCTTGGCTAATGACGGGCACATTAGTGACCATATACTACGTAAGTTGTTCATTAACATCAGGATACTGTTCTGTACTTCTCTAACAACGAGCCTGAGAACTCAATCGTAACTTTATTTAGCCAATTTCTTGCCTGAAGTCAAATGCGGGCCTTTTGTCACAGCATAGCCAACGACACGGACGGTGCGTTGCTCCATAGAATGGGACCCTGTATTTCGCGTGAATAGGACTAACTAGTACCTGCAGACTTTGTTGAAGAGTCAAGACCAACGATTGATGGGTATTGCTTGAGGTTATTGTCTCTCTTTAGTGAGGTACGCGCAGTCAAGGGAGGTCTGGTTGACCCCCCTTTCTGCCGTAGAGACAGCACCTGATTATACAAGTATTGAATTGATCATTAGTCAAAGAAAAGACGTGCCAACGAAGTAGGGATCGTCTATGCCCCCAACAATCATCGCAATCATCGCGATAGACACCTACATATATAACAAAGCCATCCGGCCTGCACATTACATAATATCCTTCACCCTGATCCATCCCCACTCCCTTTCCATTCATTCATGCCCTCAATCAACAGTCAACTCCCCAATCCTCCTTTCAATCTCTGGCACTTGCCTCAAAAGCACATCCAAATCCTCCTTCTCATCCTCCAGCTTCAACCTCTTATCCGCATCCAGCTTCGTAAACACAAAATTTCCCTGTCCATCAAACTGCAGAATCCGACTATGATACTTCCACAAACTCCGTCGATGACTCACCGTCATGAGTGTGATCCCCAGCGCCTTAGCATTATCATACATGACCTTCTCCGTCTCGAGCGTGACGGAGCTCGTGCACTCGTCCAGGATCGCGTACCGGGGTTTATGGTAGAATAAACGAGCCATGGCGACGCGCTGTTGCAAACCCCCTGACAAGACATCGCGCCATTCGGCTTCGGCGTCCCAGCCCTCCGGGTAGAGTTCCACTAAGTGCTCAAGATTGAGGATTTTGAGCATGTCGAGAAGTTGGGCGTCGGTGACGCCGCGGGCGCGGACCGTACGTAGGCTGTCTGGGTAGGTGATTTGTTGGCGCAGACTGCCGCGGGAGAGGTAGGGTCGTTGCGGGATGTAGAAGATGTCAGAGAAGGGGGGCTTATATACTGTGCCGCCGTAGACAGGCCACAAGCCACCGAGAATGCGGAAGAGGGATGATTTACCACAACCGTTGGGGCCAACGACGAGGAGGTGGTCGCCCTGCTTGAGGGAGAAGGACAGTTTCGACACAAGCACATCGCCATTGGGGCTAATGATTGGTACATCGATGAACTTGATATCAGCACTTTCGACCACCTTGCCGCGACCTCGCAGCACAGCTTCATTGTCTTCGATACCTGAGCTGGAAACGAGCTTTTTCTCGAAGTGGCCCGCCTGGATATCATCCATGACATCGAGGAGCGACGCGACACGTGAGGTGTAGCCAGCGAGCTCCATAATTTCACGGTACGAGAACATGATGCGACCGAATGCATCAGATGCGCTTAGCAACATGCGTCTGTTGGTGACAAACGTTTCGGTTCGGTCGCCCATGTTAACCACTGCGCCGGCAAGTTGTCCGGGCATCTTGAAGAAAACGGGAACACTGCACAGGAGCAAGCCCAAAGCCCCCCAGAAGTACTTAATCACGAAGTCTTCCATAACCCCGTGGTAGAAGCGCCGACGCAAGATGTAGTTCACATGCTTAATAAGCGTGAAGTAGCCTTTGTCAAGCGTGTCTTTCTCGGCCTCGTGACCTGCGTAGAGTGCGACCTCTTCGCTATGGTCTATTAATCGGGAGTGTTGGAAACGAAACTCGCCCTCTAAGCGGGCTTCTTCCGCAACGTATTTCCCAAATGGTGGTGTAAGTGTGCGCATTACGTTGGCTGAGAGTTGGACCAGTAATGACATGAAGACCACTCCTTCACCACCTACGCTCTTGGATAGCGACCATGTGTATATCGTCTGCATTTATTAGTCCATTGCGAGGATTCAATGCATGGGTTATTTGAACTTACCATGTCCAAGATAGGCTTCGCCAGGTTGCTGTACAGTTCCGCTAGACTGTTCGAGAACTTGGCCACATCAACAGAAATGAGCTGGTCCGGGTTCTTTATTCGATCGTCCAAAGCAGAGATTCCGTAAAAGGTGAGTTGGGACAAGTACTTGTCATGAATGTACTGGGTCAACCTCGTCCGGTACTTCAGCGACAATTCGGCTTGATGATACGATAGCATGGAGTTTGTGAACGTCGCCGGTACAGCGATCAACATCCACCACATAATGCGCATGAGAAAGTCCCTCCCGTTGCCCTTGACGAGCGCCTTCACGATGGCACCGTCCATCTCCGCGACCTTCAGACTAATCAATGTTCGAATGACGAGGAAGAAGCTGTGACTAAGCAACAGCCGTGTCTCCTTGCTCCGCCAGCCCGGTATCACGACCCTCAGCAGCCGCAGCAGGGCCCGGAAGAACTCGCGGTTCAGCTCGACCTTCTTCTTGCGCGTGGCTTCGGGTATGTCGCTCGAAGTGGTGCCGGACCGGCGTTTGGCGGCCTCGCGCGCGGAGGCAGCCTTCTGTTCGGATATTGCATGCCGCACGCGGTTCACGAGGGCGATGAGGAGCGTCAGGTAGACGGCACGGGAGATGCGAGTTCGGTTCGAAACGTAGAGGTTGGTCGCTTGCGCGATAATGTCCTTAATCGATCGGTCGGGCAGGGCCAGTTTAGATAGTACCGCCATGATGGGGGTTGCGATCAAAGGAGTCGGTCAGCACGAGAGCTGGCAGCTGAGCTAAGGGAGGGATTCAAGAGGGTGGCTCGTCTTCAGAGGTCAACGAGAATTTATCATCGATTCATGTGAAGAAACGATGGCAATGGGTGTAGGTTGTCGCCATACAGAGTAAACAATGCGTTCGCTTGGGCTAGATTTGCACAATCGTATTGCATGGTGTTGACATTTCACTTTGTTCTTCGGACCCCCAGGGCTTCTACATTTAGATCAGAGCGGCGTGCGTTCCTCGGCGAGCATCAAGACCGCCGCTACTTCCTTCCTGAATCAGGGCAACAAGCAAAGCAACTGTGGCATGTGATTAGCAGCAAGCGTCTGATCCTCCCTTGCCGGCTTGTGCTTTGGGGAAGTGGGCTGAAAGTGGCTCGTGCATCTCTGGGGTAATTTCTTTAACTCCGATTAGAACCGACAGCAGCAAGTTGCCTCCGCGGGGTCATCTCAAATTTTGAGAAAGCCGGCGCATTCTGACGCTTTGGACCGGCATCTTCCTTCACTGTCCTCATTCTATCGCAACACCAGCGAAGACTCCACACGCATCGCAAACATGTCTGACGGCGAAGACGAGATCGCAGTATACGACGAGGTCGAGATCGAGGATATGACCTTCGATGAGGCTCTGCAGATCTACCATTATCCTTGTCCCTGCGGCGATAAGTTCGAGATCGCTCTGGCAGATCTTCAGGATGAGTCGACGGACATCGCTGTCTGTCCCAGTTGCAGTCTAATGATCAGAGTGATATACGATATGGTAGTTGAACGTTTGATGTCGAGGATATTCTCAGACTGACATTTTCATCCAGGACGATCTGCCCAAGCCCGAGCCAGATCCCCCCGCGACCGAGCAGCGTGCCGACCAAGTCCCTGTCGCCGCTTGAAACTTTGCGCCTACGAACGATAAGCAGCGACAGTCCCATACCCGTGGTTGCCGGTAGATCTACTACACTTCGATACATTATCACCGCGCTGCGCCCACAAGAAACAATCCGCTTTTAACGGTTGCGCCATCGTCTCGCCAAGCTTGCACATGCACTGGGAATCGGTCACTGGTCATAGCCCATGGAGTACAACATAAAGCGTGAACGCAGCTGGAGAAATCCGAGCCATCAGACCGAAACCGCCAGAATTTTGGACAAGCGACGAGAATAAGATACCACAGACGTTGTCACCGCTTACGGCAGTGGAAGGCCCCAGTTCACTGGACCCAACAAGTCCGGTAACCAGAACGCTCAGTCGAACGGAACCTGAAAAAGTGCAGGGTCGGCCTGTGGAGTAGCTGCACAGCGGGCTCACTTCAGCTTCCGCAGGCCATAATGTGCAGTGACTGCTACATGGGGTTATTCCTGCATTATTTGGCTAGAGGAGCAGCAACCGACGAGGGACCACTCGAGACTCATGGATGATTACAGCGCTTTATATGACTGAAGGAGACTATGAAGATAGTTTCGGTGGACGTAAATATCTGAAGACGTTTCGAGGCCAATCATGTTTGATATCAATAGCGCTTCTCGATGGATTCCGTAGCATAAACGTGCCTGCTTCGATGTCATCCGTGAGAATATTAACAGTGTCGTTGATAAATTCCTATGGCTTGATCCTGGCGATGTCAGAGGAACGACGCATCAATATTGACATGTTGACATTGCCATAGCACGGCGTAAGTGGGCTTTGGATTGAGATTTCACATGTCAAGCGCATGAGGCAATTCATGTAATCAATGGCAGTTGATGACTGCTCAATGCGGCATCCAACGATTTGTACCAACCTATCCAGGATCCTAATTTATTGTTCGTGAGGTATATTTATCCCCGATCGCCGGCCGACCATATCAAGACTGTCTAAACCGGACACGACATCAACCAACCGACCCAATCCGATCCTAATCGTAACCGAAACTCCTTCCGAGGACCACCAAAAGGGAAAATCCAAACTTCATGCAGCTGGGTATCTCATTGCTTCATTCTTCTCGTTTATTCCTGTGATCTATTGGAGATCACAGCAGACACAGGCCTGCTACGCCAAACACAATGAGACTGAATAGCGACTTATCCAGTGCGGGCGAAGGCAAGTCGGCTGCTGCCATTGCAATCGCAGGTGGTGTTGGTGTGATGGTTGCATTGACCGCGCTAGGCTTCGTGGGTGTTGTAGCCGCAACTGTACCACAGAGAGTCAATGGCATTTTTTTAAGGACAATTTTAGTGGGAAAAGACGTACCCATGGTGTTATTGGCAGTAACCCAGAGTGGATGGGAAGCTATAGGCGGAACCTCCTCGTTGATCACGATCGGTACTTGGACCTGTTGCGAGTCGGCGGCGCAAACGACGAGTGGTATTACAGCACCGAAGATCAGGCCCCTCGGTCGCATTGTGTCGCAAGTCTGTCTGCACTCGACTCGACTCGAGCTGAACTCGTTCGCAATCTAAACAGGACGGGCACTGTATAGTAACGATGCTAGGTAGGCTTTATCGCCGGGTCGTTTTTTAAAGATGGAGAGTTATGAATTCACTGATCACGAAACCAAGGATTGACACCATTTATGAGAACCTCTCAAGCTTGAAAAAATAAAAAAAAATAAAAAAAAGCTCGGATACCTACTGTCGACATTTATTATCAGAGTTGCAAGCGGGGACGACTCTAATAATCAACTTTCGCATCGATTGCCTACCGTCATGGCACGACATCGTCGTCACCCTAGCACCGATGCTGTAACCAGGAATGATGGATCTGAGCAAGGATAGCAAAAGCTCAGGATCCACCAAAGGAAGCAGCACGCGTCCTTGACTTGTTGGTTGGCTTGCTATCTTTTTCCCCGTTTCATGGTACGCCGAGAACCCCACCGAGAGATTGAGGGAGACGGCCATAACCTGCGCGAAATATCGCTCAGTGACGAAAATGGACAGGGGACTTGTGACTGTTTGGTTTCTCGTCGTTGGAAGGCTGTATGTTTGGGCCTGGCATGTCTCATCAAGAGACCACCATAAATAGAGTGCTCGTCCGTATTGTTTGGGAATTTCAGAGGCACATCAGACTAATACCACGTGTACGTTTGCATCACCATCCTCTGATCTGTCTGTACTGTGAATTGAGTCGCTCCGACGAACGTTCTGGCAATAGAGAAACATAACACGGAAGCGAAGCCGACTGTGGTTAAGTCAGTATCGTTATCTGTTTTTGTGGATGGGGATTCATTGTATCGGCGTCGATTCAGACGGCTTGGCAGCTTCCTGGGTTGTTGGTTGTCGGAATTGTGTCGGAATTGTTGATGCGATTCAAGCAACAGGAGCTCGCCAACTCGCTCAAGTGCTTTGGGTATGGCGTCATTACCCAGAATTCGGCACAAAAGTCGGCAGGATACTCGAGTCCACTGATGAACCCAAACACGAAGCCTGTCGTCTTGGGTGAGACAACCAGAACAGAGAAATGTTCATGATCTATGCCAATGAGCTTGGAGTACCGAGTATCATCGATGAAATGGATGCCATTCAAAACCAGGACGCCACAAATTGCTCCAGTCGAGCAATTGAGGATTCAATCGCTTTCGGGGGAAATCCCACGCGGGGAGGCATGGAGCTCTGAAGTTCCATGCGTTTGTCTTGGTTACTTTGATCCAGAATCACATTAATGGTGTTCGTCAGCCTCAATCAAAGTCTTGATGCGTGTAATAAACGGCTGAAGTCTCGTAGTGGGAAAGCAACTTCGGTATTACTCGCAGTAGTTTGGTCATATCTCATCATATGTATGTGCTACTCCAAAAGGGCTGCCGGAGATGGACATCCACCTTTCTCAAAGAGGAATTGACGCAAGTCTGTCAAGTGCCCGTCACAAGTGCCAATCTTCAGCCATGCTGATTACGGCATCGAAGCCTCTCGCCAAAAAGTGAAGGTGCGAGTGCATGATGACCCCGCCATCAGAAGACTAAGACCCCTGTCGATCCAGCGAGCTTGCCCCTCGGCTCTCAAGCCAACTTCCATCCAGTCGGGGCCTCGATCGGGCGTTACCCCGAGATTCTGCTTTGAGCTGCAGACTGCATTTGAGCCGGGTCAGGGTCGGCCATTCACCAACCCTTCAAGTGAAGACTGCCTTTGCGCCCATGGCTGGCGTTTCGTCAATAATAATTATTTCATTGCAGACCATAACAGGGGATGTGGTCGCCGTTCTCCTGCATCTGTAGATCTCCCGCTCCTCGTCAATAAGCCTGTTTCCCACCGCCAACTGCGCGCGCGTCGAGATCACCCCAAGCAGCCAGCCCTCGGAACGCCTGTGACCAAATCAGACCTCGCTCCTGCAAAAAGCCGCACGCCTTCCCTCGATGATCCACGAACCACAGGTCCATTGCGTAACGTAGAGGCCCAATGGGAGTCGGTGCCATTCAGCAGACCCGAAGAATTTGTAGCAGCAAGCAGACATGGAGAACAGTGGCAGCAGCAATGGCCATCCCGCCAAGCACGCGAGACCCGACAGCGACCACGCGAACGGCAATGCAGCAGCAGCACCAGCAGCAGCACCAGCAGCAGCACCAGCAGCAACAGCAGATGACGAGGTCAAATTGAAGGAAACCACCAGGTCCCCTGCTACCGCTGGCGGCGCCGCCGCCGCTGCTGCTACTCCAGACAGAGATGCCAATAAGAGCCCCAGGAAGCGGCGCAAGGTGAATCACGGTATGCTGTGCTCTGCTGCTAAATTCTCCTAATCCCCTTGATTCATCGCAAGGTCGTATCCACGCTTCCATGGGCTAATTTTGGGTCGCGTTCCTACAGCCTGTGTCTACTGCCGTCGATCTGTGAGTCCTTGGGCTTGTCCAACAATGTCTCGTTCCCCCTATCCATTGGGTCCACGTCTGCGTATCCGCGCATGCGTAAAATATCGACCCTGTCTGCCATTGAGCCCCTGCTGCAGGAAGGCTTGACTCTCCCCATGGCAGCGCGCACATGGCTTTTGCGCTCTCCCCTGCCCTCCTTGTGTGTGAAAACTTGGTTCAGTGTGACATACGGCTAATACACATGCCCACGGGTCCCATAGCACATGACTTGCGATCTCGTATGTAAGATCTCTTTTGTTTCTGCGTCCATGGCTGAAAATATTGCCCTCAGCATGCATGAACGAGCGACTCACGGTGTACCTAGGAAAGACCGTGTACGAGATGCATCAAACGCAACATAGGCCATCTATGTCACGATGAGCCCCGAGATACCGATTCCAAGAAAGCCAAAGGCCCCCAAGCTGCAGCTGGCCACGACGAATCAGACACCCAGTCGGAGCTAGCGCAGAACACGGTAGACCAGAATCCCGCGGCCTCCATGGGGCCACCGTCGTTCGAGGGTACTGGAGCTTCCCAGGCCACCAAACAAGGCTTTATTGCCGGGGCCTTAGGTCAGGCAAACCCCCTACAGCTTGTGTCACCAGGTCCAGTCTCTGGGATGCAGGCCAATGCCTCTAGCAGCAATATGAACCAATGTAGGTCTTGTAAAACCCTTACGACCGTCCAAGCCGCAGCAAGCTGAGGTGATCGTGTGTAGTCGCGGGATTCTCTGATGCCTGGATGACAGCCCAAAATCAATTTCACGATATGCACAGCTACAATCCTCAGTACATGCTACCCCCGGAGGTCACTCATGAGTTTAACCTTCTCAACGATTTTCTGAACACCAGTCTTCTGGACGACGGCGGGAATTTGGCGGAGGATCAAAATCAGCACTACAGAAACAACCACTCCGAAATGGCAGGCTTCTTGGGCGGAACCAATCTGCTGCCCCCTGGAGCACTGCAAGGAGGCTCAATGCCTCCGCCTAACGCGGACCAGGGCCGATCCATCTCGCGGCCGACTAACACCATCCCTACGGACAAGACGCGTGAGTTTTATCTGCAAGCGGCGGATCCCACAGGCGACGACACTCCCGAGAAGCGCATGGACCGCGTTTTGAAGGCCAAGTACGATGCTGGTCTCCTGAAGCCTTTCAACTATATCAAGGGTTACGCTCGACTCGGAACATACATGGATAGCCATATCTCGCCAGCCTCGAAGCAAAAGGTTTTGCGGCAGCTAGACCGATTCCGACCCAAATTTCGCGAAAAGATACAACATCTCTCCGACTTGCAGCTCATATACGTCGAGATGTGGTTTGAAAAGACCCTGTTGGAGTACGATCGAGTGTTCGCATCCATGGCAGTACCGGCTTGCTGTTGGAGGCGAACAGGGGAGATCTTCAGGGGCAACAAAGAGATGGCAGAGCTAATCCACGTTCCCGTTGAACGCCTACGAGACGTACGTTCAAGTGCAGCGCGGATTTTGCATCTTCCTAGCTAACAGTCAGCTTCCAGGGCCAGGTTTCATTGCATCAAATCCTGACCGAGGAGTCGCTTGTACGATTCTGGGAAGAGTTTGGAACGATTGCGTTCGATCCTGCACACGATACCCTTTTGACGGCTTGCGCATTGAAGAATCCGGACGACCTATCTAATGACCCAATTGTCAATTGCTGCTTTTCGTTTATGATTCGGAGAGACGACCACAAGATGTGAGTAGGATGATGTCCAGACCCTTGCCATGCAGTGACTAACAACCCTTCTAGACCCAGTTTGATCGTAGGAAACTTCCTCCCTCACGACCCTCAACACTAAAGCATTTTTATGGATCTGGCAGGCATTTCAAGGCGCTGGCATTGTCACATGAGTCGGGGGAAACAGTGGCATGGTTGCATTTTGTTTTGGCGAAAACAGTCTTGGGCCCCCACTGCCTGATTAAGTATCTACATATGGGGTGGCTTTTACACCTTCTAAACACATGGAAAACTAGCGTGCGATACATGAACTAGTAATTCGTCCTGGAAGCTATTGACTGAAGTATTGATGAGCGGCATGACACTGTCGGAGGAGGAGGCGCCGGAGTGCCGGAGGTGGGTATTGGGAAGTCACGTCTCAGGCAGAAGGTGTGTCCTCCGCGCCTGCTTCGTCCTTGTTAGAAAACCGGGAGCTGCCTGGAACTCCGGAGCGACCAGACCAACTCAAAGTTGATTTAGAATTTTGCCCTCAAAGCCCAGTAATCGGAATTAGAATTTGTTACCTACGACTTCATTCAAGCAAGCAAGCGTTTTAAGTGCGCATCTCCTAGATGCCATGCATGTAGCCCAGCCCAAGTCTTTTGGTCTGTAATGATACCCGTCCCCAGAAATAGCCTCAAGTCACCGTTCTGGTCACTTTCCTCGCTTCTCTCCGTCACCGCGTGCAGGTCGGTCCCTGGATTTCCGCGCTACCTTGGTCGAACTGTCACCTTCTGTCGCTATCCTCTACACTTTTGACCGCCTGAATATTCACGCGTCACTGCAGTGCAGCGGTGGGCCCCTCGCCATCTGCATATGCCTACCCCGGTACGGAATACGGCATGCCGCCTCCAGCGAACTTCTCTGCCCCTGCCAGAGACAAGGATAAGCGAATTGATTCCTTCCTTGGTTTGTAGCTGCAAGGACCAGACTGCCACTGCATACACTCTGCTAACATGACCCAGCTTTCGCTTATGACTTACAAAACAAACTACCGGATCTTACAGTCCAGAGTGATATCAACCGCCTAACTAGTGGCCTTGATAGCCAGATCCGAGCCATCAAGTCTTGCACCCTACGGAGTCCAGGGCTCCATCGAAATGCGCCGCTTGACAGTGCCGGAACGTCTCTATGGAACCTGTGCACGCAGCTCATACGTCGAAATCACGACGATCAAAGTAGTCGCCTGCGCAAGGTTTTGATCATGTCTCGCGTCTTTGCGTTTCTCGTGCTCGCTCTAGCTCAATGGGGCGATCATAACACGCCAAGTCATCTCATTCGCCTGGAGAAGCTTGCAATTAAGACGGGCAGATCGTGTATAGGCAAGTTGCAGATGTCCGTTGCCGTGATGCATACATCGAAAACTGATGATGGCGCAGAATGGGGGGAGCTCGAGTTCGCGCTGGTGGCCCTGCAAAGAGCCGCAGATTACAACGGATTATTGCAGAATATGCATGGGAAGCTGCAACAAGACCAGTCAATTGTCTTCAACAGGCTGGAAGCAGAGTATTGCATTCTTCGCATCGCACTGGTAAGTCACTGGGCTTCAAACCTTTTCTCACAGAGCCTCTGACTTGTCTGAAGTCATGGAAAGAGGACCGCCTCGATGTCGCAGAGCACATGCACAGCAAATCTGAGTCTCTGAAGGAAAAGCTCGATCCCACATCTGCAGAGAAATTTGCCGACACACTGTTTGAGATCGGCAAGGATTTGGTGTTGAAACGTGACTTTCCTCTAGCCGTCAAGTGGCTGGACAGAGCCTACGACTTTCTTAACAGTCAGGAACTTGAACACTTGTCCCGAGAAGCAATCAAGCTGAGGCTCGCAATTTCGCAAATGCTAGTCCAGGCACTTATCGGTTTGGGCACATCGGAAGGCTTCCAAAGGGCTGAAAATCATGTGGGTTATATCGAATCGGAAATAGGAGACAAGCTCGTTGTCTTGCTTCTACGACTGGAAATCCTGATCAAAGCACCCAAGGAAGTCTTCGACGGCGGCAGCTATGCTGATGTTCTTCGAAGGATGATCAGAAGCGTGGATATCTCCGACTCGACTTTCAAACTTGTGGTCTCTCATATCCGCAACCTGGACGACAAAAATCCAACCCAAGCTTTCCAGGTTCTTAATGAGTTTCTGAATATCCAGGTTCTGCCATCTCAAAGACAGGATTGGATCGAGCGGGTAGCTGTTCTTCAGGCGTACTTGGCTACAAATCGTAGAGACACTGTAGACACAGCGATGGGCCTCAAAGAGGCACTGGACAGTATAGGGGCCAACACAGAGAAACCACTAGCAGCTTCTGTAGCGCTTGCGATCATCTCTGTACGTCATATATGTTTCAAAGCCACTAAGTCAAGTCTAACGGCAAACAGTTGATCTGGAAAAGAGTCGACTCCAACTACGCACAAGGACAGCTCGATATGGCGGAGACTTGGTGTCAACTGGCCGTGCATCCTACCCTCGAGCAGTGCGGACCACATAACATCGCGAAGATTACGAGGTATCGTGGGTCAGTCCTGAAGTACTGCCCAGTGGTCTAACACTTGCAGGAAACTGCTCCTCTGCCATCTACAAAGAAACAACATAGACGGTGCCAAGGAAATACTCGACTCGATGAGCGAAACGACGAAAAATCAACCTGCGACCATGTATCTGGCATATAAGCTAGCAATTCGAAGTGGAGATCGGGATATGGCATCTAGATGCATCGAATCCATCAGCTCATATTCGGCAAAGGACCCGAAGTTCCTGTATGCATGCTGTGTTGATGCACAACGATGCGGCGACAAGCTATGCGCTCTCGAAGCCTTGACGCATCTGGCAAACAAGCACGAGTTTAGTCCGACTGGTTCTATTCATCTTCCCGCACTTCTCCGCGTCCTTATTCGACTACAGGTCTCGGTCCTGTATGATCCCCAGCTGAAGGGGGAAGTGGACCACAATTCGCAAGTCAATGACTTGTGTCAAATTTTCGATGGGGGTGGGTCTCAAGAGCCTGAGTGATCTCAATATTCTTCATGCTAATATTGTCACCAGTTGTCAGCTTGCTCCAACGGGATCTGCGGGATGAAAGAGGTGCCAAGCTATTCTCCGTTGATGAACTCAACTGGTTCTGCAGAAATGCCTACAATTTGGGCTTGAAGCATACCGATTGCTGGGAGCTTCGCCAAGTTATCAGCATATTCCGTGCCTGCATCTCAATAATTTCCCATTACCCGAAGGACCTTTCCGCTCAGGAAGCTGGAGACCTATCTCTGCGAGGGATATTTTGCAACTTCATGATCGCGACTGCGCTCATTGCGCTAGCTCGCTCAGAAGACAATGTTGAAGCACAACTACAACATTATTTGTCGGCACGGAGTCACATCAAGGCCTTTGACGAGGAGCTGGAAACACGGCTCGGTAGCCTGGACGAGGAGTCTCTCCACGATCTCCGGTGCAAGATGTCGGCACTTCTGGTCTTTGATTTTGAAGCTGCAGTGAGTCTGAAGAATTGGGATGATATGGCCACAATTGCACGGAAGGCAAAAGAATGTGGCGATCTGGTCACGTTGCAGGCTATGGCGGACTGTACGCTTAGAGCTAAAGGTCCTCCTGTTCAAGGTATGCCGCGACCTCAGGACTTATTTTCAATGACTAAGGTGCTAACAAATTCTCCTCCAAGTTCTGTACTCTACTCTCCAAACGATCATTAATCTCATCTGGCGCCTCGAGAAGTTCGATATCAACAAGCTCGCAAAGTACATGCGTTGCCTCCTCCAAGCCACACTGTCACAGGAAGTGGAAATTCCTCTCCGGGTCATCGAAGAGACGTGCCAACACGTGAGCCGGGCGGCGAACGTGAGTCCTTGGTCCCTCGAATCTCTCTGACTTTCTGACAATGATTGCTGAGTAAAACACAGACGAAGAAGCCATTCCCGGCCATAGAACTGGAATGGCTTGCCACGACCGCCTTCAACCACGCATGCGACCTATACAAGAGCCAGGAGGATAATTTGGCCAAACGGTGGATCGATCACTCGTTCTCCTTGGCTCATTTACATCGTGATGGGGGAGTGTTAGAGAAGACTTTGCATGAGCATTATACTCGTCTTAAATGGGACTGAGGGGCGAGCGATCACGGAGGGGTCTATGACTGCTCGAGCTCGTCGGGTGAAGTTGGGCCTATCGAGAGTGGATCTTGAACTCAAATGTAGAACGGCCCTTACGTGGGATGCGGATGAAAGGCAAGCCACTAGTGGCGATATACACGTGCTATATATGTGCTATTGAGGTTATTTGGGCCCGGACTTGAGTTTTAACCTGGAAGATATATGGCTGACTTCTGCAACATAAACCGTGCCTTAATTTAAATCATTGTCTCATTTTGTTCGCTGCATGGCAAGGGATTGAGGTGGGACATATCGGCCTCAGAGCTCAAGAAATGGCTCAAGAGGCAGTCCCTGGAATCTGCAGGGGCAGTCAAAGATGATGCATCGGGCGAGACGATTGGACATGGATGATATGTCTCCAAGTCTTCGTTTCTTGGTAACATTTGCTTACAGTCAATCGTACGCCCACCAGCGGCCGCAAAATCTTCGGCAACCTAAAGAAACCCCGGACAAGGATTCGGCTAAGTATCATGAGGTCGATATAGCGTATAGGATACGGTTGTTGGCGTTTTGTAAGAGACATTTATTGCAGGAGGGTAAGGCGAATCGAGAACCAGGGAGTAAGTAGGAGCGCCCGGTCATTGAAGAATTGGGGACATGATCCACAGAAGGCTTGAGTGTTATAGACATTTTCACTTTCAGGAAGTCTGCACATGATGGGAAATTATAGGTTATTTGATAAGTGAATGATGAGAAAGTTCTATAAGTGTAACACAGATTTGTTGATGTCTCGATGTTGAAATCTGGGGATGGGGTCCCCTCTCATGATACTCGAGTACTTCGCAATACCGATCCATAACTAAGCTCGCATATTTGCGAATTACCAACGGTCCTTATTTGAAACCAAGCGTGCAAAATGGAGACCATAGAGCTTGGCTGCGTAAACTTAGAGCTGATCACAATTCCGATGAACACAAATAGCACGACATCGTCGACGACCAGTTTTTCGACGTTAAGATCTGACTATGTAACCCCACAACATTATTAAGCATAGTTATGAGGTCATAATCCCAGTAACTACTTAAAAACGTACAACAAATCCCTTCTTAATCAGTCCCCTTTTCATCTCGTCTCATCTATACAAGTGAAAAATCTCACACCTCACTTTATACAGAATGCTCTCTATTATCGGCGCATCCGGCAACCTTGGCGGCGCCACCCTCTCTGCCCTCCTTTCCCATAACCTCCTTCCGCCCCAATCTATAATCGCCATCACATCCTCCAATCCCAACTCCGATACCTGGGGATCCCTAGCCGCCAAAGGCGTCGAAGTGCGCCACGGCGACTTCGACGACCCCTCGTCCCTCGAATCCGCCTTGCGCGGCAGCACCAAGCTCTTCCTAGTCTCCACCCCGCGCATCGCCCTCGATTTCCACGATGCGCCTGAGGGTGAAGGTCGGGAGAAACACCACAAGGTCGCGATCGACGCCGCGCGGAAAGTAGGCGTGAAGCATATTTACTATTCTTCGCTTGCGTTCGGGAATCCTAGTAAGGCGGGGGTGATGCGGGCCCATGTTAGAACGGAGAGGTATTTGAAGGGGTTGGGGGAGGACGATGTGAAGGTTACCGTTTTAAGGGAGGGATTATATAATGAGTCTTGGCCGCTATATATGGGGTATTACGATCCTAAGGAGGATGAGAGGGGGTCGGTGAGGCTGGCGGGGGATGGGAAGGTGTGCTGGACTGGTATTGAGGATTTAGGGGTGGGGAATGCCTTGGTGTTGGTTGCGCCTGGTGAGGAGTGGGAGGGACAAACGGTTTATCTTTCAACACCGCCGGAGATGGCGAAGACGATGGCGGAGATTGCTAGTATGGTTGCGAAGGGGAGGGGGAGGGAGGTCAGTGTTGAGGTTGTAGGACGGAAGGACTATGAAACTTACTATATTAATGAGAAGAAGATGGATCCGGGAGCGGTGGAATGGTGGTCCAGTACGTATGATGCTTTGGAGGACGGCGAGTGTTTGATTGACGATCACACTTTGGTCAAGTTGTTGGCAACGAGGGGGAAGAAGCCCGTTCCGGTCGAAGAGACGGTTGCTGCCATGGTTACCGAGGGTTGATTGTCAAAATCATACATGTTCCGATTCTTTGACTATTTTATCTGTGTTATTACTATACAGATGCGGTCCGTTCTCTGGTCTCAAATCCCTTATGGATTGGTATTTAACCTCATTTTAATAAAGAACGTCATGCCAAGCGAGATTCAAGGTCACGCCCTTAGCTTACGTTGTTTAACGTTACATATAAGTAGTGGAAATGGATTGCCAAGTGAAGACAGGCGATGCTGTACTGGTTTTATTGACAAGTCGTTTTCACATGTACAATAATAAGAAAAGAAGATATTTATTGTGACTTCAATGAGATAGTTTCAGGTGCTTGTCCCGCGTGGTGGTCCATGTCCTTCGTTCCTGGGGAAATATCCTTGGGGTTCTCAGAGTTTCATGTACGCTATATTGGGTGAATTGATCTCTGTAGCATGCTAATTACACATCATTATAAATAAAGGCCTCCCAAGTAATCTACTATGAGTATCTGACTGCCTCACTGCAACAAGAGGACGAAAATCAAGAAAATGCCGTGGAGGGATTTTCCCGATCATTCTGAACATAGTCTACATAGAGCAAAAGTTGTGAGTTTCAACATCCTTATCCGGCAAATTAGGTTGATTCGCTGTCTCATTATACGGACTCAGGTGTCAAAGCAACCGATCTACGTCTTCAAGGGACACTTTCGGTGATTTGAGCATAATTTTGTATTAGAGTTGTCAACTTCAAGGCATATTACCGCTAACTTTGAACTCTTGCTCCATCAATTCACTTGGCGCTGGGCGACCAATTTTGAAGATTCACAACAAATACTACTTCTTCTGTTGTAGTGGCAGTCTCCAGCTGGCGACTCTTTCCGGAGATATCACTTCATGTACACTAACTAGCCACCAACTAGCCATCAACCAAAGAACACAATACATTCAACGACTCGATATGTCTATACCTCAAAGACAAACATGCCCTCACTGCGGATCGATATATGTAGCCGGTCACAGCTAAACCGGGCAGAGAACGTCTGCAACCTCGGGAACGCTTGTCACTCTCTGGGTTGCCGTTACGGCGTTCCTAATCCTCAGGAAAAATTTGTTGTCCGCAGAGACGCCATGGTCGAATAAACCATTTTCTTACAGCTGGTAGTGTTGCTCACAAGCGGCCAGACGATATGACTATGCGAGTGCGCCGGTTGCACACCGTTTCCTCAAGCATCAACACGATGCAAACCAAGCAACAGTTGAGCTCTAAACACGTTTCGGAACCCGCGTCTCTTCATGATTTGGCCAAGGCCAGAAGTTGGGTACAAGAGGCGTACATGCAACTTGATAACATTAGAGCGGCTTTCTGAGACATTATGAGCTTTTCAATTCAGCCGCGGGATAAAGGCGCTTAGGTTTTTACCCACGTCTAGGTTTACCATCAGGCTGAGGCGAACGATCATAACCAGGCCTACAACTGGGCCTCCTTTCGGCCCAAACTTGCACCACAATGATTACAATATTGGGGCTGTGGCCGAGTTGCTTGACCTTCATCCAGCCCTTGGCAACCAGGACCAACACATGACAGGTACTCAGAGTGATCAATTTTGCAGTTATGTTTGGACGACATGTTATTGATCTAAACTCGGCGAGATATTGTCAGAGAAGCCAGCAGGAAGACAGCTGAAATAGGAAATGAGACATGTGAAACCAGAAAGCAGAGAACCGCAGATGAATTGCAGTGGGGGGGGTTAATTATAAGTGTCCGGCAAATATTAATCGAACTTGACAGCGATAGAGTATCGGTTATAAGCCCATAGTAGTACGTAACGAGCATTTAAATTGCTTAATGTCGGCAAACGATCTTTCACGTATTTAAGACGGGCGTGGCCGATCCGAAGCTAGATTTCCCTACTAATATGCCCCTTAAGCCCATGGCGATCTCTTAGAGCCCACATTTTTTTCTAATAACAATAACCGTAAATCTATACTTAGAAGCCGTATTTATCAACTACCTGTTTGTGAAACATGAAATAACACTATCCACAACTACACTAAGCAATAAACCCTCTCCATAGACACCATCACCAAGGCACCACCCCATCCGCATCCGTGAAAGTCCCCGTCACGCCCCCCTCCCGCAAGATAGCCAACTCCACCACCTTATCCGCCGCCTCCTCCGGCTCCCTCCCGTCGGGATGAAACTCCACCATCTTTGACTTGACTAGCCCCGGGCAAACCATATTCACCATGCCCCCCACATCCTCCAACTTGGTCATATACCTCATGGCAATCATGTTCAACGCCGCCTTGCTCGCCTTGTAGGCTGGGACTTCAAAACTGTGATACGCCCAGTTCCGATCCAAAGTCTGCGTGATCGACCCGTTGCGCGAGGAGACAAAGACGATCCGGGGATTTTTGGCGAGGCGGAGAAGAGGGAGACAGGCTTCCGTGAGGACGGCGGTGCCGAAGACATTCGGCTGAAATGTGGCGTTTAGCAGGTCCCGAGTGGACAGGTCAGTCCCTTGTAACTCGAGGAGGACGGCGGCGTTGTTGATGAGCACGTCGAGCTTGGGGTGGGTGGCTTTGATGGTTGCCACGGCGGTGTGGATTGAGGCATCGGACGTGAGGTCCAGTTGCACCGAGGAGGCTGAGAGGCCGCGCGCGGTGAGAGACTGGGCTAATTCGGTGGCCGTGGAGAGGGTGCGGGCGGCTAGGAAGACGTGGTAGCCGTGGATGGTTGCGAGGATGGAGGCGATGGCGGCGCCGAGGGAGCCGTTGGCGCCGGTTATGAGTGCAACGGGCTGGTTGGACATGATGACGGCTTGGGACTCGCTTCTTGAACAAATTGGCTTGTATTGAATGTAGGGCTCGTGATCTAATGCGGTTGGAGATGACCTTGAGGCTTTTCCTTTGGTAAGTTCATCCTCGGCACCTTTTATACCCCTTTCATCTCACGTTCCGTGCTTGTTATACTGCCGAGGCCAAGCTGATTCTTTCGTTTGGCTTATGAAGAACACTTGCTACCGATCGAATAACTCAACTGCTTGGTCATCATGGTTGAGGATCGTTTACTAAGTGGCTCTACTTTTACCCGGCGGGATAATCCATAGCGTGACGATGTCGCCCTTGTCTCCGCAGTGTTGTGTCAGAACCATGCATCGCTGCATCAGCTATTCTCATTTCACGTGCGACGTCCTCTGCTTGGGGTATCACAAAACCACCGGGGCTCCGGGCGCTGGCGGGGTTTGCGAATGAAGTCGGAAGCCACCGGCGCCGTGTGGTCTTGTGGTCTTCGGAGTTCCGGGCTGTGCTGGGTCTTACTAACATGACTGAAAAATCGCGTTACGCATTCCTTAACTGACTTAGTCGATCATGCATAATGCCGCGAGGTAGTTGAGTGAGACTCTTTGTTGTTCTGCGTCGAATCATTCTGATAATGCTGTCTTCTGACTTCTGGGTTGTCAGTTGTACCGAAGCGAGCCCTGGACACGAGATGGGCTCGAACTAGCAGACATCGCTCGCGCTGTTCAACTCACATCATCTGGTGAAGTTGTTTCGCCACTGTATTACCTACGATCGCGACCTATGGATGTGGTCGTGTAATAGGCTCCTTGTTGTTGACCTTTGAGGCCAGTGGTAACAGACTCAGCGGAGTAATATGGCCTTTCATCTTGTGCTACGAGTCAGTTATGCAGTGATATCAATGTTGAAGCACTTGGTGCCCTACAGAGGTGGACACGCAGGAGTGGCGGAAGGTTCTTTCTTTGAGTCCCTGCTACGATTGATTACCTTTGTGGGTCTCGCTCGTGCATTTGTCGTATTGAGCCCGCGTCGTAGTAATCCTTGGCTCTTTCGCTTGCTGATCGAACCTCCATTTCTGTCGTGAAGAACTCGAGTTAGTGATCGAGTCGACGGAGAATATTATCCTTTTGAATCGTGATCGAAACGTGTTGGTCATCACGGAGTTCTCGAATTGGCACTGACTTCAGCGTCCAGATAAGTTTGGTCAGCAGGGGTGCAATAGATACCACCAGGGGTTCCCTGATACTGATGGGGCTCAAAACTGTGGCAGCTGGGGACGGTTTAATGATCGTATTAATGGTATGGATGAGGATCCCACTATTGCGGTTGCGTGGTATCACTTGCAAATAACGTGATCTGGGGGTTACTCTGTAGCTGACGCCCGCGAATAATATTGGATTCCTCCCTCAGACCATCTTTCGAGAATCCATCAGCAGGGGCCTGCAAACACGTTGCTCGTGTGCTAATACGTCTTGGTATGTTCGACACTATCGCGTACCGTGCAGGGCATTCCCTGCCCGTCAAACTATTAGAGTCCTTTTCAACATCCCCTCACCCAGAACAATTTTCGCAGCAACGAAGAGGTGCCACTATGCTCATATCAATCTAACTACTTGCAGGGTAATGCTCCTTTCGAAATTACGCTCTGCGTTTTTTTGCCCCATCCAATCATCCACTGGTGTACTTCGATCCTGCCGTGTAGGCTGCAGCACTGATTTCGCAACCGTAGACCAAACCGACAACACCCCTATGAAGTGCACCTACATTCCTATTACCGGTGAGAGAGTACATCGAGATGTATGTACTAGGTACCATTACCAACCACGCTTGGTTTCTCGGATGCCAACCGAGACTGTCAACTGATCATCCTTCCGAAACAGGCCGCGATTGACTCGATATAAATAAAAATTGCACCTAACCTACAAAAGCTGAGACGAAGGTTATGAAGAGCATCAATGCAACAAAGCATAGGGAGATAAGGATAGGAAAAGGTCGAGGGTTGAACCCGTCAATTCTCTGTTGATCGATTGTGTAGGTGTTGGTATATGGTGAGGAAAATTGAGTGTTTTCGCAAGCTTCTTAGCTTAGGTGCAATTTCAACTGATATCGACTTGGCGCATCAACGGCAGCTTCTTTGGCATGATGCTGGGCCCAAGTGCTTCGAAACTCTGTGCGGCAATAGTCCAATACCCGTCAGAGCGTGTAGGACCCCAGCAAATAGCACCAACAGGCGACAATACGACTCTATGTCAACGTCCATTTTGATCATTTACCGGTCCTCAGGTCCTGCGGAGGCCGCTGACAAGACTGCCGCAACAGCCTCTCCATCGGGTACCGTTTGGGAATATGGCACGTTTGATAATAAGCTTTGGGGCAATTGACATGGGACTGGAATTATGATCAGCGCTTCTAGCGTTACGTGCGGGGGGCCGCAGGCCTCCACGATGCGCTTCCTTTCCTAATCGAGTCGTGTTGGATGTGGGTTTTCCCAAATGGACGGTATCCATGTCACATCTCGCGAGCCCTTGCAGTCCAGCAAGTTCGGCTTCTCGAGCGCTGGAAACTCATCCACAGGAGGCCGCAATGTCAAAAATGTTCATCGCGGTGGCGGGCCTTGTCAGTGACACAATTCCAAGCACGGCGATGGAGCCCAGAAATTGGACTGCGGCAATCGGCAGTCTCATAGGGGGTTTTCGACTTGGCTCAGGCGGTATATAATATTGTCGACAGTTCATCCCACATCTTTCCTTCCCGCCACTACCCTCACCAGCTCATCCAGTCAAGCCATCACCTTCGTGTGTCCCCTCAGTCGTTCTCTACTTCCAACCCTTAGTCATTCTTTAATACAACCCACGCGTGCTTTTCAAGCCTTGCTTCATCACCCAACTTATACTACCACCACACAAACTTAATCCACACATCAAGCCAACCGCCAAAATGCAGTTCACCAACATCGCCCTTGCCGCCTTCTTCGGTTCGGCCTTTGCCGCCCCTGCCAAACTCGATATCGGTGGTGTCACCAATATTGCCGACGTCGCCAACATTGACGGAGGCATCATTAGCTCCACCAAGCCCCGTGGTGCCACGGCCATCCCCACCATTCTCAGCGTCGTCGGTGGCCTCGTCACCGTTGTCGAGGCCGAGGTCTCCACCATCGACACCACCATCAAGGGTGCCGTCGCCGATGATGTCGTTCCCCTCGTCACCGGTGCTTTGTCCCACGTTGCCGTTGAGGTCGAGCAGGTCGTCTCCACCATTGTTCCTCTCGTCGAGGGCATTGTCTTCCCTCTGGTTGCTGCCGAGCTCAGCCAGGTCCTCTCCATTGTCGGCGATGTTCACACCATTGTCGGCGACATTGAGTCTCTGCTGACGTCCATTGTCGATGGTGTTACCTCTGGTATGACATACTCCATCACACCAAATGTTGTGATTCAGTCAACTAACAAACATGCCATAGATGTCCTTGCCACCATCAAGCCCGAGCTCTCCGCAGTTGTTGACATTGTCAACCCTTTGATCGCACCCGTTCTTAAACTCGCCGTCGGTGTTGCTAGCAGCACTAAGGACAAGTCTGTCACCGAGGTCAACAAGCTTATTGGCGAGACCCAGGTCATCGCCATCGGCGTTGTGTCTCCTGTCGCTGGCACTCTCCTCAGCAGTACGTAACCTACCTCCACCCCTGCAATTCGCATACAAATTCTAACTCCCCCTATCAGAGGTGTTGTAAATGTCTCGTCGGATAATCAAACGAACTATTCTGTGTATATGATTTGTTAGAAACTCATTAAGCGGAGTTGTTGGATGTTTGTCGGAGGGACTGGGACTAACATTGCATGCTTATGAACTATGTGCTCTCGGATACCTCAGCATTTGGTAATCAATACATGCCGCGCAACCCCAACTTGTGAAAGCACCTTCAACAGTCCAGTGAATGAAGCTTTTTGAGATGATTGCCCTTGTCTAGTTTTCTATATTTCTTGATCGTGCCTTGTTAAATGCTCTCTGCTATTTTGTGTCATATTCCGAGCCTTTGCCTTTGTTTTCCACAGCCAATGAGACATATTTTCATTGTCCTTGTTGTAACTGTAAGTAAGTTAACCTTGACCTGAAGCTGCCAAACACCCGAAGCTGTTAACCCATCCCCTATTCTCAAAGTTAGTTCAACTTTCATGGACATTTTTCCTCCATCGATGTGTACTACGCGCATGTCCTGTGGATCGTATGAGAATGCAGCTGTCAATGAAAAACAAATTTGCTTTTCTACATGCGACAGAGGTGCGAGGGCTTCGGTGAATTTCCAGGCCTGTCGGATCATCTGTCTATTCTAGTGTTGTGTATTTGCGTCATTCTATACTTTAGTGACTCCTCATGGGGAGATCGCCAATATACAACATCAGAATAACGCTGCAAACTCACCAGAGGGTAAATAGTTCCAGCCCCAGCGCCTTGTTAGTTTATTGAAGTGACATCCTACAGTGCCTTGAAGTAGACTCTTCGTCTTCCGCCTTCAGGGAGTGAACGACCTTTATATCGCCATCCCAGGTCTGCTCCATATACGCGGGATCAATTTCGCAGCACCGTCATTTTCCGCCTGAGGCGCGCTAGAATATTTCCCAGATGTCGACGTTGCAGTCGATGAGCTACCATCCTCCTGTTACATCGGCATCGGCTTATCAAAGGAGGATAATTTCATGCTTCGGTGATAGAAATGAGAAGTATTTGCGGATGCAGAAAAGACGTTGGAATGAGGGTGTTGAAACAACGGCAGAGCGGCATCCAGACATGGACTCGGGTCTGTGGGAATGTAGTTTAATTAGCAACTATGACAAACAGGCCGAAACATCCAGGTAATATTTCCGTCTACTTTTTAGAAAAGATCCGTCGTGAAAAGATCTAGTTCCCCAGAAGGTTCGTCTTGACTGGAAATTTCAGGCACGACTGCTCCAGGTACAAGGTTACCAATATACTCCTCACATCCTCTGTGACCCTTATTACGAGCGAGTAGCAATGCCCAGCCGGCCTCGTCTCTACTGATTCTAGGACATGCCGCATCCCACACGACTTTGAGCATATCTAGTCGTCCATATTCCGCAGCTGCCTCGAAAGCTGACCAACTCTTCTTACTGGAGTGGAGTCCGCGAACGTCCGCGCCCTCTCTGAGAAGCAGCTGGACGATCTTGATACTTCCGCTAGCCGCCGCCAGTTGCAGAGCAGTCCCACCGCCTCGAAAAGCTGCCGGGCCGTTGACATGGGCTCCCCGTTCCCAAAGGAATTTAACCATTTCGAAGCTACCAATATCGCAAGCCATTTGCAGAGGAGTGCGTTTTAGCCCCCTCCGCGCGGGAAGGTTCACGTCGGCTCTGTGTATCAGGAGGAGCTCCACTAGCTGCCGATTCCTGGTCTGTATCGCAAGCAGAAGTGCTGTCTCCAGCGGTGACTTGGAAACAATGCCATTCGCGTCGCAGCTGGACTCAAGGAGCATATGCACCAGGTCGAGATCTCCCCCTTTTAGGTACTTAATGGCAAAGCCCAATGGAGTTACTTCATTGTTGGCGAATTTGCAGCCGATATTTATGCACCGTTGCCGATTGATGAAGACGTTTACGTCCATGTGTGCCTTCAGCAGATTTCCGAGTACGAAGGCGTCTTTCCTTTCAATGGCAGTCATCAACAGTTGCGCACCGAATCCCGCTTGGCCTTGAGGATATTTTGCCGAGAACGTCTCGAAAAGGATGCTAAAAGCAGCTCTGTCATGTTCCATAGCATACCCAAATGCCATCTCATCTGCGGGATCAGCACCCTTGGAGAACAAGAATCGAATCATATCATGGTTCCTAGTTATAACCGCAGCACTCAGAGCCCGGCTGGGATCCGCTCCGTACTCGAGAAGAAGGTTGACCATAGTGGTGTTTCTTGACTCCACTGCCTTAATAAGCGCTTCATGGCCGGGTCAACTCTGCTTTCTAGAAGAAGTTTCAACAGGACATAATTTCCTGACTTAACCACCTCTGCAAAGACTTCAGCATGGTGCCATTCCTTGAAATTTTCGTGCTTGAGAAAGAGAAGCAATATATCCTCATTTCCGGATTTGACTACTTCTATAACCGCTTCATGACCAATCGGGGCTTGCATGAAAAGTAGATCGTTGATAATGGTAAAGTCCCCCCATGACACAGCAGCCTTCATGTGATTGTCATCAATATTGACATTGCACTCAAGAATGACGTTAACAACTGCTTTATTTCGTCGTTGAAGTGCCTCGAACAAAGGATCTTCAAGTTTTTGAGGGGAACCCGTACGGATTGAATATTTGATGGAATATTTGATGGAAGATTTGACGGAAGATTTGACGGTTACCCCAGCTTCCAGCAACATCAAAGCCGTGTCTGTCATGTCATTACGAATAGCCAGAACTAGCGCCTTGGTCAAATCATAATCTCGCAGATTCGGTACTCTCTTCAGAAGCATCTGCACGTATTAAGTATCTCCGATCTCAGACGCAGCAAATATAGCCTCTTCAAAGTAATATCTCTCGTGTATTTGAGAGAGTGCCCCCTGGTCCTCAAGTCTCCTCACCAAGTCGCGTTTCCTCGATCGGATAGCTTCTGCCAGAGGTGTTGAGAGTACGGGGCTGAAGTCATCGATATAATAAGGAAATTTGCAGTATCGATCCGGCTTACCAGAAAACTTCGCATGATGTTCAAGCAGAAGTTCAATCAGCTGTGGCTCGCCGCCTCTGACTGCAGCTGACAATACTCTGCTGGAGACTTCAGGCAAGATTGGTAGAAGGAACTTAACAAATTCAAAGTTTGTCCTTACTGATGCATGGACAAGAGTACTATGCAGCGTGGTCACTTTCTTGTGAAAATCAAGTTGCTCGCTATTTGGTTCTTGGTATTTGAAGAAAATGTGTTTGACGATCCGCATTGCAACGCTATTCTCTAGGTACTGTGCAATACCGGAGAGTAATGAGCGCACGAAATACGTCGGGTAAATACACGCGTTATCATATAGCCATTCCTTGTCGGCCGTTTCAAAGTGGTCGAAAAATATGCAATGCTCCGGCGGTGAAAGATGGGAAACGAGCTCTTCACAGAGTGCTCCGTCGGCATGTCCCACCAGGGCAGACTCAATATGCTGCTTTTCAACCTTTGCGCCAGCATCTAGAAGTTCCCTCACAAGTGACATGTGTCTGGGATCGGAATTTTCGCTGCTGAATCCTCTAATAGCAGGTCCGAGTGCTCCATCTACACACGGCTTTTGCATCCTGTCGCCAAGTTCCTTGTCTAGAATCCTGTTGGGATTGGCGCCATCCTTCAGAAGTATTCCAACGACATTGAGACTTGAAATCTTGACCGCCAGTCCGATCGGTGTGTAGCACACCCCTTCTAAGTAACAAACTGCTTTATTAACGTCTGTCGCATGTGGCGTACCCCGCGTAATCTGCAGAAGGATGTCGACGGCCTGCGCATCACTGCTTTCGATGGCGGCTCCGAAAAGGTTGTCTGCAAGAGGCTTTGCAATGACCGAGGGGCTCGATCTGAAGCATTCAAAAAGGCATGCACTGACTTTTTGCTCACTTCTCAACATTTTCAGGATCCAGGTGGGTGGTATATTGAGATTGGCAAGGCCGGTGAAGCCATTGATGGTAGAGTACAAAAGGACCTTATAGAATGGCGAATCAAAAAGGGCATCGGCGGTGGCGAGTTCTGAACTGCTTGCGGAGCTGCCTTGATACAAAACTTCCGGCATGTCTGGAAGCAGCGAATTCATGCAATCCAACACGTCTGCGATGTCAGGTGGCTGTGTTCCTTTCTGCGTCGAACTAAACCGGACGATTTGCAAAGCACCCTCGAGCAGTGACTTGGCACCATTTAGATGGGGCGTTTGGACTGAACGGGCAGATATTAAGGCTTGGTTTAAGCCTGGTTCGACTTCCCCGTTTCCATGGTCCTCAGACTCTGTGACTCTGCCTCGTGTAGTTATGATGGAACGCTGGAGTTGGAAGAATGGGGACTCTTCATCCCGCATGGAATAGGACGGCATCTGAATGGATTCCGCGGGGGAAAACGAAAAGTCTTGCATGGTGGGCGAAAGTGAGAAATTGAATTCAGATGGCAGTCCCTCGAACGATGACATGGAGACACGGAATGACGAGCCAGGCGGGCTATTCCTGGTCGGGCGGGCTGCTGTCAGATCTGAATTTCTGTTCGCGAGAGTTAACGGAAACTCCGTATGCCCGGCACATTTTTCCAGAAAAGCGACGTGGTGATGTATCGGCAAGATAGGAGGACTAAAGGCTTGCGGAACTTCGCCGCTGCCGAAGAAGGGATCCACGGACGAGTAGTTGATTACTTCCATTGGAGCTGCGGAGCCATCGGCAATGATATTGGGCTCGATTTCCATGGAAATGGACGGCGCACCTGTCTCTGAAGCGACCTCGACTCCTAACTGGGGGTCAGCTACCCATGAATTGGTATGGTAAGCCGATTCTAAAGCCCCACGATCGCTAAGAGGATGTACAACTACATCGTTGCTTGGGTCCAGCGGGACTGGTGAGTTCCCTGTGTTCCCTGTGTTCCTGGGACCTTCATCGTTCACTGTCTCGGGCAAAGAGGGAACGTCGTGGCCTCCAGAGACCCCTTCATTATCGAGCAGTGTCCATTGACCGTTTGGTGCAAGGACTTCAATGACGGCACGGGCATAGTGCCCATCCAAGCGATCTAGAGAGTTCTAGCGTCAGCAAGTGCGGTTCAACCATGGAAGGGCAGTGTCATGCCTTGGTACGAACCAGGGGTGACTTTCCTCGAACCCCCCCTTCAAATATCGTCGCCGATTCCGCTTGATCTTTTCTTCACTTACGACCTGACCTGACACCTTCAGTCAGGTCACACTGCCACGAGCCTGAAGCTCGTCCATCTTCGCAAAGATGTGCCTCCACTCCTGCTGCTTGAGGTTTTTCGGAGTCTTTCATTGCCTTAACTGGGCTTTGTACTGTGCCAGGCTTCACCAAATGGCAAGTCAGTCATTTGTTCCACTTGAGCATAGAATTCTAGATACATATTTAAGTCATAATTAAATATTACCTTGCAGAAAACCCATGTGCATCCTCCATTGTCTGCATGACACTTGGTGCGCCCTGCTTGCCTTGTAGAGGCAGGTCACGGCCATGATAGAGTTCCAGAATGTTGGGCTTGCGGAGCTTCCACTCGGCTTGGGTGATCGTTTTGCACTGATGCGTCATATTCTCATCTGCTCCGACTAAAAGATTGAAGAATACTAATTGTGGGAGGAAATGGACAATTCAGGTTGCTAGGTTGGCGTGTCAAATGTATTGGGGTTGTAGATGTGCTTTGCAATGCCCAAGTTTCGTCCCGCGGCTCCCAGTCAGGTTTTGTCACGACAAAACCTGCTTAACCTTGGGACCTGGTCATCCCAGTGAGTCTAAACGAGGTGAGCAGAATGTTTCCTCTGCCGTGCTACACGAACTGGGCGCAAATTTCTGTAAGCGCGCCACGTTGATTGGTTCTAATCGTCAGGTTTCTTTTTCCAGCGACGCCGTCTTGCAGAAGTGATTCGACAGGTTTTGTCCACCACAATTGGTTATCCATTCTCAAAATGTACATAGTACATATAAGCAATAACCAATGCATGCTTATATCCCAAATTTGATCACGCAGGTTGTGTTCATCATCCTGCTCATTAGTTACTAGAACGTGGTGACTTCGTAGAGATCAGGACATGTGTATGTATGTACATAATTCCTTATCAGCCAGGCTTTGTCTATTCCGCCGGTCACGGGTTATTGATGAATGATTTATCAATACATGATCATGTACTTTTGATACAAAACGAACATTATGTCCTAGGTTGTTCATGTTCCCTGAAAAGACCGTGCGGTTTATAGTGGTAGATGGCAGTTGGAACACAGTCAGGTTTCGTCTAGGCTACAATATCTAAGAACCTATTCTATTTTTCCATGCTCTTTGATTGCATTATTTTGGCATTCTAAAAAAACCGGCGGATGAGAGGGAAATGATTTGTGTCTGCAGCATAGTGACGTGGCCAAACCTGATATCAAGAAAGTATATGAGTCAAGTGGACGATGTTGAGCAGGTGGGTTGGGATTTCAGCGGCAGTATTGACTCGTTAAACACATTCATTCTACTGCGAACTGTTAGAACCGAGGCTACTGCCTGTGTCTCTACCTCCAAAGTGTTGAAACCAGCCCTTTCTGCAGGGTAACTCGTCTGCCACACTACCCACCTTTTCCAACATCCCAACCAGCGCAATGGGAAACACGGAGAAGTACACATGAGATCTAAACTACGTCAAATGTTCTTTAATATTAACTTCCGTGGCGCCAAAGGTCCAATACACAACCATCTGCCATGATGGAAGACTACGTCAACTCCGAGCCCACCGTCACCGAGTACATCGCGATGGCCGGCGGACCCGGTCGTACTGACGTCAAGAAGGCGAAGAATGTTAGAAAGAGCAAGGCAGGCAAAGAAGAAGGTGGAGCAGTTTGATATGGCCTGGGACCAGAATGCATCCAAGTAGTGGGTGGAACTGCTATGCTAGCTTGCTTAGATTTGGCAGCAGTAACATCCACGTTACCTGTTTACCGAAATCAGAACCATTCTCAAAAGGTGCTTACAAAGTATCGAGATTACTACCATAGCCCCACTCGCGAAGACTTGATAGCTGTTGAACCTTGAAAGCTACCACACATATGACAATCTGGACCCGACAGCACTGTCTTTATGTTTCTCAATTGAATGTGACTATGCTCTTCTTACTCTAATCCTATTCTTCTGTCTGTAGACACTCCCTGGTAGCTGAATTGGTTCTATTACATTGGGCATTTTCCTGTCAATGTAACCCATGCCCTTCACCCATATTACAAGAATCATTGGAAGTCTGGAAATTACGTTTCCGAACAAGCAACACGGGTGTCATGAAACCACGATTCGTGGCTCGTACGAAAGCGCTTGAAACTTACTCTACACCATCTCACTAAATCCCAAGATAATGGTGCAACTCTAACCACTAAGAGCTAGCCCCATTTCGTGCACCATGATACCGGAACTTCAACAAGTACGGAATCTTATCCCATCTGAGATGTATTCTGAACTTGGCACAATGGCTCTCATTGACGGGTCCCGCATGAAACCTCATCTTCACGACGAATTTCTGTCCTCATGGTCTTGGAGTCCTTTTCTGGATGGCGAAGTCAATGGGAAATGCAAGTTTGGATCAAGGCTGAACCTGAACTCTTGAAGAGCTTGCGATGTGATTTAACAGTATTTTGCAGGAATTTCTTCTCACGCTCCTTCCTTCAACTCTCTTTTTCATCCGAGACTCCCTCAGTATTAGACTAGAGAAGGTCTCATTGCGTGGGGCTCACCGCGTTCTCCAAATTGAATGGCTGGTAAGTCATGGCCAGTGCCTGAACTCACCACTGATACAAAAGGGCGTTTCTAATCACCATCAGTCCAATTTCGACAACATACGCTACAACTAGAATACCCCGTCAGAAATTTCTCGTCGTGTTTAAGAAATCGAGATAGTCCCCTAAATTTTCGATTTCAATCAGGTTGGAGATCAAGGCACTTGTCGTCATTTGATTCGTTCGCTGTCTCGTCCTGGAGAAAGATTGTCTTCCATTTCGACATCGAAGAATAGCACGCGCACCAATATGATGCAGTGTTGGGTTTTTTTGCTCCATCTTCGAGACTGGGACACGTGCTGAGTAATAGGCACCCTCCGTATGAAGGGTTTCAGTATTGAGATATCTTACCTTACGAGCTCTCGTCTCGTCAAAGAGCAAGAAGCTTCGGCTTTTGTCAGAGGGGTTAGGTTCATCAGATCGATATTGATTAGCGATTAAGTCAGAATTAGAAAATAGAAAAAGAAAAGAAAAGTAACTATGTTTGGGAGCAGTGTATTTTAGGGTCTATTCAATTGTCAAAGGACCGAATTTTAAGACATACGATGGCCGTTGCTTACTAGTTGACTGTTTGCCCTCTTTACCAGTGAACTCGTGAGTGAAGGGCTGATAGATGGGACGGAATACGACGTGTTAAAAATAACTCCATCCAGTGCTTTTCAATTCAGAATCCCAAGCAACCTATAGGTAACCATGGATGAACAAAGATCAACGTCAGTGAAGGGTGGTCACTTGGGCCATAGCCCGCCTTTCAACCAATTGAACATTTTCTATTATGAGTTTGTGAGTTTAGCAAAACGATGCATATATCCTTATACAAGTCGTTATGTTTAATATGGCTGGATACTTTGGTCGATGATCCTAATCTGGCAAGATGCTGCGCAAGGTCGTGTGTGGTCAGAACACCCTCATCCACCACTAAACTCCACATGGCCATGATTGCCAAGCAACTGCCGGCAGTGCCATGAGGCCGAACACCGTTGATTCAATGACAATTTGTCTCTCCGGAAGCTTTCCTACCAGTCGTCTTCCCATAGAAGCGCAGTATGCCTCCTTGAAGGGTAACAGGGAAGGGATTGTGACGGGTGTTTTTGACTTCGCATTTGCGTCGGCATCGGCTAGTTGTTCTATGTTAGCCTACAATCGTTGGAATTCTAAGAAGTAATATGTGCTTTTACTGGTTCAGGAGGAAAATTGAAATACATGTATACATGCATTCGATGCCCGTGAATATCTGGACTGATCTTCGATAACAGTAGTGTGACGAAGACTGGCCCACTTGCGGTAATTGCTAACTCGGGAACCAGTCATTCTCAGATCCCTGCCAGAAACACTAATTCATCCATGACGGGAAGTACACCGTGAATAGGATTGACAACTGTCAGGATGCTGCCGAGCGCGTCGTATCCCAGAGAGGCCACACTGCATGCTCTACTACTGGCACAGGTTCTCTGCACTCGCGCCACCCACCATGAAATTTATTTAAATAGGCAAAAGATAGTCAAGGGTCGTGGCACATTGAGACGCATGCGTCTGGCCAAAGCCTCAGTGGCTCCCAAAGTCTCCAACATGCCGCATTCGACAGAAGGGCTAGTGGCCGCAAGCTTGATCTCATGCATGAAGGCCTGTGCCGGGACGGAGTACGACTTATGTGTCTCGATGTCAAAGACAGCGGGTTGGTCATGCTGCCACGGCGGCTATTCCAGACCATAGCCCTGCAAGATGTGGTAGGGGCCATTGAGTCGATTTGAGCTAATTTGCGTCGTGGAGTACCTCCGTAGGATATCTTAGACGCACAGTTTGTGGGCGGGCGTTCAGAAGTTTGAAGGTTTCGCTTGCTGATCCCCAGGAGCGGACGAGTATTGGTACTCCCTTCCTGCCGTAGAGAGCAAGAGCAACTTACAGAGCCTCTCAACACCGACCTACATAGCACAACGCGTATAGCAGGCATTATTACCAATGCAACATCCACCAAGAGCCATCAACAGAGGGCCGATTCTCTCACTAAAGCCATAACATAGCGAGCTACATTTGTAAGAGATACCCATTAAAGCGGCTAGGCAGGCAAACCCCTATTAAGGTCGTTAAACATTACTGTGCTAAGCAAATAGGTCTGCTAGAGAGCAATTTTCGCCCTACTCTAAGTAAGTTGAGGGCCTTTGGGTTTAATCAAGTACGAAAATGAAGTCGGAAATCCATCGATCTGTGGTTGTGCTGTATAAATCAGCGTATAATGCAAAGGCAGAGGGAAAGTCGAGGATTTCTTCGCTTCTCACCATTGCCATTTAATGACCCGACCTCTCACAAATCGGCTGGTGCAACACTCATGGAACGTATCCTTCACTTGGTCCAATGTAGTAATTACCATCTGCATGGTCGGGATGCACAAAAGTGCTAGAAGCATCTACTACTAACAATGCTTCCTCTAGAACCTCTATTTGTAACTAGGACAAAACGCCGTTACGCTTAGCTAGTAAATACCGCTCTATAACAAAGATCTCGGACAGCCCCCCGTAAAAATAGCACTGGTTAGATTATCATAGAAATAGCCGACTTACTATAATCCGTGCAGTTAATTATTCATATTATAGTGCTTGCAGCTGATACTCGTCGCTAAAGATACCTTAGTAGTATACAGAGCTTCTAAATAGAAGTGTGCGGACCAGGTCCACTTTTCTAACATAGTGCCGGCGAAGGGGCTCAGGGGTTGTGTATAAGTTGAAATTCCAGCGTACCCACACCTAAAATTGAACAGCTATCTGAGAGCAGAGCGGTAGTCAACGAATAGGCCTCTTCTCGTTGATTCGTATCATAAGTGATGGACATGAACCAGTGCCCATTGCAGGTGGTAGTTACGGTAGGATCGGTGAGGCAGGCTTAATGAATTGGTCATTACGTTCGTCTAATCAAGTCCCCACAACCTTGCTTCATCTGCAGAGACAACACTCAGGATATCAAATGGCTCCCCCATCTGTCCTACAGCCTTTTTCATTCCATCCGAAACACCGTTATCATCTCATCTCAACCAGGTATCTAATCCCAATGCAACCTCATGTCATCCACCCATTTCGACCACACGTTGGCACCTGGCACTGATATCATTGTGCCTGGGGCTGGGTAGCAGCAACGTGATCCGCCTCATAACCCTCCGTCTTCATATCATTTAGACCCAAATCCTCTTCCTCTTCCTCAGTACGCTCGTAGTCCTCCGATATGATCTGCGGGTCATCTTGGTCGGGATCCACCAGCTTCTGCACGTAGCTGCTTGCCATGGGGTCGCTGAGGATCACCGTGAACTTCTTCTCGCCCTTGATGGCCGCATCAAGGTCCGCAAAGAAGACATCCCACTTCACCTTTTCCTCCCCGGCCAACGAGTCGCCCCCTTCGCCTGTCTGGAAGATCTGGCTGCGAAGGTCGTCTCGGACTTGCGTCAACAGGCCTTCAACCGTGGTGAAGCGACCGCCGAGGGTTCCGGGGTTGACTTGGAGGTTCAGCTCTGGGCACTCGAGGGCACAACTCTCGCTCTTGAGGATGTCTCTGGACATGTCTACAGACTCCTCAATCTTGAGAGTGATCCTTTTGCCGAGTTCGGGAACCTCACCACCCGTCTTGACGTCGTTGGATCGATAGCCACAATCGTGACATACTGTGGACATGAGCACCACGGCTTTGAAATGCGGGATATCAACCATCTTCATGTTGGTGGTACAGTTGTGCATGCATCCCGGGCAGGTGGCGGGGAAGGAGTAGACTTGGTCGGGGATGATGTCGTCCTCTTCTGTGGTTTGCGTGGCATCGATGACGGAGTCCCCGGGGCCAAGGCCGAGAGCCTCGTTTTGCTCCCCAGTGCGCAAGTATTCCCGTTTGGACCACTTGCCCACACCATCCTTCATATCTGGGGCAATCCAAGAGTTACCTGATGGGTCATCCACTGACATTCGGAATGGGAAGGCGGCACCGGCGAGCATTGCGCGACCTTTGGCGATAATCTCGGCGACCTTGGGGTATATCTCGGGCATTTGCTCTTTTCGTGCTTCCTGGCCAAGTTCGAGATCGTCTATTACGTTGGACAGAAGACCCTCCACGTTTGTGAGCTTTCCCTTGCCGGCAGGGATCTCGAGGTCCATCTCGATGAACTTGATGACGGCCGTGTCTGACTTGACAACCGATCGGTCAAAGTCTTCGAGTTCGGTGAGGCGCAGCTCGTAGTGTACTCCCTTGGGCTGGATAGCGCCGGCAGATTGGATCTCGGAGTTGGCGAAGCCGCACTTGTCGCAAGAGAATGACATGACGATAACTTCGCGGAAGTAGGGGATCATGGTTAGCATCATGCGGGTCATGCCCTTGGATTCGTCAGCATGGGGACTCGAAAGTATTGGGATGAAATCAGACTCACATTTTCATGGCAGTTCATGCACAGCGACTCGATCTGGTCGACGACCCTGGGCTCATCGTCCTCATCGTGTCCTTCGCCATTTATTCCATTTGTCGTCGGCGCAAGTTGGCCGGCCTTTTGGCCGATGGACTCGAAGAACTCGTTAGACGAGACGACGTTCGCTGTAACGTTGGTTGTGCCGTTGGTTGTGCCGTTGGTCGACATTCTGAAAGGATGGATTTGTTTGTTAGATATCGCAAATTGTCGCAAAGTCTTGCGGGGCTGGATGCGATTTTGTTTAATCCAGAAAATTTTGGAGGGGCAATTCAGCCATGCCGTAGCGGGGTAAAATATGACATAGTCGCTATCTGGACCCTGCATTTTGCATTCGAGAATGTTCCCGCAACGCATCAATTCTTCAGCCTTACTAATAATGCCTTAACCTCGACGAAATACTCCGCACTATGAAAGCTTGACGGACGCCGGCTCTTTTGAGCTATTCATTTAGCAAGGATGCAATGCTCATATGGTGTACCTCCTGTGGCTCAAAGCTCTCTATTTCTTCATTTCTGCATGAAATCTGACAGGCTCAGACCAAACCCCACAGGGTTGGAGGAAGATTGGGATTGCTGAAGCAAAGCCTGGAGACCCTGCTTCTTTCTGTCCTTTGCCCTCTGTTTACTTCTAGCATTGGCTGAACCTTTTGCAACTTGATCGGTTGCTGGTGGCAGCGAAGACGGGGCGAAAGAGGGAGGGGCGTGCGATGACCTTGCCGTTGATCTGGTGCGTCGGGCAATGGCAGGTGCTATAGGCAGTGTGATGTTTGTGTATCGCCCACACATGCCGCAGGTCATATGCTTCTGTCTCCCTTCACCACGGCTGGAGGGGGCGCCTGGCTTTACATCCTTGATACGTCGTGAATTGCGACTCTTTTGAGTGGCATTCTCGACATCCAGCTTCAAGGTGCTTCCTTGCCCAAGAATCATAATGTGGCCACAGCAACCACAGACATGTTGCCGTTGGACATCTGACGTGGGAAGGTCGTTACTGAACATTAGAGCATTTCGCTGCGTCATGAGATGCGCCGATACCTCAGGCGACGTTTTTGACAGGAGGTGCGCGGCATCTGTCAAGAAGCTCAAGCTCGTTGAAAGACTCTGATCGCCTGCTGGGCCGGACATGGTCGCGTTGTCACTTCGCAGTTGAGATTGTTGTTGGCACACAATGAAAATCCGAGCTTGGATTCATGGCGCCAAGTTCGACGCCTGCATGCTCTGTGGCCCGAGCTTTCAATGGTCCACATCCCTGAAGATGTGCCACTGTTTTTGCCACGACTTTTGAATTGTCTCACTAGAGAATAGTATCATCGATTGGTCCTGTCAGATCCCTATCCCTTTGCACTTAGAATGTGGCAATAATCATCTGGAATTGTCAAAATGGCCTTAGCAGTTGTCCTGACAAGGCCTCGGATCGAACATGTTGCCATGACCGAGAACAAGAGTTGTATACAATGAGTACATCCCTGGTCTACGCAGGGGGTTCGCCAAACTCCATAGGAACAATGCAGTATAGATAAGCAGGAACACAACGATGCTGTTTCATGAAGACACAATTCCATCCACAATCGCGATCTACGTTTCATCCGACGTGCTGCACCGGCATTTTCCCCCCTTGCTCCCTCCTCGGACTTGTAATCTGGGCTTCCCGTCTCGCCATTGACGGCGGCCAGATCAACTTCCAGACATAAACCCTTAGTAGGCGCCTCTGTCAGTTCGAGGCTAAGGCGATCAATCTCGTCTGCGGTGTCATCCTGGCACCTCTCCTTCTCGTTGTCTTGAATTAGCACTGGTTGGACAATATCCGCGTCGTAGCAATCAACCAAGACAGGATCCCCAGCCACATGCCGCTTATCACGATTGTCGAGGCTGGCGGTATGAACAGAGGCTGTACGACATTTCAAGCTCGCCAATTTGGCCAGGGTTAGGAGCTCCAACATGGTGCTCTTCGCCGCTTTGGTCGTCCTCTCCACCGTTACTAAGACGGCCTTCTCCAACGTGATTGCCTACGAAGCTTTTGATTATGATTATTCCTTCTCGGGCACCTTCGATCTCCGGGTGGAATCGTGGTCTCAAGTAACAAACCTCATTAAGACCATTTCTACTTTCAATGCAGTAGAATTATGTGACCAGAGAGATCGCGTTGAAAATTCTTTGAGAAACAAGGCGTAAGAGGTACCAAGAGAGCATTCGTATCTTCCATGAAACCGGCGTCCATTCTGAATTACTCGTACTTGCTGTCAAAGAGGGTACAAGTGCGACTCGTTCTCTGATTGGCTGCTTCATTGTTAACATCGAGTGGGTCCGTAACCTAGGTCAGCCCCGTCCTAGACTGGCCATGGTCAAACTTGGCTTGACATTTCCCAGCCACCTGATTTTGAGGTTGGGTCACGTGATAGCGCTCATCGCTTTTCGCGTCAGTCTCCACACCTCACTTCCACCTCTTCTGTGATTCCCAACCTCATCACTCTTCGTATCACCATCACCTCCCACACCGTCGCCAATCTATCACAGGGTCAGTTCAAAAGCATCAGCTTCCGCTGCTTGGGGGGACACATGCGCTCCACTCGCTCGATACCATACCTCTCGCACCGGTGACCCGCTCCCAGGGCCTTTAAAAATCCGACTTCCCACCCAAGCGTCTACGGGCCTTGGAAGGATCGGGGTCCTGTGGCTTCAGCGGTACTCGTGCTTGATTGTATTGTTGTCCGGCTGCAGTGGAGGGGACTTGTTACGCCCTTGTGCCCTTTTTCAACTTGTCGAACCTGTCCTCAATCCGAGTCGAGAGTCAAGGCTGCTCTGCCACCAGAAGCCTGGGAGGGTGGGATCCTGTTCTCTACAACTGACAGGGGCCGAGTTTTGACACTTTCGTCTTTTTTGTTCGTGGTAATTTACTGTTGACCAGCGTATTTTAGGTGTCGGATCCTACACGATGGACGAGTCGACAGCGTCCGAATCTTCCCCTGACCCTGAACCGATCCCGTCTGATATTGACAATGTTGATGTGTCCGGGGTGCCAGCTATAGTGGTCGGTATCGGCAACAATGGCCAGAGAGAGTGCATCGCGCCATTTGCTCACCTTGCACTCGATTTGCACCGCGACGCCTCGTCCAGCACAGCCTTCATCAAGCTACGAGCCAAGTTAGCCCTGCAGGACAGGCGAAACAAGATCAACTTGTTTTTGTTCATGTACCCGGAGCGCATTCAGAGTCTCGAGCTTGTCGACGATGATGAATACCAGGTGCAGGCGCAGGAGAAGCTGGGCGGGAAGAACACATATTGTCTACGCTTTTGTCTGAATCAAGCTGCTGCTCTCATCGTTCCGAAGGAGGTGCTTATGGTGCCGAAGCACGACAAGGATGTACAGGTACTGCGTCGTATGAAGAAACTGGCGGAGCAGAAAACCCTTGCGGTTTACTTGTCTAGTGCGACGATGCCCAGGAGAACATTGCTATCGCTGTGCAAAGCGGTGATATCCTGTCGTTCAATGCAGAGGCATGCCAATCTTACCAGTTTATATGGTGGCAAGGGTGGCAAGATCCTTGAATGTGACCAGCCCGAGCCTCAGGAAAATGAGGGATGCCCTCCACCGTATAAAGAAGTTGGTCCCAGTCCTCCTTCCCTTCCATATCCAGCCCAGAGCAAGGGTAAGCCACACCGTTCCATTTTCAATCGACACGGTCGCTCATATACACACCAGACCCTGCATTGTCAAGACGCAAGAAGCGTCGACGCGTCAACTCTGACGCCGACGCAACCACAGACGATGAGCCCGTCAGCGTGGAAAACATATGCCTTCGCATTTTCTCACGCATGGACGAGGGCTTCAAAGCCCTGAACACGCGCCTGGAGGGCATTGAGCACCGACTCGAAGCGCTGGAAGCGGCTCGCGTCAACACCACAACCTCTAGTCCGGACCATAGCCAGAGCTCAAGTGAGCTGATAGACGACCTACGTGAAGTGATTGATGCTAGGATAGATGATGAGATGAATGAGGTGAAACAGGATTTAAACATTTGGATGATGGACGAGGTTGCAGATGTGAGGGAGACGCTGAAGGGAAATGTGAAAGAGTGGTTAGGTACTGCTAGGCCTAGATTAGAGTTAGAATTCGATTTCGATGAGACGTGATGCTTTACTGTGTATACGCTGGCGTGTCAGTGACTGAGTTGCTATGCTTTTGCTGTTTCACTTGTTGGCTAGGGAGCCTCATTGTGATATGCTGTCATACCCATGAGATGCTGACAAAATCTGCTGAAATGAACACTGTATGTCTTCTTACGAACTGAAATGGGGGCTGCTTCAATTGGAATAGCTCTTGATGAATAAACGTATCTTGAATTTAATACATTAGTCCGTCATGCCACCTTTTCTCCTTTGCTTTTTCTTTAATTTTATCATGAGATATCACGCCCTAATGCACCCCTTATCTCAACCGCATCCCTGACTTCCTGCGCTCAGATCCCCCTGTCTTAATACGTCGCACTCCGTCGTTGTCGCTAGTAGCGGGCCCTACCGCCTGCCTCGTGGCCATGGGGCTGGTTCTACTCACCGGTGGTGAAAACTTCCAAATCTCATCACTATCATGTTCTGACCGAATGAGGTAGTCATCTTTGGAGGCGTTCCTGCCGCCGACATTGCCAAGGTTTGCTAAGGTGGTCTACCCGTTAGTGGCGCGTTCAAGGCACATCATCCACGTACTATTGAAATTACCGTTCCACCCTAGAAACCAGAGGTAGTTGCTGCAGGAGGAGACCTAGGCCCGGTCGATGAAGTTATACTGCATGGCTGGGTTCGCGTCGCCGCTGGAGATGGTCCTGCCAAACGTGATGTTGGGAGGCCGCAGGTCGAACTGGAACTAGTTTGCGTCATTATTTGCCGCGGCTCAGTACTCTGAGTCCTGGTCAACATCACTCAAGCTGGTGTAGAGGTTGACGCCGACGTTGGTGTAGATGTTGGATTCGCCATTGGCTGTTATGCGGATGAATTATAAGGGGTCGCGCTGTTGATCAAGCCGTAAATCAAGGCATCGCCGAGACTATAGCCTATGCCGTTGATGTTGCGGCCGTCGCCTACGCTCCGTTTTGACGGTGGTTGTGTTGCCATTGACAATATTAATGCGGTAAAGCATTGTTGCTTGGATCCGGTAGCCGTTGGGGTCGCAGTTCAGGATTGGCAGGGGCTTTTGGACGATGACGGTGCCTGCCACTGTTCTTCATGGTTACATAGTGGTAATAGCTGTGGCCGTTCCTATAAGTCACAATGTGAGGTTAGTCATCAGTGAAACAAGGATTTATGCTACTTTTAGGATTTTGTTTTACCGCCGTAGCCTGTTGTGATTGTAGTATAGCAGCCAGACAGTTGGACAACAACCGTCACCTGTACAGTTTCACTAGGAGGCACGGTGTTTTTGTTCGTCACTGATCCGATGTATGCCTGCGTGATCGTGGAATAGCCCGTTGCTGTGGCTACTGCTGACAAGGTGGAGGTAGCCAAAGAACTGGAAGAAGACTGCGAGCTTAAGGCCGAGGTTAGACTTGATATACTCAAAGCCTGGATGGAAGAACTAGTACTGAGCGACGACGCCGACTAGCCAGTACTACTAGATAATAAGATCAACCTACTACTATTCTGTGTGTTGCTAAAACTAGATGGAGACGAATATATGTCTGATACAGCAGTGGAGCTAGCAGGCTTACCGATACCTTAGCTAGTTGAGCCACCCACATCTAGAGTGGAACTTTAGACTATAGATGTTGAATGGTTACTTCATTGTGAGAATACACTTATGTTGGAACCGGTAGACGAACCCGCATATGTAATTGTCGGTTCGTTCGTCCTTAGATCAGGTGGCGACGTTTGATAGGGGTTCGATGCAGCTGTGGTAGTGAGAGTCTGACTCCAAGTCTGAGTAGTAGTATCTGAATCAGAAGCACTCGGCGCAATCGAGACGGGATCAACCACAACCCCATTCTGACATTGGATAGCTACTACCGCATTAACGGATCGAAATAATGACTTAATTGAACCTAATATTACAATTACTTACACGTATAAACAACATAGTTAATCGAAAACCAGCTATCCGGGCCCCCAGCTGACGTGGAAGGTGGCATCTACAACATTCACCAACGTACGACAGACTCCTACCCTGCCTTAATAAAACGCATCATTCGCCCATGCCAGCTGGTCATTCTCAAAAAGAAAAGCAGTTGTGATGGACCCTCGACGATAATCGGCCAAGTTCTTGTAAGGGACCTCGGGTCAATCGAAATGGGTTGCCCGCTGTTAGCCAGCTGGCTGCCTCCCTGGGCGAACTACTTTGCATTGCAGCAGTTATCAGGGTCTCCGACGGTCTGGGTGCCCACAAAATCCTCGCGCGTTGCTCGTTTCCAGTAGTTTGCGAAGTGACGGTACTTTAGGGGCTTAAACTAAGCGGGTGGTGGAAGTGAATGTTGTGGCCGCCTCGGCTCCTTCTGTGCTTGTTTTTGCCGCTCCTGCTCCTCCGATTGCTGGTGCCATCGTGAGGCTTGGTTCATTCCCACCGTTCCCGTCGTTGTTGTCACCGTTTGTTCTTCCGTTTCCACCTTTGTTCGCGCCGCTTCCATCGATCCTACCGTTGGGGCCACCACCACCCGCCGGCGAATTGGGATTATTGCTGTCAGGTTTTGGCTCTCTATTTCCCTGAGGCGGGTTAATCGCGGCTGCTCCACCTCGTACGTTTTCTGGCGCCGAGCCAGCCGTAAGCACTACCGTCGTTATGTATATGCAACATCGACCTAGTATTGTCGTGGAAAATGTTGCAGCCCGAAGCGCTGGCTCGGGTTCAAAATGCCATAAGTGCTCCCGGCGAGGCAGACAGGAACCGAAATACGAAGAAACATGACGAGGTTACGATGTCGACTGATATCGACCAAAATGCAAATGGGAGCAAATTGAATAGATGAGTCTAGACCAGGAGGCCTTCTCATAGAGTAGCACGAGACCATTGTCGTGTGGAACAGGTTCAGTCACGATGCTATTTCTGAACGGACGGATTCGTGATTCGACTCCACGATTCGGTATAGAAGCGGCCATGTTCACTGCTTTCGTGAAGTCGGCATTCCAAATGAAGAGTATGGAGCCGATCCATACCTAAAATGGGATCATCAACTTTACTGATGACGCACATGTTGCTCTGAGACCGAGGTGCTCTGAGACCATTATGTCGTGGTGTGAGCGGACCGACGGGGGAGATGATGATGGTTGTGATACGCCTACTTCATCAATACGAATACGAGCGGAACGCGCGCGGGTGTGTCTCAGAGATCTCACCTGGCAAGTATGCGGTTGTTATCTTTTTTGCTAGGCTAGCCGTTGCAATCCACTGGCCGACCTCGACTCCGGTTCAGTAACGCTGATGCTGCCAAGCCCCTTACCGTGTTATACAAAAGTTACTGCATTCGGCGGCGGCTTGTGATATCGCATTCATCGCCCACGACCTCTTCCTCTTCCTCTTCCTCGGCCTCTCCCAAACCGCCCGCCTCGGTCACCTCCCCTACCCCTTTGGCCGCCTCCAGCTCCGCGGTGGAAGCTTTCCGGAGGTGGACCTTGTTGCTTCAATAAGGCTCGCTCTTCGGCAGTCGCATCCCAAATATTGTCCAGTTCAAGAAGGTCGCAGAACGCAGCTGTCTGGGGGTTGGTGTACTCGTCAGGCTGTTCCTCTACCCTCTCTGGGGCTCCTGGAACGTGCGGTGGCGCAGTGGTTGCGAAATTGCAAGGCACGTCGAGCTTTTCTTGCTGGACAACGTGCTCATTAACCCACTCTATCTCCTTCTCAATGAGAGGCCGATAGGCGGCTTCTCCTAAGTTTGGTGGGGTTTTTGAGTTACGCTTGCCAATCTCGAGGTATTGATGGAACGTGCGAGTAATTGCAAGCCATTCGGGGTCATATTGCAGACGGTACTTAGCCCCGTTCGCGGTGGTTGCTGGGGTTACTGGTAGAACGTAGAGCAGCTGAAGGAACTTTCGACCCGGAAGACACTTGTCCAGTGCAAAGAAGCGGGTAATTGTGTTGGTGATAGTCGGTGGAACAATAGTCGGCTCCACCGGTGTCAGGTTGGCCTGAGCAACCGGGGCGGCAAAAGAAGCTGGCAGTTGCGAGCGCAGATCCTCGGGTACTGCGTTGCCTGGCTGTGTAAGGGCTTCTGGCTGGACAGGTGTCTCCTCGTCGTCGTCCATATCTAGATCGATCTCGTCAGGGTTCGCGACTTGGTCGCTGGCGGCTTCCTTGCTTGCGTTATTCTGCCCTGCAGCAGCCAAGGCCTCCGCATTGGCCTCTCCGCTGGGTGAGTAAGTCTTCACAGCCGTGAATTTGCAATGCATATGGGCAGAGAACCAGTATGCAGGTCTCAATCGGTCCATCACATAAGTCGCGGCCTGGCTACCAAGCGTGCCAGCCTCACTCTCCTGCTTGAAGTCAGGCTTCATTCTCCACAGCGCTTTGCCGTCACCGCTTTTCTCAACAGCTCTGGGCCAATCATGGCTCATACCGATGTCCACTTGTTCTCGTATTAGTAGCAGCTTCCTCACGTCGATCTCGCGCACGTGGTAGAAGCTCTTGACGTCATCCTGGTTGAACGGCAAACGCTCGATGTGAGGCTTGTTGTAGTCGAATCCCTTCCAGATACCGCTGAGACCGGCGATGCGGATCGGCCCGAACCGAAGCACATTGGCAGCGCCGAGGTAGTAAATGTTGGGAGCGACCCAACCGCCATAGTAGAGCTCCCAGAGATGAGATGCGGCCTCGTGATTCCCGCCGATGAAGATGGTGAGAATCGGTGCCTTCTTCTCGCCGCTGTAGTACGCGGGAAAATCACCCAATTCGCGGAACTTGACGGGACAAGACATCACAGTCAGATCTGCAGCATTGCGAACGGCTTGGAAGTCACCGCCGATGATGAGGAGGTCGACGCCATCATCCCATCCTCTCAGCTTTGCTGCTATCTCGACCGATGCGTAAATGGCATTAAGAGTGCCATGGCCCTGAACCAGAATTAGAAGATAAACCCTATACTGGGAAAATCGAATTCAAGAGACTTACACATCCCTCCACAGCGACCCGAACGCCTCCAACTTCTTGTGTGTCGCCGTCTTCCATCGTGAGATATGTGAAATTTTTTTAAAGGTTGGTGAGCAATGCTCGTTGGAGGTTGAAAAGTGCCCCACTAAGGTTAGACGTTGAGGCTCTTGCCCAAACACCTGTTCAGGTGATAAGATCAGCCAGCACCTTGAAGCGACTACTTCGGGGTTGAACAGAGGTCGCATTCAACAAATGGCCATGAATTCATGTGCTAGAAAGATCGCATACTTGCGTATCCAACTACACACCTTTTGTTGGGAACTGGTAGGTGATATATTTTAGAGTGTAAAGGCGAATTTCCGAATCAGGCCAATTTACGGGCTTTACAAGTCAGTGAGTATTAGAAAACAGGAGAGCGTTTGCCAGAATATGAAGTTTATATTTGTAACGCTGATAGCTGACTGAGAATCTCAGGGTGGTTCTCGTGACCGACATCCGAAACGAGTCTCTCGGGAGGTGACGGCTTCCACGTTGCCAATAATTTTCTCTCATCCGACCTCGCCACAATCAAGTAGCTATTCAAGAAGGAAAGAAGGACGTCCATATCACCACCTGCAAGTCATCAAGAATGAGGGTATGTATCCCCTCCTAAAAAGCATGATCTCCACGGAGCAGAGTAAGTCACGCAGAGTGCGGGGGAGTTGTATCCATCTTCCATCCATAATAGACGATCCAATCCACAGAAGAGAAAGAATTGGACGTATATGCTTGAATGGGGTAGTTGACATAAGAAACAAGAGACATGCACGGGGTGGACCCATGAAATCATGTTCACGGCAGCCTACCTGTGTCTCGATTCAAAGAAGGCATTGCAAAATGGCAGATGTGCAGATCAGATATCGTCATTCCTTGATCGTGGTGGTATCGTAATGCTTCGTAGCAGTATTCCCTGGACGCCATGTGTTCGTGGTACTCTTACTTCCTCCCACGCAGATGATCATATCTCATGATTCATGTTTGCTCTTGGGGTCAGGCGTGAGCTTCATTCTGGGTATGTGATGAGCATCAAGTTTTGTTCTTACTGTCAAGGCCCAGGTAGTCTGCCGCCATGAGGAGCTCGAGGCAGAGCTCGACGGGGATGTCCATATCTGGGACGTCCTCACGTTCTCGGTTCTTGTACCAGTAGTGGAAGTACTCAACCACCTTCTCCAGGACGATGCCACTGCGGACTTGTTAGTCATGCACCAGAGGAAGTTTCAGTTTGTAGTGCGAACAGTGCAGGGGAGGGAGTCTCAGATCAAGTGTAGTTGGTTGTCATGCAGTCCAGTGATGGTCTGTCAGAAAGAACACAGCGAAATATCGTAGTTTCATCACTGAAAATGGCAGGAGCTGGGAGGAGAGACGGGTGGGAGGTCAGACTTACTTGATCTCATCAAAGGAGCATCTGCCAGAGACTGCCTCCTTGAAGGCGCCTGATGTCCTCGCTTAGCATCAATCAACCAAGAGAAGGGCATGGGAAGAAGCCCTACTCTGCGGGTCAAGCATGCTCTTGATCATCGGACTGATCATGACGGCATCTCGCATGACAACGAACTCGAACCCATCGCTGGAGATCAGAGTGATGTACTTGCTGAGGGTTAAACCGTTCGCCGCCATCTTGACTGTGCTGTTGCTGGATGCAGTCGCGAGTTGTTGCAAGGCGAAGAAGGCCTTCAGACTCGAAACGCGTTTTTTCTGCTGAATTTTGTTGAGGTAATCGCGGTGCACGGCCCCGCAGTCCACTAGCTAGTTGTCGGTCAGTGGATTTTGGACGGCGGTAAAAGCGGTGGTAGGGCAGATGAAACCAGGCAGGATGGGGGTGTCTTATCTGAGCAGTGAGGTCATTGGACGGATTTGGTTGCCCCGCCAATTTGAGTAAACGATGCACACTAGCAATCGAATCGATCAAATGCGACACAACACTACCCGTTGCCGCTGGAAATCAAGGTAAATGGTAGCCTTCAATTGTTTGCATCCACTCCTTCAATCGATACTTCGACCTCGACCTCTTTCGCCCTTTCCTCCATCCTGAAGAAAAAAATCCAAACCTTTGCGAAAAGTCTCACCTTCATTTCATTCACTAAGACACCGACTCGCAAAACATACACACACCCGCCGGAGAAATACCCAGCATAACCCAAACATAGTGTCCCACCCCGCGCCGCCATGGCGTCCCATCAGTATCGCAACTCTTACTACGGCAGCAGCAGCGAGAAGTACGACAATGGCATTCAACGCCGGCCAACCACCCAGGGAGGCGACCGCAGAGGCTCGGAGCGTAACACGCGATCCAGCGAGGGCACAGTCAGCACCGTCATGAGCTCGTCGACGGGTAGAGAGTCGTCGGCGACACACGTCACGGAGGCCCCCGCCTACTCCAAGAAGATCGTCGTCGTCGGCGATGGTGGGTGCGGCAAGACGTGTTTGTTGATCAGCTACAGCCAGGGCTACTTCCCAGAGGTAAGCTTCCTTTCCGCGCATGCCCCTCGCGGCAATGTCCAATAAGACAATGCTGACGCGCCGCCAGAAATACGTGCCGACGGTCTTCGAGAACTACATCACCTACCCAACTCATCCGCCCACCGGTAAGACCGTCGAGCTCGCGTTGTGGGATACCGCCGGTCAAGAGGAGTACGACCGATTGCGACCACTATCGTACCCGGAAACCGACCTCATCTTCGTGTGCTTCGCCATCGACTGCCCCAACTCACTGGACAATGTGTTGGACAAGGTGAGTGCCCCCCTTTCGCAATGGCACCCACCCCTGTAGGAACTTTGCTGACGTGGGAAATAGTGGTACCCAGAAGTTCTCCATTTCTGCCCATACACGCCACTCATCCTCGTAGGCCTGAAGTCCGACCTGCGCCACAAGAAGACCTGCATCGAGATGCTCAAGACACAAGGCCTGACGCCCGTCACCACGGACCAAGGCATGGCCGTGGCCAAGAAGATGGGGGCCCAGTACATGGAATGCAGCAGTAAAGAGATGAAGGGCGTAGATGAGATATTCGACAAGGCCATCCTAACCGTCGTCGGTAACGACCGCCGAAACCTCGAGTCCGCCATGTCCTCGGCCCCGACCTCGATGGGCGGCCGTTCAGGTGTTGGCAACAGCCGAGACAGCAACGGTGTCCCCGGCATCCGCGCTTTTAAGAAGAAGAAGCGGAATTGCAACTTCTTGTAATGTTTTTCTGGGCCAGCGGACCGAAAGGGGGAGGAGGAAACGGTGGTAATGACTCGAGTTATTCTGTACGAAATTTGCCACGACTTTTTACGACTTCCTACGGAAGGAGATACGACGAAACAGTACGCAGGCAGCAGAAGCAGCCCCGACTTCTGCATGATAAGGGAGGAGAGAAGGAGAGACATTGTGGGATTAGACATGATCTGGGGCATCTTTCTTATCCTTGCATTTTTGCATCTTACGCGCCGGCGTTTCTCAGGCGTACGTCAACACCTTCCCGACCTTTCTTCTTCAGGGCATGGTAATGACGACGTCGACGCCTGAGTGTTATAGAGGGGGTTTGGTCGTCGTCATCATCATCATCTCTGTGTGTGTGTGATATATCCCCTTGCGATTGGACAACAAGACAGAGAAAGACGGCAGGAAACCCCCCACCACTGGAAACAAGTGTATTCATCGAGCTAGCTTTTGCCGACAAATCTCCCTTTTGTTGTATTCAGGGCATTTTCTAGGGTTGGTCTCTCTGACGTTCATCACATCAGGGTTTGGAATTGAAAATAAAAGAACAAACTCATGAAATTCGGTTTTTTGTCTCCGTCGTGATGTTTACGTGTCTGCTTCGTAGTGCCGTGGCTTTTCTAGCCGCGACGGGTATTTTCCTCCGACGTGAATTTCTTCGTGCCAGATCCCATTAGGCTCTGTCTGGTGCAATTCATCGCTGACTGCGAGTCGCGAAACATCTCCGGAATCCGTCCGTTCACGAAGCTTCCACATTGTTTCTCCAAGTCGGCCCGTCGTCATGTAACCCTTGTTCCAATGTTCGTATATGTTGATCTCACCTCTCTCCACTCGCTCCACTCGCACCCTCGCTCTTCTCCGTAGATCCTTCTCGCTCACCCTTAGCCCCTCCCTCGCCAGCCTTGCCCTCAGGCTCCGGCTCCTTCGCCATCACATTCTCGAACTGCGACCACAGCGCTTCGACCGAAGAAAATTCGTTGCCGACCTATTGTCGCGCGTACATTAGCAAAGCGCCCTTCAGTTATTCCTTCCCAACTGCATCGTCCAGTTTTCTAGTCGCAGCTGTACTCGAAAGAGGGGAGAAAACGACATACGGCCACAACGGCTTCGAGCGAGCGGTTCAGCTTGTTGATGTTGGCTAGGACGTGTTCAAAGCTCTAGGTGTCGGGCACGGGTTGTCAGCTAGCTTCCTTGCGACGATCCTTGACGTTCATGGTGTAGAAAATCATGGCTGCACTACATACCATGGCAATCTCGCCAATGAGTGCCTCGCGTTGCTGCTCGAAGAACGACTTCTCGCGCGTGCCGTTTGATGACATTGGGTGCTGGTTTAAGGACATTGTATGGGTGAGTTGGCGTTGAAGTTAGGTCCGCTGCCAGCCATGGGACTACAAAGTGGACGGACGCGCTTTCGTTGCAAGGAGCGCGTCTGGAGTTGGGGGGTTGGCGGGGTTGATATTGATTGTGGGGACTGCCGTTACGGATTCGCTTTCGTTTCGGATCGCGGAGGGCTTAATGAAACATAACATCTGGTTTATCTCCCTTTGGCGTTGTATTCTTCCTTGAAAATACCCATGAGCTTGCCTATATTAGATATGTAAGGCAGACATATATGTCACACTTGCATACATACACCCACCTATTTAGGTCACGTAAGCAGCTAAAAGTATACGTCCTAGGTCGCACTTTTTCGTACATGGAACACAACGTGTTAAAATGTACGTCTGTATCATTTCATCTTTCTATTCCTTTCCAATATCCCTCGACTTCTATACTTGATATTCAGAGATCACTTGTTAGTAATCTAGTAAGTATAAAAGCAGTGGAGTTATCTTAAGTTATTTGGAATGAAATGAATCTGTTTTCTCTTCGTGTTTCTGCTTTCCACTGTAGTCATACCCCGTATAAAGGTTATGCACAATTTCTATTCCACGAGGCCCGGTAGTCTGGTTGATTTTCTCTCCCTTTCTACGATCACTGACCTCGCCACTGAAAATTCCTACATTTGCATTCCCTAAATGTCATGTGGAAACTGTGTGCGGGTTAAGTCAATACTGGAGTCCCTCGACTACTTCATGAAATCAACGGGGACACTGAGCTTGGTTTTGCCATGGGCTCACAGCTTGAACAAATCAACTGGCACAAGACTCTCAAAATTTACTGCGAAGCCTCAGAAGTTACCTGAAGCATTGTTTTTCGGCTACTAAATATGATATTGACCAGAAGTATACAGTTAGGGGTGCTTCAAGATAATACGGGTTGCTGCTGTATTTTGTCAACCGAGCCTGGTATTTGCTGCTTGATTTTATCTGGAGTTTACTATGTCTAGTCAGTCGCCAGTTCAGCGGCTGTATGGTGCCACCGCTATCGTCTCCAACACGGTTGCTTGAGGTCGAGATGGTGTTTCTCCTGAATAAGGGCGGGGTATTCAGATTAAGTGTGGCTACTTTAGTCGACTATCTACCACAACATCTGCTGTATGGCAGATTAAATCTTACTTTGTTTAGTCTTATAAGGCTATTTTGTATGAATTGATGATTGAGAATAATTAGCTTCAAGTCATATTGATGTTAACGATTAAGCCTATATATATATATTCAAGGCTGGAGAGAAGGTGAAGGCAAGACGAGAAAATTCTTGAGTAGTTCCTCCGCCTTACCCCAAGCTCAATTATAAGAGATATAAACTTTAATCCTATACAAGAAGAAGAATGACTCCTAAGTGGAAATTTATATTCTAGATTCTAGGATCGGTGGAATATTGGCGCCATTAGCGCCCGAGGGTACAACTGGCTCGCTTCGACTACTACACAGGTACCCTGATGTCGACCCTTTCCAGTCACCATAGGCAACCCAGAACGGAACAGCAGCCAAGACAACTCCAACCGATCCAAACGCAACCACAATCGCGAAAGCAAGAAAAGTTATGCCAAAGGAATGCCTGGCCGACTTTATGCTCTCCGACCACCTCCCAATCCACGTAACGTGTGTTGGATCCTCGGCTTCCTCAAACAGCAGTGGAGACGCAGTGCCAAAAGCGGATAGCGTTCGAAGAGCTCCCGGGTGTCTTTCAGAGGTCGGAGAAATACGTCATGCTGGCGGGAAATCGGAAAAGGGGCGCACAGCCGTGAGTTCAATACCGAGTCTGTTCGTCGTCTAAACCATATGTTTCGCGGCCATCTCCTCCCTTTCAAATACTGGCCATCTTGACGGGGAATAGGACTCTGTATATATAAGAGTCTCGAAGAAAAGTCGCGGGATGTAGCATCACCTTTCGGACGATTCAGAATGTTGATTGAACCCTCGAGCAGTTTGGCATCATACTTACAGTTTCAGGCTGGCTTTCAGTGCTAAGTTGCAATCCTGGTCGCATGGTGTCTTGTAATGGAAAGCTCGAGACGTGACACCAGCTTGAACATTTGAAGGGTCTCCGGGTCGCCGCCGGCATCAAGCCTATGGTGGTCTGCTGGATCCCTAGTCTACGAGATCTTGATGCCCACCTGATATTCAAGGTATCTAGCACGTATTTTATTTCAGTTTATAGAATTTAATCACGCTAGAGAGGCCTTGTACTCTGGAAAGGTCTCCGGAACGATACTTCGTAGAGACTTTGATTCTTCCCACGGGATTTCGAGTTCGCCGAATGCCTCTTCCTCGTTGTTTGGGACGAATATATTCAGATCCATAGCTCGCATGATCCGAACTGCTGTCGCAAAAGCACCATAGACATGAGTACTTTCTTCGTAAGTCGGACGCGTCAGCCATTCCGGGCTTCGCTCTGTGGCCTTAGAGGTGGGTGGAAAGGGAAAGGCCGGTTCGCGTAATAATAGCCGGGCCACTCGTCTCAGGAACACTACTTTTGTTACATACCTTTTCATACATGGCCTCAAGCAGCTAGTAGCCCTCAAACTAGGGACATTGCGCCTTTTACTACTGCAGAGACAATGACTTAATCAGTTATGAGACCGGGACTACCCATACTAGCGTCCAACTAGGCGATGGACAATGCGCCTGAAACAGCTGGGTAGAATTTCAGAATTACTCACAAAAGTAGCGGAATTCAACATACCAGCAACATGCCCACCCTAGGGTACTTGCAAGCAGACAATCAAATCAAAGCAAGGCACTTATTGTCGTGAGCATATGGTCCTTCAAATGGCATTGCCGTTTTTCATTTCTACCATGTATCCCAACCATCTTATGGTCTACTTTGGCTTCATTTCATCAAAGGTTCTACATGTTATTCATATTTATGACATCCGCCAGTTCACCAGCGAAGATTTGGCCCAGAGGCCGCTGGTCGCGCTTTGCCTTCGACTGCGACGTCTTCAACGTGGCAATGATCTCCGAAACCCCCACGTCAACCCTGTCCGAGCCGATAAGGTTCTGAAGCTCATATACAGATTCATTGATCTCGGCAGGGTCGGGGAAGGCGCCGCTGTTCGAGAGAAGAGCTGTCAGTTGGCGGTGATCGGATACGGCAGGTACGGCAATTTCACGGTTGAAGCCGCGGATATCCAGCTGTTGGAGAACACCGCGCCGGGAGGTGGTTCCAATGATGAGAAGACGACGACGCTATCATGAGTCAGTAGTCAGTCATATAGGGACGAACATGTATTAACAGAATCAGGAATCGACAACAGTATGCCAGTGAGGGATAGAATGAACTTCACATACCTTGGGGGGCTTTGTCTTCAACAACAGCGCGATTGCGTTCAGTACACTGTTTTGGAAACGCGGACCAACTGGCGACCACTCAATCATGTCATCAATGTCATCCAGGATGACCATGCTGATTTGTGACTTGTAGGCATCACTGAAGACACGCTTTAACATCTCAATCTTTCCAGTTTCGCCCATGCCAGGCATATCCTTCGCACTAACGAGCTTGACGAATGGGAAATCGCTCTTCAAGCCAATATCAGCAGCAAGGGCAGTCTTTCCGGATCCCCGGGGGCCATGAAGCAGGACTGAAAAGAGAGGCAAGTCTTCGGACTTGGAGATCTGATCGGCAAAAGCTTGCCCGTCGTCGCGAATCCGTTGGATATGAGGGCTGAAGGGAATGATGCCCCATGGAGCGGATTGCACCAGTGCTTCTTCCGACACGCCGAATGCCGGCTTCACGTCGTCCAGGGCCCTTAGGAAGTCTGCATGCTCAACCTGCATGTCCTGAATGTTGTCGGGGACAACGGCCATGCCACCCATTTTGGTATTTCGGCCAAACGCGTAGGACGCGGCAGCCTTCACCAGGCCGATGATCTCAGCACCAGAAAAGTTTTTAGTCTTGGCTGCAAGCTCCCCAATGTTGACGTCCCCGGCTAGTCGTCCATTCACACGAAGCTTGTTGGTGTGGATTTTAAGAATCTGCTGTCGACCATGTTCGTCAGGCAGGGAGATCTCGACGTGGACCTCCAGACGACCGGGACGGAGTAGAGCCTCGTCGATCATGTCCTTTCGATTGGTCATGCCAATAAGAAGAATGTTGTTCAGCTGCTCGACACCGTCCAGCTTTGTCAGCAGCTGGTTCACTACGCTGTCTCCCACCCCTGTGCCGCCGGAGCTGCTACCTCTCTGCTTGCAAACGGCGTCCAGCTCGTCGAAGATGATAATGTGGAGCTCACTCTCCTCCCCCTTTTCTTTGTACTCCTTCTCTGCGTCGGCGAACATCTTGCGGACATTCTCCTCGGATTGACCGACAAACTTGTTCAGTATCTCGGGACCGTTAATAATCTTCGGCTCGCGGGCGTTGAGCATCTTGCCGATTTGACGAGCAATCAACGTCTTTCCGGTTCCTGGTGGGCCAAATAATAATAAGCCCTTGACGTGAGGCAATCCCATCTGCTCGACGATGCCTGGAGGCATGATGCGGGACAGAAAAGCTCTGCGGAATATGGTTGAGAACTCGTCATCCAAGCCGCCGATACCCATATCCTCGAACTTGAAGTCGGGACGGATGATGGCATTGGCTGCCGGTCTTCGTGCGGAACCCTTCAGCTTGATGGGAGATTGGGCACCCTTGAAGAAGTTGATAGTCGTCATGTTGGTTAGGATACCCCGGGCGTTGGGTGCACTGGTGGACGGTACGCTCGAACTGGCTCCCTTCTCCATGCTCAGATCGACGAGCTGTATAGCTTTCACTACGAAAGACAGGGGGATGCCCTTCAAGTCCATGAGGAAACGCTGGCCCGGAGAGAAGATCTGACTCTGGTACTGCTTGAGAAAGATGTCTGACAATTGATCCTGGTCGTAGGGGGTGTCGGTGATCTTTCGCTGGGAAGCAAATGATATCTCCACATCTAGAATGCCCAAATAGACGGTCTTCCCCTGAGAGAAGGGGTCATATTGCTCTCCAGTGAACGTGTCGGTTAACCCAATGCCACACCATTGTCGTTGGGGGTCTGAAAGGCTGATGCAGCCGTCGGGGAACCCTGGAGTCGGTCGAGCCGTCACGACATATTCTCCTTGCATTTGAGCGCCCCTTAACAGTACGTAGACGTCGTTTCCATCTCTGCTTGGAAAGTCACGTTGAGAAACAGCCGAAAGATTGCTGAAAATGTATTGATCGGCGAGAGAGCCCTTGGGAAGCTTCTCCATTCGTAGCGGGATGGCAGGAGCACTGGAGTAGCCGGTGGAAGCACCGGCAGGTTGGCCGCCATAGCCGCCAGATGATCGTTGAGGACGACTCATTGCTGCTGGGGATCCACCGTAACCTGGAGATGTAGGTGGTGGCCGTTGTTGCTGTGGTTGGGAATAATTGTCTCGCGACGGAGGTGGAGGTGCTTGACCGTAGCCGCCACCTGACGGTGGTCCTCCGGGGACTTGTCGTCCAGGAAGCCCACCTCGGGGTCCCTTGCCAAAGAGGTTGTTTCGCAAATCCATCGTAACAAGGCTCGGAGCTTCACACAAATGTTCCAGTTGATGCGGGGTCTTTGCTCTGGTTATTGCAGTACCACAGTTCCTTCTCTCTCCGATTGTATCGCGCGGGATGCAGAGGCCAGGTGCAACTTCGAGGGTTCGGGCAATGGTATAATAGGTGACGCTCGTTGCTATTTACTTGCTCTGTCTGGCAAGAACAGTCTGTCAGCGGTCACAATCGAAACAGGGCAGCCAGCAGAAATGCGCCGAGGTTCCGAGCACTTGGTAGCTTTTCAGAGAGCGGACGCACCTATGATTGAACTATAAATCTGTATAAAATAACAATACTTGCTGTAAATCAGTGTGTAGTGGCAGTACGCTTGCATTGGATTTGTCGTTAGGCTGCCACGATGGCAAGGTGTTCTTTGTCTGGCTTACGTGGGAGCCTCAGATGCTCAGATGGCCTTTGACACAGCTGATGTTTGGAACCAACCCTTGCGGCCAAGTGTGGGGTACGGGGCACTTGAGCGTTAACTTACTGGACGAAGCACAGTTCAGTTAGTTTGTAGCAAGCGGATCGCAAACCAGTACAACCTGATCTGCACCTACCACTTGAGCATTGAGTAACACGGTGCTGGAGATATGAATACTTTTACTTTGAGAAACTATTCTCTACCAAATTAGTTCACCTGCAAGTGGATGCACTATCATGGTGTCAAACTGCTTCTCACGCCAGTCCAGAGTCTAAACTTGAGAGTTTATGCACGTCAAGACTGGACAGCAAGTACGTACCCAATGAAGCTTGACGCAAATCCAGGCTGATGGGCACAACGATAGATCCCAGGTTAACCGTACGTGGGTTCCTCGCCCTCTGCATGAACGCCGCCAATATCTTCTCGACTCTATTCGTGAAGGAGGGTGTCAGTCCATCCCAGCTCTCCAGATCATCTTCAACTGTCACCCATCAGACGTTATTGCGTATTTTGCTCGGAAGTTCGCTGTACTTCAATGTTTTAACAACGAGAATGTACTGTTCAACTCATTGGCCATATATACTTGGAGATCTACCTTGACGTGCACACAGCAGCAGCTCTGACGTATCTAGTTGCCCAGCTGCAAGTATGCTGCCAGGTACCCTAATTGGTGTATCACAGCAGTATAAGCAGGATACCAGCGCAATCGCATCACGGCCCACGTCGACGATCAAAGCCCGTGGTTACCCCAGTGACTTTATGTTGCAGAAAGACAAGATTCGAGCCACAGTACCCACTGGACGTCTGAAAGGCAAGGCGTGAAAGGAGGCCAAGAAGGTTAGTGGGTTAAGAACAACCATCTCACTTCTCATGCCATCAGCTTATCATACCATCGTTGGAAATATGCGAATAACATTGCTTCTCCCGTCCAAACTGATTGCAAGATTCCATGCCGAAGAATGTGACAGTTGTTTAGTAATTGCTAACTCTATTCCCATCTCGCATGTTTTTCAGTGGCCAGTTGGCTGTAGTGTTGCCTCAAACGAGCTTTCTGACTTGACACATTGAATGGCCCGAAAAACCGGCACAGGATGACACTGTGTATCAAGCCGAGTCTCTCAAGTCACTCGAGAATGCACATTTGATGCTGGAGATTGTGTTCAACGACCTCAACCGCATTAGAGCACGAGTTATGTGGATTTGGTCCAACTTGAAAAGTGGAAACTTTGAACTCATAGCCGCAGCCGTGGCACCAACACCGCCACTGACCTCGCCCTCAACATGATGGCGGACCTGCTGGCGCTCTTCGAGCAGCTCGTTGGTTTCTGGAGGCGGCTCAACAATTTCTTCCGAACCAGTGCTTGCTGAAAGAACACAGCATCCCCGAGGATTTCGGGGAGGGTGTACGTTCGACTCCAATATGTACTACTTGGACATTGACAGCTTCCTTTTCATTTGTAGAGAAACAGATGACTTCCGCCATCTCCTACCGCTGGGTCAAATCCCACTCTACAAGGAAGAAATTTTGGCAATGTGTAACGCCTGGGACTATGCTTGTTCGAAAAGCTGACGGCTACCCGGTCAAGCACGAGTCCCTTCGCAGCATGGAGGAGCTGAGAACGGCCAACACGATGCCCTTCTACCTCGATTTTGCCGCGCAAATATTGCTAGACGTAAATTACACGTTGCAAAAACACAACGCGGTCGTCTTTGACACCTTTGTTCGGCATGGCAACATCCTGGGAAAGCAGCTCGACGAGAATTTGGAGAGCGAGCTCTGGCCAGCCGTCAACGACGGTCAATCCCGCGCCGTCCAAAGTGAATTCAACCGGATCCTGTGAGACCCGGCAAACCCGCTTGAGGAGAAGACGGGGATGCCCGTGCCCGATAGCGTGGATCGGGGTCGCATGCTGACGTTGTCGCCTGCACTGAGCGGCTTGCTTCTGACCGCTTCTGCAACGAGATGAGGGAGATCGGCGTCATGGCTGTCGATGCCTGGGTCATCATTACTTACCCGGCGCATTTTTATAACGCCATTCGTGAGGAGAAGCTCGTCACCCGCTCGTGCTGAACATTGCTCGGCTCCTTCAAGGACCACTAGCCTTCGATTCTGAAAGAAATCTACGGGCGGACCTCCTCGACCGAGAGTCGGAACCCAGCTTCATGATCATTAGCTACATTTTTCTTGCGGCGAGTCTGTCTGACATGTGCTTGAAGGCTAAAGCAGCAGAAGTAGTCAATGGTTACTTTGGTTTCGAAGTGCCTGGAATCATGGCGGGGTTGGCCGGCTCACAGATTCGATTTGTGCTTCCAGGAGGCAACAAAGTCGAAGGGTGGACACTCCAGTTACCAGGCCTATTGAACCATACCAATGTAACAAGAACAACCCCTGGGTTGTACATATTAGATCCTAGCTTCAGTCTCACCTCTCAGCTATTTATCTCTTATTCAAGCTATCATGCTTAGCTGTTCTACAGGTGTTACAAGCAAATGTTGGATTGGTTTCACGAAACTGATTGGAAACATACATAAGAATTGCTGTCCCGCGGTAATCCCTTCATTGCATTACTTTAGCCAAAGAATGCAAAGACCAGTAACGCTCAATCCTGAATATTATGATGCCTAGTGGCAGGGATGGCCTATCTCGGCGTCCAACAACTAGTGGACGACTCCGTGTATCACAGGTCTGCAAACATTGATCACAAATACAGGTATGAATGTACTGTTTTTCATTCAAGGTCATGAATGGATACCCCGTATCATTGCATTACTCTCCATTGCCCAAACCCGCACTCATCACTCCTCTCACCAAGACACATTATTTCTCCAGCACCCAAACCCGACCACTGCATTCTGAGCTAGTCATCAGCAAGTCACCGTTCGGTGTAGCCGCTTGGGCCATCCTCCACCCATTCCTCACGTCTGCGTCAAGTACCTTGCTCAACACCAACAACCCCTTTCTTCACCAGCACCACTCATGTACAGTGAACCTCAGTCTGAACTTCCCCATCCCCATTCCCATCAATGGTGCAGGGGCTGTTTGGAGCCGAGCAATGGGAGCCACTTGTGCAGAAGAAGGAGAGCGACATGTCCTTCCATTTGGATACGCAGGCACCGCCTGCGTCGTTGCATAACCCGTCGAGGTGGTCGATCCCATGGGGCTTAGCGGGAGTGCTTGTGGCCGTGGCTGTGGGGGTGGTCTTGGTTGTTATAAGGTACGTGGTAGTTGTATGTATGCCTCCGTCTGCGTTGGTGGTCCGGGTTGGCTGCACTGAGTTAGTGCAGCTTGTCATAGACCAAGTTTGCCCATCTGAGGTGGTCCAGGTGTTCCAAGCGGTCGAGGCCGTGTCTGTGGGGGTTACGTCTTGCATTGTGTAAGCTGAATCTCGTGTCACAGTGGTCGTTTCTGGTGTACGTGGTGCCGCAAGGGGCATGGGGTGGTCATGTTCGGTGCAGGTGGAAGATGCAAAAGATAAACAGGTCTGTGGCTTGGTCACGTCTGCCTGTGTGGCAGCCATACGTGCACGAGTGATGGTCTTCCATTGGGTTGCAGTGGTAGACCCGACTGCTTGTGTGATGGTCTTGGGCTCGGTGGGTGCCGCAAATGCGGTGATAGCCGCGGCCAGGACTGCGAAATTGGCCTTTTGCGTAAAATGCATGGCTTCAGAAGTGATGGTATTGATTGCTACGGGGGGCTTTTTGGATTGGTGGTAATGAGTTGTGATGATATTAAAAGCTAATGACGATACCTGATGCTGAATACGAGTAGCAAAAGAGGATGAAGATGGAGAGAAAGGGGAAGAAGCTGGGAGGCGGGTCAATATATTTACCTGCTGGGAAGTTATATTCAAGGGTGTTGTGTACCCAATCCTCATTATGACGGAACCTGCACGGCACCATTATAATAGGCAGCCACAGGCTGTTTTAGATTCTAGATCCCTGACCGTGTAAGAGGAAGCCACTACGCGGTTGCGCAAGCCTGTTGTTGTAAATCGCATCAGCATGGAACTTGAGCTGATACGAAAAGCCGACTTTTCATTCGTTCCTCAAGGAAGATACGTATCGCCATCTTCTCAATAAGGCCTCAAGCATAGAAATGACGACTATACGAGGTAGTCTGAACTGTAACCTTGACAAAATGAATTGCTAAGTATCCTCACCGACTGCTCGGACGATACTGCATCATCTCAGTTGTTCCCTCTTACAGTCGCGACTCTCTGAGCAAGAGCATGCGCTCACTCAACAACTTTGGTGAGAAAGTAAGGTGGCTAAGCCCATTGTTTCGTCATCGTTGTGATGATGTGTTAGCCACAGGGAAGGTGCAACTTAACTGCCTTTGACTTCTCATCAGCAACAGTAACAAGCGCCTAGGGTGTGAACCGCAGCTTCTAGAGTTTTCTTCACTAGTGAGAAACTTCGAAAGTCGACAGACAGTTATAATTGATCTTTGAGTGAGTGCATCTTGCCTAAAAAGGAAATTTGAACCAAACGCAAACGACTGAAATCCACCATACTGACAGTCCAGTTGGCCTCTTCAGGGTCAAGGCCGCCCGAGGAGACCTCACCTCAAAGTTTCAGAGCTGACACTGCTCGGTAAACTAGTAATATCTGATCTGTGGCTTTCGCGATGCCAAAGGAAGTCTCAATAGCCGACGGTGCATATTGCCCCCGAATGAGGTCTATCGCCATGCCCACATACTCAGCTCGTGGCTATCGAGCCGAGTGTCGTATTGAAAGGGGCAGTGCTCAGAGAGGGAGGATGAGTTCGAGTCGCTCAGACCCTGATTCCTCATGGATATGTCCATGACAATATGAAAGTCTAGAAAAGGAAGACACAATGAATGGTGTACATGCGGAAAAACGAAGCGTGCACCTAACTGGGATACTGGAATATCGTGTTAACCTATATATTCTTCTGGGTACCCCATGCTATTCCGATGTTCCTGAGCCAGTCAGTGCGCCCTACACTTGAGCAGAATCCCTTTTACCTGAAGGTGGCCATATCAGCTGTAGAGATACGCCTTGGTGGAGATGCTCGGTATGTTTGTGACCCGTCATCTATGCCTCAAACAAGGTCAGATCCAAATCGGGCTGAGGCTCTTCGCAACATTGGCGTTCTTCGTAATGAAGCATCCAAGAATTTCTTCGCAAGCCTGCCGACGGGAAAGCGAGAGGCAAATTTCCATCACACTTCATCACCCGATATGAACCACAGCAACCCCAAATGCCCCCCAGATGCGGCAGTGCCTGTCCTGTCGGTCGATGTCAAGGCTGCGATCAGACACAGCTTGGGCGAGAGGAACCACCAGACCGACCAGTCTCGCTGTACCGTATAATTCCTTTTTGAAAATCCTCCTTCTGTCTCACTTCGGTGTACATCAGAACGATCGGCACTAATATACCTTGGCTACGAACGATCCCCAGCCTTGGCCGTCCCGCAGTAATGGTAAACCAACGACAGGTCACTGCCGTACTCGCTCACCTTTGGCTCAAAGTGCAACGCTAGTATACGTCATGATAGAGTTCAGCGTAGCTTTCCATGGGACTCTATTTGTTATTGCAGCTCCAGCTGAATGTATTAAGAGCTCACGATGAGCTGCTCTACTTAATGAAACAGGCCACCTTTTTCTAATCAACCAGTCTCATACCACATTGTACCCATGAGGAGTTCGAATTCAAAATGAATCCTAAACTGCTTTTCTCGCAGTTACCTCTCTCGCGCCCGTTGCCCGCATCTTAGAGGCATACGAGAATGCGATTGCTGGCAGCGTCATCGCTGTTTTGAAGCAGAGCACCACCAACAACCTCCTAGGCAGTGAGCAGTCGGCAACGGAGATCCTGGGAGGAACTGCGCCAAAATTCGTGTATGAACTCGGCGGCTTCAAGGGGTACCACATCTCTGGGTCCAATGACTTGATCAACCTTCCAAACCTTGCCGAGGTTATCTCCAGTTCATACTGGCTTGATGTACCGTCATAACTGATGTAAAATCAGATCGCATACACCGAGCCAGACGCCCAAGTCAACCTCGATACCATTGAGATGCAGAGCGAGGGACCATGGAGTCTTACATGAATCTTCTACGCCGAGCCGGTTGGTTTGTGTACGTCGATACGGCTGGAAAAGGCACCTATGCCAGCATCATCGACACGGGCGACTACACCAAGCACCCAGAGTTTGAGGGTCAAGCCACGTGGAAAGCAATTCCGTTGAAGGAGATAGCAGAGAGGGTGAGTGGCAATGGCTACGGCACACACATCGCTGGCACCATGGGCTCTGTCACATACGGTGTGGCAAAGAAGACCAACCTGATTGCTGTAAAAGTCCTTCACTATCCAGGCTCGGGGGGTTTAAGCCTGGTAATTGCCGGGATATAGTGGGCCGTAGACGATCCTACATCCAAAGGACGTAGTTTGGCGACTCTTCAGACTGTATGAATAGATCCACGGACTAACACCGGCGTACAGGTATCGGCAAAGTTGTCGCCAACATGTCCCTCGGCATCCTCCGTCTCTTCGCGCAGTCCGTCAACGACGCAGCCGCCGCAGCTGCTGAAGCTAGACTGTTCATGGCGGTAGCAGCAGGCAATGATGGGCCACCGGCCATCCTAAGCTCTCCCATTTTGGAGCCATCAGTTTGCACCGCTGGCGCAACAGACTCGGAAGGCAACAAGACATCCTTCTCCAACTGAAGACTTGGCCTTGATATCTTCGCTCCGGGTATTAATATCATTTCGACGTGGAACAAAGGCTCCACGAATATCATCGGCCACGTGGATGGCGACACCGTACATCACTGGGCTAGGCGAGTACCTTTGGCACTTGAGGGAGCGGCTAATCTCGCGGCTTGGTGTGACCGCATCAAGTAGATAGCAACCAAGGGGGTAGTGAGTTTGGCGTTGTCGGATAATGAGCTTGCCTTTCACATTGCTACTGGTGCGTGACCTGTGGTTGGGAGACTGGTCTGAGAACCGAGATATAAGTATGTGAGATTTCGAACGAGAAATGAATGACGATATACTTGCAAAGCTGTCAAGCTCGTAGAGTCGTCTCGAGATGGAAAAACACCACAGTGTGAAAATAATCCTGCTCCAGGATCAACTGCAGGCGATCGTGTTTGTGCTGCAGCACTCTCAACGGCATTCCCACACCAAGCTTAATAGTTTCTCGAACTCTGACCCATTATGATCACTAAACAGCAGAATTCCCCGCATGAGAACCCATTGTAGCATGCAGTTGTGATTCCGCTGAACAAATTCGTAGAGATTAGTAATATCTGCAGGTAGCAAAACGGCAAGCTTGAGTTGCAAGTTCAGAACAGTCCACTTGAACTCGTAGCAGCGAAGCTGGCGATGGCTTTTCGATTTGCCATGACCCAGCCTCTCAACCGTACGTCAATCTCTCACCCATTGAAGCTCATATAATGAATAAATTATGTAGATCGGGCTGAGCTGATTGCCCACATGATACAGGCATGTCGGCCGGTCTGAAATCACATGAGTCCGGTATGCATTTTAAGGTTCTGATCCTCTGACTTGAGTGGGAGTGCTGGAAGAGAGCGGTCTGATACGAGAGAAAAAAACTACTGGTTTTTGGTTTATCGAAATGACTGGCTGCATGTGATGGAATCATTGCAAGAGGCAAGGAGAAGCAAGGAAACACACATTTGCGAGCGACAGACTCGTGGAAGAATAAAATGCACATGATAGTGATGGAATGTGGGTGTTTGCGATTGACGACAGACCCATGTCAATCTTTGGAGAGCACAGACCATACTCAGCTTGTGAGCAAGGAAGTTGTAAGCTGACGCCCGGGTCCAGCGCCTCATATGTCACCGTCATCGCACCTTCTATTGTTTCCACTTGTTACGTTGACCTTCTGCCTTGCCGCTGGCCTGTGAAAATTTCCCAACGCACTGAGGCAGACTATGCGTTTCCAACACCACGCGATTTACCCTTAGATCACGGCAACTTCGGGTAGTCTATCGTTGCAGGCGGTCTAACGCCTAACGAAGTCTTATCGCACGCACGTTGATCCATCCATGTGTGTTGGATCGACTATTTCATTCTATCCCTCCGTCCAAACCCCATCACAATGCGGCGGAGTTTGTCTCTGCCGCATCACCGACTTCCTTCAAGCTGGATCCCATAGCCCTCGTCGCTTTGATTATCGGTAGCAACCCGTTTTTCAGCACGCGTCAGTCAAGACGCGACAGACATCTGCACTCCTCTCTTTGGCCTTTACGATTTTACGATTTACGAAGATTCTTCACGGGCGCTCTCTCCACCCCGAGTCTGCCACCTTTTCCCTACAACATGACCCTGCGAGGTAAGGCAGCCATTCCGGCGACACCACGCGTTATATCACCGAGCCCTACTCCTTCCGAACTCAGTCAAGACGGGTTGCAGGACTCTTATTTCGGTCCGGTCACCCGGTCGGCCACTCGAAGGCGCCAGAATGGAAGCGTCACTCCCCAAATTCCCGAGTCCCTCGACGAGGATTCGTCAGACCCAGACCTCCGACGGGCCCGGACACGATCTCGAAGTCCGATAAAACCGCGCAAGGTCGCAGGCCTTACATCGGCCAAGACGCCCACAAAACCGGCACGAGTTCCGAAGAAGGCGCAGAAACCCATTATGGTCCCAGAAGAGACTACAGAACACGCAAACGGCGTTATTGTCACGTCCAACGGTCATCTGGCGCCGCCGACTCCTGCAACAGCGGGCTGGAACTGGCGGGACTTCAGCCGGAGTCCCAGCCCGTTGGGTCTCATCCCCATACACCGGCATTTCAAAACCTTGATACACAAGCACGAGGTTCCGAGAAAGGTGCTGCACGTTTCGATCGGCTTCATCGTCTACTGGCTCTATGTCACTGGCACGCAGCCGGGCTGGGTTACCCCATGGCTGATGGCACATTTGATCCCCATCGCTCTCACGGATTATTTGCGGCATACATACCCTTCGCTCAATCGCTTCTACGTCGGGTGTCTAGGTGCTTTCATGCGCGAAAGCGAGTATGATGGATGGAACGGAGTTGTGTTCTATCTACTGGGGGCGTGGATGGTTCTCCACTTCCTTCCCAAGGATGTGGCCATTGTTGCCGTCATGTTGCTCAGTTGGTGCGACACAGCCGCCAGCACCTTCGGCAGACTCTGGGGACGATACACCCTGCGAATCAGGAGAGGCAAGTCACTCGCTGGAACACTGGCTGCGTTCGTTGTGGGTGTCGTCACAGCTGGATGGTTCTGGGGCTGGCTCGTCCCGAGGACTCCTTGGTTCCCCGGCGACGAACAGAATCCGTTCATGTTCAACGGCTTCTTGAGGTTACCCGAGATTGCAGCAAACGCGCTTGGCCTTACCGCTTCCGAGGCCACCGTTACCGGCAATGTCGCCCTCGCGGTAATGAGCTTGTGGTCAGGTCTGGCTGCGGCTGGAAGCGAAGTAGTAGATGTTTGTGGCTTGGACGACAACCTCACCATACCGGTGCTCAGTGGCATCGGCATGTGGGGATTCCTCAAGATATTTGGTTAGGGAACCCAACTGTCTTGGCAGAGTGTCCACCTACGTCGTTTCGGCGGCGTCTGTTGCATTCCTGACGTTGTTTTCAGGGAAAAAAAAGGTTGCAATGGCTCAGGCTAGCCGTGGGTAAACGATGGAAACGATGCACATGGTACAATCTACTCAATTATATGGTCGAAGATCGTGGCGGTGTTATCACACATATTCCTACTCAGGTGACCGTCCCCGACAAGGACCAGGCCCCCAAACACTGGTCGGTAGTTCGCGACTTGGCTGTAATCGCAGTTTATCGGCTATGCTTGAAGTTTTCTTCCTGCCTCCGATTGTCCTATCACAGCCTCCGATGGCGAAGACGGGGCAATTGATTTGGGCTAAGTCTGCTAGTGTATATTATGCCTGCCCTCGCCGGCGTTGGCAGATTTCGAACCGGCCATGCAGCCGAAGTCGTGCATCTCTCGCATTTATACTAGAGTGAGAATATGCATTTGCCTCTCGGAGGGAGGCCTACCAAAAGGCCCGCACAACAATGTTACCCCGACTTACACGGGATGATCGACGAAACCCTAGCCAGGGCAATATCTGGTCCTCGAGTGCCACCATTGAGATATAGGACCTCAAATCAGGTATATAGTTTCGCGGAACTGGGAAGGTCACGCCCTCATTTCATCCTGCATAACACCTATTCGTGTGCATGCAACGGACGTCCCAGGATCGAAAATCTCGCCGCTCAATGATGAGTTCCGCCACCCTCTCCAAGGTGGAATTGGCCTCTTAGCAGGGAGTCGTGGGGGGTTCCTTTTTTTTGTTTTTTATTTTCCAATAACTCTGCTCGGCTGACGAGTTTTCGTCCTATGAAACGCTGCCCCATCATCCACCGGCTCGACGTCCTGTCCGACTGCATATTCTCCATTCAAGCCTTGCATCTCGCCTTTGGCTGTCAGACAAGGGACAGTATCCACCAGACCTGCACCGCCGCTCCGTCTGCTCCGCCTTGTTGCGTTCATGTAGTGTCGCCAAGCAGTTTTTTGATCGGACCGTTGGAGGATCGCGGCTACCTGTCTTACGGTTAGGTCGTACCTTTCTCACATGGTACACAATCACCACTCCCATCCATCCATGTGGAAAGTTGCTCCTGAAGTAGCCAAGAGGCAACGAGCCAATGGCCAGACTTCAAGTGTATTCTCAAAGGAATATGTGTCATCTAATCCCACCAGATAGACGGCCAGGCACTCTCCAGCCAACGATACCTGCGCAGTAGATCAAGGCCTGACAGGCAAATCCCCGTCAGACTGGCATTGCAATAGAGTGGTCTTAATACAAAATGTGTTAAACGGACCCAATGCTCGGCATTATTCCCACTAACTGGCCTCTGACGGGAGCACGCAATGTTCGCATGCCGTACAAGTCATTACCCTACCCCTCGTCTCGTACTACCATGAGCCTAAGACAGGTCTGTGATAGTCTAAAGTCCTGTTCTTCCCAGTCGACGAGATCAAATCTTGGCTGGGGGCCTGGAGAAATGTCGCCTCACAGCCCCACATCCTGGGACTGAGCAGACGACAGATATCCAGACGATTTCAACCACTGTCACGTCTCCTTGTCAACGGCACGGTTCCCATGCGACAATTTGTGGAATCGCAAGGACGATGATACGTGGGGAGGAGTGCAAATTTTAGCTGCATACTTTGAGTACCCACGAGCTAACTAATGAAGCCCCGGTCTGTCACCGAGTGACGTCTCGTTTGTAGCAGTACCTTTGAAACCTATCTGCTGAACAGTCCACAGGTTACTCAAGTTTCATGCAGTAGTATCCCCCAGGCCCAGGACAAAGGTAGCGGCTCAATTTCCTCCTCGGCGCTGCGCATGCCTTTCATTTACCGGCCGCAAGCGTTGGTCGAAGCGAAACCTCACCGCCCGTTCTGGCTTTCATTACTGGACTCCTTTGCTCGCCAACCGAGTAACGGTTCCAAAGGCTCCAGAACCGGGTCCCAAAGATAAAACTGTCAGCAGGACGAGACGGGAGGAAGAGGACCCACGGTACAAACCTAGAGGGAGCCAGCTCAGCAGCGCATGCAACAACTCCTGTACAGTTACATTGACGCAGCTAAAATAACCCGCAGAAGCCTACATCATCGGGAGACTTTTCCAAGGCGGCTACTTGTCTCGATGCGGTAATATGCTATTTCCCCATTCCAGCTAACCTAGTTACCTGCCTGCCGTTGCAGCCGCCTTTTTGGCCATGCTTCTCCAGGTCACAACGCAAGTGAAGCACCCATGTTTCGTTGCCAGCCACGAGACAATTCATCCATGACGGATCCAGTCCGGCATTATGGCTTGGCGGGGCAGACCGAGCAAGCTAGAACGGATGGAGGGGTAAAGCTGGCATGCCCTTGACCCATGCCATGGAAGATCCACAATTTCTTTTTGCTGGCATTGACCCTTTCCCCACGGGATTCTGCATTTCTGGCCAATGGAAATTCGCAAAAGTCGCCATTTCCATTAATCCAACCGATTAACTACCAACGACATACGGAAATTCTTCAGATAAAGAGACACCCGAATAAGGAAGTGACCGGGGGGTTTCACGGATATTTCGTGCAGTTGGAGACAACGGCCTGGGAAGGAACGCGTCTCGTTGGAATTTCCCCAACGTCCCCAAGGGAAAAAACAATTTTTAAACCCGATTTGTTGTCAAATAAATCTGGCAGGCTGGATTTGTTTTATTTGGGTGGCCCTGGGACTTGACAACACATCACCACACAAATTGCCCGACTTGCTGCACTTCTGCCTGACCTGACGGGGCTCGACATTTTTTCGACTTCTGTTTGACGACTCGTGGTCCAATGCCTCCCATCCGTTCACCCCGATCCCACTCTTTCTCGGCCAACGAGTCGACGTTTTCCTCCTGCAGGCTTGGATATGGTCCCAGATAATGGCTGGCTAGAGGAAATCCGTCGCTGCTTTTGCCCGTCCCTAGCGTCAGCGCGCTTGTTGGAAAGACCCAAGTGCTTGGCCAAGGCGAGACTGGCTGGGTAGGACCTCCATGGTTCATGTTCCATTCATCCATGAACCTGGAACACCCCCCGTCGTCCAATCCCACTTATACATTCCCCCCCCCAGCGTGGTGATAGACAGCTTTGATCCATCTTGGAAATACATTTCGGACGATCCAGTGCCCGAGTAGGCTCGCTCTGGTCTGACATTAGTTCCCTGTCTGGGCCCTTCGTTGCCTCCTGTGGGTTCCGGCGTCAGTCAGTTAGCGTATATTCCTGCCCGTCGTCATCCGCCCATGATTGCACCCAAGCCAACCCATACGGGCTTCCGAACTCCCTTTCCGTTTTCTTCTATGTACATCCATCCACTTTGTCGGGGATAATTCACTACCATCCGGCTCCGCGGTTTGGTCTTACAGATCACATCCCGTCTGTTTGCACACTCCCCCCCTCCTCCACCAAGGTTGATATCCACCAATGCCCGTCTGGAAAGGAGATAATCGTCCACGCGGCATATGCACAAATAATTTCATGACTTTTCTCTGAGCAATCGAAACTGATCCATGCACGCCGTTTCGAGTTGGTCTCCGTCGGCCAGTTCCTGTTCAGGGATCAGCCCACCGCCTAGACTGGCCACCCACCTTACATTTGCTGGCTTAAACATCGTTCCGGTGGGAGGTACAACCGCGTAAGCCATAGCGGCAGCACTAGGGGCTGGCTGCTCCAGAGTATCGTCGTCACCCCTCGGCAGTCTACCGTCTCCTTGCCTCCTGCCCTCGTCCATCGTCGCCATCGAGCGGGGTCAGTTGGCCTTGACGAATCGTGTGATCAAGACTTATCCTCCCGGTTGGAAATATGTCTTCTCGAGGTTGACCGGGGAGACTCGGAAAAGGTATAAATAGGGGTCTTGTTGACGGGTTGGGACTGATTCTTTCTTCTTCCTTCTTCATCACTTTCTCAGCTCCTCAACTACCTCCTGCACTATTCAGAACACTTATCCATACTTGCCCTAGTGTCTTTGATCTCCTGCATCAAGTCTTGCTACCCCAACCCAAAATTCTGCACACCAGTCAAGCACCGCCGTCTGGTTTCAAACATCCTAGTACGCATAGCATACAGACACACACACGCGCGCGCGCTTGCTCAGAGTTCCCACCCTTCATACTCAAATACTTCTATTTGATCTATTCCGTTTCAGGCATCATTATGTCTTCGTACTCGCCTCAGTACTACAGCGCCGCTGTGCCCATTCCCACCAAGGACCAGCAGTACGCCAGCTACTACCACGGCAGTGGTGGTAGCAACTACTCTGCCTCGCCGCCTGAGGACAATGACGCCTCTGTGACATCTGGCGTCCCGTCGTATGGCAACAGCAGCTACTCAGCCAATGCTTCCACCTACGCTGATAGTTCCAGCGGAGACTGGGATAGCACTGGTTCAGCGAGCGGCGTTGACTTCAATGAGTACATCCACGACCGTTTTGCGGAGACCTTTGATCCCATCCCGCTTGATCGCAGCTTGGCTTCGCAGGCGCAAACGTGAGTTTCCCGCATAATCGATCGCAAAACGATAGGCATATTTCAAGTGACTGACACCATCTGTAGATCGGGCCAGCTCAATAACAAGCAGCGCGAGCTCATGGAGCTACAGGCAAAAGCCCAAGCTCGACTCGCAAAGTCTCGCGCCCGCTTTCAGGAGGGCATTCAAGATGCGCAGGAAGTTCGCGCGAATCTGGAGTGGACTTCGAAGAAAGTCTCGTGAGTACCACAAAGCCTCAATTCCCGATCGATCGAGCCGCAATTGCCATCTGCGAAATCTGCTACAGGGCATTCTGCCGAACTCAAAATAGATTACACATCCAGAAAATCAGGAACAGGGAGCAAGACGCTAACATTGTGTTTCGCAGATCTATGAAGACCAAGGCCTCGAAAAAGCACTCCAAGGAGTACAAGAAGGCCCGCGAGAGATACCCGTCCCCGGAGTACTAGACTTTTGAGCCGCATTTCATGGCTTGGAAACTAGTGTCGTCCGTGAGGAACTCACCTTACCCATGTTCTACCCATGTTCTACCCATGTCGTTACACTTTTAGCGGGATCTTCATTTTTTTCGGCGCCATCGGGAGTCTGGGCATCTCAGATCTGTTACTTTTCGCATACATAGTACATACACCCCCTTTCTATTTTTGGCTGGTTTCCCCGCCACCTTTACCTGCACATCAGATACCCTACATATGCACCATGCTGATAGGGACACGAAGTGACGTTGGTGGACGTCGGGGCAGCGCGCGGCAAACAGCGTCTGGGTGGGTGGTAGACGCGAGACCCGTCGCTGCTTTTATGCGCCTGCCTGCGGGCACCATGTAGATGTGGAGGTGGTGGGTGCAGCAAGGCGGGCGTTCCTGCGTCGACCCAGCTACTTAGCTAGCACACCCGCTTCCCCACGCACACACACTCACCATACATCATCAGGCGCTGACGTGCAGCACGGGCAGCGCGGGAGGGTCGGGCTGCGGCTGCTCTTTTTGACACAACGGTATGACTTATGATTGGACGAAGGGCGATGGTCCGGGGGGCTACCGACCCCATGTTTAGGCGTACTCCCACCACCTGTATTCCTTTCGACTGGCCATGCAAGGCCTGGGTGCGATCGGTGTGGTTGTGATGTGACAGACGCCACGGGGGCTGCAGGTTCTGCAGCACCAGGGCTCCTTGACCTCCTGCCACTGGGTGCCAAAAAGCAGGGAGCAGGGTTAGCTGCTGCTTGCGACTTGTGCGGATACGTCCTTGGGAAGGAGGAGCTAGGGAATCGGAACAGACCCCAAGTATAGTGACGGAATGAGTAAGCGGGCGGAGTCAAAAAGGTGCAGGTGTCCACCATCTAGATACATAGGGACACACTCGGGGGGCGCGACGAGACATGGGACAAAATGGTTGGATGTAGATAGACCATACGCGCCGGTGATGGGGTGCCCACTTTGCCTGATTGGGGCATGTGGATATTACCCCTTTGGGTGCTGGGAGGGCCGCCGTCACGGGGAGCGTGGTGACATAGGCAACTAATGGTTTGGGGCGTTTCCTAGGTGCGCTTTCTTCTCATTGGGTCGGCGTCCATGGGGAACCGGAGGGTACGATTAGCAACTTCCTTTTCCTGTTCGAGTAGCAATACAGTGATATTTCCCCTTTTCTCACTGTCGATGCCAGTGAATGTATGTGTATGTGTACGTGCGTGTCATGCCGGTGACGGTCCTAGCTACCTCGTGCTGTATGTAGGCTGTAGCCATCCGTAGACCGCCCATTGCACCCCCTCCCTCCCTGGGTTGTCCATTGGCTCAGGGGGTATGGGGGGGAACACGACAGCAAATCGGTCGCTTGTCATGTGAGGTGCGTCCAGCCATGTGTCAAGAAAGACGCCATTTTGCCTGCGTGCAAGCGCCCAGGGATGTCACGTGACGGCCAAGTCGAATCGATTCGCGGCATTTGTGGACGGACTTCGGGACGGGACGATGAATAGATGAGAGGCCAGGATGGAAGGAAAGGGTGCCAAGTGGCGTGCGGAGTTTGGTAGGGGGGTATCCATAGAGGGGTGGTGAGAAAGTATATAAGGCTTGTGAGTTCCTTTGCAACTTGCCTTCTCTGTTCTCTTGTTTCGTTTCTCTCCCTTTCCTCTTCGATTTCTTTCTGCTGTCTTTCTCTTGGACCAGTCAATCGAACCATGCATCCAACACAATCTACACACGCAGGACCCCGCAACGGCAGACTATGACTTCGAAGCTCAATCCACTCTCACCAAAAGTCAAGCCCTAACCCTCAACGTCAATGGCCCTCGCTCCTCCCTGAGCCGTCCCTCTTCCTGTATTCGGAGCCGTCGACTCTACCACTGTGCTCGCATGGTCCGTCCGCGTCACCTCGTTGTCGGGCAATTTGTCGCTATCGACCGGGTCCTTAGCCGCCGCCGCAGCCACCGTGATCGTACCAAGATCAAGTCCAATCATGTCCTCTCCATGCTATTCCTTCACGCCTCGACCTCAGCCTTCGCAGCCTCCCACCTCCCCTTTGATTCCTCCCACGACAACCAGGGACCACGCGGCTCAAGACCCATCTTCTTTTCCAAAGCGTCCCATGGGTTCACGTTGAAGGTGGGGTCGTAGTAATCCTCCCACCAGGGCTTGCCGTCGTCACGGTGTCCCCGTCCATGTCCTGCTCCCCGTCCACCTCGAGTTGTGTTGAAGCTTCCTCCTCCTCGACTAGATCCTCCTAGGAAGACGGGTTGTGCTTCGGTTGGTCGAGGGGGAAGTGTTAGTGTGCCGGTTAGGGAGTCGATGTGAGACGGCTCTGCGTCGGGGACTCGGGACGTCGCAGGGCGCGAGGTGTCGATGTATTGTGGTCCCGGATCCGCGCCATCTACTCCTTCTCCAAGACAGCTACCGCGGCCTTCGTCCACATCGTCTTCATCCTCGTCATCCAACGCAATCTCGTTATCATTACTCGACGCTGGCACCCTTCGCTGCCCAAGAGGTGTGTTGTTGGACCCAGAAGCCGACTTCTGTTGCAACGGCAGCCCGCTCCCGTCATCGATGACGGCATCGTCGGCGTGGGGGTTAAACTTGCGACGCTTGGCGCCTTTCATCCCGAAGGAGGAGAAGCCCATGGCTTGCGCCATTGCGGCGGAGGTCGAGTCGTCTGAGTCTGACATTATATTATCCTATTTTTGCGCCGACTCGGTTCGGAGAGAGGCAGCTCAGGTTAAGGTGAGGTTGGATTGTTGGTTGGTTCAGAGGGAGGTCTGGTCGCCGGCTCGGTCCGTTACGGTACGGTCCGTCTAGGTCGTTAGGTTTGGGCGCCAGGGGATGGGCGATGTATAATTTCGGCTGTTTTTGGGGTCACAGATTCAGGATAACGGGGGTGGACATGCGAAGTTTGCGAATTTTGCGGGGGGGAATGGACGGGTTGGCCAAGGGCAAGACCCAATAATCAGCCCTCATGAAGGATAAAAACTTTTGTCCTGATTATTATGGGATCAAGGGAGCCTTTTTTGGTGCTGGGCGAAAGAGCCGGGATCACAAGACCAAACCACCCTGCAATTCAGTGTCCGCCACTTGTTCAGCCTTGCGCGAGTGGTTGGCGAGGATGCAAGGGACTCGGCTAGGCAGGGGTCATGGGTTACCAAGTATGAGCTAGGATATGGCGATTGCGGCGGCGCAGGTTTTGTCACTTGTCATATTTCCTCCTGTTCTCTGTTCGCCAGTCAGTCAAAACTCAACGCGAGAGGTTGGTGAGAAACGCGGCATTTCCAAAAAAACGCGGTAGTTGTTGGCAGCTTCAGCCGCATCTGGCCGAGGTCGGACAAGTGTCTGCTTCTAGTGATATTGTCACACTCGAGACCATCACCATCATCTCCATTGTTGAGGGGTATGGGGAGAAAACATCCAACTGACGTCGAATGCGACGATCGTTCATTTCAGGTCCAATTGCCCATCGTTGGGTGAAGTGAACTTTCAGCTCTGACATCACGCTAATGCCGCTATTCCTGAAACACAACTTCGACAACTATCGAGCAGGGGGGCAAGTGCCGGAAGCCCCAATTGCCGTCGCAAGCAGGCGCGAATGGCTTTCGAGCTTCTAACTTCTCAGCTTTTCCATAAATTGCATCCCAGGCGTTTGTAATGCTGTGGTGACAGAGTAGAGAGTATTTACTTGCGTTCAGTCTCTTTTCATAATATCTTGAGACGAACTCATTTTCTAGAATATCAGCATTAACAGCTCCTCGTCTTTTCTACGGGATCAATCCAGCGACCAACGACCACCATCGAACACAATGGCATCACCACCAGCAGATTCAAAGAGTGACACAACGCCTCCAACCACCATTAGCCTACGCGCCCCATCCAAATACCTATCCTCCTCCACGAAATCCGAACCCGCGACCACAGCCCAGAGCCCCTTTATCTCCCCGCCCCTCGACTGGCTCTGCCGTACCTGGTCCGTCACCCACTCGACCTTGTCCATGTGGCAGTCGAAGCGCAACGTCCGCATCACCTACAAGCCCCTCGAACCCTCCTCTTCCTCATCCTCATCTGCACCCAAGATCGACGACCTAGTCGAGTCGGAAAAGAACAATGGCAAAGGCGGCATCAGCCGCATCGAAGGGATCGACACCCCCGACCCCTCATCACCAGGGAGCTGGGACTGGCGCGGCAAGGGCTGGCTCAAGATCGCGTCGAGCCACTGGGAGGTTCTGGGGTGGGGTGAACGACCGCTTATGCGCGGCTTAGGGGATATGGGTGAGGGTGTTGAGAGGTGGGTCGTGACGTGGTTTGCGGCGACGCTGTTTACGAAGGAAGGGGTCGATATCTACTGTGACCGGCGGGAGGGCCCGAGTCCGGAGACGGTGGAGATGATTATGAGGGAGCTGAAGGCGCTGGATGCGGCGCCGACGGTGGTGCAGCTTGTGGAGAGGGAGATGCGCGATGTGGAGATTAAGCTGCCGTGGAAGGAGAAGAACTAGTGGGAGGATCTTGGGCGCAGCAGGACTCAGAGGTTGAGGTTAAGGATGTTTGGGCCCGAGGAGCATAAAGAGGAGGTTGGACAGGAGACTGAGAAACTGTCTAAAATTAGTGGTAGACAGGGGCTTGTGGATATGGCTCGGGACATGGTGCGGACTCCGTACGGGATTCAAACTGCGGATGGCGGAATGCAGGAATGCGGAACAGGCTTGTTTCGTTCGAACATGTCTCATTTGACGTAACGTGCATGTCATGCTGGGAATTACCAAGCGCCATGCAACAGTAATGCTAATCATGATCCGTTTTTGCCGATTCTCGGCGCATTTTCCCGTCCGAATGCCTGTCCTTACTCTCATGATCCCTTCGAGAGCCGTGATGTCGACCCTCATGCCGATGGCGATGCTCTGACCGATGCCTATGTCGACCCCCGTCGTCATGGTGCCTATGCCTTCTCTCTCGATCACGCTCTTCATCTACCCGTCGGGGTTTCGCCCCTGAAGAGCGCACAACCGAATCATCCAGGCTGAACCCCTCCAACTCATCCCCGTCCCCCTTTCTCCTCTTCGCCTTCTTCTCCTTCCGCAGCAATCTCAGCTCCCTCTCCTTCTCCTCATTCACCACCCTCCTCTCCCTCTCCACCTCGCGCACCTTCGCCGCACCCCTCTTCATCATGGCAAGAGGGTCGCTCGACACCACCCGCTGCGCCTCTCTCTCTCTTCGCCGTGGATCCTCGTTTCCCCACACGTCTTTCGAGGGTACTTCCTGACTCTGTATATCACCGCTATTCGTGTACCACGCCCCGGCCCCAGCCTTGGACAAGACTCGATTTTTGCCAGCGGCGTTGGAGAAGCGCATCTGGTATTGGTCTTGGAACTCGCGTTTCTTCTTGGCGGCTTCTTTCTCGGCTTCGGCGTTCTTTTCCGAAGGCTGGGAGGGGAGGTCTTGGGGGAAGAGGTCGATATGCCCTGCGGCGTTGGTAAGGGGTGCATTGCTGGTCGTTGTGCGCTTCTGTAGCTGCAGCGCCATGTGGTCGTCCGTAGTCGCATTCCGGTCTCTTGCAGCAACAGTATCAGTACCGCCAATCCGCTCGCGCGCAACGCGGAGCTCGAAATCGGTGTCGTCCTCGTCGGCGCGCTTGCGCTTCTTGCGCTCTTTTCCCCATGTCGCCGTGGAATCTCGTTCGTGATGGCGCCCTTTCAAAGTAGGCAGTGGTTCTTCAGTTGAGGGTGCCGACAAAGGTAGTGGCACCTCCCCACGTAGGATGGCGAGTCGTTGTTCGGCATCGAGTTCTTGTTGGCGCTGCTCTTCAGCCTCCTCACGCGCTTGGGCGGCGGCTTCGTCGCGGCGCACACGTGCTATGTTGTCTGTGTTGTAGACGTTCCATGATTTCTTGCCTAAGAGGTGGCTGGGCAAAGATGAGTTAGTATTGGATGTGACGAAAGGCGGGTGGAAGGGGATGGCCATACAGAGGCATCGTGGTAGTTTCTACCTTTATGAGTACCTTGTTGCGATTACAATGTCCATGTGGGTGCGGATATTAAATAAGCTGGAGATCATGACGGTATTGGCTGAGGGCTCCACAATAGCAAAGAAGCTAGTCAGCGTTAGGTACCAGGGTGAGCACTAGGCTATAAGTACACTGAATGTACATAAATCACCCCGCACCCCACTTCCCCAAAGTACAGTCAGGCTCCACAACTCTGGGGACACTTTACGCCAACGCGGAAATTCGCGCACTTCGCACCTACTGTCGAATATCACGTGTGTCCAATCGAGTAGTCAGAAGTGCATAAGATTGTATTATGAATGAGGTGTGTTCTTGTCTGTGTTCTGTTCTCGCGAACTCCCGTTGCTCTGCCCTTTATAGATTCTTTCGGAAATGTCGGAGGTGCATTGTTCAGGTGTCTGACCCCGAACTTCGGAGTTACTTGTGAAGGTCAACCCTCCCAGACTCACTACAACCAGGTGACTTACAGCTGGAACACCTGCCGTGGCAGTGTCAGATGGGAAGCCAATCATAACCCTTGTAGGAGCCCCGCCAAGCGTGGATGACTTAGTCGCGCTCCCTCAAACCTAAGTTGTCATCTTCTTTCCTTCGCTCCTTAGAGTAGAATCTTCGTCGATAGCACCTAATCGAGGTCTATACCAATGCGATGCAACCCAGGTCGTGACATTACTTTCGGGAAGAGGGGTTCATTTCGCCGTCTGAACTTCAAGTGACACTAGTCTTCTCTAGTGCCATATTATTTCTGAACCTAGGAACCAGGTGTCATATCTGACACCTACACCCTCTAACATTTTAACCACCACAATTATATCAAAATGAGACCAAATCTCACCGAATTTGCGCAGAAATTAATGGCTGATCATCGGCCTGGCTGTGAGTATACTCAAGTCCAACGGGCGGCCATGGTAACGGCAGTTATGTGCGGTATCCCGCAGACTACCGTGGCTAGCCTCTTTAACGTACTAAAGTTAGAATAAGATCGAATCTGGACTATAACACCAATACTAACTTTAATACTAGCATCTTCAAAAATATTGAATAGTTCTAAATTTTCATTCTTCCAATCTGAAAAAGTGTAATCAGTTTCATTACTTAAATTCTCACGATGCTTTTTAAATTTAACTTTAAAATATTCACGAATTAAATCTTTACTTAAATCTAAAGCCACATCTAAAACTAAATTTCTTTCATATGTTATGTTGTTTTTAGTGTTTGATAGTATTCTTATAAACCTTCCTAATAATATAGACCCTTCTTAAAAATCTGTAGTGTAACGGGGTAAGGCCGGACATCAGGGAAATAGGTTACGGGGCTAGGGGAAAGTTTATTTTCTCTTCTTTAAGAGGCACAGAGGCAGAGTAGGACACGAGTCCCTCATCTTCACGCATCATCATCTCCTTCTTATCTATATCTTCACCTTCGCTTTCCAGTCAGTTATTTAGTTATTTTAGTTATTCAGCTTATCTTTACGTTGGAGATCCTATTATCACGATACGAGCCTCAGAGGCACATCCGACCAACTCGCGCACCAGACGTGTAAGAGCTTCACTCTTATAACCAGTACCACGATCTTCGTCTGATAAGACCAACAGATGGGATCTGTTGGTACTGGAGCCGTCTGTTCAGTGTGTTAGGTGGTAGGTATATCCTACTGACCGCCTGACTGTGACGGTTGTCACGTGATTGACCTACACTGGTCTGATAAGTGGTTGCAGATATCAAAGTCAGGGACTTTGGTATTGGTCTCTTTTGGTGAAGACATCTGGTACGGTGGCGTAGTGGCAAGGATTGCAACCCCTAGCACGGCGTGACACTGACCCCGTTTCAGTATAGCCTCCGGCGTATCGAGGGTTCCCCCGCTAATCTAGTCCACAGGTAATCTTCTCCGACGAGTCCTCTATACAGAATTCTACGTTATCCCCGACCGCCTGGGTCTTCCGATTTCCGAGCGAGAAGTATAATAAGGACTTCGTGAATCTTAAGGCACACGTAAAAGCGAATATTTCGGTTATAGTCTGGGGTGGGATCTACGTCGAGGGAGGAGTAGGGAAGAAGAGCGACCTGATCGTGATGGAGCGACCCCCCCAGGAGGAGGGTAAGAGACAGAAGGGCTACAATACCTGGAGTTATCTTAAGGCCTTGAGGGAGGGCTTACTCCCATTTTATAAGGATTGGCAGCATTTTCAGCAAGATAATGCGAAGATACACCTCTCGGCGCAAGCTATGGAGTGGTTCGGCCGGCACGCTATTTCTCTAATAGACTGGACAGCGCATTCCCCAGATCTCAACCCTATAGAGCACGTATGGGCCTGGTTAAAGAGGTATCTATCTAGGGAATGCCTTGAACTCTTTATCCTAAAAAAAAACAGCTGGATATTGTAACGGGGTAAGGCCGGACATCAGGGAAATAGGTTACGGTGCTAGGAGAAAGTTTATTTTCTCTTTAAGAGGCACAGAGGCAGAGTAGGACACGAGTTCTCCATCTTCACGCATCATCATCCTCATCTCTTTTCATCATCTTATTCAATCAACTTGACTTTTTTTTCTATTCTAATTAGCGAGCCCTTCAATTATGCGGTTAATTCCTACGTGCACTTATACACTACTTTCGAAATCCTATTATTCTGCCCTCGTCCTAGCCTTGACAATGACAGAGGATTATATTTTGCTCTGATCAGAGCAATCTAGTGCTAGTGAGAGCTTCAATTCGACTTCCAGAGCCAGACGTCTTCTGAGAATTATTCCAACGAGAGTCTCAGAGGCACATCCGACCAACTCGCGCACCAGACGTGTAAGAGCTTCACTCTTACAACCAGTACCACGATCTTCGTCTGATCAGACCAACAAATGGGATCTGTTGGTACTGGAGCCGTCTGTTCAGTGTGTTAGGTGGTAGGTATATCCTACTGACCGCCTGACCCCGTTTCAATATTGAGTAATTTAAAGCTGCGGTGCAGTTAGCGTGGAAGGCAGTACCGGCAGCGCTGATTAAGAAGCTATACGACACTCTAGAGCATAGGCTCCGCGCTATTATTAAATCCCGCGGCTGGTATACAAAATATTAATCCACGGATTATAAGCTTCGAAATGACTCTATTTTAATACCTGTAGCCTATATATTCATAGAGACATAGCCATATTAAAATCCCAGTCCCCTAAAGAGCGCTGTAGTAAAAGTGGAGTGTCCCCAGACTTTTGGAGCCTGACTGTAACTATGAACATCCGTATTAGTCTTCAACCACGCCTTTTCAACCGAACATGGACTAATGCCTGTCCAGCTCACGGCCTCGATCTGACGCTCGTAGAGCACGAACGAAAGTCCTGCAGGCCGATGTACGTGAAGTCGAGCCTAATTAGGCGGAATTGAAGCCCCACGAGGTCGGGCTAAGTTGGCAATTGAGGATGCATGATCACAAGTCGATTTAACCCCGGTGCGCCACCTCATCAAGTCTCTCCCGCTACGGCCGCCGTCAGTACGAAAAGCGAAGGGCTGATATACGCAGCATTGGATGCTCTACCTTTTGTACTTGACCTTATGAACATTGCGCGGATTGGTTGAGAAATTCGTATTTGAGACTTATTGACGGTCATTATACATTATTATTATTATTAAATACGCCGTAGGCTCGAAAGCCCCCGGTACCTCTACCAGTACTCCCGTATGTCAAACCGTGCCCTAATGGCTGAACTAAATACATAAGCTGCGTCGTCGGTTCGCCTTATTGGCGACTGCGTTGCGTTCACTACCATACTACGTTGGTTCTCAACCTACCAACAAAGTCCCTCCTGAGAAGATCGATGCTATCTGGGCCTTGAAGCTGTCCGACCCGTCCCTAGCAGCCACCTTACAATAGTCCCACTAACTACTGGTTCTCCTGTTGCCGTTGCGAGGTCTCTGCGAGAGTATAGTGGCCGTGGTGCGATAGCGGCCCGTAATCGTTCCCTCGGTCCTTCCAACAGCCCGCAAAAGAGGATTACGTGCTCTGCCGTCTCAGGGGCGTCGCCACAGCGGCATAGCGGCGAGTACACGCCAAAAGCCCCTGTCTTGAATAAGAAGGCTGCTAGTCCTATTTTTTCCGTCCTGATCTGGCACAACTTAGACGCCTCCAGTCGGTTCAGGCCGAAATACTTGCCCCCTTTCGGTATCTGCATCGAAGGGCCCTCCGGTTCCTCAGCGATGGCGCGTCGCTAGCGATCGTGATGCTCTGCTCCGGTGAGCCATCTCTTCCTCCAGTGGCCGAGGAGGGCAGCCGGGACCTCCTTTTCCTCACTCATCCACTTGGAGCCCCGGGCCTCCTTCTCCATAATGTACCCTGCCGGTCGGAGTAGCTGCGACGCCTGCTTCCTCTTCGCCGGCCTATCCTGCCGGAGTATATGTGACGCTTTAGCGCTCGCGCTGCGAAGCAGATTTCTCTTCCCGCTAAGCCGTAGCCGTTCTTCAAACTTAGCAGCCCGGGCACTAAGATAGAGGTCTAGTGGCGGGATTGCTGCTTCTGCTTCCAGGTGGCGAACCGGCGTCGCTTTGTGGGCGCCACAGACTACCCGGAGGCACTCGTTCTGTATCCCCATCAGGCTCTTAGCTGGCCCTGCCGGTTCCTCACTTATAGTATGCCACGCAGTCGCCCCGAAGGCGATCGCGCTACGGATAACCACCGTATATAACAGCCTCGCCCGTATAAGATCGCAGCCCCACGACATATTGACTAGCTTTGTCAGGGCTAGCTTTTGAGTTGCCATTTTTGTTTTAACACGCTCAACATGGGCGTGCCACGTCAGTTTGCGGTCGAACCAGACTCCTAGGAACCTGGCTGAGACTACCGGCGACACTGTGGCGTCCCCAAGGCGAATACTTTGCGGCAAGGGCTCTCGGGCCCTAGTAAAGTGCATTAGCTCACTCTTGTCAGGAGCGAACTCCATCCCGTGCCTCACTGCCCACCGCTGACACGTAGCCCATGCGCCCTTTATTATACATAGTTTCTCTCAAGGCTAACGGAAGATTTCAGTTCTTCTAGACTATAAAACAGGTTAACGTACCCCACAAGCAAGTTGGCCACTTTTTCTTGGCACCGTACAAACAACCTTTTAATTAACATCTTTACACATACCAAGATGGGATCGAATTGGAAAGAAAGCGACATGATTCTAGCGTGTCAGGCGCTTCAATCGAAACCCGAATTAAGCATCCGACGCGCTGCCCAACTCTACAATGTCCCTCGTACAACTCTAGCTAACCGAAAAGGCGGACTACTATCTCGACGCGATACTCGACAATCTAGTCATAAGCTTACGGAATCACAAGAATTAGCGGTCGTCCAATACATACTTGACCTAGATTCGCGATCATTTCCTCTCCGGCTTCATGAAGCTATGGCTAACCGACTGCTCCGTGACCGTGGCGCTGGACGCGTCGGCGTCAACTGGGCCTCGAACTTCGTACGACGACAACCAGACCTTCGGACGCGTTTTAATCGAAGAATCGAATACCAACGAGCCTATTGCGAAGATCCTGACGCGTATCGCGCGTGGTTTACGCTCATACGAAATACAATTGCGAAATATGGTATCCAAGAGGCGGATATCTATAACTTCAACGAGACGGGGTTCGCGATGGGCTTAATCTCATCCGAGATGGTAGTTATAAGTGCCGAACGACGCGGAAGGCCTCGTACAGTCCAACAAGGCAATCGAGAATGGGCTACAGTAATCCAGGGTATTAATTCGTCCGGCTGGGCTATCCCGCCGTATATTATTATCGCGGGTCAAAACCACCTCTTATCCTAGTACGAGAATAGCCCATTCCCGTCCGATTGGGTAATCGCTGTAACCAAAAACGGTTGGACAACAAATGAGCGAGGCGTAGACTGGATTCAGCACTTTGATCGCTATACGAAGGATCGTACGAAGGGTGTTTATCGTCTTCTTATCCTCGACGGGCATGAGAGCCACCACTCGACTAACTTCGAGCTATATTGCAAAGAGCATATTATTATTACACTTAGTATGCCTGCTCATTCGTCACATAAGCTCCAGCCTCTCGATGTAGGCTGTTTTAGGGCTTTGAAAAGGTCGTACGGCAAAGAAATTGAAGACGTAACACGGGCGCATATAACCCATATCTCGAAGGAGGATTTCTTTTCGGCATTCTATAGGGCGTATCGTACGACTATAACTAAGCCGAAGACCCAGGCAGGTTTCAGGGGGACAGGACTTATTCCGTACGACCCGGAATATGTGATTTCACAGCTGGATATTAAGCTACATACGCCTACACCTCCTGGGAGCTCGTCTGGCGCCCCCTTAATCTGGGAATCAAAGACTCCAAATAACCCAACCGAGGCTCAATCCCAGTCTGAATACGTTAAAAACAGAATCGTACAGCATCAGAATAGCTCCCCGACGACAATACTTACGGCTATTGACCAATTTTCACGTGGTGCGACGGCTGTTATGCATCGGTTAGTTTTACTTGAGGATGAGGTTACTACACGTCGGAAGGCCAATCAAGAGCTAAGCCGTCGTCGAAGGACTAAAAATCGACAGCTACAAGATGGAGGATCTCTTAGTTTACGAGACGCTCAGGACTTACAGTCTCAACGGGACATTGAACAGCAGCTACAGGATGATATACGTGTAAGTCGTCGTCGTACGAGACCGGCCGAACCACGCCGACGGCGCTGTAGGATCTGCGGAGAGCCCGGACATAATGCTCGTACTTGTGAGAATGATAAAGATACGTACGAGGAAGAGGATTCCGATTAGTTTGAATTATTATTTTTTAGTTTAGTTGTTATTGAAGTTATTCATACGGTGCCAAGAAAAAGTGGCCAACTTGCTTGTGGGGTACGTTATAGGGTACGTTACCGGTAGTAGTATTAATTAGGGTTGAATATATTCATTTACCTTGCAATAAGCTTATAAACGTAGATTTACGTATTCTAGAGAAACTTCAAAGTTGAAGGGCGATTAGATGTAGAGGTTGTTTAATCTTGATATAATATCAGGAGCTTAACTAGGATTAAGAACTATGTTGGCAGTTATTGCTACCGGCTATCAACTTTTAAGGCAAGGTATTAATCATTGAAAGAGGATCAGACTTCTCAGTGGTAACTGTTGAGTCGACCGAAATTAATGTGGCGTGTTCGAGACTCCGTCACCTTTGACTTTAACTGGACGCTCAATTTAGGTTCGAGGCCGGATGACCATGTTCTTTTTAATATGTCATCTACATGTAGCATGACTACCTCAATGGGGTCCAAAGAAGTCTGTATTGATACGTATCACTATACTTGTCACGTAATCCAACATTTCAGTATGAATCTAGCTTTGGCGTAGCATACTTTTGCTCCGAACCATTCCTTTCCATTTCTTACATAGCTTAGACGTTATCTCCTCGCATGCATGCACTCAAATATTCCTAGGAGGTGGTGTAGATCCAGCTGGTAAGTAATTCAAGATTGGGAGCAGCCAACATTTCATCAAAGACAAAGATCCATGGTAGCGACTCCAAGTGAATGTCAAGTTGAGATCCTTGATTAACACATCTCATTGATCCGGTTGTTATAAGTTCAGTAGCAATCTGCTTTCTCAAACATTCAATCTGCTTTAATTTTGTAACTCAGATTTTGGGATTGCTTTTTCTTAGACGTCGTCTGTGTGACTGGCTCCCTGGGTCGCTTTGTAGAGATTGGAGACATCACCGCCAATGCATGCTCTTTGTTGCTGTGAATCCTCAGTATGTTTTCAAGAGCCCTTTTAAAGCGTTCATTTACTTTTTGTGACCTGCATTCTTGAACGTTTCAAAATAATTGACTCCCTGGTCTTGTCATCTGTCTGAGCCTCATTTCAACCCCCGAGACCCTCTGAAAGTGATGTTTCCCCAGACGACTGTCACTTAACTAGATTCAGGTTACAAACTGGACCTACTGACCCAAATCCTGAAAACGTTTTTGGAGGATGCAGAAAAGATACATGATGACGGAAAAGGTGGGCATCATACAATGAACCTCGGCGAAATTCTTCATGGACATTTAAAGATTGTCCACAAGCTTGGTCATGGTGGGTTTGCCCTTGTCTAGTTATGCCTCGACGACCTCGAGGACCTGACTTACAGATGGAACACTGTTAAAAGCGTTGGATTGAATGAAACAGAGGAGTATGGTCCAGATATGAGAATCTTGAGACTGCTCGAAGATCGGCATGTAGGCCAGAGTGAATGGGAAGCGTCCCACATCACTTTGCCGGTGGATCACTTCTGGGTCGACGATCCAAACGGTTGACACCTGTGCCTTGGACTTCCAGTGCTTGGAAGTCCTTTGGGTAACAGAAAGATGAGCCTCGCACGATTTATCAGGCTTCTCTTCCAAGCCACCACGCTGCTATCTCTTCACCAAAGGGAAACTTGTCACGGCGATTTCCACCCCAAGAACATTTCCTTGAGCCTCGGAGACATCAATCACATCAGCGAGGAATTGATTACTATAATAGGGGAACCTCAGACATAGAGAATCTGAAATATTTCTGGAGAACACTCTGGTCCACAGTTCCCCGTGGAGGTGAACTCGCCGGCGAAGAATGAAATATCTGTTGTTGATATTGGGGAATCCTTCAAACCCACGGCTCCATCCGCATTCACGAGGCCAACGACGAGACCAGGGATCCTAAAGAAGACTTGGACGAAGACGTTGAAAATCTAATCAATACATCCGAGACTGCAGAGCGTCTTCGGTCTCCTGTCAATTCTCAGACGAAGCAAACCGTATATACTTCTCTTCGCGAGATTGGCCGGGAGAAATGTATAAACAATCAGATAGTACATAGTACACAACGATGACACGACTGACATCAAAGGAGGTATAAAATACTCAACTTCTAAATTGCCGGCTGAGGAAGTACAAGATTTGGGGAATCTACTTGGCAAAATGTTGCGATCCTAAGGAGCGCATTGCTATCTTAGCGGTTCTAGGGCATGGATGATTTGAGGAAAGACAGCAGGAGTTAGAAACCGACATTCAATCCCAATCCTTGCCCATTCCTAAGGGTTGCAGCTATTTACGCTAGAAAAGTCTACCAAGTGACGCCCCTTCTCGGTCGCCGCCAGACTCGAACACCCCGCGTGTCCTTTGGCTTTCTAGGACGATCGCACCCACAAGCCCATTATGTTTGGATATTTGTGTTCTCAGCTGGCTTTGCAGTAAGTACCTTCTCTCCTGCCAGCGATCATGGGGGTTGTTATTGTTTCTAGAATTCCAGTCGCGCTACATGTGCCGTAGCAACATGTCGTTTATAACAGCGGCGGTTCGGGCTTCAACTTCGATATATTCAAATGAAAGAATTGAACTATAGTTTTACTAGCTAAGTAGCCCCTGAAGGTCTCCAGAGACAAAAATGGGGACCATGTGGTAGCCCAAGGTGGTGGGCTACCGATTGGTTAATAAGCGAAACGTGCAAGACTTCTCCTTACTTTGAGGCTGCCACGCCACGGGTCCTGAGCACGATGCCGATATCCGAAACTTTTAGCGCAACGAATACCTCCCATATCCATACCGCCAGTCCGTAATTGAATCTTTCGGTGCAAGATGCTTTTCGCAGGCTGGAGTTGGGGTTTGACAGGTTTCCCTTTCGGGCTATCCTTACCGCAGCGTTGGGATGGTAGTTTTCTGACACCCTATCAGGGGTCTGTGTCGTTGTCACGGCTCAGAATATCCAATGTTTCAAGTAACGTCACACGCTCCGTCGTGCTCCCTAACACCTCAAGAATGTTCTGGACGACGAGGAACGAAGTAACTGGGGTCGAACGCGCACTATGGCAGCGTGCAAGAGATCCTGGAACGTCTCACCGGGACAAAGCTGCTCAAGCTTGGAGATGATCGCGCTCACGGCCAAGGCAGATGCAGTATAACAATGCAATGTTTTGCCCCAACCGCCAAGTCATCCGAAAGGGGAGGAGCTGGAATGGCGATTTTCCGGACGAGGTTCGTTTGGCACACCGGCATTTGGACAGCGGTGGCGGGACGGCAGACGGAATACGTTGCCGCTAGTTGCGACTTACAAGGATCAGGTCTCAGATTTTGGTACAGACAGATGTGCAAACATACTTAGGGCTAAGAATTGAGTCAACCGTCCCAGCGGGCTAGATTTGAAGCGTGGTCGTTCGTGGCTTTGTTGTATTGACCAACAATCACAGGATAGGCAATACGATGTTCGAGTTGACCACGGACAGCTACCTGGGCGAGTCAACCAGAATGAAGAAGTGAGAAATTAGCAGCGGATCATGAAGGAAAGTCTAGTGGCCCGGCCCGCCGGTGCATGTTCGTGTTCATTACGGAGTACTATTTGCTCTGTGACGAAATGTGGGTATTTCTCTGATTGTTTTCTCTAACCGAGGAATCTAACCGAGGAATCTGACTGGCTGCAAGAGCCTTGCTAAGACATACCCAAAAATTGATTGAGGCGACACTGATGAAGCTCCCACGGTAATTAAGAGTGGCTTGCCCGAAAGAAACCTGAAGATCATCTCTGATTTGCTGTCCGTGAGCCAATGATGGAGTGAGTGGTATTTAAGAGGTCACGAGGGTCGTCAAGAAGTTGGGACAGGTTAGGGCCACTAACTGGCGGTCATTGGATGCAACCTTGACGAGGCTGCTCATCCCAGACGTAGAGGTTGGCAATCGCACTGCGATGAACAGTGACATGGTCATGAAACTCGGAAGCATGATGCGCGTCCCGCGGAGGTCAGAAGGAACTGGATGAGCGGTGCGCGCAGCGCGCAACCAAGTCAATAATGTGGTCGAGTTGTGCAGTGGTTGGAGGCTGGTGGCAGGCGCTGTGACAGGGACGATGACTGCTGTTGCGCTTCTGGGCAATGCATACACTGCAGATGCAACGCAGTGTCATCCACATTAATCAGTGATCTCGACCTTGCCAGCTACATGACGGCAATGGTGGGCCACCGTTTGACTCCTATTTGTTCTCGAAGGACTCGGAACAGGCGATGACGACTTCATCATGAAAATAGAAGCCCTCCCGAAAATAGGGGTTCTGTGTGGGAGGGGCTAGCGGTAGATCGCTAGGAGATTTTACATGGGGCAAACGAACAATAGTTTTAGCTTGGCATAAGTACCTAGGTCGTTCCTGTGAGCCAAACCAGAGCTACGAGCATGACGCGGTGCGAGAGAAAAACGGCTGAGAAATAGCCTACTCTTGGTTGATGTTATTTAGAGGGCCGCCATGCATGTCTTGAACCTTTCCGAGGTTGGAGTTCTTTTCGGACGAGATACCAGGGATTCAGGGTTGAGGGGGTGACCTCAATGTTCCCGGGAGACGGGTTGGTTGCGATGCTCCACTGTTCCCCCTAAATCAATCCATACGAGCCGGAAGTTGAGTCCATTCGCAACTTCCCATAGCAGCCCATAGCTTTTGCTCATAGCGTTGCAATGGGCTGCCGTCCGGTATGGAGGCGGGTGGCCTGCAGAGAGGATTAATGTAACCAACGAAGATGAGGTGCATTTCGTCTACCCAATTTCCAATTCCAACGGTGTTCTGCTCTGCACTTGCAGGCGACGTTACCAAACCACACGGCCCACCTACAAGATTGCTACGGGCGGCTTGAGAAAGAAGACGCGTCAAACCATACCTGGATGCTGCTGCAGTTGGCTGTGGCGAATGATAAGAGTGCTGTCAAAGAGATGCACAGATGATCCGACGGCTGGTGTGACTGACAGCGGCTTCCGTGCTAATGATTTTTGACAGATGCGAGCTGCCTAGTGTCCATCTACATAGTAGATGGCCAGTAGCTCCATGACGGGCCGAAATGGTGGACGGTGCGACTTGCCCAAAGACGGAAAGGTTTCCACGGAACATTGCGGTGATCAAGCCGGCTTGCGGTTTGTGGGAGCAAGCAGCAACAGGCACGTTGAGGTAAAATGCTTGAGATTCGACCTCATCCTTGGCGACATGATCGATGACAACTTACCACATTTCTTCGGGGACAGAGAGCAGAAGAAGCCGAGAGGTTCTCTGCCGGAGCTGCTGCGGCCCTCTTCGAATCATGTGTTGGTGGTTCGCATGGGTGGCCAGGGCAAATACAAGTAGAAGTACATAAAAAACTGAGGTGGGCGATCGTGGCAACGAATCATTGCTAACCAGATCTTGGCTTGTGAGGCTGGTGACCGCCACGATTTCGGAAGTCGCATCAAACCTTGACATTTGTTGCAGCGACATTGGTTTAACTTCAATCAATTCCGGTTCTCCCACCGCCCAGGGGAGCCCAGGAAATTCATGGATGTCGGTTCCAGAACATTACCCAAGACGTCTTGCCAGCAGGGGGTCAAAATGACCATAGAAGCTAGAAACTGGAGCTAGAGCAAAAAAATGTAAACATGGACAAATCTCCGCGATATTGAGAATGTGCCCATGGTCCAGGTACCTAAGAATACGTTGCCATTGTTGGTTTCCCCTGTGTTGCCCTGTGCGTCGGTAGAGTTTTGGCATGTCTTGATCGTCATAGTCGCCGTGAGTCCAAGAGACGTGATTGACACTGTATGTCTGCTATCTATCAACGGACATCTAACTGCTAGCCATTCGCGTAAGCAATACCTCCAAGTTTACTACAATCATGTTTCCTCACGTCTGCTTGGGTTTTGCTGGCCTTTGGAATAATACCGAACTTATCGATCGGCCTGGATCCTTCTTTCTGTCAATTGCCGAGCTTCCAGGTCAGACGGTGTAAGAATCGTCATGGGTATCGCATGGCAACATGGCCTTTTGAATGCACCCCAGTCGCAACCATGCCAGCGGATGCTCCGCGCGGTCAAGCACAGTGTCACGATGCGAATCGAGCACCCAGAGCACCCACTCTCTCATTCACTCAACACACACTGCCACACCTGAGCTTGACCTTGATTGACGTTAGCCCCGTCTTTGGGAAGTTTTTTCTGCCATGATATTGTTCTCTCTGGTATTCCCTCCGTCTCAAAACACGCGTGTGTTGCCGTCCCCAAATCGATCAAGGCCTCTTTTTCTCCAACGTACCACTATTGTTTTAGGGGTTGGACAGCGTTCAGACTCTCGGTGTTTTTCTTTCTGAGGTGTATTTGCTACCCCGAAACTCCCCAAACCACTTCTCCAAGTCCTGCTGTCAGATCATTTATTAATAGGCCTGTTTTGGCTGTGTCTACGCCTTGGATCTACCGCCCCAACCCAGCTTGCAACCGACCTTGCTGCTGCCAATCAGAAGGAACGGACACGGATCTAGCAAGACAGGGAGAGCTTTAAGAGAAGGAAAAACGTTAAGGGTCGAGCCGACCGGTGGTGCCCGTTGTCCGCCTGAACTGAAAGTTTTGGTGCCTTCGAACCCCAGAACGGTCACTCGTTTCCCAACTGCTACCAAAACTCTGTCATCGCAACTTTTCTTGGTTCCCCCCTCCAAGAAATTTTCAGCTTGCTGCTGACCGTCCGTTGCCACCCCCCTGGATCTAAGGCCGTTGCCGTTGTGCACATCTCCTTGCCTTTATTGGACTGGAGCTTCGTGCATCGCGTCAAGTGAGAACTGAGCCTTCACACCTACAACCCGACGGTAGTCGCTTTTTACTTTTTGCCTGCGACGTTGAGGAAGTCAGTCAGCCGCAGAGGAAAGCGGTAGCCATCGCTCTTTTCTCTGGCTGGGTGGTCATTTGCTGCATTTCCCGTCTCCATCCGCCGAAGCAGAGGGGAAGACAGAATAAGGGGAAAAACAATCAAGCTTCGAACACCGCGGCTTCCCGCACGTCCAAACCCATTTTTCGCCGACGTCCTCTCCACCATCAACTTTTTCCATTTTCGTGGAATCAGGTCCCGATCGCAGACTCTTCAAGGCGCCTCAGATTCCAGGACATCATATACGCCTCATCTCTGCGTAGCCGTCCTTGCATACAGAGACTGACAATCCGGCCTTGTGCCTCGCTACGAAGTACAAGCTAATCCTCGGCTCCCTGCATCCTGCTGCTTGTGCACCCAGCCATCGCTGCCCACCGGTGCCTGCGCGCGTGCACGACGACAACCACGACAACCACGACGACCAAGACGACCAAGGCGATCTTGCTCCTTGCACCTCTACTGTAACCCTCTCGAAGACGCTCTATCCCTCTCGCGCGCAACTACGGAGGAGAAAACCGAAGGGCAAAAGAAGCTATAGCCAGACCGCTGCAGCATTGACGAAACCAGCATAGCGTCATTGCTATCTGCATCCTCGTCAATTCTCGGCTGACACCTCTGACTTGCAGCAGAGTCATCTGTCCGGCGCCTCGACCGAGCCGCAGGGAGGAATTCGAGAGCATTCAAGGGCATTGCAGTCTGCTGGCTCACCACTGGCAGCTGCACCACTACTCTCCAAGACCACACGTCACCACCGTCGATCGCATCTTGCTCTGCAGCCATGAACAATCAACAGAACGAAATGTACTACGACTACCCTACAGCCGCGAATCGGTCACCGGGCTCGACGCGGCAGGGTTATGCCACCGTCGGCATGCACGCCGGACTTAGCCATCGCTCCGGCCAGCGGCCGCTTGAGCAGCTGGGACAACACATGGGCTCACCGGCACTATTTACAGACGACCGCGTGGGAGGTGTTGCCTCTGGCTACGACGCCCTATCGAGGTTCGATCGCATGGGCGGGCCCAACTCGATGCAGTCGGGGTACATGCTAGAGAACAGTCAGACCTGGGGCTACAATGCCGGTGTGGCCACCATGAATGGCCCCATGACTGGCAACGGCAGAATGGGGCCTAGAGCTGTCAATCGAAGAGCGGCTCTCCCTACGGTTAGTGGTCATCTTTCTTTCTCTTTTTCCAAGAAACTCTGCTTTTTGAACCGCTGGACATTTGGCTAACGCTTCCGTGCCCGTAGACATGGACCGATCAAGGTGGACTGGCCCTCCACTCCATGGGGGGCCAGATATACGACCCTAACATGGGCATGAATACGAGCGAGCACGATCTCTCGGTCGACCGACACATCTCGACCCCTGTTTCTGGTGACTCGGAGCAGCTGATACCAACGGCCATCGTGATCAAGAACATCCAGTTCCAGTGTCGCAAGGAAATCCTCCAGGGCCTCATGGCGTCAATGAACCTCCCGCAGCCATACGCCTTCAACTACCATTTCGACAAGGGGGTGTTCAGGGGCTTGGCCTTTGCCAACTTTTCCACGCCCGAGGACACGGCCATTGTAATCCAGAAGATGAACGGCTTGGAAGTCATGGGACGCAAGTTGCGCGTTGAGTACAAGAAGATGTTGCCACAGGACGAGCGTGATCGCATCGACCGAGAGAAGCGGGAGAAACGGGGACAACTCGAGGAACAGCACCGGGCGCCTCTGCCCGTGCATCACCAAACCGCACTTCAGGCCCTCGGCGTCAGCGTCAAGAATCAACCCAGCGGCTCCCCGTTGCGTGAGTAGCCTGCAGACCACCCCCTCATCCTGTTACTAAACGATCAAGCCTTGCTTACTCTGTTTCCAGGCGACGTCGACCTCAACGATCCCGACACGCTTGAGTTCTACACGCAGCTGACGCTGTTCAAGAATGACCCATCCCGGGAGGTCTTCATATTCCCCCCGGACGTAGCACCGGAGCAGCGTCGCCAGATCCACATCCTTGCCCACAACATGGGCCTGGAGCACCGGTCTGTGGGCGAGGCCGACAGACGCCAAATTCAAATCATGAAGCGGCCGCAGCACTCGCCCCCCACGCTTGCTGCGCAGAATCAACTGCCGGCTAATGTATCTTGGGAGGATCACCGTCGCGGCCTTAGTCGCGCGGCTACCTTCGACTTCGCCGAATCGCGCGTTGGGTCTAGCGCTTACCATACACTTGGCAGGCAAGGGCCTACACTCGAGCTGCCGGGCAGTCCGGACAACGGGATTCCGAATAACCTACGCGCCGCCAAGAGCTTCGCCGATCTGCGAACCCACAGCCCCAGCCCTGCGCCGTCAGGGTCAAGTTATGCCGGGCTCGGGAACGGTCTCGGAAGGTACGGAGACTACAACTCGCTCACGACGCCTCCGAACCTGACACCCACGTCTGCCCAAAATGCCGGCTCAAGCACGGATGCCCTGCTTGCGGGCAACATGAGTTCCATGAACCTTGGATTTGATTCCAACGCCTCTCATCTGAGGGCTCGGGACACGCCGGGGGCTATAGGAAGCCAACGGCCTAGTGCCAACGGTTCGGCGAACCGCAATGCCCCAGATAGACAACCTCGCGGCCCTGAGTGGGGTGAGGGTTTCAATGGACGGAATCGAGGTCACATGCAGAGAGGCAGCGGTTCGTGACCCCCCCTCTCCTACTATAATAACAGATCAACGAATACTAACTGGCTGTTGTAACAGACTCGTCAGACGCCGGCCGAAGCTCGGGAACTTCTCGCTATCACTAAGTATAACCCAAATCACCACGAGCCTTGAATCTCCGTACGACAACAGACAACGAGAGACGATTTATGACGAAGATTTGAACTGTTTCGCATCCTTGTCGCCACACTTCCAGAGTGCCTCCCCTCGATGAATGCGGGTTAGTATTCAAGTGGATACGCGCTTTTACGCAACAAGCACCATTGCCTCGCTGCTCGCGTCCCGACTGGATCCTAATAACACCTTGTAATATGGCATATTTGTTTACTTTATTTCTTTCCGGAATTGACGTTTCAAGTTTTGATTATTCTTCTCATGGCTGTCCTGGATTTGGGAAAGAGCTACATCACATGGAGTTTGAGAAGCTGGAGGACGGCTTGCGGGTCACCCGATCAGGGTTAGAATGCCTCTCCCCATTCTACACGATACCCTTTGACGACGTTCGAAGTCACGCCTCCCAACCAACATTCCTCTGGATACACCATACAGCGACTATATGGGCGACCATTCACGGCATCATGACTCAAAATCCTATACCCTTCGGGGTTTCTCTTGGACTCGATCACCCACGCGTGTTGGCATATGGTCCGGAAACCCCCTTCACGATGGTTACGCTGTTACGATGCATACGCACATCATTTAGATGGCAACGCGATGCTGGCTGGCGGGCCGGCTCAGGGAAGAAAGTGCCCTAATTAATCAAATCAACCAATCACTGCTCTCACCATCATCGTTATCAAACACCAGAGAACACGATGCCACAAGCCAGGGGAGCCAGCCAAGCTTTGGAACCAGACCAGTAGCATGGCTACTTACTGATTGGACACGAAGAAAGAGACGACGACGAAAGACGACGGTAGCGGCGGAGATTTGGTTTATCGCAAATGAAAGAAGCTCCCCGGAGATGGGACGGGGAGAATGGCGAGGCCGCCGTAGCGCGGAACCTAGCGCCGTGATTTTGTATATTATTGCATCTACAAATTGCGTTTTTCTTCTCGTTTTGCGTTGCACTACCCACCACCCCTTGATCTCCATCATCATCGTAGCCAACTGAATCCGACACGTCGACTGGTACACATTGGTCTGACTCCATGCACCACGGCCCTTCCAAGCTCCATTCGCAATCTGGTAAGGCAAGAAATGGATACCTGGTATCTGGTACGGGGGTGACATTGACACTCGCTATCACGTAGACAACTCGATTCGAAGCAATGCATAAAATATTGAAACGTGTTCAATTCCCCTCGTTGGACACAATCCCCGACGGGTTTCTATCCACAAGTAGCCTCGATACTTTTCGGTGGTTGTGAACACCGCGGATTTGGACGAGAAAACTTAGTTCAGATCTTGGGATACTGGCTGTTGTGTCAGAAATTATCAATTCAAGCATATAGCCTCCAGAGGACGAAAAACCACAGCATTCGAGCATTTCACTGCGTGACCAAACCAGAGCCAAGGGACAGTTGCTTGGATAGGGGAGATGAAAGCCAGCACTATTTAGGCGACTTTTGCTTAACGATGTATGAACTATAGGGGTAGCCTGTCTACTAAGACGCAGTTGCCCAACGCCACTGGCCATCTCACACTTGAGACCCTTTGAAGGTTGATGACTCCATGGTGTGGCGTACTTGGCCTGATGGCTCTTTGGTCTCATGGTGGAAAGCCTAGTGCCGGCTTTGCTTGGCATCGAGTCTGGATTTTTGGCGAAGTGAACGATTAACTGACAGACTTGAAATTATGATTCCTTTGGCAGCTGGCATGGATAAGAAAGGAAAAGTATGTTGTGTTATATTGACCGCATTGCTAATCGGTCCAGATCTCTGGTAGGGTTTATCTTATGATTTACACTCGATCTGATGTTACCGGCACCAAGTCCTTTTTTTTTAGATTATGTTATCACTGTGGAATTCAACTCATTTCAACTCATTCCTGGACACGCTGCCTTTTACATATGATATCAATCAGCTAGAACGTCCCGGAATAGCGCATGGGTTCGCGACATATCCAACGGATCCCCGAAAGTGTTTGGACAGCATATCAATAATATTTCGCTTTGATCATCGACCTGGTAAATACTTCAGACAAAGGACTGGCACCAGTAGGGCTACAGAAATGCCAAGAGACTACAACTATACTAGCCTATCCGCCAACCATCCCCACAACGGCGGCTGAGAGCTGAACAGCAAGCGCACTGCCCCTTGTGGACGAACCGTGCAGTTGATCTCTGCTTTAAAGATGGCATGCTCCTCGACTTATGGCAATGGATTACGGTTGGACCTTTGGGCGTGGAATTTTGGTGTCTTGCAACTAGACCGTCATACTTTGAAAGGGACGAATCTGCGGTTGGCTGCACGAGTTGTTGCTGTGTCGTCTCATTGACATAGAATAACTTGGCGGACACTAAGCATATAAGCCATGTCACATATTTCCATTACACCACAGCACGGAGATCATGGCGGGTCTTTCAATGCACCACCGCCCGAGTCCGGATACGAAGTGCAATACTACGAAGAGGAAACCCCGTCTTATTATGTAGAGGGAAACGATTGTGCTCAGCAGCCGATATCTGCACAGCAGAAGGCGCAATTTAACGCCAGGTCACTGACAGCGGACGACGGCCAGGATGAGTATCACCAGCAATACCGGCTCGACCCCACGGTATATTACGATAGGCGGCGACAACAGCCAGTGCCAAATGGACAGCGTCCCAACTACAAACCTTCGGCCCTGCGATGGCCATTTCTGACCATTCTACTGGCCATTATCCTCGCATTCGTAGGCTTGATGGCGTATGCACTGCATGCACTCCCGGTTGAGGATTACAGCAACTTGTTGCTTAAGCCCGCGCCTATCTCGGCAGCAAAAGCAATCAGGCGACGGGATGACTTGACGTCCACCTCTTCCAGTATGGAAGGAACTATCACCGAGATACCAGCCCATGACGATTTTGGCAACGTGGGCAGTGTGACGGTGACTAGCTCATCGACGACACCTGTTGCCCACGAAACGCGGCCGCCAGATGATTTTGGCAATGTTGGGAGTGTCACAGTGACGAGTTCCACACCTACGCCGGCATCCACGCGCCCACCAGACGACTTTGGAAATGTCGGCAGCGTCACTGTCACCACTCAGTATACGCGAACCACCGACGACTTTGGGAAAGTGGGCAGTGTCCCGGTCACCTCCCCGACTGTCAGTGCTGTCCCGCCAGACCATCATGGGGATGTGGGCGATGTCACTATAACAGAGCCCACGGGCCAGACGCCCACATTCGTCACAGCAGCTGTGACGACACTGATCGATGCCGATGGTGTCCCCACTGCGACGCTGACGAGTATCCCGTCTGCCATTTCAACGCCGCAAACGACCATTTTAACCAACTCTCTTGGACAGCCGACGGCAACCGAGGTCACCAGTGTCCTAGCCACACCCACTGTCAGAGTTGAGACGGACTCGAACGGTGTGCCGACCGCCACGGTGACCAGTTATCCCACCTACCCAACTGGCTCTCCTGGGCCCAACGTGACGGTCTACTATACTACATATGGTCAGTACTTCGTTGGTATGTTTCTGCCCACCCTCCTGGCCATTCTGCTCTCGATCCCCATTCGCATCCTCGACCTCAACGCCAAACTTTTCCAGCCCTGGCACGAGTTGACGCACCGAGATGGGGCTGCCGGCCGCGAATCACTCTGTCTCGAGACTTCTGGGTGGCAATCTGTCGTCACGAGTGTGCGCTCTCTGTTCGGTGGCCAAGCTCTCGTTTTTCTGACAACTGCCCTGGTCATGAGCTCGGCCTTACTGGTCCCGCTGTCGGCCGAAGCAGTTGCGTTTCGCCTAGCAGGCGACTGCTATGCCGGCAGCATGAGCGCTAAGAATTGCGCCTACGTCTTGAGCGTGTTCGCTCAACCCGCGAAAGCCACAGCCGGGCTGTTGTCCTTCATGGCCGTCACCGTCCTCATGGTCCTAGGTTTCCTCTTGAATTGGCAAAGCGGCGTCAGTACGAATCCTTGGAGCATTTGCGGGGTCGCGAGTCTGTCGCTGAATTCTGAGCTACGGAGGCTATATAATAGTCTGCCCGCTGGCGCGGATGCTGGCAAGATGCCCAACGGGCTCTTAGAGCGTGTTCTTGTGAATCGCAGGTTTGGTCTGGAATATTTCTACGGCCCGAACGGCAGAGTCGAGTACGGCATTGTGGTGCAGGTAGAGTATCCCGAGGGCCATCGACTGCATACAGCTATTGAAGATGCGGCGTGTGTTGTCGACAATCACAGGGGTCATGACCGAACCAAGACGAAGCATCACTTGCCATTCCTCATGTTGGGGTATCCGGGCCGCTTACTCTTTTTGTTTGTACTCTGCGGATTACTAGCAGTGATATTGTATTACAACAACACCGGAGGCGATACTCCTTTTGAGAATTTCATGGACAGCGAGGCGTTTGGAGTTAAATTTCTCTTTACGGCTATCGGCGTTATCATCACCTTTTTCTGGTCGTCGTTTTTCAGCAGTAAGTCTCGGTCTTGCCCTTATCTTGCCCGTATTCCAGAGACGTACCATCTATCTCGTTCAAGCTACTAACTCCCACCAGGTATCGCCGTCATGTCCCCTTATCATCTCCTCTCCACCACGCCGCAGTCAGCCCGTCACTCCATCCTCTTGGCTCCGCCAACAAATGCTATCTCGGGCATTTGGTCCGGCATACGCCGTCGACACATGTTCCTTGCCATTGTAGCACTAACATCAGTGCTCTCCGAAATCCTCACAATTTTCCTGGCTAATGTCCCCTTCCGTGTCACCCAGACATATTTAGTCCATAGGATCTGCACCTGGACCGCCGTTGGAATAATTTGTGTTATGGTTCTGGTGGTCATCGCGAGCTTCTATGTGAAGTGGCCACACATGCCAGTTAACCCAAGCACGATAGCGGGCGCGGTGTATTATGTTTGTGATAGCTGGATGCTGGAACGGTTCGAGGGCGTGAGTATATTGAAACGCAAGGAGAGGGATGAAAGAGTTGAAGGAATGGGTCTCAGGTATGGATTCGGGGATATGCGGGGCCTTAGTGGAGCGATAAGAGTAGGCGTTGACTGGGAGGATGGGACAGGGACGGGTATTTAGAATGACTTGAGCCGGCAGTTTCTTTTTTCTTTTTTTATATTCTCTTTTACTATACATTCTTATGGTGGTAGTGAAGTAAACTTGTGTATCCTGGTCGATCTGACCTCACAGGACTCAAGTCACGAATATCAGGATTGATTTCGTGCCAAGTCAGTTGTGTGGTTCAGATCTCTTTTGATGGTGTTTTTTCTAGAAAGCTCAGCTATTTCCGAAGCTACGAAATGTTGCTTAAGAGCAACGATGTAGCCAATCAGATCCTCTGATTTGGATCCACAAACTAGCTACCATCTATGAAGAAAGTAGTAGAGGCCTGTGCTCCTATAATATATTTTTTTTTGAATCTCGTTTATTATGCTGTCCTATGGAAATCTCTGGCTTATGAAGACAGGAGGTCCGAAGACCCGAGGTATAGCAGGCTAAACTGTCACGGTCTATGACCGGCCCTTGACCCTTACATAAACTACCTAGTCCTACATATCAGTATAACCCTGTACTACGAATTTGTATTGTAACGGGGTAAGGCCGGACATCAGGGAAATAGGTTACGGGGCTAGGAGAAAGTTTATTTTCTCTTCTTTAAGAGGCACAGAGGCAGAGTAGGACACGAGTCCCTCATCTTCACGCATCATCATCCTCATCTTCAATCATCTTTCATCATCTTTTTTTTTTTGATCATCTTATTCAATCAACTTGACTTTTGTTTTCGATTCTAGTTAGCGAGCTCTTCAATTATGCTGTTCATTCCTACGTGCACTTATACACTACTTTCGAAATCCTATTATTCTGCCCTCATCCTAGCCTTGATAATGACAGAGGATTGTATCTTGCTCTGATCAGAGCAATCTAATGCCAGCGAGAGCTTCAATTCGACTTCCAGAGCCAGACGTCTTGTTCTGAGAATCATTCCGACGAGAGTCTCAGAGGCACATCCGACCAACTCGCGCACCAGACGTATAAGAGCTTCACTCTTATAACCAGTACCACGATCTTCGTCTGATAAGACCACCAGATGGGATCTGTTGGTACTGGAGCCGTCTGTTCAGTGTGTTAGGTGGTAGGTATATCCTACTGACCGCCTGACCCCGTTTCAGTATCTTTCGTAACTAATGTTTTTCCCTCGCACTATCAGCTTTCTGAACTTAATACGGAGGTTAAGTTTATGATACGTGACCCCATGGAGGGTTACCCTACAGCTATAGATAAGATAGATAAGAGCTATAAAAGAGCTCGGCCAGGCCAGAATAGCTGACCTGGCCATCCTTTCCCAATACAACAATTCACACCCCATATGCACTCGCATCAGTTTAATATCGGTATAGGGCTATGGATTCTTTTTAGTAGAACGTCTAACTACTGTATTATTTCCCCCTTATACCCCATTCCAAGAAACTCGACCTCGAGACTCTATCGAAGGTTTAACACCGACTTTAGATGTTATCCGATTAAATCCTCGCTGGAACGATCCAAGCATCACGGATCCCTCTGGGCTATCCTAGCTCACGGGAACATCCTAAATGCCACTACAGGAACATAGTTAAGGAACATGGTATCAGTCATTAACACTCCTAAATACAGCGTGCGCACATAGCAGACACCGGTCACATGCGTGTACCCCGCACTTATCAGCATACTTTAGGAGGTAGTTGCCGCTCTCGCGCACGGTCACCTTACTAGGCTATAATTCTAGCATGTCCCCGGTTCAATTAGGTCGTTGTAACCACGATTCGAACCCTCTTGTCTATGTAGACCGATGGCCGACACCTATACATTGCGATCCACTGACATAATCGTAACAAGGAAGGACTAAGCCCCTAGGCTAATGAAACGGGGTCAGGCGGTCAGTAGGATATACCTACCACCTAACACACTGAACAGACGGCTCCAGTACCAACAGATCCCATCTGGTGGTCTTATCAGACGAAGATCGTGGTACTGGTTATAAGAGTGAAGCTCTTATACGTCTGGTGCGCGAGTTGGTCGGATGTGCCTCTGATACTCGTATCGTGATAATAGGATCTCGAACGTAAAGATAAGCTGAATAACTAAAATAACTAAATAACTGACTGAAAAGCGAAGGTGAAGATATAGATAAGAAGGAGATGATGATGCGTGAAGATGGGGGACTCGTGTCCTACTCTGACTCTGTGCCTCTTGTGACGGTCAACCCTCGCAGACTCACTACAACCAGGTGACTTACAGCTGGAACACCTGCCGTGGCAGTGTCGGATGGGAAGCCAATCATAACCCTTGTAGGAGCCCCGCCAAGCGTGGATGACTTAGTCGCGCTCCCTCAAACCTAAGTTGTCATCTTCTTTCCTTCGCTCCCCAGAGTAGAATCTTCGTCGATAGCACCTAATCGAGGTCTATACCAATGCGATGCAACCCAGGTCGTGACACCGGCTACATACGTAGATGAATAAAGGAAGTACAGGTGGGAGTCCAAGCCGCACAAGGGTACCAAAGTATCTCACGTGTCTCAGGTTTACCCTGCCGTGACCTCAGGCTACTAATTCCGCACCTACTACAGTAAAATATAGAAAATAAGCGACGAAAACTAGGTTATACGGAAATACAGGGAAGTGTTTAGTTAGACTGTGGGGTACATTATACTTTTAGTTATTTAATCCCTTAGAACAATAATAATTCAGGATAGCTTTACTATTATTGTATTAGAATTGTAACGTGATTTTAACATGAGCTCCTGATGGGGCGATGCCTTTGTCTAGCCTGCACCTGCCTTAAAAATCCATCGTTTGCACTGGCCTCACAAATAGCAGTTGTCTTAATGAGCTACAGGACGAAAGAGGTCTTTGTCTGCTGCACAATTGTGAGACTTCAAAGCTACTGCGACAACCAGTCGGGCAGCGCCGAAAGGGGTGTCCGAAGTTCCCACCACTTAGTGATTGGCCTCTAGCATGAGTTGTGATCCAGGACGACTGCAGCATCGCCAGTTTGCGGGGAAGACGACAATATAAGCGGATACACCATGTGCAGGCAGCCGCATCACGCAGCCAGTTTGTAGTGGGCTTGAAAGCCTGCGAAGTTTTATTTAGCAGGCCGGCACTTTGCAATTCAGCGGGACGGTCCCATCACCCTCATGTTCTCCTTCGCAATTATCACCTCATCTGGACTCCGTTAGAGATCGGCTCAACCATCGCCAAACCGCTGCCATGGAGGTCTTCATGCGAAATCTACCTACTGATCTTACAGACCAAGGTCTGAAGAGCCAGCTAATGCCCTTAATCCAACCCTTGCGCATTAGCGACTGGGCATGCCAGAGCCAACGTAGAAAGCCGTTCGGCAGCATTCTGTTCCTGCACGCCAAAGACGGTGATAAATTCCTGCGAAAGTATGGAGAGCAGCTCATCCAGGGTTTCACGCCCGGCGGCAAGCCTCGTTCGAGAGCGCGCTTGCAAATCTTCAACAGAGCTGTCTACTGTACGCCTAGCAAGAACTCCCTTGATCCCTTCGCCCTCAAGGCCCTGGCCAAGGTCGCCGAGGATCGTCGTAACGGCCAAGAGCAACAGTAAGTCGGGAAAGAATGCCTCATGTGGGCATGCATCACTAACTTTTAAATTCATGAAGTCAACCCAAGCCGCCTGAAGACACCAAGGTCATCTTCGGCGCCCATTTTCTCTCCTGCGGTTACTATAGCTACTTTAAGGACGACCTAGTCTATGTTCCCGAGGTGGAGTGGTCAACCCCACAAGGTGTTGCCAAGTTCGTCAAGAATGCACTCATTATCACCTTCAATAGCCGCGGCGGATTGATCAGAGTAGAATTTCCCTTTCGAATCATCGATTCCGTTGTTGCTTCTCCTCGGATGACAACTTTGACACTGACTCTTTGGGAGTCGCCGCGTTTCTTCGAAGTAGCCGACCCCAACGCCGTCATGATGGACGCCCTCGCCATCCGGACTGAAGTCAATCAAAACCTGAAGACAACCCGAACCAGACTTGTGGCGCTGCCTAACGGTTCACGTCAGCACCACCAAGTTCTGGGACAATCTTTGGTATACCGCATTTCCGCCTGGCAGGACGGGTTCCATGACAATGTCCAAAAGTTGCGTCTGCGGGATCTCCTGTCTATCGTTACCCATGAGTTTGCCTTCGTACCTCCTTACGAGCAGAAGAGTCTAACCGATGGGTTGCGGGCTTTCAATGCAGCTGTGTCTGAATACGTCGGACGGATTTCCTTCAACGTCCTTTATCAGCTTGAGGCTTTGGTCAAGAATGGCTACCTTCTGCCCTGGACGGTCCAGGAACTCATGGTAAAGATTGCCAAGAACGGCGCAGTTGATGATAATGGGCCTTCCAATGTGGCCTCAAACGTAAGTAACAGCTCATTATTCACTACATGCAACTAACTTATTCATCGCAGACCTATTCAATTTCTGGGCAAGCTGTCAAGAAGTTGTTTTTGCAGATTCCGTTCCCCAGCTTTGAAACTCCAGCTTCAACATTTTCTGTCGATGGGCTTTGGGACTATCTTCAAGAAAATGAGAAGGAGATACGCCAGGGTGTGGCCAAAGAGTTAATATCAGTGCGTTACCCTGCGCCTCATCCGACAAAATACTGACCTAGGTATATAGGAGAGGGCGCGCCAAAATCTCACCATGGTGTACAAGGTACAGGTGACGCCGACAAGCATAGCACTAGGTGGTCCAGAGCCGGAAGCCAAGAACCGCATTCTTCGACGGTTCCCGGATCACACCGAGTATTTCGTACGGATGCAATTTTGCGATGAAGATGGCAGAGACTTACATTTCAATGCTGAAGTGTCGAACCAGCGCATCTACGAGCGGTTTAAGCAGATTTTCACCAACGGCTTGTCGATTGGCGGGCGCGTATACGGCTTCCTTGGCTTTTCCCACTCGTCGCTTCGAAGCCACGCGGCCTGGTTCATGGCTTCATTCGTACACAATGGATCTTTGGAGACGTATGTCACGGTGATACGGGGTCTGGGAAAGTTCAGTCACATCCAATCGCCTGCCCGCTGTGCCGCTCGGATAGGCCAGGCCTTTTCCGAGACACCTTTTGCCATTTCCCTGGCTCAGGAGGGTATAACCAGCGTACAGATGGCTGATGTCAAGTCCAAAGACGAGAAGCGCGTCTTCAGTGATGGCGTGGGTACCATCTCCCGTCAAGTCATGGAGGCGATCCATGCCGCCATGCCCCAGCGCATCGCCAAGTCGGCCCCAACTTGTTTTCAAATCCGTTTAGGGGGGGCCAAGGGCATGCTCGGGCTAGATGAGAGGATAGGCAATGTTCATCCTAAGGCCATTTTCCTCCGCCACTCCATGGTCAAGTTCCAGAGTGATGTTATTGAGAATCTAGAGATCTGCGATATGGCCAAAAAGCCTATTCCAATGGTTCTGAATCGTCAGATGATCAAGATTCTTGAAGACATGGGGGTGCCCGATGCCTGGTTCCTAAACGCCCAGAATCGCGAGCTGAAGCGTCTACGCCTCATCACGGCACACACCCACAATAGCGTTGCATTCTTAAAGCACCGGAAGATTGCTGACCAAGTTGGCTTGCCGCAGCTGATCAAGCGTCTTGATAAAATCGGCACCTGCTACAAAAATGACGATTTCCTCCGATCCGTGGTGCAGGCGGCTGTGTTGCAGGAACTGCGTCTGCTCAAGCATAAAGCCAGGATCCCCATCGACCAAGGTGTGACGCTCTTCGGTATCATGGACGAAACGGGCTTCCTTGAGGAGGGCAGTATTTACGTGACGTTCGATCGTGCCTCCTACGTCCGAGGCAGTGCTGCCGACTTGAACGACCGCGAGATGATTGTTACACGCTCACCTGCTTTGCATCCTGGCGATATACAGTTGGCTTTCAATCACATCCCTCCCCCCGGCCATCCTTTACGGGCATTGAAGAACTGCATCGTCTTCTCTCGTAAAGGTACCAGGGACTTGCCGAGCTGTCTCAGTGGGGGCGACTTGGATGGCGATATCTACAATGCTATTTGGGATCACGGTGCTGTCCAAGAATGCAAGAGGCTCTTCGAACCGGCAGACTACCCCCGCGTAGATCCGCGGGACATCGGGAGACCGGTCGAGCGAGAGGATATGAGCGATTTCTTTATCAATTTCATGTCCACGGACCAGCTAGGGCTCATTGCTGTGAAGCACATGATCTTGGCTGACCAGAGAGAGGCTGGGACTGTCGACAAGGGTGAGTGACATTGGCATATGGCTATTCATTTTTGGAACTAACTTTTTACTTAAAGATTGTATGCTGCTTGCTCAGCTGCATTCCACGGGTGTCGATTATTCCAAGACGGGTATCCCCGTGGATATGTCACAACTCCGCGGCATCAAGTACAACCGATACCGCCCTGATTTGTAAGTTACCGTTATCCTAGGCCATCGTAAGCACTGTTCCAGACTGACATCTGGACAAACACTAGCCTCGCTCCCGCACCGCCCGCTAATATAAAGAACCGTACCGAGATCTACTTTGAAGCCCCAATCGCCCCTTCATCGGACCAAAACGACGAGGACGATGACATGGGGCCACAATTCCAGTACTATGCTTCAGAGAAAATCCTCGGACAGCTGTACCGTGCCATAGACGAGAAGAAGATATGGAGCGAACACGTCAAGGCTCCTCACACCACACGCGGTCCGGATGTCTGGGGCACGCTGCTCGCTGACGTCAACAGGCTCTGCGCGATCTATATTGGCAAGATTGCCTGGGAACGTTTAGCCTCCAAGGCTATGGGAATTCGAGCCACGTAAGTTGCCACCACGCAACCATTGCTTCCGCAAATGATGTCATCATAAACTTGGCTGACTTGATATTCCACTGTTTAGATACGAGGACGCCATAAACAACGCCATGGTCGACTACTCGGAACATGCAGCAAAGCCCCTGACAGAACTTGAGGTCTTTACCGGAACTATCTTCAACAAGTCGGGTGTCCAAAACCGCCGACAGCGTGACATGTCACTTCGACTCAAAGACGAGTTTGATCGTATCGCGCAGTGGGCAGCGGCTCTGTTGCGCAAGCGCAGCATGGACTCTATCGCTGCTGATGACAATGATGATGATGGTGAAAGTGACACCACCGAAGCGCCCTCTATCAATCGTAATGCCTCCGATAACGAAGACCCGCTGGCTCTCAGCCTCGCCTGTCTGAACGTTGGCTGCGAAACGGTGCAGAGCAATGGGCAGGGTCGTGGCCGTGGCTTTGAGCTGCAAAGCTTCAAGGTGATTGCCGCTTGTTGCGTTCTCAAGGAGCTCGATGCTGCTGTCAACCGAGCCGAAATCATGGCTGGTATGGCAGCTGTTAGCGATAGCTTCGTTGGCGTTCGCACTGGCAGATAATGTGCGACATGTACACTATTTTATTTGCATGACTGCACTGACGTGTTCGTCCAAGCAAGGAAGGACGAACGCTTATGCTGTGAAATCGATCCTATCACGCACAGCTGGCGTTGTAGATGGATAACTAGATACGCAAGTAGCCTGGCAGATATTGAATCGACTGCAACGAGCACACTGTCCCTGTATTCTCCGACGCAATTACCAGGTTACAAATACCTAATCCATAAATGATATAGTTTCCTCACTGATGGAAGCCAAATGCTCATATCATTGTGGCAACAAATAGCTCTAGCCCTGTCTTACTTGATACATGACTGCTTACGCTTATCTTGTTCTGATAGTGTGCCGATCCACTGGAGCTGCGTCCCGATTCCTCATACATGATCCGATAAACCTTCGCACTCTCTTCAAAGTGAGTTCCGATAAGACTACCGGTAACACCCCTCACCACGGCGCCAATGGCAGATGTGCAACGGGCAATTAATTCCACTGCAGTCATTCTGAGATATATATTGGACTCGGACACTCCCCGAACGCTCAAGGTCGCTCCGCAGCAGATAAGTAGTGATCTCGTCCATATTCTCGTGCACTATTGTGAACATTGCCAAGGCTTTGCCATCCCCTCAAGACATATTCGCCCGATATATTCAAGAGGTCGGCCAGAAGTACTTGCCCACCGTCACTTTTGAACCTTAAGCTTTGAAACTGATTCAGGAGCATGTTGAGACGTTTGTCATCCACCTCCTCGCAAGTATGTCCTTTATATAACAGGAACGCGTCAAATTGAACAGGCTTGACTTACAAACTACTTTCCAAGGACCCAGTTTAGCTGCCAACCTGGGAACACTCGACTTTACTGGCCAAGGGTCTTGGTGTTGCCAAGAGAATTCTTAGCACCATGTGTGGACTGACATTTACGGATTGTTGGTTATAAACGGAGGCCAGGTTGATGATAAGTGTGTCGTTGAAGTGAATGGCAGGAGGATGAGGGCGAAGTGGATGAGATATGGCAAACCTAGGACACGCGGTTATGAACGAGTCGTTGGTCGCCGTTTGTTACTTTGTCGGGGAGATCTGAGGGAGGTGCAGCTGTGAAATCGATACACTACTTGGAGCAGGAAATTATTGGGCAAGCTTGGATCCTTCTCGGGCACTCCTTTGTGGTTGCCTGGTTGCGTTGTACCGTATTGTGTACCCAACGGCTACCAGATCTTGGCCATGGTTTCAGAAATCCTGAGCCGGAGGCTACCTTGGGGGACCGTCACCCATCGTCAGCCCGCCATCGAATACCGTCCACGGCGCCACTGAAAGTCCCATGCCACCTTGTTCATTCCAAATCGTGTTCATCAATTACTTCCTTCCCTCCGACGTACACTGCCTCGTGTATCCAGCGAATCATGTACTGGTGCAGCAAACGCCACACCCATGTACAAACCGTTGCTTGTTCCGTCCGAACATATCTTGTTTATTGTCTGTTTCAGCCACCCTTGTTCCATCGGAGCAAATGCATTCATGGCGGACAAAGTCCCGCCAAGAACAAACGCCCGTACGCAATACAATCAATCAATCAATCAATCGCCTGTTGCTTCATTTTCCTCTTCTTTTTCTAAGGCCCAGAATATCCAACACCTCCATACTCCCCTCCCAACAATATGGTGGCCATGTCATTCCACTGCCCCTCTCGCCAGGCCCACGGCCCATCGCCAAAACCAAAGTTGGCTGACATGTAGGGGGTGAATTGCAGCTCGGGATTGGACTGCATAGGCTGCATCTGTGGGATACCCAAGTCGTTCAGCGTCTCGGCTGCTGCAGCCGTGTCTGGATCGATGTCCATGTTGCTTCTTCTGCTCACGTATGGTCCGGTTGCCGTTGTGGGCGGAGTGCGCATCTTAAATCCCGGCTCTGGCTGCTGCACCGGCGCCGTGAAATCCGTTGCGTGGTTTGACGGGCCAACAATTTGTGCCTCAGCAAAGTTTCGGCTCATGCGGTTCAGCTCATCGATGACAACTGCGTAGCGCCGATTCGTCCCTGGTACCATGGGATCCCGGAGCACCTTGGCCGCCAGCTCCGCACATGCGGCAAGTAGAGACACAGCCGTAGACAGGTAGCGGGAGCGATACATTGGAATATCGTTGGACCTTTTCGCCTCACACATGATGTTGAGCACGAGCACCAGAGCCGCGGCGTACAAGAAGTAAAAGTCCCACCATGTCACCGGGTCAAACCCACCGATGGAGTCCAGTCGGAGAAGGAGGCGGACGGATTCCTGGGCACCATCGGCACACACGTCTGACAGGTCTGAGATAGTATTTTGGGTTGGATTGAGGCTGAGCCTCTTGATGGCATTAGCGTACGCCACTTTGCTTGACCCGTCTCCTGGCTCGGCATCCTCGCAGGGGAAAAGCCGACTACCCAGCGCCAACATAGCATTCCGCGTCACGACGGAAACGACGTGATAGTATTGTACGTGCAGCAAAATGACGGTACGCTGTGACGAAGGAGACTGTCCACTTACGGCATCGAGAGAGAGATGTCTCGGTAGACTTTCCTTCCATCGCTGCAGGTCACGGATCAGTGCCGCTGCTGGGGATAGGGGGCCGCTGTAACTCTTCTCCCCGACTTCGGCATGGTTGTTCATGACGCGCACGACACGACATGCTTGCGAAAGCATGACGAGCAGTCGGCTCGAATAGACCATGCTCTCAGATGACCCCATTCCCAGAGTAGCTTCTCGAGGAGTGCTGACCGTGCAGGCTGCATCGTCGATGGCGCTGGGGCGATCGAGAGAGGCGGCCTGCATCAGCTCGAATTGATACAGTGTCCACCACAGTCGCTTGCGCAGCTCGCGATGTAACGGGGTGTGCGTCGAAGCTTTGGTGTCTCGGTGCAAACCAATGGCAATGGCGATCCGGACGGCCGCTCCTGTCAATGTCCAGCAGGAGTCGCGATGGTTGGTGTTGTTCAGGTGCAGGGACACCAGCAACAGGGCCTGCACAGCTGATATGCTCGATATAAAGATGACGCTGGGCAACAAAGCTTGCACCTTGCGCCACCAACGATCCTCGGCTTCTTGGCCTTGTTGTGAAGACATATTATCGACTTGAATGGTGCGTCTCCCCAGGAGCAAGACGCATAGGAGACTGCAGATCCAGGTAGGGTCGACCTCCGAAGTTAGCAACGACGGCTGCAGACAACACCGCTCATAATCCTCCCGGAAAGACGCCTCGTGTAGCACGGGGAAGTCGGCGTGGATGTGATCGAAAAAAGCCGCAATGAGGGGATCCGGAACGACGCCGTCGATGATGTCACCCAGAGCCGACTGGGGTGAAGTCTCGCCCCTCTCGGCAACATCCTCAATCATGCCGGAAGACGACTCGGAAGTGTTGGTGACTGGACTCCGGCCCGAGCTCAACTCGCGCCCCAGACCCGTCACCTCGCCCACCCACGCCTTCTCTGTCGGGTTGCTCCCAAACAGAAAGAACTGCCCCTGACCACTAGGCTGGCCTCCTGCAAAGAGAGCGCGGATCTTGATCTGGAACAGATAACTGCTCGCGGGACCGATGTACTGCGTCTGCCCCTGCTGGTCCCTCAGTACCGGCATCTCCTCAGGCGAAGCTGGCGCGAGTTCTTGATCGGCGCTTTCGTCGCCGTCTGCCGTCTCTACCGTTTCTACGGTCTCTGGTGGCGGTAGCGGGATGCCGAGCGAGCTCCCCAGGGCTCGCATGCCATTGATGCTTGATGTGTCCACCTCGGGCACGAGTCCCTTGACCAGACTCTCGAGCAGACCAAGTCTTGCGCCCAATCCTTCCACCGACGCATAGTTGCGCTTTTTGCGCGTCTGTGTCGTCACGCACTCAAAGCCGTGGGTCTGGCAGTACCGGCACGAGGCGTGACTATCGCCGCCCGTCCCAGGGCCACTTGCATTTTGCGACTCTACTGGACGTTGGCATTTCTGTTTTCTAGACTTGCACCTGAAGTTCGTGTTACTTAGTCAGCCCTTGGAGATAATGCACAACTTTATCTTACTTGTCACAACTGATCTCGGTCCGCTTCCGACGCTCCGGTGGCACGCGACGGCTCGGCATGGTCACACGCTCTCTCCGGTCGCTCCACGGCCGCCTGTCTTTGTGAGTCCTCAGGTGCAAGCCAGGCTATGTGGGACATGCGGCAGGATGGTACGCGGCAAGGGGGGCACGGCGGAAGCTGGCTTACGGAGCTCACATGCGGTGATGCTAGGCGAACATCATGGGTTTGAATACCATGAATCCGCCGATGCTCGGTCAATAAAACTATAAATAAAACAAACAGTAAAACAGCCTTCGGCTGCTGGCTTCCGCAAATAGAAAGAATCTCCGCAATTGCCGGGACCAAGCTTCGCGGATATATCTGGAGCCACTTGGCACTGTGGAAATAACCTTCACTGACCCTGGACCGTTTCTAAAGATATCATCCGTTAGAGTTTTGTTATAACGCTTGTGGAGCCAAGACATTTCCTGCATTGCTTATACTTCAGAGTGATTCTCCTGCGGTCGAGATCACAGTACTTCGTGATGTCTTCCGGTTGCACAGAAGTTATCTGTCTCCCAGGGTTATCGACCGGTGCTGATCATCACCATCTCTGGTGAGCTGGACGCGCTGTGGGTACGTACGTCGCATGCCCCTCTCCGACCATGCCGACTCTGCACCAGAATACCCAGGTTACCCAAGTTACCCAGGCTAGCCCTTGCAATCTGAGCACCACCGCTCACTGCAGGTTGGTTGCCATGCTTGACACAGTTTCACTCGTATACTTCAAAGCCACTTTACTTGCGCCTGTAAGCTGCATGTAGCTCTATTCCAAGTAGCCAATTACATGCACACCGTCCACGGACACCTAGTGTTGTCTGTCGTCACAATCGTGGTGGTTATCTTGGCCGCTGTCTAGGAAAGATAAGACTTAGATGCCGAAGTAATTGTTTCATGGGTGGTATAAGGTTTAGGTGCCGCGTTTGCAAAACTAGACAATTATACCCTGAGCTGCTGTGCTTAGTCATCCCTCATACTTTGTCTAGTTTGTCAACTGTGGTCTGAGCCTAGTTTTCCGAATCTCGGGATGTCTGCGGCGGAGATTGTGGGGAAAGAGGTTGGTATGAGGCCCTCAATTTCCCGTCAGTCCAGCACTGTCGGCGAGGTGCAAAACTTGCATGCCGTGATACAGTCACAAAGTGTCGGAAGTGGTCCTGGAGATACAAGTGTGAAGAGGGCCATGGATGGAACATTGCTAATTCCGCAACCGACGGATGACCCAGATGAGCCCCTTGTGCGTCTTGTGCCGCAAAAGGCCACTCCTGCAACCAATCTGGCCATCCAAGTCATCCGCATCCGTAACTGACACCTTGGCTCAGGACAATAGCTGACTACGTACTCTTAGAACTGGAGTTTTGCCAAAAAGCACGCCGCGCTCGCCGTTCTCGGTCTGGGATCCTTCTTCGTCAAGTTCACGGGGACGATGCTAGCACCTGGAGCCATCGGCATAGCCAAGCAATTCGGCGTAACTTCGACTCAAGGCACTTATGTGGCCTCGGCATCCTCGGTGGTCCCTGCCATCTCGCCATTCTTCTGGATTCCCCTTAGTCGCCGGTACGGAAGACGTCCGATTCTTATGGTCGGCAGCGTCGTTGCCATCGTATTTGGCATTGTTGTGGGTAGGGCAGAGACGTATGGACAAGCACTAGGATGCCGCATCCTCATGGCTTTCGGCGCTTCTTCTGCTATTTGCATTGGGCCCGCTGCGATATCTGACATGTTCTTCCTGCATGAGAAGGGGACGAGGATGGGTATAAACACCTTCCTGCTTGTGTGCTCCCCCTATCTTGGTGGCGTAGCTGGCGGAAGCTTGCAGTATCAGCCCAGGTTGGGATGGAGATGGGCCATGTACATTTCATCTGTGATATACGTGGTTGTACTGATCCTCCAGTTCTTACTTGGTACTTTCTGGCACCTTCACTCATGACTTACGAGTCTAGACTAATCTTGCTATAGTCCCTGAAACCATATTTGACCGCTCTCAAGCTCAGTCTACCCCTGAAAAGCCCAAAACCATGCCATCATCACGATTCGGCTTCCGCAAACCCACCACTCAAGAGTCGTGGTCGTACCTCTTCACTCGCCCATTCGCCATGTTTGCCTACCCAGCTGTCCTCCTGCCATCGCTCTGGTTCGCCATCGCCGCCATGACAGAAGTAGCCAATACGGCCGGGTTCCCGCTCAACTTCGGCGCGGACTCGCGCTGGCACTTTAACACGCAACAGATCGGGTTTTGCTCCTTCTCTGGGCTCATCGGGGCCGTTCTGGGCGAGATCTTCGCTGGCCCACTCTGCGATCTGGTCGTTCAGCATGATTTGAAAAAGGGGCGCAGGTGGAAACCTGAACGCCTTCTGCCATTGACGCTGCCCGGCTTGGTAACCAGTTCTGCAGGGGTACTTTTGTATGGTCTGGAGCTCAACTATCCCACTCATTGGGCGGCCGCGTTGGCGGGCATCGCAATTTTTACCGCGGGCCAGGAGATCATGTTGACGGTGCTTATGACGTATATCACGGAATGCTACCCGGGGAATGCAGCCGAGATCTCGGTCTGTTTTCAGTGTTGTCTGAATTTAATGGCATATCATCCGCCCTTTTACACACCCTATTGGATTAAGGCTCCAGGGGGGGCGAAGGTACCCTATATAGTTTATGCAGTGCTGCCAATTTTATTTGCTCCCATTGGCTGTGGGATGTTTATGTGGAAGGGGGAGGAGATAAGAGCCAAGGGGCCGTGGTTCAGATTTTAGTATAGAAATATGGAGGTCTTTTATGACGCATCTGATGGTAAGCACTCAGAGCTAATGCCCTTAGCTTTCAGTCGATCATTGTGGGACTGGCAGGGCTCAAGCCTGATAACCCCACGGTCTCGGAATCATGGATATTGGTCTCTAAAGCACAAATTGGAATGCGTTCACAAGTTCATCGTCCTAGGCTGGGGGGGTTTTCTCCCGTCCGCACCATCTTGAAGTCATTTAAAATGCCTTCGCCGAACTCAGACTGCAACCGCAAGCACCAGGCTTCCCGTAGGCTGCTGTCCCGGGGTCTCTTTCCCCGTTCGCGACCTAAACTCCGATTCGGCTCGGACCACGTCGTCCAACAAATCATGCTCCCAGATCCACAGATATCGTTGACACTGATTCGCAACAATCTTATCCATGTCGTCCCCAATACCAGGGGCTTTTAGTGCGCAGATGTCCCCGGCCTCGCGGCTCGTCCGCACTACACGCTGGGCTCGTGGTCGACGAATGCCATCGTAAACAGAGAAAGCCGTCTCGAGTTGATTTGGAGATGACACTAGACCGAGTAGACGAGACAGAACGAGTGCATCCTCTATGCATTGCCCAGCGCCGGCAGCTTGGTGAGGGAGTGTTGCGTGAGCCGAGTCGCCAAGAAGGCAGACTCGGCCACTGAAGTAGGTTGGTGTGGCGAGGTGATCGTGCAGTGCCCATTGTACTGGATTGGCAAACTTCTTTGGTGTTAGTTTATGCCCAATATCATAGGATGCCAAACCCCTTGCCACTAGGGTTGAAGCCAGGAGAGATGCAAGAGGAGGAACGTACTTCGAGCAGCTTGACAAGCCTTCTGTCCACGCCTAATTCTGAGATGTCACTAAGCATCAAATCCTTTGTCACGGGCTTCGTCCACTCGTGATACATCCAAGGCTTGTCGTCCATCTTGAAACACACCATGTTGCACTCTTTCCCTTTTGATATTGGGAACGTGACGATGATGCACTGATCGCCCATGAACATTTTGGCATCCCCTGCCCTCTCATGGCCATCCAGGTCCTTGCTCATGATCTTCATGGCTTTTTGCATGGGAATCACTGCCCTGTAGACATATCTCCCCGTATATGTTGCGTTCACCAACTCTGGCCACCTCTCTCCGAGGACCACCCCTCGAGACATGCCTTTTACTCCGTCCGAACCGACGGCGCAGCTCGCCTCAGCAAACTCGCCATCTTCAAATGCAATTACTACACCTCTGTCCGTCTGAGACAGGGTCGTCACCCTCTTCCCGAACCTCAAATTCTCCTTCGGAATGGACCCGGTGATAATGTCCAACAGATCCTTCCGGTGTGCCGACGTCCTCTCATAACAAGCTGCTCCGTATGACACGGGTTTCCACCCACGTTTCTCTCCAAAGCCTTCCTCGACGAGCAGGGCGTCCATCATAGCGTGGTCTTTCCCTGGCGTCACATTACCACTTGATATGGAACCGTAGAGCTTCCTGAATCCAGGCTGGATCTCTTCCATGGCACGGAGCGCGTTGGGTCCGAGACCAACACCGGCGCCGACGGTGCTGAAGCATTTTGCGGCTTCGTAGAGAGTGAAAGGCACGCCTTGGTGAAGGAGACCAACGGCGAGCGCGAGCCCACCTATGCCGGCTCCAATGATGGCAACTTGGAGTGGTGGTTGTTTGTTCTGTTGAGTTTGGGTCGCCATTATTCCCAACGTGAGGCACATAGAAGACAAACAAGTCGTACCAAAAGCAACGATGAAGATGCGTATATGGGTGGTATATCAATCAACGTGCATGAGCAAAGGCCCGACAGTCCTATATCGGCTATCGTATTGCTTTTCTTGAGAAATGTTGATTTTTTATGCAACTTTGTCATGCTGACTGTGGAATCGAGTATCATTGATGGTGGAGGCGCCTTCGGATCGACTAACACACACACACACACGCCTTTCAGCAGAACCGCGATTCCCCAGTCGATCTTTGACGGAACCAGTCGTTCTTGACTGCACATTTTCGCCATTTGGTGTTGGAGAGTAGCACGAGATCTCAGAATGTCATCGACAGGTGGCCAATGGGAATGAGTGACATGATGGTAGTGGTGCTGTGCCGTTGTCTCACTGCAGCGCCGACCCTTGCGCTGGTCGTTATCCAACATATATCACACTGCAGAGCTGCAGTCAAGTGCAAATATGGAAAGAAGTAATGGTTGGCCGCAGAGCGTCGAAGTACAGATGTTGGCTTACGACGCCGTCCGTTTTTGCGTGGAGGGGTGGGGGCTGGAGGGTCCGGAAGTCTGCTTCCGATCTGTGTTAGTATCGCCTCGATTCGGCCCGACGGTTCATTACCCCCTAGACACCGATAATGACAATCCTAGATTTTGGGTATGCTTGGTTATGGGAAGAATGCTATATTAAGACGTTGGATAGAGGGATGATTGGATTCTTGCAGAATTGTTCGAAAGTTGTCTGACTTGTTATCTAGCCAATAGACTTGAAGATATAATAGCATACTGTTGCATTTTTGACTACACCTCCATAGCTCATCTAATATCACCCGCCGGTGAAGTTCTAGTCAACTAACGCGATCAAATTACGATATCAGACTCATCCCAAAAGCTCATTATACTTCCTACCACGCTGATCTTAAAAGCCTATTTATCCTCAATACAGGTCACTGGGTAATAAGAATGATATACACCCATCCACTGCGAATCAGTTTCAGCCAGGTATTTCACTGAAAGCCGCCCATTGCGATTTTCTGCGCACTAACACGCATATCACAGATCGATATCTATGTATCATCACTCAAAACAAGGTTTTATCATCATGAATATGTTCGTCAATACGCCCATTGCTTTCATGCCATGTCTACTAATGGTTCTCCGTACAATATTGAACAAATTCTTACAAGAAAAGAAGTTCTCCATCAAGCCCCAACCGTTCCTCATAGTGGTCAATCAGAACCCATAAATCTCAAACTTATTGCTTCAGGGCGCGAGCGTGAGAGCGCCTGCATCTGGCCTTGGCAGATGAAGTAGGGACAACGAATGTCTCAGCGGTGGAGATAGCTACAGGGGCGGCGGTGGTGGTGGCGGCAGCCGTGGTCTCTGCGGCAGCGGGGGAGGTAGCGGTAGCAGCAGCACTGGTAGCGGCAGCAGCGCTGGTGGCAACGGAAGAAGTGGCAGCGCCAGAGTCTGAATCTGCTTCCGACCCAAACGCCAAACTGGGACCAGGCATGGAGTATGTAAGGCTCTGGTAAATGTTGACGAGGATACCGGCGTCATCTGCACTGTAGAGGGCCTCACCCAAGGTGCCGGTAGGGGCGGCGGAGCCACCACCGGTGACCTTCAAGTTGACACACTGAGGGTAGTTCTGGGCACCACCAGAGTTTCCAGCCGAGTGCAGAGCAATCATCTCGTGACGGAGGACGTAGTTGCCAGGGGCCAAGGTGGAGGGGATGGTGACGGTCCAGGTCAGGTCGTCACTGATGAGCTTGTCGGAACCCCAGCTGCCCGGGGCAGTGGTGTCATCAAGGAGACCAGATGCGTCAATCTTGAAGAACTCAAGAGTGGTCTTGTCGACAGTGGAGCAGTCATCACCGCAGTTGGCCAGGTAATCGATGACGGGGCCGTGGTGAGACTCGGGCCAGGTATTCCAGACGAGCTGGACGGTGCCACCGGCGGTAACCTCCGCCGAGATGGCGGCGTTGGCACCGTCACGGTGGCAAATAATGTCGCCACTGGCGTACGCATCAGGGGCAACAAAGCCCAGGTCCGTGGCCGACGTGGACCAGCCGATGGAGTCAGGCTTGGAGGCGTCGTCCATGTAAGGGGTGCTAGTCACGTCGAAACCGGCGTACGTGGTGCCATCTACGATGATGGTCTGAACGTAGCCATGGGCCGATACGAGGCTGGCACCAGCAGCCAGTGCGAAAGCGGTGGCAGTGAAGGAAGGCATTTTGAACATGGGTTTTTGGTTGCTTTACTTGAGGAAGATGGCTTGAAATAGGAATTGCTTCTTGAGGTGCAGAGTTTCAACGTAACCGGCTTGCAGGTAAAATGAATGGACGGGGTTGACTGTAGTCTATACAGGTAGTGAATGAATGAATGTATGCTCGAAGCAGTGAGCGTGTGAAAAGAATGAATGCAAGACTAGACCATGAAGCTGCCTGATGAGATAGCAGGAGGGAATGTCAGCAACTCATAGAGACATGTCTCACCTTTTATGAATGTGACTGAGCAGCAGTCTGAGCCTCATACCCCGGCTTAACGTCCCCTGCCATGTAGTTTAATAAAGGAATGCCGTTGTGCATAGTGACCACACAGTAGCCGCAATCAACTCGACGAAGCTACACATCTTAGTGGCGAGGTTGAGGAGATTGGCTGGCGGTGGACCAACATTCTGCCCTATCTGGTGCTCCAAAGGAACGCGTGATGGTTTCAACCTGGTGGGCCATTACCAGGTGAAGAGAGAAGCAGATGAGATGAAGTTGTGCGCTTGTGGCACTGCAGGGCCGCCAGCCGCGTGCGTTACTCAGGCCTGGTCGGGTCAGATCTTGTGAGATGCGACGATCGAGGCTCGTCTGATTGTGTCGCTCAATACACCCCCATCCAATCGCAACCACTGGCGAGCCCCTTAGAACCGCATGTTGGTTCTGGCTGTTGTGAGAATGCAAGATACGTCACAATGGGAGGAATCCGTAACTTCAGCTTGCTGCGGTGTCACCAAAATCTAGTGGAAGGAGTCGCTAGGGCCGGCGCTTTCATGCCGCGGCGTCGTCGATATAGCTAAGGGTGTGGAAACTTCTACACTTCAGGCCTAGCTCCGTCCATGGGTCTGGGTTCCCTGTACTCATTCTTCTCGTGGTTTATTCTAAATGAAACGGAACATGGAGGCGGGAACCACTCGCTTGGCATAGTCGTCCCATTTGCACCGGCCCTCGGCAAGGATATGAAGGGATGAATCCTATCAGATTTGCAGATGAGAGCCATGGAGCGCAGGGATCCTATCGACCAGGTTAGACCAGGGCTCTAACAGTTTTCATACCCTAGATTTCTATTACTCATTACTACACTTTCAGAAAAGATGAACAATTGAAATATCTCACAAAAATTAAAACTTATCCCGAGAATTTTAGATTTCAGAAGCTAACTATTACTATATTTGAATTCATCTGCGGCAAGTTAGGGTACTAAATTATGTGAAGAATAAGACCGCTGTGTTTTAGCGGATATCTAAATCAAAGCGATTGTTAGAGGAGCCCTACCAGGGGCAACGCAAATCCGCCGAGCCCAAGCTTTGAGTACCGTTGCATTGCTAGCCATATTGCCACCCAACACAGTCAGTTCAAGCTTCATTAATCAATTTTGGTTCACCGTCAAGCTGGGATCTACGCGACGATCTATTTACCTACCCGGTGAATCATCTCCATGCCGAATTCGAGCTCCACTCCCAAGAGAAATTCATACCTCGGCAGAGGTATTCACATTCCCACGGTTGCTCATTAAGGAGACCATCGTGGTGACATCCATACCTGTCAAGAGGCACGGTGGCCGTAGGCGTCACTAGGCGACGTTGCGCAAAACAGTACCCGCAAAACAGTACCTATTTTTGGGCAAACCCGAGAGTTCTCAACGGCTTCTAGTAAGTTTTTTAAATCGTGATCATCCACACATTCTTCGGTCAATTCGATATTTGGACTTCATCTGAAGAATAACGTTGATGGAAACGGTTTACTCCGAATACTTCAGACAGAACGGGTTTCACGGTACGACTTTTTTTAATCTGTGGCATAACCTCGTTGAGTCTGCTGATGACGTTTCGACATGGGCTTTACCAAACGTGATTCTTGAATCTTTTGGGAATTGTTAGCATACACTACGTAGTTGTTCATAAAAAGCGCCAAGATACAGGAATTCGGGAGAATTTGTTTACGGTTCGTGACCTTTTGCTATGGCTGTTCTATGTGTATTCTTCTCGCCACAGTCGCAACAATGGGAGAGTTTGCGTTGCACAACAAAAGGCAGAGCGTATGGCCAATGAAGCTATAATAGATAATAACAACTTTATGCTTGTCGCCAGTTTCAGGGATATGTTAAGCTGAGAACTTGGGTAGCAGCGTTGAATTCGTGAAATATGTCTCGGGATATTAGCCAATGGGCCCTAGTTCATTAGGATATAATTTTTATTTTGAATGGATAAAGCCTCCTCAACTACTGCCATGGGGTGCGAAGTGCGGCCGTCAGAATGAAAACCTCTTACACCACTACGTACTACAAGTCGAGGTACTGCGCTCTATGGAGGACTGCCCACTCCAATCAAGTTCTGCGTACATTGATGCTGATGTACCACGGGCACGCAAGTCCATGTGGAGAATGTGGTTGTTAGATCCTGGTGCACCAAGCCCTTGGCGATAGCTACGCCCTGGTCCTCGGCATGACGAACATCAACCCACAAATGGGCCCACATCGTATTATCCTGAGGGGTTGAATTTGTATACTTAAGGCCCTTGGAGCCAACTCCGCTCTGTCGATGGATGGAGAGGGCGGAGAGACCACTTTAATTCAATGTAACCCTATTTGCACACAATAAGTCCGATAGTGGTCCTCGGCTCTGTCCTGCCTGAATCATGTCTGTGACAACCCATCAGGCACGTGATTTATCGTGATGCATTATTTTGAGGCACCCACGATGAAGCGAAAGAGGATCTGAACATGATGATTATATTACAGGTAACCAACGGCTGGACATAGCTCACCGAACCATCTACGAGTGATGTGACCGACAAGTCTAATGGAAGCAACAACTATTTGACGCAAGATGGAGATATACCGTGCCATTTGCTATCCCGGAGGCTATTTCCCCTGGCGCTTGAGAAAGTCAAACATGATCTCAAAGGCTCGTGGAGCAACGTAGTGGAGGTTCAGGTTATGGCTGTAACAACAATTCAGCTTAGTTATCCACATCGTTCTTCTGAGTGCTATACCACACTCACCCAGCGGGTAGACTATCAATAGTCTCAATAACCTTGGCACCAGTGAACAGGGCCTTCGTATCATTCAGTACGCCGACGCAATTGCCGCCGCAAGCCGACAAGTCAAACTGCCCCTGGAGGACCAGCACCGGTGCCGCAATGGCCTCAAACTCAACGGTAGTAGCAAGCAGTGACGGGAGCTCCGCCGAGGCGAACGGTTCGCTCCCAAAATTGTGCGCCCAATCGGCGATGCGATGGTCAAAGGAAGGTGCGGCAAAGTATGCGTACGTCTCAGCGTATAGGTCCGAAGAAATTAGATAGCCCGGGTCTAAGTGTCCCCAACGGCGGGGATTCTGAATTTTGGCCACACGAAACCCGGCGCCGGCAACAAATGGCCCGAAATAGGACAAAGAACCACTAAACCCCGTGAGGACGAGGGCGTCGATGTCAACGTGGCTGGCGGATGCGGCAGAGATGTACGACCCGTAACTATGGCCAACAAGGACGATCTTGGCGGCATTGGCGGTGCTACGTAAGTAGGCGATAAGAGAGTCGAGAACTGCGACCTCGACTTGGAATTGGGCGTCCCAGAGGGCGTCCACACTAGTGGCAAGGAGCGTCAGTTAGGAGATTTGGGACGTGGTACTTGTCTGTAACAACCCACATGGACGAGGAGCCGACACCGATGCGGTCGTAACTAAGCACTGAATACCCGGCTGCCATGGCTGCGTCGACAAGGCTGTACCTCTCAGCGCCAGAGAAGTTAGGACGCCAGTATCGCTTAGACTCGATGATTCCATGCGTCAACACCAGTGTTGTACCCCCTGTCCCACATAGCGTCGCTCCGATGGTAAAGTTGCTGTCAACTGGGTCGGACGTCATGCCGGCAATGGGAATCGGGTCTGCTGCACTTCCTGAGTCTCGGCGTGTGAGGGTGAAGGTCAAAGCTGCGGCATCCCAATTGTCTTGGACTGTTATGTTCACGATGAAGCGTGGTACGGATACAGTTAGGGGTATTTCAACCTCTCTGCAAGTCGGCAAAGATTTCTGCGACAAGGCAGATACCACTGCGGCAAAAGCGAAGTAGAAAGTGTGAGAATACATGCTTTTGAATGCTAATATGATGGGGGAAACCTGCTGGAGTGGAAATTCTGCTTTGCTTTTCATCCTCTTAGGCTGGTGCACTACTGCTTATATAGCGTTGACCCATATGAAAAGGAGTCATTCTATGAAATGCCAATCCGATCCAACCGACCAGCCATATTCCAGGAAACTGAGATCAATCACATGTAGACTATCACGTTGGAGGGTAACATCGAATATGTGCCTTAGCTAAGCCACTTGCTTCATTGGATAACTCTCAGCAAGTGCTTACCGGGCTATGCCATTGCATACCACCGTTGACCGGATTTGGAAGACCAGCCGAGCCTGCGTTAGGATAAGTGCAGAAATCCCATACCGAGACTCATTTCGATACGCATAGAGGCATTGGCACCTCTACCTCTGGTCCAGCCTCGAAACAAGCTCGTCATACTTGCAGTTAGCCATGGCCCTCACGTGCCTGGCATACTCCATCGTTTGTCCTCCGACCTACCATTACATCAACTAAGTCATCTACCAGGGCCATCCCGACAATTAAGGGGCCCGCTGGATCAATGGAGTCAGTTACTATGTCATTGTGCCCGTTGCTACAGTATGCCTCACTGCGAACACGGTATACACGGTCTTCGCTGTCACACCATGCTTTTCAACCTGCTCTGCAGGCGCTAGTTGCTCTCTTCGTGACTTGCACCGCTAATTTTGCGCAATGTGACTTTTGGACAACTGCGGCTGCGTATGTAAGGCGACATGCTGGGAGCGTCTGGCGAGTCTTGGCTAGCCGTGGCGAATGGGTGCTAATACGAGCTGCCGTAGTTTTTGTCAACTAGTTGGTTATTGCGTATGGCATCTTGAATTTCACTACCGACTCCTTGTACTGCTAGGCGGCATTTAATGCGACAGGAACTACAAGTCCTGCGTGGACGAGTATATCGGGTGATAATAGCCAGAGCATCATACCGGAGCTGCAGACCAGAGAAACAGCCCAAGAGCATAGAGGCACATTGGGCCAGTTTTTGTGTAAAAATTAAAGTGCCTGGCATATTTTTAGGCCATGAATCACTCTATAGCGCAGCATATTGTATATCAAACCACACTTTGCGGCAGCAAAAGGGGCATGATTCGAACCCCCTGTACCCAAGGCACGAGCGTCTGATGTTAAACCACACTGCCTCAGAAGGCGAATATACCCAGTATCTGAGAATGTGGTCACAACAGGCTTATAAGAGTTATTTGTGGTCCAACATCTTACTAGCTTTCCATATCCCTCAACCAATCAAACGTATCCAAGAGTTCCAAGTTAAAGTCGGGCTGGGCCGAGAAGTCCCAATCCAAAAGGGTTATCCCGGGCACGGCCTGGGCTTCGTGCTCGCGTGCTTTAGGGAGTGGTCCAGGACCTGCTGGATGGTGGCGATGGTGTTGGCGGCGATGTTGGCGTTGGGTGCCGAGGGGCCGACCCATTCGAGGAACCCGACCAGCAGGCTCAACTTCTGAACAATGCTCGACCGCGTGATGTGTGGGTTCTGCGGGTGCGAACCACTCAGGGTCGGTTTGAGGATTTCCATGCAGAGAATACCGCCTGCGGGGGCGCCATAGCCCATGAGCTGTTTTGGAGGAGCTAGGTTAGACGCAGTGGATGATCATGCGTATAAAAGTAGACGAGCAAAACCATAAGGAAAAGAAAAGGAGGGCAGCTCACAATCCACTCAAAGTCCTTCCTTTTGGCAAAAAATCGATCCATGTGCGTCCACAGATTGAGCGTCAATGCCACCATCTCAAAGCTGAGGGCCAGGAGTTCACCGCCGTCTTGCTGGTAGCGCAGGATCAACATGCGCTCAATGAAGAACAGGTTCTGAAGATGATCGAGTTTGTGCAACAGCCGGATGAATAGATGTCGTACATCGACGTTCAAGTCCCTTATGTCTTCTGGGCGGTAGGTGATGGAAGGGGGGAGGACACGAGTAGCCTGAGCGGCGCACGATTTGAGGTCACTAGATGGGCAGTTTTCAGTCAGTCCCAAGTTCCTGGTACTCAGATAGAGAGTATTCACTTGATCATTCAAGAATCCGACTTACAGGATTTGCTCGATGGATGCCTTCTTGGAGCCAAGGGCAATGACAAAGATGTCTTCCCGGACCTTGAACAGTTGTGCGCGAGTCCGGTCCATGGTGGAACCGTACAAGCCCCCTGTGAGGTTCCAGCCCTGGTCATCGACGAGCTTATCCAAATTCTGGGCCAGCACATCCTGGTCGACTAATAGCCAATTGACGTCGAGGTCGAGGGGCAGTGGCGTCGAGATGTAGACCTGGGTGAGCAGGGGCGGCCGACCGGTGAAAGAAACGGCCACTTTGTCCATGCAATAGATGAGCCAGAGCATGCACCGCTTGGCCTCGGATACAAGCGTGGGCATGTAGGGCTTCTCCGTGTTGGTCTCGGCGTGGTGTCCGAGGAAGGTGATGAGCTGCACCATCTGGGCATGGTAGCGCCAGGTTTCAAAGCCTAGAGGTAGGTTCATCAGCCAGTTTGCTTGATGTAATAAGAACTGGACAGCTAGGCGGCTGTAGAGGAGAGCAGGTTTCGAAGTCAAACTTACCCGCATCCCCACTGAATATCGACTGGAGCCTCGCCCGCTGGTGATACAGATAGACCAAGACGACATTGCCCTCAGTAAACTGCCTGCATAATCGGATACAGTTGCAAATGAGCTCCTGGTTCACTACGGCCAACGGACTCTCGGGCGATAGCTTCCAGAAGGTAAAGAGCGCCCCCAACGAGTCCCACCTGAGATTATGGCCTACGAACTGAGCCATCCAGGCATTCGGGTCCCTGATGGCGTCCGACGTCGACTTGATAGTGTTGACGCATATCGTTCGAGCCAACTCCTCCAGCTGGGCCGGATTCCGCGTCGTTCCCAGGCAGTGACCCCACATGGCGTACAGCTGCTCAAGCACAGTTTTGCTCATGATATTGACCCATCCATCGAAAAACGAAATGTTGGGCTCGAACATGCGCGGCCCATCTTCCGGAATCGGGATTTGTCTCAGTACATGGAGAGCCAGCTCCTGCACCACGGGCGACATTATGTTGCCGGCATGGCTGACTGGGGATTGGCCTGCTACCCCTGAAGAACGCCGGTTCTGGTTGGTCCTGTGCGACGGAGACTGCGGGTCCAGCAGTGACAGACTATTCCGCGTCTCCTCGTAGGGAGTCGAGAAACTTGTGAAGCCCAGATAACCAGGTTGAACTGCCGCCGAGTTCGGGGGCAGGCTGTCTGGGCTTGTCGACAGCCTTGAGGTCAGACTCGGAGTAATGGCTGGCAGGCTCTGGGGCAAGGAGCGTGCCGGTTCTGGCCTCCTGACTATGGAGGAAGCCGAGGCCGACGAGGCAGTTGATCTCCTCGGAGATGAGCCCGAGGCGCTGTATATGCAACGATCTACAATGTTCCACTTCTTGCATCTTATGCAGGGGATCGAGTGATTGCACGCCAGCTTGCTCTGCCGGCATGGATCGCACGCTTGGAGACGCCCATTGGGCCGACGCTGGATCGCTATAATGGTGGAGCCGTCCATGTCGTTGCGTAATCAGCCTCCGTAGGTTGTGGTATAGCAACAGGGCGCGTTGCGTACATACAGTAAGCCGTGCTAATTACTAATGCTCCTGCCGACACCTGTGCGGCGATGACAAACGCGCCCGAAAGCAAGATGTTTGCTCTTGAGGTGGCTGAGATGGACTTGTTTATGTAGTATCGACTTCGGCGTCGGCTTTCTGTGACTGGACCACAAATATATCGGCTTCGGCTCTAGCTGCCGAGGTATAGTTACCCTACATTCGCCGGTTTCAGCCCTTTTTATGCAGTCATACCGAAAACTGGATTGACTACACACACGCGGCCCCACCATCACCGACCAGCCAATTCAATCCAACAGTCAACCGGTCAATATTTCAACCGTCTGACGACGAGGTCAGCAACGGTCACATCATGCCGCCTCTGGACTGAGAAACCTCAGTCGGCTTTCCAACCCGCGATGTCATTTGCCGCCGTAGGCTTTTTCACGGCACGACGCCGAAACACGGAGTTGGACGGCATTTATGACTCAAGGACCGAAGCCTTTCAAGCGGTTGGAGTTGGGTTGTTGACTGGCTTTCTTTACATATATGAAACTATCTTCCCTCAGGCATTCAGCTAGACTTTCAACTATACTCAGAATAAATACATCTAGTCCATACTCGACATACTCATATCAAACAGGCCGGAAAAAAAACCGCGACGTTACGCCAACTGCTTGACAAACAACTCCTACCAAGTCTCCAGGAGCCGTTCCCAATCCGCACCGCATAATCCATCATCACAATGTCCAGTAACACCCGCACACACTTGACCGCGCCATCAGAGGCGACTCTGGTCGACGAGTTCGGAGCACCAGTCATGAACAAGGAATATGGTATGTCTCTTGCCAACTAACGGCCTTGATTCTACAGCGATCCAGCTTGAAGCTCGGCAAAATACCCTAAGCTGACAAGTGCACTCCCAAACAGATACGACAAGCACTAGCTCGTCGTCATCCGTAGTCAAACTCAAGAGGAAGCTCAAGCCCTCCAAGAGCTCCAAGTCCAAGCCTTCTTCGCTGCCGCCAGCCTGCAACGGCAAGGGATCAACGGCTGGTTTGGTCTTCATGTACCAGGCGCTTGCAGGTAAGAGGAAGCATTCCCACAACCCGGACGGAAGGGACAGTGGGGAAAGTGGAGTATAGTACTGACAGCTTTGGCCAAAAACGAGACTGTAATACTTCGACGGCCCCTGGAAGGGTCTGAAGTTAGGTCGAGAGCTACGACGACGGGTATTAGCGAGAAGTCTATTTTTCCTTTGCACGTCTTTTGAGATGGCTTCGACATGCCCTGAAAATTAGTCGGCAGATGTGGGTTGGCCAATCGGTATCTCATGAAGTCAGGTGCTAGTGATACGTGTCAGGTTGTCTTTCTCATCTAGCACGAAGAAAGGTTTCGGGTGGTCAGCCATGATTGGACAAGCTACTCTTGCATGGATCGGACCCCGTACCGGAGGCTGCTTGGGAGTTGCCTTGTTTCTGGATACGGCCGGTTTATATGCAATGGAAATTCCTATTCGACGTGTTGCTGGTGTATGTTACGGGTCATCAGTGTGTCTCTGGCCATAAAGGGGATTGGAAGGAAACCTCCGTGATAAAGCGGCGCCCGCTCTATACTGCAGACCTCGCAAGGGTAAGACTCCGGTGGGGGGTGGGGCAGATGCTTTTTAGATGAATCCGTCATTACTCATACAGCTACCTAATCGAATTAAATGACCATATTCGCTTGCCTCCTCAAGTTCGCGTCTTTTGTCCAATAATACAGAAAACCCGTGCCCAGCGTTACCCAGAGAGAGGCTCCAATCGAGCATCTAATCAAATACATCGGTGGCATACCGAACATTCCTCAACGCCTCCCACCACTTCTCCACGCTGCCCTCCTCGACCACGCGGCCCTCCTTCTCGTCATCCTCGCGCCTGATGCGCAAAACCACGTCTTTGACGCCTTCGCCAACCTTCCTCGAACCGCACACGAAGAGCTTCGCACCGTCTTCCCACACCTTGAGTGCGTTTTCGCGGTCTGCCCACAAGGCGTCCTGAACATATTTCGAGTTGCTGTCAGATTTCTCGGGAGTGCGGCTGTACGCCCGCTTGATGGCGACGGCACCCAATTTCTCCCAGACGGCGAGTTCCTCCGTGTAAAGGTCGTCCTTCGCTGGCTCACGGCACCCGTAGTACAACAAAGCCGGAGCGAGCTTGCGGCCGGCACCGATCATGGCAGCACGCTCTTGGATGAACCCCCTGAAGGGCGCGAGGCCGGTTCCGGCGGCGATGCAAATGACGGGCACATTTTCCAAGTCGGAGGGAAGATGGAAGGCAGCGTGAGAGGAGCGGACCGAGACGTGTAGCTTGTTGCCGACTTCGAGGCTGTTGAGGTACGAGGTGGCAACGCCCATGTGAACGCCGAGGCCCGACTTGCTGGGCTCGTTGAGCAGCGAGAAGGTCAGGGTGACGTGGTTGGGGTTCCACAGGGGCGAAGAGGAGATGGAGTACTGGCGCACCCGCATGGGCGGGAGCATGCCCAGGAAGGACACAAGTGGCAGTTTGACCGAAGGGTACTTTTCGATGAGATCGAGGATGGAGACGCGCTTGCTGGCAATTTCGTCATTGTAGGAATCGCCCGACAGCTTCATGAAGGTTTCTTGGTCCTTCTTGTCGGATGTGGCTTCTGCCAGGGCTACAATGTTCTGGTTGCCGTGTTAGCAACGAATCTCTTCATGGTTGGGGCCAAAGGGGGGCCGGGGGGAGAAAAGGGAGAGGGGATAAAGCGGGATGCTTACTCTCTTCGTTGCGGGCTGCGCTAGCTCGACGTACGCCGAGAGAATATCGTTGGCCGGTAATGGGATGCCTGTCGGCAGTGAAGTACCCTCGCCCTCAATGGTCAGGCAAGAGTCCCATGCTAACTCAAACTTGCGCATGGCGCGTAGAACGATTGGTCTGGGGTTGATGGGCAGCACGGCAAGATAGTCTCCCGATCGGTAGCTCAGGTCGGTAGGCAACTTGATCTCGACATGTCTCTTGATCGGCTCTCCGTCGGCTGTGAGGATCCGAGTGTTGACGATTTCCGCCTCTTTAACGTCCTGACGCAGGGTCGAGGAGCGCGGGGTGGAGACAGACACCTTCAACGTGACGCCCGACATGCTGTTTGTTTTCGACCGATCTGGGGACCCGTACTTCAGTTTCAAGGCGGGCCACAGCACGTCGTCCTCCCACGACTCGAAGTCGGCAAACATGTCGAAGCCACCGGCATCTGACAGGCCCATCTTGACCAGCCTGGTGGCGCCGGCTTCCTCTAGCTTGGCGTCCACGAGCTTGGGAATGCGGTAGAAGGTCGAGGCCCAATCGTGATGTCCACATCCAAAGACGGCATACGAGACTCCACTGAGCGCAGTTTTGTCCTTGATATTCTCGACCCACGACACAAAGTGTGACGCATTATCTGGGGCTTGTCCCTCGTAACTGGCCGTGATGACAACTACGGGCTGGTCGGTGGGCAGGTTGCCGTTGGCGGCATCCATGCAATCCATCGTGGTGGCCTTGAAGCCGTGCTGGGAAGCATCCGCGGCCAGGCGCTGGGCCATGGACTCGCAAGTACCGCTGTTGGACCCATACAAAACAGTCAGGGGGTGTCCGGCTGCATCTGCACTGGCGGCTTGGGGAGCCGCTTTGCCGGCTGGGTTCTCTGCTAGTGGTGTTCCCGCGAGGCGGTGCTCGAGCTGGATTGGTGTGAGGCCGTCGCGGAGGAGCGTGCGTATGTAGAAGCCCTTGGGCTTGATAGTCAGGGTCTGATTGTACATCAACTGGTAATTGGGATCATCCATGACGAAGTTGAAGTTTTGGAACAGCAAGGCCATGATGATGAGGGCCTCCTGCCATGCAAAGGGCCGGCCAATACATCCGCGGACGCCGTTACCGAAGGGCTTCCAGGCGTTCTTGGGCAGCTTCCTAAAGGGCTCGTCGAGCATGCGCTCGGGCTTGAAATCCAACGCATCGTCTCCGAAGGCGGCGGGGTCCTGGTGCGCTTTGGACAAGAGCAGGGACATGGCCTCGCCCTTATTGACGGGGTATTTTCCCGCAAGGAGCGTGTCCTCGATGGGCCGGACTTGGATCACGTTGATGGGCGAGCACAGGCGCAGGGTTTCGCGGAGAGTGGCTTCGATGTAGGGCAGCTTGCTCATGTGGTCGACCGTCACAGGCCCCTTGCCGATGACGCGATCGACCTCTTCTTGCACCTTGCGGTACTCGTCGGGATGCTTGAGCAGTTGGTAGATGGCGAATGAGAGCATGCCGGATGTCGTCTCGTGGCCGGCAATGAGAAAGGTGATGAGGTTGTCGACGATGGAAGCATCCGTCATCTTCTCGCCCGTCTTGGGGTCCCGACCCGCGAGCATGGCTGCCAAGAGATCTTTGCGGTCCGAGGGGTTGGCCTCCCGCTCGTGGAGAACGGTCGTGGCCGTCTGACGGAGGATTTCGATGTCTTGCCAATACCGAGCGTCTTGATTGCGGTAGAAGAAGGACGGCAAGGGCGGCCTGGAGATGCGTGCTCCCGACTCGGTCAGGAAGTTGGCCATGGCGTCGATGAAAGGGTGCATCTCGTTGGCGTAGTAGCTGTTGAAGCGGAAGCCCATGGCACACAGGGCCAGGGTGTCGAGGGTCAGGCGAGTGAAGTCGTCGGTGACGAGAACACGCTGGTGGGAGCCATGACGCGCCCACTTCATGACCAACTGACTCGCAATATCGTGCATCTCGTCGAACATGCCGCGAATGCTCATGGGTCCAAAGGCAGGCATGAGAACACGATGAGCGATGCCCCAGTTGGGCTCCTCGAGCATGGCCGTAAAGAGACCATCGTGCACGCCGTTGCGAATCTCGTACAAGACGCCAGTGGGTACCTTCTTGAACCGCTTCTCGTCGCACAGCTCGTCGATCAGGGCGTGGGTTGAGCAGAAGACGACGGACCGTCCTGGGAGGTGTAGGCGGTAGACCTCGCCGTACTTTTCCGCCAGACTCATGAAGGAGCCGAGCGGGAACTCTTTGTCGATGTCGCCCACGTTGCCGATGATGGGCAGGCCTGGCGGCTCGGGAATGGGGACGATCTCGGCCATCATGAGCGTTGCTGTGCTATGTCCAGTGCTGGGTGTTGTCTCGAGCATAGTACGACCTCATGGCCTGGAGACGAGTGAAAGACGGCGTCGATATTTAACTGAGTGCTTCGCAGCATCAAGTGGGCCGTGCTGCCGTGCTGTGGGCTGGCCGAGACGACGGGAGATCTCATCCCCAAGATTATTGGCTGGCCACATTACTCAGCGCCATGCGAGGCCTAGTCGTGACTCGTGTGTTTCGTCAGACGGCACGGGGAACGGAGATTGAATTTTGACTGAAAGAGCCCGCCGCCGACGACATGCATGACCCGCTCCCAACGACACGGCCTCGGAAACAGCAGAGCTTCGGTGGGTCGGAACATTTAGGCCTCGGCCTTAGAGGCCCTTTCAGGACTTACAGTAGCACTGAGAGCATCGAAGTTCACGTCACTAAAGTCAGACTTCGCATGTTGGGTAGCAAGGCTGCTTCATCCTGAAGACAACCCACTTTGTATCATCTGGAGAAGCACTTCAATGAGAAGGACTTGACGGTGGGAAAACCCAATGCACGCGCGTGAAAATGACCCGACGGGGACAAGCCTGCCATATGTTCGGGTATGGTAGGCCAAGCTTTTCAGTGTCCCTAGCAGGGCCGCTCGCAGCTGCCGCCAAAAGAGAAGCAGGGGGTTGCAGCTAATTACAGAGCCTCAAAAACAAGATTATTCAGCATTTGCGTTGCAGATGCTACTGTACAATAGTAAGGGATGGAGGTTTGAATACGTCTGTCTGCTGCATCAGCTGCTTGCTCATCTGGTCGGAGTTGACCAGATGAACGCTTCACGGCGGAACGAACCTCATTCATCGAGGAGATTCCAGAAAAATTCCGTCTGTCGTGGACAATATCCCAATGCATCATATAACCCAAAATCAAGAAAAGGTGGCTCCACTAGCCTTCAGGACCCAGCGGAGCGCCTGCTTGGCTCGGGCAAAATCATGCTACAAATCGGCGTGAGCGACCATTCCTCCGCGATAGCCGCAAAAGTCCGTCGGCAACTTCACCAGGCCATGCTTCGTTATCTTGCCATCCGGGCAACATCACCACGACCTGCCTGAAGCATCAAAGAAGAAACGGATAAAAATCCAAAAACCTAATACGTAGCCACAGAACCACCCTTGTCGCATTCGCGTGCGCATAACTATTGCCTATGGTTACATGATCAACTCACGCAGCCAGATCGGAGTTCCTTTTTAAATGACAGATCCATCCTGGACCCAAGCTTTATGATCGCAACACCCTTCATGCCTCTCACTCGACACTATTCCAGTCCTCAAGCGATGCTAAGCCGCGAAATGCTCACATGAGAACTCAACACATGGCACGGAATCTTGGTGCATCCTGCATCCGACACCTGCAAGCAGAGCTCGATGCGATTGGAAACTCCTGTTGCCGCCGGCAATCCAGATGACCCGCCATGGTTTCACTTGTTTGACAACGCCAAGGCATTTCGGTCACAACCACCCGGAAGAGCAAACCTGTGCCACGTCTTCCCTCACGTTTTCTCGGCCCCTTACAGCTCTTGTTGTGTTGACAGTATCCTTGGTCTCTTCTTCCAAATCCCGGGGTTGAGCCTTGCTCGGTCGTTGGCGACGGTGACAACTTTTCTACGTAACACGCTCTGCATTTGTTAGTCAGTGTTGTATCCAAGTGAGCATGTTTGTGGTCGACATCGGGACTTACACCACAGGATGGTTCGGCACCAGGACCAGGCATCCCAGATTAGCAAAGCCAGCCACAGGTATTTCCAGATGTCGAGTGAGCGAAGCAATGTGCTCCCCTTCGACCCTCCTGCGAGCGAACGCCAGATGCATACCTCAAGACCAGTGACGGCTGCGAGTATGCCAATGATTGGTCCCGTGTGAAATGTCAATATCTAACAACATATGACCTGGCGGCTGACCTAGGATGCTGTCTCCCTTGTCCGTACGGGGACTTGGTCAACCGGTTCTCCTCTGCCTGCTGGCTGACCTGAATCTGCCATGCACTATAACGCAGACATCCTGTTCCACTCTTCGGATATATCAACTAGCCAACTTCTCCGTGTTGACAGCGAGCTCAGCTGCTTGCGGCAGTCCTCCAATTTGAACAGCATTGCGATGGGTCCGGTGGTTGTTTCCTCCGAGTTCTTGACGTGCGCCGTATCGTCGTGTGAAGCTCGAAATCATCCGAAGGCAGGAGCCCTCTCGCTCTTTCTCGTGGCATTCGATTGTATTGACAGTCCTTCCGGTGTCGTTCGTTAGGAGCAGCATTTCATGTTGGGCGTGGGAGGCCGCGCTGTGCGGCATCTTTGGTCTACAGGACGGCAATGTGAATCCAGGAGCTGCAGTTTGAGTAGTTTCCTGCGAATGAGTCATCTGTTAGCAAACGTAAACAAATTCGAGAACTCGGACTAGTTATGCTGTGAAAGATGTGATGGTATACTCCGATTCCTCCCTCATGACACTTTCGGTTTCGCCGGCATAGGGGCTGCACCCCGCGTGGAAGCCACCATTCTATTTCCGAAAGATGACATCGAGCTGGAACTCATATGCAGCATCCACTGCCGCGCCATCTGTCTAGGATCTCAGTGAGTACTTGTTGCTGCCCAAACCCCGTGCAACGCCAGGCTCTATAACCACCGTCAGTGCGTTGAAACCGTGTATAAAAACCTACCAAATGCAAAATCTTCAAATATAAACCAGTATCGGGAAGGTTTCCGCAGGCTTAAGCCTATTCTACCGTCAGCTTCGTTTTTCCTTGCTGAATAGCTGTCGATGTCGTCCTTTTTAATGCGAGTTTCGGTAATGCAAACTCATCGATTTCGGTCGCTCGCCGCAAAGAAAACAAGCACTCTGTAAAGGTCGTTTTGTGTTGGCGCATGCTGTGTACTTGGGATCGGTCGAGTGCGAAAACTCTGGACAGGTCGATATTTATCCTGGCATGTACATGTTGGGGCTCGCGCCTTGATGGTGTTTCGAGTAAGCATCACTCCAATAGATCTGGTAATATGTAAATAATACAGTGCCGTAGTCTTGTCGGTTCGATAGTGTTATATGCCTTGGCGACGGGCGAACTAGAGCTGAAATAAACTAATAACTAACCTATGACCGCGTCATGGCACACTGCTGTGGCCATCGTAGCGGTCCATCCATCTTTGAAAGGAATAGTTTCGTTTGCCACTGGTCTTTCATTGGCTATTTTTGAGCTTCCCGTATCAGTCAATGGAAGTTCATTCTCGTATTCCCACTCCATCGTAGAGCGTGCTTTCCAAGCAATTAGAGGCGGGATTGCATGGAAGGCCTCCCCGACAAACGTAAGTCGCGCGTCTCAGATGAAGAACGTACCAGAGCTCGAGGAAAGCCTGTTTGAATGAGAAGTTACTGTATTGCTCCAGATCTCAACCCGAGCATGGGAAGAAGTCATGGTCCCCAGCTGTTTGCAGGTTTATGAGCTGGCACAGATCATTGTGTGAATTGTTTGTGCCCCCTTGCTGGAAACTAATCTGGCTGTCTTCAGTTGGCCGCTATAAAAATAGACGAGAACTAATTTCTTAATTTGCAACTATGGTAATCAGTGGCTCTTTGTGCTCGGGGTCGAACCACACAAGTACAAATTGATAGTTTCCGCATAAGTCGAAGCAATTTTAGCATAGTTGAAACAGCAGAGTTCTCGCAGTATGATGGCACATAGTCGCCAGGCCCACCTCGATGTCTCGATTTTTAGTTCAAAGAGAGGCTGTGCTGCTGGGCTTCTACTGCTGGGCTTCTACCTGTGATCTTTGCGTTGCTTCCAGGTTTGACATACCCTCGACCTCACCCCTTCACGTTCAATGGTAGTTACATTTGTAGCTACAATCTAAACAATGCTAACCAGTTCTGGTCATCTCATATATGGTGCAGCTTCTACTGCACTGCTGCATGTTGCAGTAATGCATGAAATCACCGAGCCTTTTCGAGCTCCGGAGGCCAGTGGTACCCACGGAGCGCCAATGTGGACAACCTACCCAGTTCAAGTAGAAGGAAAACGTCAATTTCGTGCGGCAGCTCATAGATTGCTAGTATATTTCCAGCCCTGTGGAGATTCCACGTCTCCAGAATGCACAGCTTACCGGTGAATATGCGAATGCCTGAAAAACGACGTTATTCATGATACAACTTAAGAAAAGCCTGTCGAATTATGCGCGAGCTGTGCTCAAAATCCTTCGATTTTTGCTCGCCTGTGGAATTTCGTAAATCCTCCTCTTTGAGCACTCTGAGCTGAACGCAGTTTGAGTGCAGATCAGCAAGGGAGACATCGTCGAACGCCTGGTCAGAGTAAGCCTGGGCAAGAACTCCTTCAACCGGCAATGGCAGATTTACCTGGTGTATCGGCTGACTCGTCTCCCACCACGGGGATCGTTGCTATTCAATTTACTTATTTTGAGAGAGGTCACACCGGCTAGAAAATGTTCAATGATATGGTTTCATGCCAGTCTATCCTCGACTCTGATTTCCCCTGTGCGAAGCCCTCTGATCTACCATAGTAGTCACTTTGGCACTTGTACCGACTTCATGACTCCATCGTCAATCATCCTTCCTTGACACTCGAGCACGGGCTGTACTTACACCGCGGCGGCATTTCTGAGTACTTCGTCTCTGCTTCTAGGAACTTCTCAGTGATGCCCCTTCAACAGCCATCGCCATTGGTACGTCCAAGCAGTCTCACTTAAATACCAGTTACCGTGGGGACTGGACACTCTTAATAATCACGGCCTCGTTGGCCGTAGGTAGCACCATATCATTGCAAGGGCAAGTGATCCCTACTTTCTTGAGGGGGCCCAAGTCGCCATGTCGAGGGCCGTATTTCTTCAATGTACCTAGGTACTTATCTACCTCGCTGGCTTTTTGCGTTTGCTCTGGAGGACCCGCTTCTCTCGCGGGGATTTTCTTTTAAGCCAGCAAGTTAAGATTGCTGATCCCGGTTCCACGATGGCTGATTCCAACAGGTTCTTGCAAATATAAATGGGCATCTCCTCTCTGGTCTGAGCTTTCTCTCCATCTCTTGATCAAACTTTCCGAATCACAACTCACCTTCAGCATCCCCAAAGCAACTTGACACGCGTGCGTGCCACTGTTCTCTTCTTGCATCTAGTCAGACTCATCTTGATCAAGATTGGCGTTCGGGGCCTTGCAAGGTCGCGTCAAAAATCATCTCGTAAGTATCACCCATCTCCTTCTTCATCTTCACTTTCATCCTAGTCTTTATTTCCATCTCCATCCTCACTTCCATCCTAATCTTCATTTCCATCTCCATGTTCATCATCGCCCTCGTGGTTCTTGTCAGTTATTTTGTCCTCGTCGGGTCACCGTGACTGACGAGTCAACTAGCACAGTCGTACCCCAACCTTTACCACACTTGTACTTCGTCATCAATCATCAAGATGTCTTCCTCCGGACTGGAGCAGGAGACCTCGGCTGTCGCCAAGAAGGTGGCCTCGCCTGCCTCGATGGACACCATCGCCGCCTATATCAATGGCCAAGCCACTTCGTCCATGGTGGCCAACTTTCCTGTCGAGATGATCTGGCGTGTCTCGGAAAATATGGACCGCACGTCCGCTCTGAACCTTGATCTGGTTTGTAAGGGTTTCCACAACTCGCTAGCCACAAAGCGAATTGAGAACGACATCAATTCTGGAGGAGCCGTGTCCCTGTACTAGGCATGCGGGACCGGCAACTTCAACATGGTCAAGCAGTGTTTCCAGATCGGCGGAGAGCATCTGGTCAATGACTACTTTGACCAGGAAAAGCTCTCCCAGAGCGTCAGGGGTTTCCGCAAGGCCGACGTGGAGATAACTCCGCTGATCATCGCCATCGACAACGGGCAGACGGACATGGTCAATTATCTGCTAGACAAGGGAGCCGATGTGAACAAGGGCTGCCCCGAAATGACCGTCGGCGTGGACAACAAGGAAGAGCCTCGCGATGAGAGATACCTCCCCTTCTACCATCTCATATTGGCTATCGGGGCTCACATCTTGTCTAAGAAGGACGGCTGCCATCTCATGGACCGCTTCATCGAGAATCCAAGCTTTGACATCGACTCGCCAGTCATGTTTGAGGAGAAAGGCAAGGGCACCACGGCCTTGAGCCTCTCTGTCCGATGGTTCGCAAATGTTAACTCCCGTCTGCCCTTCTGGGTCATCGAGAAGCTCCTGAAAGCAGGTGCCAGTGTCAGGAAGAGCTCCTGGAACTCCCCCTACAACTTCCTCAACCCCATGGAGGATATCATCATGGCGATCCAAATGTTCGCTATAGATGACCCGAGCTTGTCCTCCACCAAGTTGCTGAAGCTCTTTGACCGATTCCTACCCTTGTATCCTCTCGACCAACCCCTTAGCCCTGCCACTGACTACATTCTGCCCCACCTCCTGAGATTCAACGGGTATGGTCCCATCTTTGTCACAGTGGTGCAGAAGCTTGTCGCCGCCGGAGTGGATGTCCACACTATCTCCATCCAGAGAGGACGGACGCCGCTTCAGCATATCGCGTACACCCTCCAATGGTCACCCATCGCGTCGTGCCGCCCCATCGCCAGACAATTGGCGGCTTGCCTTTTCGCAGCCGGCGCCACCCACTGAGTTCGATGCGGACCATGCCGAGTCACAGACTACAGTCTCCAGTCACACCAGACCTGCTTGTCTTTTGAGCTTCAATTGGCAGATTACGACTTCAGCAACGCCATAAAGATGCTGAGGTTATGATAGAGAACGGTTTTCGTTTCTGAGTTCCGGACTTTTCTGCATTGATGTTCATGAGGACACGGATCATATGTGGTATGGTATTCACAACAGGAAAAACCAAGGAAAAGAAAAGCTGACATGGAACCTAGATGGAGTACACGAGGATGGCTAAAGTGGTTAGGTGGCTAGCACAGGGTGACTATTATGCAGGATTAGGTGGTTGACTCAGGATGGTTATTGGACTTGATCGTGCTGGATGGCTGCACTGAGTTCCAGGGCACTGGCAATGAGGGAAGGATTTATCCTTCTATATTTCACTTCTGACAGCAGGAAACTTTAGGGAATTGATTATATTGGCATCATAAACTAGTTTCAGAATGGACTGGCCATTGCCGATGTTGCTGTGAAAAGATTGCGACTTCGATCTGACTTGGTCCTAGTTGCTGGGCGCTTTCTATCGTAGAAGCCTCCACATTCCATGGCTGAACACAACCACATTCCAATGACCCCAAGCCCTATCCATTGCCTTTCCTTGAATGAGAGACTTGGGCGCATGACAAATTCGATTAAACGGGACAAACGTATTCTGCATTCGGAACTTGCGACAAAGGCCATGTCAACCTGGTGTCGAAACCGTCAATCGATCAAAGTACTCAAAGCACGAATAACTCGACAAAACTCCGTCACGTATCTCAACTCTTTACCAATCAAGAAAAATAAACAACCTGAATCCCGAGTTTGATATCCCTAAAGTACAACGCTCGAAGTACGAGACCCAACATGTCGTTCAGAGGAAGCCTCGACTACAGTTCGGGGGCCCCCACCCCACGGTCGCCATATCAAGCCGCCGCAGACGATGTGGCGACAGCACGTCGCTTGAGCTCTATGAGCCAAGGGAGCCGTTGCAGTTTTTCCGCGGGAGCCGACGATTTTGCTCGCCGCGGTAGTCAAGCCAGCCGAAGCAGCATTGCCTCTGGCTCTCAGTCAGGAGCAGAAAGTGGCGAAGACGGCTACTCACGCAGCAGCAGCTGTAGCAGCCGCGGAAGCATATTCTCACGCATCTCCAACAATGATCAGAGAAAATCACCCACTGACGAGGCAGATGACGAGAACGCGGGGGCAGAGACTGGATCTGGAGACGAAGAGGAAGGTTGGAGAAGCCGTCGAAGCAGCACCAGCAGCATCTTCTCCGACGTTGTCCAACAAACCGTCGAAGTCTTCGAGAACACCGGCAACTTCATAGAAGGCGGAGTCGGTACCTGGCTCGAATTCTTCGCTCGCTACGCCCTGCACTTTTTCCTCTTTTTCATCACCGTGCCTTGCCTGTACGCCTATCGACTCGCCATCGTGGATATCATGTATAATATCTCGAAAGCCCGGGACAGTGCCCAAATCCAAGTGTCAAAGCTGCGTGTCGAATACTACAAAGTCATGCACCAGACCTCGCTCATGGCGCCCATGAATCTCAACCTAACGTCCACTGTGGCGCCCTGGTATGACAGCTATACGAACATGCTCACCAACACCGACTACGAGACGTGGTTCGCCGATGCCCGTGACGCCGACGATGTTATTACGGTTATGTACAGCACTCTGCCTTCCATCGACGTCACAGGAGAAACCCTGCGCGAGCGCGCCTTCATCCAGGGGCAGATGGAAATGCGTTCCACTTTGCGCAAGCGAGCCGAGGTGCTCTTTGAGAACTTCCTCGGCACCCGCGTTACTGCCATCAACTCCATAATCAAGGAAGGTGAAGCCTTTTCGGGATATCTCCGCTGGCGGCTGCTAGGCGAGGCCAAGCCGCGCATCAATGTCAACGGGTACACGCAGCGACAGAACCAGTGGGTGACGCCCGAGGGCAAGTTCCGCAACCGGAATGCGTCGCTTTTGACTACAGCGGCATGGGAGCTAGTCGAGCGCATAGCAACTCTGCACGATGAGTTGTACGTGCACGAGAAGGGGTACGCTTACAACGGCGTGCCAATCCCCGAATTGACCAAGAATCCCGGTCTGTTGGGGAAGGCGTTTGCGCCGCTCCGGGACATTGAGGCTGCCGAGGACAACGAGTTCAAGATTATTAAGTTTCTCATGGAAAAGAGCCCCAATGCGTACATGTGGGAGAATAGACACTCGGGGGCCTTGGGAAGGCTCAAGAGAAGGCTGGCGTATCTACAGCAATCGCTCAACGAGCAGGAGTTGATGATAATGTGGATGCGCGAGAGGCTGGCTGCCGAGGCCCAGTTTCATCGGAACAGGACCACGGGGTCCACACCGGAGGACATGCCTGATCGGATCAACTGGAAGCAGCCCGTCGACGAGCTGGTCGAGACATTCACGCGACTTGGGTTCAGGACGCAGGAAAAGTATATCATTGCCAAGGAGCGGAAGGACACTCTCCAGAAGGATATCCACTCCTCTGAGAAGGAATGGGAGAAGTGGAAGTATAACAACTGTGGTGGTGTGTCTGACCCTTCCCTCGTTTTCTTCTCTTCTGTCAATTCCTTCCCTTTCCATCATCCATCACAGCAGCTAACACTGAAGAATCCAGGTACCTCCTGCTACGATACCTTCTCCACCGACAGCCTCCTCCTCGGCAACACCCAAAAGCTCTACCAAGGTCTCGACCTCTCCACCAAGCTCGGCATCCACGACCGCGCCAATCCCAAGAGGTTCCGAGCCCACAAGGCCGTATCTTCTTCCCAAGGCGAGCCCGACATCTCCTACGAGAAGATCTGCTGCGGGAGGAGTATGGACAATGAGTGGGCCGAATGCCTCAAGTACGGCTCCAAACTGGTATACCAACACCCACTCCAAGGCCACAAGTCAATTGCCAAAGAGATCGAGTCGGCCGAGGCCAGGCGGCAGGCAGTTCCGGAAATTGCAGCCAGCAAGGCTTAACATAGGGGTTCTTGTTAGATGAGGAAGTTAATACTTGCCATTCCGTTGACCGGCATTGTTTATTTAGTACTAGAATGATGAAAATGGATCGATTTTCGTCCAATTTGTATACTGCTCTTGTGGAAATACGCAATTGCACTGGCCACGGTACTTGATTCACAACGACGCGCCTGGACCCGAGTAGACGCGTGTGGACCAATCGAGTCAGTGCTTTACGCGGGGGTTACGACCAGAATAGCGCTATAACGGTGTGAATTGGTGTGAGGCAGTTACCGCTTTCAGGCGGTCAAACCCGCTATAACTTGCTAGTGCGCCAAACTCGGCCGCCTGGAGTGCCTTATAGTCAATTTATGTGATTCATGTTGCTTAACACTCAAGATTATTTTCAGATGGCTTCACCACTGTCCTTCCCCTTGCGCCTCGCTTTGCCAGTGTTCCCCATGCCTGACCCTGCAGGTCGCCACGGTCAATATTTCCATTCTTCATCCCAATCCCTCTCCACTCGCGAAGTCTTGCCCCTCCTCAGTTCAACAGAGCCATGAGGAGGCCGCAGCCCATATCCCCAACGAGCGTCCCTCTCCGCCTCCTCTCTTCGAACCTTCTTCCTCTCTGCCTTCTCCTTCTCTTTCGCCTCCCGAGTCTTCTCCTCCCGCATCGCTTCTTCGTCCCAAACCTCAAGCTGGATGATCCTGTCTCTCAACTCAGCCAAACCATCGCCAAACCTTGTTATCTCCACCAGCTCACCCGAGCCCATGGCTCTCGCACTCAACTCGACACCCGATCCCTTCGGCGCAAGCGTGGCTACCAAATCGACCAGAGTAGCAGCATTTTCCGGCACAATAGCCACATACAAGTGAGGCCACGGCGTCGATGACGGATCCCCGTGCGTCCTGCTATAGTCCAACACAGGAAAGCTGAGATGGGGGGACGAGCGCGGGCACACGTAGACTTGGGGGTATGCCGTGCCGGCGGCAGGCGACATGAAGCTTGGCTGGACTTGGGCTGGTGTGGTGTCCTTCATGAATGCGTTGGGGGCTCGACGGGGAGGGGAGATATTGGGCCGTGTACCGGTGATGTTGGAACTGGGTGGCCGTGGAGATGGAGGAAACCTGTCATTGCCGTCTTCGTCTGCTCGGTGTTCTGGCGACGTGTTGAGTTGCTTCCATCCGCGGAAATGGGCGCATGCCGCACAGGGGCATTCCTCGAGGTTGTGACGCTGAGGTCCGGACGGTCGAGGATGACGCGCGAATGCGTTTGGCCATCCTGAGAAGTTTCGCGGCGAGTCGTCCATCCTGCTGCGGATAAACTGTGGAAATTCTAATGCTTCTGGTTTTGGTGTTCTCTCTAAGATGGGGATAAAGGATATCCGTGGATCGAAAGCTACAGGCTTCTGCTGTTTCCAAAGCCTGTCCAAGCTGCCTGCTGCGTGTTGTTCAATCGCTTGTTCTGCTGCTGGCTTTTGCTTCGGCTTGGCGTTTCTCTTCGACTTTCTCTTAGCCTTCTTATAGCACTTGGGACATGGCCAGAGGAAACACATCGTTGTGGCTGTCTTATCCAATGACACCAAGGAAGAGTTGAGACCCAAGACAAATGGACACTTTAGAAGTCTGGCTTAATGCTCACCTTGATCCATATTCACCGAAGTCGAGTGAAAGGGACCATTGGTTGCTCAGATGCATATTGGCGAGACCACGCCCAAGCAACTGCTTGAACCGATTGCCCATTGAACAACAAACAACACTTCTGACCGAAACTGTAGAATATGGAGATAAGATGAACGTATTGTAGCAATTGCTTTGCTGTGATTATGTAGTAGGTCCAGGGCTTGCTTTGAAGGTCCAAGGTTCATTGCAGTCTTATCAGTTAAGCTTCACATGAAAGGTTAACATAACCTGGATAGCCTGGAAGCAGGAACAAAGCTGGAACTATGCGAGTTTGGCCGATGAAAGGTTGCTTTCAAGGGGGACAGGAAGACAGACAAAGGGCTGAGAGAGTGCGAAATGCTAGTTCCCGGCTAAGAGATGGGCATAGTCACAGCCAGGGGTGGACCAGGTACTTCAAGTGGAGGCAGTTGGCCGCTGCCGTGGCCTTCACAGCCTGGGGGTTCTAGGCAATGACATTGCAGCACACCCAACTCTAAATGCCAACACTCTGGCAACAAGGTAGTTGTTCGCAATGGTCAATAAGTGATGGACATGTTAACAGGTATGCATGTAGTCGTGCCATGACGGATGCAACTTGTCTTCTGATAGCATCTCGGAGTTTGGTTAGCTAGATTTGCCAGGATTCGAATGAAGAAGTGAATGCATGAATTGAACCAAGCTGCGCCTTTACAAATAAATTGAGATTGAAGGAGTTCACGAATGGATGACTCGCATCAAGACTGCCTAAGCCGATCACGACAACTGTAACAGACAAGGAAGGTGGGTAATGCATGTTCAAGACGACACCATCCACTTGAGCATCTTGATTTAGCGACCGTGTCCAGAAATCCGGGTAAACTTGGGGGCCGACAGATTCGCCGCAATCTCAAATGCGTGACAAACCTTAATCTTCCGTTGCGCATTAAATTCCATCTCACTCTATTGCTTTCGCAAATAATTTCCCCATACCAAAGACCACATCTCTCCCTCAAGCTCGAAGGTTCAAGCTAGTGTTGACCTTCTCGTCGCGTCTTCCTTTACCATCACTCACGTCGCACTTGCTCCTCCTCAAACTGCAGCCATGGGTCTCAGTCCGCAAATGTATGTCTGGCTCTAACCCTCTCGCAGTGTTACCTGTTCTGCGCAAAGCGACTAACAGCATCGCTTAACAGCACTAACCTGGTCATCATCCTTGGGATGATGCAGGTGTCGAAGCGTATTCCGTTTGATGATCCCAATGTTCTCAACGCTTGCCGCGCACTCTACGTTGCCAGCAACCTGCTCATCGCGATCCTGTATCTTTACACCCAGGCGCAGATCAATAAGAAGAAGGGTGCGCATCTACCACTAGACCCCCACCTGGCAATGCCTCCCACCGACCATCCACTGACAGACGCCGCACAGATATGACGACCCTGAAGTATGTCGAGCCGGCCCCCATGGGCTCCACCGAGGAGGGCAAGCTGGTCACTACCACCATCCATGCCTACGACTCTCAGCAGATTAAGGCCTCTTTCCGATCGCAGATGATGGGTGTCGCTATGATGGGATTCATGCATCTGTACATGAAATACACCAACCCCCTACTGATCCAGTCCATCATCCCCTTCAAGAGCGCTCTCGAGAGCAACCTGATCAAGATCCACGTCTTTGGCCATCCCGCGTCTGGCGACCTCAAGCGGCCCTTCAAGCAGGCTGCTGGGTTCATGAGTGGTCTTCAAGGTAGTGCCGCACAAAGCGACAAGAAGGCTGTCGAGGCTGCCGAGAGGTCCGGCCGCGGTGGTGTTAAGGACGAGTAGGTGGAGTTTGGGCAATATAGACCGGGGGTTAGCAAAATGGGGAAGAGGCCATCTCAGCAGCTGAATCACAGCTGCCAGATGGCCTTTGTATATTGTACACAACCATAATATCAGAATCAAGGAAAGCGCTATGAGGGTTACTGGCCTAGCATCTCCAACACACATCACTGGCTTTATTCTGTTTGTGACCTCTCTCCTGGTGTCCCAATCAAACTTTCTGGACAGGCCACGGTTCCACACAATAATGACAGGGAACAGTTAATTCAACCGATGCGGTTCATACTTGCCCATTTTTCACAACTGTCATTATGAGGGCTCTCTTGCATTGTCTTTGCAGATCAATGAGAGCAATGTCAAATAACCCCACAATGGGCAATTTGATCAAAGATTTTACAAGTTCAATATGTGGTGGAGCGTTGAAGAGTTTGGGGCCAAGCAAGTAGAGGCAGAATACTGCTTGGACAGCGTCAAGGAGGCTCCCTCTGTCCGAAACTATGAGGTGGCTCTGGCCGCAATGAGCTGCTTGTGAACAAAGCGGATTGCTTGGAACGTAAGTATACTGCCATGCAACTGTGATGCACCACACTGTGAATTCCTGAGCATGGCATCTGCATTTGAAGATTTCTTTCAGCCTGCGAGGTTATGTCTACGCAGAGGGGACACATGTAAGATACCTATGCTTATTCATAGGTGAGCCTAACAACGAAATGATGCTGCTTGCGTAGTCGGGCATGTTCCAATTACCATGCAGAAACATGCATGTACTTATACACCAGTGTCTGCCTTACGTACTTCAAGTATTTTGTCTGCCACATTTATGGGCATTGGTAGTTCAACCTTCAGGCATATCCAGGCTAACTTTGTACACGTCATAGAAAAGACATTCTATTTGACACATGTCGACAGTGATCAACTAGTCTCAATGCGATCAAACTCTTGGCGTTCTGTCCCCTGCAACAAAACCTCACATTTTCACTACATACTTCGATTGGTCGTAGGTTAGACCGTAACCACCCGGATTATCAGTATCACTACTTAAGCCTATAGATATGCATGGCCTGGTCATTCTAGAAGCTGTTATTGGCATTGTCGTCCCGAATTTCCAATTTGGTGCAGTGCCGAGCCACTAAGGGATTTATAGTTAAGTATCGGCCAATGAGCAGAGTCGCACACTTGCTGTTCTATAGTGTAATCATACCAACTCATCCACACGGCAGGGGCTGAGTTCTCCGCTTGACGTAGACCCGCCTTCCCAAGCGAGCAATCCACTACACATTCAGCTTCCGCAGAGATCCCTGACTAGCAGAATCCAGTCCTTAGCCCCTATCCCTGTAAGGATGTGCCACCAACCATGAAACTCAAAGAGCCAGGCCCAGGGGAGCCCAACCGCAGCTCTGATCTGCCTCAACTCCATACACTTCTCCAGGTCAATGTTCCATATTATGAAAGCCACCACCAACGTACCGAGCGCGCTCCAGAATCTGCGCGCGAGATTCTTGCGCTCTGTTTCTGAACGGCCTCGGGCGTGGATAAGGTACAGGGTCCGCGGCCAGATGAGGCTCACCATAGTGCTGAAGGTATAGAAATGAAGAAGAATGTTGCCGTTTCGGAGATAGGCAATGGAGACGATTGCGGTGACGGAGAAGAGCACGGCGGATATAAGCTTGGAAGCAAGTGGTGAATGACCTGATGTGTAGAGCTTTTGGAGCAGAGCTGCTGAGAAGACCAGCATGGATATATCGTCGCAGAATTGTGCTGTCTGGTTGAGCGTTGCATGGAAACCGACTGAAAATATCCCAACACCTAAGAGGGACCAGGACAAGATATCTAGGCCCTTGGAGGGGTGTTTTTCGTCATTCTTCCGAGGATAGCGAAGTGCAAAGTATACTATTTGTGCGTTCAGCATGTTCTATCGCTTTTCAATCCCGGAGTTTTGAAGGATCAGTCTCGGGCAACATGAGCACGTCTCTTCTCCCTCTACTCGGGTAACTAAAAACTGTGGACTAACCGTATATCAGATTTGTCGTTGTGCTTATGAACTCAGCAGCATATTGAGTAACGGCGTAGTCTTCCTCACAAAAGCTATTATCACGTTAGTGTGACAATATTCATAAACCTGTACCACCGAGTTCAAGTCGCCGAGTCACTCACTTCATAGCACTGGTTGGAGGACCCCAAAACCCCGAAAGAGCGTGTGGGTCACCAGAGTAATGATTGTGGTGGTGAGCCATAACTCCGTCTATCTCCGGTTGAGGAAACAGTCCACAGCTTGTCGCAAGAGATGTTGGAAGACGGAAAACGATGACTGATGTGTTGGTTTTCCGATAATTCAAGCTGCCGCTTTGAAGCAGAGCTTCGTCGGGTCCGGAAACAGTGGGAATAAGGGATCGATCGTGGATATCGTCTTTACCTAAGCAACGAATCTCGGCTGAGCTGTTGTTAGCGAACAGCACTATGATTTAAGTTCAGTTACACTTATCGGCAGTAGATATAAAAAGAATGACAAGACGGGAGGAAGCATAAGTACCGCTCCTAGTTTTATAGGTTCTATCGCCGCTTTCCGAGTGATCCGCGGGTGCGGCGGGGACTTGGTTGAATGGCATGCAAAAGTAATCAATCACCTGGTCCACCAACCAGAATCATATGCAATGCATCGATAATGCAAGCTTACCGATGATCCAAGTTTATGGTATTTCGGAAGTGAGCCCGTCTCCCCTTGATTTGATGAATGAAGAATATTGCCATATTTGCGTTGCTAGACTATAAGTTAGTTATATAGGGCAAACATCCCGCGTAGGTTCGATGCAACATCAAAAATAAGGTCTATCAGGTAATTCGACCAAGCAAACCTGTTTTTCATTTCATCATGTACATAGAAACATCGCATTCAGCGCTAAAGTCACGTAAGACTCAACCGAATACTCGAGCAATTCTAACTATATAGATATAATGATGATAACCACATTCGTGTATCTAAGGCTCGTTTTCTGTATTCCTTGACGTCTTTGAAATATCCGCCACTACCTTTACACATGCGCTGTACTCTCAATATCCAGGGTGAGGCCATATTGCAGCGCACGGTGCTCGGTGATATTGTCGGGCCCGTTGACTGAGACACGGGAGATCCTATCGATGAAATATTCCGACTGGTTCTCGATATCGCGCATACAACCCGGTGTATTTTAGTCAGCTTGATGCCTACCGGCGTGTGTTCGTATGGGACTTGGGTTGACAACATGACGTTCTCGCCCTTTAGGGGTAGCTGTTGGATAAGCATATGTAGCCATGATGCCTGGGGTCTATGGAAGCCTTGCAAAATGAAGTTGAGGTTATCGCATTTGTGATGGCAGCAGTATGCACCCAAAGTGTTTTGGAAGCTGAGGCTCTCGACACGAAGGGAGAAGAAGTTGGCCAACAGAGGGTTAAAGCGTGGCTCACCATCATAATTAGGTGCCAAGAACAGAGTCCTTTATAATTTTGGGGAGTGTTGTATTACGATATGCCATCTTTTGTTGACTTGCTGAGTGTGGAGGAGGGCGGCTAGGCCGACCTTGACGGGGCTGGCTTCCAGCAGTTCGGGGATGTTGAGGACTTGATCACGGGAAGCATTGTTTTATTAAAAATCTTGTACATAGAGTTGCATGTGGTAGTATATCGCAGAGTTTGGACTGGAGAGTGAAGAGATTCAGACAGTATATACATGAGCAGTTTCGGGGGCATATTCATGGGCTGATATCCTAAATGCATATCGGGAATACCGACGAGACATCTGCTGCCACTATCTGAAGTGTGGACACTCTATATGTGGTTGCTGTTACGCCGCTACAAGCCATGTTACGAGGCTGTTGTGACCAGCATCGTGCTACCCGGAACTTTAATTGGTTTGGCCCGGCACCTTGCAAATGCGTCCCCTGCTTCTACGTCACCATTCCAATCTTCAGTCCTCCAGCTTCTCTCTGCTTTTAATGTGTAGATCATAGAATCGCATCGTTCTCAGTTCTCACTCCAAACTCATTCAGCATTGGACTGTACCATCGCATCCTGCAGCATCTCGCCATGCCACGCCCATCAACACCTCCCAGCGTTCCGGGCCCCTCCAAAGCAGTCGCATCCCCGCCAACGCCCGAGGTGACTCGTCGCATCGTGAGTCCGTCTCAACTGTATCACCCGTAGACAATGATGTCTCTTAACCACGATTCACCGGATAGGAAGAGTCCCGTCTCCGTGCCAAATCCCTTCGCGCACAACACGAAGCTGCTCAGCGACACGCTGGCGTGTCTTCCCTGAACCGCACATCCTCGGGCATCGTCGCCACCAACGATATTTCCTTCCCCCGAACTCGAAAGCGTGTATACGATGAAATTGCATCAGTCCCGGTCCGTAATACCCCAGCGACGAGTCGCGATGGGCGTGCCAATGGCGCATTGCCGGACAACCCAACAACCACGGGCGAACAGAAGGGCGACGAAGGAGCGATACGGCCTGCGCGCAAGTTCACAAAGTTTGTCGACTACGATTTTGACAAGATCACAGACACCAAAGGAGGTTTCCTCACGGCGGACGATGATCCGTTCAACAAGGCCATGAGCGGGGCTGCATCTGCGAACGCGAAAGCCGGCCCTCCCCAGGACCCAACGGAGCAGAAGCCTCAAGGCATGTCGGCCCAGGAGTGGGAGCGTTTACAGTTACTACGGAAGCTACGGAAACAGAAGGCGGGGCCGTTCCAGCCGGGGTTGAGTGTACTCACAGATGACAAGGAGAGAAAGAAGTGTCGCGAGTGCAATAGTTTAGAGATTGACTACGTCTGGGATGAAGTATTCAACTGTAGGATCTGCAACCAGTGCAAAGAGAAGCTGCCCGAGAAGTATTCTCTTTTGACCAAGACGGAAGCCAGGGAAGATTACTTGTTGACAGATCGTGAGTCTTCGCTTCCACCTACTGGCCTTCAACTGGAACAGCGCAAGACTGACATGAAGTAACAGCCGAGCTACGAGACGAAGATCTGCTCCCGCAATTATCCAGACCTAACCCTCACAAGTCCCACTGGCACGACATGATGCTGTTCCTCCGCTACCAAGTCGAAGAATATGCCTTCAGTGACAAAAAGTGGGGGTCTGCCGAGGCCCTTGACAGCGAATTTGAGCGCCGCGAGACGGAAAAAAAGCAGCGCAAGGAGAAGAAGTTCAAGGAGAAGCTGCAGGATCTCAAGAAGCGCACTTTGGCAGAATCACATCGGCGGCAGGGTACCAAAGCGGGGAAAGCCAAGTTTGGCGAGACGATAGGCAAGGGAGGAAAGCATGAGCATGAGTGGGGGCGAGTGATAGAGAATGAGGAAGGCGCTACATTGAAGACGTGCACAACGTGTGGTATGGAAGTGGAGGAGTTGGAGTTTTGATGATGCTGGAGTAGTGTGTGTTTTGACGTATGATACCCAGTGTGCTTGCTTTTAGGCGATTTGAAAGATTCCAGTTGGGCACTCTGGTTCTCTGCTTTAGTTCTTTGCTCCCAAGTCCTGCGTGGAGTGTCACCGAGATTGAAGAAAAACTTGACTGAAGTGGCCAAGGATTCGAACGTGGCCCCGAGCATGGTGACGATGGCTTGGCGATTAGAGGAGCTATTGACAGTTCATGCTTGAGGCCCCAAATGGCTTCATCTTACATGGAATACCCACCAACTCAAGCTCGTTCAATTCTCATTGACAACTTGTGGGTACATTACACTATTGAATGATGAGAATGTCGTCATTGCTGTGGTTCACCACAAGTAGTGGTCATCATAGGTAGCAAAGAGATGGGATATTTTCTTGTTCAATTCCTAGCCACATCGGTTAAGGACTTTGTACAGCTCGACCTCTTTGTCAGGGACCTCTTATTGCATATAACTGTTTACGCATTGCCCTGATATCACTCTCCGATCAGTCCAGAACCTACAAATAATCACATTCTAATAGAAAGAGCCCTGTATATTCGCATTCAACCTCATTGGCCAATATACTAGTTACACCAGCTACCGACCACAATCTAGGAAGTCCTCACACGCTTGAACTCCCAACCCCATTACCTCATCTCCAGCCCCGCAAATTATTATCCAAAGGCCAACAGCAAAACACCCTCAGGTCGTCCATAGGGCTTATCCGGAAATATAGGCCCCTTCCCATGTCCGGAAGGGCCTAGCATGGCTGCAGCAACTATTTCTGCAACCTCAATATCCCGAAAACGCCAACGAGGATGTCTCTGGGGAGTACGTAGAAGATGGATCCCTCTTTCAAACAATCCTTCATGATCTCCTGCGTCACAATGACCGCTGGATCCCTAAATGAGGATCATCCAGTTGCCAGCAACCCAACATTTCCCTTGAGGGAGTAAAGGACTCTGGCGGGCGTATGTCTCGCTCAAATTGCACATCTGCAAGTTACCATTCGTTGTGCGATTGGGTGTGTTGACAGTCAGTGACGGAGGAAGAGGTGAGGGCGTTGGCTTTGGAAGAGGACGTGGAGCAGGATATCAAAGTTGCACAGACGGAGAGTGAGGAGTGGGAAGGTGAGGTGTATGATGCGGAGTAGTATGTCAGTGTGATGCTTGAGAGAATTAGGGGGAGGAAGTTGAGGCTCGGAGGGATTTTGGATTCGGGGGAGGTGGCTTGTGACACTTAGCTAGGAGACGAAAGGTAAGGTATGTGTGTACATGAGAGCTTCTGCTTCTTTCTATACTCTACCGATCTGTACAAGAACGGAGTTAAGAAAAAAGATTGCATATTCTACATTTGTTTGCAAGGTTGGGATCCGACTTGGATTTACTATGAATAAAACCATGGTCAACGCAGCCATATTTCGGTAATGTGTTATTTGCGTTGCTCCCTCGGCTCGGTTTAGAAAGTAGCCTTCGGTGTTGAGTGGTGGGTTCTAATGTTGCCATCGCCATTCCGATCTTATCTTGCGTCATGTGCCGACTCCGCATACTCATATTGCGTACAGAACCCAATCAGCCAGCTTCCTCCCTTTGGTAACCGCTCATTATTTTAACAATTTGAGTTGTGTCAAAATAGTTGGGAAGAATTTCAACTGCATCATTGTGTGGGTTACACTTCAAAATCATACCTCGCTATGACAAGCAGCTCCAACCTCGAGATTGCCATCGTTGGCGCTGGCATTGCGGGTCTCACAGCAGCCATTGCTTTACAACATCACTCGAATATCGATGTTCAGATCTACGAGAGAGCAGAGAAACTACAAGAAATCGGGGCTTCCATTGCTCTCGGCCCTAACGGAATGAGAACATTGGACAAGCTGGGAGTCCACAATGCTCTGGATGACTCGATTGCTTTTCGGAACAAATCACGTTCGCCCATGATATACCGGTGGGGTGAATTGCTGATCTACTTGTAATTCCGTACTGACGAGACACAATAGCCACTACAAGACGAATGAGGTAGTTTCTGTTGATGAACATCAAGGCCTCGTAGAAGACTGTCACCTCACCTCGCGCTTCTATCGACCACATCTCCAACAAGCACTGGCTGTGCATGTCAACCCTAGTCGAATCCATCTCAAAAAGTCATTCGGATCGGCCAACTTCGATCATTCACTAAATAAGCTGGTTATTGCATTTGAAGACGGCACCACGGCCACAGCCGACATCCTGCTCGGCACAGACGGGATTCATTCCCCCGTCCGCCGCTTCTTCGTCCCGACTTCAATCCCCAATTGGACGGGCTGGGTTACCTTCCGCTCCGTATTCCCCATATCCCACGTATCACGCATCCCCGACCTTCCGGACGAAGCATGTCACTTCTGGGGACCCAATCGGACACTGTTCGTATCAAAGCTCGGCAAAGACTTATTCACAATCGTCGGTTCATACCAAGCAGATCCAGACGCGCCCGATGCGCCTTGGAAAGACTCAGTATGGAATGAACAAGGCGATGTTGAGGTCCTGCGGGAGTACTACCAAGATTGGAGTCCCCTGGCCCGCGCCTTGATCGACGCAACGCCGTATACGCGGATTTATCCCAACGCAGCAGCACCAGGTCTCGACTCGTGGGTTTTCGAAAACGGCAGGGTGACACTCGCAGGTGATGCGGCACACGCGCACGGTGGTGCATTTGCCGCAGGTGGGAGTTTGGCTATTGACGATGCTTGGGCCTTTGCCGCGTCGATTTTACATGTTTTTCCTGAGGGTGCCGTGGGGCTGCCCTCAGACGAGGATATTGCATTAGCCCTGAGGTCGTATGAAAACACAAGAAAGGGCCATACTGACCGCGTGCTGAAAACTGTACTTGAGGGGAATAAGAAGAAGAAGGCAATGGTTGGGAAGCCGGAAACGGATGAGGAGTTAAGGGTCAGGATGAAGAATCGTCCAGATACGGCCTGGATCCATGAGTGTGACGTGGAAGCAGCATTTAAAAAAGTGTTATCCCAAGAACTGCAGAATGGGAATGCGGAAGAACAGGCCAGGCTGTGAGCTGCTGATCTTATTCATACTTTCTGAAGTTTGAAGTCACAGTATGTATATCAATGATTAAGTACCATTCGTTTCCCTGCCAACTCCAAAGCTCAGAAACTTGACCAATTTGAAAGTGGCAACTTCCACTACCATTGTTATTGTCAGGATATTTCTAAGAGTAATTCACCTTTACATTGACGTTCAAGTCAAACACTTTGCAAGCGAACAACCAAAGCATCTTATCGTTGCAACTGCTTTGCTCTACGCACATTAGATGGACATCCAGCTCACGTGTTGATGGCCAACCCTATGGCAGCCGCTATCCAAGCCTGGTTGAAGGACGTCCAGCCGATTCGACAACCGCAGTCTCAGCGACACAAGAGATTGCGATCGCGATCGCACTCACCCTGTCCTTCACCACTGCAGTCGTTTTCATCGACCTGGGTCAGGCCCCAACCACGCCAGCAAAGAGACGCCGGCCAATGACCGATGGCGATCTCCGCGAAACAGCGCTTAGAGTCGACCCCGACGGAGAGCATACTCTTGGGGTGATCACTAAACCCGACCCACTTATCTCAAGCTCCGATACGGAGGAGGCCTTCATCGCCCTTGCACGGAATGAAGACAATTTGTTTTATAATTAGGCTGGCACATGCTTAAGAACAGAAGTTTGAGGAAGCTACAAGCTCGTTTATAGAACCTGTGACGATTATACTATCAGGGTATAAACCACAGAAGGTATAAGGGTGCCGGGTTTATGTTATCAGGGTACGTGTATAGAAGAAGATCAACTATGAAGATAGTTGATAGAAGTGCTGAACAATAGATTTCACAGGTGTACTCGTCAAAGCCTTTAGCTTAACCTATGGGTAAGAAAGGTGCTAAGATTGATCACTGGAGTAATGAGTGTCTATGTAGGAAATCCTCCTGACTATATCCAATCATTCCTTCACTTATGTTGGTCGATCCCGGAGCTGATCACCCAAAGAGACCATATGAGGTATTGGGGATGAATTATGAAGACTCCCAAGGCCTTCAAGTCTTTACTCGAAATAACACAGTTCTACAGCGAGATATTGCCCCGTTAAACCGGGGCGAAAAGGTCCCCTACGCGCCCTACATTTACAGGCATACCTGTGCCGGAGGAATAGGCGCAAGATAAAGTCTACGCCGCAGAAAGCAACTATTAGAATAGAGAACGACCAAGCGGGGCATACCTGAGCAGACCGAACGAAACACGCTGCCCTGACCGGTAAGGGCAGAAGATTCCAGGAACACAAGCCACAAGGCGGAGAAACTGCTAGATAGACGAGGTCGGTGAAAAGGTGGATCGAGGAAGTCGGCTGTAGACGGAGGTTCTCAAGTAGCACACCAGACTCTAGCCTAGCACGTCAAGTGCCCCAGGGAGGTCCACGGGCCTCGTGATACGAGCCCACCACGACGTTAAATACAGCTACTACTACTGATGTCGGTCGTCCGACCATAGGAGACACATTCCTGTCGTTCCTTTGTCCAGGACCGATGGGAGCGATGGGCTCCTGCTCGCGCGGCGCGCGAGTTATCACTTACGTAAATACTCTCTAAGCGCTAAACGCAGCCACGCGAGGTGAGCAGACGAGAGCGTTCTCACATATTCTATCTAGTCTACTGCCAAGATCAGTTTCATCCTTTGGCGGGGACCAGCGCAGTATTTTGCAGCATCTTTCTATTTGGGTACAGTCTTCTAGTATGCTGAATAAGGTGTAGGATTTGATGATTGCCCCTATTGACACCGTGGCGGGTACAGCAGCAACGTCTCACTCGAGCCTAGCGCATTGCGCACTCGAAATCCGCCCTCCGACCTGGAATCTCGGTTTTATGCATCTGCCAGCATCCACGGCCATGGACCCGGCAGCCGCTGTGAAGCTCCTGGTCCTACTTGGCGCTGCGATTCTGTTCTACTTGTGGCTCAAGTATAGGAATAGGTCTGACACCAGAGCGGTGCCTGCTTTCGGACCTCAGGACGTGTATGATCAACGGCAGCAAGCAAGCAGTAAACTAGTCCGCGCACCACAGTCAAACAATAAACGCGGTATACTGATTTAGAACAGATATCTCACAATCGACCGCTGCTTGAGGTCTTGTATCCCGAGCTGAATAACGCAGCGGCCAAGAATATTGAAGTGGAGCAGGTCTTTCCCCCAACCGTCACGGCCCCCTCCATCTGATTGCTAATTCCGCCAGCATCATCGCAGTCCACGGTCTCGGGGCTAATGTGGATTGGTCGTGAACGTGGAAAGACGGAGCCAAACCTGTTCATTGGCTGAAGGATCCGGAAATGCTTCCTCAGGTCGTGCCGAACGCCCAGATTATGGTATACAAGTACGACCCGACATGGCACGCGAATGCTCTGAAGACTCGCCTCTCTCTTTGTGGTAGGGATCTGGTAGATAGCCTGCGTAGCCTTCGCAAGACGACCGATCGTCCGATAGTTTTTATCGGGCATAGCCTGGGCGGCAATGTTATCCCACAAGGACTGTTCCGTCTTCTGGGTCCCGGCCGTGGACGCCATCAGCTTTGAGAATGCCTATCGCGAAGTCGGTCAAGCTCTCGGTGTCAGACTCGAAGATGACAAAGCAGACGTCAAGCTGCTTGTGAAAGCCGCCCTCGAATACGAGAGAATCGGCAGCTGGCTTTTGGTCGTCGATAACGCCGATGATTTGAAGCTAGTAACGGAACTCTCCAAATATCTCCCATCTAGCCGGAAGGGTTCCGTGCTATTCACGACCAGGAACCACGCCACGGTATTGAGGCTTGACAGCCAGCCAGAGAGTGTTGAAAAGATCAGGGAAATGAGCCGACATGAGGCTCTCAATTTGTTGAAAAAGAACGCGGGGGAAAGCCTGTGTCGTGACTCTGTAAGCACGGAAACGTTGCTCGACTTCCTCGCGGATTTTCCTCTGGCTATTAGTCAAGCATCTACATACATGTTCCAGAGCGGGACGTCAACCAAACTGTATCTCGCTTACTACCAGTCGAGTGACGAGACTAAGGTCAGACTGCTTAGCAAGGACTTCCAGGATCGCGGACGTTATGAGTTGACGAAGAACCCAGTAGCGACAACTTGGCTAATTTTGTTCGATCACATTACACGGGATCAGCCACTTGCTGCGGAGTACCTGAGGTTTATGTGTTTTCTCGCAGAAAAAGATATCCCAAAATTGTTACTTCCCCCAAGTGGGGTTGATCTTGAAGAAGAAGCTATCGGCACCCTAAAGGGGTATGCATTTATTACCCAACGGGACCACCCTAATTCGTATGATATGCATCGGCTCGTTCGATTAGCTACGCGTAAGTGGATACGGCTAGAAGGGGAGTGGGAAAATGGACTACGAAGATGATATACCGACTATCAAGGGTGTACCTTTTCCCCGAGCACGAGAACAGAGAGATCTGGATAGGGTATTTGGCGAATGGGCAGTATGTACTAGAGCTCCGAGAGGACTGTTCTAATGGGATATATAAGGCCACTCTTCTACATAATATTGGGGAGAGTAAAAGTATCCTTGGGAAGTACGACGAGGCCGAGCAGATATATCGGCAGGCCATCTAGCTAAGGAAGAAGGTACTAGGCGGCGAGCATCCGGACATACTTCACAGTATAAACAACCTCGCAAATATACTCGACAGCCAGGGGAAGTACGAAGAGGCCGAGAGGAAGTATCGGCAGACCCTCGAGCTAAGGGAGAAGGTACTAGGCCGCGAGCATCCCGGCACACTTGACAGTATAAACAACCTCGCAAACGTACTAGATAGCCAGGGGAAGTACAAGGAGTCCGAGAAGACGCATCGACAGACTCCCGAGCTAAGGGAGAAGGTACTAGGCCGTGAGCATCCCGACACACTTAAAAGTATGAACAACCTCGCAAACGTACTAGACAGCCAGGGCAAGTACGAGGAGGCCGAGGAGGCCGAGCAGACCCTCGAGCTAGATCGTGAGCATCCGACACACTTAGTAGTATGGATGCTGGTCTTCGGGGCTGCTCGGTCTCTACTACTCGTCACTCGCCCGATCTGCTAGCATAAGGGAACTGGGTGTTTCTTAGAGTGGTGATATCTGGTCGCCATGAGCGCGTAGCGGTCTAAAGGTCTTTCATGATTCAGTCAGCCTTCGTTCCATGTATAAGAGAAGTGGCAGTCTGCACCATCTCCGATCGGCCAACAAGTTCATAACATGCCACCCGAAGAATAAATTGATCCGACCCCACACTTCATCGAGTTCTGTGAGATGTGCGGCATTGTTGTCTCCTCTATGTACAGTTTTCACGGGCTCCACTGATGAGGTACTGATCTGATTAACATGCTCGTCTTGGACGTGATCTGGATTCCACTAATGCGGTATAGGAATGTGAGTAGCGGTAACCCACGAATAAGCACAGAAATATATCCCGCAACCTGTGGCACAATCTGAACAAGTTCGGTTGAACATGTGAAAGGCAGGGCAAGCCCTACAATGAGGCAAGTTAACGGTGAGCCGGCCAGACGGCACACCCCATAGACTTCAGTACTATCTTGTTCAAGTGGTTCTCGGGTCTGGAATGCAACGATATGGCAACTGAGAAGTCCGCACCAATGGTATGCCGACCTTCGCCTTCTCGCATTCTCAGGTTTTACGCATCCCATCTCAACCATAATATTTAGAGTTATCAAGCTGTATTCGTTGGCGAGCTCATATAACTGGGAACGTAGATGATTGTAACAACACCACCAGTGATAAGCGTTGAACGAGGACCAAACACACACAACGCTACTCTCCGTGTTTGGAGACAAGTCAGAAAAGTTCGGTGCCAACTGAACATTTGCATAGTTTCATTCCCGATGAGCTGCGTGCCTCAGCGTAAGTAAGGAAATGAAAGCGTATATTGTACACGCGAGCGCCGATACGACATGGACAAGTATATCTCATGTTCTGATCAATGCACGCCAGCTCTGAGCTCGACTAGACTTGCTAAGTACCAAATACGGCTGTAATAAAACCTTTTGTCACAACTTCCTAGAGGTCCCCCATATTGTATTCCAGATACGTGACGTCCGAGACTCGGCGCGTGTAGCCAGACTGAGGGCAGTGAGCAACAGTAGACGACCGTCCAGCACACTTGTGACCATCCTCACCACGCTAGCTGACGGAGCCGCATAACACGATCACCGGTCATTCCTTGCACAAACGCAGAAACCCTGCTCTCCCGCAACCCCGACCAAAGCTGCAGACAGTACTAAAGCCAAAAGGCATGAGCATTTTGCGAACCAGTCATTTATGCCTCGAGGGCAGCCTTCTTCTTCTTCTGCTCCACCTTCAGTAGCAGAGCACGGTTGATGTGGGGGAGCACACCACCGAAAGCGATGGTGGCACGGATGAGGGTGTCTAATTCTTCATCACCGCGGATGGCAAGCTGCAGATGACGTGGCGTAATACGCTTGACCTTGAGGTCCTTGGCAGCGTTCTATATGGAAGGGTCAGCAATGCTGAAGTCATATCACGAATCTCGAGGTAGTACGCGGGGTAGCTCTGGGGGAGCGTGTGGGGGCTCCAATGTTGGAGACAAAGCGGTGACGAGGCTCGAGGGACAGGAAATAATGACTCACGCCTGCGAGTTCGAGGACTTCGGCGGTCAGGTACTCGAGCACAGCAGTGACATAGACGGCAGCCTTGGCACCAACGCGCATCTTGTTCTGTGTGTTCTGTTTCAAGAAACGCTTAACACGACCGCACGGGAACTGTCAGAGATTTAATGTCAGAAATGTGTCCATTCGGCAGCACGGCATAGATGATTGATGATAGGAGGACCAAGTGCACGGATTCGAGGCCGTCGTTGCGGCTCGAAAGCGCTGGCGCAATCCGTGCTCGACGTCGCGGGACAAGGTTTGATGATAGACGGGTGTTGCGTAAGCCAGCGCCGTCGCGCTGAAGAGCGGGTGTGGTGCACGGCCAAGATTGCCCTCGCCAGTCATGAATAGCCAATTGACGAGTTTTCTGACAGGATATAGAACGTGCTGTCGAGAAGCGAGGGGCGTTTGATCGAGATGTTGGGGGCTCGCGAAATCGGAAAAGGCGATCGAACGTGTCCGAATACATCGAAACCGCGTAGATGCATCACGAAGACAGCTTTTTGCTTACCTGGAGACCGGCACGGGCAGAGTGGCTCTGCTGCTTCTTAGGACCCTCGACCGCCGACGTCTTTCCGCCAGAGCTCTTTCCACCGGAAGATTTGCCTTTTCCACCAGCCATTGTGGAAATCGATGCGCGCAAGGTCGATGTTAGGAAATGCTCGGTGGTTGGGTATGAATTTTTCGATGCAAACGGACGTTGAACGGGTTCGCGACGCGTTGAGGGAGATGGCAAGGGTGGAGAAAATGTTTGTTGTTGTGATCGGGAAGGCTTTCGAGGTCGTAGGAAAATCGAGAGGCGGCGCAAAAACGTTGCGTTGTGTTGCACAAGCCGTATTGGACCGTCGTTGTTTTGAACCGCCCTCCAAAGCGAACGCTCCTAGGCAGCTTCCAGGCGACCACACCACCGCAGCAGGCAGGAGCGACCCACGCTAGAGCTTTCCCTGGACGTCCGAGCCAGCTGTCAAGAGCTGGTGGCCACTCTAACCTTGTTTGGCAGGTTAACTACGGCAGCCGAGAACGACTCAAGCCGCAGTTTGAGGAGCATCGTGAAGGCCAGAGGCAGCGCAGAGTGAGAGCACCACGCTCAAGGCTTCTGTCCAAGAAGACTGTGGATACGCAAGAAATGGAATGGGATATGATCATGTCGTTTGTGGCACTCTTCTGGAGGCACGGGTGGGCAGAACTAGAGACGATACTGACCTTTCATCCACTTACCTATGCCTGCTTGCCCTTGAGGAGCGCAGCATCAGACGGGCGGGCGTAGCCCATCTGGTGGCACTAGGTCCAACTTGAGACCAAGTGACTGTTCGTACGGCCATGATCAATGACGGCCATCTTGTTTTCACAGCGTGACAAGATAGATATGGAAGATATGTTGATCAACAACAATAGCATAGTGGCCAACTTTGCGGCACCGAGCACCTCTGGAGTCCTAGGAATCCGCCGGTGGAATCTCGGCAGCCGATATGGGGCTGGCACACCGGGTCAGCCACAGCTGTCATCAGGGAGCAAGCCACTTCGCTGAAGGGTCGACCGCCGTCAGTTGTGGTCCTTGCTAGAACGCGGTTCGACTCAATTTACGCGTCTTTGGAGATGCGGAACCAAGTTCCATCCTGAAGTCCATCAGGCAACCAAACAACCTCTATTTTCCACGCACCAACCATCCGTCTGGTACGAAATACTCGCAAGCAGCCAAGCCTCAACAATTTATCAAAATGTCGGACTTTGAGGACGAGATGGAGATTGATGCTCCTTCCAAGGACATTGCCTTCTCCGACAACGCCGCCAAGGGCAAACGAAGTGCAGCCAACCTCCCAGTCGAAGCCGAAGACTCCCTGCCATGGGTTGAGAAGTACCGACCCTCAACACTTGACGACGTGTCAGGCCACCAAGACATCCTCGCGACCATCAACAAATTTGTTGATACCAACCGACTGCCCCACTTGCTTCTTTACGGGCCGCCTGGGACCGGCAAGACCTCGACGATATTGGCGCTTGCGCGACGCATCTATGGTGAACAAAACGTGCGCCAGATGGTGTTGGAACTCAATGCCTCAGATGACAGAGGTATCGATGTCGTGCGCGAGCAGATCAAGACGTTCGCATCTACAAAGCAAATATTCACAATCGGAGGTGGATCGCGACCGGGAGGCATGGCAACCTACAAGCTCATTATCCTAGATGAAGCCGATGCCATGACAAATACCGCGCAGATGGCGCTGCGGAGGATCATGGAGAAGTACACAGCAAACACGCGGTTCTGCATCATTGCAAACTATTCTCACAAACTGTCCCCGGCGCTGCTCTCTCGGTGCACACGATTCCGATTCAGTCCATTGAAGGAGGATGATATCAGGGTCTTGGTCGACAAAGTTGTCATGGAGGAGGACGTCAAGATCTCTGCTGAAGCAACAGACTCTCTGGTCAAGCTGAGCAAGGGTGATATGCGGAGGGCGCTTAACGTGCTCCAGGCGTGCCACGCGTCAAGTACGTGACTTCCTTTTCGTACTCCGGAAATTTGACTGACTGCTAGCTGCAGGCACGCCCCTGCAACCAAGAGACGGCCCCAAGGTGGCCGAGAAGGACATAATCCGAGACAACATCACGACAGAGACCATTTACAACTGTATCGCAGCACCCCCCCCTGAAGCCATTGAGAAGATTACACAGACACTACTCACGACCAATGATGTGACCACGTGTCTGTCGACCATCAATACTCTCAAAGTTGCCAACGGATTGGCACTGGCGGATATCATTACTGCCTTGTCAGAACAGCTCGTCACCATGGAGGTGAAGCCCGAGGCCATGATTAGGTGGCTTGATGGCCTTGCTGAGATTGAGTACAGAGTGGCTGGTGGCGGAAACGAGGCTATCCAGACCGGCGCTGTGGTTGGAGTTGTGAGGGAGGGCTGTGAGTTAACTGTATAAAGCTATCAGGGCACAACGATGCAGTACTGGTTCTTGCCGTTGGCATGAATAAGCTAAGTTATGGGAGCAATGAAATTCGGGATGATACCCTTGGTTGGTTGGCCTTTTGGAGGGCAGTGTTTGCCCAAGGTACGTGGTTGCCGATGGGTACGAATGAACATTTAAAGGCTATAATCTTCATAGACTTTCAGAGCTAAGAAGTGTCAGAACTTTCTAGCAAGGCTTACAATTTAGGTTTGTAGATGGATCGCTTCTTATCTAACTGCGGTTGCTGCGTACGCAAGCTGCGGGTAAGCCGCCGTGTTAGATGTTGGCACAGGATGTGTTCACGAGCTCATCAGCGCATTTCCAAAAGATAAATAGCATAAAAAGCTCCAATAAATGAAGTCTGAATGTGCCTGATATCGTTTGAACACATGCGGTTCCGCGTTAATACATCTCCCAGTAAGCCACTCAACTTGTTCCCTGGCTGCAGGCCTTTCGATAATTCGCTAGCACATGGCATACGATCAATGTTATTACGTATCATCTTTCAGGAGGTTGTGATACAACAAATTCTCAAAACTCGTTCAATTATCTCTCAACTTCTATCATATTGCATAGTTACAACGAAGCGTAGCAAACCAGGGAATGTCTTGTGATGCATATAAGCGGATGTCATATCAAAGCATTGTACGGCCCTCTACCACCGGATATACCACTACGCAAATAACCTTCCCTCTCGCGCATATCAATCCATCTGCAGACGAGTCGGGGGGTTCAGGTAGGCCTCATTTCGAGGCAACGTCAATCCGCTGCTCAGTACCTCGGGTCCGCGGCCACTCACCTACTCGCGAAGAGCTCGAAGTGCGAACAGGCCCAACCAGACCACAGTATGCGCAGTTCTCGCAGTTTTTTCGGACTCGGTTGGGTCCTGTATTTACGAGTTTTTTCGACAAGCTCCGGTAGCTTATGCCCCGCGGTAGTCCCCACACTAACCCGCGGCCCCTTTTCAAGGTACTTGGGGCGCGTTCGGCACATCCATTAGGCAGTGTGGGTGGCAGTATAGGAACTCGAGACCCCGAGCACAATCCGCACAGATTACTTGCTTGCGAGGCCCAATCGCATGAACTAACCTCGTGAAGCAGAGAGTGATAGCAATGACTCAAACATGGCGACTCTCAACACCCTTCTCTGTGCTGTATGGATAGTATTGTAGGTCGCAAGATCTGCCTTGGCAGGAAGAGTGCCGAGTGTTGTGGTAGGTAGGGTGTTAGGTAGACTGACCATGGTTAGTGTAGCCTGCGCCGGGTAAGCACACGGAGATTCTACTGAGATAAGGGGTTTCTTTCGCAAGAAGCCCTACTACAGGGTCTCCCTGCCTGGACATGAAAACACCAGTATAGGAACCGAGTGCTGTATTAGATTCGGACCAATTGGTACGATCCCAAACACCGTGAGTGCTATCAAATACATTGTTCCCAAGGGAAGAGAAACACCATACTGCAAGTACTTGAAGTTCATGATCTGAGACTAGTATGTATGCTTGTGTGTTATTGCAAGGTTGGAAATCGGCAAGGCTCGAGCTCCATGGGTTTCACACCTCGTAGTATCCGATACAACGCAGATAGGAAAGAACTGATTTTAGTTTTAACTAATTTTGTATCGTAGAGTATGCTCAAGCTTGCACGTGCAAAACTTTGGCTGCCGCTCACTGTACTGGCGCTCGGCAGGTATGTGCGTGCAACTACCCGCAATTCCATTGCTCTGCTTGTCTTTGAGGCAATTACGTTGCGCAATTATGCGCGATGTTAGTTGCCATTATTTGCAAACATCAATCGATAGAATATCCGCGACTTGACTCGGTTCATATGTGTGGCGCTGAAATCGGGCTCTTCTATATTATTATACCTACGGCACCGGTTGATTCCGCCTCCAGTTGCTCATCACAAAGTGAAACAGGTTTATAATCCGGAACTCTACTACTTACTTGACATACGAAACCCGTTCGCCCTCTACCTTATTTCGATGGCTACTGGGTAGATCTCAGAGCTCTCCAACCCCTCTAACAGTGCTTCCTCATCCCTGCGGGACAGAGACGAAATTATAGGCCCTTGAACGTCCATAACACGGCATCGATATGGTGCAAGCTAGTGAACGGACTACTGATCACGGCAACATTATTATCTTCGAATTATCCTCAGTCAACCTAAACATGTAGTTCTGCCTCTTAGCTCAGTAGGCGCGCAACCATTGATGAGAGGGGATTGCTGTGGAGTTGCAGTCCCTATAGTCGAGTATGAGTGTGTCAGCGTCTTGGAACATGCTATGATTGTGTGCGACCTCAATAACAGCGACACAAACGGGGCAATAATTTTTGGCGAATGTCTTAGCTAGTTTGTATAGACGTCGCCCATCATGTCTCCCAGAACTTTAGCTGATTGCATACCTAAAATATCGCGATCGATGACCAGCCCTAGGACGTGCAAAGTCCACCATGGTACCGAATTCCTCCACCAGAGCCAACCTGTTTCCAGGAGGACTCAAGCGATGTGCAGTCCACCTTATTCGAGTATATATACCCTGCCTTCTGCGGTGCCATGTCAATGTCTTTATAGAACGGCTCGTATCTCGGCAATACGTTTAACTTGACCCTGCCGCCTGCTGATTATGTTTATGATGCTCCTGATAGTCGCTTTGATTAGAAAAAGACACCACCGCCCAATCCGGGCATGTACCGCCGAACCAGTACGGCAACCCCCGGACCTTCGAGTTCAACTTCGTACCCCTAAACATTGAAACTTGCTGGCTTAGTTGCGATGCTGCCTTCCAGTTGTTCTCTCGGGGCAAATGTAAGCTTCTAAAATCTGGTGGAAGAATTACCCACTATTCCAAATTTCAGGCGGACATACTGACAAGCAAGGTTATGCCATGGTGAGCTGCCCTCGTGAATAGAATTCTTACAAGAAACCACAGACCCCCATAGGGAGCCTCAACATCAACTACGACTCTATTAACCACCAGATCTACACTCCTGACCCGCCCGAGACTCTCTGCAACAACATCGACAGAGTTTACTAGAACCTCCTAAACGTGTACAAAATTCTATCCCCAGGGACCGCAATCGATGTTATCGAAGACTTCTGTTCCAAGATGTACATTAACGTCACCAAACCGCCACGAGTATAAAGTGTGCAGGCCCGGGGCTATCTGGACTATAACTCCAGCTTCCCCGAGCGCTGGTTCAAGGTCTAGGAGCCGGGTACCACCAACATCTCCATTTATATCATTGTCACCTTTGCTGACTTGCTGGAGCTGTCGTAGACTGCAGGGTGAAATATGAACAAAGATGTGGGCTTTAATACCGCGGAGGATTATGGGATTATGTGTAGAAGAGGCTGAAGAATAATGTTGATTGGTACTAGTCTCCCCAAGAATAAGTCTACTTTCTATGTCTTGGTATTTGATGGGTGATATGCGTGAATCAGGCCGACCTCTCATTGCTTATGTATTGGTGGCAATGGGTAGGTTGGGCAGGGTGGTTATACGATTAAGCATGACGCGATGCATGGGTTTGCTGTCTATCAGACCTATGCCTACGACACTTTTGGCGCCGTGTTGGTTTGATAACAACGGTATGAAAAATGTGATACCCGGCAGGTGTGACAACATCGCCGCGAGTGGTGAGGAGCACTGAATAATGATTAGCCAGCTGGTCAGCAAATAGATGGGGTCAAGCAGCGAGTAGGCAACGTCAGTCATCAATTTATGCAGTCGGTCAGCAATAAAATGAGGATGTTACAACCTTCAGAAGTTCGTAACTTGGAAATACTGATAGTGGCCTGCCAATCCTCGAAATCAAGCCGTACTAACGACCTTTGTTGTCCACTCTTTATTCCATCACTGGCGTGCTGTCTATCTGTTCTACAGGAACCGACATGCTCGCCGAGATAGTTGAGCCAGCTCAGAGATATCGCAAGGAATATATACTTGGATATACTAGCAGGGGAGGTCGCGAGTAGCGCCTCTTATAATTGGTCAGCAATGCCTCGGCGGCCCTTTCCGGCTACTTCACCCGACTTGATGGGCGATCGAAAGAACCTCGTATCGAACCATGGGGCTAACGCAGTTGGTTCACTCCCATGTGCTGGCATGCTGTCCAACTGCCTATTCCGTGAAAGCGTGTGCCAAGCTATACGAGCCCAGGGTTCGAGGGCATCAGGGTTTATGCTGACTCTTTCGATGCGTAGATGTGATATCGGCCTCCTACACTTTGTTGGTCATGCCACCCACTCCGCTAGGATCGGCCGAAATCTAGGAGCTTAGATTAAGGTTAAATGTGTTCGTTTCTAGAGGAAATATGTCAAAACTTCCATTCCAGTTCACTATGCGTGCCACAATACAGATGAACTCATGATGCTACTAACTCCGTAATCATAAATGAATATGCGCCGCCTACAATGTAGAAATACCCAGACGAGACGAGATTTCGAATCAGCCTTATTGAGTCCCCCTTGTCATAATTTCCCTAGTATCTTCATCAGTTGACTTATCTTGCGTCTGCGCTACAAGCATCTGCAATTGGACTTCCTGGGAACTTATCAGCCTAGTTAGCACGCCCCGCAATTCACTGTTGCTTGCTGCTGCAGTAATTCGATAGCGTCGTCGTCGTGTGTTCTCCGCATCCTAGATGTGGCTTTTCCACTCACTCTACTTGCGACAACTCTTTTCGAAGCCGGAGGGTTTTAAAGTCGTTTCGTAGGACTGCGGCGTTGCGGCTAGTCACAAAAGTTTATGAATATTATCGTGCTCTCAGCCTAGAAAGGCATCGGATGATGTCCTGATTCGACTCTCGGTCACCAACAACGCCGTACAACGTCTGCTGTTTGTTGACTTTATCTTGGAAAGCGACCCATTCCATACCATGCACAAACAACACATGTCATCATGTGAAGGAGCACCTTGTCAGCTATGCTTGAGATCCAGTAAGTTGTCAGATCGGGGTGACATCGTTCGCCCTTCGCCCCCTGGAGGCAATCGCCAATCAAACATACAGCCCTGCATTCTCTTGGTGCTGCGATACGAAAATAGGCACTGTAGCGGCGCTTTGCTCTTGTGACGCATCTCTCTTCTGGGAAGCTGCGATATTTATCTGACATCTCTCATATGGATATATGTACCACTAAGGCCGCCGTTCGTGGAATCATGTCTCGTTCGCACCGTTGACCGCACAAGTCTCATCACCTTTACTCTCGTTAAACAAAACCACCATCCATCCCCTCCTCAATGGGGCCCTTTCGTTTATGTGCCATTACAGGGGTGGCCCTAACCCTCTTTCAGGTAAAGATCTCCAACTTTTATCTCCAAGTCAGCTGTGCAAAGTATTCCCATTGTTGACCAACATTCATCGCCAGCTTTCATCGGCACAGCTCCCAGGGTCATGGGAATACAAAGGCTGCTATACCGAAGGCAGCTCCGGTCGGGCCCTGACCCACCAGGAGCCCGACAGTGCCACCCTGACCGTGGACTCGTGTGTTACCACTTGCATCGGTCTTGGCTACCGCGTCGCCGGCATGGAGTACGGCGCCCAGTGTTTTTGTGACAACTTCGTTCGCAATGGGGCCAATCTCACCGCCGACACGGATTGCAACATGGGCTGTGCCGGCGATGCATCCCAGGACTGCGGCGCGGGCAATCGGTTGAGTATTTACTCGAATGCTACCCTTGTTGTGTATGAGCCGCCGGCACCACAGAAGACGGATTTGCCAGGGGATTGGGAGTATGTGGGGTGTCTCTTGTAAGTCTCTACTTTCTGGTCAAGCGAGATGTATACTAATGAGATGCAGTGATGCGGTTGACTCGCGCACATTCCCTTGGATGGGCGAGAATATCGACAACACGACGGCAACCAGCTGCCTGTCGGCCTGTAGCAAGTTTGGATATAATGCAGGTGGCATAGAGTATGGCTACCAATGCTGTAAGTTTCAAGTCGGCCTTGATTTGCTGTGCCTTTTCGTGTCCTGAATTTAGTGTGCAGTCTGCGGAGATATCATTGATGTTGCCAACCATGGCCGGACTACCATGATGCCAGAGTCGGACTGCACCGTTGCCTGCTCTGGCGATCCACGCTATATCTGCGGTAAGTTCTCTGTCAAACTCAAGACAACATTAAGGAACAGTCATTGAACTTCAGCTCAGGAGGAGGCAACCGGATCTCCTACTACAAGTGGACTGGCGAGGACTTGACGACATGGTCGTGGGCCTCGGGCAATGCAGCAGGAAGTTACGACTTCATCATGTCGAGTCCCATCATTCCGCTGATCAGCACGGTCGGTCTCAACCAAAAGGTGGTCTTCGTGGAGAAGCACGGAACATCCAAGGAGAACAACAGCACGGGATCCTTTGAGTTTGATCCATCCTTGGCGCCCAACTACGACACTGCCTTCCGTGAGCTCCAACTCAAAACCGATGTGTTCTGCTCAGCGTCTCTTGTCCTCCCCGACAAGGCCGGCAGGCAAATCAACATAGGCGGGTGGTCAGTCGAGTCGCTCTACGGTATTCGACTCTTCACACCTGACGCCTCCCTCGGTACCGATGGAACAACTCAATGGGAAGAGAACGTCGACGAATTGGCACTGTTCGACCCTCGCTGGTATCCCACGGCGGCTACGCTCTCGAACGGATCTATCCTTATCATCGGTGGCGAGGATGGGTCAGATGGGCCCATGGTGCCCACGGCTGAGGTGCTCCCCCGACCGGCGGGCGTCACGGCATCGACGCATCTCGACTACCTCGAAAACGTCGCCAAGGTCAACTCGTACCCATTCGTCGCCGTGCTCCCTTCAGGTAACATGTTCTTCGCCCAGTACAACGAGGCCCGCATCATCTCTCAGGTCGATTTTAGCACCATCCGCATGCTACCTCAAATGCCCGGCGCCGTGAACAATCCCGACGCCGGAAGGGATTATCCCCTCCAAGGAACCATGCAAATCTTGCCTCAATATGCCCCTTACACCGAACCCTTAACCGTCTTACTGTGCGGCGGCACCACTGACGGCGCCAACTTCGGCCTCGACAACTGCATCTCCACACAGCCCGATGTTGCAGATGCAGGGTGGACCATCGAGCGCATGCCATCGACCCGCGTGGTTGTTTGCATGGTCGGCCTCCCCGACGGCCGCTACCTCATCATGAACGGTGCCTACAACGGCCGCGCAGGCTTCGGACTTGCTACCAACCCCAACAAGGGGGCTGTCTTGTATGACCCTACCAAGCCAGTCGGCACTCGCATGACCCAGCTGGCGAACAGCACGATTGCGCGGCTGTACCACTCGGAAGCCGTGCTCATGATGGACGGCCGCGTCTTGGTTTCCGGCTCAGACCCACAGGACGACATCAATCCCCAGGAACACCGCCTCGAGTACTTCAGCCCGGATTACATCCTTTCCGGCACTGCTCGACCAACCTTTTCCATCAATAACAAGGACTGGGCCTACGGCTCCACCGTGCCTTTTACCCTCACCTCCGCACCCAACGGGGCCATCAGGGTCTCTCTGATTGCAGCCGTGGGGTCCACGCACGGGAACAGCATGGGTCAGCGCACCCTGTTCCCGGCCGTGAGCTGTTCAGGGACGGCATGTACGGTTACGGCTCCGCCTAATGCGAGGGTCAGTCCGCCGGCTTGGTATATGATGTTTGTGCTCGATGGGCCGACGCCCAGTGAGGCTACTTGGGTCAGGATCGGTGGGGATCCGGCGGCCATTGGGGATTGGCCGGATCTGGAAGGATTTACTACGCCGGGGGTTTGGGGCGAACGGGTTATAAGGGGTCATGATGATCTTGCCCACTCAGAGTCGGTCGAAGTTAGATAATAATGACACAGGTGGAGCCGAGCCGGGCAGAGGTTTGTCATTCGTAATGATATGTAATAATAATATGATGACGAGTTTCGAAGGAACTCAGCATTTGGTATGTGTATTGCAAGTGCGTGATTTCATTCGCTTGTGTCGGCTACTTCGTTAAGAGAATACATCAATATGGAGGTGATTGTGGCAAGCTTTAGACCTTTGGGGACAGATCGCTTCCTCGTCATGGACGGAATTTCTCAATCATGTCGTGTTAAACAATACCACCCCCTGGTTCTGATGGTCTAGCAGATAGATGCCACGTGGAGGGTCAGGTAAACGAGATGTATCGCGCCATTCCGTATCTTTCACACCCTTCGCCATGACCTGCTATTTCATGTGCCATCGATGTTCTGATGTGACAAATTTCAGACTGATGCAGCCTTAGTCAGCCGGATATATTAACAGGCGTCGGCATGTCGGCCACCGCCCAAATGACGCTTCCTTGCTTCGATGCAACTCTGGTTAAGATTTACCCCAGATTGCAATCAATGCATAGCAGATCCTAAAGCAAGCCACCGATGCATGTACAGATGGAACTTAGCACGCGTTTCCGTATAGTAATGTGCATCCTTGATCACAGCTGTGGCCCCTGAAAAAGTCTCCGAAAGGGTTACATAAACGACACCTGTTCTGCAATGGCATACTACATGACGATGGTGAGTTTTAGCTATGGGAATCGAGTTACTTGCCGGCAGCTCGGAATAAAGCCACTGCAAGTCCCAAATTGACTTAAGCCTGTCATCAGCTCCCATCGAGCCTATGATGCAGGTGCAATATACATTCTCTGACACCTCCCTATTTACCCGCCAACGAGGCACTTTATCGGGTCAAATGTCTCTACTTGGCAACCTGAACAAGAAATAATATGCGGCACTGTTTCCCTCATAATATCTTCATATTGATTTGAAACGGAAAGGAGCTAACCTATGGCTTGGCTATGGAACATATTTCAAAGACTCAAATATGTAACTCATCGCACATCGGCATGGGTTGAGTGGAGCGCTCATCCACACCATCTGGGGAACTCAATTCGCAATGAAGCTACTCAAATATCTTGTTCTCGTCCCCTTAGTGACATTTGAGATATTGGCATCACCGTCATTAAGCCATGGCGTCGAGACTTTCAAGTACGAGATTCCCGCCAAGCGGACGATACCCGGTTCCCACATCCAACACGAGAAGCGTACCGAAGAACAGGGAAGAAGATGGGTGAAATTTTCACAAGCACAACATGATGCCAAACTGCCCATGCGCATTGGTCTGAAACAGAGAAATCTTCAGGAGGGTCATGATCTCTTGATGGACATGTACGTCCCCACTGCGACGACACTATGAACGACTAATGAGATAGCATGTGAAGATCGGACCCCAACTCAGAGAGCTATGGCAAACATCTCTCTGCGGCTCAAGTGATTGATCTGTTCGCGCCGTCTGATGACAGTGTCGATGCGGTCACCCAATGGCTAGTAACATCGGGGATCCCGCGGTTTACGATTTCGCAGTCTTCGAACAAGCAGTGGATCCAGTTCGACGCCCCCGTACGGAAGGTTGAGGAATTGCTGATGGCAGACTACCATGTCTACAAACATAGAGACACCGGGGTCAAGAATGTGGCCTGTGAAGAGTGAGCTTTGAAGGAGCTTTCAGAAGGAGGGGCCCGGCTGACTAGATGCAGATACCATGTCCCCAAAGGGGTTCAGGAGCACATTGACTACATTACACCTGGAATCAAGCTGATGGGTTTCGGGGATCCACAAGACCCTATCATGGCGAAAAGGAGTACGGGTCCGGATGGACAGGGACCGGCGCGGTTCGCTCTACCGGTGGAAACAGTGCCTGCGAATAGTCCTATCAAGTTGAACGGCGACTGCGACAGGTACATCACACCAGATTGTATCCGAAGTGAGTAGCTCCGCAAGCTTCGAGTTGCCGATCAGCACATACTGATGTCATGTTATTGGGTAGATCTCTACCAGATTCCCAACGGCACAAAAGCCCACCCCGACAATAAGATGGGAATCTTTCAGAGCCTGGGCCAGCACTATGCACAAGAAGACCTTGATACCTTTTTCTGGGCTTTCACAGAGTGATTCGTCCCTTCCAAGACGAACCCTAGGTGTCTTGCGCTAATGATATGCAGAAACATTCCCAACGGAACACACCCCGAGCTCCGGTCCATCAACGGCGGTGAAGGCCCAGCCAAGTCGATTAGCTCAGCGGGCGCCGAGTCGAATCTCGACTTTCAAATGGCTTACGGACTGATCTGGCCTCAGCAGACGGTCTTGTTTCAAGTAGACGACGAGTACTATCAATACAACCAGACGACGAGTAACACACCGTACCGTGGTTTCTTCAACAGTAAGGCTCCTAGGCTCCTCCTTTCCCCCCACACCGCCACCCCCTCCTTTACTTTTATCTTACGTCTAATACTCCATCTTCTAAAACAGACCTCTGGAATGCCCTAGACGGCTCCTACTGCCTCTCCACCTCCTTCAACGAGACGGGAAACTGCGTCCGTCCGGCGTGTCTCGACCCCTCCTACCCGAACCCGAACCCGGGCGGGTACCAGGGCGAGCTTATGTGCGGTGTCTACTCCCCCACCAACGTCATCTCCATCTCCTACAGCGGGGGTGAAATCGATCTCCCGGCCTCGTACCAACAGCGCCAATGCGCCGAGATCATGAAGTTGGGTTTGCAAGGAACGACGGTTCTGATTGCGTCGGGGGATAGCGGGGTGGCTAGTTTTAGTGGGGATCCGTTGCCGGACGGATGTGTCGGCGAAAGACACGAGGTGTTCCATCCACAGTTTGTGGCCAACTGTCCATATGTGCTTGCGGTAGGATCGACGTACCTCCCGTCCGGGAAATTTGAAGCTGCGGATGAGGTGCCAACGGAGAGATTTGCGAGTGGAGGGGGGTTCTCAAATGTGTTTGATCGGCCCGCGTGGCAGGAAAGACACGTCAAGGGGTTCCTGGCGAGTGCGAATCTGAGTTTTGAAGGATATGAGGGTGGTGGAGAGAATTACAGTAATGTTTATTCGGGAAAGGGGCGGTACAATAAGCTGGGGAGGGCGTATCCGGATGTTGCGGCGAATGGGGACAACCTTGTTATCTCACATGGAGGGGAGTTGATTCGTATTGGGGGGACGTCGGCTTCGTGTCCGTTGTTTGGGAGTATTTTGAACTTGATTAATGAGGAGAGGCTAGCAGTTGGGAAGAGCACGGTGGGGTTTGTGCATCAAGTTCTGGTGAGCTGAACTCTGATAAGGCAGAGCCTCGAAAGGCTGATGGAGGCTGACGATGCGATGTAGTATGAACATCCGGAGTTGTTTACCGACATCACCACTGGGAATAATCCGGGTTGTGGCACAAAGGGATTTCCGGCCACCAAGGGATGGGATCCTGTTTCTGGATTTGGGTAAGAGCTGCATAATTTTCAAACGCAACGGAATCTGAGACTGACATGGACAGGACTCCCGTGTACCCCAAGTTCTTAGAACTATTCATGAGTTTACCCTAGCACTCAAGAAGTGTGTCGAGAGTGGTCGTTTGCGGAGCGATGGGGTTACGGAGCATGAGGACCGGATGTATACAGAAGAGGAGAAAGATAAGTATGCCCGGCTCAGGGTTACATGAAGACGAAGCGCCTCAATAAGACATATGTACAAACGAGGAGTCTCACAACTCATCATGAGAGTGCCCCATCCCTGGTGAGCTCGAAGTCCCATCCCAGGGCGACCTCTTGCCAGACGCAATTTCCAAAACTAAAGCCTCGATGGTTTCAGGGGTGATCTCGGCTGCCGTATCGAGTGGGAAGACTTGTCCGTACATCGGATTCTGCACAGAGATTGCTGGGAATGACTCTGCTGGTATCCCCAGAGCGAGTGCCATGTCTCCATACTCATTGGCATCGACGGTGACGAAGCTAAGGTACTCCCGGTACTTCTTCGCAACTGGTCTCATCATGTTGACGTATGAGTTTTGCCGTTGAAGATCCGTAGCGAAGTAGTAAACGATAGATTTCCCGGCCTAGTTCGCTTGTCAGCACACCGGGCTTATTCCTGATCTGGGGGGGTTCTGAATACTTGGAGGTACTTCAACTCCGATCGTCGGGTGAACTCTCCAATCAGGGGTGTCATGCAGCCTCGAATGAACATGTCCAGGGATTCAATCGCCGTGAGGTCCGAGATGACGGACTGTTCATCGTCTTGATTGCTGTAGCAAACAACGGAGCTAGCACCCGTGGTTTCCAATGACCCGAATGATGCACGATCTTTCAGTGCGCGCGCGATCGTCTGGAATTGGGTCTTGATATGCTCATCTTTGGGGTTGATGTGAGCCACAATAACAGTGTCGTCGATTGACTGAAAGGCCGTAATCTTTTTGGCATTCAGTGGAGTTACTGCCGGCCGTGCAGCTCTTCTAAGAAATGAGATGATTCTAAGGCCAGTGAGTGATTGGCTCTGAGTCGGGTCATCACGCAGAGCGAACTTACGACGAAGCTGTCCTGGGCCCACGGTAAGAGATCATCTTGCCGTGACCGTCCAAGTAACGCAGCGCGGGATACGAAATGACTTCGTAGTCCTTGCATAGCTGGGTCTTGGTACTGCAGTCGACGGTGACCAAAGCCTTCTCCGATTTGGCGACTGACGTCCATTCGGACTCGAGGGCTTGACTGGAAGCTCTGAGTTCCGTTAGCAATAGACCATTAAGATGGAACGGGTGTACTCACGTTGAAGGCTATAACACGACAGTGCAGTGTAAGCATCCACGATTAAAAGAGGCACTCATCTCACATTCTCAAGCATACCTCAACAACTAGATTTGGATTAATCAATTAGCAAGGACGTCGGGCCACATGACACTGAATATTCACCTACAGGCAACCAAAACTGGGTTGTGGTCCGACACGGCTCGCAAGAAGTCCGGCTCATCTACATATTCCCAGCATCGTGCAACAGTACTTGCTGCTGCAATGATCGTAGTTGTCAGTAAACCCCTCATTTCGGATCGCAAAGGTCGAATATTTGCACATTCACAACGATATGCGTCTCCTCAGGCGGAACGTTGAGAGGAACTACCATTCGAGCTCCCCACTGGGTAACTGCAGATCAGGGGCAGTTCCGACGAGCTGCAGGGGAAACATCAGACAATAATTAGCGTGAAAACTTCAGATGGCCCGCTAAACAAGCTGAGCTGTGCTCTTGCAGAGACGAATCGCGTTTCATCTCTCACCCCGCGTCATCGGTCAACTTGGCTGTCTTTACTTTTATAGGTTCAATATGGAGATCAGCAACTCGGTCTTGTACAACTGCGATTCCATGCCCCTCTCACGATGGCGCCGTTCACAACAGTCCTCCTGTCTGCTCTCGCGATAGCGGCGACGAGCTTCGCCCACAGCCATAGCTCTGACGATGCGCAAAAGGTTCTGTCATCAGGCGACGACTGCCGTCATCCGGCATACAAGACTCACATACTTTCTAAATCGCCTCTCGTCATCTACCTGGCCAATTTCCTAACGCCCGAGGAACGAGACCATCTGACGGAAATTACGTGAGCACGAACCACACCGACCGAGCTGTCTAAAAACACGACGTCTCTGATAACTAACTCGACTAATCCCCAACAGCAAAGACACATTCACCCACTCCGCCGTAGCTGACGGCTCAGGCGCCCAAGGCCTACGTCAAACCCGCACCTCGCAATCGACCAACGTCCCTCGCGACTCCGTTGTTCGATGCATCGAGCAGCGCGCCCTTTTGTTCCAGGGTCTCGACACTCCTCGAACCCATCTCGAGCCCGTGCAGCTCGTCAAATACGGCCAGGGCGAACACTACCACTTCCACACGGATTGGTACACGAACCCAATACATGCCACCTCAGCATTGGGTGGTAACAGGCAGAGTTCCTTCTTTGCGTATGTGGCGGCGTCGGACGACGTAACCGGGGGAGGGACAAACTTTCCGTTGTTGGATGCGCCGTTGGGGGATGAGTGGTGTAAGTTTGTCGACTGTGACGAGACGTGGGAGAACGGAGTTACCTTCCGGCCTGTGGTGGGCAATGCGGTCTATTGGGAGAATTTGCACGAGGATGGCAGTGGTGACCAGAGGAATCTGCATGCTGGGTTGCCGGTGACCAGCGGCTGGAAGATTGGGATGAATATCTGGACCAGACAGGGGCCGCTGGGAGAGGATATTCGGGGGCCTGACGTATAGATGGACATGTTCCTCCCGTAGCAAGGCGTCTTGTCGCTCTCAACATCCGCCGTACAATTCCTCCCACAACTGCGTCCCTGCGTCCTCTCTGAGATCCGCCGCCAGTCCACTACCACACGGCTCATAGTTGGCCAACCAGATGGCGTCATTCTGCTGATCGAACACAACTGCACACCATGTCAGCAACTACCATCAATGAACTACAGACCCTCGTCCTCTCCCTTGAACATGAAGTATAACATACTGTAAGCGCCCCTAATAAACGTATCCCCCAAAACCCAAGTCGCAACCCCCGCATCCGCTGGCTGCACCCCCAGCGCACACTGACTCCCAAAATTAATGACAAAATCGGCATATTTCACATTAATCACCATGTTTCCCCTGTTAAACCCAAAATTCACATACCCGTCCATGTCCCGGAACCGGCAGGGAACATAGTACACCCCTTGCTCGTCAATAGTGGCGCTGAACTGCTGTGCGAGCGTCGCGACGAGGTCTGCGTCGATGTAGGAGTATGTGGAGCCCGTGTCGATGAGCATTATACGGGAGAAGTCACTGCTTGTCAGGGCCATGGTAGGTTGGCCCGGTGGGGTGAAGCCGAGGGAGGTAAGGTTCACCCAATATTGGGCTTGGTGCCATTGGTCCATTTGAGACGCTGGGGGTGGGTAGATGTCGAGGGGCTCGAGCCAGCCGGAGTACTTGTGGTAGTCAACACCGCCAAGGATGATGTCGCCTGGGATACTTATCAGCCCAGCATGGAATCAGGCCAAAGGTTGGCAGTTCAGGGGGTGCGAGTGGGAATGACCAGGACTTACTGTAGCCGCCTCCTTCGCTTCCTATTCCGAGACTGAAGATGGGGACTTGGATGTATCCTTGCGTGACCAGAAGGTCTATCAGAGTTGGATACTTGGTGTTGAACCGCTGCCCGTATCCTAGGCCCACGAGGCCGGCCCAGACGTAGTCGCTGTCGCTTGATACGCCCATTTGAAGGTCCGTCACTGGCCAATCTGTCGCAGGCCAAATCAGCATTTCGCCCCGATTTTCAATGACTGGTCAACGTATATAGACGAGGCAAATCCGGGTAAAGATTGTCTTCACCCACGTCATCTACACGGATCAAGGGAGGAGCGGAGTGAGGGGATAGCCACGTACAATCATCACCGAACCAAAGCGTATCACTAAAATACGTCCCCAGAAACCCTCCCGTGCCAAATGTGACATAATACCGAGTTGTCAGATTCCTCGCCGTGCTCGACCTGGTCGGATCATAGTGTCCTGAATCAATGCAGAAGTTCTGGTCGGCGGCTCGGTCACAGTTAGGGTTGATGAAAAGCTCAAAGGATCCTGTGTCAACTATGACTTTGATGGTTTGGCTTGGGGTGCCAATATCGACTGTAGCAAGAATGTCAGTCTGTGGTTGTTTAAGTGGGAAAAAGATGTATTGGCTTCGCACTTTCCATTATATAGACGATCCCGGCTTGGAATTCTAATAGGGGCTCCCATCCCCATCGCCGCGAGAGCGTGTCGTTTGTGGTGACGTTGATCCATTCCTGTTGGAGCGTGGACTTGATATAGCCCGGTCCTTTATTGACACCAGGACTGGCTTGGGTGCTTTGACGATCTGGTACTCGCACGATGCTGGGATGTGGACCAGGTGGGACGAAGCTTGTGAAGCAAGGTAGAGACAGTATCAGTGCCTGGATGAAACAGACGATCTTCATGTTCCCAAGGCTTTCAGAGCATCAGAATGCTCTCAGGCCCAGATTGTGGGATCAGAACGGCAGTATGGACTGCCAATGTTATGTGTACCCATTGTGGCTATTCAAGCGGGCTGAGGAAGGTTATGACAGCGCGTCGGTCAACGTGGTTGGCTGCTTCAAAGTAGGTTTATCTCTCATACTAGACTGGAGTGGCATCATCCTTACAGTATGAGTAACACCTATCTCGGAAGTCTGACGATGCACCACAAACAAGCTATGTCACAAGACCTGCACTGGTCACGATTTACCCGATCTGTGGTCACCCAAGATGTTCATGCCGCAGATTGGGCGGAACAGCATGAACAATGAAACAGGAACGGGTATTTTTTGACAAACTTGCTCTTCATTTGAGATCCAATGAGCATAAAAGGGGTGATGCCACAGCATCACAACCATTTGAGCTGTATTGCAGCGTTACGACGATTGATCGCCTGCCACACTCATGCAATATAGATGCAATATATGATCAATATTGCAGGAAGCTATAGCCGGACGATCATAGAGTAAGTAGTCACCGCCGCGGCTTTGGCGGGTGATATAAGACAAGCGACGGGTAATACGTAACTAGCGCGAGGATAAATGTAACTACTTCAACCACATATTCAAGCCACGGATCACAAGACTGCGTGGTATCGATATCAGCCCCGCAGCCAATTCGTTGGCCGTGGGAACGTGAGTATTTCCAAAAGAAATCTATAGACTATTGGGTGCTCTTGGGACTTGGACGGCAAGCAGATAGGTCCACAACCATACCACAAACCCTAGCGACATTGATCACATGTCTCTATTGCTTCGAAGCATAGCGTATTTACAGTCACAGGATGTGAACATTGCGCTAGGCTGCAAAGTTATAATATGTAGTATCCCGGGGCCACAGGCTTAATTATACTCGCTGGGACGTCTTTCTTCCAGACACGGATGTTTCGTCCTGAGGGAGAATTTGATGACCAAGGTACAATCTTCTATTTTAGATCTTAGAGAATGATTACAGCAATAAAATAACAGCACGATGAGAAAATAGTTCATCTTTTTCACACCCAACCATTCTGCCCGGAACTGAAGCCAATCCCATACCAACTGATACTTATACAGAGCAACGTTTCTTAGAGCCAGTCCGCCAACATGGTATCCCCTTCCTTGACACTTGCATACCCCAGACTGTCCCGCCACAGCTTTGCAGACTTATTTACATCCTTAGCCTCGGGCCCAACTTCTGCGAAAGCACTACCGTTTAAGTAGATCCCATTCGGGCACTCGCCCAATGTCTTGGTATCAAACGCAGCACGGACAACGTCGCCTCCAGACTTCCAAGTCGACTGGAAGTCGCCGTTGGGATTCCACCAATCTGGAAAGATGGCAACTAGCCTTAAGACCGCGGGGATGATGATTCGCATCAGGAAGTTGCCGCGGCGAGTGAGGCTGCTTGCCATGGCGCCCGGGTCAACGGCGAGGACGGAGATATGGGAGAGCTTCGGACCATTGTTGACGCGTGTTGATAGCTCGCGGCTGTCGTTTGGGTTAGCCTTGTTTCAGCTGTTTGACCCCGAGCGGCAATCCCATGACAAGGGGGATGGGATGGGGGGGGGGGGGGAGATGAACTTACTACATAAGGACTTGACACAGTTTTGAGGCACCGTATCTTCGCATGCCTGCTTCCGCATTGCCGGGGTGTTCATTCTCAGAGCTCCACTCCCCTTTCGCCAGAATATCGGTGTTTATGGGGTCGTTGAAGATTTGTTGATACTTCTCCGGCTTGTATGCGCCCCCGGTGGGCCCAATACTGTTTCTGGGGTCTGATGTACTGTAATACCAGGTTAGCATAGTCACCATTGTCGTAATCCTCGTGCATACTCATGCGACCAACTCCCCAGCACGACAATTCTCCCATGCTTCTTGTCCATGCTCTGCAGCAAAAGCAGCGCCAACAAGAAATGTGAGAGGTAGTTGCTCTGGAACGTCATATCAAACCCATCATTCGTGAAAGACTGAGTTGTGTGCTCCTGGTATCCAGCGTTCATAATCAGGGCTCGAATAGGAGGGAGTTTCCCGTCGGACACGCGCTGGTTAATGTCGTCTGCCGCCTTTCGGACGTTGTCTAATTTGGCCAGGTCAAGACCAGCAGCTCGTACGAGTGCTTGGTTGCAGCCGCTTTACTGAGCAACTTCGTCACGGCCGTGGCCGTTTCGGGCTTGCGAACCGTATAGACTCCGTAGTAGTTCTGGGCGATGTCCGGTTGATGTAGAACCCGTTCTACGATGGAAGAGCCGAGTCCACCGTTGGAGCCCGTGAGCAAGATTGTGCCTTTTGCGGGTGCCATATCTTGGATATGGACGGGTCGTCTGATTGTTCGGCGTATGAAAATATGTTATTTAGCAGGTCAGGATCTGAAGTTGAATGCGCGTTGGGACTTTTTGTAATGATGATGAATTGCAAGCCTATGGCGAACATTGACGATGGAAATATAACTACATAAGCACGGGACTGGGTCATGGTCGCAGTTTTATACGAAACCATTTCCTGACGATTGGTAACCTCTTGTTAGCCATGCTGGGTGCTACCGTTTGAGACATACTCATTACGTTAGAGCTTGACTGGGCTGCAGCCACCATGCGCAAGTAAGCAGCCCGTAACGGTATTTCTAGACACTTAAGAACCTACCGCAAGCAGGATGTAGTGCTGGTTATTCGCGCAAGAAATTGACAGCTCACCCTACTTCAGGATGGTGCAACTTTGGGCCGGTTTTAACTTCAACAGCACCGAGGGGAGTGGCCGGGCTCCCAGGGCTCATATAGCGTCCGGAGAGAACAGTTGCAGCTTCTGTCGTGCAGTAGCACACGCCACATATCCTTGCTCGTGCATTATGTCGGCAATACAGGCAGGAGGGGTTGTATGATGATGAGACTAAGTCCGAAAGAAGGGCTATCTATGGGCAATTGGCCCAAGCGCTGCAACCAGCGCACATTATGATATTGTTATTCTTTTATACTTCAGCATTGCAACCTAGCTGCTTGATGTCCGCATCCAAATCGACTGATCAGAGAATGTCGAGTGAAATACGCAATTCATATCATACGACTAGCCATAAATCGTACATATTCGTCCCTACTGCGAGGGTTTGCTAACATGTAACGATCTGTAGACACAAACATGTATATACACACAAGCTGTCCCAGGATTGCCCATGGAATTCCGGTGTCAAAGGAATGCTATGTTGACTACCTGGCTTATTCTATGTTTCCGCGAAGCCAGGAACCCGTCGAACCCGTCGAACCCGCAGTGATTACAATCGGACAAACTTTCATATGGTGGTTCTAAGTGAAACATGCCTCGAGGTTTGACAAGATGGGTAGGGGGTAATCGGGGAAGGACCGGGTCAAAAGGTTTGACCCTTGCTTCTTCATCTCGAGACCTGGACTGTTTACCTAGGTCCCTCTCATTGCAAAAATTCCCATGCGTAGTTCTATTTATTTATTACGGCCCTAAAAGTACTAAATCCATCAACTTCTGCTTCTCTATCATACGCCCAACCTCTAGGCGAACCTTTCACGAATGCATATCTCGGCAGCCAGTAAGTTCAAACCATCCGATCTTTTCACCTGACAACCACCATATTTCTGATAAAATAAGACGTGACAACGAGAAATGGCTCGCTGGAGATAGAGAAGGTGGGAGTGGAGTCCAAAATCTGACCATGAAGGGCTTATTATCAGAACTGTCAGTCATGATAAAGACAGAATTCCCAGCTGAGGTATACGTTGGAATAGGGACGACCCGGTCCCCAATGGGCCGCTGTGGAGACCACAGCGCAGAGGACCATGATTTAAACAGAGAGCAGGTGGAAACAATAGCGAAGATTATAAGGGACCGGGCAGTATTGATAGGGTTCCGATTGCCTGGATCATCGCGGTCTTCTCACCCAATTTCTGTTCCCTACAACCCCCCATGCCCCCAAATCCATAATTTTACCAGCTCTTCCAAGACAACTCAAGGTTCCCCTGTAACTTTCGTTGTATCCAGGCTACAAACACTTGCTTGCATCTATAAGGGCTAGAACCGCAGCGTGGATAAGGTAGAAGATAAAGACGAAAGTGTCGAGATTAATATGCTGGTATGTAGTAGTTTATCAGTAGAATGCGTTCAGTCCGAAGTAAGGATGACGCTTCATTTTGGTCGTAATTATGCCTTCTGACGTATTGTGTGGTGACACGACCATCTATGCTCGAAACCAACAAGCGGTTGCCCTGGCATTAAGAATAATTTCCAGGGCAAAATAATTCGATTTGGTAACCTACGGAAGGGAGTATTGTACACTTCGCGACACTAGAACGTCAGCCAACTTGCCCAATATACCATCATGCCGTTTCCGACGTTGAGATTCCTGCTCGTTGCGTTGGTTGTGGAACCCGCTATGAGCTACTACTCTTTGTCTTCTGCGACGGGAGACACGACAAATGTTGGCCCTGAAGTAGAACTCGTCCTAGGGTCCGGAGGCTTATCCACACGCGGTATAGGTTGCTGAATTGTTAAAGGAGGGACTCCAAACCTTGGGTTTCCTTTCACAAGCTTGGAATGGTATGGAGCCTCAGTCATAGTAGTGGGCTCCAATGCTGTAGACGCAGATACCTAGTTGGGCTCAGAAAAGTTTGCTACCTCCGAACAGTGGTAACTGCCTTTGTAAATGGCTTCATGATCACTATTGATGCTTGTAGCATCCCCCAGTAATCGACTTGACCTGTGCTTGATCGCTTGTTTCTGCATTGCTACATACCATAACAATCCTACGTTGCCATCTCTTCCCGAGCACAACAAAGCGTAACAAACACGTCAGGCTGTGGAGGAAGTACTCGGCATCCTTGTCGCAGAAGTCCTGATACCAGCAATGTCCGTGGCTGATGGCTTGACACAGTCGACCACCTACAATCATGAGGCCGGGTAGGTAGGTCTGATGGGCTGGTTATAGTTGATTTCTCGATTTCTCCTTGCATGAAATGACGTTGTCACTGCATCTTCTGGGTGCTAGTCGACAAGGGTACCGTGGCTGATTGCTGTCATCTCGTCCACCAAATTTGTACTTTGTATGCAGCAGGGAGATGAAGCTTGATGGCGCAAGCTTCTTCCGCGTCGAATCCGGACCTTGCTCACCAGTAGAGTACAATTCATCGTATTAGAGTGAGGCGTTCAGGCTCGTCGGCCTGTCATTGCACGGCACGAATGGCACAATTGTGACCAAATGCGACATCTTCAAGCCGAACCCCTCACGCCAATACCGCTCTTTACTTTCTTATCACAACATTACCAGCCACCTTCACCCCGCTGACGGAATCCGACGGAACCACCCACCCCAGCAGCTTCCCCCAAAGCGACCTACCCCACTACTAGCGCAGCCGTTTCATGCAATCACTTTAAGCTTTCCGTCTCAATTTGGCAATGATTGGCTGACCACTTGAACCACCCCCCTAGCGAGCCTATAAGAGAGTCCTTTTTCCCCGCCATGGCAGGGATTAAAGTTGTTATCGTTGTTATCAGATAGCTACAGCACTATGGTACTGCTCTGCTTTATCTGCGCTCACTTGCATGTCGCTGCACCGCACTTTGCGCACAAGTCCTCAGCCTGCGCCCATCATGGGTTCGTGGGAGCTGTGGGAAGTTGAAATCAATGCAGGAAGTGATCCTGGTGCAGAAGTAGACTATGGGAGCATGGAGCTTTGGGTCACATGCAGAAGCCACCACCCAGCTGCCCCGCGATGGTAGCCACAGGGAGTTCGTACCTGCTTTCCTTTCTGTTGCAACTCCATTTATCTCGTCGCCCTCGTCCGTCCCAAGCTTGTTGCTGTCTTCAGTCCTCGCTCCTTTATCTCACGATAGCAATTCTCCTACTATCCGATCTTACACCTATCGCTTCCCCCATGGTTGTGCGGAAAACCCCCTACCGACCGCCCTTCCATCCGCAGACATACACAATATGGCTCCTCATGACTTGAAAGTATTTCTAGCTCTCCTCTCGGCGACTTGCGCCTCCTCACAATCCACCGTAACTGTTTGGTCATCCTTCGCATACATTTTCCATGGCGAACGTACACCGATATGGGGCCCCGCGGCAGGCCACGCCAGTCTGACCCCGTACGGCGCCCAGCAACTCTACGCACAAGGCTCCGTGTTCAGAGACCGATACCTTTCGGCCAATACGACCCTCAGCGACGAAGAGAATGAAGTCACCAAAAGCTTTCCAATCGTTGGTGTCGAGCGAAATGCTCTCGACAATTCCCAACTGTCCATCTTCTCCACCGCGGATGACTTCGTGACGGGAGGCGCTTTGGCCTTCATGCAGGGCTTGTATCCTCCTATCACCCAAGCATTTGCTTACAATAACGGCGGTATGAACGCGTCGGTGCTTGCGAATGGTTCCTTGGTCAACTACCCACTGGAAGGTTACCAGTACCCAAACATTCAATCGATGTCTACGCTGGAGCCCAGCTCAATATGGTGAGCTCAGTTTTGCCTCAGCCCTGGTCTCACACTGCTGATTTGTGATCTAGGCTGGATGGTCATGTCACATGCACCGAGTGGTGGAAGTCTGCCAATGATTTCAAAACCAACCCGGCCAGTGCCGACTTGTATAACCAAACTTATTCGTTCTACAAAAATCTGTGGTCCACGACGTTTGCAGACACTATCCCGATGACTACCGTCACTTTGGACCATGCATACGATCTCTACGATTACGCTCGATATCAATACAATCACAACGAAACAATTCGCGAAACACTGAGCGCAGACGAATTGAACATACTCATGACGCTTGCTGGTGATCATGAGTTATCCTTGAATGGCAACCTATCTGTCTCAGGCTTGAAGGAAGGTGACATGATTCGAGCTATTGCCGGACGCACCCTCGCTGGCAAAATTATAGCTCAGTTTCAGGCCCAAATCGCTTCGGGTGGTTACTCCAACAAAATGAGCCTGATATTCGGCTCTTACGAGCCCATGCTGGCCTTCTTTGCATTATCTGATCTGTCTGACGGCCATGCATCGTCGCTGTTCACTTTGGTCCCTGAGCCTGGTTCGGCTATGGTGTTTGAACTATTCAGCGTGGGCAATGACTCGTCTTCATATCCTGTGAATGAGGATCTATGGATTCGCTTTCTCTACCGCAGTGGTACTAATGCCACAGCGCCTTTTGTGGAATATCCACTCTTCGGGCTCGGGAACTCGCAAGCCCGCATGAGATACCACCAGTTCAGAGCAAACATGCTGGACTTCGCCGTCACGGACACCGCAATTTGGTGCGACACGTGCGGTTCTGTCACTTCCTTTTGCGCAGCTCTCGAGGATATCAGCAGCAGCTCAGAGTCTTCTCAGGGGAACACAGATGTTACGGTTTCCCCCACAGTTGCTGGCGTAATAGGGGCTGTCGTGGCTATGGCCATCTTTGGACTCGTATCCGCTGCAGCTATTGTCTTTGGCGGGCTGAGGATTCGCCGTGTGGAGCCTGTACGCAAGAATAGTCTAGGGGGCTTCAAGGGAGCCGAGAAGATGGCGTCGGATCTAGACGTCGCAATTGTGAAAAGTGGAGCCAGGCACGAGCGTGTTGGCAGCTGGGAGCTTGGTGGCTCAGGAGGACCGGGACCAAATGTCGGTGCGGGCACCGCAAAGGATGGAACAACTTTTGGTGCGATTGTGACACGCCATGATGATGCCGACAGCATCATGAATCAAGCTCCCACGAAGCCGCGTGAGAGTGTGTGAAATATCTGCCTTAATATTTTCACTGCCTAAATGACCCGAGAGAAGGTGTGACATTATGCCGATGCAGTATTGGAGGACTGGTGGTTTTCTTACTGTTTACATTTCCCAAAGCTCCTGTTCTTACAGTCGTTGATACCCCGTATTAGTTACGTCGTTGAAGGAAGGACTCCTGTGGGATTGAAGATGCTTAGGTTTCGTGTCACTGTTTAGTCACACGAAATCATCCTTACTGTCACTTGATGGCCGTCAGATAACATAGAGTACATTGCCATAAACATTGTATATGCCCAACTGCTAGCGGCATGTGACAATTTACGAGTTTTCTCTATGATTTCACAGACCTAATCGTTCAGTATAGATATATGACGTATCGTTGGAGCTCCAGAACACTCATGCGTTAACTAGAAGCTATTGGTCATAATCACAGGTGACCACAATACTCTGGTTTTGACCCCAACGCCGTCTCCCAGGAGCGTTCTCCTAATTTGATTTTATGCTTGGAAACCCCTCCAGGAACACGAAGGAAGCCTGAGGAAGATATTTGGCCATGTCATCTGTGGTGATACTGAGTATATACTGGTAGTCGTTAAAATGCAAAGTTGCGTGGCGGTGGTCCTTTTAGCGTAGCGCGTCTTCTTTTATCTAAATGGCTTGATGAAGAGTACTTCATTCCTTTTATATGCTATTTGCATAATGTACTCAATCACTAGCTGAGCTGCCTCTGAAATAGCATAGCAGTCGAAAAGCTTATTCCATGACAAAGTGTTTTCTGACATCTGCTCCAAGTACGGACGATAAGATCCGCATCGTTTCTCTAGCCCGGTGTTGCGTATTTCCAAGGATATATTCGTTTGTCCTTGTCTGACAAGCCCCTTAGCTCTGTTAGCTTGAGGACAACCGATTCCTTTTCATCAGTGTGAGTAATGCCATTTACCTGTTATTAGGCCGCAGACACTGGTTGAAATTCCCTCAAAGGTTGGCGGGGCGGCGATCCATATTGCAGAAAGTGATGAAATGCAATCGAGGTGGCTGCGGCGCTGGTCGAAAACCTTGGACTATAGATGTGGTCTCAAAATAGGACGTATCAATTGGAGACGAGTCTGTTGATGTTGGTTTTGGTGGGGCCGGTGAAGATGCGAGAGAAGCATATAGTGATGCGGTGCTTATGTTTCGCTTGCTTGCTTGATTTATGCGAATAGTTAAGGATGGGGGAGATCATCGAAGGATGGTGCGGTCTAGGATATAGAGATACTATGCCAACGAGGTAACAATCTTTACTAACGTAGTCCACGGTCCAATTGCACACTTCGGCAGATTTTCGTACGCTACCACTTTGACCTGCGGTTTTTCACCACATAACTATGTTTGGTTCTTGGAATGAAAGTGATATGATTCTAGCATTACATGCGCTTCAATCTGATCCAAAATTAAGTGTACGTCGCGCTGGCCAGATCTATAACGTACCTTTTAGAACCCTTGCGTATCGACGCGACGGTAAAACCGCTCGAGCGATTACGCGATCGCCAACGCAAAAGTTGACTCCTTCCGAAGAAGAGGCAATCGTACGACATATAACCGACCGAGATTCGCGAGCATTTCCTCCCCGATTGAGTGGTGTTGAAGATATGGCCAACCGATTACTTCGAAGTCGCGACGCGGGACGCGTCGGCGTCAACTGGGCCTCGAGCTTCGTAAGACGACAACCAGACCTCCGGACGCGTTTAAATCGAAGGATCGACTATGAGAGAGTCCTCTGTGAAGACCCCGACGCGTATCGCGCGTGGTTTGACCTGGTACGGAATACAATTGCGAAATACACGATCCAGGAGGAGGATATCTACAACTTCGACGAGACCGGTTTTGTGATGGGCCAAATCTCGTCCGAAATGGTCGTGACGACTTCTGATCGGCGCGGAAGGCCTAGAGCAGCCCAGCAAGGAAATCGGGAATGGGTTACAGTTATTCAAGGCGTTGGGTCGTCCGGTTATGCCCTCCCTCCGTACATCATTTTCGCCAGCAAAACCCACCTCTCGTCATGGTACGAAAACAGCCCATTACCGCCTGATTGGGTTATCGCAGTTACTAAAAATGGCTGGACTACGAACGAGAGAGGCGAAGATTGGATAAAACACTTCGATCATCACACCAAGTCTCGTACGAAAGGTACTCATGGCCTGTTGATCCTCGACGGTCACGGAAGCCATCACTCGACCGATTTCGAGGTATATTGCAAAGCTAACAATATCGTCACGCTTTGTATGCCTCCTCATTCGTCGCATAAGCTCCAGCCTTTTGATGTTGGTTGTTTTCGCGGGTTAAAAAGAGCGTACGGAAAAGAAATCGAAGATCTCATGCGAGCACATATAAGTCATATCTCGAAAGAAGACCTTTTACCGGCGTTTTTAAACGCGTACAACGCAACTTTCACGGTTTCAAATATCCAAGGAGGTTTCCGAGGGGTAGGAATAGTTCCGTACCATGCAGATTATGTCATATCACAGCTCGATGTGAAATTACATCCGCCAACACCTCCGGGTAGCTCGGCTGGTCTTCCCGTCCCTTGGGAATCAAAGACTCCGAACAACTCAACCGAAGCCCAATCACAAACCGATTATGTGAAAAATAGGATTGTACGACATCAAAATAGCTCACCAACGTCAATTTTTGCTGGAATAGATCAGATTGCGCGAGGTACAACGAAGGTTATGCATCGGCTTGCCCTTTTAGAAGGCGAGGTCGAATCACTTCGAAAGGCAAATGAGACCTTAAATCGACGTCGCTGTGCGAAGAAAGAACAGCTAGAGAGTGGAGGGTCACTTCGTATACAAGCTGGACAGGACCTACAGTCTCAACGAGAGGTTGATGGGCAGTTACATGCCGAATTTCGTCAAATTGGTGGTCGTACGAGGCGGCGAATCGCGCGTGTACGGCGCTGTAGAATCTGCGGCGAGCCCGGACATAATGCGCGCACTTGTGGAAATGATGTAGAGACGTCTGAAGATACCGATTCTGAGTAGTTTCAATTGATGATAGGCGTTGTGGTTGAATTAACTTATACATTGTCGTATAAGGTCTGCCAAAGTGTGCAATTGGACTGTGGACTACGTTATGGGTAATATGTGCCCGCATAAGATCCTCAATTTCTTTACCGTACGCTCTTTTCAGTGCACGAAAACAGCCGATGTCGAGAGGTTGGAGCTTGGGCGACGAATGAGCAGGCATACAGAGTGTGATAATAGAGTTCTCTTTACAGTAGAGCTCGAAAGCGGTCGAGTGGTGGCTCTCGTGGCCGTCGAGAATTAAGAGGCGATAAACACCTTTCGTACGAAGCTTTGTATGTTGATCGAAATGTCGAATCCAGTCCTCGCCTCTTTCATTTGTAGTCCAGCCATTTTTCGTAACCGCGATAACCCAATCCTTTGGTAGTAGGCTATTTTCGTACCATGAAGATAGGTGAGTTTTACCAGCAAAGATGATATACGGAGGGATAGTATAGCCGTCCGATCTGACGCCCTGGATAACTGTAACCCATTCCCTATTCCCTTGCTGTACTGCTCTAGGTCTTCCACGTCGATCAGAGGTCGTTACAACTATCTCGGATGAGATTTGACCTATAAGAAACCCAGTCTCGTCAAAATTATAGATATCCTCCTCTTGAAATCCATACTTATTAATTGTATTCCGTAGTCGGCTGGTGTAGTTGGTCACTTCGCTGGTAGATAAGTCCCGATTTGAGCCTCGCCCACTTGCGTCGGTGACGAGTCGCGGGTTCGAATCCTGCAGCTGACACACAAGGGGGTTTAGTCAACCCTTACGGCGCGCTGCCCACCTTGTTGACTTCGCCTACCTAGCGATAATAGGGAGATTGGTGCAGTTTAGGATTACGAGCATCCTAGCCAGTCGACCGTCAAGCACTACGTCGGCGGAATATAACTCGACAGCCGGTCCAGAATTCGAATCGTTAATCCGGCCCCTTATCGGACCTCGCCTATCCGATAACGCTCGTCGGCGAACCCGTCCCCTCACGATAGAAGGCGCGCAGCACGCCCTCTCGCCGCGATTCTTGCGAGCGTCTAGACCACGTTACGGTCTATCCACTTGAGCGTATGGTTGAGATGTATACGCTCGACGAGAACCCCAATTAGCAGATACTACGACTTGTCGCGACAAAAAAAATAGTCGAGCATCTTCTGCACATCAGCAGCATCCCACCCCTGAGGACGAATTTAAGTGCCACGTTACCACACTTATCGGTAGTTCAGGCAGGGGTTGTAGCACAGACTTAGGGAGGGACAGGAGGTTTAGTAGTCGTTTGGCTACAAGTTTACCTGTATAACCGCCCGACGCGGCTTAAGGGCCCGCTATATCATCTATAGCCCCTTAAGGGAGTACTTGTAGAGGTACCGAGGGTTAACACCTACGGCGTATTTAATATTATTATAAATACGCCGTGAAGAATGGGAGAACTACTCGGCCCTCCTGCACATTGCCACCCCTAAGAACAATACGAACGACTTCATCGAGCCTGCACAGGATACACCGAGCTGGGTCAGACCGACCTTTGTCTACCACTGCCGCGTGATTCAGGAGGATCTGACCGCATATTTGGCGAAGGATGTTATTTCTTCGTGGAATCAGCAATGCTTGGAGGAACACGACCACTGTTTGAGCCGCGACAGCTCTGCCCTACCAGATAGAGTCCTGGATCTGGGAACCCCATGCGACCCTCATCTAAAACTGCTGGAGACACAGAATGAACCAGCGGAATACGTTTCTTTGAGCTATTGCTGGGGCACTTTGCCCAACTTCGTGACGCTGACTAGTAATATCGAAGAATTCAAAGCTGGTATTGACGAGACGACCCTGCCTGCGACACTCAAGGACACAGTGGCAGTGACCCGAGCTTTGGGGATTCGCTACCTATGGATCGATGCGATATGCATCATTCAACGTGACGCAGAGGATTGGAACAAGCAGAGCGTGAAGATGGCCAGTGTCTATGGCAATGCATACCTGACCCTCATCATCTCCCAGGCGGAGGGCGTACACGACGGATTTCTTCACAAAAGGGACAATACTACACTAGCAGTAGGCACTACCCAGAAGAAAGGACAAGATACAGAAGTGTACCTACTCCCCAGAGTGGCCACCGCCGACGAGATACTCCAGGACCTGTCGCTTACACCTGTCGGAGACAGAGGGTGGTGCGTACAAGAACGTCTGATCGCGCCTCGAAAGGTCTACTTCCACCGCGACCAAATGATTTGGGAATGCAAAGAACGCTTCTATTGCGAGACTGGAGTCGAAATGCTTGCTCCGACCGGTCAGCTGAGCTCCACGGTTCAAGATCATAGTAGTGACGACTACGACACTCAGCACATCCTCTTCGATGCTGTCGTGTCCCGGTGGAAAGAAGATAGGGGTCCGCGCTATTCCATTCGCGTCGACTCTTGGTACAACGTCGTCGAGTCCTTTGCAGCTTGTAGGCTAACGAACAACGCGGATAAGTTGCCGGCTATATCGGCCATTGCTGAGTTTTTCGTCGAGCAGCTGAAGAAGAAGGGAGAGAGCATTGAGACGGATGAGTACATCGCCGGACACTGGAAAAGCCATTTTCTCCCGTCTTTGATGTGGAGGGTGCGTAGCCATGATCCCAGTCGAGTGCCCAAGGAGGGACTTGACAATGAAGGTAAGGAGTTACCGAATCAGGAATATGTAGCACCTTCGTGCTCCTGGGCATCTGCGATACAACCCATTCAGTTCAATACCTTGGGTTGCTCTATCAATTGGCCCGGGGGTTCTGATCTGGAGGTTAGCGTTCAGCTCGCAGGTAGCGGTCCTTTCAGCAAAGTCAAAGAAGGTGGCTGGCCTCCATGAAGGTTAGGGTATTTGGAGCAACCTGCACACCAGACTCCAGTAGTGATGGGATATCGGAAATTATTCTCGATAGTGGCCATCGGCTTTGTTCAAGTGCGCCTCACGAGGGAATGGGAACTTGGAAAGGCGGTGTGTATCTGGATGACCCGAAAGTTACTAGTAACCTACTTGCGATATTCTTGTACCCCGAGATTGGTAAGAACAAGGTATCGGATCAGCCGCATGGGGTATTTTGGAATGGGCTCTTGCTCCAGAGCATTCCTGGTGGTTTCAAACGGGTTGGTACCTTTTGGCGGTGCGAATTGGAGGTTGAGTCTGTTGATGGGACGGAGTTCGAGGATATTGACCATACGAAGGACATGACGGAAATCAAGATCTTCTGATGGGAAAAGGGCGACTACGGATTTCTTACTCCAATACACGTGTTATGTTTACCCCGAGGAATTTGTTATCCTCACGAAAATGAAGGGTTGCTTTTGGTATTTGGTATTTCGATCAGCTAGGGTTAATTACAACCTATTTTGGGAAGGTGGTACATATGATTTCGCATGCAATTGATTTGAACAACCGACATGAGTACAGAAAGCACCTACGTCCAGCAAGCAACGTCCTATGTCAGGGCTAAGGCTTCTTTCATTTCACTGATAGTCGTGAAAGTTGACTAAAGTAGGTGATTCGAGAAAATAGAGACTCCTGCCCGGGGAATTAAACACTCAATAGTCCCGGGGATCAGTGCATAAAATGCCGAAGCTCGTATCAGCATGCTGTTTCTTGCCCTTCGAAAATATCACAGGTAATTTCGAGAAGGAAACAATCGACGTGTTGGGTTTGAAGTCTGAGATAGGTGGTACAAAATGGCTCTGCCTTGTGCAGATAGGAGTGACGTATAGAGACTAGATTTCCACTTAATAATACGCATGAAGCCAGGGAGATATGGTTTTCAAGTTTCCAGGCGCTGTGGATCTGCCTGTGGTGATCCCAGTGGGGTCAGCTTTAACGCAGTTCACATAAAGATACGCTACACTAGGTAATAGTTTGGGGCCAATAGCATATGTCATAGGATCGCTGCAACCAACCTAGCAATTTGGATCCTAACAGGTATAGAATTCTTAAATTCCTAGCTATTGAATCTGTCTCATACAAAACATATAACTAGGTTATTGATATTCGAGGGCCTTAGTTCGTTTGCATGGCCCCAACCTGCTAGTTTCCTTGGAAGAATATATATAGGCAGCCCCAGATTGAATCGGTTCCAACATTATACGCGAAACTGCAAGTGCTTGTTTCACGAGAGGCGTAGGTAAGGGGCGTTATCAAAGAGCTACGTTTGCTGCATCTTTCCCGGAATTCATGGCGTCCAACAGCCTGGCAGTTGTACGGAGTTGGCCTGGAGCACAGCCGTATGCAGGAATATACTGATGCTTCTTTGATCCACGCCTGAGAGGAACCATTTTCGATGCTAGAAAAAATTCCCAAAACTAGACACCAAGCCCCGTAACAATCATCGACTACGAATGAGTGGCACAGTGAGAAGTAAGCGGATCCGATCTCAAAAATCCCAACTATGTCAGTGCCAAGGGTAAAGTAGAAATACCCTGATGGGCCGAGGACGCCGTGGGTGGTGTGTTTTGTCCTGGCGCCATGGAGGACAAAGTCGCGGCAGATGCAGGTGCGGAATCCAAGCGGGAGTTTGAAGAGCGGAGAGCTACCGTGGCTGATTGGTGGGTTGGTCATGGTGTGGTGCGGGATATACAAAGTCCAGTCATTGATTCTGGGCAATTTGCATAGTATCAAGATTTTGAGTACTTAGAAGTGGGAGTGATTTCTAGTGGGAGTGATTTCTACTGAGCATGATGGAACTGATGAAGGGTAGGTAGTGGCTGGTGTTGAGTTGGAGCTTCCCCAGCTCTAATTAGTTGCTTACCTCTCACCCTAGATATCGCATGGCGGCAGTAGCTCGATCAGCAGAAGATTCGACTTTCGACTTGAAATGTTCACCACTGCTGTCCAATCAGGATGACATGATTCCAGGTATACTGATATTTGACACGCCATATATGATAAATTGCTCAGGACGACTGTTGATGAACGGACGAGCGTACATTACAGCCTTAATTACACGTGCCATAGAATAATAATGATCCCAAGGAATTAAAACGTAGTACTCTACGGCCAATTTCATGCGCTCCAATTAACATTCGGCGCTTTTCGGGGCCTGAACCGAGATGAAAAGGCCTCTGTGATATCGTCGGGAAGCACTCGGTGTGGATTCACCCCGCGTCGATCCTCCGCCTTACAATCGCGACGTCGTACCAGATCCTACCTATATCCCTGATTCCCTGAAGTGCAAGGATTGCACTTACAACCAACCACGATCATGCCGTATTAATAAGTCACAATGGTCGTAATAAGGCAACCCCGCCTTGTTCTTTTGGGGAGCGGTCTCCCGAGACGGGCCGAGGGGTTCGTTCCTGGCAGTGTGTATAAAATTGCTTCGACATATGCCTATGCTGCCCCTCAGTGTATGTCTGGTCAGTCTCACAGACCATCACCCAAGCTACTCGCCATGAAGTTCTTCAATTTGCTGGGGCTCGCCTCGCTAGGCAGTGCCCTTGCTACTGGCTATGACCGCTCCCGGCTCTCCATCCATATGCCTCGCGACCCAGAAAAGCGAGAACTGCTGCAAAAAATCGTGACCTGGGATGACCACTCACTCTTTATCAATGGAGAACGCATCATGTTGTTCAGTGGAGAGGTCCACCCGTTCCGGCTGCCCGTGCCGTCGCTGTATCTCGACGTCTTCCAGAAAATCAAGGCTATGGGGTTCAACTGCGTCAGTTTCTATGTCATGTGGGCGCTGCTCGAGGGAAATCCGGGTAACTTCACGGCGGAGGGGGTGTTTGATCTGGTGCCATTCTTTGAGGCGGCTTCTGAAGCGGGATTATACCTAATTGCTGTTCGTGCATCTGCATCAAACCCTTACTCTGCCGGGAGACTGACTGCTTTCTCAGAGACCCGGCCCCTATATCAACGCAGAGGTGACTGGAGGTGGCTATCCCGGATGGCTTCAGCGAGTGAAGGGTCTTTTGCGGACCAATGCCCCCGATTATCTGGCTGCTACCGACAAGTAATGCATACCATATCGAAACAAGACTACAGCAGACTAACTTTTCGTGAAGCTATATGGAAAACATCGGTAAGATCATCGCAAAATACCAAATCACCGAAGGCGGTCCGGTCATTCTGTGGCAACCTGAGAACGAATACAGTCGGGCCTTCGGCCTCGACTCGTTCCCACAGAAGGACTACATGCAGTACGTCGAGGACCAGGCCCGAAACGTCGGTATTGTTGTACCACTGATTACCAACGACATGGGTCCCCTCGGCTTGTTCGCACCGGGAACCGGTGAAGGTGAGGTTGATATCTATGTAAGTATCTGCATAGCAACAACTTGACCCTCGTAAGGTCTGCTAACGGTACACCATAGGGACACGACAGTTACCCGTTAGGGTTCGATTGTGTAGGCAGTAGCTGCTTCCATATATCCAGGATTTCGTACACTGACAATCTGTCTAGTCCAACCCGACAGTGTGGCCCGCGAATTACCTGCCGACGGACTATCGCGCGTACCACCTGAAGCAGAGTCCCACAACACCTTATTCACTTTTGGAGGTGCTTCATCCATCGAACTATTGAAAGCTTATTTACTGACTGATCCGCAGTATCAAGGTGGCTCATTCGACCCGTGGGGAGGTCCCGGTTTCGAGCACTGCTCGGAACTGCTGAGTGATGTTTTTGAGCGCGTCTTCTACAAGAATATCTATGCGGCTGGAGTAACTATTCTCAACCTCGTAAGCCGAATTCCGCATTTCCTATTAATTAAAGAGCCATTAATAACTCCGATCTTACAGTATATGGCATGTTCCCCAATATTGCAAGTCCACCGCGACTGAAATCTGTCTAACTCACTTAACTGCAGACCTATGGTGGGACGAACTGGGGAGGCATCTCTTTCTCTGAAGCCTATACCTCGTACGACTACGGCGCAGCAATCCAAGAAGATGGCCGCACCATCACGAGGGAAAAGTACGGCGAGCTCAAGCTGCAGGCGCAAATGCTGAAGGTTTCCCGTGACTATTTGACTGCGACACCCAACGTCAACTTCACACGGGGTATCTACACCAATAACACGGACCTCGCTATCACACCTCTCATTGGCAATGAGAGCGACACCAATTTCTACGTTGTGAGACAATATGATTACTCGAGCGAGGCGTCAACGGACTATACCCTTGGCGTGTCAACGTCGGCGGGTGACTTGACGATCCCGCAGCTCGGTGGCTTTCTCACCCTGCAGGGGCGGGATTCAAAGATCCATATTACTGACTACAGCGTCGGCGACAATAAAATTCTCTACTCGACTGCAGAAGTCTTCACCTGGAAACAGTTCAGCGATATGACGGTCTTGCTCGTGTACGGAGATACTGGCGAAACTCACGAACTGGCAGTTAGCACTGAGTCTGAACCATCTGTCATTGAGGGCGAGGACGTACAACAGAAATTGGTAGCCGATGCGTGGATTATCCAATTCACAACCGACTCGACACGAAAAGTTGTCAAGTTCGGGGAATTGGTTGTCTACATCCTGGGTAAGTGCCCTTGAACCCAGAGCAAGGAAATGGTTGCTGACAATGACAGACCGCGATTCGGCATACGACTACTGGGTGCCCGATCTTGGATCTCCATACGGCACTTCAAACCTGAACCCAGACTCAGTTATTGTCAAAGCAGGATATCTTGTGCGAAGTGCTTCGATCTCAGCAGGAGCTCTCTACCTCGTCGCAGACTTCAACGCATCGACTGCCATCGAAGTGATCGGTGCCCCGTCCAATGTCTCAACACTGTACATTAACGGCGACAAAACAAACTACGCGACAAACTCTCTGGGCTCGTGGCTAACCAACCTGACTCTTCCTGAAATCTCGTATGACGTTCCCGACTTGCCCAGTCTAGTCTGGCACTCCCTCGACTCCCTCCCCGAAATCACGTCATCCTACGACGACAGCGCCTGGCCCGCAGCAGACCACCCAAACACCACCAACCCCGCAGGCCAACCCCTTTTGACCCCAGTCTCGCTCTACGGTAGCGATTACGGCTTCCATATCGGGGCTCTGCTCTACCGCGGTCTCTTCACTGCCAGCAGCACCAACTCGTCCCTCTTTCTCTCCACGCGCGGCGGCTGGGCCTTCGCCTCGGCTGTGTACCTCAACGGGAGCTTCGTTGGTAGTTTCGTCGGTGGCCCCAGGGAAGAGTGGAGCAATGCTACCTACATCCTCCCTACGCTCAGCTCAGGCGACAGCTACGTCTTAACCGTCATCGTGGATAACATGGGTTTTGAGGAAGACACTCCCGGCGTGGATGACATGAAATCCCCGCGCGGCATCATCGACTATTCCCTGTCGAGCTCCAACGGCACAGACACACCCATTACCTGGAAAATCACCGGAAACCTAGGCGGCGAAGAGTATGCCGACCACGCTCGCGGCCCCCTGAACGAAGGCGGCTTCTTCGCCGAGCGCCAGGGCTACACGGCCCCCGATCCGCTAAGCGACCTGTTCACCTCTAACAGCAGCCCATAAGAAGGCGTCTCCGAGCCAGGCGTCGCGTACTACACCACGAGTTTCGATCTAGACCTGCCGAGCGACGAGTGGGACATCCCGCTTTCATTCGTATTCCAAAACGACACCTCCGCTGCGGGGGGGAATGGAGCGTACCGCGTTTTGCTGTTCGTAAATGGGTGGCAGTTTGGAAGGTATGTGGCGAATATTGGCCCGCAGACGAGGTTCCCTGTGCCAGAGGGGATCTTGGACTACAAAGGGACCAATTGGTTGGGAGTGTTGGTCTGGGCCTTGGAGGAAGGAGGAGCCAAGGTTGAGGGGCTGGGTTTGGAGGCTGGTACGCCGGTTTTGACGGGGAGGAAGAAGGTGGTTGTTGTCGATAGTCCGGCGTGGTCGGAGAGGAATGTGGCGTACTGATGGGTTGTGGATGCAGATAGTCTAAGGGGAGATTCCGATGTAGGGGTCGTATTTCGAGTTATGTTTGGAGTCATCGTCGTCTGAAGTAGCACAGAATTACCACAAAGTTGTTTACAAGACGCCGAATATATTCTGCCTTCGTCTCCTGCATTTGTGTGCCATTGCTACTTCGCAATGACCGCTTGGTTGCTTTTCCTGAATCATCTTCTTCCTAGGGAGTGCTAGAAGGGCGTTTTCCATGCTGATGCAAGCCACCGAGCTCCGCCTGCATGACTTGGTAGTATATCTCTGATATCTTCTGATGTCTCCGTGAAGCATTCGCTCGCATGCGATCTCAGCATTGCAAAGAAAAGGCAGCTAACGGCAGTGGAGCGAGGTATAGCCTCGGTATCTACAACTACGTATGTGGTATAGTTACATATCGCTGCATCCATATATCGAGGCATTGCGATTGTGTTTAGCCTCGGCACGTCGAACAACAACGAACTTTAATGTAGGTCGGCTTTTAAATTCAGGCACTTCATCAGATGTTTTCCCTGATATATAATCTTTCACATGACCTTGCACAAGAACCTTGGACTGCCAACAACCATTGAGTTGCCCGTTGTCTCGTTGCCGTCCACCTCCCGCAAAGCATTGGAGAGGACAGTCGCCTCCCCTTTCCCTACCATGGCTGAACCGAATCCGAACACCGGCTTCATCGCGGCGATTTTGAAGCTTGAAGGAATTGAACGAGTCAAGAGGCATATAGAGCTGTATGCTGAGTTGGAAAGGGACGCCGACACGCCTGTACGCTACTCAATCGAACGAACTGCAGTGAAATAAATGGGCGCAATGTGCATGCCAACGCCACGGTTGCGTGTTGGGATGCTGGCCCACTCAAGCCAGATCCCTCATGTCAAGCCTGCCCGCAGTCCTGACTCGGCCATGGCCCCAACTCCTTTATACACTTGCTTTCTACCGAATCATCTCTCATCAGCAGCATCGACACTGACTTATACTCAGGAATGGATGGCCACCCTGCTGCCTCACATCTCAGTGCAATCCCACTCGGCTTCCATGCCGCAGCCGCGCGTCACGTTCCGCTTCACCGTACAACCCACCCACAGCAACGGTCATGGCAACATGCATGGCGGGTGCACAGCAACGCTATTTGACTTTCTCACTACGCTTCCTCTGCACCTTATTTCTAAGCCGGGCTTCTGGCAGTTTCTCGGCGTGAGCCGCACGTTGAACTGCACATACCTCCGTCCGGTACCGGTGGGCTCTGTTGTGGACATTGAGTGTGAGATCTTGCAAGTCGGGAAGAAACTGATGACTGCTAAGGGGATTATGAGAAGCGTCGAGAAGGATGGGACGGTCGGGCCAATCTTGGTGGTTTGTGAACATGGCAAGGTCAGTACGGACCCGCCAGTAAGCGGGACGCTTTAGCCTAGGGACTATTATATGATCATAGTTAGTTGTAGTAGCACACGGTATGCAAGAATTGAATGGTGTCAATGATGTCGTAACCAGACACTTCTATGGACTTTCCTGGAACAGTGTGTTAGCTAACCTAGACAATTCTGTCATACTGCAACAAGGCAAAGTAAACAGGTCTGTGTTGATGGTGGCACATTTATCTATATACGTTACGACTATCTTATTGTCGCAAACACCCATCCATATGTTTGCCGCTTGCCCCTGTTGTCCCTGTTAAGTCCAATATGCAAGTCTCGGTGAACTAAGCAAATCCCACGACCCGATGCTTGTAAAGTTGAACAATGAAAATACGAAAGTAGAAAATCATTTTAAGACGGGAGGCTTCACGGTTGGATCAGACTAGTATAACGGAGGGGAGTGACTTGTCCAGGACAAGTACGTACAACTACTGTTGTAATTCGCTGTTAATATTTCATCTGATGTGCTGGCTATTTGACCATTCGCTATATCTTATCAGGGAACGAACTCACCCTTTGTAAATTAATTCACTATTGTCAGGGGCACTCTGGGCTGTGCGTCACCTCTGACTCTCCTTTTCATTTATCATCACGGCATTCTCGTCAAACTCGAATCACCCTGAGACAGCAAACCCTACATGACCCTTCTACGGTGTCCAACTGCCCCTATCCCTGGGCGTTTTGACGCAGCAGAGTTGGGCAGAGAATACGTGCACGGCCGAGGAAGGCGCGTTTGACGACATCTACTGGGATTTTGATGTCTGAAGCTTGGGAGAAGGAAGAGGGGTTGGAAGATAAGCTCAATGAGTGCGGAACAAGCTTGGATGGATACACCTTGAAGTGGACGCCAGATGATGAGCCTTATGATTATACCGTCCATGGGCGATTCATGGCACGTGAGGGGTCAAGGGTGTATTGCAGATGCAGTCATGACGGTAGATGGTGCTGCGAAGGATAAGTGCACTCAAAGCGCTGACACCAGTGTCAAAGGTGCTGAGTGTCAGAGAACTGAATACTACAGGCACCGGTGTATGGACGTGCGAGTCACGACCTAATATGGAAGTCTTGGTATACGGAACAATCGGAGGAACTAGTGCTCTACGGCTCCGATATACGGGATCTACGCTCCGACTCCGGGATCTAGCTATCTATGTAAGGGGCAGGTGTCCGGGAAGAAGATAGAGAGGGCAGAGATCAATGAACCATCGTGGGCACCCCTACCTGAGACTACCCGTGATCGCCAGTGACCACCAAGTGCTACGTAGGAGGGACGCCCATTACTCCCCTTCACTCCGTACTACTGCCTTCGGCCTAGCCGTACCCTGACACTGAGTATGACTTCGATTTGAGCTCGAGGGCATATCTGGTAGAGCATATCTAATAGATATTATACGTACAAGACAAAAAGAAATCACAAGAACGCTGCACCAACGATGACCAACAAGCTACAATTATCGCAGCCAGACAAAGCAAAAACTGGGTGTATCCCTGGTTCAGAATCGTATGTACGGTTACAACCAATCTTTCCCACCCAGAAGCAGAACTTCAACATCATTAAGCGGAAAAGTTGCACAAATGCTATTGAAACTGCAGCTGCTCGATCCAATGACCAACTTATTGCACAAGACATTTCATATGCATGAATGCGAGTCAACTCCATGGCGTTTACAAGTTCTATCGAGACATTCAAAGTTGATAAAATGACCTAGGTTCGTGAGAACCCCAGCACAGGTGACTGAGTTAGGCCTGCAACTTCCAAATCGGTCAAGGCAGGTACATGCTTGTACGTCACGCCCCTTGGACAGTTATAGTGGATGGAAAGGTTAGGTCCATTTTACGTCGGGTCGGGTGAGTGCTGCCAAGCTGACCTAGGTGACAGCTATAGCTTGTATGATCATACGCAGCCCTATTATGTATTGTCGCATACAATTAGCATGAAGCGTTTCGTCCATTCCCCGATATCCATGACCTTTTTCTTTTGTCTTGGGCAAGTCTACAGGTCGAAGAATTTCTTCCCCCTATAGTCTTGGCTGAAGTCTTCGTCATATAATCAATACTAGCGCATTTGTTACTTATCTGCATCTGTGTATTGAGGTTGGCCAGCTGCGTTTCAACAGTATAAGCAAGACGAAAGCTCTAATTTCAGCGCAGAGCGCTTATGGAATGCCGTATGATTGGCATATGAACGTGGCACTCCGTTGTTATTACCACGACATCGGGTACATGTACCGGGATGCTCCAACTCAGCCGGGTCAATCCGGCTCAACATCAAGTGAAAAAGATGGACTGAACGGTTGACTTTCAGGTGCGTCTCTGAGGCTAAGCTCTCTTGGCATACACTTTGGGGACCATACTCAACTTGACGGTGAGATCGTCCAAATCTCTACGCGCGAGACTAGCGGCCCAGACTTGGCGTGGCATGAAACAGCCCTTCCCAGAACTTCCGAGGACCAACTGGGACTAACCGTGCATAGCGCAACACTCATTAGCACAGCCCTTATTACAACTCAAGGTCCCGCATTTCACATCTCGATTGATTAGGCGCCCTATATCGTGAGCCGCTTATTCATCCGTGGCATTAGTCATGGAAACACTGGTTTTTGTCGCCAAGGGCTTGTCATGACTAGCAAGACTAATAATTCAATAGTCTGCAGTCTGAAAACCTTGCGGTTCACAGAGCAAGCCTTGCGCTTGGCTCGGATTTATGAGCCATACTCACAGCGTAACATGGCTTCCACTTCGTCCAATGAACCAGTGCTTATGTGTCTCAAGTCATAAAGCAAAACTTTCTATGTCTACTTGGACTAAGGGTGTGGCTCAGTTATAGCTAGACTGTTGCATGTTCCATAAATAAATCCTCCATGTGCAAAGCCCCTAGTTAATTGCAACACTATTATATTGGAAAAGCATTCAAAGTTTCCATGTTCTCAACGCGTGTTACATATATTGAAGTCGTGGTGTTTTTGAATATATATGCTGGGCATTGGGCAGTGGTACCAATCTGGTGTACTATGGACGAAGCCATTTTCGGTAATAGAAATTCTCACCTTATTATCTGAAAATGCGATGACGGTATAATCCCAACTATGCGGTTTATGTTTGCATATTACACATCCAATAGAATGAAGCGTCGACTTAGCCTCACAATGTATACTTGCCATCCTAATCATAACCTCCAATTAGTTGAGTTGGTGTTGTACTGATTATGTGCGTCACAAACTAGAACAAGAACTATGACCGAAGACAACCCACAAGTCATGCCAAATAGTGCTAAAAGGGTGGCCAGCGAACAAACAGAACGCGGAGGGAGGAGTGACTGAATAACTGTACCAACTGAAATCAAAACTCTTGCCATCCGAACGTGATTGGAGTTCCAAATCTTCCTCGTCGTTCCACCTGATCGAACCGAACAAGTTGGCACCACAGGATGCCTTCTTGTTCTGCATAGTTATAAACGGAGAGCTGGAAAATCTCGACTGCACGCCGTTCTCTAAGTTGACGATGGCATTCTGTCTTTTAACACCGAAGGCTTCTTTCTCGCTCGCATATCCGTGGGCTTCGTCTATTAACCAGCCAGTTGACGACCGACGATATACCAAACCGCCTTACCTAATTTAGTCTTGAGAACGAGAACGAGTTTTATGGTGGCTGTGATCCAAGAGTTGTTCGGGAGGATGAGCGGCTGTCAGTTCCATGCGTGCGAAAGGTTGATGTACTTAACTCCGAGTGCGCTAGGGATCCGGGTGCGAGAGAAGTAGCGGGGAATTTAGTTGATGGGCGCAACCTTCCGTAGTGAAATTGTGATTTTGTGCTTTCGATGAGTCTCACTCCCGGCCATCTGGGAGATAATCTGCGATCAATAGTGACCCAACCAGTCAATGCTTGAGACAGGATCCCATGGTGTACGAGACCCACGGCGTTCTAGCGGGTTGGCGCTGTAACATTATTTCCCGGCCCGTCAAGAAGTGCTGGTGGGCCGTGGTAGCGGGTAGTAAGGTTTGTGTCAAGAGGAGTAATCTCCCAGCGTCGACGATTAAGGTTGCCATAAGGGATGTGGGGAGACTGACAACGAAGAATGACTTGAGGAACGTATCAGTCATACTACGGAATAACATTAGTGGATTCAATATTTTCGCTTCATTCGTGAAGATGGTGCAGACTTCAAAAGAGCCAAGAGAAATGCACCACTAGGGAGCTTTGTGATTTTAACTCCCCTGCCAACTGGATGCGCGTAATGCCCATCTCGGAAATCCTGAGCACCGACTGCGCTGTTGTTGAATCAAATCGCCGTGTGAGGTGTAGCCATTCAATGCTCTCTTGGGCTGAATGATTCAGCTTCCGTGAGGTGGTTTAGATTCCACTAATCAGCTTGTATGCCAGCATCCCCACCCTCCATCACATCCACCACGGCAATTCTCTCCAGATAGCCTGTCGCTCCCCAAAGTTCCCCAAATTCCACTTACATAAAGTTTGCAGATGCGCTCCAATTATACGGGGTCTTTTCATGGCCGAGTTACTGGTTTGGGATGCAAGGCCGGGGACCAAGCCAAGGGCAATACCAAGAATAGACCAACAGCTCTACTACAATGGCCCTTGCTAGCGGATGAAGTTGTATAATATGCAGCGCTCGCTACCTTCAAATGTAATCAGAGAAGAGTCACCGTCTAAACTTATGCCGAAATGTTCCTATTCAAGCTTCTAATCGCCCTGTTGGGCTTCTCCGGCCTCTTTGGGTCTGCCACTGCTTGGGTGAACCCCATTCGCAGCCCAACGGGAAGCGATCCATTCATGGTATACAGCGGCGGATACTACTACTTGATGACAACCACTTGGACTGATGTCGAAGTCGCACGCTCGACTACTGTCGCGGGCCTGAAAACAGCAGCCAGAAAAGTCGTCTACTCTACCACAACAGCTTCGCGATGCTGCAACGTCTGGGCTCCCGAGGTGCACTACCTCGGGGGGTTGTGGTACATTTACTACACCGCTGGCGAAGGGGATGACTTGGATGGTCAAAGACTGCATGTTCTTAAAGGTATATTATGCTACGCCGGTTTTCATATTCTGTCACTTACCGCTGAGCACAGGTGGAGCAACACCCTACGACACCTTCACCTACGCCGCCCAACTCACCACCGAATGGGCCATCGACGCCTCGATCCTCCGCTTCAACACCTATGGAAACTATCTCATGTTCTCCTGCTTTCACGGCGTAACTTACCAAAGCATCTGCCTGCAACAGCTCGGCTCCGACTACATCTCTTTGACCGGTTCCATCTCCGTCATCTCCCAACCCACCGAGTCCTGGGAAATCGTCAGCTACCCCGTCAACGAAGGCCCCGCGGCCCTCTACTTCGGCGGCAAAACTTACATCAGCTACTCGGCCAGCTACTGCTGGAGTCCCAGTTACTGTCTTGGCCTTTTGACCTGGGACGGGTCCACGGCGCCGACGAGCGCGTCGGCTTGGACCAAGTCCAGCGGATGCGTCTTGTCGAGCGCGAATGGGAATTATGGCACGGGACATAATAGTTTCTTTCAGAGTCCGGATGGGTCGCAGACTTGGATTGCGTATCATGCTACGTCGAATAGCGCGGGTGCTTGTGACGATTCGAGGTATACCATGGTGCAGCTGATGGGGACGCATTCGGATGGGAGTCCCAATTTTGGGACGCCGGTGGCGTTGTCCCATGTTTATAGTGAGCCGAGTGGGGAATGATTTCATGGACGAGATGCATGTGATTGTTTGAAGGAGGGTACTTGGATGAAACTAAATTACAGAGATATGTGTTCTTATTCATATTCTGCAAGAGGCAACATTCCCAGGTCGCTTTTCTTGGCTACGTTGCCTGTCTTCTTAGAAGGAAAACTCGTTGTAGAATGCATCAAGCGCTATGTGAAGATGTTTGGGTTTGGACGATTGTGTGAGATGCATCGACTTGTTGATCAGTCTAGGAATGTAGACGATTGGGCTTTTGAAATCGAGGTGACGGAACACCAGAGTCTCGTACCAGGAAAGTAGAGTTGATGGCAGGTTCATCAGCTCATACTTGGAGATTTGGTTGAGGTTGGCAGCAACAGCTATCAAGACTATATTTCAAAGAGTGGGGAACGCCCGATTGGTGATCAGGATGGCTCGACTAAGCATGGGACAACAGGCGGCTATATACTACGAGACATTGTGTGCGATGGGCAAATCATCTTCTCGCCAACGAGCTTCCAGATCTCCATTGACAAATCCTGTCTAGACGGATATAATGGTAGGAAAGTGGCAGAAGCATGAAGTGATCGGGCAGTGAGGCTTCCGGACTTTCGGGGCTTGGGGAATAGACCTCTCCCTCAGACGTGCAAGTTTCCCAGCTCTGGTGTGATCGGGTGACTGCCGACGTTCCTACATTTTGGCTAATAATATTTCCCAGACCCGAGAGGACGATGACTATGGTCTGGGAATGAATCGCATACAAGTCAACCTTTCGAGGTGTCCGATAGCTCATAAGCGGCTAACCTCGTAAAAAATATAAGACGGATTTTCACTCTATTCAACACTATTTCCGTTGTGCTGTTTGGACTAGCTGAAGAGAGTACTTTTCTTTTTGTTACCATGAAAGGGTATATTTTAAACAAAATGCATGAAGACTGAGCACCAGTTTTCAAATGATAAAACTACTTCACAATAGTATAGTGTAGATTCTTAGTTGAGTCTAACGTCAATTGGAATCCTCCATTATTTGTCCCGCGCATTAATCTTAGTAATATCAAAATAGATTTTACGAATGGTACTGCTCGACTGCTACCACACGAAAGTGGCGAATATATATAGATGCCTACGTATTAATAATGTGGCTAGTGCGCTGGGCCTGCTAAAAATGACATTAGCAGGTTATGTTTATATAAATATCATTGTACGGTTCAAAGGCATATATCTCTCCGCATCCGGAAATCCAGGATCCTGAAGACACAACCGAAATCGTTGTTCTTTTGGTGTAGCGGGCGTTGGTGGTGGGTACAAACATAGAAGTGTCCCTGCAGCCCCAAGAGGATTTCCTCTAGGTTCCCATGGGAATCCAAGAGTGGTGGAAATACTAGCGGGAAGGCCGGAATGAGAAGACTTAGTCGGGATCCCTGTCTTCGCCTCAATTATTATGTGCAACCAATATTGAACCTGGTGGAAGACCCCTGATTACGCTGGAAAAGCCATGCAAGATGAATGCGTCGAATTTATGTTCTGATAAGTGGTGGTCAGAGAAAGAGAAGCAAAGTCTAGCCGCATGATTTTGACGCTCAATTACCCCTGTTGAGACGTTAATAGATATCTACTCCTGCTCAAAGATTTACCCCCTCCCCCCGTCGACATTCGTTTGCGAGCTTCTTCGTAAATAGAGAAGCTCAGCTCCTGGGGTGGCATGTATAAATTGATAATGCGACCAGGAGTGCCATACGCCATCGCCATGATATGTTCGGAACTAACCACTCCGATATATGGCGTCAGGGGATCCAGCGTATCGCATATGCTACTATCAGCGGCGGATGATGAAGCTGAAGATCCAACTGTTTCTCGTCCTGTATAGCCAAGTCAGATTTAGGATACTGCGATGACCTGTCGTATTCTTCTTACCGTAGTCCAGTACTCTGCGCTGCCAATCAACTGCGAAGGGTTGGAACGGTTCACCCGGGCGTGAAACGCCTAATGTCCAAGGCTACGGGTGGTTTAGCTCCCATATTTACGCACGGGGCATTTGACTCACGTTAAACTCATGTAAACGTCTCAGCTGAAGCCTTCCCCCAAACAGTTTGTGCTGCAAAACTGCACCCCACGACCTTTCCGTCTGTCCCGCCGATATCTGGTCTAGCGCATAAAAGCCAGAGAAGTCCGCGAAGTGGAGCAAAAAATAGAATAAGAGACCGCATCGCAGACTGAGGGATCTCGTGCTCCTGGTGGCCTGAGCGACACAAATTGAATTTTCAAAGTCCCGTAGGATCTGGTACAGTTAGTCTGATCGTTCGTCTCCATCTTCGGTTAGCCATATAAAGGGAGTAACTGACACGGGCGGAAATAATGAAGACTGCATTCTCGTGAACCGCTTCCTCGAAGAGATCCCTTTGAAATCGGATGTCCCGTTTCGTATGCAGCCAATTCTGCTTACCGGTGAACGGCAACAATATAGTTGAATCCAGTTCGTCGACAGCCAGAAGCATTGGGAAGTTCTGCAGGAAGCCATTAAGGATAGACACAACTTCAGTATCGTAGAGAGCCCCGTTGTGCCTGTGGCCCATGTAACCCATATCCAGTATATTTTTCCAGTGTAACGTGGCTGTCCAAACCAAATCCTTCAATGGCTACACTCGATTAGCACCTGAGGCCAGTAACCAATGTGATGTAACTCACTTCTTGAATAGCTTCCGTTTGGGTATGGTGGATCACACGCCTCTTATTGAAAATACTAAGTTTTCGAAGACTTCGAGCCCGCTTCAGTTGACTCTTCGGCTCCCATTCGCCTATTCCGGGACAGCGCCATTCGCGGTGCTTGCATTGGGGACAGTCAAGCCGAAAGGACCGGGGCATTTTACTTCCCTTGCCACTTTCTCACGCAAATATTTAGGGTCGTGATGAAATCCAATGCGAGCCGAGATTCAACGGATCAGCCAAGTGGCCAAATTATCAATGATTCACTTGTGCTCGGTTGCGTTCGCTGATCACCCCTTGACTCAATTCAGAAGGTCTCGCGGGTCGCAACAAAGACAGCTGAAGGTAGAATTCTGCAAGACATAGCTTGAATTCCGAATCCGGGCTACTGTCGCCAATTTTTTAGTTTAGATGATTCCAAATTTAACACGATTAGCGGTACTTCAGGGGGATTTACTATCTTTGTTCTTTAATCCAGCCACCAGATCAATTAACGTCCCACACCCACATCCGGGACACCCCCACATGTGGGACGCCCTAAAAATGATGCTGCATATTATAACCATTGACTTCAACCTTTTTTTACACTTATTCTGATGCGACTACAATACAGCTTTCACCGTCACTAGGGTTTTCAGACTCGCTAGACTCATCTGTACTATCCTCAACTTCACCAGCCTCGATTTGAGCCTTCCGAATAACCTTGATATTAGTAAACTTCGAATTAGGGCTCATCTTGACCTTCCTCCGCTTCCTAGCCCTACTAGCCTCAAGCTCTGCCTCTATTGCCTCAATATTTCGCTGTGCGACAGCTAACTGGTAGTCCTTCTCATCAAAGCCCTTTTGAACTTTCCGAAAGAGTAGCCGCTGGGTATTTGGATCACTATCAAGCTTGCTGAATAAGCTGAGTTGATCTTGGAGCTCATCTCTCCTCTTAGGCGTTGACCAGGCTACTGCTGATGTCTCTAACGCCCAGTCCTGACTACTAGAGTGCCCTTTGCAAGTCTGACTAGGCTGTTTGATTGGTGCTGACGTATTCTCAAGGAGCAGGGGGCTCATAAGGGGTCTAGCTATGCTCGAAGGCCAGAGACCAGTATATTTCCATCCACTGATAATGTTCTTGACGGTCAATGCTGCTAGACGTGCCTTTCTATAGCAGAGGAGAAAGTTTCTCTTCCCTACGACAGTAGTAGTATCCCATTGGTTAAGGTAACCAAGCTCTTTCTTATAGGCTGCCTTGAGGGGTCCAAAGACTGACTGATCGAGAGGCTGGAGAACGTGGGATGTTTGTGGCGGTAAGAAAAGCAAGTGTGTCGTGTTTATGAAGCAGACGTACATAAACTATGTCGTTTCGTGGCTACTATGCCCATCTAGGATAAGTAACCTAGTCTCTTCAGGGTCCTCTGGTTGAGTCAAAGGAATAAAGATCTTTTGTAGCCACTCAATAGCCGTAGAGTCTGACGTCCACCCATTCTCTGTTGCTGTAAACTTCCAGGCTTCGTATGGAGTCAAGTCTAGAGGAAACCACTGCTGCTGGACAGACTTCCCCTTGTATATTGACGACGGGCAGTGAAACCACCCGCAGGTTCAAGGTGTTATGACGATGGCAACGGACAACAAGATCCTCAACAAGACCTTACTATCCGGGAGGTGGAAATAATTAACAAGATCAAGAGCTCTTTGCCCTGATCGGAACGACAAGTACCTCAACAGGTACTAACAACTGGAGCCTCAGCAGGCTGGGGAAGAAAAGGAACCTCAACAGGCGAAAGATGGGAACAATGGCCTCAACAGGCACAATCAGGTCTATAGGGGCAACAAAAGTACCTCAACAGGTACGTCAGACATTGAATGCCTGTCCAAGTAAAGAGAAATTGGTTCAGATTACTGTGGAAAAGGCCGCTTGAATTCTTATCTTTTTCTCAAGAGAGCGACTATGTACACAAGGTCTTAAATACCCTTCAAGAACGCGCTTACATAATTCGTCTGAATGTCCAAAAAAAAACGAAAACGAGCACCCAAAAACCCTAACCCCACGTCAATATCACAAGTGGGGGTAGTGCAGTACCAGTCGCAGAGATACACTCTATAAGAGATGTCCAAGCTCGAGATCCAGGCTGTTTCTTCCGTATAGAACGAGTCTCAGATGATCCTAGAACAAGACCATTTGATCCTCTACCTTCTAGAATACCTGTCTCATCCATATTGTGTCGATTCGAGGCCTTAATAGCTTTGATCTCAGGGATAGCGAGGTATTTGAACCATTGCCTGATCACATTAGCTGAGGCTCCATTAATACGCTGGGAATCGATAGATCTGCTTCTCTGGACCTTGACTGAAGGGTCCCTCTTGATAAAAGCCTGGACCCAGTTCTTTCCAAGTGGTTCGGTGTCTCCGTGGATCTGTAGGATACGCTCGGCGAAGTCTTTGAGCTGTTGATGGGCTGGTGGGAGGCCTAGGGCAGCCTGGATTCGAACCCATTCAGCCAGATGGGGTTCATGGGCTGGAGAGAGCCTCTGGTAGTCAACGAAGGCTATATCTCTTGACTGGGCTCCCTGAATCCGTCGTGAAAGAGTAGACCTTGGGACACCATGCTCATATGCTGCTTTTCGGAGGCTTTGGCCAGTAGCTATTGCTTGAAGAGCTCGATAAATATAATCTTCGTTATATTGACTCATATTAGTGTAACGAAGACGTACGTAAAATTTCGTAATGATTGAATCGATATTGGTAAAGATAAAAGAGGTTGAAGTTAGAGGCTAGCGGTGTTGAGGCATTTTTGGGTGTCCCGGATGTGGGTGTGGGACGTTAGGTACAATTTTTATTACACTTCAAGATGATCAAATGACAGCTCGCCCAGGCCGTAATAAGCAACTGCGTATGCCTACTGCCCATATATGTCCTAACAACATCTTCGCCCACATGCGCCAAATCCAGAGTACTTCACCAATGGTTTCTATTCGGAAAGACGGAGTCCGGAGGATCACAAAACGCACCATGGAGGCACGAACGAAACGCTGCAGCAGAATATACTATCATTGTAGATTACCACGTATCTTGAGGCAGAGAAAGGCGCTCAACAGACGTGCACATAACAATAAAGCTCATACTGGTAAAATCCCAGTTGTTTCACGGGGCCTTTCTCTACTTCGGTCAATCGTTCCAAAATCGGGACAAGTTCTAAGCTTATAATTATTGTGCAAGGGAAACAGCACTATAATGATTCGTAGATCGTTGCCAGGGATTCTTACGTGTACCAAACGAGTAAACCTACTCCTTTCCCCTATTCTGCTCCAGAGCCAAGTGAGCGGCAATGACATCCTCAAACGTGTCCACCACCGATCCTCTTTCTGCCATCCATCCCAGCTTGAACATCCGTGACCCCCGGATGCGCATATTGATGCCGTACAAAATGGAAATATGCATCGCCCACGAGTCCTCTGGCGGAGGTGCTGCATCCGGTTTGTAGTCCTTTCCCCAAATACTCGCCCGTGCCGCGTCTATGACACTAACCGGCTTGATCTCGGTAGACTGAATTACACCATGTTTATGCAACACAGGTACCAGGCCTGTGATGAAATCGGCAAACGAGATTTCCTCGCTCGTGGCAAAGTAGTACGCCTCAGGGCCCCAGAGCTGTAGTCCCTCCACAGTTGCGTTACCGTCGAGCGCGTGACCAATCAACTTCAGGTAGATCTCGGCGATGTCGAGAACGTGGATCCAGGAGTGCCGGTTCTGGCCCTCGTCAATCTGGAAGCCTGAGTTGAATGCGCGGGCCGTGAGCAGTATGCCCGGTGTGGTGATGGGCGTGGGGTGCTCAATGGAGGGGCTCAGACCGCCGACGCCACCGGGGGAGATGATGGCTATGTTGATTTCCTGCGCGGCCTCTCGAACAATCTTCTCAGAGGTTTAGTTTCCACTATCTCCTTAAGAACGTACGCATATCTCATACGAGGCGGATCTGCTTACCTTGTCTGTAGCACTGTGGGTACACGTGACGTCCATCGAAGTCAAGTCCCCAATGTCCCCAATGTCGTCCCAGACACGGGCGTCCTTGGATCCTTTCGGCTCATCCCAGATAAGAGAAGCACCAGAAGTATGAATATAGTAGCCCTTAGTTTCTCGACTCTTCACTATGCGCCGTTGAATTAGTCACTAGAATCCGAACGGCATCTCTTGAGAGTTCACGTTCCCCATCTATACAAATCTGAAAGTTTTCTAAGATGCGATATGTGCAGTGTGACCCTCATAGGCCTCAGGGATGCCACAGCTAAATTGAGAAACCACTCACTGCCTCGGAGGATAACTTGGTAGGAAGCTTCGTGCGTAACATCAGGCGCAGTGTTCACGACAATATCGGCCGCGCGGCAACTGCTTTCGATCTCATCGAAGCTATCCAGGGCGCCAATAACGGTTTGGACTTTGGGGTATTTCGACATAAGTCGTGATGCTTTTCCCTGCGTCCTAACGAGCACCTTGACCAAGACGTTGGGATGCAGTTCGACTAATCTATCCAGAACTGCTCCTCCGACATGGCCCGTTCCGCCGATACTGTGGACTTGACATTAGATGTCTGTATCGGAAAGATGTATACGCGAATACTTACAAGAATAGCTGCGGCATTTGTAATAGCACACGAATAACTCCGAGATATGCTGAATGAATCCGGGGAGGCTTTGATCTGGGGACAGTGATGAATCTTCCTAGATTGCTCCCCCAGTTCGATTCCCATCTCTGCGCCTCTCTCCTTGCGAACACCGTCATGATGGATGATTGGTCAATAAAATGGATCGTGCCATAGTATGTTTCACGGCAGGGGCTTGCCGATCCCTACTTGTGTTTATTTGCATGCTTGTTTCTCTGTGGACTGGAAGGCTCCAAATAGCTTAGCCTGGCATCAGAAGCACTAGGCACCAGCCGGGGTTCTTTCAGGTTGATCAAGGACGGACTTTCTCGCATGCCATACAAGCGTAACTAAGCAGATTCAAGTCCACTATGACCAAATATATATGAGTTTATGCTAGGAGTTTATCCTCAAAGTAAATCGTCTCCGTAATCCATTGTTGGAGCCGTGTCCGTCCCGGCAACTAGTGAGCCGTTCCGTTCGACAGCTTCCATGAAATATGCATGAATGTGGATTAACTAGTCTCATTTGAAATTGGCGTGGTAGGATACTCCGACCTCGGCACAAGCTTTTGGACAGTGTCCATCAGTTAGCCCAAGAGCAAGTCTAGACCCCAAGTGATCGTTTTTAAATCAAGTTAGAAATTGCTAAACGGTTATTCCTGAGAACAATTTGTAATTCATCTATTATAGCTATAGAGCAGCTACTGCAAGGAGATATTAAGTTGCTCATTGGGTTAACATTTACTTAAATATAAATTACATCTTCATGAGGTTTAGATGGGCTTCTTAAGCTCATTCTTAACTAGGATAACTTCTGTTTAATGGACTCGAGTGTACTAAGTCGCTACATGTGGCATAAAGAAGAGTTGAGTTCTTTGTTTCTAACCTTTCATCTAATCAAGATTTGGTCAATGAAACCTTAGCATACGTACGTACTAAACAAAGCCGAAGCTATATATCGATACCTCACTAATAAATCTCAGGCTGCCTTAACCCCTAAACCGACCACATTTCCTTTGTTCATCAGACAACGCATGAGTTTGGGTATGTGAGCGCAAACAAACCCAACCAAAAAGCCGAGCTGCAAACCGTTTGGTAGACCCTCATGTGTTCCTTACGTACACTTGCTATTCCTGGCGCCGTCGTTCCCAACACTAGTACGTACTACAGATACATCCATGTTTCTTTCTCCACCGACTTTTACATCAGAAAAGGTATGATACCGCTCCTTCGGCGAATCACTTTATTAAAACACCATCCTCAAGACAAACGGCCGCCTCAAATAGTTGCGAGCCGACAACTTCCACTGAAAGCCAACTATTCCATTTCGTAAAAGCACCTACATAGTCATCGTAGGAAAAAAGAAAATGCCGTCTCGTACTAGTCGTCCGAGACTCTCCATCTTCCCTCGGGTTTCTACCACCTCGTATACCCAGCCATCAACACCCCGTGCTCTTTCCCCACCGGCACGTATCCGGCTGCGCTCTCGTCTCCCTCCGTCACCAACTCTTGCTACGCCACCTCCCCCACCGCCGCGTCCGCCCATCGCATGGATTTGGCAATGTCACTCGTGTCTAGCAGTCTACCAACTGGCCATCACCCGGCGCTGTCTAATTTGTTCGCACATCTTTTGCACTTCCCGCGACACCGCACCGGAAACTTCGGCTAGCCACAGCCGAAAGCGACGCCGAGGCACCCAAAACTGCCGTTCGCAGTTTGACTACGGTGGTTGGACAGCATGGGGTCAGTGGCGCCGCAAGTTACTCGGCATCGAGGTGACTGGGCCCGAGGGGCAAAAGATGAGGGAGAGCGTGTTTGTCAACCGCACGCACGACTGCTTCACTGACTGCGATTATCCCTGTCAGTGCGCTTTCCAGCACTACCGTGTCAAGGAAGAGATGCGGGAGAAGGTATGGTTGCCGATGGTACAGGACGAGGTAGAGTCGGACGGGGATAAGCAGCTGGACGTTTCTAGGCCATGGGCTAGGTCAGGGGATGAGTTGGAGATGAATTGAGGCAGTTGCCGCAGCTATGGAGCTGTATTTGCAGGATCTGCATGCCGAAAGGGAGTACCAGAAGAGCCCCACTGGTACCAAGAGCCTGTTAAGCTAGAGCAGTTTTCTTCTGGGACGGACCGACTAGAGGGATGTGGTTGAAAAGGAGACTGAGCACAACCAGGACGGCAAGTACAATACCTACGTTGTCATTTCGCCCCCTGTTGATTTCACTTCCCAAGATCAGGCGCAGCTGTTGAGACTTCTCGGCGATGACGAAGATCTGATGCCTCTCAATCGCTTACTGGAAAGAGCACATTCACTGTTCCCAGTTACTCAGGCTCCGAGTCCGACGTCTTCGAGAACTCGAGCGACTCGAGCGGCGATGAGGTTTCTTCATGCGATGAAGATTTGGTCGATGCTCGAACATGCAGAGACGCAAGACGGATGAATCGGAGAAGCCACATGGAAATTACAAACCGCAGTCTATCGCTACCTATACAGTTGTCCATGTTTTTCTCATTCGATATGTTTTTCTGTACCTTTGATCCATTGGCCACGGGCTAAGTAGTTCGGTGATCTCTTAATGACCTTGTGTGGACCAGGAACAACCGGTTGTGACAAATCCGTCAGGCATTGTGGGTAACACTCCTGGCGTACCCGTATCGTTTCATAGAAATGCGACCTGTATCCAAGATACACCACAAGATGGGCAATCTATGCCATCTAGAAAGCTAGAGCGGGTGCACTCTCCCTGGACAGGGCCGACCGCGTTGAAAGCTCTCAAGTAAAAGTACCCTTTGCATCGGACTCTACGTTTCCATGTTGGAGCACTGTCGTCACTCATAACGCTGGGTAACAATTTTGCAACCAGGCCTGGTTGCCTCACAAAAGAAGATGTCAGCAGCTTCCATGCCATCATCTCTGATAGCAATGTCTGCACGCTGTCATTTCCTGATGGTTGGCTGACGAACAGGTTCTCACGGTCGGCTTTGGAAAATTGCTACTTCTCTGCTCATGAGAATACAGCCTCGGAGTACACGCCGACACTGTTGCCCCTCACATTGGTCCGAGCCATCAGAGATTGCAGATTGTACTTCATATGCCACTGTAGCGTAGTACCCCAGGGCATGAACAGGGGCGATGGCTGTCCAACGTAGTATACACAAGTATGTAACCTTAGTGCCATGCAAATGGTGAAGGATAGGCAGGCTGTGGGCGACAGAGAAAGCGAGATGGGGAGGGAGGAAGAGAGAGTAAAGTGGAACTAAGCTCATCTCATTCTCGCCTACATGGCGTGTTTTCGTTGATTTGGCAAAATCGGCACGACTTTAAGACAGCATTGGTACAACGGTATTGCTGTAGTACGGATGAGAGCCCCAAGTCTACCGCATCAAATGGTCGAGTGATGCTGTTGCGTGATGCTGCTATGTGGAATTCCAACCTTGGCAACAGAGATCAGATCTTGAGATGGAGACGAGGAGAATGAGGTTAACTTTGGATAGTCGACTGTTGACCGTTGACCTGCGCAGCTGCAAGTGTCAAATAAAGTCTGGGCGCATTGGTGCAAAAAAACGCAGGGGCTCAGGAGGCGAGGAGTGGACCGTGCGGTTGCCGAACCGCCAACTAGGTCCGAGCTCAGGAATCCATCTGATTGTCGCCAGCCCAGCAAATGCGTGGCGGCCAGACAGCCTCATCTTGTAGGGACGCTCTGATTGGACAAGCCCACGGCGGCAAAAGCGACACCGTTGTGTTGCCTCGATCTTTCGTCCGTCCCAGTCTGTCAATCTGCCAGTCTGTGCCGTCTCTGGCAATGAGAAACTGAGATTGAACAGAACAAGCACTTCGCCGCAGCCCAACGGCCACCCACGAATGCGTTTTCTTCTGCTTCGCTGTCTATCCTTCTCAACGTTATTTCATATTCTTTAATTTCCACACGACCGCGACGACGATAACGCCGAGCTATCCAAAGGTACCTTTTACTGCGCAGGTGTTGGGGCCTTACCTGCAAGTGACTCGGCAAGCAGCCACCGGCTCTGACCTCATCTCGGCCATCCATCCCATCGCGACAGCGTTTTTACTCGCTCGACCCGCGTCACACCACGCACACACCAAGACGACCCGCTACGACGAGACGTCGGACGACCGCCCCCATATCACGATTCCACGACTTTTGCACCACTCAGCAACCGCAGTATTTCCGAACGAGCTGCATCATCCCATTGCGTCGTTTGCAAGCTCGCTGGCTCGACCCCCCGACCACACCGCGGCAGAGGCGCATGTCGATCAGACCACCACGTATATTGAGCCGACGGTGAAGACGGCAGAGCTAGATTGAACACCGTGACGTTCTCGCCACACACTTGCCGCCTGTCGGCACTTGGGAGGACATCGCGCGGATGAGCTGGCAGCAGGTCTCCGCCATGGGAGCAGGCAACGGAGTCGGAGGGGGCAACAATGCCGCCGGTCAGGAGATGGGTGCCGTGCCGGGCAATGGCTCCGGTCAGCCCCAGGCCACCGAGTACACATTACAAGGTATGACGATGCCGGTGCCTGCTGTCGACGCGGCCGATGAGGTGCTAATTGGGCTGAACCAGGCGTTATGCGCTTCCTCCAAACGGAGTGGCATCGGCACGAACGTGATAGGAATGCCTGGGAGATCGAGAGGCAGGAGATGAAGGGCAGGATAGCCGCTCTCGAGGGTTCTGCACGCAGAGGGGATGCCACCCAGAAGGCTTTGCGGCGCTATGTCAACATTCTCGAAAAGAAGGTCAAGGATCAGGCACAGCAGCTGAAAGTGGGCAAAGTCCACGACACGACCGAGGGCGAGCATGCCGTCAAACACCCACCCATCGTCCACAGACAGGCCTTGATTGCTGAGAAACTTAAGTGTGAGTGAGAAAGACGGGTGTTCGCCTATTGGCAACCCCTAGCATGATGGATATGATGCTGACCCGCCCTTGCCCTGCAGCATCAAGCGATAAGCCGAAAGACGCGATGCCTGGTCTCGAGGGTCTCGTGGGCGAACGGGTCCAAGAGGACGAGGAACGTGACAACCTCAAGGCCTTCCTGGACCAATGTCAAGCCGAGTTTACCTACCTGATGATCACTCCCGCCAACCCCATGCCGCCCAGGGAATCCCCGCCGCTGCCCCTGATGGAAGACATGCGAGAAGGCGACTTTGGCATGCCTGCTGGCTTGCAACCTCTGGACGCGGCCTTCCAAGCCCTGCGCCTGAGCCAGAACCACGTCAAGGATCTCGCCTCGAGACCCCAGTCGAATGCGAACCACCACGGTAGCCCGATGCAACAGCAGCAGCAGCAGCAGCCACAGCAGCCACAGCAGAACAACAACTTTTTGAACAAAAACACCCAGGATATACCGTCCGCGTCCATAGTGCGGTCTGGTGAAAATGCTACTGCCCTCTACTCGAATCCCACCGACTGGCCCCCCTCGGTTGGCGTTGCCGTCACCAACCATGAAGAACCTGCATTGAAACCGAACCACAACAACCCTGACCCCCCCCGCTCAGTCAACGCCGAAGGAACTGTCGAGAAGCGCGCCTCGACCGAAGCAGATGGATGGGATTTCAGCGAGGGCAGCTTCGCCGACCCTGCACCCAACGCACAGTCTCTCCCGCATGTCCCCTCGCACCGCCCAGATACAGACGCCTTTCCTGCTGCCGAATCCCTTCCAAAATCTCCTAATCGCAGCCCCAATGCACACAGAAGAAAGAGCTCCATATCACGTCGCCGGAGTACCGAGCCGGAACTGTCGCTTAATTCGCTGTCAGTATCGCAGAAACCCGAGAGCGGCATGTTCAAACTGCGTTACGGGTTGCGTGGCCATCTGAACACGGTCCGCACTGTCATCTTCTCGGGTGGAGGCAGCCCGGGCGAACCCGAGATATGCACCGCCGGCGACGACGGTTTGGTCAAGCGCTTCCATATACCACGCGACAGTCCTGCCGGCCACCTCAACTCTGCCTCGGACCTCGACGTCAGCGCCGATTTCACCCACCGCGGTCACACGGGCGCCGTCCTGTGTCTTGCTTCGTGGTCTCCGTCGCCCAACTTCTCCACCGGCGGTCGTGCACAAGGGGACGGATGGATTTTCTCCGGGGGCCAAGACGCATCCATCCGGGTCTGGGAACGAGGTAGGGTCGACCCCAAGGCCACCATCGACGGCCATACCGATGCCGTATGGGCTGTCTGCGTTCTGCCCGCCACGCTAGGTGCTATTTTCGGTCAGGTGAATAACTACGGAACCCCTGATCGTATTCTCCTCGTATCTGGCGCGGCCGATGGCGCAGTCAACGTATGGGCCGTCAGTGCACCTCCGCAGTTGAGCTCACCCCAACCCGCACCGGGGGCATTGGGTAGCAGGAGGGGCGGCAGTGGGCGCGTACGTGGAAACTCCATGTCGTCAGGGTCGCAGTTCCCCAACTCACCGCAGCCAAACATGACACCGTCCGGTTCCAAGCCGTTCCACTCGACGCTTATTCACAACATCACACGCTCAGATTCAAATGGGGAGAAACTGTCAGCTAGCCCAACGTGCATCACCCCCTTGGGGGCAAATGGCGAGGCATTCGTCGTCAGTTACGCTGATGCCAGTATTGTAGTGTTCGACACTCGGACTGGCGAGCAGGTTGGCAGCATGGCGAGCCTTGAGACCTACGATGGTACACCGGCAACGGGTGTGAATGCTGTTGTGGCGACGACTTCTGGCCTCGAGCAGGCTTCCGGTGGAAACTTGAGCGACCAAGACGAGGGAGGGGGACCGACCGGTGGGGGGAGTGGCAGCGCAGGAAGTGGCGTCGAGGGTGTCATCATTAGTGGGCATGAGGACCGTTTCGTGCGGTTCTTTGATGCCAATAGTGGTATGTTCTGCTCAAATCCCTTTCGTGCTCCCGAGGACCATTTCTCCACCGTGATCATTTCGCCCGACCATCAAGTAGTAGCATTTGCTAACAAAGCCCAGGACAAAATACGTACACCATGCTTGCTCACCCCGCTTCCATCTCGTCGCTCAGCCTCTCGCCCGATGGCCGTGAGCTTGTCTCCGCCGGCCACGACGCGTCGTTACGATTCTGGTCTCTTGAGAAACGGTCTTGTACGCAGGAGATCACGTCACACCGCATCATGCGTGGCGAGGGAGTCTGCAGTGTGGTGTGGAGTCGTGACGGACGCTGGGTCGTGTCCGCTGGTGGTGATGGAGGCGTGCGGGTTTTTGGTCGATGATGATTACCATGCTTGCGCGAGCTTTTAGACAAGCGAGCTGTGCAACTGACTTCGCATGTCAATGCCTGCCCAGGTTACTTGCTCTAGGACGACGAATTGCGGAGAAAATAGTACGATTACCTTACGTAACTTCGACTTTGGGGGCTTGGGGCATTTAGAACGCCACAGAGACGTGTATAAAATATAGCATCCAGACCGCTTCAAGGTCTATGTACGAACAGAAGAGTAATACAGGGGACGTGCCGATAGTGTTTTTGGCTTGAATGCCATTCTTGCCATTTCGATCTTGGTTGCCTCCATGGTTCTAGTAGGATTTCCTCTAAGGGTATACTTTTTGTTGTAAGTATAATAACGGTCATCGAAGGACATCTCGGTCACGGTTGAACCGGGTTATCTTGTACGTAGTACATCACTATGTATCATATTGGGAATCGATGCTCATCAGGTGGTGTATCATGTACCGTAAGACGGAGTATAGTATCGCTGTTAATCGTACTTCCACTATGCAGACTACTCAAATATTACGCTTCCACGTAACAAATCCTCCATATACTCGTCGAAGAGACCGCGTTATCCTATCTAAGACAGCTAGCCCGCGGTTCTCGATCATTCAAACGATGTCAGACCGTTCCAGCTATCATGGTAGCTTCGAATGCTCAACTCTCTACGTCGTACATGAGATAACCGCTTGCATCTCCAGCTCCTAGCCCGCCCACTGCTGCACCGTGCTAATATAATTTAGAGCAAGTGATACACGACCATGATATTCAGACCAGGCGAGACCGGGATTTCGGACCAACTTGCGCTACTTGTTGCTTGCTGCTTGAATTAATGGAACGTCCCCTGTGTTATCCCAGCCCTGGTAGCTATTCACTTATGTTATTTTGGCCCCTTCGTTTGTCAACTATGCGCAGCTGCATGTTGGTCCCTTTTGAGATATAACAGCCAAAGCGAACCAACCTATCATTGGTCCGCCGCACAAAGATACCCCCGTCCTGTATCTGTTGCACGGGCTGAAACTGTGCAGTTGGAGACGCATGAGACCCAGCACATCGCGCATAGAAAGCACACTTTCTCGGACAGCTCATGTGCTGCATTGAAACAAACCCAGGGTCATTATGCGGGGACATATTGGGGTTGAGATGCTGGAGGTGGAGTTGCGCATGTGTAATTTCTGATTCCTTCAATTGATTGGTTTCTGCACCCAGCAATCAGCAACCCATGGTCCGCCCCCAACAGCTTACGCGCCGAACCACATCACTGGTGCTGTGCAAGTCTCTCCTGATTGGGATGTCATGGGATATGTGCCGATATTCATCACAAAGGAGTCCTCGAGTCGGCGGCGTAGCATCGAATGTGACGACGTGCGCATGAGTTGGAAGCAATCCATTTGGCAAGGCAGAATGATTACTTAGTTTGGGGGGCCCAACAGTACATGGATCACTGGAACATCGTGACAACGTGTTTGTAGAAGCCCAGGGTGCCACGGATTGCCAATATATTAAAGCAAATTCCTCCAACCTGCTGTCAGATAGGGCACCTGGTTCCTAGGTTCAGAAATAATATGGCAGTAGAGAAGACTATTGTCACTTAAAGTTCAGAAGGCGAAAGGAACCCCTCTTCTCAAAAGTAACACCAAAGTTACCGACATGTTCTAAAGCATCAATAAAAGGCAGAGCAACGGGAGTTCGCGAGAACAGAAGACACAGACAAGAACACACCTCATTCATATACAATCTTACGCACTGCTGACTACTCGATTGGACACACGTGATATTCGACACCTGCTGGCCACTGATAGTCCCAAGTAGACAGCGTCCACGGTTATTTTGGACGTGAAGTTTCCAACTCAATGCGATCTGCCGTGTCAGTACCGAGAACGTCATCAATATGCCTTCAGTCGCAATTATCTCGTTGCTACTACTACGTCTTACAGTAGTATGTTTCGGCACGCCACTCCTCACCACCAGAGCATCCGGTGCAGCATGTTCCATGACGGCCACCTATCCCATCGCACCCAACTGTCCAGGCGGCTGTTGCGGTTGGCTGTTGCGGTTGGAATTTTACTACCAATGCACCAGGCGTCTACTGCAAGACCAGCTCGTCCAGCACCATAGCACTGTCTTCAAAACCGGCAAACTGGATTTCATCCTGCAACACACTGAAGCAAACACTGCTCAGTGACAAGGCCGATTATGTCTTAATATCGTACCAGACCAACACAAACCACGCTCTCGTATCCAACTCGAGATGCAGGCTCGAGATCAACGTCAATATTCCGCCCGACTCGGACTCGATGCATATATCATCGTCTGATGCTGTCACATTTCTCACAACTGCCATTTCCGCCAGCCATAACGGCGACGTTGGAATGAAGGGATCTACCTCGTGTTGGTCCTATCCTGTAACGTGGAGGGTAGTGCCCCCTGGAAACTAGTGTGATGTTGAAGGATGGATTAAGATACCACTTTGGTGCCTTGGACTGGTCGTTAGGGGCTGTGTCTATTATCTCTGGTGCATGATAACAATGTGAATGACGATTGGAACACGGTCGTGATGAAGACTATGAGAAACCAGATCGGGGGGTAATGCATGGATACAGTAACGCACCACAGTCTTCCTCTCGTAGCCTTGTCATCCGACTGAAGCATTCTCTCCTCCTCAGGACTCTCTCTCCTCTTTCCTCCCCAAAACGTACTTCTTTTTCCACTTATCTTCCTGCCAGTCAAAGTCGCAGGAAGGAGTAACAAGGTCCTCAAAGTCCGCCTCTCTCGATTCTGCCTGGCTGTCCGGTATCTTCCTCGTCCTCTTTAGTAGCTTCCGAATCTTCTTCCTTGACAAGCTCCTCCGAGAAGTGTCGTCCACTTCCAGACCGAATAGTAGGACTGTCTGACTGCTCGTATCAATCCTCTTAGCAGCGGTAGTCCTCTTATCGACGGTAGCCTCGTCCGCGGCGGTGGTCCTCTTAGTATCAGTAGTCTTGTTCACAGCGGTAGTCCTCTCATCGACGGTAGCCTCGTCCGTGGCGGTAGTCCTCTTATCGACGGTAGCCTCGTCCACAGCGGTGGTCCTCTTAGTATCAGCAGTC